CTTCGGGCTCTCATTTAACCAAGCACCACCTCTTCGAGCGGAACTAGCATACCAAAATGGCTGACTGAGTGGCTTATATAGAGCGCCTAACTGTCCACCCAGCCGCGCCGTCAAGTGCAGAATTGTTTCACCTTCGACTTGACCGGATTCTTAATCTCTCTCTCTCGTTCAGCTCCGCCGCCGCCAGCCTTTCCAGCTCTCCCGCGCCGATACCGCTCTCCTCGTCTGTCATGGCCACCATGCGCTCCCAGATCTTCTTGCGCGCCGCGACGTGTAGAGGATCTTCAGATGGATGCGTGACTAGAACGCCGGGCTAATGGCGCGCATGCAGTTTCCGTTAGATGCAGCAGCGGGACTGCACGAAATGATAGATGTGCTTCACATAAATGAGAACGAGGCTAACAATCTTACTTCTTGGTAGTTACTTGGCAAAATGTCGAAGGGAATGGCCCTGGACATTTCGTCAATATTTTCTGTGGTCGTTCTGAGCGGAGGATTGTCCGGAGCCCTCCAGCAATGGCTCAGGGCTGCGTATTTCCACGAAGCTCCACGGCACTTGCATCAGAGAAAGAGCTGTTCTTGAAGCGCCCGTGATGTGCAGGTCTCTGAAACAGGATGAAGAAGAATTTGGAGCGAATACGTTTGACGTTCAAGACGATAAGACTAGCTCGCATGTGGGGCTCCCGAATCATCCTTGTTTTGGCCCCAATGCGCGCCACTTCGATTCACCTAACGACTCGCACAGCCTCACACTGTTCACTTTTTTGCTCCAGTCACACAAGGGACTACTTCAAGTTCTGCCCTTCAGCGGCCTTCCAAGAATGCTATACGCTTTCCTTTAAAGGTAGTCAACACAGCTATCCGGTTACGAATAGCAATGGCAATTTCCTAGACTTATCATCCTTGACATTGAAAGCGGGTGCAAATCATGCTTAGCGCCAGCATGTCTCAACGAGAGATTGTCTTCGGGCAAGAGTGGCCCAGCGACTGGCTCTAGAAGCGGCGAGGTTTGCCTTTGGTGAAAATAAAGCGGATATAAAGCGTGTGAGCGGATATCGGCCCGAGCGGACTAACCGAGAGCGGCAAGTTTTAGAGTACCGCTCCGTCCCATGTTGAGATAGATGACGGAGTCCGATAGATGACTTTTGTGTCGATTAGGCAACGGCGAAGCTTTTGTGAGGCCACTTTATTCAAAAATCGTGATAAGACTATTCCCAACATCAAATACATGGTACGGTTGCACCTGTTCGAGACGTCCAGGATCCGACCTCCAGTCTTAGCGAAATGGTCGACGATGGTTCGTGGTGTCGCAGCAATGCGAACAGACCAATCAAATTCGCAACCACAGTTGACCCAACGCTGTTGCCTGGTCTGCGTGCCGCTCCGCTGCGCCACCACCACAAACGCCGTTGGGTGACCTGCAGATCATTAAGAACAGCGTGTCAGGCCAGCCAGTTTCCTCGACACAAAAGCCATTCACCGACCTGCACACTTATTGACCAACCATGAGATCTCCTCCCTTGCAGCAGAGCCCAAGCAGCTCGAACCCGGCCGAGGCGCCGCTGCTGGGATCCCGACCATATCCCAACACCCCACCTCAAGATGCAGATCGTCAGCATGCCAGATCACACGACGTGAGTGATGCATCTCACCCAAGCATCTCCGAGCCGCCGCCGCCATACGCGCCTGTTCCCGGCAGGTGCGTCATACTTCCCGCCCGCGAAGCCCGCTGGCGCACTAAAGGCAAGGGCGGTGTGCTGCTCTCGACGCTCGCAGCCACGGTGCTCGTGAGCGAGGGACAGCTGCAGGGTGGTGACGTAGAACTGTATGTCCTCCTTGGCTACCTTTAAACCGTCCGCACCATATCCATTCTATTTGTTTTCTCGTCCATATAATTCCACGGCAACCGCTGACAAGGCTACCCCGCAGCCTCCAAGCCATCAACAACGCCGACACATCCCCCACCGACCCCCTCTCCTCCATCGCATTCAGCACCTACAGCACCGTCCACGAGATCCTCCTCGGCGCCGCCGAGGGGCCCCGCGAGGCCTACCGCCAGCTGCTCAAGGCGAAGGAAGACGCCGCCGCAAAGGAAGCCCAGGCCTACGACTACAACGCCCTGCTGCCCTCCGCCTACGACGACGACCCCGCGCCGTATGACGACGACCACCACCTCCTCCACACGCCGCCGGCGCCGCCGAGCGTCGTCTCGACGGGCACCACCACGACGGCCGCCACCAGCCGCGTCGTTTTCACGCCTGCCGCCACCGCCACCGTCGTGAGCGGGACGCTGAAGGCCGATTCGGATGCCGGCGCGACGGCGACGATGACGACGGCGAAGGCCGAGGTCAATCCGTACGCGGCGGTCGCGACGAGCACGGGGATGGGCGTGGCGCGCATTGTGGGTGCGGGGCTGAAGGCGCCGGGCGTGTATACGCGCGGGTTGGCGAGGGGGTTTAATAATGTGCCTAGGCTGTACGGGGATGAGACGGTGAGGGAGGAGGAGAAGATTGATGGGGTGGCGTCCGGGTTGGCTGCTGCTGGGAAGGTTTGCATCCTCTTTTCCATTCATTGTGTGGGACCGAGTTTTTCTGATTAATATTTGCAGGGATTGGGGTACGGTCTGTATGATGGCATCACCGGGTTTTTCCTGCAGCCGGTGAAGGGTGCGCAGAAAGAGGGGCCGGTGGGCTTCTTGAAGGGATTTGGCAAGGGTTTGGGCGGTATCGTTTGCAAACCGGCCGCCGGTAAGTCTTCCGCAATTCTGGAGGCAATGACGACTGATTGATGAAAAATCAGGAGCTCTTGGGGTGCCGGGATATGCGTTCACAGGCATACAAAAGTCGATTGAAAGAGAGCTTTCACGTCAGGCAAGCCCTGAAGAGTGTTTGGCGGCTGCCGAGATCTTACAGGGCGAGGACGAGATGCAGCGCTTGAATGATAAGGAGCGGATGGAAATAGTGACTGCATGGCTTGCAAGGTGACCGGGAGAGGCTGTTCATCCTGCTTGGATACTATTGGCTCTTATTAAGAAGGCTTTCTCACGTCTAGTGGCCTCCAAAGTCCAACACAAGCCTTTTGTGCATTTCTAGGCTCAGGCAATAAAAAACAAGAAAAGCCTGAAGCCGAACAATGTGAGGCCCAACCAATGAAATGTCTCCTCTGATTTTCGTCTCTTCCAAGACTTTCATGCATTTGCCCTCTAAACCCTTGTCGCTCAGTGAGGCTCAGAGGGGCCACCTAACGCAGCAAGCATAAAGACGAGAGAATTCCCACCCCCATTCTTGAGATCCTTTTGCAGTCCGTTCACGCCTCTCTCCAGTCAAATTCCTCCTGGTCAACACAGCCTCTTTTGCCCTTTTTCTTGGCAGTTTGCCCTTTACCTGCAGCCTCACTTTTCGACAAGGGGGCACATCCAATCATGGATTTCGGAGCTGACTATGACGAAGACGTGCTGAACAGTCAGCGTCGGTGGCTGGAGGGCGAAACATTGACGCCTGAAGGGGAAAGGTGACACCCTTTTTTTTTTTAACCAAAATTTAGACGAGGCTGGAAACGAGGCTGTTATGACCTGATCAAACCATCCATCCCGCAAGCAGCTACGGTCGCAACCTCAACCGCACCACCTATCATCAACCAGACCAGCTCAACATCTTCTACACCAATACCAGGAGATGTCAATGAAGCAAGCCTCTACAACTCCATTGGCCACGACCCCTTCGCAGTCGATCAGTGGGTGTATAGCAACGAAGCACAACACACTGCTTTCCCATGGGCCCGGGACAGCGCCGAATGCCAAAATATTCCCGCTTTCCTAGACGCTCTCAATGGATGGGAAGGAGGTTATGCCGGGCCAGTGTCTTCCAACATTGAGATGACATATCCCCTTTCTCTACCCTTGGGAGAGAGCTTCACACACCTTCCTTCGGAAGTTCTCCCTATAGCGAACGGCGTCGGCTTCGGAAATGCCACTATCATCCACAACGCTCCAATGGCATTCGCAGTGGAGGATGTTGGCACACATCCCTTCGCCTTCGAGCCAGAGGATGCCTCCGGCCTCTACGTTGGCCAGAGCTTCCAAGACATTTGTCCAGAAGTTCTCCCAGAAGCTACGGAATCGATCGCCGATACTATTCGTCCGACGAACAACCCAGCACAGCAAGTGCAAGCTGATGGCAGCATGCAGCGGCAACAAATGCCCAAGCCTTTCCAGTGCAGCTATCCTGGATGCAACTCCAAGGGGTTCAGTAGAAAGTACGAGCTCCAACGACACACGAAGAAGCATTCCCGCAGCCAACTCTTCCTTTGCCCGGTTGTCGGCTGCCATTTCCACCAGCTTGCCAACGCTTTCTACCGCCATGACAAGCTAGGATGCCACATGCGGTCTTGCCATCCTGGCGTTCAGATCCCACCAGCGGTGCTCCCAGCCCAGGTCGGGGTTCAGGCCAGCATGACAAGCTCTATGGGACAGAACGCCCCAGCGAATATCAATATGCAGGGATAATGGTGCTCACCTCCACATGCTAGACCGAGGCTTGGTTCACATCAGGGAGACACCGACGTGTGTGTGGTCATGCGTCGGAATTCAGATTGAGACCCCAGATTGATACTTCCCCTTCTTTTTGTCTCCTACTCCTGCCCAAACACTCCGTAGTCCCCATTATCTGCCACACCATCCCCGCCTTCCCTATTATTCAAAGCACAGATAGCCCCATTTCTCTGTATTATGTTTCTGCTCCACCCAACAAACAGAAAAGAAAAGGATAGGGAAAAAAAAAGCTCACGATTAACGGCTGGTATTCCGCGTTTGTACGTAACGAAATATCAAACTTTCCTTTCTTAACTATATTGCGATGCCATCCCATTATGCCTCTCCATAATCTCGATCATTAGCAACGAGAAAATCTCATCAGAATTCTCCTAACAGGTATCACCCTACCACTCCCCATCTCAACGCCCCTTGCCCCCATTCTCTTTGTCTTGTTATACTCATGTTGCATACCAACCATAGCCTGATCAGTCTCTTACAAACTTGCCTTCCCCTGCGGTTCGAACGGCAGAACCAACACCATGAAACCCGCCGCAATAAACAGCGCTCCACTGGTATACACCGGCGCCGCCGTCTCCAGATTCGCGAACATGGCGATAATCGGCTACAATCAAAACACCATCAGTCACTTAAAAACACTCCCCATACCTCCATCACAAACCACAACAGTTAAAGTACTCACCGCCATAACCCCAAAAATCCGATTCCCCGTCGCCGTCAACGCATTCCCGGTGCCACGATCCTTCGTAACGAAGACCTCGGGCGTGTAAGCGTAGAGCACGGCGTACATAACATTACTAGTAAAGTTGTACGCGCAGTTCCAGCCGAGCAGGCTCGCGCTGTCGAGGGCGGTGGTCGAAGCGTACAGAAAGGCGCCGGTGGCGGCGGTGCTGAGGGCGAGGGTGCCGCGCCGCCCGAAGCGCGGCACCTCGACCAGGAAGCCGCCGAGCAGCGCGCCGGGGACGCCCAGCACCGCGATGATGAGCGAGTTGCGGTACGTCAGGTACGTGCTGCCGTCGCCGAAGGCGGCGCCCCTCGTCGCTTGGATGTAGGGGAGGAAGGCCTGTTTTTGGGGTGGTGGTCAGCGTTGTTAGGGAAACGTTTGCTCTCTATTTCTTCTTTCGTTTTTCATTTTCTCGATTTGGAGGGGGTGGAAGAAAAGAGGTGGGGAGCCGGGTCGGGTGGTACAGACGTTGTACAGAGGGTATCCAAGGCCGATGAAGGCCCACACGAGGATGATGATGGATGTAGAGAAGGCGAGCTTCTTGGTCGCGAAGAGGGCGCGGACGTGCGTGAGGTTGACTTTCTCGAGGCGTCGGCGGACGGCTGCGGCCGCAGTGGTGGATTGTGATGAGCCGGTGGGATCGCAGGCGCGGAGGTCTTCCACGGTTACTAGAGCGAAGTTAATGGCGGGGGCACTGAAAATTGAGAAGTGCAGTCACTGACAGCTGGATGCTTTGCCATTTCGACGGGCAACTTCGTGCACTATTCGGACTGCAGCTTCGTCGTTTCCTTTGCCCATTAGGTATTTGGGAGACTCGTAGATGGTGAAACAACAAAACCGAATGAAGAACATGATCATTGCAAGACCGCCCATGCAAATCACAAAGTATCTCCATCCCATGTTCTTGCTCCTGCTGCATGCTTCTCCTTCCTGGCACGTCAAGTCCCCGAGCAATGGCCAGGCGACTAGAGTGGCAATGACTTGGGCAATGGCCCAGTCTATTGAAAGGGTCGTCAGAAGGTACTGATGAGATCCGGGCAAGAACTCAAGGAAGATTGCCGAGTCGACAGGCAGGTTTCCGCCAACTCCGAAACTCCAGAGCGCTGCAAAACATCCTATGGCGGCGAAATTGGGAGAGCTCGCAGCTATCAAACCAAAGACGCTGGTAATACCCAAGGTGAGGTTGAATGCCCAGCGCCGGCCGAATATGTCGCAGCCGAAGCCCCAGAACATGGCTCCAGCGAGGAGACCGATGTTCTGGGCCAGGGAAAGAAGAGGTGGCCGAGAGGGATTGAACTCATTGGTTATGGGTTTCACTGGAATATAAGTCAGTAGGCCACGTCCAATATAGAGATGAGAAGCAAGTAGGGGTACTTGCATATGAGTGATGTCACAATAGGCCAAAGGTTATCGCTGGCCCAGCCGAACCCAACGACAATGAAGAGCTGCCACTGATACCATCCCATGCCAATCTCTTGAATCTACCATGGCGTCAGTGACAATCTTTATCAAGCGTCTGCATAGTTTACTGCAGCGTTGAGCACCCGAGCCTTGGCCTCATAAACGGAGTCGACCTCGCCTTTCGGTATCGGCGCATCAATTCCACCTTCATCTGCAGGCGTATCTGTCGTTGCCGGACCCTTTGACGTAGTTGATTCAGCCATGTCTGTCTATCCACGAGGTCTGCCGGTTATGTTTGGTCGTGGTCCGGAGAGGTGCAGATCCCCCACAGTTTGAAGTTGAACTTAGAAGCGTCCTGGCGTCAGGCCATTATAATTCGCGTCGGTTGCGATGGCGCAATAAAGCCCTAGTCTGATAAGAACTGGATTAAGAGACATGACTGGTCCAACCCGTCCCGATGTAAGACAAGCGTCATGGGCTAAACCTGAATCTGCAGGAAGAAAACTGCCCCGCATATGGGTGCGTCTATCACGTGCATTGTTCTGCTTCCAGCACCCTGCCACAACTCCAGCGCCATTCTTGATGGGGAAGATGAGGCTGAAAGCGTGTTACGCAATGATTAGTGTCTACCGTTGATAGAATTGCTACCACGCGACAGGCTCCTCCAATGCTTTCCAGAATCAGTTCACTCTTTGGAAACCATGTCTACCTTCAGATATGCTTTAGACCGTGTGTCGAATGAAAAGGGCTTCCAAATCGGCGGAAAAGTTGAGGACGGGTAGAATATCCCTTCAACTTTTCGTTACCTGTAGATATGTCAATCCGGATTTGTCCAGTTACCCCTTTGCAGGAAATTGTTGAAGACAGCGTGGCGAGTCACATAATTGCTCATGGTATAGGCTGGCGTTTGCTGCGGTATAACCAAGGGGTGGGCGCAAGGCATGTTTTCGAAAGACGAAGCTGGGTTAGCTCGCCGCGATTGGTTGGAGGTCGGATTAAAAGAGAAAAGCGTCAGAAAAGCGAGGTCGGAGGAGCCAGACTCAGGTTTGTGGAGCAGGAGGCTCAAACTGTTGTGAGCAACAGGAGAAGGGGACCAGCACTTGACCAGAGTGCATTGCCTTGTCATGTCCGGGCTCCAGCTTCAAGTTCGAGGGAGCAAGAATTTGGACCATATTCACTCATCCTGCGCGAAGAGACACCAGCGTCCAGATCAACAAAAGAGCAAAATCCGTGGTTCAGCTGTTATGCTTCTCGGAATTCCGTAGTTCGGCCTTTCGAGCTCACTGCTCACTAAAGAGATCTGATCTATCGGGTTCGGCGTAACAATCCGGCGTAATCCTCATAGCGTAGCCGTCCTTGTTGGAGAGCTTCGTCTCCGTCCCTCGTATACCGGCCAGAATCCATCATAGTTGGCCATTTGTATTTCACGGCGGCCAATGCAGCCGAGTGCAAGGCATTGTTCCAGCATATGATGCCATCATGTCTCCACGTAACTTTTGGGTCATACTCATTCCCTGCCTCTGTTCCGAACGCCAGGTCATGCACATCTGGGATCCACTCATTTCTTGCCCTTCTTCTTCTTCTTGCCTCCGCCTTGGGCGGGCTTCGACTCTGTCTTCGTAGGCTCTGGGTTGGGGGTATTAGTGCCAGTGCCCTGTTCCGCCGCGGGCGCATCCGGCATGGCGGTATCTGCGCAATCGCCACGTTAGCGCTTTATTCGTTTGCCAAACTCAAACTTCCACGCCAGCAACTCCCCCACGCAATCGCAAGGCGGCGCAAAATACACATACCCTCTGGCGCACTCGGCAACGCGGCCATTGCTCTTGCGCATCTGTCCAAGCACGCAATCAGGCGGCCGACCTCGGCTGCCTTTGTGGTCTGGTACTTCAAGCACACGCCCGACGCGGGATCGTAGGTCTTGAGGGTGAGGGCGGCCTGGGGCGGGGCGGGAGCCTGAGCCGGGGCGCCCGCAGTAGGCTTATGCGTGGCATCGGAGTTGGCGGTATCGCCGGTGGCGACCTGGCGCTTGCGGTCCTTGGTCGTCTTGCGCTTGATGATCGAGTACTTGGTCACAACGCGGGCCTGTTATAATCGTCAGCGTGCGATTCGGTCAATTGGGGGTGGGGGAGGAAAAACATACGGTGGTGGGCCGGGCTTCGATCAGCAGCCGGGACTGCTCGAACCACTCGGCGCTCGAAGCGAAGAAGGGCATGGTGTTAGGTTTGGCGTGGAGGGGACGTGTGGTGGTGATGTAGCTGGGCGGGCAATTGTGGAGGTTCCCAGTCGTTATCTATCGCGGCGATTCTTCGGAGATGGGGCGTTGCTGCCTTGTTGCACCGCCCGCAATTGAGGCTGAGGTTTGACTACCAAACATCTTCCATTGCTTTCCGTTGCACTTTGAGTCACTGACTTAAAAGTATATAGATCCCTCTTTTCTGTCATCTCAGATCAAGTACCGCTGCATTTTCCGCCTGGTATCTTAAAATTCGGTGCTGGCTTGGTCAACCACAAATTTTCCTTCTACAGTCATACTTTTACCTTTTCCAGAGATACAACTTCGCCTAAATCCGTAAGGGCACGCAAGACTTTCGGACTACCAGAGAAAGAGCATGGATAAGGAAGATGTGGAGCACGGCTCGCAAGCCACGACGAACCCGGCCGACGACCTCCCCGCCGTTGCGGTAGCCGAGCAGCTCCTCAACCGGACCAATACGCTCCTCTCCGAGTTGGAGTCCTTCAGCACGCTCCTTGAAACCCACCGGCGGCCTCAGATTCTCGGCCATAGGCCGTTCATCCAAGATATCAACGCCGAGAAGCGTTTCATTGAACGGCTGCTCACAAAAGCCATTGCCGAAACCACGCATCAGGAAGAGGACGGCAAAGACGGAGACCCCCTCGATGCCCTCGAAGCGGACCGAAAAATTAAGCACCAACTCAGCTCCACCAATATTACCTCCTACGAGGCCCAGTGGGCCGTGGTAAAGTCGTGCCGTGGCATCGTTGCCCTGCGTCAGACCTTCTCACGGCAACACCCTTCGCGGCGACCCCAGAAGGGCGGCAACCGCGCGTTATCCCCTTCATCCAAGATCAAAGCGCATGTAAAGAAGACGCAGGATGGCGTATTGGTGGACGCAGTCATCGAGGACGGCCGCGAGTGGCTGAAAGTGTCGGCCATCAGCGAGCGGCAGCTGCTGTTCCAGATGGCGCGGCAGGGTTGGCAAAACGACTCTGACAGTGACGACGAAGAGCTGGGAAAACCCATTGGAGGCGGTGCTAGAGACGACGACTCCGACAGCGATGATGAGGACGAAGTTGTCATCGTCCGGTTAGCCAAACACCTCATCCAAGCAGCCCGTGCAAATCGCCACAACTACCGCCACCCGCGCGTACGTCTCGTCCTACCCAAAATCGAAGAAGGCCGCGTCAAGGAGATCGATGCCATTCTCGCCCGCATACGTGCCATGTCGACTCCTGCCACGCCGCTCACCGTCGAAACCGGCATGTCCTCGTTACACACAACCAACACTGCACCAGACCTCACTCCGCTCCTCACATCCCCCTTTTCCACATTCACTCCCACCCTCAATATCGACTGCACCCTGCTCGTCGCCCTCGCCTCCGACATCTCGCATTCGCACTGCACCATCCAGCCCTGGTACCCGAGCGCCGTGCAAGGCCAGATTCGCGACGAGGATCGGGAGGCTCTGATGCCCAACACGCTTTACCCAGCGCTGAGCGGTGCGCGCAAGCTCGTCTGCACGCGTGAGGCTGCTCGGCGGATGCGCGAGATCGTAGCGACCATCGGGACTGAGAGCGAGGTGGCGAGGGCGGCATTGCTTCTCTCTTCCTACGACGAAGATGACGATGAAGAAGGAAAACAAGGAGAGGAGAAGGCCGACGGCGTTGACGGCGCCACACAACAACAACAACAACCGCCGCAGAAAAAATATTCCACCCGCGAGGAGCTGCTCGACGCCTTCCAAGCCTTGTCCATCTACCCCGTGCCGCGCGACCTGCAGCTGCCCATCACCGTCGTCCCGTCACCACCATCCTACGACTTCGTCGACGGACACGTCACACCCACACCCGCCGACACCCCCTCCAAAATCAACGACGACGACAGCGACGAAGCCGGCGGCCCGATGCCGAAACTACCCAGGGTCGCCGAAGCCGTTTCCGCGCGCCTCACCGACATCAACCGCTCCATCTTCCTCTACGGCTGGGCCGAGGGCATCACGACCCTCTCCTCGAACGGGACCGTGGCCAAGCAGATCGAGACGCTGGTCGAGCAGCACCGCACGCGCGACGATGAGGTGGGGCCTGACGTCTGGGTTTGTCCCGTCGCGAGGAGTTTGGTGGCGAAAAAGGGCCGGCGGCAGTGGTGAAGAGAGAAAATAGAGAGTAGAAGAGAGGGACTGCACGGGGTTTAGGAGGCTTGAGTGTTTCGTTTTGTTTTGTTTTTCTCCTGTAGACAAACGGATCATATAGCACTGCATCGAAAAGGATGTATCGTTTGTGAGCACTCAAGAGTGTAGGAAAGGGGAAATAGGCAGTTTGCTGAAAATGAAACTCAGCGTACATATCAGGAAGAGGAAACCTTAATGTGCCGCCCACTGGAAAGCGGCTATTAGCCAGTAGTTGAAGCTATCATCCGGATGTAAATTTGGAGTTAATAATCATACATTCATGTCCAGACTATAGCTTCATCTACCCGTGGCATGAGCGAAAAATAAGTTCACGCTAGCCGTTGGTTGCAATGCCCCCCCGATAAACTTTCAGGATCTTGTTAGGCGGCTGCATCAAAGGGGATGCGACGTGACTATATAATGAAGGAAGGAACCACCCACCTTCGCCTTCCTCGCAGCCATTAGCAGACTTCTTCGCAGCCGCATCCGCCGAAATAGGCTCTCGCAGCCCGCAGCCGTCCTTGCAACCGTACAGTCCAGCTCCCACTTTACGGCGTTTCACTGTGTTTCCATGCGACGATAATATTACATTCTTGTCCGAAAGGTAGCTTCTACTACCCAAAAATGTCATTTCTCGTATAGTTTGCTGAGGTGATTATCTATGATCTAGGGTACTGCTTCGCGCTGGCCTCCGAATGCACGTCTTGTAGGACAAACAATGATGTCAATCAATCAACCAAGCACCGAGGTCTACTCTTTGATGCCAAACCCACGATCGAACCAAGGCTTTCCCATGCATCGAGCCGCCTCCAACGCCAGCGCCGGTCCAAAGCCAGCCGCGAAAAGCACCAGAAACAGCGGCACAGTCACACAAGCCCACGGAGTCCACACCTTCTTCTTCTTCCTCCTCTTGCCCTCCGGCGTAGCCTCGCGCGCGGTGTGGCCACCGCAGCGAGGCCCGAAATCCTATACCTGCACCGTCCCGTTGCCGATCTTGATCTGCGCCGCCCACATCTGCCTGACGAGCGGCTCGGCGCTCTCCCGCTCATGAAACACCATACGTGTCGCATCCCAGTGCACGTCCATACCTCCGGGCGCGACCAGCTGGCCATCCACATCACCCGACTTCAACAGGGGCCCGTCGGCGCGTTGGTACGGTCCCGTGACGCCGCCCGAGGACATGGCGAAGGAGACGGTGTAGTTGTCGGTGCTGTAACAGCCGCTGCTGAAGAAGAGCACGTACTCTCCGTCATAAGTCTTGACGAGCGCAGGCGCCTCGACGATGCCGTCGTCCGAAACACCGGCGTTGTCGAGCAGCTGCACAGGCGAGCCTTGCGGCGTCACGCCGTCGGCAGCAACGGCTAAAAGCATGAGGGGCGTGCCGACAATGGGCTCGATCTTTGATGAAAAGGAAGAGAGTTAATGCAAAGAAAATTTGATTGGTGTCAAAGGGGAAAAAGAGAGCGATCTGCTTACGGTATTGCCGCAAAGACCGCCGTTGCCGATGGCGTTGCCTGGAGGGAGACTGTCAGTGTTTCAATCGTCTTCGAGCGTTTGTTGTTGTTGCGAAGAACGCACCGTCTACTTTGTAAACAATGTATCGCTGACCCCTGCAAACCACCATTAATATAAGAGCTTTAGTGATGAATGGTGTACTTGCCCTGAGCCGCCGCTCGACCATTCCGGATTTGAGTAGGAGTTGTCGTCGCCCGTGTCATTCGAGAAGTAATTACCAGGACCCCAGCCAGTGCCTCTCGTCTCCCAATCCTTGAATCCAGATGCATCGATGGCGCCGCCTTGATCCAGCGGGCAAGCCAGAGTCCCGTTGACTGGCGTGTACGGGCCCTCAACAGTGCTGGACTTCGCGGCGCCGACGCAGTGCTTGGTCGTATCATTGGTAGTTGTTGCGCTGAAATACATGACATATGTGCCGTCGTCCTGACTCAGGGATACGAATCAGCCACTTGCTCTTTCCAGACTCGCGTGATTGGTGGATTTCCCAAAAGGGAATCCATCGATCAACAGAACCTCAAGCCGCGCCAACACCAATGCTGAAACAGATGATGAAAGTCTGGTGGAGAAACCAAGTGGCCAAGAGAAACAGAAACAAGAAAAAGTACCCACGAGCACATTGACGTCCGGCGCCCACGTGTTCGGTGTGGCCATGTTGACCCAGTTCGGTGGGTCTGGCAACGCGTCCACGCCGCTGAGGTAGGTCCATTCCTGGAAGTCAGATGACCGTGCGACTTGGATGTTGATGTTCTGGTCCATGGTGGCGAACGCCCACCAGTAGCCTTCCGCGTACACGATTGACGGGTCTGGGAAGTTCTGCGCCATCACCGGCCCAGTGACGTAGGTGCCATTGCTCTCGACCTGCCTAGGGATGAAGGAAAGAGGTTTTGAGGCAGCAAGTTGCGCCCCGAGTACCGACACTGATAGCAATAGATTTGCATGGCGGCTGGTATGAATGCGCATTTTCGCCAGCGCCAGGGGAGATTTGACTGCTCGCGTGGCTGACGGTGCGGAGAAATAAGTAGTGGCAGAGAAGGAGAAGTAAGCTGAGGTCAGAGGAGATGGCGCCTAGCATGCCTCCAACTTCATCGCGCCTGCCGCATCTTATAGTGTCGTGGCAAGAGCTTGGTAGGAAAGGCCACATTTTTTCTCTCACGCGCCAGGGTTCCATGCACCCATGTTCTCGTATGGTGTCGCCATAAATATGGCCATACCAGAAAAAAAAAATACGGGTAAAACATAAGTAAGCCCTTCATTTAGAAGTCGATTTCCGCACTACCATACAATCTCATGGCCTTGCCATCCTACAGCCATGGTATGTGGCTATACCATACCTTCTATGAACTCACCTGGTGGTTAGTAAAATCGAAAATACCAAATTTTTTTTTAACTGAGGGTTCTTTCAGGGTCCGTTCCGGAACCACTCAATATCAACCACAAAATGTATTTCTCAACAAAATCTGCATAGCCGAGTGGCAAGATGACCAGTTATGAATCGATCCGAATATAATAAATAAATAAATAAATAAATAAAAGAAGATGATGCACAAGGTAGGAATCAAAGGTATCTTTTTGCTTGAAAGTAAGCCAAGTTTACGTCTGGATTACCCATCATTTTTCCTGGGTTTGGTCACTCGTAATACCAGAGGTAATCCTGACGGAATCACGAGCGGTCGAGACCGTAGTGACGCAGGACGTAGGAGCCTAGCTGATAGTGGAGAGCTGTAAGGCAGTCTTTCAGAATATTGGTCTTGCGCAGGACTTATGCTTTAGTGGAGTATTTTTACCTGCAGGAAGGCGCCGAGACTTTACTTGGTCATGTTGGCCATGTCTTCAGGCCAAGGCATGCTGCAGGTGTCCTGGGAAGGCGCAGCTTGGCAGGTCCCGTTCCGGCCCCTCAGTGCGAAGCCGAGTGCCGACCGCGCCCTCACATTGGTGAGAACAGCAACCATGACGACGACATATACGCGCTGCGCTGTCTCGGCCTCACACCCGTTGTTATATAGTATTGGCGGGGCGGCTGTGGCATACGGGACGCAGCCGCCAGGACAGGTCCCGAAGCAGCCCTAGATGCCTATTGAGGAAGTGCACGAGCATGGATACACATGACGCGTATGAGGCAGCGCGTGCGAGGCAGGATTCCAGCGTTTCAGCGCCCGTCACTGGCTGTCTCGGTGTGGCACATCCAGACCCTATCGCCACAGGTCTGGCCGCCAGGGGAGGCTCACCGCTCAGCCATTGGTCGTCATGGCCATCAGGTAAGCCGGGCCGGGTGAATATGGCATAACGGCCATGCTGCATGCCACAAGTATGTATGTACTGCATGTGCTCCGCTCGGGCGCAGTGTTGTGCTCGTGGCCCTGTACGTCGTATTCTCTGCACGCTCCAGTCCATCGATGCAACATGGATTCCCTCAGCTGTGGGACGATAATAGGGTTGATCGAAAAAGGTGGTCAGGTGGAGCAGCCGTTGGCCGGCCCAGGTGCTCTCCACTTTTCGCGACCGAGAGAGGGGCACAGAAGAAAAACAAAATCCGCTCCGCACGTCACGGGCAAGACACATGGAGGCGGTCAGCACTTTGGACGTCGTTGACCTCTTTCTCGTCGCCCGCTACCCCGCTGGCGTGCCCGTCACTCCACGCCGCCCCCTAATCGAGCGTTAAACCGGGGCTGCGCTACCCAAGAGGGAAGCTGGAAGCCTGAGGATTGCGAATGCCCGCCCCGCTTTACTGCGTCCGGCCGACGCCAGGCGCGCCGTCAGCTGCGCGCAACGGGGCGTTTTTCTTCTGTGCCTGTTCCTCCTGTCCGGCGGATTCGGGAACAAGAGCTTCGGCGCTGATCGGCCGCGCGGTACCAACCACCGAAGCCTGGTACCGCGGCGCGGAACCACCAGAGACGCGCCAGAAACAGGCGGCGTCGGCGGGCAGTCGGCGAAGCACAGAAGAAAAAAAAGTTCCTGGCACCGACGTGCAGTCGCGCCCTTCGCGCTTGGTGATCTCTTGCTGCCTCCGTCAGAGGCCCGGGCGAGGCGAAGGAATGGGCGGGCTCCACCGTACCGGAAGTCCTCGCGCGCGCGTTCCCCTCGCGTGTGCACGAGAGAGCCATGTAGCGAGCGAGCGAGCGAGCCACAGCCGGCGCACCTCGCACGCTCGTCGCGAGCCGCTCTCGTCTAACAGATCGTAGCGCGTCTCCCTCTCGCCTCGTTCAACCGCCCCTCCCCCCTCCCGGCTGGATGGTCGCGCTACGACACATAGTGTGTGCGAGAGCCGGCCGCTCCCATCCAACCCACCCCCTTGTCGGCTGTGCCTGATCGACTCCGCCCGCGCGCCCTCCGTCGCATCCCGAGCTCAACACCATGGCCCCCTGTGATCCCTCCACCCCCCCTCCTCGTGACACCCGCCCGTTTTGGTTCAGCCTCATCCTATCCGTCAGCCGCGCGGCGAACCACAGTTTAATGAATTGTCTTCCTGCTCTTGCTGTGCGCCCAACACCGACTGCTGCTATATTTGGCATGCCGCCCCCATCCGACTTCCCACCACTCGTTGGGCGCCGGAAGCCTGTCCCATGGCGCTGGCCCTTCATATGGCGGAAAAGAAGCTTAACACCATGCAACCCCCCGCTAGTGATGAGAGCGTCCGCTTAGCGGCGATCAACACAGCCCCCTCCAAACCGACGCCCCGGCAATTGGGCTGGCGCCACGGCTTTTTCGGATCCACCACCTGCAAGACCTCCAACGAGTGTCTCATGAGGGGCGTCCCCCCCTTTCACGAGCATCACCTGCAGCCCGAAGCTTGATCCCCTCGGTGGCGGACCATGGCGCTCCGTGTTCCCACGTGCAGAAGATTCTTGGAAGCAGAGTACATTCATTCGACTAGTGTTTACACGCACAGCGCGCGGCGACTGAAGCCTACCCAAATCACAAACACCATAACGACGGTAAGAGCCTTGCTGTGTACGATTTCAGAGCCACCGTAGAAACCCATATGTCAAATAAACTGAAGGGGGAACATTCTCTGTTTATTTCGATTCCGAGAGCGACAAGGACACTCGCTGAACGACCAGAACGACCAAAACAGGCAGGCCAAAACCCTGATCAACCATAAAAGAAATCTCTTCCGCGCAGCGGCGAGAAGAAACGCGCCTCAGACCCCTTTCTTGGCTTCCTTGCCCAACATATCATGTGTTATTCCCTTGCTTGTTTAAAGCACCTCCCTTTCCATCTGGTATTTGGACGTGAAAAAATGGAGCAAAAGATTGCGCACGAACACCTCAAACAAATGAAACAAATCCAAGCGAAGAATTGGGGGGCATAAGTAAAAATGAAAAGAAAAAGGGAAGAAAGCGGGGCGATTACGAGCTCGCAAAGAAGAGGTAAACAAGTTGTGCCAGGTAGAATGTAAGAAGAGAAGAAGACCAGCAAGAATGATAAAACGCAGTGCTTGACAAGCAGAAGAAGCGAAGATTTCAAGAAGAAGAAAACCAAATCAAAAACACCTGTGTGCCTCCCTTAGCAGCGCAGCAGCAAAAGAAAGGTCGGATGGCGCAGGTTCAACCAGTCCGCCTTTTTGAGTCTTTCGTATCTGTACCGGCCGTGTCCCACGACTGCCAACCGAACAAAACGCCTTTCAGCCTCCGGGATGTTTGATGTGTCGTTCAAAATTGCATCAGTTGGTGGTTCACATATTAATTATGGTATTAATGGTGGCAATATTCGCGAGAAACACGCTGGAAGAACCGTTTGAAGAGGGGTATATCAACGATCGGCGGCGAATGTGTGTGCGTGATATGTACGAACGCACTCCGTCTGCGGATTTCCGATGTGCCTGTTTCCAAGACACTCAGATCTCGTGCATCCAGCTGTGCGCTCGGCGAGCGTCGCCGAGAACCAGAGCGAGCGCTACCGAATATTACATTGTCTGTTGGTGGTGCTGTTGATGCTGTTCAGGCGAAAGACTGGACGGATCGATTGTGCCAAACGAAACAAGATTCGACATGTCGAGGTCCTCCAGGTTGTCGTCTCCCATTGGTGAGCGGAAAGGCAGCGACAGCGATTGCTTCGCGTACATTTCGCTCAAAGACATGCCATCATCCGAGATTGCGCTATCCTGCGACATCGGGTAAAGGTCTGCCGAAGAGGCGCGACCAAGCGAGGTTAGAGGCGGCGACTGGTTTGCGATGATGGGATCGCCATGACTTATCGCCGACATGGGAGACATGGACTGGTGCGGAATGCTCGATTGATCGGGCAGTGGTGACAGATACGGGTTGCTGTACGGGGTGCTGAAGTTTGCAGCAGGCATGTTGTCAGGACCAGGGTTCGAGGTGAAAAAACCAGGGGTTCCGTAGTCCGACGGCGAGTTTGCGGTGGTAGCAGACATGGGATATTGTCTGAAATCCATGCCGTATCCTGCAGACGTGTCGATACTCAGGTTGGGTCCGATGGGTCCCGACATGTTGTGCTGCGGAACAGGCGCGTAGATCTCCTGCGGCTGCGGGGTATACGGCGGAGCAGGGTAGGAGGTCTGCGGAGGAGGCGGGATCATGAATGGCTGCATGGGGTTCTGGCGCAGCATCGAGAAGTCCATGGCCACGGGGACAGACCTACTCCTCTGGCGCTTGTGGCCGCGGTGAGCAGGAGGAGGCTGGAGGCCACCGGGCATCTCAAAGGGACTCTCGTGGTACATGGGGGCGGCAGAGGGGTGGACGAATTGGTTGGGCTGCGACGCCGGCCTGTGGTTGATCGGCGAAACTGGAGCAGACATGGCCAAGGCGTTCGGGTCGTAAAAGTTGTGCCTGTTCTGGAACGATTCGAGCGACACGAGCTTCGCCAATTGGCCGCTGAGAACCTTGGGGTGGCCGCCGAGGTGGTGAACGAGCACCTGCGACGCCTGCTGGTCCTCGGTGAAGTCGCCACACTGGTAGAAGCCACCAGATCCGGAAGAGTCCATGAAGAAGTTTGGCGGCCTGGTAAGCTCGACAACGAGACCACCGGGCCGTTGCGAGGCGCCCTCCGCGTTCTGTCCATCGCCGAGCTCAAGGGAGATGTTCTTGATGTAAGCGAACGGGTACTCGATCTTGTAGCCGGCGGAGTCGTTGTTGATGTAGTAGGTAACGCAGCACTTCTCAGGCGAGTAGAAGATGACCAAGTCCATGGCGCTCTGTCCAACGCGACGCCACGTGCCGATGCTCAGAGATCGGCAGGCGAAGTGGTGGATAACTATCAGCAGGTCAGTACGATGCCATGTCAGCGCGCATAGCCAACGCGACTACTCACCAACTTTGGACGAGCTGGTCTCGGTGTTGAGCAGCATGCCGCTGCCGTAGGGCATGCCGCTGGTGCGGCCCATGAAGTCGCGGCCCAGAGTCTTGCCGGACTCCATGGCCTGCAGGGCCAGGTATCGCCGCATTGATTCGGGAATATCATTGCAGTCCTCTCCGCTCTCAATGCTCTTCTTGGCGATGTTCTTTATCTTTGCGCGCCTGGAGGGAGTCAGCATGGCTCGCGTATCGGCGGGTGGGGGGGAGGAGGATGGGGTCGCTACCTGTTCTGGAACCAGATCTGTACCGAGCGCTCAGTCATGTTGATCTCTTGCGCGATGCGCTCGCGAACGATGGCAGTGGGAGTGGGGTTCTTGTTGAACTCCATCTCCAGCGTCAGCAGCTGTTCCTGGGTGGCGCGCTGGCGCTTCTGGTTCTTCTGCTGCTGGGTCAGGGTGCTCTTGCGCGGGGGGCGGCGCGACGACGAGGCAGAGGTCGAGGGCGGCTGGCCGGCGGAGCCTGACGCCGAAGGCGACGGCGTCGATGTGGTGGTCATGGTGGATTGCTGTGGTGCGGTCGACTGCATTCGCGATGTATTGCAGACGCACCAGAGTCGGGGTAGATCAGGGTTATGACTCGGTCAATGGGGCCTCAGTAGCGCGACGGGGCTGCGAGGGTATATGTCTTGTCGTAATAGTCGTGATGAGAGAAGACTTTGGGTGAAAAGGCGGTGGTGACCCGAATGAATGTAAGTGCTCAGGAGAGCTTCCGGCGCGGGATCGGTACAAGGAGGGTATCCGCGAGCAGTAGGGATGTGCAGCGTGCGACCAGGCGAGCAAACGGATAGGTAGGTATCAAAGCTTCACTGACTTGGAGCAGGAAGATGCTAACTGATCGGCTACTCGAGCGCTGGGCAGAAGCCTAAGGACTGAACACCGGGACGGCGGAAGCTGGGGCTAAGGAGAGGACGGGCGACGGCCCAAAAGAGACAGAATAGACGGCCGGAAGGAGTGACGGCGCCTGTAAAGAACAACAAGGGCAGAAGAGAACGTGGTGGAGATCGCACTGGCAGTCAAGATGACGGAGGCAGGCGAAATCCAAGCGGGCGATATTGCGGGTGTAATGAGGTTGAGGCGGCGCAGAGGGTGCGAGCAGAGAAAGGGGGCCTAGCGGCAGGCTGGGGGCTGCCGGAAGTACCAATCGCTGGCCTGCGCCTGCCGAGTCAGCGCGGCGTGGGTTCCGAGGGTCACGGCCACAATGGGTCAACCCTCGTCCGAAGCACCAAAAATCGTGCTCGCCCTCTGCCGCCAACGCTCACGCCGCCCGCCGCTCTGCTCACTCGGCGCCCGCTGCCACCGCGGCCAGGCGCCGGCTGACGTCGCATTCCTCGCCCGCCAGAGCACAGGCTGCCCGGCAGCGCCGCCGCTGAGTCGCCGCCCACGGGTCCCGCGCGCACACAGACAGGCACACCACCCGGAGCGCGCGCGCCGGCAAAGCTCCGCTCGCTCGGCCCAGGCAGGGAGGCTGCTGCTGCGCGCTGCCGCCGCGCGGGCTGACTGGCTGGCGGGCTGCCGTCTGACAGGCACGCCGAGTCTAGTCAGGAACGGGCGGCGTAGCGCGCGCGTCCATTGGCCCGATTCGAGGTATAAATAGAGCGCAGTTATGCAGCGCGACACCACGCTGGCGCGATGCCGCGGCGGGCGACGCAGGAACAGCCCTGGCGTGTGGAGTCTGCGCGGAGAGGGCGCGCCTCGATCCAGCGCGCGTTTGGGGCACCCTCACACCGGCCGTTTGCCTCATCAGCTGGGCGCGACGAAAGGAGGCCAATCAGTGCTTCACATTGTTGGAACATGCCGTCTGCTACGGAAGCTGCCTTTGGCCCACCGCTTCCGCGCCGCGGGCCCTGGCCGGCAGACAGGGTGTCGCCGCGACATCGCACAGCTCTTACGGCTTCTGTGCGACGCCCGCTAGAGCCAGTGGCACCACGCGCCGCCCAGCCCAGCTCGCTGCCAGACGCCGTTGCCCGCGGTTTCACCTCTCGTCATGCCGCTGGCCCTGCCACGGTGCCTCGGCGCCTGTGGCCTCACGCCTTGCTCGCTCTGGTCTGATGACGCACCAGCCGCCGCGCCAGCGCGGTCAGGGGATCCCGTCAGCCTGGCCGCATTCGGCCAGCACCAGGCCTTATCGTATCCGGCCTGCCTCCCAAAGCCGTGTTTGCTCCGGTGCTCGAGCATGGCCCTACGGGATCTACGATCGGCTAGGATGAGTACTGTACCTCAACGCCAACGGCGCGAAAGATCTGCTCCCGTCGTTTCAGGTCGAAGCTGGCTCCCACTGTGAACAGGAGCTCCTTGATCCGGCCCTCCCAGAGCACTCCAATCCGCCACTTCTGGTCGACGCGGGCCTTGATCACGCCCGTCACATCCTCGTCCGGGGACGGGGTGCGCTGCGCCCAGCCTGGCCGGAGCATCTTGACCGCCCACTCCGCGTCTGCGTCGCGCCGTCGCTGCCACAGCTCGCACCCCAGCTGCAGGTCGCTTTCGTACGAGTAGAAGTTGAAGTCGAAGCGCGAGCACAGCGCGACGTTGTGGCCGGCCTTGACGGCGTACGTAGACGACAGGTTGCCCATCAGGGGGTTGAGCGTAAGGGTCATTGTGTAGGGAAATCCCGTATGCTGGGGTAGGGTGGTAAACCTCAGGCCAGTGCTCATGCCACCGCTCTTGTTCAGAAGGCCGTAGTATAGCTCCGCGCCCGCACTGAACATGCCGCTGACCCGTTCGGCGCTGGGGGATTTTGCCTCGTCGTCGCCGTTGCCGCCGGCTGGCGTCCTGGGGTCGGGCCCAAAGTTGTAAAGCCCCCGAACGCCCAAGAGCGCGCTGTCCGTGCTGTAAAGATACTCGGTGCTATACTTGCCGTGGTCGTTCTGCACGACTCCGAGGATGGTGCCGCCATTATTCATGTTCGAGTCGCTGACCGCAGCTATCCGCACTTGCCGCGTGGGCGAGACTCGACGCAGGTACAGCGCCTCTAACGAGTTTGTGGGCAGGAAAAGCCGACCATAGAGCACAGTCGCTGGGCGCCCCTTTAGCAATGCCACCCGGCTGTGTCGCCGCGCGCAGTGGAGGACTCACCTCTGCGATCAATGCGCTTGCCTCTGTGCCATAACTCCCACCACCAAGGCTCGTCAGGCCGCCGCAGTTCTTTAAGGTGCCTGTAGCCCCGTACGACATTGTGCAAGTCAATCTCGCTGCTCCGTGACTTGACATCCAGCGCCAGCGACGAGTACAGGTAGGACAAGGAACCGTCCACGACCCCAACGGTGCCGAGCGAGTAGGACGTTGCAAGATTTGGCGACGACAGCGACGAAAGGTTCAGGCGCAGCCCGCGTGGAGTCTGGAAGTCAAGCAGCGCTGCACGCAAGGTTAGTGAAGTGCTCTGGCGGGGCTGTAGCTGAGAGCGGGGTGGTTACCTTGAGCTGTTGCTGTCAGGTGTGAGTACGAATTATCATGATTCCAGTGGGTGGCTTCATAGAAGGCATTCTGCACGTAGTCCATAAACCCCAGCATTGCGCGTCATCAGCATGCTGGGGAGAGGTTGAAAGAAAGATGAGGTGGTCGTGGTGGAGCTCTGGACGGTAGGTAGCTGCGTTCGCTCAAAGCTCGTCTAAAGATGACGCTTGCCGATGCGCCATCGTGAAAAGTTCCTTCAGCTGCGCTATCATCTTATCAGACCCTTCGGCCGGAATTATTTTCAACACCACCGCAACTTTTCGGCCAACCTACCTCCCGCCGCCAAAACACCGTACAAGTTCGCCCGCACTCAATCAAGATGCCTAAGTCGAAGCGCGCGAGAGTCGTTCACCTGTCCAAGGTCGAGAAGAAGGGCAAGGAACTGTCGGAAAAGCTCTTCAACAATGTGCGCGAGGCCGCCGAGAACTTCCAGTACATTTTCCTCTTTGACGTCGAGAACATGCGCAACAACTACCTGAAGGAGGTTCGCCAGGAGTTCTCTGACAGCAGGTGCGTTTCCATCCCATGCGCCCGGCATTGGCGACCGCACGCGACGCATCCTCTCTAACGCGTCCCCGCAGAATATTTTTCGGCAAGACCAAGGTCATGGCCAAGGCCCTCGGCACCGACGACGCCTCCGAGCACCTCCCCAACCTGCACAAGCTCGCCCAGCGCCTCGAGGGCAACGTCGGTCTCTTCTGCACCAACCGCGAGCCCTCCGAGATCATTGAGTACTTCCAGAGCTACTCCCAGACCGACTTCGCCCGCGCCGGCGTCGAGGCCACCCAGACTTTCGTCGTTCCCGCTGGTGTTGTATACTCGCGCGGTGGTGAGCTGCCCGCTGAGGAGGACGTGCCGCTCCCGCACCCTGTGGAGGTTACCGTCAGGAAATGGGGCATGCCCACTAGGCTGGAAAAGGGCAAGGTCATGCTGGACCAGCCCTACACCGTTTGCAAGGAGGGCCAGACGTTGAACAGCCACCAGACCGCCCTGCTGAAGCTTTTTGGTGTCGCTATGGCCGAGTTCAAGATCAAACTTCTTACGTAAGTCGAGGAACACAAGATCAAGCTTCCATTACTAACTTATTTTTTCTAGCTACTACAACAAGGAGAGCGAAACCGTCACTGATATCGATGCCATGGAGGAGTAATCAAAACGGGAGGACATGGCCTCCTATCGGACGGCAAAGCGACTTAGGTGTTTGGGAGTCTGGAGTTTCGGGAACTTCGTTGGGAGTTGTCTCACGTGGGTCTGGATGTCGTCGTTCATCTCACTTGCATGAGACTGGACGACCGGTTAGGAAAAAGTGATGCTCTCAATTTAGAGCCACCAGTTTCATATTTCACCAACTTCTACAAAAATAAAAGCCACGCGACGCAGATATTGATAATACTAAGATCAAATCTGAAGACCGACATCAAGACGATTTGTAACTTGTGATGATGGCTAGACTAGTCTACTCAATTCATGAAATTCGGCGAATAAGTGAGCAACCGAAGCATCCATGCGGACACTTGAATACGATATGAGTAGTTCCGAGCATAGCCTTTAGCAGACTAGCTGTGCTAAGCTGACTATGCCTTGATGTACTACTGACTTTAAGTAGACACATACTAGTCTGCCTTGAAACGATATTCATGGGTGAAACCCCGCCAATAAGACTCGTGGCATGACAGATTTATAATACTCGCTACCCTAGATGGACCGAACTTCATGTCGATCTGCGCTCTCGAAACTTGCGGTGTAAATATAGAGATAATGCTTGTCTATGGTGGACTACGAAAGAGGTTGCACTCTTCGATCCTGCTATAAGAGTTGTTCTCTCTCGCTGAAAATGCGGGTGCGTTTCCACCACTGTTACATTTAGTATGTAATATTGTCTTTAGGTCAAATCTTGTAGTGTGCTTTAGTAGAGAAGCAGAGACAAGGCTACCACAGCACAGCGCCGCATCAAGCTGCCCAGCCCCTGAGACACCCAATCACTCTCCTTCGCAAACCAGGTCATCGCCCCGTTAGGCCCCATTCCTACAACAAGGCGGGCCTCACGCTCGCAGTATTTTGACCCCGCCATCTCCACTTTAGCCTATTCCATTGACCTAGCACTATCCTGATCATCGCCTTCATACAAGCACTTCACTCAATAAAGGAAGGCTGTAGTAAGTAGCATTCTGTCTTATTCAGCCATTCCTATTTTCAATCCCACATCCAGAATCATTTACGGTACATCCCGTCAACGTAATCGAATATCGTGTCTCCGAACGCTCAGCATCCGTCCGCATATCGGGAACATAGAAGCGCCATCACCATCAGCATTTTATCAGTACACTTCACTCCTTGATCACACTAAACATTATACCTCATCACAATCAACGCACGCTAAACAACAGCACGCGAAGAGGAGCCAAAAAAGAAAAAGACCCCCCATTCAGCAAGACAAAAACCAAATATTAGAAGGACAAGAAAAAGGCCAAAGCCCACAACTGTCTAAGAAGCTTTTTCTCTCAAACGCTAGCCGCCCGTGGTGGTCGTCGCTGTTTCGTTGACAATGATGATGATGTTGTCGTTCTTGAAGCCGTCGCCGCACATATCAATACACAGGTTAAGTGCCGCGCATACCTATTCTTGACTCCCAGACAGCCTTTGAAGGGTTGCCACCGTCGTTCGTCTCCCCCTCATCGTGAGGGTTTCGCCGTCGGTAGCAGGTGCGCCGTCTTGGCATTCTGTGTGCGACCGTGTGTAGATGATGTGCGTGTGGTGTGTGATGTGTTGTGATGTTGTGTTGTGTGTAGTGTTGCCGTAATCTCATACTTGTGTCTCCGATACCTTTCCATTCCTCACAAAAGAAAAAAGAAAACGAATAGCCGTTTGTCCCCCCCTGCCCCTTCCGTCTTCCCCCTAGATGCTTTCCCAATAGTATAACAGAACAATATACACCTTCTCTAAACGCACGAGTCAACAAAGTCTTTCTACTCGACACACGAGAACAGCTACGTCCGCCCACCTGAGCCCAACCACCTCACGACAAACGTATTCTTCATTCGACTCCCATCCCTCCCTCGCTCTCTTCCTCCACTAAGTCATCCACAAGACCTCCACCACTGCCACCTTTCAATTCTCCCTTCTCCCACTTCTCGAACAGCTCCGTCAATTTCCCGAACTTGACTGGTTTCGTAATGACGAGGTCCACGCCGCAATTGTAAGCCTTGTCTTCGTCTTTTGTCGAGGCCAGGCCTGTGAGGGCCACGACGAAAGCCTGGGAGGAACGTCGTCGATGCTGGTGGGAATCCTGGCCAGTGGAAGGGGTCGTGTACGGCGTCGTGGACTCGGATTCTGAGGGCGTGGAGACGCTGTGGGACAGTTGCGGCGGGTGCGGCGGTGGTGCGGGCGGCGGTGCGGAGGCAGTGATACGTTGTCGGCGTTCAATCGCGCGAATCGCGCGAGTGGCTTCGAAACCGTCCATTATGGGCATGGAAATGTCTATAATAGAGTTATTAATGACACGATGCCGACGTAAGGGTGTGACCAGAAATAGAAAGCTTACCCATGAAGATGATATCGAACCCACCGCCCGCTTCTGCTACTTTCGCTACTTGTTCTACTGCAACCTTCCCGTTCTCTGCAGTTGCAGCATCCGTGATGCCCTTTTTCAACATGAACGTTTGGAGCAGTCTAAGGTTGACGGCGTTATCCTCGACAAGCAAGAGGCGGGGAGTTGACTCAGATTGGACAGGTGAACCAAGCGAGAGAAGGGATCGTTCCAGCGCTAAGGCTGCAGCAGGAGCTGTCGGGGATATTGGCGACTGATGTGAATCATGTGGAGGGTGCTGATAGGGAGATGGCGCTCTGAATGGGTACGTCGGTAGATCTGGCGGAGAAGATGCATCGGGAGGGTAGTGGCGCGCTCGTTTAGTCGGCGAAGGAAGGTCTTCAAGGGACTGGATAGGGTCGGCGGCGCGTGCCAAGGCTTTACTCCGGGGAGAGACAGTGGGGTCGACATCCATGCGGGAGGGATGGGACTGGTTGGTCTCAAGTCGCTGGGTGACCGGACGTGGTAGCTCGGGGCTGGAGCATTCCTCCGCCAAGCTTTCCGCGCATGCGAGAAGTGCTTTGGAAAGCTTGTGAGGACCGATAGGGCGCGATATGGTCTGGCGGGATCGGAAGCCCCAGTCGAGGCTGTCTGACCGCCGCCGCAAAGAGGGGGAGATTGAAACATTAAGTAGAGCAAGGCTGTTGGGTTGATACCGGGAGCGGATGTCCTGTGACAAAGTCCGGGCAGCCTGGTCCACGACGAGGACGTCGGGTTGAGCGTTGTCTTCGGCCGCGAGAATATTACAATTGAACCAATTGCGTAAGTAATCTTCGAAGGATTCTTGGAGGGTGTGAGGGAAGCCGCGAATGGCAACATTGAGGTTTCTTTGACGTAATTCGGGCACCGCCTTATCGAGAGCAACCGTCGCGGGAGAAGGAATCTTGGGATCCCCCGCCGCCATAGGAATACTGACAGTGAATGTGCTGCCCTTTCCTAGCTGACTCTGAACCCTTATATTCCCACCCAGCATCGCAACAAGACTCTTGACGATTGACATGCCTAGACCCACTCCCTGAGACGCCATTGTATCTTCTTGGGTAAAGGGCACACTCAAGTGTTTTTCAAGGAACTCTTTTGACATGCCCTTCCCTGAGTCAGCCACGGAAAACTTGATAAGCTTGAGTTTGGGGCCTGGCTTGCTCTTGGAAGCTGGTTCGCTGCTCATGTCTTCAATGTCCAAGCCGACTTTGACAAAACCCTTCTCTGTATATTTCAGCGCATTACCGAGAATGTTGGTCATGATACGTCGGAGGGCACCAGGCTCAGTCAAGAAGTTCCAATTGTCTTGGAATTTGACGTCTATGGTGATTGTAAGATCGTCGGTTGAAGTCGGCTTGTTAAAGGTGTGACCACCAGCAGTAACCTCAACAACCTCCTCGCAGAGAGTAGCAATGTTGGCAGAAGTGAGCAGGCCATGCAGGTCATGGTCGGGCTCCTCAACGGCATCTTTGATCTCCTCGGAGATCTTGTGTTTGGACTTGTGCCGCCTTCGCTCAAACTGATTAATCTTCGAGTATGAGAGGACACTGCTGAGGGTGTCATGTAAAGTCGAACCGCACGAACGAATGCTTTCAGCCAAGCCTTGTTGGAAGCTGTCAAGCTTTGTCTCTCCAAGAAATTCAACAGCGCCGAGTATGCCATGCAGAGGTGTACGTAATTCGTGACTGACGGACGAAACGAACGACTCTTGCTGTTTGATTGCTGCTACGGTATCAATCCTGGACACCTCAGCTTCAACAGAGTGCAGAAAGCCCTTGAATGCGCCAAGATCTGCAGTCTCGGTAAAGACAGGATGGACTCGAGTTGTCCACGCATAACATCCAGCCAAGCGTTTGAGCGTCACTGGATCCGTCAAGGGGGCAAAAATGAGTTGTCGAATGCCCCGGAAAGCAGCAGCAAATTGGTTCGCCTCACCACGCGGATCATCAGGCACGAGAGTCTCCCCGTCAGAAAACGTGTAGGGAGCGCCATCCTCATCGAAATACCAGATCTTACCGGAAGGATATCTTGCAAGGAACTTTCGTAGGAAACGTTCGTCGAGGCAATCCCTGTCAGAAGGGTTGAGGGAAAGGTTCTTTAATCGAGGTCTCGCCTGCGGATTGGGCACAGAGATGGCAAGGATCTCGCCCGGCCGCCTTACAAGGGTGGATTTCTGGAAGTCGGCACTGGTGAAGGTTCTCTCCGCAGGCCCGGAGCCATCATCCGGAGTGTGTGTGTCGTCTGGCGAATCGACACCCGAGTTCTCCGGGGTTGGTGTCCACTGTGGATCCTCTTTTGACGGATCCTTCCGGCCGGACTTTTGATTCATCTCGTCTTCGAGTTCCTGTTCACGCTTTGCCAATGGCGTCAGAGCCCCATTGAAGCCAATTAAACCATCAACGAACAAGACGCCATCGACGTCGAGTGCAGCCCTCAAGTGTGCGGCTGCTCGGGCGAACGCTTCTTTGTAGGTTGTCCTCCCGGGGCCAGCACCAGAGCCATCTCCGGCATCGGGTTTCGTGTCATTGGCCGAAGGGGTTTGAGGGGCGGCGGGCACCGATTGCGTCGTGGGAGCTTGTTCTGCGGCGGCATTGCAAGCGGGCGGGGCGGCGGTCGAAGGCTCGTCGGGGCCGGCATCTCTGGAGTGAATGAAGGAGCACACGCCATCATTGATCCTGGTGATGCGGCTCTTCAGGTAGCTTTCCCGGGCTGTTTCGAGTTGGGTCATGCACTTGGCGGCAATGGAGGACAGGAAGGCCAGATCGTCGTCGAAGGAATCGAAGCGGGGCTCGCGGGCGAGGACGAAGATGGTGCCGATGCAGATTCCACGGCGGGAGCGGATGGGGACGGCGGCATAGTATCTGAGGTGCGGAGGGCGCACGACGCAGCTGAGATTGGCTGCGCGGCGATCGGCATCGAGCTGGACGGCGATGCCGCCGCCCGGGAAGGCGCGGTCGCGTGGGTGGGTGTCGAGGCCGAGGGCGCGGCGGGCCAGCGACAGCCAGACGTGCTGGTCGGCGTCACAGGTCTGCAGCCATCTCAGAGGCGCATCGTCCCGGCTGTGTCCTTCTGTCTGTCCCCAGGTCCCGGCCAGCACGCGCTGGGTGCGGCCGTCGGTCAGGCTCGCGAAGGCGGCGAAGACTCCTGCAGTGGCGGTCAGGCGGGCGCCAAAGTTTGCGGAGCGGAGACAGCGTACCAAGGCGCGCAACGACAAGCTCGGTGAAGGCCGCCAGGGCGGCGCATAGCGGCGACTGGAGTTGGAGGGCGGGATGCCAGCCCAGCGGGTGCTCACATGCGGCGTTGGCGAGCGGGAGCTGTCCGTTTTCCGAATATCTGCGTGCGGGCTGTCAGCGCGGGTTGGCGAGAGAACACGAGCGACGAGGGCGAGGGAGGCGGCGGGCACGGGGGACGCACTTGCGGAGCTCGTGGGTGCGGGCGGCGCCGGTCATTCAGGCGGTACAGCTCTGCGGGAGCCGTGTCGGGGAGGGCAGGTTACGAGCGGCGCATGTCGGTGGTTGTCGTCCTTTGCTGCTCGAGTGCCGCCTTTTGGGCGGTGCCTGACGCTGATCATTTATTCAAGATCGGACTTCGACAATTCACCCCGAACGTCGTCGTGACGGTCCCCCAACGCTTGACGTCAGCCGGCAGCCTGAAAAACGGTATCGAGAGCGGGAAGACGCGTGCGGCACCCTGCCAGACACAGCCGGCGACAGAAGCGGCGCCGCTGCAAGCCCAGGGCGCGCTGAATCGGTCGATGGCTGCCCCTTCAAGAGCCTCGCCGGCCGTCATGCTGCAGTAGCGCCATCCCCGCCCTGAGACACGCACAAAGCACCCCGGCGCGGAGCTGAGCTGCTCTCGCACGCGCTGGTGGGCTGCGGGAGCGGGCAGGGCGCCGCAGAGTCCGGGATTGGGCGCTCCACACGCCTGCTTCAGGACAGGCACATGGATTCCTCAACATCATAGACCCGTGGTTCGTGTTAGGCGATTTTTCAAAAACCCTGCATACTGCATCCCGGGTGGCGTCATCGCACATGTCTGCTTGGTGTTGAAGCGAGTCGACGGGCGCCGGAGCGCATGACGGGGGTTCCCAATGAAAGAAATGCACAAGGTTGTTAAAAAAAGCGGAAGACGTTGGGCCTGCTGGAGTTCTAGGCCTTGCCGGAACATGCCCCCGTCGTGGACTACCTACCCCGGCAGTGAGATACGCGTTCCTGGGCGCTTGTAAATTAAACGTTGCCCCTTCGCCGTCGACTCTGCTAATAGCTAGGCACAATGAGAATCGGCGGAGTGTATTCCGCTGTCCTCGCCCGCCTCTGCCTCTCCTCGCTCTTTCCATCCAGAGCCGTCTTCTTCATCGGACTGACCATCGGACTGACCATCGGACTGACCATCCATCATCCATCTGCATGATGAGTAATTTCCTCGTCACTGGGGCCGCAATCCCCGCAGCCGCAATCAACATGACAGCATCCTCGTCCAGTCCACCAAGGTGCTCATGAGCGCTACTCTCGGAAGCAGACTACTTTAGCCACCCTCTCGCATCACCTTTCAACCCCTCAACCCTCATCGCCATCACTCAGACGCGCTTCTACTCATCCAATGGGTCGCACAGAGCCTACAGTTGTAACCGCTCCTAATGCTTTCAGGCGGGAAGCACGCGCGAAGCACGCGCGATCGACTATGAATCTTACTCTGCCGGCACTCCTGAAAGCAAACCCTCGAGCCCGACGCGGTGTCGACGCCGCTGAGCTTATCGTCGAACCCCCACCCACAGGCCCTTCTCACCTTGACGCGTCCAAGCCTGACGCGAAGTCGAAGCCCAAATCCAAACCGAGAGGTAAAGGCAAAGTTCGGACTCGCGACGAGGACAGCGACGACCATGCTGGAGTCAAGATTGGGGCGAACAAGGTCACTGCGGCACAGCTGCCAGAGAAACCGCCAATACAGCTCCATCTGCAGGTTGCCGACACGTTGGAGGCTGCCGCGCGACTGAGCTCGACAGGAAGCAACAAACAGGCGAAGGTGGCGGTTCTCAACATGGCCTCCCCTCTGCGTCCCGGCGGCGGCGTGCTCAACGGAGCTACATCACAGGAAGAGTGGCTCTGCCTCCGTACGACTCTCTACCCTTCACTTCGCGACGAATTCTACCGCCTCCCCGAAGTCGGCGCCATATATACCCCAGACGTGCTGGTATTCCGAAGATCGGATGATGAGGCGACAGACTTGGACAAGAAGGATCGCTTTTTCATCGACGTGGTCTCGGCTGGAATGTTGAGATTCCCAGACGTGGAGGGCGAAGAGGGTGAAGAGAAGAAATACAACAATGGCAAAGACAGGGACTTGGTGATGCAAAAGATGAGGGCGGTTATGCGGATACTCAGAATGAAGGGTGCGGATAAGGTAGTGCTCGGTGCCTGGGGCTGCGGAGCTTACGGCAACCCAGTTGGCGAAGTTGCTCGGGCATGGAAGAAGGTCCTTCTTGGCACAGAGAGCAAGAAGAAAGCAAAGAGTGGCAGCAACAATTCGACTGGCGGAGAAGGATGGGACGGTCTCGAGGTTGTGTTTGCCATCAAGGATGGACGAATGGCAAGACAGTTTGCCGGCTTCTTCGGGCCCGGCTTGAGCTATGAGGAACCTCTCGAAGATGCCCGACAGGACAGCATCGTCGAGGACGATGGAACGCGTGCTGCCATTGAAGAAATGTCAGCGAAGATTGTTGAATTGGAGACACAAATGACCCAGGCACGGATACCAGACCTGAAAACACGGCTTGGGACTGTACTAGAAGGATTGAAAAGAGAGCTCGCAACTCTTACAGGCCCACTGTGCGCAAATGAGCATGCATCTGGGTCTGGTAGTATCCAAGAAGAGAGTGAAGTGGATGACAACCTCCAGGAACCTCTCGACGAGCAGTGTCAAGTTCCTGACAACGAACACAATCATCAAGAGGAAAGCGATACGGACGAAAACTGAGGTCCATGTTCAGCGCGATCAAGAGTGGATATTATCTAAAAATCGATCTCTAAACATTATTGTGACATGCGTCCTTCAACCGCTCAATTCTCATTTATTTATAGCCAGGAAGCATTGTTCGTTCTATCACCCCCTCCTCATCTTGAGCCTCATTTGGTGAACCAGTCCCGATACATCCCAAAACATCAAACTCATCGACAAGCCTAGTATTGGAACGGATATTGCGAAGAACCACCATAGGCTATTTCTCGCCTCTGTAAGTGGATCGAGATTCATTCCGAAAAACGATGATACAAAGCTCAACGGTATGTAGAAGAAGGCCAGCTGCGTCAGTTTGGTAACCTCAACAGCCTGGTCACGAGCACGCTTCGCCTCATCGATCATCGCTTTGTTCGTGAGAGACCTGGTTTGATCTTCTATCCGTGTCGACAAGGACTTTGCACGGCGCAACAGGTGCTCATATTGCTTCGACAACACCAAGGCCACCGCTTCAACTTTATCCGAGGACTTGTCTCCGTTAGATTTTGGCCAAAAAGCGCCTCCGCGGGCCCGGATCGTCTCGATACTATTTTCTATGCGCTCCCCGTGTAGCTTTACTGCTTTCTGCATGTACTGAAGGTTTGAGAGCTCCAGGGCCTTCTTGGACAGTATGTCGGCATCTGTTGCAGCGCTTAATTTTGACTCCAGCATGTTTAGGAACTGTGATTCGGAAAACGCGCAAAATGTAAAAAGCTCGCTGACGGCGTAGAACGGATCCTTTGCAGCGACTTTCTCATCAAGAGATCTTCCATAGTTGAGTGGAATGAGTGAAGAGCTTTGGATGAGCTTCCCCTCCGGTCGGATGTTTTGGGAGATGTTCGTGCTGTGGTATTTTAATGCGATATGCGGCTGTACCTGGATTGTCGGGTGCAGATACTGAGGCTCCCATTTCCCACCGGGTCCTTGGACGCTTGTCCACGGGCCGGGGCCATACTGACCTTCGTAGAGGTCACTTCCGGTGTCCATCCACACGACCGCCGCCCATTCCTTTCCAATCTTTTCGACTGTGAGGGTCATACGCTGTTCGATGGCGAAATGCTTCTCATCGAACGCCAGAAACTCGCGCACGATTGATTTTCCCAATCCAGTATCCAAGTCCAAATTTCTTATGAGGTGGTTGAGATCGTACTCCCGCTTAGATTCCACGCAAGCTCTCCTCAGCTGTTCGATGTGATCCTGTGTTGCTTCTAACTCCGGATGCGGACGTTTCCATTCGCCTACAGTGGTATAATGGAGTTCAATAATATGACTTGGCAGTAGTGCTGGCAATGAGAAGGTTTCTCGCCTACCAGCGTTGGCATAAAAATCGAGATGCCTTTGGAAGAATTCAGGGTCCACACGGTATGTTGCTCCAACAGTTGCGAGCCATTCTGGAGAAGGCTGCCCGCGAAGAAATAAAAGCTGACTGGAAGGTGTGTGTGCTTGTCGTAGGTTCTCAGTGTGCCTTGCCTTCAGCTGCTGCGGACTCGGCACATGCTTGATCGAGACGGATCGTTTTTCGGAGCGGTAAAAGATGTAACTGCTCACAAAATCGACGGGAAATTTCGATGTCGAGGCGGTAAAAGTAGCCGAAGAAGCCGGCTTCGGCGGTACGTACTTTCTCAAGTATGATGCCAATTTGTCGAAGTTTTCGCCCGGGTAGAGACTCGATTCGATCGATTGTTGTGAGTGCTTACACACTGCATCAGCGTACTCCTTTGGTTCAACTACTGGCTGTCAGCTTCGCAGGCAAGGCTTTGAACCACTCACGAGGCCAGCACTCACGAATTGCTGATGGACGCCTCTCCAGGGAAGCCTCATCACTTTCAGTCCGGGTATCGACCGTTGACAGGCTCATGCGTGTCTGTGTGGAGTCTACGCGCTTTTCCATGACATCGAACCAAGATCAAGAAATTATACATGGCGTAAACGGATCAGAGAGCGTCAAAGCTCGCGGGCTGCTGGCCAGGCTTCCTATATAAGTCCCAAGCGCTTGCGGCTATTGCGACGCGACAAGCACAGCGAGCGTCAAATCAGGGCGCCCCAGACCCACACCTCCTTCTATTCTTGTCACCAATTCAGCGCGAGGCTTGCCGCCGGCACCATCCGCACGCCTGGGAAATGTGAGTCCGATGCGTGTTCTTTTGGGGGCTGTGCCGCGATTTCACACATGCAAGGCGTTTGCTGCCTGCATGCGACCATCAGCTCTCAGCGTTCATTGGATGAACACCACGTGCGGGGCAACAACTCTGCCTCCGGAGCCTCGCGCTTATATCTCGTCTGATTCCCGCTTGTCGCACCCTGGTTTCTCGCCCCATCGTTAAATTGAAGTGGCTCAGTCTGCGGCTGATGACTCGACATGTTCGAGAAATCGCCAGCTTTTGCATGATCACAAGTGTCCGATTCTAAACGCGGCTGCGATGATTTCTTCCGCCTCCGCCTTGTGGCATCAGGCCAAGAGATTTCTCAGCTGGGACAAGGAAAAGGCTGTTTCAGAGCCTGACCGTTATGGGCTAAGACTTGTCCACGTGGGTGATGCTCGTTTTGTAGCTATTCCTGCTAGCAAGGTACGTCCCTATTTCTGTCAACGTAACGCTTTGGGCGTGCGACTTACTCTATCAAGGAACCACGGATGAGCAGCAGCAGTCCGAAGTACCTAACAGTTCTTGACGCTGGAGGCCTGGCTCGGATCTCCGGGAGTTGGCTCACCGGGCAGCTCCAAGCATTTAGAGCCTGCGACACATTCCAACCAGACTTCCTCCGCGGCATCCTTTTCACTACATCCACAGAAGATGCTGCTCTCGAACCGCAGGCAAGAGCGGTTCTCCGCAACGCAGGCGTCGAATGGACGAGCGTGCTATCGAAATCGTCGCACGACCAGTCCGCCCTGCGTCCCGGTCCTTACCTGAGCTCCCGCAATTTCCTCTTCGAGCTCCGCCGCATCCACGATGACACGCACGAATGCTTCGTCACCACTGTAATTCAAGCGCCCTCTATACAGCCATGCTTCCAGTCGCTCCCTTTCGGCAGCTCCGACCGCGCCACCGCCCCAGCCGCAGCGGTCCCGTCGCGCCTGACCACTTCCACCGCCGCTACCACAGCCAACCTCCCCCTCGCCGGCCTGCGCATCGCTGTCAAAGACAACTTCGACCTCGCCGGTATAACAACGTCGCTATGCAACGCCGCGTACGCCTCCTTCCACCCCCCTGCCGCCGTCACCGCAGCCTGTGTGCAGAGGCTCGTTGACCGCGGTGCAACGGTGCTGGGGAAGACGAGGCTGTCCAGCTTCGCGGCGACGGAAGAGCCGCTCGAGTGCATCGACTGGCCGGCACCGTGGAACCCACGCGCCGACGGGTACCAGAGCCCTGCGGGAAGCAGCAGTGGGAGCGGTGCTGCGGTGGCGGCGTATGAATGGTTGGATGCGGCTGTTGGATCGGATAGTGAGTTCATGCTTTTTCCTTTTGACTGCTTTATTTTGTCGGTTCAATATGGGTCACTGTCTTGAGCATTTCTATGCGTGTCGTCTTGGAGAGCCATTTACTAATGGACGATTTGTTTTTTGACAGCAAGTGGTAGCGGAAGGAGGCCGGCACTCTGGAATGGCGTTGTGGCTTTGAGGCCGACGCATGGAGTGCTTCCGATGAAAGGGTTCGTGCCGAGCTTCGAGAGGTTCGATGTGCCAACAGTATTCACGCGGGATTTGCGATTATGTAAGCGTCTCGTGGATGTATGGTATGGGGATGGTCTACCAAAAGTAGAGAAAGAAGAGGTAGGTTAGCTTTGGCTGGATCATGGTTCAAGGGCTATACTAACTCTTTAACTTCGAAGCTGCCAGTCAAGTTACTGCTGCCGATGGAATACTTGACAACGATTGGGAACAGGGATCAGCTTCGGCTAATAGAGGGGTTTGTGGCTGATATGGAAAGATGCCTTGGAGTCCAAGCGCAGATGGTCGAGCTGGAATCGCGGTGGGCCGAGTCTACTCCGGCTGAGGCTGGAGGTTGTGGGTTGTCAGAATATATGGAAGCCGTAAGTGATATTTCAAGCAAGTAGCTCATTTAGTCTAACAGTTCACTGTACAGGCTTGTCGGAATTCCTTTTGGCACGATGATTTCCATAACTTGGATGGATTTCGAAGCGCATATGAAGTAAGATTTGGCAAGAAGCCTTATGTAAGCCCGCCTGTCCGATGGCAATGGTTGGTTCCTCTGTTCGCCCATATCGGTACTGCTGATCTGAATGAATACACAGGGGCATGGCATCCAAAATTTCCCGAGCTGAGAGAGATGATGCCACAGACAAGCTCGAGGTCTATCGAAACTGGTTTACAGAAAAAATCATGAGAGTTAAAGAGAGCAACACCATCGTCATTCTGCCGATTGAAGAGATATCGCCGCGCTACCGCGACGAGCCCCCATCGTTAGTATTGATAATCCCCAATGAATATTCTTACTAATGCATGCAACAGGCGAAAGTTCTATCCAAAGGGTGTGCCAATGCTATTCTTAAGCCCCATTATTGGAGGACCAGAGCTCACAATCCCAAGTATGTTCTTCGAGAACCTCGGGTAATGCTAAACACTAATGTTAGAGCAGTTGGACAAGTACCGTATGACTCAAAAGTGACAGGAAGAGAGGAGTTCCTTCCAGTGGGAGTATCTTTGATGGCTTCTCCAGGGTATGACCTTGCTCTCATAGACATGATGCTGAGGAGTCTGGAGCATACCCATAGGCCAATCACTGTTAAGGCAGGGCGAGAGTTGTTCTCCAGCCCTTGATCGACCGGTGAGTGTATTCTTACGGAAAAATTTTAGATGAATTTCATCGGCATGTCATCTCTACTGCCGGTGGAACTTCATTAATCTACATAATTGGACAATCCAAGATGGTGTGCGTGGATCGCGAGGGCGCCTCTCATCACTGCATACCTAGCATGAGTGGAATGTGTCCATTGACCAATCAGAATACGTCGCTTGGACGCCTGCATTATCTGTGCCTCACTGATGCCTAGCCGGTCATACGTCCTCTCACTCCGGCCCTCCGCCTGTCATCACTGTGGGGTATAATCTCTCGCCCCGTCCCGTTTTCCTGCGCCTCGCGTGTCGCTGGCTGGCCCAAAAAACCATGGAGCGTCTTCTTGAAACCAACAGACCCCAGAGCATGTGAGTCGGTGCCCAATCACAACTTCGTAAACGGCGTAAGTACCCGAAGATCGCTTAAGCGCTGATCAATCACAACACTTCACCAGCTTCGTCCTCGTTCCTGGCGTAGGAACCAAGGCACCGAACAAATGGTATGATGAAAGCGAGCGGCTGTGGCTTAACTCGCTGCCACCGGCTATCTCGGCAGGCGTGAGCGCGTACGCATTCAACCACGACGTCACCCCACGTCATTTTGCCTGGCCGCAGCTGTTTGGACAGGGCGAGAGGCTGCTTAAGCAGCTTGTCGAGCTGGGTGAAAACCAGGCGAAGCGCGTCCCCGCTGCCAATGGGGCGCCGAAAGTGCCGATTGTCATCATCGCCCACAGTGTTGGTGGCTTCATCATTAAAGAGGTTAGGGTGATGCAGGGTACCACCAAACTTTATTCATAAATATCGAGCTGACATTGGCGGTAGGCTTTATGCTCAGCATTCGAGCAGAAGAACCAGTACAGAGACTTGCTTGAAACGCTGGCCGGGGTCATCTTTCTGGGCACGCCGCATTCGATCTCTAGAGACGATGAAGTGTGGGACAATATTCCTTACGCCATTGATCAGAGCTATAAAGCGAAGAATCTGATTAATTCTGATGCCCGCCAAAGGCTTGCACAGCTCTCCAGCCGCTTCATGCAGGCAGCCGCGGGGTTGCAAGTGCTGTCTTGCTATGAAGTGGAGAAGACGAAGGTGAAATCCTCGCTACTTTCGTCATCAAAGATCTTGGTAGGCTCAGCCAGCACCTCCAGTCATACTAACTGTAGACCGCTTACTTGCACCTTCAGATTGCGCCTCGTGAGTTTGTGCAACTCAAATTCTCAGGCGAGCGTGTTCTTGCGCTCCGATCGGATCATCGAGGCCTGTGTGATTTCAGAGCTCAGAGTTCGGAGTTTGCAGACCTTGCTGCTTTCATTGAGACAGCTTTGGAAGACGCTCGTCTGAGGATCGCCAATGGCTCTCCGGAGTGTAAGTGGTCATGAATTCATATAATCAAATCTACAAGACTAAATAAACCTTCTAGATGATGTACCGGAAGCTTTGGCAACGTTGACAGTCAAGGATGTTAGTGACATCGACTCACTGGATCACGAGAAGGGTCATAGTAAGACTTATCTGAGCTCAAGCTCCAGGCATGAAGCTAAGATTGGTATCATTAGACAATAGCGGAGGAGGAAACAGCTCCGCCGAACCACCGAGTGACCCCCGAGCTACCAAAGGCTCGTCAGACGCTGCGATTGGAGACATCAACGATGTGGCTAATTTTTCGTCCACTCTTCCAAACCCGAAACTCCCATGTCACATCATCCCATCCAACCGGAACCCCGGATTCTTCGGAAGAGCAGACGTTCTGAGGCAGCTCGATGAGATCTTCCTCGAAAAGCATGATGATAACGGCTCTGTCTCGTCCTCTGGCAAAGAAATGACCATGTTTGCCCTGGTAGGTCCCGGGGGAATGGGCAAGACGCAGATTGCCACTGAATTTGTGCACTTGAGGAAGGACCGTTTCGACGCTATATTTTGGGTCTACGCGGATCAATCCATGAAGGTCTCAGATGGGTTCTCGAAGATTGCTTTAGAACTCGGCCTCGTTTCGGAAGACTCTGCAGATGCCAAAGACCCTGTTGTGGTAAGGGAGAACGTGAAAGGTTGGATGTCCAATCCCGTCAAATCGTACGAGGCGTCTGAGACAAGCATCGAGAAAGCCTCCTGGCTCCTTGTATTTGACAATGCTGATGATGCGGATATCATTGGAGACTACTGGCCTGTGGACGGACCTGGATGCGTTCTCTTAACAAGCAGGTATCCCTTACATCTGGACAGCATTGAAGACTCGATCTTGCAACCCTTTTCAACAGCGGACGCGTTCAATTTCCTCATCAAGCTGACGAAGCGGAAGGACGATCCGGGAGAGAGACAAGCTGGTATGGAAGTTGTAAGCAGACTGGGTGGGCTGCCCCTTGCGGTCACCCAAATGGCCGGTATCATCACTCGGAGAGACTTGTCTTTCGTAGAGTTCTTGGCCGCTTACGATGAGAGAGAGAACCAAGAAGACCTGTTCAAAACCAAGATGGAAAACCCACTCACTCGCAGGAAGTCCGAGTACGAGCATACGTTAGCCTCGGTATGGGCTCTGGAGAGCCTGAAGCACGGCCGCGCACTTCTGGACGTTCTTTCGTTCCTGGATCCTGACGAGATTCCCGAGCCGATTTTGACAGCGTTTTTGTCTCACAAGACATCCTCTAGGGAACCACCCCTTCTGCATGACTATCCTCGCTCAGCCTCTGAGTATCAAAGAGCGAGAACAGAGTTGTTGCAGTCTTCGCTAATCTCTCGGCAAAGGACCGCCAAAAGCATGACTGTGCATCGTCTCATACAGGATGTTGCTCGAGCGAAGATGACCGCACCGCGCCTTCGGCTTGCTTTCGCAACATGCCTCAACTTGTTATCCGCAGCGTGGCCGTTTGAGGCTTTTGGTTGGCGGCATAGCGTTGCCAGGTGGTCGGTCTGCGAGGAACTGTTTCCTCACGTGATAAAGCTCATGAATTACTCGGAAGGACTCGAGGGACTTGAGAGCGACATGTCGAGCAAGTTTCGCTTGGCAAAGCTGCTCACAGACTCCGGGTGGTACGTTTGCCCGATAATGTAAGAAAGTTGACCTTGTGCTGATCTTGCAGGTTTTACCACGAGAGCGGAAATTCATTGGAAGCTCTTCCACTATATGAAAAAGCCCAGCGCCTTGGCGAATACGTTGAACGTAACTTGAAGGACGAGCTTTTCACAGATGACACGATCTCGAGTGAGGATGTGACTGCCATGTTGGCGGAGATCCACCACAATATGGGCTGCGTCGCTACAGAGACAAACAAGCCGACTGATGCCGTTCATCACTTCACTGTTTTCAACGAGATGATGGCTGAAGAAGCGCGAACCAGTGGCAAGCAGAAGGAGTTTGCGATCTCATGGAATGAACTGGGCATTGCAAAAATGATGAACAAAGAGTGGGCAGATGCCGAGAAGTGCTTTCTCCGCTCAATTGAGATCATGGAGGAGGTGGATGCTTCTGCGAAAGAACTAAAGTCTTTACCGACGGTAAATTTGGGACTATCATACTGGCTCCAAGATGGAAGACTGGAAGAAGCCGATGCAGTGCTAACGGCTGGTCTGCGGGACCGCGAAGCAATCTATGGTGTCAATGATCGAGAGTCGTTCATGTAAGTGCCACGATGCCGATTCCTTTGGAGCCATCGATCATAAAACTTACAGGCGCATAGAACAGGAAGGTTTCTTCATGCTCTTGGCAACGTCAAAGCAGACTTGGCGGAGCTAAAAGCTGACGAGAGCTTGCTTGAAGAAAGCAGGGCGTATCACCAGAGAGCGCTGAGTCATTACAGAGACACGGTCGGGAAAAATCATCATCGTACGGCGGACACTTGCGTCAAGGTCGCCGATCACTGCACACGTTTGAAAATGCTGGATGCAGCAGAGTGAGTATCTCGAGGCTAACAGTTCCATGGTCTCGATAAGGCTAATTAAGAGATATTGATAGACCACTCCTTGAACAAGCCTTAAAGGTATTTAACGGCCGCCCTGTGTTCTTGCCAGAACGAGCTCGTGCTACGTTCAAGAAGAGCCACGTTCTCGAGCTTCGTGGCCTAACGGATGAAGCTGCGTCTGAGAGGGAAGCAAGTTTCAAATTACTCCAGGAGTTGACTGATCTCAGAGGAAAGACAGCAGCAGATGTTGTCGACTCTGACTTCGACAAGGTCATCTGCTTTTGGTCCCGGTGATGTACTGGAGATTCTTCAAGCAAATTGCTTAATGAGTAAGATTGTTTACGTTACGTTTGAGGTTTATGTAGAACTTTCCCGCTGGTCGTTCAATATACCTCTAGCCATCCTCTTCAGCCTTTCACTATGCCTCCAAAAGTGGTAAAGTGAAAGGAATCACAAAGAAGGAAATTGGATACAAAAGTTGCCGCCCAAACTCCAAAAGCCCACCACGTTGTTTCCTTGCGAAATCCCCTACTGTTCTATCATGTGCCTCGTAGAATATATGTCAATCTTTCCCTTCTTCCAATAATCGCCGTAAATGCCAGCATTCACATCCGCCTGAGTACTCAGGCCGCGGTCTCTCGCCTCCTCAGTTTGAAAAGGCCTCTGAAGGACGATAGACCACGTTTCGACGCCGCCGGCTCTGAGCTGTGCTGGATCGGCTCAGTCTTGCTCTTCTTGATTTTCTTAGGGTCGCCCGCAGGCTGCTGGACAACGGGCTCCTCCTTCTTGGGGGCACCCGCAAAGTACGTCCACAACCCGTATATTCCGGTCCCGATAGCTATGGCAGCTTGCAGGCCATCTGCAATAGCCGGCGCACCATGGCCGGTAGTAACAGCTGTCCGCAGTGCCACGCTGTTGGTTCCAACAGTCGTAAGAGCGGTCTGGATTGCTGCTGCCGCGGAGCCTTCAATTATCGTTAGCCAAAAAGCAGTTCGATATCCACAAATTTATTTATTTCCCTTTCCTCGAAACACCCTGCTTCTCAGGGCTACGGCAAGAAAAGTTGCTAAGTAAACCGGGGAGAAGTCTTCTTACCTGCGGCTGGGCTTGCACTAGCTAGGCCCGCAGCTCCAATCAACGGAGCAGTGACGGGTGTAGGCGCGACAATGACGACACCATGGGCGACGTAGAAGGCGGTCTGGTAGGGATTTGCTTTGATCCAGTCCTTGGTCTTTTGCGGTAGGTCGTCCCAGCGCATAGAGACGAAGTTCGTACTGGCTCCAGCGACGCGAGAGAAGAAGCGCTGGGCATCACTGGGTAGTTCGGTCCATTTCACAGACCGGACAGCATTCTGCGTGTGCGAGGTGGCAGTGCCAAGGAAGCTGGCGACGGTTGAGATGGTGCTGAAAAGGAGGTCCATGATATAACGGCCGGGGGGTTATATTATGGTTGACTTGTTGAGGAGATTCGGAAGAGCTGGCTTCTGGAGTTGCACTGAAAGTGCAGTACTATTTGGCGGATATGACGGAAACTTGTGGGAGTGGACAACTGTTGGTGTGGGGATTATAAGTGAGGTGGTGCTGGTAGTTCCCCATAGCTAACCTCTTGAAGACAGCCGCACGAGCCTCTTCTCACCCGACAGGAAATGGGACTTGCGGTGGTGAGTTGGCGCGTGTCTGAAACGAACTTGTGGGGTGGAAGCGTAGATCGGCAGGAATCAATTGGGTTGTTTTGTGCTGGACGAAGCGGAGAACGGTCAGTGCGGCCGGAGGCCACGAACACCCAATGACTCACCATTCTAGAACTTCTTATCATGGATGGGCCTGTTATTCGAGTCATTCGATACTTTTTCCTTTCAAGACGTACGTTGCTAGCAGCGAAAGACTGTTGTAGGTACAGATCCTCCTACCTCGACCAGAATGCGATCAACTCGACGAAATCCTGATCAACCAACTCTTCAGCTTTCTTCCTCTTCGTGTTTTCCTGTTTACCCGCAGCTTCATAATATAAATCCACAGCCTCTTGTAGAGCCTCGTCTGCATCAGTCTTGTTTTGCATCATCTTCAGCACTTGGCTGCGCTTGAACTGTGCTCGCGCCTTTTCTGGGACATACGTCTCGCTGTTGCTGTATGCTTTGAGTGCATGGTCGAGCAACGCCCTAGTGCAAAAGATATTAATATCAAATACCAAGCTTGAAAAAAAATATAGAAGGAACTCTGGGGCTGCATACATAGCTGTGTCCTTCTGCTTCAACCTGATCGAATGTTCGGCTACCTTGACGCACACATCCGCCGTTCGATGATGGTTGTTGCCCAGCGTGCTCTTGTAATGCAGCAGCGCCTTGCGATGGAACATGAAGCTCTCTTCTTTCTTTCCCAGCTCCGCCTTGATGTTGCCCAAGGCGTGCAAGAATCTGCCAGTGAAAAAGCTCTCGCGGTCGTCATTTCCAAACGCCATCTCGCGCTCGCGCAAGCCGGCGACAAGGTAATCGAGAGCGGCATCAAGCTTACCCTGCAACCAGAAAGACAAGCTGAGGTTTACGACGGGAGGGGAGAGGTTAGTTTCCTTGAAGAAGGCGAGGCGGCGCATCGTCTCGATGGAGCGATTGTAGCATTCTTCTCCCAGTGCCCATTGCCGACTCAGCATGTGCGCATTGCCCAATTCGTTCCAGCTGATAGCTAATCGCATGTCACGCTGTAGCAGCTGCGGCTTGGCCTCAAACTCAGCTACCATCATTGAGTTGAAGTTCGAGAAATGCGCGAGCGCTACTGACGGCTCATTTGTCTCCGATGCAATGCAGCCGCGATTATGCGTTATTTCAGCCAACGCGGCCCGCATGTCGTGAAGGTAGTGACTGTGCGGAAAAGGAGAGGGAGAGGCTCGGCCCTGGGAAATCCGGGTTACCCAGGTTTGGCAGATTGTTTGCGCCATGTCGTTGAGAAGCCGGGAGTCGGCTGATCGCCCGCGCTCATGATGGTACCTGATTTGATTAATTAATACGCATTCCTAGCTTGTCGTTTTGTATTGGAAAGAGCGATGTGGATAGAGAGGGAGATAGGAAAGATGTTTACCATCCTGCATCAATGAGTAGCTTGGCAAAGCCGTAGTCACCAGGCAGGTCATCCTCTGATGGTACTGTGCGATTGCCAAGATCTTTCAATTTCAACACGTGAGGAAAGAGTTCCTCACAAGCCCACCACCTCCCGACTCCGTGGCGCCAAGTAAAGGACTCGAATGGCCAGAGTGCAGCGACCATCCGCACGCATGCCATGAAAGTGTCCCGGAATTGTTTATTGCTCATTCTCGTTCGCGCAACATCCTGGACTGTTCTGTGGACAAAGAACTTCTTTTGTGACCTGTTGGTGGTGATGAGAGATGATTGGAGAAGCTCATCCTTTGCCATTCGATAGTCTTCCAGTGTCGAAGGGAAGCCAGGGAGGTCCACTTTTCCGAGGTTTTCACTGAGTAGACGCTCTGTTATTCCGTCATAGTCAAGCATAGACAAAGCATTGAGCAGAGTAGCTCCGTATTTGAGATTCTCCAGTGCCCATACTGAAGCGAGGTTGTGTTCGTACCCCGGACCACGCAGGTTAGTGTCGGGAGTTGCTTCAAGAAGCTCTTGTCGGGACTCTCTTTCGTTGTAGGCTTGGGTGAATTGATCGAAAGTCATGTTTCGATACTTGATCACGCTGGCCATCTGCGCTCTGAAAAGAGATAAAGTCAGTATATTCGAAATGTGAGCCAGGAGCAGAGAGGTTTACAGTGCAAGTGGAAGGCCACCCAATCTCTGACTGACAGCCGCAGCAGAAGCACGAGTTGGCGCATCCCCTTTCCTTTGGGTGACCTTGAGAAGAAACTCTGTGGCTTCTGCAGGTGTGAAAGGGATGAGATGCCAGCAAACAGTCCACGAAAAGGGGCTTCGACTGGTAATGAGTATAGACCCCGGACCGTCGTAGGGCCAGTAGTCGTTGATAGTATTTGAGACCTCAATGCCATCGTATACAAGCAACCACGATGCGAGATCTGACTCCTTGTTCTTCACATTTTTCAACGGCTCAACCAGCCATCTCCTCACCAGCTTGCGCGTGTATGTAGAATCTCTCAAGTCAGTCGAGCTTTTGGAGACTAGGCCCAGCTTGAGTGCGATCTCGTTGAAGTCTTGCGCGAGCTTCGACGTGTCATTAGCATGGACCCAGAAGACAGCATCGAATTTGTCGCGATGGCGCGATACGAACTCGATGGCTACCTGTGTTTTGCCCATTCCGCCAGGACCGCAGATGGCAAAGGTCCTGGGATTGGTCTCGCCTTTGGTCGCAAGCGCTGAGTTAGAGGCGGACAAAGATTCAGGAAGTAACGCTTCCTCAATAGCCGTCAGAGCATTGTGTCGGCCATGGAAATTCTTGCTCGGGCCGAAGGGCACGAAGTGGCATGGTAGTATTGGGCCTTCTTTATCGTTCATTGATGGAGAAGACTCGATGTAGAGCTTTCGGAGGAAAGTCTGCAAAGTGGGGTCTCGATCATGGCCAAAATATTCGGGTGAAGGCAGGAAGGACCATTCATCTCGGGCCCTGCCGAGGATAGCATCATCAGGAATGGCGGGTATGGAGATCTCAAGGTCGGTCGGCGGTATTTCCAAGTCAAGTGCGTCTTCATCGTCGCCGAAGGATAGAGACAGCATATTATCATGATAAGTCGAGGCAGGATCTTCATTTGCGTGGTGAGATGCCGTCTCCTCCTTTTGCATTTCTTCATCCGCCATATCTCGCCAAGGGAGAGATATCAAAGACAGTGACAACAAGTGGTTTGCGACATGCTTGGTCAAATACTCGGAGCTTGGGTCCGTAGAAGGCTTTCGTGTAGCAGGCAGGCCGTATTGCGGAGAAGAGCTGCTGCCTGGGGGCGCGTCTTGGGCAGGCGACAAGCCACACAATGGGCATTCCACGAACGCAGTACCCGGCCTTGCAGCTCTCCTTAACAGCGGTTGAAGCTGCTTTTCGTTAACTGCACCTTTGTGCTTCGACTTCAAGTGTTCTTCGAAGTCGGCTTCCGAGCGGAAAATCAAACCAGCATGACTTGGGGCCGCGCATCGCCAATACTGGTTGTGCATCCGCATATGTTGGACCCACACAAGGGTATCGTGGAACAAAGACTGATATTCTGAGCAGTCAGGATGCAAGCAGATGTACGGATCGAGATCGCGATAAACATGTTTTCTGAGAATCATGTCAGTCGGCCAGCCTTACTTGAACTCTGGCAGGCGCACATACCTCCACTGAGCAGGCTTCGCTTCTGAAATGCTGACAACAAGGAAGCAGTAAGGGCATTCGAATTCTTTGCTGCCGGGAGGTATTTTTGGAGGCGGAGGAACCTGCACGTTCCCTGTATACTCGGAAGGTGCATTTTTAACAGTGGAAACTGAAGCGGATTCCAGGATGACCCCTCCGTCAAACCTGGTTTTGGAAAACAGAGAAGCAGTTGTATGCGATGGAGGAGGACGTTGTCCAGCAAGCAGCGTGCCAGCTTCGGTCTCTTTGGGGCTTTTTGGTGAGCCTCGATGTGGTGCGATCAGGACGCCTTTACCTTTCGAGATTGACTGGAGTGATGATTCCCCGTCTTCACTTTCACCCCTGAAGCTCAGCTTCTCTTGGTGCTTCCGCCTGTATAAAAAGCGCTTTCTCCGTAAGGTGATGGATCGTGCTAGCCTCTCCCGCAATGGTTGGTCCGCATGTGGGCATTTATGTGCAACAACCTCGAGAGCATAGTTGTAAAAGACGTCGCCGCAATCATTTCCCTCTTCGTCTTTCATCTGGAAGTTTGAGGCTTTGACATTCTGATTAATAATGGATGGCCGTCGGATAGCTACTGAAAGCCTGTACAGGCGGTCAATAGTCAGCTCTATGCCCTTAAGACGCTCGGCGGAAGGAGTCGGGGCATCAGCCTTGTCTGCGGACTCGGTAATCGACTGGTGGGACGATGTATGGGATGATTGGGACGACGGATAGGTGTCATTAGGTGTCTCTTCGATCGATGAGTCTGGTGACTGCAGCTGCGCGTCGGAGTCTAATAATCCGGTTGCATGTATCGCTGAATGTTGATTAGCACACGTAGCGCCTGTCATGCTTGGTGGAGCTACCTCTTTTGAGGAACCACTGAAGCCCTTCAAGCAGTTGGATCATCAGAGTTTTTGCTTCTGGGCTATCGCGCAGGCGGTAGTCGAGAGACGCATGGCCCGAGGCAAACACGCCGATGTTGCTGGCCCAAATGTTGAATCGTGCCAGCTGATCATCCATATCTGTCGACTCCGATTTCTGCAGGTTTTCGTCATCCAGACCAACATCCACAAGCAAGTGAAAGCAATCGGCAACGGCCTTGGCCTGCGCCGCGATCCTTGGGTGTTCAGCCATTGTGTATCGTGTTAGTCACCCAAAGCTATTGAAATAGTCTCTGCTGGGTAGCAACTGTATTGCAAATTGAGAGCTTTTCAAATTGCGGGGTAACGAGACGTCGTGATCAACCCCACTCATGCTCACCTGCATGCCGAGATTGCCAGCACATTCTTGGCAAGGCTGATCTCACGGCTTTCCACCGAATATCTCATGGCTTTCAAACAATACTTTAGGTCTAATGGGGGTCTGTTTGATAAGTAGGTGTCTTCCAACTGATAGCTTTCTTCAATATACAGTGGATATGTAAGCTGATTGATATCGTGGATAATGTAACAGACCGATAGTCTGCTTACTGCAAAGTTACACTATCTTCTGCCTATCAGGTAGGCCTTTTTAGAATCATTACCCTCTTGCATTTTCTCAGACGATATAATTCCTTCAAACCAGTTTCGTCTTCAATAACGAACTTACAATCATTACTGTTGATCTTACTCACAAATTTGCAAGATTGAGCACTTATTACAAAACAAGCTTATATCATTAGAAAATTATGTGAAAGATAAGAAGTATTCTCGAAAAGATACTGTTAAGTTCTCTGTTCTACTAGGGACGTTTAGAAAGGTTTCCCGAACAGCTCGTAATAATCATCCAGAAGGGGAGTAAACACATCTTCAACATAACGTTTACGAAATGCCTCGTGATTCAGATCAAAGTTGTGATTGTCTGATCTTGGGTGGATGCACTTGGATACTGCCGAAGCAAAGTTCGGTCCATCCTCTTGGAAAAGTTTCTCAGATAGTCGGTTCGCAATGCTATACCGCGTTAGTGCATGCCATGCGCCATGCCCGTCCAGATCCTCATCCTTGAGAAAGCTGATCAGTGGTCTGCTACAAGCAAGCTCTATCAGCGCCACACCCAAAGAGAACAGAGTCTCATTCTTCAGTATTGAAGGCCCGTAAAATATCTGATGTCCAGAATCTTCAAGGCTAGCCACATGCTCAGAGGGGGCTGAAAGTACTTGGCCTATCCAAATTTGGTAGCTCGAATGAGATTCGTCGAATAGAATGTCTTCCAACGTCCATTTCTGTCGAAGCCAAGGCGTTTCGTATAGTTGGAGAACTGCGTACGCCAGTGCCAGAGAGAGACCACATCTTTTTCGTCTCCAAATGATTTCGCGCTTTTCGATCAAGACTTGTAAAGGAAAAAGGCGATATCTTTGATGCTCCTCAACATCATGAACATGGTATGAATGGCCCCCACACGTGAGAATACCCAAACAAGGACCTTGGGCCCCCGATAGAGCGGTACAAAAGTCAGCTATGCGGTCTTTCAACGGACACGCTTCGCAGGAGGATGGTCCGTGTTCCACAACCGGTGCGACGGTCGCCTTGGCCTTGTCAGGTTGACCAGTATCCTGTGTTCTGTATTTCTGGTTAGTAAGAAAGGTTCAAATTATTGGAGCACTGTACTTACAATGGTCTATTCACGAGTAATGTGGCACTTCGATGGCCCCAAGGAGACATCTCGTGTTTCTCGTGACTGCGAGTATTGAAGTGCAATCGGAACTTTGGGATATCTTCTTTTTGTTCGTTCTTCACAGGAACGTCTATCAGAAGGTCTGCATGGTGCGTGTGCGTAGCGGCGCAACTTTCCGGCCATGATTCCACTAAATTCTGGAAAAGCGCAGCAGTATGGTTTTGCACCTTGAGACAATACTGTGGTAGACGGTTTTGTAAGACGTGTTGTTGACGACGCAATTCCGAGGCTACAGCCTTTGTTGTAAGATTGTGGATGCGGTTGATGTCGGTTTCAATCTCAGTTACCAGTTTCTTGTACTTCTCAGCCCGCGATGCCACGGATAGTTTTTTAATTCGCTTCCAGCGATGGAAGAGGTCCTTGAACTTCCTCTCGTCAATTACGCCATCCTTAATGAATGGAACCTAAGAGCGATTAGTTCTATTTCTGCCTTATCAGTGCCAATTCCACTCACAGTCCCTTCTTTGCTTAGTTCCAATTTGCTCTGGAGCTTCCTAAACTTGCGAGCAAGAACTTCCAGCAGCTCCCTATATGTCTTGCATGCTGATTGTCCCAATGTATTCTGGAGCTTTGCGACCACAGTCTCATCCCATTGTCTACTTGGATCGTCTATTATGGTCTGATATTGCTCGTCCGATAGGCTTAGGCGCTGGCAGAACAGGTCCTCGCAATCATACGTGAATATAGTTGCGCATGTAACGAAGGTGACATAGATCTCGTTGAAAATCTGTCGGTGCCTCGCCATGTTTTCCATCAAGTCGAGCTTTCTCATTTCCATCAGCCTTGGGTTTCAAATTTGGAGTCGGTTTTCTCACCCCTTGAGTGTAGTGTTCGAGCGCACTGATGAGCAGTGGCACGGCACCCAAAATGATGCCAGCAACCTCAAGTCCTGACATATTTTATCTCAATCAAATGAGTGTAGGGGAGAGCCAATTTTGCGTTTGGGTGAGAAGTGAGCCCTTTTCCGCCTCATGTAGCTTACTGCGAAATGCGGGGCATGAAGCGGGGTTTCGTCTCCACCAAGAATATTCTCGTTTGATCTCACTTCTCTTTGGATCTGGCAGAACACTTTCGCGCCCAACTTCTGGCAACCTCTTCTGGTCTTCTCTTGCGCTTCCAGTACCGATTCGGATATCAAGATGGCACAGGCCATCTCTCAGAGTCATCTACAATGCATCGCGTCTCTTGAGGAGCTCAGCAAAGCTGCAGAGCAGTCTTGGCGATGTTCCGAAGACTATAAGCTCGACCTTCTCAACGAAGTCGACAAATACAAGATATGGGCTGGAAACGTTGGTGCAGGCCAAACGTGTCATACATCTCAACTCTCTCTTGATTACCGACTCCGTGAGGCAACGTTCTACAAGCTCCAGGTGTGAACCCCATGTAGAAAACCTCGAGCAGTATCAGATCATAGCTCCCTTTACACAGCATATCCTAACGAAAACACAGGTTTCGACCCTCATGGACACCCTTCGCAAGCATGTAAGTCCACAGCAAATAGTAATTGCGTGTCCCTGACTCTGAGAAAGCTGACTATGCACAGGCAGAAAATGGTATAAAAGACTCCGCTGTTACAAGTGAGCAATTCTGACTGGAATGGTCACCAGCAATTCAAATCCTCTCCGGAAATCGTATTCCATTCGAGGAGAGCTCCTCAAATGTTGAGTCAGATGACGGCTCAGCGGAGAATTTCACCTTCGATCAGGAGGACGACTCACCTTGGGACATGTCATCAGGCTCGGACTCTGATTCGGACTCTCTTGGAGTGGAAGATTCCAATGGATCACCCATCGCTGGGACTCTCGCCATTCAGAAAACCGAGTTGGGCCAGCTTCTCGAGTCCATCAAAGTTGTGGTGAAAAGCCTCTACAGAATGCCCATCCAGCGACCGGCCCCTGTCGATCGCTTGAAAGTCAAGTCTATGGATGATTTTTCAATTTATTATGAGGCAGACTGCAGGCACGTTCGAGACAAGTTTCCCCGTCTCGATGGAGCGGTTGTGGGACGACTTGGGAGGCTCATCACCCGTCGACGAAGACTCTTAGCTTATCGGAAGCTTCAACAAGACCAGCTCCAGCCAAAAGAAGGTAGTGGCTTTCCTGCTACGATGTGTACAGCCATTCATCCCTTGAATATTGTAAATGCAAGTTCTTTCTGACAATGCTGAGAATAGATTCCGAATTCAAGTTCCTGGATCATTCAGAAAGTAGTCCCCAGGAATCGTCATCCGAAACAACAGTCTTGGAGAATGCACAATCATCAGATACTGAAACAGTCTCAGTCTCATCAAGGGCTACCGCCAAACGTACTCGAGAAACTTTGACGGAAGTACCGCCAAGGCCGAAAGACTCGAATGGCACAAAAAGGACAGCATTCAAATGCAACTACTGTGGCTCCACCACATATGTCAATTCTGACAGAGCGTGGATGTGAGTTTCTCCACCCCTCCCCCCACCACCACTCCCTCCAAAAACCTGCGGCAGGCGGCGGGAGACGTAGAAGAACCGTATTGACCTACCTGATCCCACAGAAATCACGTCTTATCCGACCTTCAGCCGTATGTTTGTACTTTTCCGGACTGCGAACTTGGAGATTACATGTTCGAAACCCAAGAAGCATGGTTTCTGCATGAAACCGAAGTTCACCGCTGCACATACTTCTGCAACAATGAAGGGCACCCAGTCTTTTCCCAAGTGCATGACTTCAGTAACCATATGAAAGAAGTACACAACTTTGAAAACGACCTCGAGCCGACTTTTCTGGACATTTTTCGGTGTGTTCGAGGACTTACCTCAAGATCCTGTAACTTATGTTTTCGAGAAAAGCCCGTCAAGAACATCAAAAGTCACATATCAAGGCATCTTGAGCAAATAGCTTTGTTCGCTATTCCTGAAGCTGATTATCAGGAAGAAAATGGTAATTTTTAACTCACGCCGTGCGCAAACTATACTGACATCTAGTAGACGAACCTCCAGAAGTCAGAGTGGTGCATGCATTACCCACCCCAGAATCCATCACATTTCTCAACCCCGAAATGGGAAGTTTCAGTGGTAAGCTCTCTTGGATAGACAAATATGAGGTGCTCATAGGTTTTTAGCACAAGAGGATGGAAATTCCGCAAAAGAATTGGCCGTGGGTGGTGGTATGCTGGAAGCTTTTGCTCTCCTTCTCGCCATCGTTCCCGCAGTTAGTGCAGCGGCAAACCATCAACGGAGAGTTTACAGTGCAGTCAACACCTTCGCTGGCAGCAAGGTGAAGGACGAGAGACTAGCCATCCAGTATCAGCACCTTCACAACGAGGTTGCCTTGCTTCACCTTACCATCCGGGATTTTGTGGCCGATTTATCGACTCTCACTGCAAACGAGAAAGAACGGCTGCTTGGACTAGACAGGCAGCCATTGAGCGATAGTCGTTTAGGACTAGCTCTGTCGCAAAGGCTTGGTAATGCCAGCGAGGCTTTTTCCTACATGTTGAACACAGCTCTCGAGTGTCTTGATAATGTACTCAGTGATCGTGTACTGGGGCTGGACAAGGACGACGTCGCGGTTGGTATTCCTGTGCACTGTACCATCGCATAGCTGACTTTTGCGTCATCAGCAAGCGCCGCTGGGGTTGTATAGGAAACTCGAGCATCTCCGGGCACATGGCGGGAGCTCGAGAGACCTGGGAGGGAGAATCAAGTTTACGTCGAGTAACAGCAAGAGACGCAGAGTGCTGGCCACGCTAACAGAACAGAACAAGACCTTGGAGCGTTTTATTCGCCACGCGCCAGCAGCACATGAACCACACGGGCCACAGACAGTCAAGATGAGTGACTACAAATTGCCAGCCCCCTCAAATTCCAGAAACCAGATTCAGAACATGTACGACGCCATATCCAGAGCTTGGACCTTGCAATGCAACTGTTCTTCACCTCACGAAGCAATGCTTTCGCTGAGCGAGTGCTTTTCATGGGTTGGAGATGATACTAGTATCGAACTCGACTTGCTTATCTCCACGGGAGACGAGGCATACCGCAAATGGCAGGAAAGTCGCGTTCGTGTTGAACCTGTGTGAGTGTCAATACTTCCAATCCCTTGAATATGTACTCACTGTGTGTACAGGCCGCGACGCGACGCGGTAGTTCGGTTTGACAGCAGACCACCACCTCTGAAGTCCCGCAAGAGTAGTACTTCAACCGCTGAAGGAAAGACTCCCATTGACTCTATCTGCGCCGTAGTTACCAAGGCTCGCCGCAGCAACGTTGTTCTTGATGTGGTGTACGAGAGTGACAGATTGTGGCACAAAGCATGGAAACGGACAGCACAGATCATGAACCCATGCACACTTGATCACCTGCTTCGCCATGAGCATCAGAGAAAGCTGAAGGAGAGGCGGATACTTGCAGTCATATTTGCCCACGCTCTACTACACCTCTGTGATGGCAATTGGCTGAAGAAAGAGTGGGACAAGACCCAAATCTCCTTCTTCTCATCCGCTCCTGAACAGCTCAACCTCAAACCGTACCTCATAGCCCAGTTTCAGGCTCTTGAAGAGGATCACGAGGACGTTGAAATTCAGCTGCACCCAAGTCCTGCAATCCTCGCTCTCGGAATATTGCTTCTCGAGTTACAGATATGGGGAACCATTGAGAGTAGAAGGCAGCCGGATGATCTCACAGATGACGGATCTGTGAACGTCAACACTAATTTATTGACCGCAGAGCGCGTTTTCCAAGAGACGGACGATGGGGTCTTCGAGAACTATCGGAAAGCAGTGCGTGCGTGCCTCGACTGTGACTTCTTGGATGAGCACGAAGTGAATTTTAACGACGAGGAGTTCCGGTCACTCGTGTACGCAAACATCGTGGCACCACTGGAAAGAGAGTTGTACCAAGGTTGGAATATGAGCCCAAGTGATCTTTTGAGTGCATTTCTGTAATTTTCGGATGACATCGATTGTTCTAGCTGCAATGGCTTTATTTTGTTTGTAGTTTAGAACATGATAAAGGTTGCATGCTGCAAGGACGGTCGCATCCATCACACAGAATGCAGCGCTCTCTTCGTTTGGGGGCAAAGTGTCAACAGCCAAGTCTGGATGCCACACCCGCATCATTCAAAAGAAGTGCCTCCGCCACATTCTCCGTCGGGAGTAAACAAAGTCTCGATTTCCAACAGCCGCCATTGACTTGCCTAATCTCACGGAACGCTAGCATTATAGCGTAGGTAAGGCTCGCCGATCCCAGTGGTGACACCTCCTCACTTGGATACGCGTTTGCGGACTGACAGTTCTGTAGTAGCCAGGATGGGTCAATCGGAACACGGAGCGTCATCTCCGTCTGCGCCCATCAGCAAAAGGCAACCGTGGAAGGCTGTGTGGCCAGCACCTCGAGAATCCCAATCTCAGGCGAACGTGTTTGGATTTAAGAAAGGAGAGGCGATGGTATTCGATGGCAACGCTGGCAACTTTTTCGCGCGCGATAAGTGGACAATCGAGCAGGAGAGCCGTCATCAATCAGCCTCAGGATGATCACTTTCCTTGGCTCTTGGTCCGTCCGAAGTCCTCAACCGGACCACCAAATCCTACTCAATAGATGTTTGAAATAAAAATGGGATCTGATCGAGTTCTCCGTAGTGAAAATTGTACAACCTTTGTTAATGTATCACACATACAATCTCAACATGGAACGCTCATACAGGTACGGTTAGTGTGAAGAATTCCAAGGTGAAAGTCATACAGGGACGTTTAGACGCTGCGAATTAAGGCAAAGTGGGGGGTTTGTGTACACATTGTGTAAAGGACTGGAAGGATCAAGGGACAATAATGAGCACAATAAAGATCCATAACGAATCGCTGAAGAGCAGATTCATCTGGGGGGATGTATTGGTTATATATGTGAATATATGCTATGTAACATGACTTGAAATAGTGAACGAGCTCTCAACAGGGTCTTTTGCTGGGGTCAACAGGTTATCATCGAGTTGTATTGAGTGGTGGTGAACTAGTATGAGGCGGTCCGTTACACAATGACTTGGCGTCAGCACCTTGCTTGCTGCCGTTGCTCCTTGGGTGGAAGACGAAATGTGGGGACCACTGGACAGAATAAGAATGTGACACTAGACATATAATGCAGTAGGGATGTACAATGTAAGTCGTACAGAAGGATTGACCATCTTGACTGAAATGCGGGAATATTTCTTTCGAGCCGCTTGGGCCGTTGTCAAAATCCGCCGTAATAAACGAGAGCGCGGACTTCAATACTCTCCCTTGGTGCTGTATCCTCGTTCCGAAACAGAATTGGAAAAGAAGTGTGGGCAACTGGGAACCTTAGCCATAGCACGTCAAAAGAGAAGGATTCATACCAGGCTTTCCGCTCGGGTCAGTGTCGGACTGTAAGAACACCCAAGCCTCGTTTGGCTGCTGATTGCTAAGATAGAACCATTTGAAAGCGTCTGAATAGTAGACTTGGCGGTTTTCGACAACATAGTCTGGATACACCAGATCGCATGGCTCAAGGTCCTGGTCAACATTCATCGTCTGGGGATCACACATTGCCAAGGGCCAATCCTTGACTGGTCCAACGAGGGGTTTCCAAACACTGCTTTCTTATCAGTTACATTTTCATCAGATTGATTGGCTTTGCTTACTTCACGCATTGGACTTGATGCTTCAAGATCTCAGCGGCCTTTTCCGGGTTGAGCGAACGGACCATGTCCAGGACCCAAGGTACCGTCGTATCTGTCAATTGGGGTCAAAAGCCGCATTATGCATGATGCAGGCTCCCCCCTTACCTATGTGCGCGATAGAAGTAGGTTGATTGTACTTGTAGGGTTCCCCAGTCGAGATGGGAAAGATCTCATGACGTTTCCGGACCTGTTTTCCTCCTTTGTCAGCTCAATCCTCCCTTAGGGAAAGATTCACCTACGGTGTGCTCGAAGATCTGAACATGGCAAGCACCCAGAGTCTTGCGAAGCATATCAGCCACCTCACGCAAGTATATCTCTTTGACTTTTGAATCGTCGTCCCAGTCCCCGTACTTCATCCTGCTTCTGAAATCATTGATGCAGCAGCCATCTCTTCTGAAGGATACCTTATCTTTATCAGGTCGAATGTCCTGCACCATGATTTCATATCTCTCCAGCTTGATATTGGCCCTTGGAAACCCCTCAGGTGGGGTGTAACGCAGTGAGTATGGCTTTTCTTCCTGGTACAGTGGATCCCTCTGGAGAAAGTGTGTATGGGTCCAGACTTCTGCAGTTTTCATATGCTCCATTTTGAAAGGTACGGGGCGGAGGTGTATGAGCCGTGGAAATGGAGACAGTCAACTTCTACTTCAGTTGTAAGCAGTTATCTTGATTTTCAGAATGGAAACAGTCAACTTCCGATCCAGTCGTAGGCAGTTGTCTTGATTTTTAGGCAACGTAACACACAGTTGGTTGGCTCAGTTACGAGCAATTGCTTTCACCAAAAGCAAAACACGAGGCTAAAATCGTGCCCAAAAAACGGCGAGCACATGCCAAGAAGCTACCTAGCAGGCCGTTGAACTCCGCCAGACCCGGTCATTCTTTAGGCGTGGCATGTGCCGCGATCTATAGCGCCACGAAGTATTAGGTATGCTTATTAGTCTGAGCGCAACAGCACTGCGCGAGACTCAAATAAAGTTCAAACCTGTTTTTAGATAGGTCCGAGGCTAATTCAGAAGCTCTGACCTCACTCTTCCACACCAGCAAACCTGAAACCCAACCAACACACGTCAGCCCCTTCGGCTCGCGACAAGCGAGCGTCAAGGGTTTCTGGAGACGAGTATCAGGACCTGACAGCCAATGGAACCTAAATTAGCGACGTCAGCTTTCCTAAGCCCACATAATCAGCAGCATGATCTGCGACCGTTCAAATACCCCATCCAAGCTCCTGAGAGCGACAAAATAATGGGCCCCGCTTCTACTTCGACTTCGACTGACTTTCCATGATTGCGCCTGCAACAAACAGCGAACAGCGCCCGACGCACAAATGAAGACCTCATCACGACACAGTCCGACCAATGCCGTCTCGCGCCATTTGCGCGAAAGCCGGCTCTTCCGGAGGCTTCTCAAGGCCCAGAGGTCGAAGTTTGCAGGAGCAACATACGATGTCCCCGCTGCAAACTTGGACCTCAGTTACACGGCGAAAAAGAAAGACGATGCAGAGCGACTCGTTCCCGACATCCAGATCACGCCGCCGCCGCCTTACGAGACTCTTTTATCAACACCTGCCGTCCATGATGTTCCACGATTTCAGCCGGTAATTCACGAGCCTAAACCGAACCAACAGACTGCATATTCGGTGGCATCATTAAGCAGTCAGTCTCCTTCCTGCCACGCGATAATCCTCAGCTGACCCGGAACGATAGCGCCTGCACCCACCAATACTCTAACCCGACCGCTTGACGAATTCTCAACTCCTTCTCTGGAGCCCTCCAGCTTTGAAGACATGGACCCATCATCCGCGCCAACTTTTCTTCCTCACACCACGCCTCTCCGCCACCACCGCAGCGCCGAAAACCTCCGCCAATCCAACCCCATTTTCCTCACGCGACCATCACCGCTAGGCAGCCACCCCGTTGGAGAAGACCTTACCACCGACCATTCCCTCACCAAAGAGCAAACCCTCCCAGCCACGCGCTACCGACGACCCACCCAGCCACCACTGCTCAGGCGCGCGAGCAGCTACCCGCTCATCCCCGTGGCCATCATGTCGCCCATCCGCGAAGAGGACCCACCGCGCTCCCCGCTCCGCCCACGTGCCGCCACCGTCCCAGCCGATGCTCATTCCGCCATCATTAAGCGCCAATCACACCGCCCGCCGATTATTAGCATCCTCCGCCACACCCCGACCACCTCGGCTCCTCAGCACCGCCAGCGCGAGCAGAAGCACGTGCACTTCGAGCCGTCCGTAATCCCAGAGGAAGAGGAAGAGGAGGTGGTGGATGCGCCAGCTCCTTCTCCCTTGCGGAAAGAACAGTTGCTCCTGTTCTCGGCGGCCGTGATGGTCGCGTCGCTGTTGCTGGTGGTGGCGTTCGCGGATGTGTTTGATTCGGCGCGCGCGTGTGCGCAGGTGGTAAGGCTCGAGTATGTCGTTGCGTTTATTGTGGGATGCGGGGTCGCGCATTGGCTTTCGGGAGTGGCGGAAGTGGTGGGGGGAACTTTGGGGAGAGCGAGGGAGGAAGGTTGGGTTTGAAGGGGTTGGTTTCATAGCGTGCACATCGGCTTGGGTATTTGGACTGGTGTTTTATAAGGGAAAAGGGAAAAATCATTGGGATTGGGCGGTATAGGGCTGTCTGGACAGGTGCCCGTGGGAGCGATTTTGGCGCATATTCATGGAGTTTGGGGGATGCGAGTCTGGTGCTCTGCTCTGTTTCTCTTGTCGTATATTTTCATTATGCTTTTTAACGCCGCGGAAAAGCGCATTATCCAATGGATACCCTCCTGGACCTCAGGTGTCTCAGTTCAACAAAACATACAGATAAGCAGCTGCCTTTTCCCCCCACACAGTTTCGCTCCCACACCCACCGTCCGTTAGGCTATGTGAGCAGTACTGACAATAGTTCTAATCTTCAGCATGAGATTTAGTATTTGTGCTCCTTTGCTGCTTATTTGGATGACCATCACTGCACCTTTCACCACGACTATTGTACTTCATGGGGGTCGATCGTTCCGTGCTTCGTTGCAAGAGTGGCGATTGATCAACTTGGACTTGCTCGTTTCTGTTGGCGTCTGGACCAGGAAAAAGGAACCAAATACCGCGTTTCATTTTGCGGGAAATTCGGCGCCTCCAACGGCATGGTGCCCCTCGAGAGCACGCCATGTCTCTCGTTTGTTGCTTCGTGTGTATTACCGCAAATTGATAAACGAAGTAGTGATGTGCCGTATATGACACTTGAATAGAGCCTGTTCAAGCGAGCATCGAAAAGGTAAAGGTAAATATTTGTACAGTGTATAAATAGACACCTTGTTGTCCGCTTGAGTGAAAATTGCAACCTTGTGCATCAACAAAATCATCTGCACCCACCAATTTACACCGCATGACCCAGCTACACGCGTCAGGCGCTCCAAAGTCACTCGCCCACATAAGCGCGCAAAATATTACGATCTACCAGAGTCGCCGAACACATACCAAAATAACCAGAAATCAAAGGCATTCTGTAACTCCTGATCATCCAGACATTGAACACCTTCTTGGTTGCCTGGCTCATCAAAGCGCTTGTTGCTAGCGCTTAGTAGGGGCGCCTCTCTCCTGTCAGACGTACCACTGTTGTCAGCGCTGGGGTAGCCTCCGCCCCTCAATGTTGGCCCCACATCGCGACTCCGACAAGCACTGATTGAATTCCCCTCGCCGGTGGATGGCATTTGATCTTCGTCCGCTGGCCCAACTTCCTCATCAAGTATCTCCAGTATTCTGTACCAAAAGTTCAAGTTCAACCTCCCATGCTTGTCTCTCGCCTCGTCGGATTTCAAGTACCTTTGATACATCAGGCCGCGGCTGTCGAGTGGTTCTTTCTTGCACCTTTGGCGGAGTGCTTGTCTGAATCTTTCACTTGAAACACTGTTGTAAATCCCCTCAGCATCTTCACACGTTTGTTGTTTTCCGTGGTTATTATGACTGCTATCCTTACCGCCTGTGTGCTCGGCTTTGGCACGTTCCAACTTTCCGAGGAGCCGCAGCGCTCTTCGTAGGTCTGCCCTGCGCGCGTTGCCCTTGCTATCGGTAACGTGGATTGGAATTCTCTTTGGACCCAAGTTGCCCCAGAATTCCTCCCAGTCCGATCCACTATCATCAGTGCTGCCCTTGTCGTCTTCTTCACCGGACAATCCCTTTTTAGGATCTTTCTCTGGACTACTGGAGCTGCTTGGTCTGAAAGTTTCTTCACCGATGCCCCATTCTTCCATTGCCCCCACCATGGCCCACCATGGCATGTCGACCGTATTGCCATCCCTACCAAGAGATTCTCGGAAGTGAGTACTTAGATCGTAAGGTAGGTCTATACATTCACGCGCTTCATGATGGCCACTATTACCGGCAGAAGCATCGCCGTCCTCAGCACGGCGGTGACGGCGACGGCGACGTTTTTCTGACCCACTGCTGTCACTGTTGCTGGAGGGGCTGAACCTGCCACCACCCCTCAGCCAGCCATCGATGGCGGGACCACCCTGGTGACGCCTCGACCTTCGAATCCGCTCAAGGTCGCGAGAAATCTCCTCCCACAGTTCCCTGTTGAACTCTCCGTTGGAAAGCCACGCTTCCGGCCATGAGCGGAATTCGCGCCAGACTTCATACCGACTTGGTAGTTCTCCTGGGAACTCTTGCAAAGACGACCGAAAGACCCGGGCAATGGAGGTTCGGTCAAGCACTCGGGCTACCTCATCCTTTAAAGACTTTCGACACTCTTGGCAGGAATGTCCCACTTCACACTCAAAGGCACAGGGTGTTTGATGTTGATGTTGGAGGAGGACTTCCTTATCTTCTTCGTGCCAAATACTTTCGTCAAAAGCCCGTGCCCCGAGCAGCCCACGAGTTTCCGTCTCCCAATCCGCGCCATTGGAAGGCGATGGTGTAAATGGCCGGTCACCTTCTGCAGGCTCTTCACTTGATGACGAGCCTCGAGTGCTCCTGACGGAACTTCCATCGCTCCCGAGGGGCACGAAGCCATCGTTGTCTTGATTTCTTCTCCGATACTCCCATAGATCACTGCCGCTGTCATCGGCCTCGTCGTCAAAACGGCCACCGCCCCTCAGACGTGCCTTCCCCACCAGCCACTTTGCCTTGCCCTTGTCCTTGCCCTCGTCCTTGCCCTCGTCCTTGCCCTCGCCCTTACCCTCATCCTTGCCAAACCACTCCTCCATCAGCTCTTCTCTCGCTTGCTTGGTCTCCACAACACGGACATTTCCCTGTTCGTCGCAGTTCCAATATGGCCCATCGTACCGGCCATATTGATACTCTTCCCATCCCCGCTGCAGGTCCGCCAGCTCCCGTGGCGACCAGCTAGTGAAGACCTTCTCCCAAGGCTCCGATGTCTCGGTAATCTCCAGCTTCGGGGGTTCAAGTGAGTGACCAATACCAAGCTTTCTAGGGCCAAATATGAAGTCCATATAGTTGCGGCGGTCTCCAATGAAGCGAGGCTTAAGCACAAAATCCGGCATGGGCACGATTGTGCGGTGCGGGCGCCTGCGAAACCACCGCGGAATCAAGCTCTTCGGCGGATAGTCGTCCGCCGGGGGGGGCAGCTTCGACGTCGTGAAGATGCGCCAGTCGTTATGGTCGTCGCGAACCCATTTGTGCAAATCCGAGTCGTAGCCCTCTCCGTCATCGTCATCATCATCATCACCGCCGCCTCTCAGCCGTCCCGTAACAGCCTCGTCGCCATCACTCCATCCGCCCTCGCTCTTCTTCTTCTTCTTCTCCTCCACCGTCTCCTCTTCCTCCTCCCCAAACCACCGCCTCCCCAACTCCCTCCTCTCCCCCTCCCGCTCCACCGCCCTCACCCTCCCCTCCCGATCCTTGACCCAATACGGCCCCTGGAACCTGCTGCCAGCGCCCGCGCCCTTCCTACATCCATAATCCCGCCCGTGCTCTGCCACCTCCCGCGGCGACATCTCGCCGAAACACTCGCTCCATAGCGGGCGTAGCGACGGGGGCTCCGGCGACGATGACCATGCCCTCGCACCACTCCCTTCAGCAGCAGCCCAAGCGTCCACCGCCATCCGCACCCTCCCGTGCACCTGCCGGCAAAACGACCGCGGCAGCTGGACGACCAGCGAGTCCTTCAGGACGGCTGGTACGGGCAGCGGGAAGTTGCGGAGGGGCACGATGGTTGAGTGCTGTTGTTGCGGGTTGAGGGAGCGGGGCTTGCTTGCGCCTTCTTTGCTGTCTTGTGCGCTTTCGTGCGCAGCGACGGCGGGGAAAGGGGGGCGATGGTGGGAAGAAGGAGAAGAAGGAGGTGAAGGTGGAGGCGAGGGTGATTGCTGTTGGGAATGACACGGTCGTGCGCCACCAGCTTGCTCTCTGGACAGCCAGTTTCCCCCGCCGCGGAGCCTGGATGCGGGCTCGTATGCGGGCGGGGCATCGTCATTGTTGGTGTTGTTGTCCCCCTTGCTGTCGAGCGGTCCTTGGGGCGTTCGCGCTGGTGATTTTGCGTGCGGCTGGACGTCTTCCAGCAGGTGTTCCAGCAGGTCCTCCAGTGCGCTGGTGACGTCGTTCGGCAGGGAAGCGCCGCCTCGGGTCGCATCTCGATGAGTTATTGTCTTGTCGGGGTGGTTTCTAGCATGGTCATTCTCTTTCTGAAGCTCCAGTTCCTTGAGAAGCTCGACGAGGTTCATGAAGAGTGAATTCTCGTGAGGGTTCGGCTCCAGGTACTCACTTCTGTCTTCTTTGTTCTTCTCTTCGTCTTCTGTGTCGCCGCCGCCGCCTCGAAGTCTCGCCTCGCCGGAGCCATCATTGTTAGACGCAGAGCTGCCATTATTATTGTTGGTTGGACTGCTTCCGGCCGCAGGCGCGGCGGTATCGTCGCCAGAGGCGAAGATTAAGGGGGCTCTAATGCCTGAGCAGGAAAATCCGGGCCCATTGAGTAAGCGGTAGAGGCGGGCGATGGGAGAGTTGGCGTTAGGGTCAACGTGAGGGTGGTTATTATTGGGGTCGGCCATAGCTGGGAATAACCAGTCTTCGATTATCGGAGAGTGTTGATATTGTGGTGGTGATCGTGGAGTGAAGAAAGCTGACTGGGAGTGTCTTGACTGGTGAATAGTAGCAATGCCTCACAATGAATGCTCTCAAGAATCGCTTACTTTGATGAAGTGTGGTGGAAGAAGTGTGTTAACAGAACGGTAGAAATATATATACCTTCAAGCATGGCGCAACTGATTCGAAGGCGCAAGGCACAGTATCCAAGCCTTGTCTCTGTACACAACATCCCCACGCACATGCAACCCCACAACTTTCAATTTACAGCAAAGACCTCATCTGCCCCGTAGATCGATCTTCTTTCCGCGCCAACTTGGCACTAGAACACCAATAAGCCGTGCCTCTACCAATACAGCAAATGCCTGAAAACAAGTATTCCTCCGCGCCGCGTGGTCACGATTACAAGTGACACCATTCTTCATTCATGGCGAAAGAAAGGAGAATTAGAAAAGAAAGAGCGGAAAGGCGACAGCCAGCCAACGCAAACGGATCATGAACAAATAAATAAATGCAATCGTCATAAAAACTCCTCAAATCTGTTGAATGCTTGCCCGCCCTCTGAAAGGTTTGCTCCATGTGCGCCCTCGCCACCCAAGAAGAGTGCTGAACAATGCACCAAGTAAATCAACAGGTGAAAACGAATCCATCTCCCGCTCTATGTTCTTTCGTTCAGAGTACTGGCCAATGCCTTTAGAGCATCCCTAAGACCGATACCCTCTGTGCCAGCCGCTTTCTTGACCTCCCTGTCTCGCTCATCTATCCTCTCTGCTGCGGATCCTAGGATGTGGGTTGCCACGCGCTCGGCTGTATCGCGGTACTGCGAGACTTTGTGTAGGCCGTCCGCAAACAGATCTATTTGAGGCTCTAATGATGCGGTGATGGCTTGAAGGCGGGAAACGAGCTCTGATCGTGAGATGCTTGGTGGTCGTATTGTTGACGTTGGTTGTGCTTCTGTCGAGGTTGCTTCGGCGGGATTTGATGATAGGGATTCCAGGGAAAGACTGTTGAGACTTGCGAGGATGCGGGCTTGCTCGGGATCGTCCAGAAGGGTAGGGTCGATGTCAGGTGCTGCGTCAGGTGGTTGGGTAGCGTCTGGAAGGGTTCCCTTGTCCTTCGATTCCGGCGGTGAAGATGAAGAACCTAATGACGGAGTCTTCAAGAGCGATTCCCAAGCTTTCTTTTCTTCTTGTAGGCTGTAAAACTGTCAGCATTCCGAATTTTAAAAGCTCGGAGAGTTAGAGCTCCATACCGCTTAACTTCTTGCTCGAGCTCCCCCAATTTCACCGAGTTCTCGATGTTCCGCGGATTCGGCTTCTTGACAAGTGCTGCGGGTTCTACGTCTTCCTGTTCACACAATTAGCATTGTTTCGATATCCTTTCTAGTTGCAATTCCTTACCCTGTCAAACCAATTCGACATCTCCGATTTGCTCGCGAACTCATTCAGCAATTCCTGTTGTATCGCTCGTGCTACTCCGCGTCAGCAATCTCAGCTCTCCACATCCCGCAATGGTTCACCTACCAGCCATGATCGCGCTAGCATCCTTGACCTCTCCGGTAGGCTTGTCTGGCAACGCTCTCGTCCCGCACCAGGTCAAGAGCTGCTTCATGCGCCTCGGCTCGGGTAAACTCTGCTCGATATGCTTGTAGAATTCCTCGGGCGGAACCTCCGCGTGCGGCACCGCTATACCACCCACGTCGTCAGCTTTAGTTTCCAAAAGGGGATCGCCGGTATCTCCGGGTCCGGAATCGTCGGGGGATTGTTGCGCACCATTCGAGGTTCCGCTGTCGATCAGCGAGCTGGCACGCCGGCCGCGCAAGCCGGTGCTGCTCCGCCTGTGTCCCGCCCCTCCGCCCTTGCGCATTTCCTTGTTCCGCTTTATGATGGGCGTATCGGCGAACGGGAGCGCGATCTTGGTGCCATCGCGACTGGGTTGCTCGGCCTCCGCCCGCTCCTCCGCTTCTGCACCGACCACCGCCACGCCGTCCTCATTGCCCTGCTTCGGCGTCCGCGTCTTATCCTTATGCGCCGTCGATTTCCGCGGGCGTTTTGCCTTCTCCGGCGCCGGTGTGGAAGCCTGCTGCTGTTGTTCTTGCGCATTTGTTCCTGCTGATAGCCTTGCCGATCTCCGCCTTTTGGGCGCGACCTCTTCCGCAACCGCCGGTGCAATTGCAGCAACTACAGATTTCCTCGCCTTCTTCGTCGTGCTCTTCGCAGGCTCATCTGCTGGCGGTTGTTGTTCCTCCACCACCTTCGACAGCTTAGCCTTCTTCGTCGCGGGCGCTGGCGCAGGTTCCGCTTCCGCCACCTTCTTCGCCGCGGTTTTCTTCGGCCGTGTCCGCGAAAAGGTGAATCCGTCATCATCCTCATCGTATGCCGCCGCTATGCGCCAAAACAAGGTTAGCGATCAATCCGTCTTTCCGTCAATTTCCCATTCGCCGTTTCCTCCCACCCAATTCTTCTCCCCAAGCCCCAAGGAACAGAGAAAGGAGACCAAAACTCACAAGCCCTTGTCTTTCTCCGGCCTGCCTTTGTCCCAGCCTCAGCCGCTGCCGCCGTACCATTCGCGCCTCCCCTCCCCACCCCATTCACCGCCGTGGCCTCCTTTTTCGCCTTCTTCCCTGCCGGCGCTTCGACATGATGCTGATGGCCACTTTCCTCCTCGTCGGCAAAGGCGTGCCGGGCGCTGCGCCGCCGTGTTGTCGTCGTCGGCGCCCCTCGTTGCGTCGAAGCCATGCTCAGATTTACCAGCGGAGAGCGCACCGAAAGTATGGCTGTCATGGACGCGGGACGCAAAGAAAAAAGAGGGGACCTCGAAAGTTGCGCGCGTGTGTGCTGGCTGTGTGGAAGTTTGGTGACCGCCGCTCTACCCACCCCGCCTCATCGAGTTTCGCAATGGCGCCCGGATGATGATGCCGTTCCGCTGGCGATTACGTCGTCGGCTGCCGTGCGTGGCGGAGCCGCGGTTGTTCGTGACGCCGTCTTGAACGGTGATGAATTGGTTGCGGTTTGTTTTGATCGTCGCCTCGGCGGATGAACTGTCGAATTGGAGCGCGCGCACGCGCGCGACAAACACGCGTTATCTCGTGCGCCCGGCGGGATTGTCGTGAATGAGAGGCGGTTGGCGACACGCGCACGCGTATTCGTCGAGCGGAATCAGTTGGTGATATGGATAATGGGATGGTTGTTGCGTTGTCAGGGAAAGTCGGAGCTTTGCGTCCCGTCGGTCGGTCGGCGGAGGCGGCGCAAAGCACCCCTCAGCAGCTTAACCCGTAACCTGAACAACAAGGCGGTCCGCTAGACACGTGATCCCCGGCCCGATCCAGAAAGTTGGGGCCCGAGCGTCAGACGCATATGGATACCTCACCAACACATGAATTCTGGTAAACTAAAAATTCTGGATTTCGCAGCAATGTTGAATCGCTAACCAATTCCCATTGGCCATTCTTATTTGTGATATCTGCTGGTCATGACCTCGTAAGGGCATCTAATCTAAAGAAAGCTTATGGTAAACACGCTCCAATTTGCCACCCGCTGCTGCACCTCAATGCTATACAAGGCCGACTGCCTCTGCCTTTCATCTCGTCGCTATGCATACATCATACTACATTGCAGACGGCCTCCGGAGAAGAGCACAGAAGAAGAGAAGAAGAAGAGAAACATCGCCCAAGTCCAGCTCGAGCCCCGCGCCGTACGTGAAACTATTTGATATCCGCCGCAGGCACGGGGCCGGCCTAGTAGAAACCGCGTTTCATCGAATCCTCTCTCTCCTGCATTGAGAGTGACGGTGCAAAGAAACCCAGATCATCCTCTCTCTCCTCCTGAGCTGGGGGAGGCGGCGCAGCCACTTCCTCTTTCTCCTGGGCTGGGGGAGGCGGCGCAACCACAACCTCTTTCTCCTGAGCTGGAGGAGGCGGCGCAACCACAACCTCTTTCTCCTGAGCTGGGGGAGGCGGCGCAACCACTTCCTCTTTCTCATGAGTTGGGGCGGACGGCGCAAAGCTGCCCTCGATGCGTCTCTTCGCATCCGCTTTCTCCTGCATTGAGGGGTTTGCCTTGCGCATGTCGGGGGTGTGAGGCGCGTGGCCGATGCTGTGGCCGACAGACATGCCAACACGGATCTATTCTCTGCGTCAGCACCAACTCTCAAGTTCAAATGCAGACGGCCAGTACTTACCAGTGTCTCCAGCGCCTGGTTTGAGTTATCGACCAGGTCATCGTCCCACTCCATCACACCAGGCTCGAACAGCAACAAGATCGTGCTGCCACCGAACTTGAAGTAGCCCAGCTCTTCAGCACGTGTGACCTTCTCACCAGCATTGCGGGTGATAACAGTGCTACCGACCATCATGGCACCAACACAGATGACCATGACCCGACCATGGGCGACCGAGTCAATCGGCACGCAGATACGGACGTTCTCGCCGTAGACATCCAAAGCAGAACGGATGGCCATCGGGTTGACGGTGTAGTACTCGCCCTCAATCATCTTGGGCTCACCCATGACGCCATCAACAGGGATGTGGAAGCGGTGGTAGTCCTGCGGGGCCAGGCGGAAAATGCCCAGAGCACCACCTTCGAAACGCTTCACATCGTCAGGGTAAGCTTTGCCGATAAGGCGTTCCATGGTGAACTCCCGGCCCTTGACCCATATTTTCTGTGCTTGAGTGATTTGATTAAACATGACCGATCGGCAGTCAGCAGGAGAGGTAATTATCTGCGGATCATTGGGTGCGGAGCACGGACGTGCCCCGGGCTTCAGCGCACGGTAGAAGAACTCGTTGAACGTCTTGAACTCCTCGAGCGGCAGGAGAACTTCGGACATATCGAGCTGGTGGAAGTTGATGAAGCCCGGAATTTCAGCCGCAGAGGCCGGGTCGTCGTACTTCTTGCCTTGCTTGATACTCAACGACTTCAGAAGCTTGCGAGCTGCAAAAGGTTAGAAAATGCCGCATAAGAAAGGGTAAATGAATTATATGCTCACCTTTCTTACTCTCCATCTCGCCCCGCTTGAGACCCTTGTACAACAAGCGGATACCCAACCTGACGTACACACTCATGCGTTCCTCGTTGATTTGGCCCGTGATGCGGTCCTGCACCAAGATGTTCGCAGAGTTGGCACCAAGTTTGTAGCCACCGTACGAAACCTTGGTGATGACCTTGGAGTACCACTTGCGCTGCGCCTGGCTGGAAGTGACAAAGCCGGCCATGACAATGTTGTTGACCTGCCTCCAATCCTGACTTGCACAAGTGGCAATGTGTGTGATAATGTCGGCATCGGATTTCCTGTTCAGGCGGGGTTGGTGGCAGATGGGACACTCGCGGATCTCCACAACGTGCTCCTCACCCTTCTCGTCTGCAAGGTCATCCTGCTCCAGGAATTCGCCATGCTCGCCTTCGGGTCCAAGTGTATCCTGTTCAATTGCAGGAATGACGGAAGTTTGCGACTGATTGTTGAGCGGTGTGCCTGAGCCAGAAGTGAGTCCGGGTGTGGAGGGCCCTGAGGTCCGACCACTCAGACCCTTACTCCTGAACGAAAGAGTCGAAGCATTAGATTGGGACTGTTCGATCTGGTCCTCCAAGCAAATGACGGCCTGGTCGAATGTTAGGACAGGCTCGCCGTTTTCTTCGGCAAATCTCTCGAAAAAGCTGTTGATCGTCGTATCGTGAAGGGTAGAGCCCAGAGTGTCCAGCATCGTTACAATTTCGATCTTGTCAATGAGACAGCTATCATCGGCATCATACTGCTTCAGCATGGCTCTCCAGAATTGTTGTCGGAGAGCCTTGTACGGCATGTACTTCGCCCTGATATGAAGCGTCGGGCTGTGCTTGCCCTCCCAGCGGTCGCTCTTCTTCAATTCAAGAGGAATGGTGAACGACTTGAAGTCTTCACTTGGAGAGGCGGCAGTGTCGACGTTGATGGCGGGGATACCACCCGGAGTGCTCGTCGGAGCAAGGCCACCATTCGACGGAGCAGACTGGTCCGAGGAGCCGCTTCCGTTGTGCATGCTGCTGGCCAATGACGTCGATGAGCTCTCCTTCTTCAGTCCCTTCTGCTTGTGTAAACTTGTGGATGATGCTGATCGCGAGATTGGTAGTCTGAAGCGTTTTTTCTTCTCTGGCTCGGTTTGCACCGGCGAGCCATTGCCTTCCGGCTCGGGCAACTTGTACAGACCAGTGAGAGGGTCGGCTTGAGGAGCCACAGAAACGCAGTTCTCGAGCGGGAAGTTTGCCGCGCCGACATAGTCATGGTTGGAAAGCTTGTCCTTGTCGACAACCTGGAAGTTGAGGGAATAGTTTGTCTCGTGCTTCATGACTTGGAAAACAAGCTTTTCCTCGAAGACAGGGTTAAGGTTGTGCCGGATGGCGCGCGTACGGTAGGTCTTCTTGCCCAAAGAAGTAACCACGAAAGGATCCATGTCGAATCCAGTCCTCGTAACTGCAGCAGTTAGCACCAATTCCCCGTATTCACGGAGCTCGAGAGTTCAAACAAGGGCGCAGAGTCGTTCTCAGAATGCGTGCCAAGCAGCCTAGCGGCCTAGCCCAGAGCTTCATGGAACTCAGGGGCCAAGACTTGCGCACAAGGGTAGAGGTCGCGCGAGCGCAAAGGTGAAGCGCAAGCCCGCGCGCAAACATCCTGAGGGCGACCCGACGCCGATGTCTGAACCTTCCGATGGCAGTGAACTTACTGTTCTTCTCTGGCGGCAGATCTGTGATCTTGGTGATTTCCAGGAAGAGAACGCCAGCGACGTCTGAACTTCCGTAGAACTCGTATGCGCGCTCCTTTGCCTTGCGCCGCAGCTTCTTCATGCGCAACCGCTTGCGCTTCTTCTCCTTCTTCGCGTCCGCTTTGTCGGCATCGTCAGCCTCGTCCGAGGACTCTTCTTCCTCCGTCTCCTCGATGTCTCCGCTGTCCAAGCGCTCCAGATCCTCATCGTCGTCGTCTCCGCTGGGCGTGCCCACGGCGATACCGAGGAACCTCTGGTACAACTGCTCAGGGGTGGCCGAGGGGTTGGACGGGTCGACGAGTTCGAACTGCAGGAGCACCTCGCCCGAGACCTCCGACTTCTTCTTGCCCGATTTGCGCGACTGGAGCGGGAACCATTTCTGCTCGGTCTTCGCGCGGTGGCTGGTGAAGATATCCTCGAGCGCGACGTCGAATTCGCCCATGTAGTCCTTGCTGAAGCGATCCTTGTCCCAGCACACGGCTTCCAGGAGCAGGCTCTGCGAGCCCGCGATGGGCAGGTCGAAGGTCTGGTTCCATTCCGGGTTCAGCGTCTTGTTGATGGCGGGCGTGGCCTCTTTCGCGTCGCCGAGAGTGAGCACGAGGTACTGTTATTGTCCCAATTTGCGCGCATTGTTAGCCCCAGATCCTGCTGCTTCGCACCCCTTTACGCGCCACGCGCAGTACTCACCGGATCGCTGGTGCCACTCTTGTCCTTCGCAGCGAGGTCGCGGCCCTTGAGGACCGAGGTGCGCAGGACCAAGTGAGGATTCTTGCTGTCGGCCATGCCGGGCTTGGGGCTGGTGCTGCGGCTGGGGAACTCGCTGTTGGCGGCCGAGGGCGAGGTGGAGGTGTTGTGGGTGTTGACGCTGCTGCTGCTCTTCAGCCGCGCGGGCAGACTCAGGCGCGACGACAGGTTAACCATCTTGGCTCGGAGGCTTGTCGGCGCCAGCCAGTGGTGTTCCGGTTTAGGGCAGCTGCGAACGGAGGAGTGGTCGATGATAGGAAGTCAATCGGTGATCAGCTAGGGGAGTCAAGGCAAGCGAGTCAAGAAGGGTGTGGTGTAAGCCAAGGAGCGCGCGGGCGGGATGCGCGGACCAGGTGCGTGGAGCGGGCAAGCAGCGAGGGCCACTGCTCTCCCACGGCTGAGCGCACGGCGGGGTGCTAGGGTGGAAATGACAGGTGGTAGAGTAGCAATGCGGCGGAGAGGGGCGAGAGAGGCGGTAAACAACGCTGAGCAGCCAACACCACACAGGGTCTAGGGCGGCCGAGACAGAGGTGGGAAGAAAGAAGGTGGTGGATGTCAGTCAACCTGATGTGAGTGGGGTTCGCATTCAGGCGCGTCAGAAAGCACGCAGCAGCACCAGTCGGACGGGACAGGCCACTGAGGCGGGAGCCGCGGATGGCGGAATTAAGCCACAGCAGACCCGACGGTCCTTCAATTGCGCGGGGCTCGTTGCGCGTTGCGGTTACATACGACCTTCGACGTCAACGGCTCTGACGCCCTGACGAAAGCCAACCTTGTCGGCGGGGATGTGCCAGCGCGTGAACCACGGCTGCGCGTCATTGCCTTCGCGGGGCTCGATCGACTCCACCAACTCTCGTCCACCGGCGGAACAATCGGCATCAGCACGCCCCGCGAACCTCCGCCCTGGGATCGCTGACGGCAGCCCGCTCGCAAGTTGATCAATTGACCGAAAAGAAGAACGCGTGCTTATTAGTTTCATGGCCTGCAGCTCTTCCGCTGCAGCCCTGTCCTATTCGTGCGAAGAACGCCTACTGTGCATATGCAGCCCCCAAAAATAACGCTGACGCCCCCCGGTTTCAGAACAAAAGGTATCACCAACGCCCCAACCATACACCAGCGCCAATCGCATTCATTCCTCGCAACCAACAACAAAAGCTCAGCCACTGCGTCTGAGCCACCTGCCAATCCCATCCCTGGTTGACCGTCCTGGCGTGCCGAAAACAGGGAAAACAGCAAAAGAAATCCCTCAGTGCGCCGTCACAGCAGGATTAGGCCCGGCAGGCGTCTGCTCGGTGAAGTGCTCCGGCCAAGCATACATCCTCTCGTCGCCGGGCGTCATGGCCACTATTGCCTGAGGCACTGAAGTTGTGCTGGATACACGGCGCCACATGTTCGCACGCGGGTTGAAGGTCACGGGCAGGCCCTCGCCGCCCGTCTTCTCCTCGTCGATGCGGGCGATGCGGATCAGCTCGCTCTGGATGTCGGCAAAGGTGTCGAAGGGCGTGTAGTCGATGTTGTTCTCCTGGCAGTACTCCTCCAACCGCAGACCTCGCCGCGCAAAGAGGCAGTCTGCCTCTCTCGCGGCGGGCAAATCCGAGACGCCGTCGCCGATGAAGATGATGAGCGGGATCGTCCCGTCCTCGCTCTCTAGCTGCGCGCCTTCGCGGTACGTCTGGATTGACTTGGCCTTGTCATGGCCCAGTTCCGAGTCGTGACGCCACACCGGCACCCACTTGCCATCCTTTGAGATGGTCGCGTCGTTGGCGACGATGTCAATGTTCGCAGCAGCCTCCGCACCAATGAAGTGATCCAGTACCCGCTTAAGAACCGGTTTCAACCCGGCCGAGATGACGTTGAAAGGGATCTTGTTGTTAAGACAGAAGTCGTGGAACGCCTTGAAGTCCTTGTCGATCTCCAACGCGCCCTTCATTAGCTCGAAGCCGTCGTCGAAGGGGATGTTGAGCGACCCCCACATCTCCTCGGAGACGTCACGAAAGGTTCTTTCGCCTGAGGCCAGCTGCTTGTCCAGCATTTCGCGCTTCTCCGAGCCGCAACCAAAGTTGTTGAAGAGGATATGACCGGTGTCTTGCATGAAAATGGTGCCATCGAAATCTTGAGAAGAACATGTTAGCTTAGGTCAATTAAATAATTGTGATAAAGCCGTGTAGCATTCGCGTGGTGAAAGTGATTAAACATGAGAGAGGTGCAAACAGGCGGTATAACGGCTTCCACAGAGCCAGTGAAACGTGAACATGCCAACTTGTCTTGGCCGTGGCCAGGCTGCCCAAGTAACGTGGGCCAGTCGACGTTGAGTCGATGTGCCATGGTTGACTCAGTGGCTTGCGGGGAAGTCTGGGTACATCTCATGGCACCGGAACAGGGAAGCGATCGACAGGGACGCGGCAACAACCTACCAGAGAAGCATATGATCTTCCTCTTTGTACCAATATCCGCAGTCGACACTGGCGTGTGAGTCTTGTTTTCCCGCAACAGGGTCTGAGCAATTTCGGATGTGCGTCTTTGGATAGCTGGGACGCCGGGACGCGACATGATTGATGGTGGACGATGGATTGGTTTGTGGAGTAGTCGTAAACCGGTGTATGTATGTATATCCAGCAAGTGGGACTTGAAGAGCGTGCAAAGTACTGTGAGCAGAATACAGAAAGCCAGAGAGATGCCGGGGAAGAAGTTTATTTTATATCTTCATCAAGGTCTTTCACAAGCCTTTGCAAATAAAAATGGGCCAGACTGGGAAGTTCACGATCGAGTTTGCTCCAGGCCCAGCTACATCATAGCTACAATACCATCGCGATCTCGACCCTCGGTCAGTGCGGAGTCTTCACCGGCTATGACATACGTGCCCGCAGCAGGCTCTATCGTGGGCGTGAAAAAGCCCAGGACCTGGGCCCAGACAGTTCCCGGCCCCTTCAACGAGCATGTGCTTTGCCGTGCGCCATGGTATGTATTGATGGCGTTGCCAGGCAGCAAGAGACCTATCGGCCACATTTTCCCAGGGACTATCCTCCGCTTTTGCCCCAGATCAGGATCGAGGGCAGGAATGCCGCAAGCTTAGCAGCGGACAACGACGTCAGAGGGCGTAAACCCAGGACCGAGTCGTTTCCACGTTGAGTAACTGGCGGTGTCACTAGCGTGGAATGGGTATCTGCGATAGTGGGGCACTGCAGGCGGAGGAGGGGTAGCATCGCAAAAAAAGCGGGTGGTGGTACATCGTCACAAGCTCGCAATGGCGTCTGGCCAGCGTGCGCGTGCCAGGAGGCTCGCTTGAATGATTGCACTGCCGCTGCAGCAGCTGCGCGAGTCCATTGGATCGTGGTAAAATCGGCGGAAACAAGGGCGACAGTTGGCGCTACTCGAGATAAGCGTGTCGGATTGGCGACCGAATCAGACGGCCGGATTTTTGACGTTCCTCTCGTCTTTCTCACCGGTGTCGGCGCAGACAGCGCGAATGCCTTGACTAGCAGATGCAGGCGCGAGTCGCTGCTGCCGTGTTGCTGGCGGCTGAAGCGTGCAACCCGCATGACGAGGGAGCGTTTCCCCGTCCGCGGGGTGAGGATGCAGTGGTGTGGGATACCCACACTGGAGTGGGTCAATCTTGGGCCCATCGACCATCCTCATCGGGGTTCCAGAACGACGACGAGAAGAGGCAAAAGGATAGCCAACCGGCTCGATCCGCGCGGAGGCTCTGCGGCCCCCCTTGGAGCCTCCGGAAAATTTGCTGTTACCTCAGCCTCTGCCTAGCCCGAGTCGCGCTCTTTGGGGGCTTTTTCCTCGCAGGAGATCCTTTCCGATAACCTTCGAGGCTGCATGGCTGGATTGGGGGCCGCACTGTCTCGACGATCAAAGACTATTGCTCCTTACCTCTCAACGTCACCGCCGTCGTCATGGGCTCTCACGTGCCGGATCCGCGGCGTGTCTCCCAGCCAGCGCCTTTTCTCCCGGGCGAGCTGAGAGCCCGTCAGCCGTCTCGACAAAAACACGCTGTGCTGCGCTCGCAACGGGGCTTGGCGGTAACGGTTGCTGCGGGTCTCCACATACGTCTCCTGCGGCGTCTTGGCTGCTGTGCAATCAGAATCGGCAGCCAGCCAGTAGCTCAAGTCAGTGCCGCCAGTCCGCCCCCAACGTGCAGCGAGTAGTGGTGCTTGAGGCCGAGCGGCGTAGGAGTGGGATGCGCTTGGCTTGACTCGGGCTAGTCGAGCGGTTGCGCACAAGCGGGAAGGTGGACGAGATGCAGCATTTGGAGGTGTGCAGGTCTCAACTCGGTTCGCTTAGGCCTGCGACATGGCATAACTGCAGAATTCAAGCGTCAATAGGGACGTAACTTATCGACGAGGACGTCCAAACAAGACATTCGCCTGCCTCTCCAGCACTCTCGCTATGGCGCAAGCGACTCGGCTTCGCCGCTCCGAAGCCTAGTCCAAAGGCGTGTCGTGCCCGCTCGCCCACTTCCCCGTTCTGGCCAAGGTAAGGGGCTACCGAAAAGTGTCAGGAATCCTATTTGTGTTCAGACAAGCAAGCCAGCGCAATCATCGCATACGGGCCTAAGGCCTGCGTGGCGAAACAGACGGGTGTTCTCAACGAGGAAAAGAAAGAGAGAGAAAGACGCACCGTCGAGCCAAGCAAAACGCTGGCTGCGCCGCCCTGAGTCGTGCATGCAGACAATGTTGCTCGACTTTTTTTTTTTCAATCCCCAGGAACAGCTCTAGGACAATCTCCCGGGTCCCGCCCGCGCAAACACGAGCGCTGGCTGGTCGGTTTCAACGGACCGAAACGTCGCGGACGAGAGGGTCGGTGTGCGGCGTAGGAGGCGATTTTTGATTGCCAATTGCCAACGCTAGAGTTTCAGAGCAGGCAGGTTCCGTACCGCCCGCTACACCCCATTTACAAGGGCCCCTAGCTCCAGCATGGGGGAAGCGGCACGGCCAGAAAACTTAGCATCCGTGGCCCAGCCATCAGGTAAGCCTCTTGCTGTGAGCACTGTCGCAGAACCAGCCACTAATTTTGGCCTGGCGTTGGCTGCCGCTCCATGCCGATGCACGACGAAGCAAGCATCTCTATGGCGTGTTGTTTTTGTGGCGCGCCAGCGTGCTTTAGAAAGTGGCACGGACGGGGGTAAGGTCCAGCTGCTGGGAAGTCGGGGCTAGAGCCGGCGGCCGGTAATCACTACACTATGCGGGTAGCTCTGCCCGGCCAATGACAGGCACCCCCCTCTCTGGCAAGTCTCTCTAGCTGCAGCCAACCACCAGGTGCAGCTTCGATGACGACGCCTTGCCAGTCCGCTACCCGATGCGGCCAGCGGCACCAGCGCTTCAAGAAACATCCTACAGCCGCAACAAGCCAGCAGGTGACCTCGGTCTTCGTGATGTTTCTCGCCGTCCAGGAAACATCGCTGTACCAATGATACGAGGAGCGTGTAAGATGTGTTTCGTAGCACCGGGGGAACCTTATCGCCGTCCTCTGGTCATGGGTGTAGCCGAAAGGCTGTTTCTCGGCCGAGGGTTTTCCCAAACGCTGATGCGTGATACCCCTATATTGCCCTCCACTATAGCACCTTCATTAGCTCGCAAAACGCTGGAGGCAGCGTAGCAGTTTGACGCTATCACCGGCCTGTGGGAGAGCCGAGCAGACTTTTCTGGGAAAGGCACGAGGCATCACGGTGCGGTCACTGTGCCGTATAGTGGTATTATTTTCGAGATAATATCATGCATAAGCCAAGCCGCATCTCACTTTTGTCGCGACTACGTTGCCCAAACCTACGAAAACAGAGAACATTAAAGGAAAAGGGTGCGGCTCGCCAAGGAGGAGGGAGGACGGGTACGTGAATCCGTTGTACTGCCTCAGGCCGGATGTGTCCTCCCTCGCCGGTAATGTAAGCGCAGAAAAGAAGTGTCGTCCTCGTGCATAAACCAGGACTGCAAAATAGTGGAAGTGACCAGGACAGAGGCGTGGCCTAATCCTCCGCTTTTAGGGTCCTCGTAGAAGATTGAGAAAACTGGTATCAACCGCCGCCGCCGCTGCTCCTGCCGTTAATAAAAAGAAAAGGAAAAAGAACACTCTGAAATGAAAGCGCGAAACAAAAGTCAAGAAAGCCCAATCGCAAATGCCGTGTGGTAAAAGGCACCCGCGCACTTTCGAACGCCGTATTTATGACATTTCTTTGCCCTGCTGGCAAGACGTATCCTCCGGTTGTCTATGGTCTTGACGAATCGTCCTTTCCATATGCTCGGCCGGAGCCGGTTGGGTATCACGCTCCTCATATTAAACCGCACATACGGAGGTTCTCCTGGATGATGATGTCTGCGCAAAGTTAGCATGTCGACACAACGTGGATGGGCTTGGGCACTGACCGTTGACGGCTGCCATGACGAATCTGATCTGCATGGTATCCGTGGCGCACGTGAAATGCGTGTAGATCTGCTTGGTCTCATGCTGGTTCAACGACACGAAGCGGTTGAGGATGTAATCGCAGGCCGCGGCGTAGTCGGAGCCGCCCTCGTAATCGGGGAAGTAGTTCTTCATGGGCGAAACGGGCAGCTTCTCCTTGAAACGATCGATCTTGTTCAAGAACAGGATGATGGACGTCTTCACGAACCATCTCGAGTTACAGATCGAGTCGAAAAGCGTCAACGCCTCCTGCATACGGTTCACCGTCTCATCTTCGAAAAGCAGCTGGTCGTACTCGGAGATGGCGACAAGGAAGAGAATCGTGGTGACGTTTTCGAAGCAGTGGATCCACTTCTTACGTTCCGAACGCTGACCACCGACATCGAACATACGGTAGGTGAGGTCGCCGATGATGAAGGTCGTCTCGGTAATACCGGTCGTCTTGACACGCGAGCGCAGGACATCCTGGTCGTTAGGAATGTAGTCGGGAGCGGCGATACGGTCGATCGAGTCGAAGTAGCTGTAAGGGGCTCGGGCGTCAGTAACCATCCGACAGCGTGGTGCGAACCTGCCGCATGCGAAATGAGATGATCGACTCACTATTTCGCCGAATCGTTGAGCTGGTACTCGCGCGAGCGCTGGAAACAGGCCTGCACGCCAGCGTCCTTCCACAGGGTGGCGATGGCGTTGCCAACCTCCGGGGGCAGGCTGTCGCCCTCGATCTGTGCGGGCTGCATGAAGATGGTCTGAACGTGGTACTCGCAGCGCTGGTCGTCCAATGGCAGCTCCAGGGACTCCATGGCCTCGAGGATGACGCGCATCGACTGCACCGTGTTGGAGAAGATGATTTCCTTGAAGGACTCGCGCTCGTCGCGCGAGTAGCCGCCCTCGTGGATGAGCTTCATCTGCTTCAAGATGGTCGACTTGCCAGATTCACCGGCACCTGCGGCGGCGGTCAGCAGGCGAGCCCCATCAATTGGCCCATCGCAGGCGGCGTCACTCACCCAGGAGCAGCATCTTGATCTCGTTGCGCTGCATCATCTTGTCCCGCTTGAGCTGGTTCTCAATCTCCTCGTTCCTCTGCTTCCCCTCCTTCTCTTCTGTGCTCATTCCGCAACCCATCTTGACTGGCGGTGCGCGGGTGTCTGGCAATCAAACTGGAAAATGGATGCGATGAAAATGAAATGCTTCCGCACAAAGGCCCGCAGAGGTACGGAAGGGCTGTGGTTGCATGCGAGTTAGCAAGGTCGGGGCTGTGCGTGAGCGAGGAGACGCGCGTGACGGGCGGCTCGAGGAGGCGGCGCGCGCGGCTCGGGACGGGGCAGCGGTGAGGAAGGAGAGTGTGCTGGCGCAGGCAATTGAGGCTCACCTGCTATTACAAGGAGATCGGGCGTGGTTCAATGAGAGAGGTGCACGACTCGACCGTCGCTGAGGGCGTGGCGCTGGGGTGGGAGAGTAGGAGTGGGCGCGGGTCGAGCAGGAGGGTTTGAGTTTCAGAGCGGTCGATCGTTGCCGAGGAGCTCAGGTGAAGGAGATGAACGGCAGGCGAGTCCGACTCAGCCGTCGGCGTGGGTAGGGAGCGAGCGGAAGAGAGGGTGCGGCTGGGGGGGCACGGGGGCGCGCTCGCAGGTCGAGTGCTGGCGCCAGTTATAACGCAGCTGGAGACGACAAGAGGCCGCAGGCGCGCAATGGGGGAGACGCAGTGCAACACAAGGAAAAGGACGGACGGGGAGGTGGACGGCGGGCTCAAGAGAACTGCGCGGATGCTGACTACGACGCGGTTAAGGGGAGCCCCAGCGGGCGAGGGCGGCCGAATCGGGGATAGCGGGCCAAGGAGACTTTGCGCCTGTCGAGGCTAAAGGCGAGCGATGGCGGATGTGGGTGGGCGAGATGTGCACAGCAAATCACCCAATTTCTCAGCCAGTGCTAACCCTCCGGCCTCACGCGATGGCACGCCGGCCTCAATTTGCGCGCCCGCCGCCGCCATGCCTAACCCGCTGCACGCCCGCGCGCTGGCCTCGCCGCCCGCCCGCTCCTCTCATCATCGCCGCATGTCGCCAGCCGTCTCCCGGCGCTGCGGCACTGCCTGTCGCAGGTTGCAGGTCGACGCGCCCCGCCGCCTGAGGTGCGTCTTGCCATGCCAGTCGAGCCGGCGCCGCAGATCAGACGGCGCCCGCCGAATCACCGGACCCTGGCCCGCCGCGCTGCAGCAGCCGTCGCGCACCCTCGTCCTCATCCCCGACGGGCCCAGTATCACCGCCCTCCAGCCCTTCCAGAACGAGGCTAGAAAAAGGGGCCCGCCCTGCGCGTCGCGGCCGCCTCGCCGGGGGCTGCCTGCGGTGTTGCACGCGGTCTCAGCGCGATACAAGAACACCCGCCCGCCCAAGCCCCCAGTGCCGTTGCGGATCGGTGGCCGCCCTGGAGCCCGGCGACGCTGCGGGCTGAGGGCTGCGTGCTGCGAAGCAACGATCGTCACGGTGCCGGCGTGCGGCGGCCGAATGCCCACATTCGTCGCCGCGCGCGTCCCAAACAGGCCCTGTGATCTGCGCCATTTGCCAATGGGAGGGCTGTCGGCAGAAGCGCTGGTCGCTTGCGCGCGCCCGCACTGCGAGAGCCTCGTGGCATCAATTTCCACGACTCAGGATCTCCACACCCTCCAGATGCGAGCCGCGGCCTCTAGCCTGATCGCCCCCTGTGCAGCATCGGATCTCCAGCGAGCCTCACCACCAGCATGCCCATGCCCGCGATGCCAGCCGGCTTTGCTGAAACCGGCCGCCTGCCGCCTGTCCTTGCAGATGCGTTCACACTCGGCTCTGGATCGGGGCAGCGCTGCAGCGGCCGCGGTGGAGCTCACTTTGTTCTGGAACCGTTCCTTGCATCTGGCGCACTTGATCCGCAAGGGCGCGATGGCCCACTGGCCAATGGCGCCTGTCCACGGCCAAACGCCTCCCAACCACCGCCAGCCCGCCTTACGCCACACCGGACAGCTGGACCAACTGTTTGGCCGACGGGAAACTCTCCTGCTGCTCCGCTGATCCAACGTTCGTCAACTGTGCCTAGCTCTGGCGCCAGGCTCCCCGCCGAGCGTCTAGAAAATTGCCCGCACGAACGGCAGGCTGGTAGGGATGTCGGGATATTTTGCCATGTGGTCGTGAAACTGCCACCGCCTGCTAGTCTGCTATCCGGGGAACGGCAGCTGTCAAATTTCGATGCTCGCCCACCATCTCCCAACATGGCATTTATCCGGGGAAACCTCGTGCGGTCATCTCACTTGCCAGAAAACGGTCCACTAATGCTTCATGCACCGCGCATCTCATCTCCTGGTCTCGCCACAGCTACTCGACCGCTCTTCCTGGCAGTTCTGACTCTCCTGCAAGAACAGAGAAAAAAAAAAGGCCACATGGCCTGGACGCCTGGTCCTGTCTGCTGGTACAGGGTCCTGCCGAAATGTGACCGTGTGTATATGATCTGGCAGCAATGCAGTGCCCATTCGTCCGAGTCCCTTCTTTATCAAATCCATCTCGTTGTGCGCCACCGTCTTTCTCTATGCCAAAAGTCTATTTTTTTCCTCAAAAGGGAGAGAAAAGATGATCTGCTCCGGCTAGCGCCTATCCATTGCGCAACGCTGTCTCAGGTTTCACTTTTGCCCCTTCTTCGCTTCGTCTCCACCCCCAGCAACCCCTACGTGCTGCTTTTGGCCGACGCTCTGTTTACCCTGCTCCCCTCTCAGCCACGAGGGTGAAAGGAACAGGGTGGCGATTACGAGTAAGCTACGCAATCTACCCTTGTTTGTCTCCGGACCGCACGCTTGTCACCATTAAGCATCGCGCATCGGAGCGATCTGCTGGCAATACAGCCTCGGTATCTGGCGCTCCCCTTGTCCCTCGCTTCGGACACGTCCCAACCCCTATATACATCGGGGTTAACGAGCGACCGTTGTTTCCGGGTGATCGGCGGTGGCTTGCTCTTCCTCTGTCATGGAATAATGACGAACTGCTTCAGAAAAAAGCGCCGAATTAACGGAGGACGAACGGACGTTCTCGAGGTCTCACCTTGTCAAAGCAGGGACGCAGAAGCATCAGCCCTACGGCCTACCAACCGATGACAAAACCCCACTTGTACGAGCGTGCGCTCATGCATCATCATGCGCTGACGATGAACGGTCGGGATAGGGGCCCAGAATTCCAAAATTGTAAAGGAGAGCGAGCACCGTGCTCTCACTCGTTCATTATCCTTCCTTCATCCGCTTTGCCCTTCATCCACTCCACGAGTAATCATAACTCGCTGTTAGCGTCGCGGAGCTAATCGAAATAGTAGGGGAGCTGACCTTTTTTTGTGGCTTGCGGTCCTTCGAATAGCTAGCGCGACAGGTGGGTATTTCGGCTGAGGTTACCCGCGGGTACCTGGTCTTCGCTCCTTCGTGTGCCTGGCCCAGCCCCCCTTCGATAGCGCGGCCTCTCTCAGAGTGCGAGCGACACTCTTTGGATGATTAGTGAATACGACCGGCACCGATGAAAGAAAGCGAAAACGACGAGTCGGCTTATCTTTGGTTTTCCATGCCCACGCAAACAGCACTCTCATATGCGCCGCACTTTTGCGCCGACATTCGAGAATAACCCGCAGATCGTCGCTCGCTCGCCTGCTTACCGAAAGTGGTTCTACTCAGGCGTTTCCCTTTGATGTCACTAATGGCCGTGCCCCGTGTTCGCACGCGCGCGCGCGAGCTCCCCTCTTGCCCGTTCGCTCGCTAACAAACGGAATTGTATGGCCATAAACAGCATGGCGGCAAGGGGAGATGAGCGTGCGTGACGCCGAGTCCCGTGAGGAGGCCAGTGCTGCATACGTACCACGATTGCTAGCGATCACCCTCTTCATCATGACATCCTCAAACTAGCATTCACAGTCCAGCCGACCAACAAGCGGATGCGGGGTTGAAAATAGGGTCTCACCTTCCCCGATTCGAGTTGCCGAGACCCTGGATCTGAGTAGGCAAACTCTATCACAGGTTGCGAGAAGCGTTTCTTCCTCGCTGCTCCCACCGCCTCTGCTACTGCGATATTTTTGTTTTTCCCTCCTCCTTCCGAAGACCGTACCTTTACCGTACCGTGCTGTAACCGCAAGCACGGTCGTCGTCACGCGCATCACGGACATAAAATGAATGAACGCATGCGCCAGTAGCGGAAATAACTCCTCCTTGCACCAATCCTAGACATTAGTCACCCAACCCACACGCGTACACACAGACGCACGCACGCTCGTCACGAGGAGCCCACATGCTGCGTCGGAAGGTTTAGCGGTAAGGCCCGGCGGTGAGAGCCGACATCAAGAATAGATTCCGTGGATTTCAGACTTTGGATTCACAACTTCACCTTCACACACTCATTCATCTTCCAAGCGCAAGAGGCGAAATCGATGCCATTTGAATGAACCCAGGCAAACCCAATTTTACCACACGAAACAGGCCCTCCTCATCCTTCCAGATTTTTTGAGTTTCGTAAGTTGACATTAACCAAGAAAAAGGTGGAAAAGGCAAGAGGAGGCAAGTCTGAACGCCAGATCCATGCGCCAAGAAAACAGAAAACAGGCAGCTCAACTCGAAGGAGGAGACACAGCAAAACGCTCAAGGAGATATCAGAGCAGAGCAACGCTTCAACGCTGGCAGGCGGTAAACAACAAGGAGAACAGAAAATACTCTGGGGAAGAGCGGAGGATCATGACCTACACAACCCAAAGGGAAGAAACAGGCAACGTAAAACAGAAGAGGAAGAGTACATGACTTTGGCCATTCCCCTTCTTTTCCTCCCCAGGTGAGGTGGAGATAAAAATGGAGCAATGCAGGAAACAAGAATTAAACAACCAGGAAACAACAAGACGCTCGACTTGAACACCTTTTCCAACGCGCTACTGTCATATCCCACCCCTTTTGAACACCAGTCTAGAATGCTCCCGCTTGGTCTATACTAAATGCAGCAAATGATAAAAGAACGACACGGTCTAAGTATGCTGTTCGTTTGCGGAGAAAAAAAAAAGAGAGAATGGTGGGTGGTATCAAGGACAGAAAACGAACGATCTAACGAAACACGCAATCGAGAAAATGCATGACGAGATGGAGAATACCAGACAAACGAACGCTCAGAGTCATGACATGAGTTTGGAAGAAAACAAAGAAAAAGCACACTGTAAAGAGATGGCTCAAGGGAAGGATGCGATGCGGGATCGAGTTGTGGACATCGACCAGCGATGACGGTGCTTTTGGTGAAGGTAAGCTGTCTCGACATTCTCCTCCTGCTGGCTTAGAAGCTGAACAAACCACTCCTCTTCTTGCCGAAGGGATAGATGACCAACGCGCTAAGGAACAGACCAACGGTGATGCCGATGGCAACCTGGATGACAGAGTAACCAACAGAGAACGCGGCGCTGTTGACGGTGCCGTCGGCCTGCAGGTCCGTCGTGGTACCGGTGGTGTTGTGCACGATCTGGTCGGCAGAGGTGATACCGGAAATCAGCGAGCCCGACACAGCCAGACCGGACGGGACCTGCACGAAGATAGCGGGCAGCATGGCGGCAGCGGCAACACCATAGCCGACCTTGCGCGTGCGAGGCGTGTAAATCTCGGAGGAATTGGACGACGAGGGCGGCAGCATATCCTCGGCCACCTTGTACGACTTGCGCAGCTCCTCCTTCCTGCCGGTGACCTTGCGGCGCAGGGAGCGGTAGCGAGGGCGCACGTGGTTCTCGTACAAGTCGAGGAAGAAGTTGTCGGCCTTGGTGCCGAGACGCGAGTACAGGTTCGCCATGGCGCCGATGGCCAGCGCGCCCAGCGTGCTGCTGATCTGCGTGTTGCCCTGGAAGCGCTCGCTGCTGAACTTGGTCACGACGTAACCGCCAAACGAGATGATGACCATGACGGGCATCTGCTTCCACTTGGCCTGGTTGATGATGCACAGGCAGATGGTGAAGGCGGGCACGAAGAAGAAGGTGTAGTTGGTCGGCATCTGGCTGCTGCACTGGTGCGCCGACGTCGCGCCCTTATCCATGACACCGAAGAGGACGATGCCTATGGTCATGCCGAAGCCGAGGAAGAGCGAGTAGATGATGGCGTAAACCATGCGGACGGAGCCGGCGACCAAATGTTTGGACTGCAATTCCGAAGAGGCACACAGGACGATGTAACCGGGAAGAATCAGAGCGATACTGCTTTGGGCCAGAGCGGAGAAGCAGAAGACCGAACCACCCTTGATCGAACCGAAAGCACGGGCAAGGAAAGACGTCAGGACGGCAGCGCTGATCTCGAAGACGTTGTTGAAGAGTGTGGATGATGGGGCGGCGATCTGTTGCAGGAAGCCAACCAGACATCCCAAGAGGAAACAGATGGGAAGGTCGATCAGCCTGGCCTGAAACGCGAATGGACCAACGGATGCAGATGCGAGACCGTACATCACGACCAGGAACCACGGCTTGAACTTCTGAGGACGTTTCATGATCTCCTCGAGGCGTTGGGTTGCCTCCTCGACACCGATCCGGTCGTGCACGACATCCTTGTAGCAAGCATGCGTCTCACGCAGCTTGCCCAGGTCAACGCCCTGGCTCTCACGGACGAGCTTGACCTCGGTCGTGTGAGTGGACGAGTCGTCGAAGGAGATGATCATGCAGCCGGGAATGTACAGGAACTGGCTTTCGATCTCGAGAATGCGGGCCGACATCTTCATGCATTCTTCCAGACGATGCGTCGGGGCACCATACTTCATTAGCGCCCTGCACAGCTTCATCAAGTACCGCTGGCGGGCCATGACTTCGGAGATGTGCACCGTGATGCGGATTTCGTCCTCCAGGCGCGGCTTGCTCAGGCGTTGCATGGCGGACGTGATGGCGCCACCACTGCGCGACCGCTTACCCATGCCGGGCCGCGAGGCGCGCTTCATCTGGTCAGAAACGCCATGCTCGAAGTCGATGGACGTGCCCGGCGAGGCAAGCATGGATGACGAGCCGACCAGCTGTGCCAAAGAAGTCTGCGACTGCTGGGGAGGATATTGGCTGCGGTGGTACCAATGCCTCTTCTGGCCCGGGGTCACGGGAGTGCTGGTACCAGAGGCTGGAGGAGACTGCTGAGGCGTTCCAATGGCAGGCGTGATGCCACCGGGTGTGGACATGCCGCTGCCCAGCGTCGTGTTGCTGTTGGTGCGGGAATGCGCCCACTGGTTACCCTGCATGCCGCCCTGGAAGCCACCTTGGGCGCCGTAGAGGTTGAGCAAAGCACCGAAGATGCCGCCACGGTACCTGGGAGGCGGGGCGACATAGTCGTCGAAGGCCCGCTCCATGGTCGGGGTGGTAGGTCTTGAGATGAAAGGCGTGGGCTCGGCGTGGAGGGAGGTTCTTTCGGGACCTTTCCGGGTGTGGTTCCTCACAAGCTTCTTCGCCTCGTCCAGCGTGCTTTCCCTGGCCTTCCTCTTGGCCAATGCGGCTTCGTCTTCCTCCTCGTCATTGGAAACGACATCCTCAAGTAAGACGGTCTTGCGGCTTCGCTTGGCGCCTGCAGCGAACGTCTTCGGTCTCGAGGGTCCGGCCTCAGCCCTCTTCTCCTCGAACGAATTCCTCCTCGACGACGGCGCCGAGGCACTACCCACGCTCTTAGCCAACCGGTTGGCTCGATCCAGGGCCTCGTTCCTCGATCTCTTCGCGGGCGTGTCTTCCTCATCCGAGTCTGGGGTGGAGGAGAAAGGGTTGTTCATGCGGAGCGATGGGGTCTTCCGGATGGCGGGCTTGGGCTTGGCGGGCAGGGGCTGCCCAAAGGCCTTGTGCACGGCTTTGACGAGCTCATCAGGAGCCGGAGGGGCGCTCTGGCGGGTGGGCGTAGGCGAGAGGTAACCTTCTCCAAGAGGGGTGGTGGCGCCCGAAGTGGGGTTCGAGGGGAGAGCGCCGTAGGTGGAGTAGGGTCGCGGTTGCAGGTGGCCACCGTCTGCGGGCGTGTCGTCGCCGGAAGAGGGAGCGGAGGTGAAGCCCACTCGCTTGCCCTTTGGCTTTGTTTCGCTGGAGGCGGTCATGGGCTCGTCGGGGGTGCTGGAGCCGTCGGTGATGATTTGCGGGACGGTTCTTCTCTTGGTGTCATCATCCTGGTGGTCACTGCCATGGTTTGGCCCGTCCCTGGAGTTGGAGGCCATCTCCGCAAAAAGGTGCCAGTCTTCGGCGGAGTCTTCGGCGGAGGCGAGGTGCCATGGGGGATTCATATGTGCGGGTGGGTACGGAGGAGCTATGACGTTCCCACTCACGCCGCAACAAAGAAGACCAGCTGATGCGAGGCGAGAGGGTCAGATCTACGCTCTGGACCACTTGACTCGGCGGTGTATGGGTCCGGATGTACGTGGAGGGTGGGAACCGCACAGGACAAAGATGCTGGCGAGATTCGAGGTGCAGTCGGGCCTCAACAGGTGGCGCTTTTTTTTGAGCCCGGAACGGGGGCAAGTCTCACAATGCGTGGTGGGTTGGGGAGTGCTTGACGAGAGGGCAATTTCAACGGAGCGAACGTGCTCTGCGCGCGTGCGAGCGGCGGGATCGGCTGGGTATACGGGCTGTGTTGGAGGTGGCACGGGAGTGGTGATCAGGGCGGGTCCTTAAAGCAAGACGACACAACACCAGGAGAGCCGTGGCTCGCACTTGGTTCCCTGGCGTCGGAGTCGTCAGCGTCGCCATCGGCATCACAGCAGCAGGGAGGCTAGCGGGGATGACCGTCTCGGCACCAGCGCGTGCGGTCGCAGTCTTGTCGGGGTTTGGCAGACCCACAAAATCTACATTTTTCACGAGGAGTCGAGCCTGTTATTTTTATTCTCTGCGGCTCTCCGGGCCTCTCTCCCCACTGGCAGCGAGCGGGAGCACAGAGCACGGCTCCCATGGCGTGCACGCCGCCCACTGCGGACGCGTGTAGGCCGACCATCACCATCACTCCTGCGTCTCCTGCCTGCACTCCTTGCGGCTCTGTCCTCAGCATGCCTGGCGCCACGCCGATTTTTGCGCTTCCCGGCCTCGCGGCGCGGCGCTACTCTCGGGCGGCGGCTTCGGGAGGTGTGCGCTGGACGGCGACGGCATGGCTGGCAGTGGCCGTCGTTGGATCCGGCCGGCGTGACAATGGGGCCGTATCTCCTGCCATACAGATCATGGTCCGTGGGGAGGTTTGCTAGTGGGCGGATAGCAATTCGTGTCGCAGCGCATGTGAATGATCTGCCGCTACGTGCTTCGAGAACGCTCTGCAGTCCGCGCCGCTTATCAGCGCGCGGAGCGCCATTGCTCGGGGGCGCTGCGCCAAAGCGCCCCTCTAAGATTTCGAAATTTTCCGCCGTCAGCTCGGGCTTCGAGAGCTGCCGGCATTTGAAAGATTGCTCATGGCCTAGAGCAAGAAAAAATGTTCGCCGTTGCCGCTGGTTGCGATCCGTGGTTCGCGAGCAGCTGCGTGCCCGCCAAACAGGTCAGGCGCGGTGGCGTCAGGCCCCTTGATTCGCTGTCTCCCTGCAAGTGCGCTGCACGCCATCGGCCGCCGCGGCTTGCCGTTCCCGGCCTGCCCGTGTCGCCCTGCCATGGCCTGCCGCGAGCTTGGCTTGATTGCAAAAACGCCACGGAGGCTAAGTTGACGGTGCGCGCTGCGAGCCAGCAGGTAAGCCGAGCGAGCACGCAAGCAGGTAGGCCGCAAAGCGACAGCACGGTGATCGCGTTTCAGCATCATTCCACAGACTTCGAAGTCAAAAGCACCATGGGCCAGTCGAGGGTAAAAAAGTGGCGCTGCGCGGGAGCGCTATCCAGGCCACGAGGGCGGATGCGCTTCCGGCGCCGGGCTCTCCCTGCTTGCGTTGTAGTGTTGAGCAGGCCTGAGGCTTAGACGTACACATAATCCCCTTTGACCGGTCGGCCCTCAGGATCGAGCCAGCACGTCACAGCGGTCAGGGTGCCAGCAGACAGCAGGTTTCAGCGGACGCGCGAGCACGGTGGATGACTGTGGGCTGGCGGCTGCTTTTCTGCTCAGCGTGTAAGCGCCGCCCGTCCGCTGGCCCGCCGAGCGCTACCGCTTGTGGCTTGACCCGCTCCCAAAACCGTCCGCCCAGCGCTTAACCGCAGCTTCGCCGCCAACCTGTCTGCGTGCCGCCAACCTGTCGACTCGACGGAGCCAACGAGCGCTCGCCTTGGTGCGGCGAGGCGCCTCGCTGCAGTCGCCCTGCGTTGCTATGTGCAGCGGGCGCCCTATGGCAGTGGTGCAAAGAATAGCCTCCTTTGCTGGGCGCTTGTTGGTGCCGCGACCGAGTACATATCAACAAACCTTTCGCTCAGCCATACCCGCCATGCATGCTCTTTTGACACAACAATTGTCTGATCGATTTTTTTTCTCTTTTCTGGGTCCTTTTCGTTTTGTCTCTTTTCCGCCTAGTCCCACTGACCAGCCGTTGACCGGCCGCTAATAATCCAGCCCGACTACATACGCTCCTTAGCTAAATGCCTTAATACTCAATTAGGCTTCTTTCAGGTTCGTGCCACGGCCCGCGCCCCGCGGCGGCCGCCGATTTTAACGCAAGAATGTGCAGTTCTGTAGAAATATGTTTCCCGCTTTGCATAAAAAGTTTATCATCTTCACGCCGTCACTCGCCTCAGCATTCCCGCAAGCCACCTCAACACAGCTTAGCACGACAACGACCCAGACTTCGACCGCGCTGTCTCTGCCGACGGTCCTGCAAGTCCTCGTCCCGCAATGCGCACAGAGCTGTTTCCAGTCGATCCTGTTCGATCAGTGGCCTTTGGGTTGTGCGAGTTCAGGTGATCTGGAGTGTCTGTGCTCCCAGTATAGCACCACTGGGCTTACCTTGGGAGAAGCGGCTTATGGCTGCGCCTTCACCTCGTGTTCCTCATCGGTTTCCGGCCTGGCAGCGACGTACGGCATATGTTCCGATCAGGACGGCGCTGTGGCACCTACGCACAGCACGTTAACGTTCACGGCTCACACCACGAGCACTACTGCATCGGCTGCATCGTCGACTCTGATCAGCAGCTCCACTCATGGCACGAATACGACGAGCACGCGGAGCTCTTCGACCTCGTCCACTTCATCGTCGCGCACTAGCTCCCGCTCGACCTTGGAAACGTCTACGACGGCCGCGTCCACCACTTCTGGGGCGGCGTCCACGACTTCTGAGGCGGCGTCGACCACCTCTGAGGCCGCGTCATCCACCACTTCCCAGTCCTCGGCCTCTTCCTCGGCTGCGGCGGCTGCGGCAGCATCGTCATCGGACCATGGCAGTGGACTGAGCACCGCTCAGATCGTCGGCATTTCTGTGGCCAGTGTTGCGGCAGTTGTCTTGGCAGCGGGTGTGCTGTTCGTGCTCGCCTGCCTGCGCAAACGCGACAGGAAGAAAGAGGAGGAAGTCGCCGAGAAGCAGGGAATGTCAGCCTTCGCATTGACGCCGCCATCGCACGACAGTGTCGCCATGTCCCCGTCTGCCATGGCACAGTTCCCATCTCCCCCACGCGATCGCAGGGATCCGCGCGGCGGGACAGGCGTTGGCACCGGTGGAATGACCAACCCGCAGGTGAGAGTCGTCGATCCGTCTCCGCCGCGGCACCAGCGGACCCCGACGCCGCTGGAGAGCATCGGCCTTGCCATCACTGAGGACTCGCCAGCCGCGAGCTTCTCGAGCGACAGAACTCGGCTCCTGCCAGACAAACCGCAGCCGGTGCATCCCCGCAAGCCTCTGCCTGTGCAGAAGTCTCCGGTGCCTACTTCGATGCCCTTCATTGAGAAGAAGAAGAAGAAGCAGAGGGACAGCTCGATGAGTCAGGGCACCCTCTTTGAGGAGGACACCGCCGTGCGCAAGTCCATGTATCCGGTACGAGCGGTGCAGGTTCCCCCGCGCCAAGATGCACCCGCCAAGGTTCCGCCCGTCAGGCCCTACAGACCTCCGCCGAGCTTTGCAGACGCATACACGGAAAGCCCAGTAGAAAGTGCTCGGCAGCCGTCATTGTCTCTCGCGATTCCTCCTCAGGGACGCCAAATCACACGCCAGCCGACTCCTTCTCCCCCGCCAATTCCGTCTCCGTTAAGGATCGGAGTAGCAAGACCGCCTAATGTAGCTAAACCGCCGCTGCCATTGTACCATCCGCCCGCGGCACTGCCTGCGGCGCTTCCGCCAGCTCCACACAGCGGCAGCGCTTCGAGCGGCAGCACCAAGTTCACCGGTACCAACTCCACCGCCAGCTCATCTTACATCCCGGCGTATTATACCAGCCCGCCGACGAGCATTATGCAAACGCCGCCCGAGAGCTACACCGGCTTCACCGGGCCGCAGCAGCCTCCGCAGGCTGGTGCTGCTCCTCCGGTATTCCTCGGCCAGCCCTCGTCTGCTTCGCGCCCGTCTCCACAACGGCAAGCTCAGACCAATGCGACGGCCCCACAGCCCATGCACATGCACCAAACGCCTGCTGCTGTTTCTGCTGTCGCCCAGAACCGGGGAGTGCCGCCCCAGCCGTCTTTCGCGCATCTTCCCGGGGGAACGACTGGCCAGCAAGCGCCGGCGCCGCTGCAGGGCTCGCAAGCGAACCCACCCGCCCTGCGTCAACAGCCCCCACCACAACCAGCTGTCGGTCAAGCTGTTCCTGCTGCTGTTCGTCATGATCACCAGCAGCAACAGGATCAGAGGCGTCAAGCACCACCGCCTGTTCCCAGCGCTGCCAATCATCGCAACGGCCCGCTCCCTCCTCCGTCATGGGCGTCATCGACGCCGTCGTCGTCGACCGGACAACCCACTGCCAACCAGGGCAGCCAATACCACGCCTACAGGCCCCCACTCCCGCCTCAACCCCGGAGCCCGCCTCGTCCACCCCGCCAAACGGCACGTCCACCGCTCGTCAAGGGTCCGCAGCGCTCCACGTCGAGCGCGTCGATGACGTCCTTCGAGAGCGCGTCTCCAGGTGACCCGAGCCCGCCGGCCGAGGAAGAGTCCGACACGTCGGCGAAGCAATTGGGAGGCGATAGTGGAAGCCACAGCCATCATCCTCACGCGACCGTCACGGCACCGGCGTCATCGTCCACACTGAGGCTGAACACCACGCCGCCACAGCAGCACAGTGACCGCAGCAGTGTGGAAGACAAGAGCCCAATCTCGGATATCAAGTATCCCAAGGTACCTCGCGCGAGCAATCAAGCGGTACCGAGAAGCAGTCCGAATGCTGGACCGAGAACGGCGACGCCCAGTCCTCGCGTGAAGCAACACGAAGGCGATGGCGATGTGGGAGGCAGCACCGGTTCACCCAAGGGAGGGTTGCAGGCACGTCGCGGCCGCGACGGGAACGGCCTGTTGATCATCGACAGCGGCGCGAGCACGCCGTCACCGCCCAGGGCCAACAACGGTCGTAAGACTACCCCGACGAAAAAGGCGGCTGGCGGCAGAAGTCCGCACACGCCGCAGGGGCAGATCATCAGGGGCGACGGTGCGCAGCAGCTCGACCACGACCCGGACCAGGCTCGCAAGAGCAGCGCCGCGCTGCCGCCCGAGCAGCAGCTTCCGAGCTGGCCGGGGCACGAAGGAGGTGGTCAGGGTGATGTCGCCATCAAGACCCCCATGTGGGCGCCAAAGTTGACGCCGACCCGGCACGGAGACAACATGTACCTCGCGGTGGCGTATGCCAAGAAGGAGGGCATCTCTGAGTAAGTGAGTTGAATGAGTGAACGACGGCAAGAAGTCAAAAAAAGCGGAAAACTGTTTCTTTTGCATAGATCTGAGTCATTTTTCCTTTGGGTTTCATCTGCATGAGCATCGGCATTAGCATTTGTTTTATATAGCATGGCGACGGCGTTATTTCTGTTTCTGCTTTCCTCGTCTGATATTCTTAATTTCTTTTTCTCCCTTGTCCGCCTCATTGCCTCTCATCATTACCATCTTTAGGAGCTTTTGCTTCCGACGTCGGTACGAAAGACATGTGGGCTATCTGTACGAGTACGAGTATGAAGGAAACGTGTCTCTCACCGTTTTTCTTTTCGTTTCTCCTTTTTTTTCTGCTTCGACGACACTCTTTTCCTACTCCCGAGCAGACTTTTCCTTTTTTTTTTTGGTACCATAGGTGACGCCATTGGCTGGTTCCAATGGCGGCGCTTTTACCTAATAATGTATGAGGGCGTGTGTCTCTGGACTGCGGTGGGCGGTCATCCGGAAGTGGGTACGAGGGAGGGACGCTGGGAGAGGGGGGAGGGACAATATCGTGCGGAGGTGATGGTGGATGGGTTGGTCTGCGGCAGTGAGTTGGCGTTTCATACGCAAAGCGGTTACGCCAAAGTCATGTAGTTGTACGTAGAAAAAGTAAGCAATCAGAGAGTGATTGAGCGTGGCTTTTAGCCTGAGGGATTTCTTGTGTCTTAAAGTCTCAAGTGAAGCATAGGATGAGATGAGAGGTGCTCTTATAATCTCATGAAGTGTGACTTGAATGTGTTGGTATTGCGCAAATGAGTAGAGTCTGAACAAGAATCATTGTAGTTGGAAGAAAGCAGGAATGGAAAGAGAAAACACAAGGGTATCTGCACGCCTGATGGAAGTTCTACCGCACACAAAGCTGAAAATTTTCGCTGGCCCCTCGGAGGATTCTTTCCTTTTATTGTCAATGTGGAGGGTGTTAGTGATTCAATAATATCGTTGATATAGCCGTGTTGGCTTCTGAACAAGACTTTGGCAAACCCTAAAGGCTACCAAGAATCATAGTCTTTCAAGTGATGAGGAGCTCCGATGTGACAAGTTTTTTTTTTTTTTTTTTGAGAAGCAGTATGGTTGATAACAAGACGTACTCTGTAGCACTATAATTTCCAGGACAGTGTCGAGCCATTGTAGATGACCTGGATTGCTTTTTCTGGGAAGTAGAATGAAAATGATGACACTGTCGATGCACTGCACACTTGTTGAGGAAACAAATCAGAGAAGAGAGAGGGCCATCATGAACCGTCCACTGATGGTTGACGTGGCAGTCCCTTTCGACGTCGAGGAAGTAAGTTACGAAGTCAGTTGCAGTCATGTGCTAAAGTCGGACGATGTCGGGCTGTCACTTTCCGTGCATCTGACAAACATACACACGCTCGATTTTCTCTAGCACCAAGGCAACCAATAGAATCATTTTCTTGAAGAATACGAGCGCCGCCATGAATTCACTGTAGTAATGTATGTACTCGACGAGTTGGGTATTCCCAGCCGGCTGAATAGATATAAAGTTTACCCCAAGAGATCCTTTGGTAAGTTTGATGACGATTCGTGTAGGGTTTTCTCTGGGCACTACCGAAAAACCTTTCCACGTGCAAACCCAGATCTCTCGAGATGTTCCGAAGGCTTTCCGTCTCACCGGTTCCTCTGCAATGGGGTTCTATCTCCACATGGAGGAGGTCTGTCAAGGCCGGATAACAGTAATTAATAATTAAGCGGGATGGCAGCGCAAAAGGTGCCATACTTGGATCTTTGAGCTCTTTTAGTGACCACACATCCGTGTTAATCAGGAAAGATTTTCTGACGGCCTGGAAGATCACCCATCCATGTCCACTGGGATGTCCGGAGATTAGAAGATCGCCGGAGAGCTCTTGGCCTACATGCTTAGCAGAGCAGTTTTAGTCAACGTGCATCGTATTACCGAAAGTCTCGTCACCAAGGTTCAGTTCTGGAAGGCGATACTAGGTGTATCCCTTTGACGCGACCCTTCTTGAGAGGCTCAAATCTGAGCTATCATCTGTACCTGCATTCTCAGAAGTTTCAATATATCCAAATTTCCACACATGTAACTATCAAGAAAACACATGTCACGTCGTTGTCTGAAAGTGCCAGCCTTTGAAAGTGCCAGCCTTAGAATGTGTTCAAGTATGACTGGCACAGAAACTCGTGATACCCCTTTCTCCGCGCACAGGGATTGGGCAGCTCAGTCGCATCCCGGATTTCTCGGCACCAGTAGTAAGCGCAGTTGAAAGCCGCCTAAAGCCTCACGAAAGTAAGCAGTAGCTTAATAACAGTACGGGAGGCGGTATGTATGAGCCTTTATTGAGTCAGGCACTTACCAAAGTGGCACCGTTGCTTACTCTCGTGTCCAGAATCGTACACCCACCTTCAAGCCCAACATGTTCCCTTCTCTACATAGCTCCTCACATTGAGTGAAATGTCCCGTGTATCAAGTTGGCCGTTTGCTCTATCTCATAATATGTCCAAGTGCCATGGTCGGGTAAAAGGTGATGGCGCAGATCCGGCCGGCCCCGCATCTTTCCCCAGAATTTTTGGCCACCCACATTCGTATATGACGATCTGTCAAACTCAGGTACCGGTTATGGTCATCGCAGCTGCCGCTCTCCATACGGTTAGTTCCTCTGCGGGAAACCGGAGAGCTCAATTCCCCTTTGTGGCGTTTTGATTTACCTCCGCACCAAACCTTAACCGGTACGTCTATCACCCGAACACCACCCAAAATAAGTAGATCGCCAACACACCCGTTCGCCTTGGCGGCAACGTCAAAACCCTAATCGGCATCTCACCATACCGTATTTGGCTAACACGTGCTCGTGTCTGCAGGGCAACAGTGATCTTGACAGGCACCAACAATTCTTTGAGTTAATAACTTTGTTTGCACAGAGGGGAACAAAGCACACGCTCAGCGAAAGCAAAATGCCCAGCGAACAGCTTGGGCTCAACCATGCAAAGCACCTCTCAACAGTGCTCCGCGAGCATCCGTTCGTTGGCCTCACGGCGGAAGGCTGTCTTGATTCTGCACGTGAAGAACCAGATGCTCATTTCGTGACATCTATAAAGAGATCATGTTTTCGCGGACTTCAGAGGAACCAGCAACCACCAGCTCCACAGTTCACTCCTTCAGCTCAACAGCTCGTCAGCACTCTTTCAACCACCCACGAGCCCTGCCTCCGGCCTTCGCAAGCAAAGACAGTTTTCGCCCTCAAATAAAAACAAAAACACTGCCAACTCTTCCCTTACCAAGATGAAGGCCTTCACCCTCGCTCCCGGCGCCGCCGGCCCTGCCCTCTTGGCGACCCTGCTCGTCTCCTCCCGCCTCGCCGGCGCCGTCCCCGTCGACACCTACGGCGATGCGCCCGATATCATCGGCCACGGTGGTATCCCCGACGAGTGGAGGCCCCCGGCGCCCTGGGCTCCTCCCCCGCACTTCGACTGGGACATCATCGGCTACGGACCCCCGCCGCCTTCGCCTCCTTCGCCTCCTTCGCCCAAGCCCCCGGCGCCGCCCGCTCCCGGCCCCGTCTACAAGCGCGAGGCTGGCTTCCTGCCCGCCCCCGTTCCCGACCTCCCCATCCCTGGAGACCTGCCCATTGGTGGTGGCGCAGGTTACCCTCCCAGCGGCCCCAAGCAGCCCCCGTTCAAGCCCGAGGGCGGCAAGCCTCCGTTCAAGCCTGAGGGTGGCAAGCCTCCGTTCAAGCCCGAGGGCGGTAAGCCCGGCAAGGAGACCCCTACTACGCAGATCTGCTCGGACAACACGAACGTGGCGGCGTGCTGCTCGGGTCCTGAGTGCTCCGTGATTCCCTTTGGCATCCGTAAGTAACAGTCTTTTCCCTCTCCCTCATTCTGTTTGAGCAAAGGCCAGTGGCTAATGGGGTGTGTGAAAAAAATAGTGAGCAGCCTCCTCGACGTCGGCGGTATCGGCCTCCTGGGCAAGAACGGTTGCCAGGCTGAGCAGCAGATCAACTGCTGCCCCCAGAACGGTGGCGGTCTTCTCAACGTCCAGAGCTGCGGCCCCCTGGTCGATCTTATTTAGATGGCTCACCCGCCGCCTCGTCCGTTACACCCAAGGTGTGCCGGCAGAAGGGAACACAGGCTCAAAGGGGATGTAGCAAGGAAAGAGTGAAAATAAAAGTTGGGAACAGACGAGGACTAGTGTGGACTTCTCGGCCACGTCAAAACCATCATTCCTTGCTCTTCCCATTTCGCATTTACTTCTTAGATTCTTATTCTAGGACTTCGGGTCCTTAATTCTTGGCATTCTATTCAGTAGCCGTCCGTTCATTCTAGGGTTGAAAATTGTAATAATTAGCTTGCGCATTTGTGCTGGACCAGTGATTGTGGTGACCCGCTCATGCTTCGTATTGTCTTGGAATGTGGTGAAGAAACCTAGAAGGAATTAAAATGAGAAAAGGCCAGGGGGACAAGGACTATTTCAAGTCTAATAGAGGTTAAGTTTGACCTTGGGCGTTGTGACTCTTGCCCCCTTCGGACGAACGGCAACATCCGATCTATAATCCGTGAGCTCTCTTTTTTCCGGACATCCTCCGGAACGGCATCGGAGAGTTATGGCCATTGTGCGACACCGATGGGGGAATTTAGCGCTCGTAAAGTGTCTTGAAAAGTTGGTAAAAAGTCTATCGCCAACCTCTCCGTACTGTACACTCAGCTCTTCCTGTCCATCACTTCAACTAGCTGATTCTGAAGTCTAATTTGAAGCACAAATCTACTCCTCATCACCGCCCATCAAGGCGCGACCCTCCTTGCCGTTGTAGTACTCGTTGCTGTGATTTCCGGCATGTCAGCCCATTGTCATTCCAAACCCACATTGCTCCGTCCGCTCCGCTCGTTTCTCATGTGCAATGTCGTTGACGTACCTCTCGATGGCCCACTGCATAATCGAGTAACCGGCGATCATGGGAGGCGCCCAGAAGAGGATCTGCTGCCTGGTACGGCGGAAGGTGTTGAAGATGGCAGCGTTGAAAGCGCCGCCGAGGGGCTTCTGGCGGTTCTGCGACAGGGCGTAGGTGGTAACGCCCTTCTGGGGAAGAGAACCTGCGCATCTCTGTGAGTCCAATGTCGTCCGTGTTGCGCGGGAGAGGAAGCGGGAAGTTCGCGTGCGGTGTCGTCGGCGGGTCATCATCGCAGGGACGGGGAATGCGTACCAAGGCTTCCCCACCAGCCCATGTACCTGCGGAAAGAAGAATAGGTCAGCATTGGAGCACAGAGATGGGTGGTCGCCGCGGCGGCCGGCGGAGCTCTGGTTGAAGGGAAGTTTCGAGGGCGGTCGCGGACCCCAGGGAAGAACGTACTGGCCAGGCAACTTTTCGCCACCGCCGCCCATTGTGTCGGTTTGTATGTATGCGGAGAAGTCGGGAGATGGAGCGGATGGAGCGCGACGCGAGAGGTGCGGGTTGGTTGAGTCCGGAGGTGAGGCGTTTGAAGGTTGGTTGCGATGTTCGCCGAACGAAGGAACGAATCGCAGCCGCGCTGAACCAATCCGCTCTTGGCGTCACGTGTGCCCGCCCGATGCCCGAAAAGTGCTATCGACAAGGCTCGCCGTGGAAGCTTCGACCGGCCGACGCGAGCATTCCCAACCGCCGACCACAGTTCGTCGTTCCGCACAAGTTCGAGCTCTCACCCACGTCGCCTCCGCGCTCGTCAATCGCTCTTCCGCCGCCGCAGCTCTTTCCACCATGGCCAACGCACTCCAAGTCATCTACAAGTGGGCTGTCCCGCTCGCCGTCGGCGCGTCCTTCGCCCAGGCTGCCATGTACGATGTGAAGGGTGGCACCCGCGCCGTTATCTTCGACCGTCTGTCCGGAGTGCGCGAGAACGTCGTTAATGAGGGCACCCACTTCTTGGTTCCTTGGTTGCAGCGCGCCATTATCTACGATGTGCGCACCAAGCCGCGCAACATCTCCACCACCACCGGCAGCAAGGATCTCCAGATGGTCAGCCTGACCCTTAGGGTCCTGCACCGCCCGGAGGTCAAGATGCTCCCTCGCATCTACCAGGTACGCTTCTGAATTCTCTCTTCTCAGCTCAATTGGCTGCTGTGGCGCTGCGCCCATCGTCGACTGATTGCTGACATCACCATCAGAACCTCGGCACCGACTACGACGAACGTGTGCTGCCGTCCATTGGCAACGAAGTGCTCAAGGCTATCGTTGCCCAGTTTGATGCCGCAGAGCTGATCACCCAGCGTGAAGCCGTGTCGAACCGCATCCGCACCGAGCTGCTCAAGCGCGCGCAGGAGTTCAACATCGCCCTCGAGGACGTCTCTATCACCCACATGACCTTCGGCAAGGAGTTCACAAAGGCCGTTGAGGAGAAGCAAATTGCACAGCAAGAAGCCGAGCGCGCCCGCTTCATCGTCGAGAAGGCCGAGCAGGAGCGCCAGGCCAGCGTTATCCGCGCCGAGGGTGAAGCCGAAGCTGCCGACACCATCAGCAAGGCGGTTGCCAAGTCTGGTGACGGCCTCATCCAGATCAGAAGAATTGAGACGCAGAAGGAGATTGCACAGATGCTGGCCGGAAACCCGCAGGTCACGTACCTGCCTGGTGGTGGCAAGAACGCCGGCGAGGGCCAGGGCGGCAGCTTTCTGCTTGGCCTGAGGTCGTGAGCAGTTGTTTGAAAAGAAAAGTTAAAAAGAAGCATCATGAAGGCATGGTGATGTGAGTTATGGCGCATCTAATATTGGCAGCTTTTTTTTACTGTAATCCTAGGGAATGATATCTCCTCTTCTCTGCGGTATGAATGGATACCCTTCTCTTCAGCCTTCATTTTGCAATTGCAGTGCGATTGATATTGTCCCAAGCTCAAGTGATGCTGCAGAATGTAGCTCCAGGCCGGACTTTTGCCGATCCCTTGCCTGTTAAGCTACTGCATACTCTGACGTCAATATAGACACATGCTCATTCTACGTGGTTTATTTTCTCTGGCTTTGAGCTCTGCTTCCTGCATTCAGAAGCTTCATATTCTACAGAATCGGACTTGCCTAGTTCTTCATCCTATAACAGACCTTCTCCACCATGAAGCTCACAGGCAGCTGCTACTGCCGCGCGCTGCAGTACCAAGTCGATCTGAACTCGGCAGATGATGCCCGCACATCACTATGTCATTGTCGAAATTGCAAGGTTAGAAGCATCGCTGTACTCTTTTTGTCTATCATGCGCAGCCTTCACGAACCCCTGGCCTGCGTTGCTCTTGTCTACGCTTCCATGACTTCAATGCATGTTTATAGCTGACCCCGTCGAACAGAAAGCCTTTGGTACCAACTACGGCCTCACAGCAAAGATCCCGAAAGACGCATTCCAGTACACGCAAGGCACGCCCAAGGAACACGCCGCTGATAACGGCTCGGGGACCATGCTGTTCCGTGAGTTCTGCGATAACTGTGGCAGCTTCATCCTGGAGTATGGGGTGCGTCCTACTTAATCGCTTTCTTTCCCTCGCTTGCCTTTTTGCCCGTTGAATTGAATTTCACTGCTTTATCCGACGGCTGACGGTGGACATACAGGAACCGGCAAAGCCGCACTTCAGATACATCACCGTAGGCAGCCTGGACGACCCGGAAGCACTGCCTCCAAAGGGAGAGTTCTTTTGCAAGAGCAGGGTGAGCTGGATGCCCGAGGTGCCTGGTATGGAAATGCCTCCTCTTTCTGCTGCCTACGCGAGGCTGTGACGGAGTGCAAAAAATCCATGGCATGTAAGACGCTGACGTGGTGCGCTTGTAGGCACTTTCCAAAAGAAGGAGATCAAGGAATGATCGAGATCGCTGATTCGCAGCCTCGGTCAGCTCGATTGGGCCGGTTGAGGCTGGAAAGGATTCATGGCCATGTAGTTTCACGATTACGTGAAAGCGGGGAACTTTCAATCGCGTTTCCTCCAGTACTCCATTGGCTACGAAGAGTTGGATGACTTACGCCCCATTCTGCCTTCGGGTACGGCTATGAGTTTTATTGGTCGCATTCACCCGTTGGCTTCTGTGTGTAATCGTGAACGCGGATTCACCCGGTGAAGTCTAAGCACATAAGTGCGCAAGTGCGGAAGTGCGCGGCCGCGATACAAAGCTTTGTGAGCGTATAAGTGCTGCGTCATTTCCAGTGCCATTGGTGTTCTTGCACTGATCAAATCCTTCTTACTTGTCAGAAGCGCAACATCCGTACCAATTATGGATCTTTGGAAAGCTCCGGGCCAGTCTTTGGACAAAACCCCACCCTCCGGCAACACAGACTCCGTGCTGCACCAGCAGCACCATTTGCATGAACCTGTATAGTTACACTAGATTTTTAGACCCCAAGTTTTCCCGTAGAACGACGCTAATTCTTGAATAGAAAGACCAGGTATGCATATTCCTCCATTTTCTGGATAAAACAGCCTTGGCCAAATGCATTTTCCACGCCTATGTTCCACGCATCCCAAGTATCCAAGTCAGAGACTAATTGGCCGTGACCAGGATTGAATTAAAGGACCCGTTCAAAGGACAGCAGGAGTGCTCGATTGAGCCGCCTCGTATCTCCTCGCGCAGTGCCCCCCCAGGCCATTTCCCAGGCCCACCCTCAGACTATTTCCCGGGTCCCTTCCCAGGTCCATTTCCAGGCCCCTCTTTGGTCCATTTCCAGATATCTTTCTGGATTCCTTCCCAGGTCACGTCCCAGGATGCCTACAGGTCCTTATTCTATTTGTGAAACGGTTCCTCATCATGGCGGATTGCCGAATTCATTCTACTAAGGCTACATACCAGGAAAGCGGTGAGCTCTAAGGAGGTGATCTGGGAAGACACGGCGGGAAGAGATATAAGCATCGTACTACGGCCGCAGACGCATACCAGACACAATCAACCATGACGTACTCCACATACCTGACCGTGAAGGCAGTCTTGCAAACCCAAATATGGAACCTAATTGACCATGGTCTTGGAAAGGACGGAGCAAGCTTTGGTCTAAAGATGGTAAATGCGCGCATACTGACCAAAGATTCCAGCGCGTGGAGACGACCATGGAAGACGCAAACGAAGCTACCTTTACTCGACGCGGCGGACGCCCTCTCTTCGCCTGCCCCATCTCCAAGGCTACCAGAGACACTGGTAACAGCCAATGCACCTACAGAGGACGCGGCTTTAGGTCGATGACAGCTGTTATGTAGGTCATAAATCAATCAGACACCCGTGTTTTTAAATTGAACTTCCTACAGGCGGCATGTCCGGGATCAGCACAAGAGATATGTTGAGAAGTGCAATCGTTGTGCCCTCCATTTCTTCAACTCTCAAGAGCTCGAACACCACCGACAATTAGGCAACTGCCCTCGAGCTGGGATCCAGAAAGGAGTGGGCCAAGTCAGGGAATGGAAGGCTCTTTTCACGGCCATTTGTCCTGGTGTACCCTTGCCGCGAACCCCTTGTAAGCCAAAATCTCCTACCCGAAAGCTTCGCAAGCTAACTAGCCTAGACGATGATCAAAATTCTAGCACTCCTACTGCTCGAGGAAGAGCTGCTTCTGTCCAAAAGCGTCAGCTCTCAACAGCTCCCGATCGTTCACCTGTTTCTGTTCCGAGCCCTGGTCAACACCGTCAATTTGCGCTTCAAACGATTGACATTCTCCGAGGCAACATCCTCAACTACTCCGACTCCAACATTGTATCTGAGAAAGAAACAATGATCTCCGTAGTGCACGCCCTGCTCCCACTCATCCAGCGAACCCAAGCCCCTGTTCCACGGACTTCTACTCCGCAAGCTCAGTCCTCAACGACATCAGCCCCAGTCGTGGGACTAGAGTTTCCAGATATCACCGCTGAGGCACTCCAGCCCGTCGAAGAGCAACCACAATTATTGTCAGGTACTCGAAACCCTTAGCAAACCGCCCCATCGAGAGGATTCGAAGACTGATAACGGCTCTTAGACACGGGAAACGTCACCTTCAATCAGACTGCCGATACAGATGCATGGTTACAGCTCGATTATGCCGATGGTCTGTTCGACCCCGGCAGCTTCCAAAACAACCCACTTGCAGAAGCTTGATGCATCTCAATGCATGAACGAAGAAAGCAGAAAAAGAGAAACAGAAAAGGTGACTTACACTGAAAGCCCCCTTGCTCATGCGGCACTCGAGGCTTTGGACGATTGTTGAGGAAACATCATGGCCGAGCTTCTCCTTTCTGCCTCACCTTACCATTATATCGAGGGAGTTTTGGGGTTTGCGTTATAATTTGTGGCTTCTAGTTCTGTTAGGATCCCGGAGATACTAGGGTATCCGATACTCTAAAGGGCGGCTGGATGTGGCTGTGGATGCGTCATGCTGTACGCTCTCTTTAGTCACCTTTGTGTTTTTTTTCGGCGTTGTGGGCAAGCGAAGACAATGTGAAATAACGCATCATGGTCCATGTTCCTTAAGACAGAATATTTAAATGCTTATAAGGGTATGTGGTGCAACAATGGCGAACTTTGCGAGATGTGCATATTGACGATAAGGGAGAGATTTGGGGTATCTGCCAGCCTCGTCCCATGCTAAGCCACTCATGCAGTGATAAGCCTTCAGCTCAGCCTTCGAATTCTCACCCAATCAAGTGGGCCCACGATCTATGCAGGTGCGAGGTAGCGGCGTGCTCGAGGAAGTATGTAGCTGCGACATGATCATCACGGTCCTTTGATGGCAATGGTGGGTGGGTCGACGCCCAATGTCAAGTCAGCCTCGCCGTACTCGTTTGTTGACCCTGGCTCAGTAACGCAGTAGGACACGTAATTAAATCAGCCTTGCACTATCGCAAAGCCTCCGTGACACAAGGGTCACGTACGTGCGGGGTAAATGAAGGCCATGAAAGTGCGCAAGTACGGAGGTGCGGAACCAGTCACCCACACTGTCGCATGTGCATAAAGTGGCCGCTGCGCCCAAGATCAATCACTGTCCCACCATTCCCACCAGGTCTTACTTCTATCAGGCTAATCAGGTTGCTTCGTTAGTAATCGAGATGACGATTCAATTGCCCGTTAATACACGACAACCCGACTTGCACGCTGTCACTGAGGAAGGAGATCTTGACAGAACCGTAAGCCACAGCCTCCACATTCATATACCTTGAAGCAATTTGAAGGTGAGATTATACTAACTTTTTCATAGACATCACAGGTAGGTCAAAATTTTCAATTGGTAAGTATCTTCGTGACCCAGCAGCCCTTTTTAGAGCCAATAACAAGGAAAAGAACAAAGTCCTAACTGTGCGGGTGAACTAGAACTTGACGTTTTATCATTAAGACCTTCGGAAAAAGCCATGAGCCTCTTGGTTGTACTATCAACCGCCCTGTAAGGTAATTCAATTCTTTTTTGTCCAACTAGCAAAAGTGCGATCCTGCACTGATTCCAATGCTAATAAAGAGACTGAAATCATTTCTTTTCCCTTTGAATGATATGGTGGACATAGAGCTGACAAGACTCAATGTTTAAAGCCAAACCGCTGCTGCTCAAAAAGTGAGCGCCTGTACTTCGCCTGTCCCTTCTACAAAGCCGCACAAAAGACCGGTCATGCATCACCCTACAAGTGCTCTTATAGAGGCCGTGGCTTCAAGAGTATGGCAGAGGTGAAGTAAGATAGGTCCTGTTTGTGTTTATGAGAACCTTTTTAACTTTTGACCTAGGCGTCACCTCCGAAATCAACACAATACCTTCGTCGAGAAATGCAGCCGTTGCTGTTGCTTTTTCACGGACCAACAGAGCCTTGAGACTCACGAACGTATGGATACCTGTCAACGTGAAGGTATTCATAAAGGACCAGGACCACAGTCAAGGCTCTGGAATTCACTCTTTCGGGCGATGTTCCCTGACAAGGCTGTCCCAGACAATCCATGTAGGTCTTGAAGCGCAGAAGAAAATCTATAAGGTGACCAACAGGTACAGGCTATTACGCCGGAACTCCTGGTCTCTCAGCAAAGGTGAAATCTAGTTCGGCTGACCTCCAAGAGACTTCTGGGTCTATCCAAGCTTCTTTGGATAAACAAAGAGCTCAGCAGCAGCGCGAGAAAGTCATTCAGCTGATTGATAAAATTCGCAACAATGTCATTTCGATGGAAGCAGGGACTGTTGTGGAGGAAGAAGCAACTATGACCAAATTACTGAAGAGTCTACCACCACTGGTTGAGCAGACAAGTTATCCTACAGAGATCGCTTCGTCTGGGATGGATGCTGCGAATATCCAAAACGCACGGGAGAATTCAGAGATCCAATCAGGTAAGTCAATGCCGCTGGGGTGTACTCCGAAAGCTTGACACTGACCAGGATCCAGGCACGGAACCTTCCTGCGCTACACTGTCATTTCTTGCAACTGATCCTTTCATCTTTGACGATCAGCTCAATGACTTCTCCTACGATCCTCAAAGCTTCAACTTCACAGGCTTTGGAAGCTTGGAATCGTATTGACAGAAAATAGGAGTAGGATACCTTCCTGCTGCTCATCGGTGTTGCTGCCAAGTCCCGAAAAAGCCATGCCCTTCCCTTCCCTTCCCTTCAAAGTTTTCATTTTATTTTTGTTATCAGACTAATGGTATCCCTACAAATCCTGAACATTGTGGATTTCCCTTTCCAAATGGCTTTGTATTGGTTCTTCAATATTCGCAGCTACTGGTCTTTCGCTCCAACCCTCATGCCCGGCCTTGTCCTTTCTTTCCATCATTTTTGAGAGTTTATTCATAAAAGTAGGAAAGAAGAAACTTTACTTTTTGAGTTTCCCTCTAATCCCTTGGGCGGGATGGGCGCACCAAATATTTGTCTGCTGCTGAAATTACGAGGAACTTCCGTGACACGTTCATGCTGCATCTCGCCATGTAATTAAATAACACATGTCGATGGTTTCTGCTCTGTTCGCCTTAATTCGCAGATGTCGAGCGCATTTGAATGCAAGTCATTATTTCACAGGGGAGGCATGAAACGCGACTATGGTAAAATTTCTTTTGATACTTAACTGGAGACTATTCGCTCGACGTCATCGAACTCTATTAAGAACAGTGAAGGAGTGTCTAGGACCCTGTTCGTTTTGTTTGATATCTGCTGTCTTCTTCTTTTCGCCCACTATTAATCCCTGAGTCCTTCTGGTGTTTTACACCCTCGGATTAGATATACAGGACTTTCTCAATCAAAACCCCGTTTAATACTTCCCCAAATCAGAGGACTCAATACATCACAGGATTCCACTCCCCAAAAAAGTCGTCCTCCGGCGCCCCCGGCGCCCCTGCATCCAATAAGTCCGCCGCCGAATTGCTCAAATCCGGCTCCCCAGACCACGTAACCTCCAGCCCCCCAATGCCGCCAGTCCACAACTCCTCATGCTGAGACGGCAGAATCGAACTCGGCGACAGCGAAGACGGCGACTGCGCCGCCTGCTGTTGCTGTTGCTGTTGCTGCTGCTGTTGCCTCTGCACGGCCTCCTTCCCTACCAACCGCGCCAACCTCTCCCTCACGATCCGCAATCCCGGCTCGCTCCTCAGCTTCTGATGCCCGCTCGCGTCCCACAGGTGCTCCGCCGCCTCCTGGACGGCCGTATGCGCCGCCGCTCCTCCCTGCCGCAGCCGCGCCACCGCGCGCCCGCACGTGTCCAGGCCCAGGACCACCCACGGCGCCGTGCGGACGTCGTGGTCGCGCCCGCCGAACAGGTCCTGCAGCGCCGCTTGCCGCTGCAGCGTCTGCGTCGCGGCGAGGAAGGTCTGGATCGAGTGCAGCACCTCGCCGGCATTGACGCCCTTGCCGCCGCCGCCCTGCTGCAGCTGTCCGTCGTCCATCGGCGTCATCGTCGGCGTCGGGCTAGGCGGCGGCGAGAAGAACGCGGCGTGGATGGCGAGGAGCTGGTACGCGGAGCACGTGAAGGTCTGCGACGGGTTGCTGTGGTCGAGCTGGGCGGGGAGACGGCTGCGCGCGTCGGCGAGGAGGGAGTGGATGGGCTGCGAGGTTAGCAGGGGGCGGGGCGGCATGGGCGGTGGGGTTGGCGCTGTCCAATATGGCTGTTGTTGCGCGGCCGTGTCTGAGGATCCATGGCGACGCTGGAGCAGGCAGAGCTTGAAGATCGGCGCGATGGTGGACGTCAAGTGGGCGAGCGACCAGAGCTCGCGGACACCAGTTTTTTGGGCGACTAAAGAGGCGATATTACCCGAGGTCTCATCGAGCGAGTAAACCGTGGAGGTCGAAAGATCGGCAGGAGGGAGAGAAGCGGTGTCGAGAGGGGAAAGGACGTCGAAATCGGGGCAGGACTGCTGCAGGGAGACCCAAAGCGCAACCGAGGATGTGAGCCAGTATATGCGCTGGAAAAGCTCCGTCTCGACGGTTTGGAGGTTGACGCCATTCATGTGGTTGTCGCCTGGAGATGCTTGACGAGACTCGCTGAGACATTGGGCGGCTACCATACGCGCGAATTCGAGGTAGCAATATCCTTGGCGCGGAAGGTTCAGGCAGAAGTCATGCCAGCCCAAGAGAACTAGCGCTTGCGTGGTCGAGAGAGAAAGCGCCGGACGTTCGAGCACCCGCGCTCGCGCAGCTTCGACGAAGGCCTCGGCAGAGCTCACATCTTGATGGCCGACGAGAAAACTAGCCTCAGCGAGGACCAATGCCAATAGCTCGCTATCATGCGTGCCATTGCGATAAGACTGAAGTAGCAAGGTTTTGGAGAGCACGAAAGATAAGGGGTGGTGAGCGAACCAGACTTCAATCAGCTGCTGTACCTTACGATCGGCGAAGCTCTGCGGCGGGATTGGCGAAGCAAAAATGCTGAACGAGGGCAGGGGTTGTTGCTGGAAAAACAGTTTGCTCAAATCCGTGAGGGTCGTCTGCTCGCGGGGGGAGCATCCCAACGAGTTAAAGCGGATCAAGAAGAGTTCGACGATGGATTGCGCTAAACCGTTGAAGACGTCTCGGTACGGTAGCTTCAAGCCAGTGGGAGGCGGATCCCGCGTGGCGGCGCCATGCCAGTAGCCGCTCCGCTGAAGCTCGGCGGCCGGGATGACGTGGGTTTGGACGAACAGCCGGTGGGCGACGTGCTCCAGCTCATCGACGAGCTGTCTCTGGCCTCCTGATGTCTCGGACGGCGTGGCAGCGGTCGAGGCGAGACTGGGACCGGGAGACGCGTATCCGCTGAGAATCTCGGTCCTTGGCGGGTTGTAGAATGGCTTGTTCGGCTGGCGGGCGCCACCGTACGCCGCATACGCGCACTCGACGTCGTGGGCGCGACAGGCGTCGCATACTGACTGCCCTGAGCAGCGGAGCCCGCGCGTCCGGCAGAAGTGACAAGTCCTGGTCCCGGCCAGCTCAGCGGGCGCTGCTCCACTGGGTGCGGGAATCGAGTCCATCATGGCGGCCGCGCAGGAGAACTGGGGATGGTGGTTGCATTGCGGTCAGAGGCTGCGGTACGGCGTAGAGAGGGGTTGAGGAGGCTTGGAGGGCGACGACTGAGCCGCATTGGCAGGCGTGCGGCGTAGCATCCGCCAAGCTGGCTTGATTGGGCCAACCGAACGCCATCCGTAAACGCGTCGAAGATTCGGCGCCGCCGTGCAGGGCTAAGCGGCCCACTCGAAACTATTGATCAATGATCCTCGATAAAGTTCGGGGGGATCGGGGTCGAACGGGCGGTCAAGCGAACGGCCGCCGCTGATTCAGCAACTGTACCATCAGCCCTCACCTTCTTCATGGCACTGGAAGAGCACAAACGCGCCGATAGGGGGGAAACGGCATGCTCAAACAAGAGAGTCTGGCCGTGTTTCAGAACAAGCGGGTGGCGAACCCCCAGCTGGCAAGCCGAGGCGCGCAAGCCGTGTTTCCACTTCCTCTTCTCCCTACTCTACACCGACCTCCCAAACCCTGAGGAAAAGAGGAATCCGTATCGCCAAGAATGCTGCTCACCTGAGTCTCCACACGGCGCGTCTCCATCCATTCATCCACATCCCAGTCCCGGAATAATGCCGCAGAAACGCCTTCAAACCATGCCCAAACACGCCGCTCTACAGGAACAAACGAAACATCAGAACTGTCTTTGTATGGGTGCCGGGAAAGCTTGCTCCTCGGTTGACGTGCCGAGTCCCGCCAGGCCCATCAGCTGCACGTTGTGCTGCGAGTCCGCCATCTCGCGGATCCGCTTTATCAGGTTGCTGGCCGTTCCCCACATTAGCCCTCGTAGATCTCGGTGAATGTTCCTCAATGCGGCCTAAACTCACCTGACAGGAAGGTTACTTCGCAGTTCCTCGCTTCTGGCCAGCGCGACCGCCTCTTTCCTTTTTGCGTCATGCTCGTCCAAGTGCTCCGCAATTAGCACCTGCGACTCGTCCAAACTCGCGCCATACACTTTATGCATGCATTCGTCATGCGTGCAGCGCCATATGTCCCCGGGCGAGTTCGCTTCCACTGACGCCGCTGGCTCGGAGAGAAGTGTGGGGGTGAAGTTTGCTGTGCCTCTCTGGCTCTGTGGCGTTTTCCAACGCAGAGGAAGAGTCTCCTTCCTTTCGTCGTCCGAGTCAGGAGGGGATACCCCCTGGGTTAGTTGAATCTGACTCCGGCTGCTCTGTCGCTTGCGTCTAGTGTTATCCTCGTCTGCTTCAATTTTGCGCTTCGGTGGAGATGTAACTTCCGGCGCGTCTGTGTCGTCCTCGTCCTCGTCCCCACTGCTTCTGTGATATGATTTTCCGCTTCGAGTCATGCCCTTTCCAGAATACTTGCTGCTCTTAGGTCTGAGGAGAGACTGTCTTGCTTTCCGTCCGCGCCGAGGAGCTGGTGCCGGAATATCCTCTGAGGATGAGTCTTGCTCAACCCCTAGTTGGGCTAACTCTGGTTCCGGATCAGGTAGTGGGTCTCTCCTCCGGCGGATCTCAAGCCTCGATGTTCGTCTCAAAGCACTAGAAGACAGCTTAACCTGCGACAGCTCCGTATAGACTGGCTGTTCTGTCCACTCAACGGCCGGCTTCCTCTTGTGTGCCATCATGTACAGCAGAGCTGTTGCATGCGCCCTGATATAGTCTGCCGCCAAGTCTTCATCGTCCACCTCGAATTTCCGCACCATAACTTTCGCAAAGTTCGTGACAGTCATGTTCTTGGGCGCAAGCAGTCCCTGAATTTGCACCTTCTGCATCATCTCCCAAATTACCTTCGCCTCCCACCAATTGTCATCTTTCTTCGGCGCCGAGCCGGGTTTTAGGGCTTTCTTCCTGCCATCATCTGTCGACTCAGTCTCCTGGCTTCCGGCCTTCTGACTCGGCGTCCCCCTCTTAGTCTTCTTCCTCTTATCCAGCCCCACTTTGCCCGCCTCCTTTCTCTCCATCGCTTCATACTCCACCGGAAACTTACTCTTCAGGTGCAGGAAGATATCCGTGTAATTCCATGCTGGATCTTCTAACTCCTTACCCCTTAGCATCGATAAGATCAAAAACTCCTTATGCTTATATATCGCCTCGGCGGCTTGCTTTGGGCTCGAAAACCTGTTCGGATTCTCCGTGGCATAGCGCTTGAAGATGGCCTTCGCGGACCCATCACCCCGGTTCTCACGATACACGTCGGCCAAAAAGTACAAGACATTGATCGCTTCGACCATGTCCTTGAAGATGTCTTTGTACGCGTTGTTGCCACCCCGGGCTGCGGGCGGCTCCGCGATCTTGAACCAGCCGGCCTGGCCGGCGGCCCAGATGGCGACCTCGCCGTCGTCGTACTGGCCGTAGGCGAAGCGAGTCACGTTGGTCAGCTCGACGGGCAAGCCGGCGCGCGGGAAGAGCGAGGGCGCCGACGCGGCCAGCAGGTGGGCCTGCGAGCGCGGCACAGGCTCCAGCCGCCCGACCACCGTCACCGGCGACATGGCGTCGGCGTGCAGCAGGCTCGTCGGGGCGCCCGTCGCCGGGTCGCGCACCTCGGCGGCGGCGAGCTGGAATTCCTCCCACTCGTTCTCGTCTGTGAGGGCTGGGTCGTGCGGCTTCAGAACGTCGGTCTCGCGGAGCGGGCTGCCGCCGGCGGTGGTGTTGTGCGGTGCCATGGTGTCGGAGTGGTAGGCGGCGGTGTCGGTTGACTAGAGCTGGTGTGACTCGGCGAGGCTTGCAGCTGCTATGAGGGCGACTCGTCGCGGGCGCTCGGGCTAGGCGGCGTCGGCGTCGTCTTCTTCGTCGGGGTGCTGGCTATTGCATTCGCCCTTGACATGCTGGGGATTAATTGATGTGGGGTGTGTGACACTGATGCCGTGAGTGGGTTTTGATGGTGGCTGCCGCCGCTTCTGATGTGTGCGGGTAGAAGCATCGCAGAGCGCGGCTGAAAGAATGCGGGCACAGGCACGAAAAGCACAGGCACCAGCGCGCGGACGCAGGCAGGCGCATCTGCCGAGGCGCGCCCCAGCCTAACTTTTTGCCCTTCCTGCAGGAAGCGGGCGCGTAGGGCTGAGAAGTGAAAAAACCTAGGTGACGCGGGCTCGGCCACACCCACTGCCGACGTCAGCTGCGAGGCTTTCTTTAACTTTTACCACCTCCCTCACCCGCCCATTGCTTCACCCTCCCCAACTCCGCATGTTTGGTTTCGCGCCTACGCTTAGACGCGCCGCCATGTCCTCCGCAAGCAAGCCGCAGCTCCTGGAGGGAGTCTTGGGTATGCCATCACAGTTCCCCCCGCCATGAGCTATCGTAAAAGCTCCCTTCGAGAATGATCTAACGCGCTTCTTCCGCTCTCACCTAGCCATCCACAAGCCCTTGGGAATCTCCTCAGCCCAGGTCATCCGCGATGTTGAGAACCACTTCAATCCGTCTGAGCTCTTCCAGCCCAATCTCGAGGCCGAACGCCGCGCCGTCGTGCTGGAGAAACGTAAGAAGGGCGACCAGTACCGCAAAAAGAAGGGCCCGAACCGCACGCAGCGCGTCAAGATGGGTCACGGTGGCACCCTTGACCCGCTAGCCACCGGCATACTCATCCTCGGCCTCGGCAGCGGCACCAAGGCGCTCGGAAAATACCTCAACGGCTGCCAGAAGACATACGAGACCACCGTTCTGTTCGGCTGCGCGACTGACACGTTCGACAACACGGGCAAGGTCATAGGCCGCGCGCCGTATGCACATGTCACGAGGGATATGGTGGAGAAGGCGCTAGAAAAGTTCAAGGGCAACATCATGCAGACGCCGCCGGTGTACTCCGCGATTAAGTTCGACGGTAAGAAGGCGTACGAGATCATGCGCGAGGGTGGAACGCCACCCAAGATGAAAGAGAGACCTGTCACGGTGTACAACCTTGAGTTGGTTGATTGGTTTGAGCCGGGCACTCACAACTGGAGATATCCTCAGGAAGAGATGGACGCCACAGCAGAGGAGAAAGAGACTATTCTCAAGGCGTCCCTGTCGAGTGAGAAAAGGGAAGACTCGGCAGCTGCGGGAGAAAAGAGGAAGCGGGAGGAGGGCGATTCGACCGAAGAGATCCCCGAGAAGAAGATAAAAGCAGAGTCCGGAGCAGAGCCCGCAGAGACCACTGCCACCGAGCCCAACGAAGCACCCACAAAGACGGTCGCCGAAGAATCGACCACTACCCCTGCTGAAAACGGCGCTAATGCTGCTGCCGCTCTGATTCGCATGACCGTCTCCTCTGGCTTCTACGTTCGCACACTCTGCCACGATCTCGGCGCCGCCGTCAACAGCTTGGCTTGTATGACATACCTCGTCCGCACGCAGCAAGGAGAATTCGAGCTTGGAAAGAATGTACTCGAGTACGATGATCTACAGGCCGGTGAGCCGGTTTGGGGCCCAAAGGTCAAGACTTTGCTTCAAGACTGGATGGTGAGGCAGCAAAGCGAGAATCAAGAGCAGGAGAAGCCGAAGGCAAGGTCGAAGTCTCCCGAGAAGAGGGAGAAGTCGAAGTCCCCGCCAAAGACAGCGACGGTAGAGGATGAAGACCCAGAGATGGACTGAGACCATGGAGGCATCTTGGAGCCCGAATGGTTCCAGTTTCTTTTCCCCCAGGAGCATTTGGTTTATTAGATTGATGAATTCGGGGCGGCTTCTGCAAGCTGTCTACAGGAAAGCTTCAGGGGTGTCATGCTGCAGGCTATGAGAACAGGAAACACCAAGGTGGGTGCCGAAAGAGAGTCATCGTGACTGATTTCTATCCGCAACTGAACTCTACCTAGGTGGGTAGTTGAAGCTGCCATCTGGACGTCGAGTAATTGCTTGCGGAGAAAATCGCGAGCAGTCATTTCTTTTGGCACCGACGTGACACGAGCATTGCGGCATTCAAGTATACGAATCCCCCGGAGCCGTATGGAATGGGGCTAAAGTAAACAAAAAAGGTAAAGAGAGAAAAGCAGGATAACATGGCGGCATGGAGTATGATTGTTGATCCTCCAACACCATAGAGGATATGCAAAAAGTCGAATCCATAGATACCATGACCGGTCATAAATTCCCCATCTATAGAAGGACGTTTGGTCCTAATGAAGAAAAAAAATTGGATATACGTACAACGCTTGCTGTGATGTTGTCTTCCAACTATGCATAAACAATATGCGAATGTCCTAGACATAGGATAAACATGAGAATCACCCCACTTCCCCAATCCGACCAATCTCTCATCAGAAGATTGTTGACACTGGTGCCTCCACAGCCTCCTCTTCTTCCTTAACTTCTTCATGGTTCACGAAGATGAAACTGGCCAGCACGACGACAGCGCCAATCCAGTAGGCCCAGTGGCTCATCTGACCGTTGATGAGGATTTGGCCGATCAGCGAGCATGGGATAGTCATGCTCAAGCCAACCGTCACAACGAGAGGGCTGCCGGTTAGCAGCATGGCGTAAGCCCAGCACATGTCCGATACAAGTGAGGTGGCGCTGTTGACGAGCACGATGGCAGTGACGCGGAACGAGGGCGGCAGTTCGAAAGGCTCGATGCCGGTAACGTCAAGCAGGAAGAAGCCTGGCCATAGGACCACCACGTTGAAGAGGCCGACGAGGCCGAAGAAGAGGGGCATGTTGACGCGTGACTCGTCGCCGATACGCTTCTTCATCAGCACTGCGTAGAAGCCGTACATGACGGCCGACAGAAATGCCAGCGCATCGCCCAGTGCAATTTCACTCTGCGTCTTGGACGGAAAGGAGCCACGGTTCTCGTCACTGTTGTTCGTGCCCGAGATGTCGACCGTGCTGATCAGTACGATACCGGCCAGCGAGGCGAGCACACCGAGCAGCTTGCGGATCGTAAAGTGCTCGACCCCAATAAATGCGCCGCACAGGAGCGTCCAGATACTGCTGGTTGACGTCAGGATCGTGCTGCTAGCGACGGTAGTGTACTCGAGGCAAGCGGCGGTGAAGTAGTTGGCCTGCACACAAGCACGCGAGTTAGCCGTTATCCGTCTCCTTTAACCCCTCCTAAGCACCGGCCGGGCGAGTACTTAAGCCAAACATACCAAGAACCAGACGAGGCTGAATTCGAAGCTCAGCTTCGCCGTGTCCACGAACGTCAGCCCCTCCGTGTGTGCCAGTGGTGGGTCGCCCAGCTCCACACTCAACGTCTGCGACGCGCCTGTGGCCTCCAGATCCGCCGATCCGAAGTCATCATCCTGCCGCTGCCCCAAGAACGCTTCCCTTTCCGCGCCATCCTCCTGCTCTTTCACCGGTCCATAAGCGCTCCGGTTGCGCTTCGAAAACGGCCGCTTGACTGCTTCGGCCAGCTGGCGGAACTGCTCGGGATCGCGGCGAGCTTGCCTAAACAATATGGGACCCAAAGGAATGACGAAGAAGGCAGTGTTGACGTAGGTCACGAAGTACGGCTTGGAGTACGTGTCGTCGGCGAAAATAGTCTGGTGGTAAAGGAATACAGTTCCCCTGTCAGCGTCACCTGCGAGTCCGGAGCGAGCGCGCAAGAAAAATATATCATGGCACGGCGAACAGGAAGAAGAGTCGCGAGCAACTCACCGATGCGAGGAAGTTGGAGGCAGTCCATAACAGAACCGTGACCAGCAGCAGAGTTATGCCCAAGGTGTGCCGCCAGCGTGGAGACATCTTGCCTTCTGACCATATGCTATAAAGACTGTGGGAGACGGAGTGAACTGATGATGTTCGTGCGCCCAGCGCAGGCCTGACCGCTCCGTCCATGGTGGTGTTGTTGCGGGATGTTTCAGGCCTCGGCAGAAGCGCCCAGTGTATGGAATGGGAAGGTCCGATAAGCAGGTGTGGGCGCGATGACAAGATGTTTAGGCTATCGGCGGAGACTAGGTTGCGGGTATGAGAGGAGCGAGGGTGCGGCGACTTCCCAGGCTTCGCGGTGCATGGAGGTCGTGAGCGCTGCACATGGGCCGGGTCGCGAGGGGGTGGCAGGTGCGCAGAGAGGGATCTGACATCTGGTGTTGCATAGGGTAGTTGGGGACCTCCGTGCCAGCAGGTTCCCACTACATGTCCCTGTCTCGCTTCCGACGGCACGCCGCATCTGCTCCTGGAAGCTTGGCGCCTGATAGCAACAATCCAGCGGCACGCGCGTGACCAGCAAACAAAATCACCATTCCGCGCGTATGTACACTCTTTCGCGTTGCATCATATTCGAAATTACATCCGAGACCCGGGATGCCCTCTTTAAGCGCTTGTTGCGGACCGCCAGGAAGAACAAATAGAACCAATCAGAACGCCTCGGCCATGAACCAGAATCACTCGTATAATGTTACCGTCCCCACCGCATATCCTCTAGTAAAACGACGGAAGAGATGCGACGCCGTCTAGCACGCGCAACCGTCACGGTCGCCGTCGAGGTTGATGGGTATCGTCTCGGGGAAATCCTGGTTGAAGTCGCCTGCCTCCTCCTGCGCAAGGGCCTGGCGCGCGATGACTGCGGGGCGCAATTAGTGGGGATCATCAATCCAGCGGTTGGGGGGTCCCTACCCTCGAACGCCTGCTCGACGTTGATAGCCTCCTTGGCGCTGGTCTCGAAATAGGGGATGCCGCCCTTGGAGTTGCAGAATGCCATGGCGCGCTTGGTCGAGATCTGAATGTACAATCAGCCCTGTCGTCATCGCCCGCTAGGCAACCATCCTTACCATGCGCTTGCTCTCCTCAACATCAATCTTGTTACCGATAACGACCTGTTCCAATATCAACAGACTGAATCAACGTAAGATCGGATCCTGGGTCCATACGAAGGGGAAACTCTCGGGGTCCATGGGGCTCGCCTGGATCAGGAATTCGTCCCTCCAGCTATCAAGGGTGTCGAAACTCTTGGCGTTGTTCACATCGTAGACAAGGACGCAGCAATCGGCACCGCGGTAGAAGGCAACGCCGAGGGACTGGAAGCGCTCTTGTCCTGCAGTATCCCAGAGCTTTACCGGCATCAGCGTATGCCCCATTGGCTTCGTCGGCATTCACCCACCTGCATCGTCACCAAGCGGTCATCGACGAGGACCTCTTTGGTCAGGAAGTCGGCGCCGATGGTGGCCTTGTAGCTCGCGCTGAACTTCTTGTTCACCTGTGTGTAACCGATGTTATTATCATGAGCAACAAGGGTGGGAGGCGGTATAGGCTGGGATGGGAACGACGTACATATTGGTTCATCAAGCTGGTCTTGCCGACGCCACTGTCGCCGAGGATGATGACCTTCACTTTGCGTCAGTCTGGTTCTCCTATCGTCGCGGAGGGTGGGCGGCGCACCTTGAGCAAGACCTTTCTTCTCGACGCCATGGTTGCGATGTTGAGGCGGCGGTACGTGCGGTTGGGCAGCTGTAGTGAGACGCGGAAGACTGTGGCAGACCAGGAATAAGACGACTGGCCTCCGGATGGAGTCAAGGAGGATGCGCGCGCACTGCGGGAGACGTGGACAGGAGCGGAGGTTTTGTTGTCGGAATCGGTGTGATGTGTTGACGCGGGAGATGTGCAGCTCAGGACGTCAAAGCTCTGGGCACGAGGTCGGTGAAGCTTGGCTGCTTATGACGGGGCCAACGACAGGGTTTGCGCCGAACCCCCGACCACCTATTTTACTCGCCCTCGACTTCGCCGCACATCTCTCTTTCTCCGCCCCCTTCCATCCGAGCCATTCCGCTGGCTCGCAAACGTCACTTTCCCCTCGCGGGGCTACTCCATGTTTTCTGGGAAATGCGCGTCACAGAGGAGCCAACGTCGGCCGCAAACCGCCTTCCTGCTTTGTTGCGCTAACCAGCCAAAATATGTCGTGGCCGCACGTCGTGTTGCTGATACGAGGCAAGCAAAACTTCCTTCCTGGGACATCTTGGTCACTTCCCCACCGTTAACCATCTCGATCTCCCTCTACAGCGCCAATTAAAGCATCACCTTGTGATCAATTCATATGGTCATGGTAAACAGTATGAAATGTGACTATCTACACACGTCCGTCTCCCAGCCTCCGAAAGCGCGATTAATTGTGATCATGTGGTCACACCTTCTCGAGTGATACAAGTGCCACGCTTGCAGACTTCACAAGAAGTCGTAGTGCGGCTTCACAATCTTACCCTCCAGCAGGTCCTTCACAAACTCGCGGAAAGTAATGGGGCGGAAATCTGGGTACAGCTCTCGAGCGTCCAGGTAGCCAAGATATTTGGCGTACTCGGGCTGGTTGTCGCCGCGCAAATACTTACTGTAGTCATAGTCCGCCTTGAAACGCATAACCCGGTTCATGACATTGTCCGGTTCCTTCTCGCCGTTGATCTTGGCCTCCTTTACTTTCGCCTCTATTTCTTCGTATGAAATCTTGATGCGTCATCTCAGTTAGTTGAGTGCCCAGTGTATGCACAGAGTGTAGACGCACCTGATTGCGCTCGAGCTTTTCTCCAGTCAACTCTTCCACGATCGAGTAGATCTGGTTTTCGCTGAGGACATCGCTGCACGTGAAGACGTATTTGTTGAGCGTGCGCTCATCCTCAATGATCCTCGCCGTCCAACGGCCAAGGTCACGCAGATCACCAATGATGTTTGGCCGCTCTCCGTCCCCGTGAACCTCGTTGCTGGGCGCCATAGCGGCGTAGTCGAACCGCCGAGATGGAAGCGAGGTGGGAAACGAGACTTGGTGCCAGAACCCGACATCAATGACGGTGTAAGGGAGGTAGAGCCTCTTGATGTGATTGTACACTTGCTCCTTCTATAAGGGCGCGGTCTATCAGCATTTCCTAGATGAATTCTATCAGGACCGGTATAAGATCCAACTTACGTGGTCCCGGAGTATCATGACGCCTTCAGGCGGGGCAACACTGGTCCAAGCGCATGGCACGAAGCGCTTTACTCCCGCTTTCTTTGCCGCGGTGGCGAGGTTCATCTGGGACAGTTGGGACTGCGCGTCAATGGCACTGACTGTCACATCGATTCCTTTCTGGATAGAGACGAGCTCTTCGATTGGGCCGTTGATGTCTGCAATGACGACTTTCACGCCCCGCTCAGCGATCTTCTTCACTGCAGGCTTCTCCGCTGAGGATGGCCTGACAAGGATTTGAACTTCCTGTCATTTGAAATACATGTTAACAAATTGAGTCTGCTCTGTGAAACGAGGACATACATAAGCTCCATGCTCAAGAAGTCCATTAAGGATGGATTCGCCAGTGTTGCCGGTTGCACCGAGAAGTAGAACACGCTGCTTGGCCATGGTGAAGACAGTTGATGTAGCTGAGGAAATCAATCACAGTACCCAAGGTTAAAACAGTCTCTTTTATAGGCTTATAGGACCACACTGGAGTCTACATAATAGGCAAGATGTGGGGTTAATATCAGGTAATCAAGGCGTGCGTTCTTTGTCCGGGATCCGATCGGGTTACTTAGTTTCCGTTCCGAACCCGAACTTCTCGCAAAAGGTCGCATTTCATCAAACGTACTTGATACCATAGCCGTGGAATAGAGACATCAGATGTGGGAATAATGTTGCTTAAGTAATTGTTGCGATGGCTTGGCGGAAGGGGACGAATTCGGACGGAAAACCGCTACTACTACTACTCGAGAGAAGGTCAGCCAAAAGCAAGTGTCCTCACGCTTAGCTCGCCCCGCCACGAGAGTGAAATGTTTTCAAATTCGAGCTTTGGACGTCCGTCGCTACATATAGGTCGTCGTTTCGCTCGCGCATTCTATCCCTTTCGGGAGCCTAGTGGGCGGACTGACAGGCTCCGACCTGGGCTTTTGAAGCCACAGTTGCCTTTTCGGCCATAGCGTTGCCGCAACTAAAACCACTCGGCTGGTTCCTCTTGGCGACGTTTTCGCGATCTGGCGGTCGCTGGTAGCGGAGTAGACGATTTTTTAGTCTGGCTTCGGTGTGTCCGAGCAGCGGGCATATCCGTTCGTCTTTGGAGAAAATCCGTGAATCAGCATCTGGCATTAGTCAGGACACAAGCGTGCTATGAAGGAGATTCGCGAAATAGCAGCTTGGGAGTCAGCCATGGCGGTAGCAGGGCCAGTGCAGCTGGGCAGGTGACAGAGGTAAATCAGGGGTCCAGCAGCCTTTGGGCATGCGATCGAAGAGGGCCTAAGGCGTTCTGGAAAGAGATCTGTCTATCGAGATCTAGCATCGGGACCCGCAATCGCGGCACGGGCGATCTGAGACTAATAGTCAGCCAGGGCACAGTTGCTTTGCGTGAGCATCGCCAGACACGACGATGGCGGGCGGTAGACCGGTGAGGCTCCATCGATCCACGCTCAGCTGTTCCCCTAATGACGGACGACGACATATGACGTCGGGCCGACGTGTTTTCTTTTCCAGCTGGTGAGTCGTTCAACTACTGCGCTGGCAAGCGAGCGCGGACGGACTAGCGTTAGTCATGGCCGCTCGGGCGCACACGGGGAGCTGGCGCGGACGGAGAGGTGGACGAGCGGCCGGGGCGGGCTCCGGAGGGGCAGACTCGAAGAATGATGCACATGTAAACGCAAGCTTGCTGCAATTCTAGCAGCAGCAGGGTGCATGCGGTGGGCTGGCCGGGGGGCGCGCGATCGCCCGCGCTTTTTCCTTCGCCGGCCCGCCCACAGCAACGCCGCCTCATCGCCGCCTCCAGAACGCCATTTTCGTGACCATCGAAGCTGAAAAGACGCCATCCATCGCCTAAGCCCTGTCCTTTGGGTCGCATTCCGCCCTTGGCGCTCGCACTCGCGGTCACGCTCCCCCTGCCATGCCCGAACATGACATGGCCCGCCGCTCTGTCCCAGCTGAGCTCCAGGCCCGGCCGCGGCCATGTCTGCCCGCCCCGCAAGCTTCAACCATGCTCAACCATGGCCACACGTCCATTCCTGAGCTGTCTCCAGCTTGAGACCTCCCGCTCCATATGCGCCTACGCCGTCACCGCTCGCTACGCCCGCGTAGAGGGCCACCAAATGCCCCCGCCCTAGTTTCACTTCCGCGCAAGAGAGCCACCCGCGACGCATCCTTGACGTGCTGTGCGCCTTCGCACTTCCCCCCGGCCACAATGTGGCCGTTGTACGAAGTCGCTCATGGCCGGCGTGGGTGCATCCTAGCGCTTATTAGCCATCCTGCTCACTTGCTATAAGTCTGAGTGCAGCAGGACCTTGGCCTTTTGCTTGGTTGAAAACACCTGATACCCTCCAGCCACGAGCCATGCCTCCCCTGCCCTCACTCATTCCTGACCATCTCCTTGCACAAATGCAAGCCGCGACCACACCCCTATGGAGAACAATAGCCCTGTCGTTGGCCGCTGTCTTCTGTCTCCTGCTACTCTATTTGCGCCGCCGAAGGCAACCTCAACCGCACCCGCAACCTGTCCCGGTGCCTGAGAAGCTCACGCATCCTCCTTCACCGCCGGGCACACCGTTCAGAGAGGACTTTTCCAACCCGAGCTTTTTCCTCTTCCAAAGCCAGGACCCTGCTGCACCGCCGCCTTTCCACATCTCAAGCTTGAATGTTCATGCTGCACCGCCACTTCTGCCCACCATCCGCAGGCACTCGTGTGACGTCGCACAGCAACCGGTACCACCAACCATCACGCATTACGAGAGGAGGATATCCGCCGACAGCATTGGCCCGAGGAAATCACTGCGAGGAACTATCATGAGAGGAGGACCTCTGGCTCCAGGCGTCCGGCGGAACCAATGGACTATCGAAATCCGTTAGCATCGAATCACGAAATGGCTTGTTCTTACGATACGTTACGGGGCTGATAACACGGCGGGATTCCGCCGTCAACTGTTCGGAGTTTGGGGGCGAGGGGTTTGAAAGTTGGCCAAATGTCATGAGCAAATGCGGCCTTTTGTTTAATGTCATGAGCCGGCTTGGTCTTTGTTGTCGGCCTCAAAATGGCCTTGGGATGGACGAGTAATCCATAATACCCGTGTGGAAAATTGAGTCTCTTTACATCTCCAATAAATACAAGTAGTAAATAGATGGCTCCCAGCACTCCCAAAACGCCATGAGAAGCAACGCTCATTCGAATACCAGCGTGACACGTGCCACGGGTGATAGCGGCCGCACAATCCTCGGCGACAATACCCTGTTCGCAAACTAGCACTGCGGTCTATCGCAAAACACCAACGCCCCATTCTCGACTACCTGCCCTCATACCTCTCCGTCTCGGTATAGAACCGTATCAAACTGTCGTACCCCACCATGTCTCCTTGGCGCAACAGCTGGGCAATATCGATGTTGAGCGGCGAGTCGGGCTCGGCGGAGGTGAGGAGCTGGTGTACCGAGGTCATGGTAGTGGAGATGGTGAAGGCCGGGCTCCACGCGGCCTTGAGCGTGTCGAGGCAGATCTCGCCCGTCTTGAAATGCACATTCGGATGGCAGATGGGCGTCACGAACTTGACCTCGGGCGCCGCGAGCGGGTATGTCGACGGGATGCGGATGTCGAGAAGCCAGCGGCCGTCTGTCCAACGGAAGCTGTCAGTCCGGCTTCGGGCAAGATGTGAGAGAGGAACCATACTTTCGTAGGGCGTCCCCGATACGCCCTTCATCACGGCTTGCCAGTGCGTCAACTCGTCATCGTTTACAGGGCCCAGGCGCTGCAGCGCATCGTTCGGGTCGCTCTGGTAAGACTGGAGTTCGACCAGCAGGCGCTTGACGGGCGTTTGGCTGGACCTGGACGCCATGGGAATTATCGATGTGTCACCCTTTGTTTCTCAATCGGTAGTCTGCAGTAATGCGTGCACGTCGAGCAAGGAAACTCGGCAGGAAGTGATCTACCGCAGCTGTGGATGTGAGAGCTATGGCACCGCACATGCCCTCGGCAGGAAGCCTCGGCCATGGAAGCGGCGCCGGGTCATCTTCGGATCGGCGCTGACCAAATGCCGACCAGAATTTCTGGGGAAGCAGCAGCGCGACGCGCCTTTCGGGATTCTCAAAAAAACATCCCACCGTCTCCACGACAGAGCTGCCGTACCACCATGTCTGCCCCCCAAGCTTCTCTGTCCGATTTGCGCCGCGCCGATGGTTCGGCCACCTTCTCGCAGAACGGATATTCGGTGCTGTGCGCCGTCAATGGCCCGCTGGAGGTGCAGCGCCGCGACGAATTGCCTGAAGAAGCAGCCATCGAAGTGAATGTGCGCCCCGCTTCCGGAGTTGGAAGTAAGCATGCATTATACTAAAAGTAACTTGGATGTTGATGGTTCTAACGAATGACCATAGGCCCCAAGGAGCGCCATCTCGAGACGCTCATCCACAATACGCTGCGGCACATCATCCTTGTCCGGAATCACCCACGCACTCTCATCCAAGTGACGCTGCAAGTCCTCACTGTCCCCGAGGGCGACGCCGCTGATGACCGTTCGCGCTCCTCGGTGAGTGGTCCTCTTATGCATACTAAAAATAGGTGACTTACATTGTAGATCCTTTCCATCCTCCCCGCTCTCCTCCAGGCCTCTGCCCTCGCTCTCGTCTCTGCGTCCATCCCGCTCTCTACTACATTCTCTGCTACCCTCCTTGCCGTCTCCTCGACAAACGACATTATCACGAATCCCTCGGTGAAAGACCTTGCACAGGCAGCATCACTCCATGTATTCGCCTTTGCACCAAAGGGTGAGCTGTTGGTAGCTGAGAGCGAAGGCAAGTTCGATCTGGGTACTTGGGACAAGGTGCACGATGCCGCGGCGAAGACATGCTGCGCCCCGGAGCAAGATGGGGAGGGGATGGAGGTCGACGGAAAGGAACACGAGAACTTGCACTCGTTGGTGAAGGATGCAGTCAGGCAGAAGGTGCAAAGAGACCAGGCATGGAAGGAGGCTCCCTGAGTTCGGACGCACGTCTGCCGCATAAGTTCGAATGCGGTCTTGTGAGAGGCGGTGCTGCGTAACTGCTTTTTTGCGACGAAGCTGCGGCATTATCTCCATCCAGTCTGATCAAAGTATGGCTGGCGATACACCTTGTGGCTGGCGTCTGCCCAGCTTCTCGTCTTGGCCATGCCGGTCGGACGTCCGTTCATAGAGTGCTATTCGTACCACCGTTGGTGGCAGGAGCGGGGTAAACAGGGTCTCAGCAGCACTCAAACGAAGGCAAGGGAGGCGCAGCAGGTATGCCGAAGGGGGGACGAGGCATTCTGCTATGGAGCACGAGCACGATCAAGGCTATGGGGAGGCTCATCGCTCAGCTCTGCTGGGATACTTACAGGTGGTACGGTCCTTGCTTCTGCATGAGCCTCGTACGACATGCGCCTCTCTGTCTGCGTTCTGGGAGGGGCGCTTGTGCATGGTATGGACATAAGGCACATACGTGGCATGCCTCAGGTGTGCAGCAACAGTAGAAGAAGGGAGCTGAACCAACCAGCTGAAAACTCAATGCAGCATTGCGCAGAATGTCACGATGATCCAGCAAATGGAAGAGAAAATCAAACGAGCGAGTTCGGACATGAGACGTGCAATTGGCGTCAGTGTTGCATCCAACGCATATCGATGGCAGCCCGGGGCTACACGAGCCCGCGTTCCTACTTATCACTTTCTTGATAGATCAACTTTTGCTTCCCCTCGAACCACCGCCAGCTGGTCAGGGATCTGTGGTTATGCGGAAGTGGCTGTGTGTTTTGACCAAAGGACGAGGAATATCCTTGCATACTTGCTACCTAGATAACTCTAAGTCGCACGCGCGGCTCCTCCCGTGGAACGTTCGCAAGGGGCGCGGGAAGTAGAGAGCTTATTAGATAGCGTGTGTGATAGCCTCATTGCGGGACGTCGCGGCATGCATGTGCCAGATTTCACCGTGGATTCTGTTTTCTCCAGTGGGTTTCATGGGATTTGGAATTCATTTTCTTTCTGTGCATTTCTTTACGTTTTTTTTTCTACTATCGGTTGTTAGGCTTGAGGACAGCTGTATCTATCCATAATTCGCGCTACTATAGCGTCCAGGTATCCACCCCGCGCACATAGGTGTGTTTCCATTTACGAAGCTTGATCATGCGTCACAGCGGCGCTGATGGTGATTGTCGCGTAGTAAAACGCCGAGAAATGCGGAAGAGACTGGGAAGAGAGAGAACGAGAGGCACAGCACATCACCAGGGGGATTCAAGCGCAACTGTTTCATCAAGCGCAGGTGGCGGAGGCACAGTGGCACACCTCATCAACTCCTGGATCGTCGCTTCGAGAGACGCGCTGTGTTGCTCTGCTACTGGGCGCTGCAAGCGGAGCTGTCGTCTAAAAGGGTCCATCCACGGCGCTTAAGGTGGTCGTCGGTCGGATGTGCGGCGTCTCTCTTGACGATCGCGCCCGCGCTCACGGTCCGATCGAAGCTGCAGGGACGTGTGTTCGTAGATCATGTTCAGCTGCCTTTGTTTTTTCTGTGGGTTTTCAGCCAGGGTCCAGCAACGCCATGGCACTTCGACAATGCGCTAAAACATAGCCTGCGCCGGCCGTCGCTTCTTCTGTCAGGTTCGGAAGCGAACGCGCCGTCCCGCGACGCACGGGTGCCAGTGTAGGAGCCGTTTGGTTTAAGCGCATTTCATGCTTTCGTGTTGTTCCCGGTCTGTGTGTTGTTGGCGTCTGCTATCAACGGCACCAAAGATCCGCGCATTGGGGGCTGGAAAGGCGGGCAATCGGCAGAATGGTGGCCCCCTGTGCGATCTTGCTTAAGCGATTGGAAGAGTGGGTTCTGTTGCTTTTTTTTCTTCTTCCACTTTTCTGTTGACGAAGCCACCTAGCGCTAAGGCGAGAGTGATTCAGGATGAGCGGTGAGGACGACATGGCAGGGGTTCGATGAAGCGTATTTTCCGTACTGTACAGGCTCGCACTCGCACCTTGTCAACAGAAGTGACATTTTCTACTACTATGCCGATGTCGACCTTTGTATCAGGAAATACCGGATCATGCGAGTACAGTGATAATAATGATGAAAACCAAAAAAAGCAAAACTCCGTCCATGCACCTTTTTATGTACAATGCTTGTGAAGAATCATTCGCCAGGAAGATCAAGAAGCATGAACAATTTGCAATAGATAACCCTCCAAAAAAATGCGTAAACGCTATAGTGCCGAATGTGATGGTGCGATGGACAATACAGATTGTGGTCATGCCGTCGTTGGAGTGAGTTCGTCGTTGATAAATGGCGGGATAAAAAGCGCTTTTCATGTCGTGACAAAAACGTCAATGGTATATGGCGGAAGTGTAGACGGGTATAAAGCAGGTCGGATCGACGAATCCAATTTCAGGATATCCAAAAAGCAAGACGGCCGTGTCTTTGGAGCGATGTGAGCAGGCCTTATGACTGAGCGGCCTGCGTCATGTGTTGGTTAAAGTCGGGATCGTTAAGCAGGTCTCTCAGCCTGCCCTGGGGATCGAAGTCGGTAGGGACCTTATAAACGGTCATCTTGGTCTCCTTGTCATAATCGACACCGGCGCCTCTTGCTGCCTCCTTGGCCTCGCGCAGCCACTGGTTCCAGACATCAGTCCGCGGTGCGGCGTCACCGAGCTGGACCCAGTCGGTCTCCTTGGTAGCGACGATGGCTTTGAACAATGCCTGGGTGAAGGAATCGTTCTTGTCTGTGAACTTGGTCCTCTCCTTGGCCTCGCCAATGCACTGTGGCCTGACAATAAAGGCAGAAGTGTTCCAGTGGACACGAGCGGGAATGGCGGCAACAATCCAATACGAGGCGTTCAGGATCAAGTAAGCCGCGGCAAAGCAGATTTGGGACTTGACTTTGCAGTTGGCGAGGCAGATGACACCAGCCATAAGCATGATGGAACCAACCAGAGCGAGAAGACGGTACAGGACCTGGTCTTCGATGAGGTACTCGATGTTCTCTGGGGCGAAGAAGATCTCACGAGCGACGTCTTCGCTGCACCTGACCACCAAAAAGCTGCCCTTTGGATGGCGAATGACGACATCGCCACGAGGAACTTTGCCCTTGGTGTATCTCCGCTTAGGTAGCTTCAAGGTCCACTTGTTGCCGAATCCAATAACAGTCGAAAGCAGGGACAGACAGCAGACTGCAATGAGAGCCATGCCATCCTCCCAAATGGCCGCAAGAACGAGAATGGCCAGGGCGAAGAGGGCACCGAGAACGTTGTTTGCAGTGAGCCAGCCAAAGGCACGAGCCTTGACCACGGGAGCCTCGTCGTTGCGCTCAATCTCGACGCAGCGGACATCAAACTCGTTTAGGGAGTCGGCATCGCTTCGCAAAGTCAGTTCAGCCTTGGGGAGGAGGAATGCAGAAAGTGCTTACAGGACAATGGAGCCGATATGGTTTAGAGCATCGCGGTCGTTGCCGGACACGACGCCGGTGACCCTTCCTAGCGCAGGATCAAGCCTCGAGGGGCGAGAAGGGCGCAGCAAAGCCTGCGGCGCGGGGAGAAGACGCGGAACGAACATCCATTTTGACAGGGTCGAAACTTGAGCATTGGCTAGCACGGAACCCTCGCCGAGGATAGCGAGGAAACCAACGATATCAAGCTGGATGCTGTAGAAGTCAGGAATGGTGCTAAAGAAGCTACCGGAAGCACCGTCGCCCTGGTTGTTGTCGGCCATAGTGTCAACAGAATGAGGTCGAGTTTAGCGCAGCTGCTAGCTGGTAAGTGGCAGAAGGAATGGGCGCAGCCAGGCAGCTACCAGCGGCTGTATATAAAGGATCAGTAGAGCTCGGACGTGGCAACGCGGGCTGTGAGGCTCTTGCTGCGGCACGGGAGCCGGTGAGGAGGGCGGGAGCAAAGCAGAACAGCTGCGGCGGCTGAGCGCTAGCAGGATGCATGCACGCAGCCCCCACGGCGTGGTGGAGGGTTTAGCCTCGTTGGCGGCCAGTCAGCGGGCGCAGTTTGCGGAGATCGTTGGGCTCGACACGGTCTCAGCCGCCGGGTCGTGCGGTCGCCGTCTTTGCACTCCACCATCCTGATCCAAATTTGGCGACATGCTCGTCTTGCGGTGAAGCAGACGGCGACGCAGCGGGTCGCACATCTGTGGTTGACTCAGGACGCGCCAACTGACGCGCGACAACGGGTGGGGCAGGCGCCGGCTGACAGGCAACAAGGCCTGCGAGCGTGACGTGCGCTGGCGGCCACCCCAGGCGACCGCTTTCTTGTCCAGCCCAAGCAACGACTCCGCAACATCATCGGTCCCCGTCTGCCGCGTTTGCCAAAGTCACGACACGCGCGCCGCAGCGGACCTGACTGCCATCTGTGAGTACTTTTCCGGCCGTCTTCTTCTTCCCCGCATCGTCGGCTCCAGGCACCCGCTGCAAGGCTGAGCATCGCCCTGCGACCGCACACCCGACGTGGCCAAGATCACGCGCGACGTGTTTGACACCCAGTTGCCCGCCTCTCGTAATTTCACTCACTATCCGTCTCGCCTTCCGCTTTTCTTATACTTTGCATCATCGGCACCTGCTTCTCGCGCTGTCGCTGCGCTGGTGTCTGGACCGCCAGCCTCGCCCTTTTCGTTGTCACACAGCTGCGGGGCGACGAGGCGCAGCAGAGTCAGCCTCGCCCATATAAACCCCGTCGGTCACTCGTTGCCGCTCTGCTTATCTCTACCCATTTTGCAAAAATGCGAGCGCAAGGCTGACTGGAGCCTGGTAGAGCACAGTCACGGTCCTGAGGCACCAATCGATCCCATCTCTGCCTCCTCGCTTGCCGGGCGTAGGAAATTACAGTCATCTCTTTTCCGCCTTGCCCGTGCTTACGCGCCCACTACTTATACGCTCGGCGCTCCTTGTCAATCCTGTCCTTTACGTAGTCTTGCCAATCGGCCAGCTGCAACCTTTGTTTTCCGTTACTTGCCTTCGCGCACATCTGAATGAGCGAAGAGAAAGGTGATTACTGGCCGGCAAATCGACCACTCAATCATGTACGAACCCGAGCCTGAAACAAATATGCATGGATCAGGGAAAAACTGGCTGCGTGTGCTGTCGCCTCGGTTGGTTTTCCCCTTTTCTCGCTCCCCACCAACGTCGATTCCCAGCCCCCACGTGCAGAATCTAATGCTCCGCCAGGACTTATACAGAGAAGCTACGGAAGAGAGAGAGCAAAGGCGCTCTAAATGAGAAAGATCTCAGAAACCCCAAGATGTCAAATGCTAGAAAGTCGGAAGATTCGCCTCGCAAGAGGACAAAGCACCAAGAGCTGCCTGCTACTCCCCCGGCAGAGGCCGATGAGCAGCCCGTCGAGCACATGACTCAAGATGAGAAACTGCTCCAGGTTGGGGATCAATTGAGGCAGAACCTCAACAATTCTCAGCAACAAGAGGGCTATGACCAAGACCGGAAAGACCTGCTACGGGAGGAACAGACGCAGTCTTGGGATAGGAAATCTAAAATTTCCGCTTCCGAAGCTGAGAAACTTGCTGCCGACATTGTGTGGAAGATACGAGAACACGAGCGCGACAATCTCTTCGGTAATAAGGCATCAGAAGCCATCCCGGATGAATCGACCAGGGACATGGGTGGCCAGTTCCTCACCAACAAGGAGAGGATTGATCTTGAAAGCCAGCTTTTCGAAATAGTCAAGCATATGCCTAAGGGCGCACATCTACATGCCCACTTTAACGCTGAGCTCCCTGTCGACAAACTTCTGGAACGTGCGCGATCTATGGATACAATGTTCGTAAGAAGTCTAGTACCCTTATTGAGGCGCGAAGATTATGACAAGACGGAAATTGTCTTCAACGTCCTCCCTTCGACCCATCCAGAGGCCGATTTGTTCTCCAAGGATTACAAGCCAGATTTCAAGAACACAGACAACAATCCTTGGATGAAATGGACCAATTTTCAGAGGATATTCAGTGATCGACGCAACGGCGAGAATGCCGAGGCGTGGGTCAGGACGAAGATGATCTTGTCAGAGGAGGAAGTATACGGTACATCACAGACCGTGAATGGGTGGGTCGATACTGCATGCACCGTGAAACATGCGCACATGCTAACAATCTTACAGTATTTGGGCCCGCTTCAATCAGGCCACCAGGTGCTTCAAGGGCCTTTTGAACTATGAAAGCACTTACCGTTGGTATGTCAGGAGAGCCATGGAAAACATGGTTGAAAATGGTGTTATGTATGCGGAGCTACGGCCTATGCTCATGGACAAAACCATCCCATCTGATGATGGTTTGAGGATGATTGATCTAGAAGGTCAAATGACCATCATTCAAGAGGTCATGGATGAGTTCCAAAGAGAACTCAGCGAGCAGAATGACGAATCCAAGGTTTTCTGCGGTATTAAGATCATCTACTGTACGCCTCGGTCCATTCCGAAAGCAAAAATGCAATCGGAATTGGAGGACTGTATAAAGCTCCATCTCAAGTTCCCCAAGCTGGTTTGCGGTATGTCCAAAAACTCCATGAAATTCGGGCCGTTCTGATTGCTTACAACCCTAGGTTTCGATCTTGTCGGTGCCGAGGACCGGCCAAATCCGATCAGCTTTTACCGTGACGAGCTTTTGTCATTCATCAAAACCTGCGAGAAGCTGGATATCAAGATTCCATTCATGTTCCATGCCGGAGAAACTCTTTTGGACACTGGCGGTACCAAGGACCCGGAAAACTCCAATCTCTATGAGTCGGTGTTGTTGCATGCTAAGCGCGTGGGGCACGGTTTTGCTTTACCAAAGCATCCCAAGCTCATTGAGAGATTCAAGAAACAAAACATCTGCATCGAGATCTGTCCGGTTTCGAACGAGCTCCTCCATTTGTGTCGGAACGTCAAAGAGCACCCTTACCCGGAGATATTGGCGGCGGGAATTCCTTGCACAATCAACGCAGACAATCCAGCATTGTTCGGGTACGTGATACTCAACCGTGATTGATTGCGAACGGAAAACTGACGTTTTACTGCAGAGCGGATATGAACCACGAGTTCTACCAAGTCATGGTTGGCACACCCATCATGAGTGTGCACGGCTGGCGTCAGCTCATTGAATGGAGCATTGAGTACAGCTGTCTCGAGGACGAGGACAAAGAGAAAGCTTCTGTAACTTTCAAGAGGCAGTGGGAAAGCTTTTGTCAGTGGATTGTGGACAATTATAAGGACTATGCGGAGGGGCTGGAAATATCATGAGTTATGACTTTCTTACGTAGAGCCGCGACATCTCTATTAGCTCATATGTATTCCGTTGATACCCAAAGACATAGTACCGACAGGAGGGGATTGAATTGGCTACTATAAGTCTTTTTTTTTTCTCGATATTTGCATGCCCAAGTGTAATGATGTTACGTGATACATAGTGGCGTATTACCTTCTTTCATGCAAATGCGTTATGCGTAGGATGGCTTTTCTGCGGATGTGCAGACGGTTGTCTTTTGTTGCAAGATTTTCAAATAATTAAAGGGCAGGCTAAATGAAAATGTTCCGCCATAGGAAAGCAGCTATTGACCTGCTTCGCTTACATTCTATGCTTGTGTCTATTCACTTGCGTTCCTCCTCCACATCATAAAAGCCCCCGTGTTGGCGCATACTTTCGATTACCAAGGTTGATGTCACATGAGTCAGGTTGCTTTGAATTTCCAAGCCATTTCATGTCTTTTTCGCCATTAGCTAGATGGGGAGCCGCAGTCTTAACACTGAAGGATATATTCTAGTTCTCTTCTGATACTGTCGAAGCGGCCGGATATAACACTGATAGTCAATCGAACCCCTTTAACACTAGATGATTTAGTTACAAAAGCTTTGGAGGAAGAAGCTTAGCTCGATCCAGAGCGACTGGACCCTGATCTGCCATGCAGAACCCTGAGCGTGACCGTGGCTGTCAACAGGTCTTGGCATGGCCAGCCCGCTCGCGCTTTGGATATCTTCCTCACCCGCACGCGCTACACCGTCTCCTTCTTTCTTCACCCGCACACTCATTAACGTCGCCTTCGGGCGCACTTCGTCAGGCTTTCGAGCGTTCACGCTTTCGCTCGCCCAAGTACTTCAGCCTGCCAGTCGCATAACCTCTTCCTTTCCTTGTCCGCCCGCAATTGAGCGCGTCCCACACTCTATCCAGCGCATTCACGCCAGCTTGATCGCACCACAGTCCTGGCTCGAGGCTTTGGGGCAGCTCACCCAGCGACGGTTTTCATCCAGATATTCCGCGCAACGACCAACCTTTCCTCTACATCCTCTACATCCTCACTTCATCACCGTCTCACCACGAAGAGTCGCAACCACATCAACGCAGGACCATTTGCGCTACAGAGCTGGCGCATCATCTCCCTTTAATAACTTGCCCAACAGACGCAAGCTGAGCGAGCGCCGCAACCACCAGCCTTCTCCAGACTATCGACGTTCTATATCGAGCGCCCAGCATCGGTTGGTCAGAACCTCAGCCCAGACACATCACTGCGGTCCGCGTCAGACACATCACGTGCGCATCAACCTGTTCGAAGCCGCGAACGGCTCGTAATATTCAGCTTCAGATCTTCCCAGGCTTTGGCTTTTCGCGATCGTCACGTCAATCCGTCCGGATCTTCGTACCTTTCCCCTCGGACCACACACTTCGGCGGATATTGTCCCACACCTTCTCGCACCTTTCATCGGCCTGCTCAGGCAGCATACTGTTCAGAAAACTCCCCCAGATCAACTCTTCTACGCGCACGCGTGCCCCTCGACTTTTCATACAGAGTATCTAGACAGAGCAGCAAAGATGCGCGTCAACGTCGCCTTTGGCATCCTGGTCGGCTTTGCCATGCTCGAGCTGCTCCTTCTTCAGGTTGCTGTGTTGGCTCATGGATATGCTCATGCTATCACGAAGCCCGCCTCTCTGCCCACGTCGGCGAAAGGAGGTGGAGGCATTCTCGCAAAGAGGAACGAAGATAATCGTATTTGTAATATGGGCGGTGAGAGTAAGTGCGCAAAAGATGTCCAGACCTGCGTCAAGCTGCTAACATGATGAACAAGTTACCTGCGGGCTTAGAAGCTTCTGTCTTGCTGACGCTGACGGCTTTCTCATGTGTTGCCCGGAGTAAGTAATTATAATTCTTTGAAGATAAAGCACACTGACGTTTGTTTAAGTGGCGAAAACTGCCGGCCTCCCACAACTTGCATGGAGTTAACCCGTCTCAGCACTGAGGATTGCCTTGCTCAATCTGGCTGCCTTGCCTGGTTGGTTCTTGGTCCGCACAGAACTGCGCTCCTGCTAACACTGGTCACAGCGTCCACAACCAAATTCCATATTGCCTGCGGTATTACAATGACCAGTATTCCGTCAACTCTTACCTTTGCACTTCTTCGCGCCCTGGTGATATCTCCATGCGTATGGTTGGGGGCTTGGTTGCCAGTATTCCGAGATGGGAGCCCATCCATCCTGACTCTGTTACGTCGGATCAACCAGCGCAACCCACTGTCACAACTACCGCTGAGCCGGGTACTGTGGCAGAGATATCTTCTGAATCGACCGAATCTCATGAAAGCGTAATAACTTCATCTGCTTCCGGAGGAGCTCCTACAATTGTCACGATAACGGTCAACGGCCAATACGGACAGACCAATACGTCGACCGCGGCCTCCACGTCGAAGCCAAGCACTGCCTCTGACAACGAATCCTCGCAATCTGACACTGGCAAGAAGGCGGGCATAGCCATCGGGGTGCTCTTGGTCTGCGGTCTTGCTGCAGTTGGAGCATGGTTCGTGTACCGTCGTTATCTCAAACTGCGCAGGAACAATCAAAATGCTCTATGGCAGTCTCCTAGCGCCGGTCCTCACCACAACCCGAATGCGGTCGAGCTGGACGCTATGGACACTCGAAGGTAACTATCCACTTCCATGTTGTCTAAGTAGTTCCCAGCTAATGTATGCTTTTTTAAAGGGTGGAAATGGATCATTCTCCAGCTTCACGCTCGGAGATGGACGCATCTCCCCGGCCATCTGAGCTCGCATCTCCTCCTCCGGCCTTGGAGCTTCCGACGGATAAGCTCCCGTCTCCCCCGGTCTCCCCTCTGCCTCCTCTCGATAACGGCGTCCCCAACGGTAGCCGCTCTCCGGTTTCTCCTCTGAACAGCCCTGTCCCGGAGGCGGCTCCGGGAAGGTACGGAGTGGGAGGGTACCTGAACCCGGAGTACGCTCTCCGGGACGGGCTGTACCCTGATGAGGATGACAGGCAAGTCGCGGAAAACAAAATTGCGTTTTGAAGTAAAGACTACTTACTACCGAGATAGGAAGTCCCCGGTCGGAAAGGAGTAGGCTGGTGGGGAAATGGGGGGTCTTGGTAGTGGTGGCGATGACGACGGATACTTCACGCTGGGCGGAGTGCCCAAATAGGAAATTCAATGCTCTCTTTCTCCCTTTCTGTGTGTGTTGTTGAAGGAGAATTAGAGATGAAGGAGAGCATGGCCAAGGTCTGGAACGGGGATGACGTTTGAATTGGAGTAGCAGCGAGGTTTAGCCGGGATGCAGGCGTTGACCAAAGGTGTCGCATGGAGCAGCAGCGCAATTCCCCTCCGCCATGGGTTCACACAATGCCACCGAAAGATGACCCTGACGCAACCTCTCAGCCGAAGCCGACGCAGCAGCAGCAGCCGAAGCCCTCGGGCTCGCGATCCGCCTTCTCCAGCATCACCACCGTCCCGGCCCCGGTGAAGCGCCTCTTCGACAAGTTTCCCCTCGTCACCTACTCGGCGAACGAATTGCCGCTGCGCGCTCCGCGCGAACGCCAACGCCACCAGCTGTACATATTCACGACCGAGGATGGCGCATTGAGGGGAGAAGCGTCCTTCAATCCTTCCTGTTTGAAATGGCAGGTGCGTCGCCCCCCCGTCCGCGCCGAAGTCGCCGCAAATTCTCCAGAGCCGCGGAGCTGACAGGAGCGGCTGCCTTCAGACATACTTTAAATTCAGCGGAGTCGACTTTGTCACGGTCGCGTCAAGCAATCACGCCTCTCCCAGCGGCGCGCTGCCGTTCCTACTGCCCGGCGGCGCCAATGCCTCCGTTCTCGACCAGCCGCACGTCGTACCGTCGGGTAAGTTGCAGAAATGGGTGATGGATAATGGCAGCACACCTGTGGAAGAGCCGGACGATGATCGCTTCGAGGCATACATGTCACTGCTGGACCACGACATTCGGCGAGCATGGGTAAGTGCTCACCAACAGACCAGGGCGCAGCGCGCGGGCAAAAAGGCTGTGCTGACAACCAGGCGGGAAACCTCAGCTCTACACTCTCTACCTGACGCGCAACTTCGACGCCGTAGCGCAGCCGCTCTACATCGACAGCGCGTCGAGCAACGCGGTCGTGCGGGCCAGCATCGCGCGCGAGCTCCGGGCGGCGGCGCAGACGGAGCTGCTCAAGCACGGGGCTGTCGTCGACGCTGAGACGATCTACTCGGCGGCCGAGGACGCGCTGCGGGCGCTGGAGTCGGCGCTCGGTACGGACAAATGGTTCTTCGGGGCGGCGCGGCCGGGCCTGTTCGATGCCAGCGTCTTCGCGTACACGCACCTGCTGCTCACACAGGACCTGGGCGGCGCGGGCGGCTGGGCCAAGTCGTCACTGGGCGATGCGGTGAGGGCGAGACAGCGGCTGGTGCGACACCAGGAACGCATCTATGAAGCGTTCTTCCACCAGGGCGCGTGAGGTCTCGCATATACAGGCAGAGGGGGAGAGACCGCGTATGTATTGTGTAATGCCGGCGGCACCCGCTACACGGAAGCTGTGGGGTCGCTCCACGACGGAGGAAAATATGACTTGTATCAGTAGTCTTTGTTGAGGCTGGGCCATTCCTGCGTCTGATTCGGTACCAGGCAGCCAGGAGCAGAGCGGTGTCGCCCACGACGTGAGTCATTGGCTCGCCAGGTGTGGTGTGGTGCAGGAGAGTCCGGGTCGCGTGGCGCCAGTGAAGCGGCTGTGCGCCCTGTCGCGCGGTCACATGTTGCGCGTTTGCCTATTTGTTTTCTGTGTCTTCCCACGTCAACAACAAAGTCCCCGGTTCATCTCTGCCCCGCTGCTATCGCCGTTTGTTTACAGCCTGAAAACTGAGTCTTGGGGTTGTCTGCCGTCCTTCCACAAGTTCTACATTGCCACCAATTGGGAGTTACTTTCCTTTGCCTTCGCCACTAAAACGCGCCCCGCGTTCATCACCGCCGCACCGCTTTTGGCTCTGGTCACGCCCTAGCGGTGTTACAAGAAATATGACTCAACCATCTCTCACAACCACGTTTGACACGTCTTTAATAGACCTGGCGGCGTTACCGGGAACCCGACAGCACCGGCGGCGGCTACGGCAAGAAAAGCAGCAGCAGAGCAGCCAGCAGTTCGGATCCTTCTCCACCACCGAACCAGACACTGAGGACGACGAAGACATTAACAACGGAGCCGACGATTTCGCAGAAGACGTCCCTTCGCAGGCTGCTGCCAACAACAGTAACGACTTCCTCTTCACCACGTCCGGCGCTCTCGCGAGAACCCCTGCGCTGAGCTCGGACGAGGACTCGGATTCTGGAGAGGAGAACGCACCACCACCACTACTATCAAGACCGCCACTTCCGCGGCCACCACTCGCCTCGCCGCAACCACCCAGGCTAAGGCCAACGCCAAAGAGATCTCCGGTTTCTGCTTCCGCCGCTGCTGCACGTGCGTCAAGCCAAGCCAAACGGGCATCCGCGACGCCAACATCTTCCTCCAAGCACCCTCAGCCTTCGTCGTCGCCAACACCGTCCTCGCCATCGTCTCCGCCGACTTCTGTTGCTGCTGCTGAACAGAGCTCGAGACGTCCGCCCGCTAAGCGCAGGAAAATGGCTCGGGATGCTTCTTCGCCGTCTACCGGCGCCGGCACGCCTTCTGCTTCTGCGTCTGCGAGCCTGCAGAAGGTAGATCCTGTCGTTGATCGTGCCGTTGGTAAGACGGCGACGCCTGTTCGCCATCTAGACAACGTCGCTGCGTATGATGCGTGGGCGGCTGTGTACGACTCTGATGGGAATATCCTGCAGAGTGTAGATGACTTGGAATTAGAGGGGATACTGCCGGGGTTTCTGGAGAGCGCCGCAGGGAAGGTGGGAGGTGGAGGGGACGAGGTGTTTAGGGTGCTGGATCTGGGGTGTGGGACCGGGAGAAATACGGAGAAGGTTGTGAGGTGGTGGGAGGAGGAGGCGGCGAAAAGGAAGGTGAAGAGAAGGATGGAGGTGACGGGCGTGGATGCGTCGAAGGGGATGCTGGAGAAGGCGAAGGGAAGGTTGATGTGAGTTCTTGGGTTTAAGAATTCTGTGAATCACTAACTCACGCAAAAACACAGCCCGCTCGTGGAGGACTCAGACGTGACTACACTCAACCTTCTCAACCTTGATCCTTTCGCGTCCTCGTCCTCCGCATACATTGCTACGCCTCTGGAACGCCAACCGCCCTTCCATGCTGTTGTCTCTACTCTGGTTCTGGAACACCTGCCTTTGGCAACTTTCTTCCGCACCCTCGCCGCGCTCCTCGCTCCTGGCGCTATCGCTCTCATTACCAACATGCACCCGGACATGGGCGCTGTCTCCCAGGCTGGCTTTGTTAGCACGGATGCGGACGGCAAGCAGGTGAAGGTGAGGGGGAAGAGCTGGGCGCATGGGATTAGGGAGACGGTCGAAGCGGCTACGGAGGTGGGTTTGACTGTCGTAGATGTGGTGGGTGGAGCGAGTGCGGGTGGGGTTAAGGGAGTGAGGGAGAGGTCAGTGGATGAGGAGTTGATTAAAAGCGGGAGGGTGGGTGAACGGGGATGGAAGTGGGTGGGTACGAAGGTGTGGTATGGGTTTGTAGTGAATAAAGCTGATGGTAGTAGTTCGGAGGTGGAGAGGGAGTGAGTGGTATGGATAAAGGGTCTCTTGTCTATGTGAACGTGGTTGCTAGCGGGGGTTGGTTGGGATTCTATTAGCGGGTGATGAAGTTAATGTCTGAAAATATGAGGTATCAATGATGTCCACGCCATAGTGTCCACATAGACATGACGCGGACTTTCACCTGCATGTGCTGGGCGATGAGAATTTGCATCCACGGAAAAAGTTGGCGATGGTTTCCGTCGTAGAGTAAAAATAGTTGGACAGTCAGCTGTTCTGGAATCCTGTGCTACGACATGTGATACTGGTGTTCACAAACGGGAGCTCTTGGGGGAAATACATTCCACTTTTGGTGGAGGAGGTAATGGTCTTTGGAGGAAGTGATGCTTACTTGGTGTAACAAGTTCACTGCCATAGCATCCCACCCCTCAAAATGCTGGTTTGGCTGCAAGACACAATGAAAATCCACTCGAAGTTCGAGACTTCAGACGCGTGGGTTAAAATGCAATTACAATCTTTACCAACATGGACAAGTGACATTGTCACTCGACTTCAAACAGATACCAAGGTAATTTGAAGTGCGTATTTGGACCCTCTAGCGCTACGAAACATGCAACAGGCCCACAGGGATTCTTCAAACTCCCAAACTTATGATCGCCAAACTATGGCTTTCCCGGTTTTCCTACCGCTTCGCCGAGAAATGGTGTTCCAACCTCCTATCGCGTCTCCGCCACCCGACCATCAACCCGACGTCGACGCACTCGGTGGCAAATCCTCATCCCTCGTCCCCCAATCGCTCTCATTCCTCCCCAAAGTCAATTCCAGCACGCCCCCGTCCAGGAAAAATGAATGAGCGAACCAGTTTTTCGTATAAGGCTTGCCGTCCAGCGTGGCGCTTTGGATGTAGATGGCCTCGTAGCTGGGATCGAAATTGATATTACGGATCGTTGCAGTATTACCTGTGACCGGACTTGTGATGTTTACTTCGCGAAAGAATGGTGGGATGATGAAGTATACATCCTGGGTTTGTCAGGCGAAGTGTCGGGACGGAAAGGGGGCATTGCATACCTGGCCTGCTTGCGGAAAGAAACCCATCATGGAAAGAGACGAAAAACTCGCCATGGCTCCGCTATCGTCATTGCCAGGGATTCCTACTATCGTGTCGTTGAATTGTGCTGGAATATAGAAGTGTATTATCTCCGCTGATACAGCGGGGCGGCCGGAATAGTGTGCAAGAAAGCAGGTCAAAAAACTAAAGCATGTTAGTGATATTCTCGACATATTGGCTGTTCTTCTCACGCTTGCTCATCTCCTATGTATAGGAGATTGTACGTATAGTGAAGGAATTCCACGCGGCGAGTGAAAGTTTCGGGGCCGCCCAAGGTAGCTTGAGAGAGTCAGTGCATTCCATTCTAGAGAATCCCCACGATTTGTTGCCGGATATACGTACTAACGAGTGTGGCCATGTCCTGTGGAACGTAGAACGTATATAACCATATAGAGCCTTCGTATGTCTCGTGACCGTCAGGATTCAGGTAGCACCCTACAAAATTGAGTAGGCTGGAGCAAAGAATCGGATCTTGGTAGCCCCAGGTGCCATTCAGGTACTTGACTTGAAGAAAACCTGTGAAACCGCTATCCTCCTTCGGACCACCAGGCGTTGTATTAAAAAATGAAACCTGTTGTCATTAGCAGGCAACTTGTTTTGTTAAATAGCGGACTGACCTCGTCGTCCTTATACATATTCCTCCAGTTCTTACTGCGTTCCAAGTACTTTTCGTAATCACTGGTTTTTCCAAGCTTTTTGGCCATCAAAGCTATGACATAGTCATTATACGCGTACTCAACAGTCCGGGAAATTGATCTTGTAAAAGGTCCAACGCCATAAGGGTCGAAGTCGTCCGTGGGGATGTATCCTAGAGTCTTCCAGCTGGTCAGACCCCCTCGGCCTTCCACGGCCCAATTAAGAGGCTCCACTTCTGCATCTTTGATCAGTGCCTCATATCCTGTTTCCCAGTCTACATCCTGAGTAATATTTTTCAGATATGAGTCGACCAGGATGACATCCGCGTTAGATCCACCTTGCGTAAAGCCCTTGCAAAGACTCATGCGGCAATCCGGTAACCAGCCCTGTATCCCACTTAGCATCACATTACAACCATGGGCAAAGAAATTATACCTCGTGGCGGTAGATATCAATCAGAGTCCGGATCATTTGAGTCTGCGAATATGGGTCCAGGATGGTCAAGAGTGGATGAATGCTTCGGAACCTGATAACCTGTTAGCAGGCGAGCGTTGACTTGACTGCTCGGAAAGCCCTACGAGTCCCAACCGCAATAGAAGGAGTCGTAGTACGGCTCATCCGATTCCCAGAGATAATTTTCTCCCGTGTAATCCTGTGGAGAAATCATCGTTCGGTAAAGTCCTGACCAGAAAGTCCGCTGCAAGGACTTGTTAACGCCTGTCGGATCAACGGACACAACGCTCAGCTTTTTCTGCCATGCATCCTCGGCAGCAGTGCGAACGGCTTCGAAATCATAACCGGGGATCTCTGATTCTGCGTGCTGACAAGCCCTCTCGGCGCTAATGAAGCTCAGTCCAACACGGGCCAGAATTTGCCGGTCATTTTCCGGCGCCTCAAACTGAACCCAAGATCCAGCTGGTAGGGTCTGACTGCCAGTGTTGACATTATCTGAAACGACTTCAACGGACTTTGGCTCAGAACCGGCACGATTGTTCATGAAAACACCGGTATCGCGGATAGTGGCGCCCTGGAAGTCGGCACAGAACGAGATATTATACGATCCTATGCCGAATGACGGTCCAAAAGTCCCTTTTCCGGTAATTCGGCCTGTATCAGGATCCACGGATATTTGACCGTACGATCTTCCGTTTGGCAGATCCTTGAGATCAGCCAAGATCAGAGGGCGCAGAGACATGCTAGCGTTGCCGCCATTTGGTGCAACGGGAATCTCGGGAAAAGTGAAACGCCAGAGAGCAGTATGGTTGGTTGCCGTAGTTTCTTCAATTCAGTAAGCATACGACCTCGGGCGAGACCATTGATATTATTTCGAAGTACCTGCTTTGACACTGGTGTTGAGAGTGACGGTGAAATAGCCGGGTGCGGCGAATGCAGTTCCATTGATACGTTCGAGTGCGCGGGTTGAAGCGGGGAATTCGCAGTTATTCACTTCATCCCCAGGACAGCCGGCATGCGGAAAGAGGGGGAACACTCCCAATGATGGACTGCCCCCCGTACCACTGTCATGCTAAATAAACGTCAATTATGAATGAAACAGGTCTTCTTGGAAGTATACTATGTACCATGTGCGAGAACCCATTGATAAGGCTGTCATCCGAAGCGTAGCCACCCTGGTTTTCGCCGGTCACATCGGCCACAGGCTTTGCCATACCGAAAGGAAGAGTGGCTCCCGCAAAGACATGTCCTACGGTGGGGAATTAGTATTGAAACATTATTGTGAGAGGCCTCATGCTTACCGCCATTGACAGTGCCGATTAATGGATCCACATAATCGAGGATGTTGTATGCACTTGTATTTTGACCAAGAGCATAATTCGTCAGCGCCAGCACGAGTGCAAGCGATGCGGATGTAGGCGTCATTACTGTTGCACAAATACACAGGCAGGCGATGGCGGGAAGGAGGAAATGAAATGAACGGGGACGACGCCCATGAAAAACGGCCGAACAGATCGTCAGGTACTCAGGAAAGAACAGGGAATAGCAGGGGCGTGACCAGGTTCTGATGTCATTGTGCGGCTTAGATTCAATGACCAACATGCGCTTAATATGGTGGGAGGTGTACTACGAGGCAAAAACCCGAGAGACGGGTATTAGAGCCGAGGGTTAGCGCAAAGGATAGCAGGGGTATCTATGACCCCGCAATTTGCTTCACGAGTAATGATTAAGACAAAACGTTGGCAGGTGAAGCTATCATCCGGACGTAAATGCATAATTGTTAACCCTAAATTTCTATCAGGATAGTGCTTAAAGTACGCATGGTAGGCGTTTGGTACTATGGACATAGAAACAACTCACGCTAACATTCGGCTTCTACCCCTCTTTGTTGTATTTTCCGGATCCCGGCAGCGGGAAAATAGCCCCAACAAGGCTAAGTGTGCGGGGAAGGTACGAGCAATTCTCTGTTCGGATCCTGGGCTGCACCTTGCACCTTCCACCGTTGACCTTCCGGGTGTTCCTTCCTTCGGCTACTGCCTCCCGGCACCTTGTTTGCGCGTTAGGCTCGAAGCGGCACAATAGCCTCACATTACAGAGGGGTGCTGCAGCCGATGGCCAGCGCGAAGAATAGCGGGATCCTCGGGGGTAAATATGCCTCATTTTTTTCTGAAAAAAAAAAAAAATAACAACAAACGGGTATTTGAAGCTATCGTCCGGACGAGAGTGTCAAATTAAAAATTCTACATACACGTCCGGATGATAGCTTCAACTACCCATGACATGAGCAAAAAACAAATCCACGCTAGCCATCCGCTGCGAGAGGGGACTATATTGACACCTTACAACGAACTTTAAGTAGCCTCACTTCAGCAACCCTGGTTTTTCCTTTATTGAGCTTGCGACCACCGAGCGCGTCTCAAACACCAACATCAACAATTGCGACAACACTTTTGGACATTTCGAATATCTTTTTGGAAATGTCTTCTTCTAATACTGGAAGAGTCATCACATGGCGCAATAAGGAGGCCTATGAGCTATTGCAGGATCCCAGTACATCGTTTGAGGGATACGTCCTTCTTCGCGAGCTTCTGGAGTCGTCCCGCGCTGAGATGGGCCCGTGGTTCCGCCTGAAGTGCTGCCTCCTGCTTTCTGTCCACTCTAGTATAGCCAAGGAAGCTCGGGTAAGTCCGTTGAATGCGCTTATCAAGATCTGATACTGATGATTATTCAAGACCTCTTAGACGAGGCACAGCTGCTCTATAACATTCTGAGCAGCCTGACACAGGAGAAGCTCATGGAAAGCATCAGAGAGAAGCTACTGCACGCGCCTGATAACCTACGCAGAGCTCGCAAGTGGATCGCGCAACAGCCGCGGGATCTAAGGAACGCAGATCGGGCTGAGAGGGGTCTGACTTCAGCAACGGATGCGGATGAGTCTGGGAGCGACACATCATCAGACGAAGACTACGTTGACATTTTTCTGGTCAAGCTAGACAATACTGAACAGTCAGAGCCCGCCGAACAGCCGGAGCCCGCCGGAGAGCCGAGTGCGGAGAAGGACGAGGCCACCAGACTGATCCCTGCCCGTAGACTGCCCCACGGTCTTTCAAGTCGATTCTGGCGCCACTGCTCTGCTGTGAGGAAGAGAGTAGCTCCGACTCACCTTAAGATGACGACGAGATGTTCTCACAAACAAGTGCCTGTGCAACAGTAACAGCTACAGAATCCAACCACTCAGCGTCCCACACGCCGAGACAGGTTTTGCGCCAGCGCTTGTTGCCTGACCAGCAAACCCCAATCAAGAAGATTTCCCTTCTCAAGAGCGCTCACACCCCGGATTCATCTCCCTGCTCGACTTTAAGGGCGGAAAGCCCTGCTACGCCAGACTTCCTTCCTGACCTGACTTTACAGGCGGAGATGATGAGGGAGGATTAACTCCTAGCTCTTTGCGGAAATATTGAGCTTACAAACACGGGCGGGTAATATATATCACCGGGCAGAATAATCTACATCATTTGACAGTGAAGCCGGATCAAAGTCTACCGGCACAGTTGGATGATAACTCGAAATGTTTGACAGTGAAACGAGACCAGCGCCCATGCGCACAGTTGGACAGCAGGACTAGAGCCAATGAGTACCGTTGAATAAGAACTCACATCATCACGCCATGCTCAAGATTGGAGTTCGCAAACCTAGGTTGACAGTGAGGATTACTATTCGGAAATGCGTAGCACCAGGACCTACTAATACGACTTAATTTTGATCCAGAATTTCATATTATTGAACATATACATTACGTATGGCTTACTTTTGGTCTAATTAGTTGCTCTAGTGTCCACCCAATGCGATTCCCGTCACATCACCAAGCTCAGGGATCAGGACTTCCTTCTTCCCTTCATCACCTTCCAGTTTTACGCGGTACACCCCGCCCGACAAGTCCGTGACGTACGCAATCTGGTTCTCCTCATCCAGCGCCAGCCCAATCGTCTCATGAAACCGAATAGCCAAAATCTGCCTCTCGCGCTGCTTGCCAGCCTCCAACGGCCCCACGTACGCCCTATTCAGCGTGTTCCCTGTAGGCGGATCGCCCCTGTCCGTCCAGTACAGCAACTGCCTCTCGACATCCAGCTCCAAATCGATCGGCTCGGGCAGCCCGTCAAACAAACACTCCACATCCCCCCTCGTGGCCGGGTCCTCGCCGCGCAACGTGGTGCCGTCGATCGGGGCGCGGTAGATGCGGCCGACGCCGCCCTTGGACGGGCCCTTCTGCGTCCAGTAGAGGAGGTTGTTGCGCTCGTCGACGGCGATGCCGACGCACCAGCGCGACTTGTCGGCGCGGTCGGCGGGCGTGGCGCCTGTTTGCACGAGGGTTTCGACGGCCGTACCGTCGAGGTTCGCGCGCATGACGCGCATGCCTTCGCGGTCGCACCAGTACAGTTTTTGTGACTGTGGTGCGAGGACGAGCTGCTTGGGCGTGAAGGTCGTGCCTGGCGGGAGGATGGTGGTGATGTTGCCGCCTGTGGCTAGGTCGCAGCGCTGGATGGAGCCGTCGTTGGTGGTGAAGCCGGCGGTGCCCTGGGGGAGGATGTGGTTAGAATGTGTTTTGAGTAAAGAAGTTTTGAAGTATTCTATTCTCTCCAAGTTCTTTTAAAAGCCTTACCATGTTCGTCCAGTAAATGTGACCTCGGGCATGGTCGATAGCGATGCCATCCGGAAGCTCATGTAGGTCTTTTACGAGAATTTGTTGATCGGTGCCATCGGTACGGCAAGAGACAATACGACCTTGCCGCGAGGACCAGTGGCTGAGATCACAGTCGAGGATGTATAGTCTTCGTTCTTGGGAGGGAGAGGACATTTTGGGTAATGACTTGATGTTTGGTTGCGCTAACTTAGGTGACCAGCCCGGCGATTTTGAAGACATATTTAAGAGCCCTTCAGGAGGCTAGCCGCGCCACCAGACAACGTCACGATCAAGGCGTCCACCATGATGACAGAAAACGGTGTGTGCATGCGTAGGGCAGAGTGATCTCCGTTATCAGATCTCCGGCTCTCAACCGAGGCCCTTGTCGCCTTATAACGGCCCGATCCCCGTTTCAAAACTTTTTTTCTCCTTCATCCTCGTCACTGATCGCACAACAGTTCGCCTTACGCACAGTGATGCCATGATCGACGATCAAGGCGACACTCCGCAACACCGCTCCGCACAGTCCCCCAGCCGTGGCTCCACTCGGCCCTAAGCTTTTTCGTCGTCGGCCGAAAGACATTCCTGTTACGGGCAGTCCATCTTATCACGACCGTGCGAGCATGCCGAAGCCCGGAAGTCTCAACGCAACACTTGTCAGTCTCCACAGATCTGGAACGGCCGTGTGCACGCGTGGGTACTCTGGACCCTTTTCCCCCGTCTCGGGGTTCTTCGAAAAACCTACGGACGCCCCACCGAATCTACGGTACCTGGTAGACCTATCTGCCGATTGAACCAGATTCAGGGCCCACTGTAGCATGTACGAAGGAGTTTGCCTTCAGACGAGTCTTATGTTACAACAAGTCGAACGCACGACTAAGCTAAGTATAATTTTGCACAATTTATAACCACATTCTATTGCAGTATCTGCCAGAGAAAAAAGGCAATGCATTTCTATTTTCTAAGTCGTCTAGTATCGCAAATGTGAATTTCCTAATCGGGTATTCAACCACTCATCTCCCCCTTCTTAGCCTCCGCATAGCCGTCCCACTCCTTCCTCGTCCGCAGCAGCTCCACAATCTCCTCGTCCCTCTGCCGCGACAGATCCTCATAGCTCCTTCCATCCACCGCCTCCATAGTCCCATCCACCCACTTCTTCCTCAACTTCTCATCAACCACGGGATCGCTCGGCGCCCACCAGCCGGTCAGTGGTTTCAACAGATGCTGGCTCAAATGCTCGATACCGCCCGGCCCCCCACCGAGGTGCAGCAGAGCGCTGGGCCCCATAACACCCCAGCGCAACCCAGGGCCGTACGCAACAGCGTCGTCGATGTCTTGCACGCTGCACACCCCCTCTTGCGTCAAGTGCAGTATCTCGCGCACCAGCGCCGCCTGCAGCCTGTTCGCAATGTGCCCGGGCACCTCGCGCTTGACGTGCACCGCCTTCTTGCCCAGCGCCGCGTAGAACGCCATCGCGCGCTCGACGGTTTCGGCGGACGTCTGGGCCCCGCCGACGACTTCGACCAGCGGGATCAGGTGCGGCGGGTTGAACGGGTGCCCGACGACGCAGCGCTCCGGGTGGTAGGTGGAGGCGTCCGTCAGGCCGGCTTGGATGGACGAGCAGGTCAGGCCGGAGGAGGAGGTTGCGATGACGACGTCCGGCCGGATGTGAGATGCGATGTCGCGGAAGAGCTGCTGCTTGAAGTCGAGCCGCTCCGGCCCGTTCTCCTGCACGAAGTCGGCGTCGCGCAGCGCCGTTGCGAGGGAGGTCGTGAAGTGGATGCGTGAGAGGACGGTTGAGGCGTCGTCGGTGTCGTTCTTCAGCTGCCCCAATCGGGAGAGTGTAGGAACGGCGGAGGCGACGAGCTCGCGCACGAAGGTTTCGGCTTCGGCTTTGATGTCGAAGGCGGAGACTTGCAGGCCGTGGCCGGCGAAGAGGGCGGCCCAGGACGCGCCGATGGCGCCACAGCCGATTATGGCGACTTTTTTGATTTCGGAGGCTTCTGGCATGGTGGAGGGTGTGTTTGGAGTTTGAATTAAAAAGAGCTTTGATTTGGTTTGAAGAAAGCAGAGATTTCAAGAAGTATGATGCTTCGAGGTTTGATAAAGGGTATCTTAGGGATGAACGACAACACTGACCATTTCATACGCGCCTCTTATACAACAGTACGACGTAGGCAGGCAAGAGGACCCGGAGCATTTGCATCACCAGTTGGCCTGTGCGGCGCCCAGGGGAGCCGAAAATGGACCGTTATCACTTGGCGATCTATGGATCGACTTATGCACGACCGTTGCGCAGATAATTCGGACGCTGGGGCCCCTCGGCGCTATCGGCCGACGTTCAACGACTCCATTCTGTGACGTGAGCTTGCACCTTGGGGATGCGTCAGGGCGGACAAAGTGCCGGACGCCTCAAGGGGCATTTCGATATAAGAATGGCGTCGTGTGCGACTCAGAACGGCACTCTTCGCAACCTCAACCTTCTCGACACTTCCTCTCTTTTTCCCTCCCTCTTCATCACATCATCAAGATGTCCGGAGCTTCTCATCCTACCGTTCCCGGCGTCTACGGCCCGGGCACGCATACCGACACCAAGTTCACGCCTGTTCCTGAGGACACGCAGAGAATCTTCAACCACCTCGTTTCTCAGACTCCCGGATTCACCAAGGACCCCGAGCTGCTCTCGAAAGTCAAGTTCGTGGGCGATGACTACCCCACCCTTCCCGGCCCCATCAAGGCCGTCTCAGTGGCGGCAGCGCTGCACGCGATGAGCGGCGTGCTCGCAGACGAGATCCTGGCGCTCAGGGGGGCGCCCTCCAAGGAGCGCCAGATCACGGTCGACACGACGCACACGGCCTTCTGGTTCGCGGCGATCGCGACATGCTTTCTCGACGGCGAGGACGTGGTGTCGCTGGTCAAGGGCAAGAAGCTGGGCGGGGTGGTGCCCGACTTCGAGCAGGGCTGGATCGACACGCCCATGAAGTACCGGTCGACGGCCATCTACCCGACCAAGGACAAGGACGCGTGGTACTCGTTCCACGGCTCGCTGGCGGCGGTGCCGCTGCTGGAGTCGCTCGGCATCGACCCCAAGGCCGACAACTGCAAGACGCCGGGCGAGGCGTGGGAGCACATCGCGCAGACGCTGCGCACCAAGACGGCGGCCGAGCTCGAGTTCAACAACCTGCTGCACGGCTTCTGCGGCAGCCTCTGCTTCACGCCCGAGGCGTGGAACAACAGCGAGATGGGCAAGTCGCTGGCGCGGCACCCGGTCGTCAACGTCCAGCAGCAGACGCAAGCAGCACCCACGCCAGCCGTAGCCTTCCCACCGCTCGACCCAGCCGACATGCGGCCCCTCGCGGGCGTCAAAGTCGTGGAGATGACGCGCATCATCGCGGGCCCGCAGATCGGCGCGGTGCTGAGCTCGTACGGGGCCGACGTGATCCGCATCAACGCGCCGCACCTGATCGACGTCAACGTGCTGCAGCTGACGCTCAACGCCGGCAAGCGCACCATCGCCATCGACCTGCGCCAGCCCGCCGACGCCGCCTACCTGCGCTCGCTGCTCGCCGACGCCGACGTCTTCGTCCAGGGCTTCCGCCAGAGCCGCCTGGAGAAGTGGGGGCTGGGGCTCAACTCACTGCTGCGCATGGCGGCCGAGCGGCAGAAGGGCATCGTGTACGTGTCGGAGAACTGCTACGGGCCCGACGGCTACTATGCCGAGCGGCCCGGGTGGCAGCAGATCGCGGATGCGGCGGCGGGGTCGGCGTACGTGCAGGGCCGCGCGCTGGGCTTGCCCGAGGGCGAGTGCGTGCTGCCGTCGCTGCCCGTCTCGGATATGACGACCGGCATCATCGGTGCTGTGGGCGCCATGCAGGCGCTGCGCGACCGCGCTGTTAAGGGTGGCAGCTACTACGTCCACGCCGCCCTGACGACCGTCAACACCTTCGCCCTGACGCCTGAGGTCGGTCTGTACCAGCCGGAGACGGTCAAGGAGTGCGCCGACCGCTTCCAGTGGGGCCCCATGCGTTCGTCTGATCACGTCTTCGACCTGCTGTTTACCGTTTGGGACGGCTGGTCCCGCGTCTTTGCAGACCGCCTGCGCGAGGATAATGACAAGCTGTTCAAGCGCTTCGACCGCTCCGAGTTCGCTGGCCGTCGCATCGCTTTCCTGAAGCCTGTCGTCAGCTTTGGCAAGGATGACGCATCGAGCCCCGAGTGGCGCACTCCGAGCGTGCCGTACTGTCTGGAGGATAAGGCCAATGTTGCGTTCAGGTAGAGGGAGAGGTGTTTTTTGTAATGCTTGGTTGAAAGAAAAGTTGTCGATTCATGTAGATATCTATACCAAATGTCAATAATGTCATGCTTATGATAATCCGGATTGGCTCAACTTGTCTATGCGTGCGCCCCTCAGCAGAGCTTAATTGACGCGGCGATGATGCTTGAATGTCGTGCGGTGAGCAAACAATAAGTGGGGTGCACGAATTGCGGGGATTTTGATCCGTTCCACTGATAAAACTAGCCCGATTAGGAAGGTCGGATGGCGGTGCCTGGCCTGAGCATGACCGGAGACTCGAGCGGACGGGATTGCAGCATACGAGATCGATGGGCTGCAGCTCTTTTCATTTGTCGCGTAAGCGATCTGCATATCGGGTGCTCTGCCAACTTCCTCAAGCAGTACAGTCGCGGAGCGGGTACCTGAGTGGAGATTTGGGCGCACAGACGACCAGCACTCTGTACATCCTTGCACCACTTCGCTATAAAACAGCGGGCCCATATCTGCAGGAACCGTCTGTCAGGCGCGTTTTTTGTTTCTGCAATGGCTGCGCTCAGGAACTTCGCCGTGGCCTCGGGCCTGGCCGTCGCCCTTGCCAATGCCAACCCCGTGCTTTACAGACGACAGAACGAGACGGCCGGTTCCCCATGCGCCTCCGTATCTGCGCTTGCTGCCTCTCAGACGGCTGCCTCTCCCAGTGCCACCCCGACTGTGCCTGCGGGGCTGGCCTACGAGTGCATCAACAGCGTCCCCATTAACCAGACGGCAGCGCTGAACCTGATCAAGACTTCCCGCCCCTACTGGGAGTGGCAGAGCACGCTGGCCTACCTCAAGGATCCTCCGGCCGAGTATGTGGAAAAGATCCAAGACGCCATCGATGTCTTCGCCGAGCTGGATGACCTGGAGGCCAAAGTCGCCGACGGCACCATCACCAAGGAGTACGAGGTGCGTTGCAGCCTTCATCCCTCACGTGAATATACAAAACTGACATATCCACCCCAGTTCGGATACACACTCTACCGGATCCTGCAGCGCACGCACGACGGCCACTTCGTCTACGTCCCCGACTCGGTGGGCGGCATCTTCAACTTCGGGCGGCCGCTCCCCTTAGTCTCCGTCTCCGACGACGGCGCCAGCGCGCCCAAGCCGTACGTCTACCCAGACGTTCTCGCGTCAGTTCTGCACAACGCGACCTTCACGCCATCAGCCGTCAGCCAGATCGACGGCGAGGCGGCGGCGACGTGGCTGGAGAACTGGTCGCAGTACGGCTCGCTGCAGGACCGCGACGCGCTGTACAACAACGTCTTCTACGAGCTGGCCGTCGTGTCGCTGGGCAGCAGCGGCTCGGGCATGGGCACCTTCACCGGCGGCGGCCGCGGGCGCTGGGTCTACCCGGGCGCGAACACGACGCTGTCGTTCGAGAACGGCACCGAGTATACGATGCAGAACTTCGCAAAGGTGCTCGTCCCCTTCGACGGCGTCGACAGCGGCGAGGCCCTGTACAAGACCTTCTTCACCACGCCCCAGGACACGTCGTTCCACAACGGCGAGCCCGAGTCTACTGCTGCTGCTGCCTCGAGCTCCGCCGCAGCTGCCACTTCGACGTCCTCCTCGGCCACGGCCACGGCGACGCCAGCCCCGGGCTACCCGCCGCCCGTCGTCCGCATGTCGACCAACTACATCGGCGGCTACTACATCGACGACGACCCGGCCTACGCCGACGTCGCCGTGCTCGGCGTAGCCTCGTTCGTCGGCGGCTCCGGGCAAGCCGAGTTCCAGGCCACGGCGCGCGAGTTCCTGGCCGAGGCGCGCGCGGCGGGCAAGACGAAGCTGGTCATCGACGTCAGCGCCAACGGCGGCGGCACCATCCTGCTCGGCTACGACCTCTTCAAGCAGCTCTTCCCGGCCATCGACGCCTTCGCCGCCGCGGACCGCGCGAGGGCGACCGAGGCGCTGGATTTGCTCGGCGAGAAGTTTTCCGACATCGCGGCGGGCGTGCCGCGGACGTTGGAGGGCGTCGAGACGAACGAGACGTTGTATGAGCTCGAGGCGGACGTGGTGAGCTCGTATCTGAATTTCAGGACGGACACGAAGCCGGATGGGACGGCGTTTGAGAGCTGGGCGGACAAGTTCGGCCCCGTGCCGTCGGCGAAGGGGGATGAGTATACGGACTTGTCGAGGTGGAACTTGAGCGATGTGTTGACGCCGTTCAACTCCGGCGACATTTGGGTCACGGGGTACGGCGAGGGCGTGAAGAACGCGACGCAGCCGTTCAAGGCCGAGGATATTGTCGTCATGACGGATGGATACTGGTAAGTGATTTTTCCTTTTCCATGGACTTCTTCAGGGGGGGTGGTTTGGGTTTCGAAAGCGGAACACTCACTGACGTGCCCCCCTCCTCCACAGCGCCTCAACCTGCACCATCTTCTCCCGCCTCATGCAAGACCTCGCCGGCGTCAAATACGTCGCCATGGGCGGCCGCTCTCCCTCCACCACCTCGTCCGCCCCCATCACCCAAGCCATCGGCGGCGTCAAGGGCACCAACAACTGGCCGTGGGACTACATCCAATACAACGTCGGCCTCGCCTACTCGTACGCCAACGCCACCGAACAAGACTACTTCGACACCACCACGCTGGCCGATTACAACGACCAGCTGCCCTTCCTGCGCGCCGCCGCCGGCACCGCCTACAACGTCAACTTCCGCGACGGCATCAAAAAGGACGACTTCGACGCCCGCACGCCCACCCAGTTCGTCTACGAGCCTGCCGACTGCCGCGTCTACTGGACCAAGGAGATGACGGTTGATGTGACGGCCGCGTGGAAGGCGGTGGCGGATTCGGCGTGGGGGTATGGCGAGAGTAAGTGCGTGGCTGGGGGGTTGGGGGCGCCGCAGGGGAATGCGACGTATGGGGCTGAGCGGAGGACGAGGCGGTCGTCGTCGTCGTTGTCTCAGGTGAGGAAGAGGGAGTTGGTTGAGAGCGATTATCCGTTGGATTTGTGGACGGATTTGGATGGGTTGGATTTGAGGATGGATGGGTATATGATGCCGTGATTGTGGGACTATTTTTGTTCTCTTTTTTCTTTTCTTCTTTCTTCCAGGTCTTTTGGGATTTGCTGCTTTCTGAACATAATTGGCCCAAAAAGAAGAAGTGTTCATGATAAAAGGGATTGGAACGGCCTATGACTTCAAATATGAAAGTATCTCATATCCTGTTCTTGGTGTGACCATCGGAACTTTTTCACATGTACCGTTCTGCAGTATCACCGATGACTTGGCGGCGATTCGGGTAGGAACAATGCTGCATTCATCGGTACCAAGGAACAAGGGCGGGGGAAGAACCCGAACAGGGGCGTGCCCGACGCAGCCGTCGCGCAGCAAACACATGGCGAATAGCCAGCATATCGGTGTCGCACTGGACGGCTACGATGTAGCCATAAGCGTGCTGAGCCCCGGTTCCACCACGGGACACATGGCGCGGGGATGGCTGGTCATGGAGCAACTAGTACAATTGGCCACCCTGAGTAGTATCGCGAAGAACTGCCTCTTTTCCTAAACGCGCGTCATGAAGATTCACTTACGAGATTGGCTCACTTACTATTGGAGCAAACGATAACTGCATGACATTCAAGGCGAGGCTTGATTGGGACGAAAATATGCGGCAGTGTTGATGAGAGCGGTCGGAATAGGGTCTCAGCTGCCTGGGATTCAACACTAAAAGAAACCAACGTAGCATTCTGGTCCCTTGTCGTGCGGAATCCATTCGGCTCGTTAGTAGTTCTTCTGCGATCGGCATAAAATCGATCCCTTAAAGTGGCGAAAGGCCTGTCTAAAGTAGTTTCCCCGCCCCTCGATGGGCGTGCTAAATTTAGAACCGCGGCAGAGGCGGAATGTGCATGCAAGGCCGACCAATTGCGTCAAGCTGCGCCACGTGGGGAGACAATCCGCGATGTGGGGTGGGTTCGGCGGAAGCTGAAACCTTGAATCCCCCACAAGCAGCAAGAGCCCGATGTTTGTTTCACAACATGGTGAAACTTTGGAGACGGAGAGAAAACAGAAGATTGAAGCTCGAGTGCCGGACGGGAGGCCAATCTGACAGGGCCCCATGCGGGAGGAAGTGCCGAGTCTCGGCGACGGGAGGGCCGGAAGAATGCAGTCGATAAAGGGTGCAGGTCGGCGCTCACGATCTCCCGTCTTACGTTTTTTCTGAATATTTTGCAATGACACTTCGGCCTAATGCGGCGACCGGATGGCTGACCACACTGCCAAGGATCAGCCCCAGCCCTCTCTGCAAGCCACCTACCACACCTAGTTTATAGCTCGAGGGGATATTCGCCCACTAGAATATGTGCGCTGGCCTGTCGCCTGATCTCGCTGTCGCCGATAGCGTGCTGCGTCGCAGCGCCCCGAGGCCGCAGCACTCATGCAACGTGTTTCAGCTTGGCGCAAGTTATGACGCAGTTCCAGATGTTCGAGTGCTATCTACAAACTCTAGGCTATCCGATGCAATTGGAATCCTTCACAGTACGTGTTCCCAGAGAATGTTGGCGCCGTCTGCTGCAATCGCACATGATAAATGCATTGCATGCATCACGAAGGATTGTTTGCTAGTGATAGCATGTGGTACAGAGAGCGTTTCTTTTTGTTTCTGAGGTTGCCGATACATGTACGCTTCCGCTTCTTGGGACCGGGGTGTGAGCAAGGCTGTAAGCTTGCGCGGTGACTCCTGGCGGGGCGCAGGTAAGGCGGTGGCAGCGCAGGATCTGGACAACCTTAATTCCCAGGCTCAGCAGGATATCAGCATAGAGCCTCAGCTTTCCGGTGGACGCGCGTTTGCTTATAATTCTTATCCATCCTCCCGCCTCTGAGGCCGCGACTTTCAATACTTTCGCTTTACTTGCAGGAACTTGAAGAAGTACTTCGGTCTTTTTCCAGAAGCCATGATTTTCCGCACTTTCCAGTCGCTAGCCATGCTGCTGTTGGCATGCTTTCTCGCAGCCACAGTCAGCGCGCAATCAACGTTTACTTCGGACTCAGCTCTATCTTCTTCTTCAGAATCCGCTTCAGCATCCGCTTCAGCATCCGCTTCAGCATCCGCTTCAGCCTCTGCTTCTGATTCTGATTCTGCTTCCGCTTCCGCTTCAGCCTCAGCCTCTGGCTCAGCATCTGCCTCCGTGTCTGATGATGACACTTCGACCATGACCACTACCGAGTCGATGGCCAGCGTGACGTTGTCTTGGACCTCGCCCAACGGGACCGCATCTGCCAATCCTTCGTCCAGCCGCAATGCCTCCGCAACCACTACCGGCAAATACCCCATCACGACGGACAACTCATGCGGCGCCTCTGCCGGCCGCATGTGTCTCCTCACCGGCGTCAACCCCTGCTGCAGGTAAGTTAATTCTCCGCCCCCCGCGCCTCGCTCTTACACGCCGCCCTTTATCTTGTTGTTCATTAACACTAATTCTCCAAATATAGCTCGAATGGCTTCTGCGGCGGGACGGACGAGTACTGCGGCGGCGGGTGCCAGAAAGACTACGGCAGCTGCACGCCGCCGAACGCGTCGCTGGGCATGCCCGAGTGCAGCTGGTCGGGCGAAGGCACGTCGCCACGCTGCGACGGGCGGTGCGGGTCGGCCTTCAACAACTCGGTGTGCAGCACCACGGCCGGCCCGAACGACTTTGCCGCCTTTGGCGTCTTCGAGTACGGTTCATGCTGCAGGTGAGTAGTACTGGCTTTTTTGACCAGTCTGAGACTAAATTACTAATTTGTTTTGGCAGCGTTGGTGGCTTCTGCGGCAACTCAGATGCGCATTGCGGGCGGACGTGTCAGAGCGGATGCAATGGAACCAACTCGGAAACGAGCTCGGCGGCGGCGACGGTGACGGTCACGACGTCGGCGACGGGAGTGTCTTCGACGGGTATGGCGAGCCGAGTGGCTGTCGCATCGTCGGGCGGGACGGTGGCGTTGGCGCTTTCGTTGCTGGGTGCGCTGTTGGCGATCTGAACGACGGAGGATGATATGATATCTCTTTAATAGCCCCTACTTAATAATTTACCATTACAATAATATCTACAATTTCAGAATCAAGGCCGAGTTCCCAAAGTCCCGTCTATCTCTCTGAAGTGATGTTCACGACCATCGTCGATCTCAAACAAGCTTTGTTTCATCTCGCCCAAAAAGGGTAATCATTTTGGAGTTTAAAAGTACCTACAAGAAAACGTCTATCGCCCCACTCCCATCATCTCCTCTCATTCCTATTTCCATCGCTAACATCGCCATCGTCGTCGTCGCGATCCCGATACCTCTCCTCCTCCCTTATCGGCGGCGGATACGTCGGACTCAACCTACTCACGTCCGAGTAGCCTCCCATGGTCCCCGCGCTCGGCCCGTAGCCGTACGCGCTGCGCGGCGTGCTCGGCAACGAACTGACGCCCGACTCCGACCCCGCATCGTCACCTCCCTCTCTGTGAGGAAAACTCGGCGACCGCGGCGACGACCGCGGACTGCCCCCGTTGTTGTTCCCCCGCCCGACCTGCGAATACGGATGCAGCCCTTGTATCGCCAGCCCCGTCGGCCCTGTCGTATTTCCTCCACCACCACCACCTCCCGACGCCCTCCTCGCCGCCCTCCGCTCAACGAACGAGCTCCAGCTACTCCCCCGACTGTGCGACGCCTTCTTGGATGACGGTGATCCCGTTGACACCGTCGCCGGCGTGCCCCCGGTAAAGGTCGTCCCGGGCGACGAACCCTCGAGCTCGTGCAGCACGACCGCACCGCCGCTCTCGTCGCCGGGCAGTTCTGCGTGCAGCTGGTGGTCGTCGCCGCTGGCCAGTTCTGATGGCGTCTGCTGCTCGTGCGGCGCCTTGCGCGGGAAGCCGTCGAGCTCCATGGCGTAGGGGTTGGGCGAGCCTGGGTTCGTGAGGGATGAGTAGCGCGGCGGTTTGCCGCTGCCGCTACCCATGACGCCTACCCCGCCCATCTCCGAGATGGGTCGGCCGTCGGCCTCGTTGATCGTGTTGGTGCCGCCCGCGGCTGCGGCTTTCTTCTTGCGTTGTTGGCGCCGCCGCCAGAGGAGGGCGCCTATGACGATGAGGAGGACGGCGACGGCGCCGATGACGCCGCCGACGATGCCGGCTGTCGAGGAAGAGGAGGAAGAGGAGGGGGCTGAGGTCGCGCTGGAAGTTGAGGAAGGCCCGCCGGTGGGGCTGTATGCGCTTGCTTGGGCGGCGTTGTCAGGAAGGGAAGCGGCGGTCAGGTCGGCCTGCGGGCAGCCCGCGTTGCCGTCGGCGCGGCAGGCATTCTGCTTGCAACAGCCCAGGAACGGCGGATCGGTGGCGGTGCAGGTGTAGAACTGGCTGTTGCTGGGGCACACGGCGTCCGAGAAGTTGCCGTAGTAGTCGGTGTTGAAGCTCGCGGCGCGCAGGTTGCCGTCGGCGCAGCCCACGCTGTTGCACGGGTCGCGCGTGCAGCAGCCGACGAATTTGGAGCCGCCGCCGCACGAGTACCATGTGCCCCCGCTGGGGCAGGAGGGTTGGAATATCTGGCGGGATTGGAGGCGAGGCATCAATGTATGCTGTCCGGTGGTGCTGGATTGCGGTTCAGTGATGACGGCTGGAGGAGCATCCGGTGGTTCATCTGGCGCAGTAATGTGGCGAAGAGGTGGGTATAGAGAAAGGAAAAGCAAACAGTACGACGCTTGAATACGACAATAGCAGGGACAAGAAATTAGGATTATGACATTAGTTGGCGTTCGGGGGCTTGGGCGAGGACTAGCTGGATCCGAGGCTTGGTGTGAAGGAAGCAAAGCTGTGTGCAAGACTGGGCCTACGCGGGCGCAGCAGGGCCCAGATGTGTAAGAGCCCCGCTCCCTTTGTACCATGATTGTGCGGGGATGCAGAAGCAGTGTGGCAGTGGCCGGAGGCACGAGGCCGCAAGGCGGTGATCGCCGCGATTGCTCGCTTGGCTGTGATTGGGGGCCGTCCCGAAGCCAAGGGCATGCAAGGCTGAGAAACATGCATCCCGCATGGCATCCCACCATACTCTGTTTCTTCCTGGCGGTTTCAGCACCAGTTTCGCCTCCTCCGCGTCGTTGCTGATCTCTCTCCGCTGCGGAATCGCCGGGTGCGTTACAAATCTATCCCGCGCGTCGCCAACAGCGTACCCGCAACATCCTGCGAAGGATTTGCTCGCCATGCCCGGCCACGCGTGTTGGGTGGCGCTGCTAATAATACGCACCAGGGAAAACGCGTCTGGGCAGTCTTCGCCTTTGCGTCTACCGTATACACGCCACCTTCGCTTTCGCACGTCTTTGAAGTGAGTAAGCTGACATGCCCTAACCAAAAGCCCGCCAGCTGTGGTGCTTCCCGTCGAATATTAGCTCGCCAAGCACCGCTTCCTCTCGGCAGGTGACGATTGTCGAAGACCGCATATACGGTTTGTCCCGATTCGTCCACTCGGCCGTGGCTGCATTTCTGGCGCTGACTTGTAGTTGTATCTTCGCCACTTCGAGCCTGATAGACACTGCTCGCTCCTGATCAAGCTAGGGCAGCAATTCGTACCTGTAAGATGATGAAGAAAATCGCCCTCCGGCCACCTGCATGGCCGCTTGTGCGACCGCCTCGATGCACGTTTCACCGGTCTGGACCCTCCCTCTGACGGTGCGGCTCGTTCAGGTACCTCCGACCGCTGACGCATTCCTTGCGTACCTTCAGCCCTTACATTCCAGCCTCAAAGACGACCATGTCTCTCAACGTTGCGCCGACAATACGGATCGTGGGCTCCTTCGATCAGCTCGCGAGAAACCGAACGCCTGGCTCTTGGCTCCGAGTCTGGGCCAACCTTCCCCATTGCAGCTGCGGCTGTAGGGCTCAGCCACAACAAGCCAAGAACTACCGCTTTTGGGTCCCACCGCTCTCCCCGCCGAAACATTCTGCTGCTGACCAACGGCGCCACACGGGAACTCGAGGATCATCCTCCGCGGCTTGCTTCTTGATGTGGTTGGCGTATAAAAGGATTCTTAGACGTCGCCTGTGTCGTTCCTGTGCGGCTCCCTTTCACCTGCTTTTAAACCATCGCCTATCGAAGCGCCACTTCCCGAACCTAAACCAGAGTTGCTAGACTCAGTTCAAAATAGTACACCAGAACAGATCACGTGCGGCAAGCCTCTGGGGACATACGGTGGGACAGCGGCTTGCTGTTTAGCGGCGACGCACGCTTCGCAGCTGGTTCTAGACGCCTGGACCCTCTCCCCGGATTACGGCGCGGAGCGCCATGACGTATTAGGGGTTGTTTACCAGCTAAGGCAAACAGAAAGGCCAACATCCCTGCCAAGATACCCGAGGCGAGATCAAAAGGCTTGGTAGTCGACAAGTATTTGGCTAAACCCTTCCATCACAGAGTTTTTACCTGCAATACATGCTTAGGCATGCTGCAGCGTCTTTTGCCCCGCACTCTCTGCCTTCGGTAGGTGGCTGATGTAGGATCTGCCATCGAGACATGGGAGATTGCCCAAAACAGCTATGTTTCGTATATTCACTCCCCATTGGCCCTGTATTGAAGTCTCATGCTTTGCGTTAGCCACAGGCATTGAAACGAACGGGCACGTGCAGTTTTACGAAGGCGAAATGGATGTACTTTCTCGAGATTATTACGATCTTCAGTTATGGTGTCCCTTCCGTGAACCAGTCCCAAGTTACCATTCCTTGCGTTGAAACCAGAATAAGGGCCACGCCACTAGCAGAGACCACGTATAATTAGAGGTGGGGCTAAGCCCAGATAGGCGTTCTATTCTGGGTAAATCCTATGTGCGGCTCTTCATACGTCACTACCCTGTGATCATGAACTTGCCACTTTTGGTAAGTAAGCAAACAGTCACCAATGAACATGGTTCACGATATAAATTGAAGGTCTTTGTCGCTCAACGGCTCTATAATGTCTACCATGTGTAGTAAAGAAAATGAGGGTCGTGTTTAAAAGTGTATGTATGTACAATGAAGAAATGTAAAAAAAAAGAGAGTGAAGGTTGTTTCCGAAAGACTATATACAGTGAAGAGAGAAAAGAAAAAGAGGGTCCGTTTTTATATTTTCTTTTTCGGAGCACTGCTCAACAAATCCAGGCCTGCCACACGCAAGTCCATTCAGTCTCAAGATTGAGTAGTCATCTAGGCGGACGCAGTGGCGGCGGCGTCGGCGGCGGCGTTGGTGGTCTTCTTGGCGACCTTAGCAGACTTGGTCTTGATGGTGACCTTGACAGTGCTGGTGGCCTGGGAGCTAGTGGCAGTAGAGCTGGTGGCCTGGGGGTTGGCAGCCTGGGAGCTGGACGGGGACTGGCTGGCCAGCTTGGTGTTGGCAGCTGACACGAGGGTAGTCGGAACGGAGACGATGTTGGAAGCGGCGACAGAGGAGACGACCGAGTTAACGGCGCCGGTGGCGGTGCTGACGGTGGCCTGGGCATCGATGGTAGACGTGATGCTCTTCAGGCCGAGAGGGCCGAGCATAGCCGGGGGAGGGGCAAGGACCTGGGCCTCGCGCTTCTCGACGGGGGCGGCGAAGCTAACGGCACCGAGGGCGATGGCAGCCATGACGATCTTGGAGGCGAACATTTTGATTGATTGGTTGGTGTTGATGAAGAGAGTGGTTGGAATGTCTTCTTGGTATGTTGAGGATGGTAAGACTCGAAAAGAGTGGAGTCTGTTCAAGAGTGTTGTTTGTTTGGTTCCAAAGGAAGGACGACCGAAGTCAAAGGAAGGACGACCGAAGTCTGTAAGGGACTGATGAGCACAATTGCTGAATGAAGGTCAGTTGTGTGATGCTGTTTCAGACGGGCATGATCGTCACCTTATATGCCTTTCTCAGGAACACTGCTTCTTCCCACGAGGCACTTCAACTTCCCGCAAGGCTCCGCCCACCGTCCATCTGGACTTCCGCCTCGTGTCCGAATGACACCGGGAGCCCGGTCTGAGACACGCGGCGGAGCGCTAGCATTCCAAACAACGGCACTGTATTCGGTCGCATTCTTTGGTAAAGATTTGAGTTTCAAGATTGCACTTCCGTTTCCGGAAGAATGGCCTGATTTTCCTTCGCCAAGCTCAGGACTAGTTCGCTGGAGCTCTAGGAGCCGAATTGTCCGCTGCCAATCAGTGGCCACTCTGAATACTCCCAACTGTACTGTTCAATCCTGACTGGCTGATGATGGTGATTAATACGTTGCACCTGCCCATCCATTTCATATGAAAGAAGCCATTGACTCATTTGCACGTGGTGGTTCTTTACATATCTTCAACTCAATGCTTGGTTGGCATTTCGCGAATTGTGTGACCGACACTGTGGGTCATGATGACAGTTTCAAGCTCCCGTGGGAATCATTCTCATCAGTAACTGGGCACATGGCGCAAAAGATTTGTTACTCCCCACATGGCTTAGACGTTGAACTACCTGGATGCCGGAAATGGTTAGTTTGTAGGCTTCTGGACGTTTCAGCAATGGCGTGAACCATCGATGTGATCAAGTAGCAGCATTTGGCCAGGGGCTCGACCAGCCCCCAGGGACAAAAACGTCGATTTCGATCTGCGGGAAGATATCGGTTCTTAGCCACCTCCCCAAGTAACGATGGATCAAGCAGTGTCCGATCTGCGTGGTGTTTATCCTGATAGAGAAATCTCTGTGGAGTTTCTATCCAACTTCTAGCGGCAACCAAACATACCTTAGCGTTCGCAAAATGTACTTCTTTGGAGGGATGGCTGTCTCACGATCGAAGAAGCTGGAATCTACAGAGCCACAGAGGGCTTGCTGTCTTGGTAGAACACCTCCTCTGCCCTCAACTTCACGCGTCCTATAGCACTTAGATAGGAGATGTGTGAAATTGAGCGCTTCAATGGGAAAAGTGGCATTCGTAACTTAAGAGAAAAGCTCAGGAAGGAAGGCGGGTGTAAGCTCCTTAAACGCGCCACATCCGCGGCATAGCTCCATGCTTTGCTTGTGTCGGCATCGCGTGCACTCTCCACACTGATCCCCACATCAGCCCGCCGGAAGGACAGCATCTGGTGAGTGGCCTAAGATTTGACCTATTAGCTTAATACGGTAAAGCAGACGGGCGGGTCGAGCCATTGCCTGATTGTTCTGGCTCACAATAGACCTTTCCTCTACGCTGTAGGACCCTTTGTTAGTTCGCCGTTGTTCCATTGTTGCAACATGCAGAGAATAACCAACCTCGGTCTTGAAAACCAAAGTTATTCAATCCGCAAAAGTCTCCAGAAGAATAATATGGGTCTAGCCCACGTTTTTCGGGAAAGCACGCGATGGAGTGTCATCTTAATCAAGTTTCATGAAGAAAGCCAACACGAAGAAAATCTTGCACTAGCTACTTGGGCGATCTTTGCTAAATAGGCTAGAAAGTGCTGATGTGCAGTCCGTTCTGTGGTGCGGTTTTTCGGTAACAAGGGGTTTCCCAAAAATTCCCCGCGTGGTAGGGTTCCCCTGGCCCAGGCACTTTGGCCGAGCCTGGAGCTTGTGAGGCTCTAAGGCACGCGGTGCATGTTCTACGGCAGAGGCAGTGCTGTACCGGGCCGGCCGTCTGACAATTTGAGAATCAACTTGAATTGTAGTATAAGTTAGCCTAGCAGTCTCTACTCCTTGAGTAAGACCAGAGCTTTTCTGTACGGTGCAGCCCCCTTTTTCTTTCTCAGTCTCGTCACATCTAATACCATGCCGCTCTTCAAGACAGCTGCGGCCTGCGCCACCATTCTTAGCCTCGCTGTGGCTACTCCGATCGACAAGCCTGGCCAGACGTTCACTTGCAAGCAGGTGGAGAAAGGATCCGTGGCTAGGAATGGACCTGCTGAAATGCTCAAGGCATTCAACAAGTTCGGTAAAGATGCTCCGTCCGAGGTCGTGTCTGCGGCCGTCGCTGCCAGAACTGGTTCTGCTGCTGCTGTGCCAGGGGACAAGTATGACACCGAGTACCTGACGCCTGTCACCATCGGCAATACCACGTTGCAGCTTCAGATAGACACTGGATCTTCTGATCTGTGGGTCTATTCCTCTTTCATGCCGGAAAGCATCAAGGCCGATCATTCCGTCTACGACCCGGCTGTCTCCGGTATCAAGATGGACGGTTACAGCTGGTTTGTCATCGCACTCTCACCATCCTGAGGTTCGTGTGCTAATATGGCGCTAGGAACATCACGTATGGTGATGACAGCGCCGCTTCTGGCTCTGTTTACGCCGATAAAGTTGTCGTTGGTGACTTGACGGCTACCTCCCAGGCGGTTGGGGCGGCCACTTCCGTTTCCAACATGTTTGTAGAGGACCCTACTGAGGATGGAATCCTTGGGTTGGGATTCATCGCAAAAAGCAGAGTCCAGCCGAAACCCCAAAAAACATTTTTTGACAACATCGCCGACCACCTGGCCGAGAAACTATTTGCCGTCACCTTGAAACGAGGCGAGGCTGGAAGTATGTCTTCAACCCCGCTTTCCACGAATTCGACTGATGATCAAATCTCAAAGCATTCGACTTCGGCTTTCGAAATAGGAGCAAATACACTGGCCATATCGCGTATGTCGACGTTGACAATTCGGACGGGTGTTGGGAATTCACCTCTACTGGCTATGCCGTTGGCAAGGGCTCTGTCGTCTCCACTGCTATCAACGCCATTGCCGATACCGGCTCTACCCTGCTTAGCCTCCCGGGGGCGGTCGTAAAAGCTTACTACAACGAAGTCAACGGCTCTTTCTACTCTGCTCAAGACGGTGGCTTCGTCTTCCCGTGCAACGCCGACCTGCCCGAATTCACGCTCATCATCGGTGGTCGGCCGCGGACTGTTCCCGGCGAATACATGAACTATTCCCCTGCAAATGAGTCGCATTGCTATGGTGGCCTGCAGAAGAATACGGGATTGCCTTTTTCCATCATTGGAAGTATCTTCCTCAAGGTAAGGAATTTTATGTCACAGGATACATGACACAGCAATGAACTAAATCCCTCTTAGTCCCAGTATGTGGTTTTCGACCAGTGCACCAGGAATCCCCGCCTTGGATTCGCTCAGCAAGCTTGAATCGTTTCTCATGACTCAGAGGAGATGAGAGTGAGTCGGCAAAAAGAAATCCATGAAGAATGGCTTACTTACTTAATGTGTATAATGTAAAGAAAGCACCGTATATATGTGTAGCTACTTTGATTGAAATCAGAGATTAGTACTTTGAGCAGCTCACCTAGTGAGGTTCATACCCCTTTCCGTACACTCAAGATGTATACCGGTATATGCATAAAATTGCTCGCTACAAGTACGTTGAACGACTCTTGCGTGACTAGAATTGCGTTCCAGCAACAATATGGATACTTTTTGAAAATACTCCCCACCATTGCTTCCAACGTTGGTACTGAAGTCGTAACTAAGGAATATAATTCCGGAATGTTGCGCGGTATTTCTGTGCGCTAGTTGTTTGATTTCGCCAGTGCACAGTACGGGTGAAATGTGAGAGAATAGCGAGCATTCTTAAATGCTGTTGTCCTGTTTCACGATTTCTCCGATGTACTCTTTCACTAGGCTTGCCACGGTCTCACTGTCTTTTTGAGCTGCGAAGCATTAGTCTTCACTGAATTGACGGTAATCGTGTAAAGAAGGAATACAGCGGGGTAAGATTAGGAAAAAAAAATAGTGAATGGAGGTTTGAGGGTCCCGATGGTAATATTGATAGGTGGAAAGCTCTATGGCTGAGTGTCTAATTAGAGGGGATAACTTACTCGTGAAGAAGTGGTTAGGTAGCTGAGATTTGTTGATTCCGGCAACCGGGTCCAGCCTTCCATGACCTCGGCCTACTTCGGGCTCGCCCTCGTTCTGACCGAACAGCATGTACGTAGGCGAAGTCGGAGCAGAGTTGGAGCTGTAGATGGCGTCGTCCCAGCGGCCACTCTTTTGGTCTTCCATCTGACTTCGCCATAGCGTGCTTAAAAAATGAGTCAGTTAATAACTTTGTAGCATGTGTTGCTAGGTATTAGAGTGGTAGTGAAGAGACTCATGGTAGGGAGATTTTCCGCTGTAGAAAGCGGGCGGGAAAAGGTGAAATGGATGCATACAGTGCTTGATAGATGCCCCACTGGCTCCCCATCATCTCTTTAGTCACCTTGGCAGCATTGCCAGATAGACCAGTGGTGCTGCGCAGCAATGTGTCGATGACAGCGGACGGAACGAGAAATAGGAGGAGCTTGACCGAATGATGGACAAATAGTGCTGAGTTCGACAGCAAGGTAAGCTGTTTCACTGTGCATCAGTGACGGAGTTTGAGGAGATAGAGGCTTTTGAGGTGCAATGAAGTACGACAGGCCTAAGAGCCTCCTACTAGACTGAAATAAAATACTTTGGAGAGGTAAAGCGCGTAGCTAGTTGAGAGGATGTTGTCATAGGACCAGAAAAAAAAAAGAGGAAGAGGAAAAGATGGCATGGAAGACTCACCACTGTCTGAGACACAGCTCCACCAACCGTCTTCATCGCCACCGACGGGAATAGACACACCGTCCCAGCAACTGTGAAACCATATCCTTTCTCGTGCGATGCATCCTGCTGCCATCGCTTGAGCAGCTCCAGCACAACATACGCGCCAGCACAGTGACCGACCATGATGACCTTGACCGGCGTGTTGCCTTCTCGACCTGATGCCAGTGTAGACACCCGATCAAGCAACACAGCTTCCATGTGTTCGACTCCACTGGTCATTGAGGAAACGGAGGGCAACTCGTCCGCAGCGGCTCCTGGCCCTGAGAGACTTTCGGCCAGGATCTCGAAGGTAGCGCGCTTCGTGGTCGAGCCGTCGTGAAGGGATGCGTGAAGGCTAGAGAGGAATGATCGATAGTACGCAGCCGGTCCGGGACTCCCTGGAACGAAGAAGATGAGGTACTGCTGCGTGCTGGAGCTTCCTTCTGAGGGGGGAGCAGGTAGACTGATGATCTGCTGCAGCGAAGACGACATGGTGAATCGAATAAGAGTGGTACGGTGATGAGAGTGAAGTAGAGATGATGTGAATGGCACTGCTGTCAATTCAGAGGCCCGCTCCCTTGCTTATAAGGTTCTTCCAGTAGTGCATGGGCTCTCTCTCCTCCGGACATTCGCCGCCTCATCATGAGACACGTACCCTCTCCTCTCTCTCTCGTTTCGAATGCTGCATGCAAGTCAGATTGGAAAGAAACCGACGTGCAGAGGCACGGCTTGGAGGATGAAAGGATAAATGTAACACATTAGGAGATCAAATGCAATGGCCATGCTATCAATTGGAACCTCTTTTCTGGGCTGCTGCTTGTTGGCCATTCATGTCTGTTCATTCTTTCGTGCGTAAGCACGTGGCCTCTTTGGAGCAAAGAGACTGCACGGGGTGCTCCATGTGAGATGCAGCACGGGAACTATATGTGCGATCGACGCGGGTTCGGCGGCGCCATTGAGGTGGGGCGTTGGGGAGGGAGGCTTGTCAGATGGATGGTCCGGTGTTCTCGAGTGGCTCCACGAGACGGAGATCCTGGCTGGATGTTGTGCGGGATTGGAATGGCGAGAGCATGGCAATACTAAGATGGTGAGTTCCGGGAGTAGCGTAGTCTGATCGGAGATCTGACGGAGGCACAGCAGCGTGTACGAGTTAAACGCCAACGATGTCGATTGGAGGAGATAAGCGGTAGAAGAGAAAAAAGAGAAGGGTGAGTGGAGGACTTGTAAAGGCATAAGTGACAGAACGGACCAATGTCCGTCTTCATGGCTTGGCAGTTCTCGCCAGTGGCTTTTCCGAGCGCTCCCCGCGCGTTTGCGTTCCTGCTAGGCGGCTAACTGCATGGTATGAAAGATGTAATTGGCCTGGCCTGCTTGTGCGGTCCCGCAAAAAAACCACAGCCCCATGTGTGCGCAGCTCTTTTGAGCCCTGCTGATCCGCCGGTATACGAACTAACGCCTACGGAACGAGGTCCGGCGATTCGTTGAGGAGTGCCATCACTTGCATCAACAAAACCCCATTCCATGGGTTTGCAGGCAGTCGGCCGACCAAAGCGAGTACCACCTTCTTGGGCAGTTCTAGCGGGTGGCTTGATGTAGGCGAGCGGATGGGTTATCGGAATGTGTCCCGGGGTCATGGAAAATGTTTGCACGGAGAAAATCGTGGCACATATCAGCCAGTCTATCAGGATGGGGAAATTAGCGGCGAATGCGGCGAAGCAAACGCCGTGATTGAAATCTTAAGACTGATTACCTGAATATTATAAACTAGAAGCCGGGGTGCTGCATTTGCCACCAGATTGAGCGATTGGCTGCAGCACGCGGTCGTGTGTGTCGGCCAGGTTGTCAGAGATCGGCGGAGCGTCCAAATGTCGAGGCGGGCAGGAACCGCAGCCCTGGCAGGAGCACCCACGCGAGAGAGATCAACGTGTTCTCGCCACCTCATCGGCTCCACAGTCGACTCTGCAGAAAAAGGAAGGAGCATAACTGGCTGCAAAATGATTCCCGTTCGAGCTTGAAAAATCCGGTTGAGACGCCGGAAATAAAGCTCAAGCGCGGCATCCATTCCCATCTTCTTGACTATGCGAAAGCATTCCACTTTCCAACCAGAGGAAATGCCTGACTCGAACAACCGAACGGCCATTGGACCCATTGCTCGTTTGACTAAGAGAAAGGAATTGAGAATGTAACGAATTCATTGGAATGGAATTGAATATTCAAAGATTCTACTCGAAGACGCATTCCGACCATCGCTTCAAAGGAATCCTCTTTACACCCCCCTGGGGCTGACAATCTGAAGTCAAAAAGGAAAAGACAAGGAAGTCCAGAAACAAAAAGAGTCGCGGCCGTCCTGCTCCATTTCAAAACCGAGCTTCCCCGAGCCAATTCCTCAATCCCAGTCCCCAGCGCCCAAGTCCACTGGCCGGCCGACCCGCATGTCCTCCATAATGTCTTCGATGTTCCACGGCTCGTAGTGGTAGCCCGGCGGATAGTTCGGCGGCACGCCGTCGATGTACTCGCTCAGGGGCACGCCCTGCCTGACGGCCTCGACGACCTTGTCGAAGTGGCTGTGCGCGTACAGCTCCGGATCGTGGCTCCAGACCCAGCGGGGAAGCTTAGGCGCTGCACGGCGCGGATCCAGCTTGACCTTGGACCAGTCCGTGTCCTGCAGCAGCTCGGCGTTGCTGAAGCCCAGCTTCTGCGCGCAGGCGTTGCGCACGAAGCGCATGCGCACATGCGCGCGCACTGCATCGGGCACGCCCTCATGCTGCTTGCTGCCTGCGGCGTCGACACCCAGCCGCAGGCACGACGCCAGCGAGACGGCGTCCTCGATGGCCTGAGTCGCGCCATTGCCTGAGGCCGGCAGGAAGCTGTGCGCCGCGTCGCCGATCTGCACGACGCGCGCCAGCGGAGACAGCCACGACGGCTGCGGGTTGCGCCAGAGCAGCTCGAAGTTGATGATGGTCTTGGGCGGCGTGAGCGCCACCAGCTCGCGGAAGATGGGCGCCCACTTGGTCGCCCCTGGCACCTTGTCCATGCCCTCTAGAACCTCGTCGGGCTCAACCGTGTTGCTCCAAGACTCGGATTCGCTGCCGGTAACCTGTAGATAAATGTTCGCATTAGTAATTGCTTGCTATTTCGTTCCCGTTTCTTTTGCCGAGCTGCGGGAAGGGTATGCAAGTGTAGACGCACGTCATGGTTCATGATCCAGATGATGGTGTCCGGGCGCGTCAGGGTAAGGGCGTATGTTCCAGGCCTGCGGGTCGCACCATCAGTCAGCATGCATGTCTCAAGGGAGTGTGCCCAAGCTACCGGACCGTCGCCACACCACATCTACGGAGACCGCTCCGCAGCAGGGACGACAGCAGCACGTGAAAAGCAACGGGATCTTAGTGTAACTCACCCCAACCACGTCCTCACAATAGGCTCCTTGCCCGTCTCCCCATCGATCATTTTGAAGAAGTCCTTGACCTCTTTGTTCTTCTCCAGACGCTCGATCGGAAACGCGGCACGCCACATGGCGCGACCAGATGAGATGGCCTTGACCTGGCCGCCCACAATCTTCTGGCTCTTGCTGCCCACGCCGTCCGCTGCAACTACCACGTGCGCCTCGAATCGCTCACCCTGGTCCGTCACCACGCCGGCCCGGCCCGTTGCCTCGTCTTCCCAGTAGTCGACGACGCGCTTGCCGAACTGGACCTTCACGCCGAGCTTCTCGACCTGGTGCACAAACATCTTGTACACTAGCGGCCGCATCTGGAACGTGCCTGGTGGAGTCTTCGGGTCGAGCCCCTGCGCTTTGAGCCGCTCGGCTACTTTGAGCGGCGCGATCATCTGCTCGCCTGAGTGCTTGAACGTCTCGATCCATGCGTCGTGCAGAGAGATAGCGTCGAACTCGGCCGCCAGCTCCGGCCAGTGCTTGAAGAATTTGGTGGCCGACAGACCCATGAAGTACATGTCACCTACAACCAACTGTCAGCACTGCTTTACAGAGCCTGAGCAAGTAAACGTGATAGTGAATGGGGGAGAGACGTGAGTGACGCGGAAACACGTGATCGAACCTAATGTGATGTGATGGTTTGCGACGAGTCATGTGCTGATGTGAGAGCTTGATTTAGGCTATCAGGGTATAGTTCTGTTTCTGCTTACCAGCCGTGTTGATGGAAGCGTTGCGCTCCAGCACCTGCACATTGTGGCCTTTCCGGATCAGCTCGATCGAGGCAGCCAGGCCGGCAAGACCGGTGCCCACGACGAGCACGTCGAGCCCAGATGGCGGGTAGGACCCCACAGGTTTGGACTCCATGTTCTTGTTGAACAAGAAGCGTCTGAGGTCACGGAGGATTTATGAAGCGGAGAAGAGCTTGGCGCCTAGACTCGGTAAGTACCCCACTATGTTCCTTTTGACTTTGCTGACAGTTGGCGGTTTGGGGGCCTGCCGTTGGCTTCCGAATAGGAATCAAACCGCGAGACACGATTTCTCTGCGTTGTTGCTGTTGCTAAAGGAGAAGGGGACAAGTGAAGAAGTGCTGTGAGTTTCGAGGAAGTGAACAAGTGAAGCTTTCATCCTTTACGGCCCGTATAAAGGATGGTCGCGGAAGCTCGGGCGAGACCATGAAGGGTCGGCCGGAGCATGAAACCTCCTGGCATCGGAGATGTCCTAGCCAGAACGACGATTTGGCATAGCGCCGTTCGCATCTGCCTTTTGCCCAGGGTGATGTCCAGCCGGCTCTCCACCCCAACTTCCCATCTGCCGGTAGTGGAAAGCTTGTTGGGTTTGCCCAGAGGTTGTATGTGGGGAGGTCCAAACTGGTGCTGGGTAGCCATGGCGCTGCCTCTATGACGATACGAACCAGGGTCCTGAAAATGGTCCAGGATGCACGCTAGGGATCCAATCTGCTTGGCGGGCCAACACACGGGAGCCAAGCCCGTTCGGGAAAAAGCCTGGGCACTGTGTTTCGATGGAACAGTAAAGTGCACGGCTGGCTTGCGACTAAAACGGTAAACCAGCTTCTGCCATGGGCCTATCATGGAGTTGAATCTCAACCCCAAACTTCGCGCTTGCATTTTGCAGAAGTTGTGCAACGATTTTTCCATGTGTATGCACTCACTCTGTGGAACCCCATGCGAAGCCTGATTGATATGACAGTTACCTGTCACAATGTACCCTGAGATGAGCCGCCGATATGCGCCTTCGTGACGTGTTATACCACCCGTAGGCTCATACGCGGCATCTGCGTCCCGCCTGAAAGGCGGCAGTGCAGGTTAAGGCTTCCATTGTGACATGCATATGTTGCATTCTCCGACGCCTGAGAAACACTCCCGTAGCCCCCGTGCGGAGAGTCCGGCGTTCCTCCTGCTGTAATGACGGAGCAAATATGGCTTCACCTGAGACAAACTTGGATGCTTTCCGACGATCATCGTGCTAGTCCCACTGGCGGACGGCATTGAAGGTTTGGGACGTCAGGGAGACCCACTGGAGATCGCCGACATCTTGCATGAGGTCGCTCCCATCAGATGAGCGGGCCGTTGGCAATAGCGATCTGACGAGATACAGGGCGTTCTTCCTCTCGGAGGTGGAGAACGGCTCGTGCGAAGTCCGCCTGGGCGAGACGTTTGCGGGAAGTGGTGATCAGTTTCGCTGTCGGTGGATGCATTGGCGTGATTCCTGGCGGCACGGTAGTTAATGAAGACATCCTCTCCCCGCATCAAACTTTTCCTTCTAACGTTCCGCTTCACCCTGCGTGAGAAGTTGTCAGCTCTATTTTCCCGTCCGCGAAATCATGCAGCTCTTTACATACGTTGTGCTCGCTGTTGCCTTAGCAGGCTTCACGATACTCAAGTTCATCCAATCGTTCAGAGAGAAGAACGACCCATCAGGGCCCCCTGGTCCAACCCTTCTCCCCTATATCGGCCGCATTCATGACCTACCCATCCAATATATGTGGCTTAAGTTCAAAGAATGGGCAGACAAGCACGGCAAGGGCGGCCTGTACAGAACGGAGATGCTTGGAGCCAGGTTCATCGTCGTGTCGGACGAGAAGATCGCCGAAGATCTTCTGGTCAAGCGGGCCAAGCACAACTCGGACCGGCCCATGATCCGCTCCCTCTTTGACTCCAAGAGCACACACGGGTCCATGGAGTATCTCCCTCTAATGGGCAAGAACCGTGAGTGAACTGATAAAGGTCGATGCTGGTCCTTTGATGGGAGCTGATCGTTGGCCACAGAGTACTGGGCTCGCCAGCGCCGCTTTACGCATGCCTACCTCACCGAGGCGACCAATGCCCAATACTACGGAATCATGAATTTCGAGGCCAAGCGATGGCTCTACCGCCTCATCAAAGACCAGGATGACTTCGCCTTCTCGCTCGAGGACATGGCATCTAAGGTCATGTGCCAGCTGACCTGGGACGACACTTCCGATAGTGCAGCTTTGACCAAGAGCGCGTGGGGGCTTCTCACACAGATGTCGCCGGCCGGCCCCATAACCAATCTCCTCACCCCCTTGTGGCACCTGCCATGGATCCTCAACCCATGGAAGAGGGCAGAGCGCAAACGCCACGACGAGCAACAAGCCTGGTGGATGCAGAAGCTGTTGACGGTACGCGAGAAGATGGCTAGGGGCCAGATGCGCCCTTGCTGGACTAGGTCGTACCTCGAAAGCGAGAAGAAGTCCAACCTGTCCGGCGATTACGAGGCGTCGTCCGTCATTGGTATGATGGCGCTAGTTGGCATCTTCACCGTCGCCGGTCCCTTATACTATTTCCTCGTATCCATGGTCTACCACCCAGAGTGGCAGGCTGAGGTGCAGAAGGAAGTCGACGAAGTATGCGAAGGCCGCCTGCCCACACTCAACGACATGCCCCGACTACCCATTCTTCGCGCTTGTATTAAGGAGACCATGAGGTGGAAGCCCAACGTTCCCACTGGTAAGTAGTTTAGTGTTGAGCTTGTTCTGATGAGAGGCTGACGACGAGTTATTGACAGGCGTGGCACACGAGACTGAGCAAGATGATGAGTACAATGGCTTTTTCATTCCCAAGGGAACTCGCATCCTTCCATTGGACTGGTGAGTTGTTGTCACCCCAAACACGCCATGGCGCCGCAGAACATGATACTGACAAGATGGACAGGGCCTTCTTGCGCAACCCGATCAAATACCCTGACCCGGAGAACTTCAGGCCAGAACGCTGGTTGCAGCCAGGGTGGCCGACGTTCCAGGAGCCATTGACACAGTTCCCCACACTCAAGGGCATGACGTCCTTTGGCTGGGGCCAGCGCCAGTGTCTGGGCCAATCGGTAACGCAGGACGAGCTCGTGGTTGCGTGCGGCGCTCTCGCTTGGTGTTTCAATCTCAAGCACAAGGTCGACCCCAGGACAGGCCAGAAGATCCACATTCCGCTCGACAAGTCCAACTCACTGCTCATAGTCAAACCCGACCCCTTCCAGATGGCATTCGAACCTCGCAGCGAAGAACGCAAGCAGCAGGCCATTCGACTATGGCGTGAAGCTGAGGCCAAAGATCAGCAGCAGCGTGCTGACTTCCTCAAGGTAGCCGAGATGCGTACGGCTGCAGAGGCGCAGCTGAACGAGAAGCTGGAGAAACAGCCACTCGTGCAGGTGTTAGAGGTCTAGAACGTTTCTTGCAGTCGGTAGCAGCAGAATGCTTTGTTTCCACTTCGATTCGCTGACAACCCCGTTTTACTGTTCCCACTGAGAGATTGTTCCGTTTAGCGAGTCCGACCTTTGGGCCCAATGTACATGCTGCGTAGATAGTTTGAAGACCATAATGCTTGTACAAGATGAAATAGATGAGTCAGTGGTTGAGATCCAGATATCTAAGCATGATCTTGGAAAATGATGCTTATTCGCATACTAGTCAACCACGGCTGCACAACACGCCAACGTTGCAGGAGGCTGGACGTTAGTGGTACATGCTTACAGGGGGGCGGTCCGGCTCGGCGGCGTGAGATGGCTGTGCCTGCATATCAGGGCGGGCCGCCCAAGATTCTAGGCGTCAGCGAAAGAAGACACGAGGGTGGTGCAGGTCTCGTATAGCGTTATCGCCAAGTTTGGCTAGCGGATAGCGGATGGGCCGGAGGTTGTTTTGAATAGTGGTTGACGACACGACTTGGCTTTGTCTTAAACCATTCGGCTCCCCAGGTCTCGTCCGGGTCGTGGGCCGAGTGCTGACTTGTCCGTTGCGGCGCTGACGGGTCCGGGACGGGCGCGAGGTGTAGGATTCGTCGGGAGCGCGGGGCGTTGGAGGGTGACAGGGGATATTTTCCGGACCGCGCTCATATACAAGGAGCGCAAGAGCGTCAGAGAACGGCTGTTGCGCTGTTGCCAGTTGAACTGTTTGGTGTGAAAGCAAACGATCGTCATCGATTCAGTCCATCCTGCACCATGTCTCCCACCATCCCTCAGGCCGTCGTCGGTACCACCATCAGCTTCTCCTACATTCTCCTGGGTAAATTACTCTTTACGCACTGCAGGGGCTTGGTTGACATGAACAGGGAATGCCATTACGCAGTCCTGGATGGGCGTGCCGGCACTGTTAGTTGACTTCCCGCACCCTTCGTCGCCAGAACATGCGGCGAGGGCTCAGCATCTAGGACGGCAGTGGCCAACGTTCTGGGCCGTGGGCAACAAGTTCTTCCGGCCCATCAGCACGCTGGGGATCTTTGGGTACGCGTACACAGCGTGGGCAGCGTCGCAGGGCAGTGGCGGGCTGCGCGGAGACTGGAGGCTGTTCGCCGTAAGCGCTGTGTGCCACCTGGTGACGGTGGTCCACTCGGCAATCAACATGCAGCCCATCAATGAGAAGTTGGACGGGCTGGGCGACCCAAAGAGCGGGCGGTCGGACGCGTCGCAGGCCGAAGCATATGCGCGCACGTGGATCCGGCGGAACTCGGTGCGGATTGCGATGCCGCTGGTGGCGGGCACGGTTGCATTGTTCCAGGCGCTGAGCGGGTGAAAGATTTGGAGGTGTTTGGGTGCTGACGGGCGCTGTTGCGGCAGGCGCGTAATCCTGGGCGCGCCTCCCCTCACTGGCATGTGGGGCTGCTGTTGACGCGATCTCGTCCACCAGTTTGTCGACATCGCAATCGCTTTCTTGATACTTTCTTTGTCCCATTCCGTCCCTGCTCGAGACTAGTCATGTATCTACCAGGCCCGTCTCGGCCTCAATTGCACCACGTTGCTTCTGATGAACCAGCCAACCCGCTGCACGCGTTGTGTCGCACCGCGATATCCATTGCAAGTCTCGGGTTTCAATGACATCAACATTGATCCCGTCAGTCGTCGAAGCCCTTGGGCGCCATCTTGGCCCGCATCTCCAACGCCTTCGCGCTGTCAACAAACTCCTCCACAGCAACCACCCTAGTGCCGTCTTCGGAAAGCGCAATGAGCATGACGCATTCATTCCTCCACTCGCCCTTGCCACCCTTGAGAGTGCCTTGCATTCGCGCCGACACCACCACCGTGTTGCGTTCGCTATCCTCGAACACGGCCTTGGGAACCATGGCGAAACTCTCGAAGACGGAGAAAATGCCCGCGGCGTGCTGCTCGAATGCCGCCTTGTCGCGTGTCGGCATACCCAGCGACTCAGGCAGCACCTGATGTTTGAAATCATCCGCCAGGGGTGCCGTGAGTGTTGGAACCGAGAGGCTACCGTAGCCGTCAAGGAGGGCGTGGGCAGTCTGGAGCCGCTGTGATTGCATGGCGAATGAAAATATAGTAGGTAGTTTTGTTGAGGAGGATTTTAGTTTCCCAAAGGGTAAGTAAACTCAAGATACCGTCCCGTCATGACTGCAGCTTTTCTATCCCTCTATTTACATCACGCTGGAACTTAACATCGGACTTTCGGAAAGCCATGGTGGCTCCGCTCCAGATGGTGGCCCTGCATGCATTGACGGATAGATGACGGAAGTCTTACGGAGACCCGACGCTTGACCGGCAAGCTGTCAGTCCGCGTTTTCCACCCTCCGGCCAGCTATTTTGAGCTCCGCCGTTTCCCCCGCCCCCCAACGTTCCCTCCTTCGGCAGTCCGCAGCCTTGGGCCAAGTCTCTTCTGACACGAGGTCAAATAGAATATCCCTCCCGAGTCCTTAATGCAAACCTTCCTGACCCCCGCAACATAATACAACCACTATACACACTCCCAACAGCACCCACCACCCGCCATCCCACCATGTCGAAAGTGCTTCTCATCACCGGCGCCACGGGCAAGCAAGGCGGTGCCGTTATCGACGCTCTTATTGACCAAAAAGTCGACTGTACCATCCTTGCCGTGACGCGCGATGCCTCGTCTGCCGGAGCCAAGAAACTTGCCAGTAAAGCCACCAACATCAAACTAGTCCAAGGTAATCTGGACGACTCGCCGGCCCTCTTCGCCGCCGCCACTGAAGCCGCCGCGCCGTCGCCCATATGGGGCGTGTACAGCGTGCAGATCTCCCTAGGGAAGGGCGTGACCAAGGACAGCGAGATTGCGCAGGGCACAGCGCTGATCGATGAGGCCATCAAGCACAAGGTCGGGCACTTCGTCTACTCCAGTGTCGAGCGCGGCGGGGACGAAGCCTCGTGGGACGCGCCGACGCCTGTGCCGCACTTCCAGAGCAAGCAGCGCATCGAGCAGCACCTGCGCGATGCCACGGCGCTGGGCACGCCCGGGGACAGCATGGCGTGGACGGTGCTGCGCCTCGTCGCCTTCATGGACAATCTTGCGCCGGGGATGCCGACGAAGGTTTTCCTCACGGCGCTACGCGACGCGCTGCAGGGAAAGTCCACCCAGTGGGTCGCCGTCCACGACATCGGTGTCTTTGCTGCACTGGCCTTCGCCAATCCGGACGAGTGGAGGAATGTCGCTATGGGCCTCGCCGGCGATGAACTGTCCTTTGGCGAAATGAGCGAGCGCTTCCAGCGCACCACAGGCTACCCCGTGCCCTCTACGTACTGGTTCTTCGGCAGCGCCCTAATGTACATGCTTGGCGAGTTGAACACCATGATTACGTGGTTCGCGACAGATGGATATAAGGCGGATGTCGCCAAGTGCAGGCAGAAGAACCCGAAGATGATGGATTTGGAGACTTGGTTGCGGAAGAAGAGCGAGTTCCAGACGAAGGATGAGTAGTAGATGGAAGCTTTGTTCGGCTTTGGCGTTAATAGCCGTTTAGCCGGAACGCGTCAGCAGCAGATCACTCACCTCTCAATTATCCATGGACTCGAGACGTTGTTGGGGCTTTCTACAAATAGTATACTTTACTCTCCGAGTAGCAGTCGTCTGGCCGAGGTATGCCTCACGAGTTTCATGTGAACCCTCTTTCTGAATTATTCATCCTATCCCCTGGTACATCGCCATCGCTATCTGAAACGCCGCGCTTACTATGTCATTTTCACATGGCCAGAAAGCTAATCTTGCGTAGAAGATCATGTGGGGAACAGGCCAGGTGGTGCGGAATGGATTCGTACGAAGTACGAGTAAGTACGAGGTACGAGCTTGATGGTGCAGCCGCAGCCGGGGATCAGCCGTTCCATTGCGCTCGATTATTTCCGATTGTAGTTACTGCATCAGGAATTCTTCCCGGAATGACTCGCAGCAAAGGGCTCTCGAACACATTTAGAAGCAAAGATCTGCGCTTCGGTGTTGAACTGCTCCTAAATTGGACCCCACTCCCCCTCCGATGTGAAAATCATCAGCATCCAATAATAGCTCACAGCTATAACGGTCTCCCGTTGCCTAGTCACCTAGTTGACTGTTACGCTCGAGGCGTTTGTCTATAATAATCGCTAGGAATCTAATCAAGATTTCTGCTCATGGCCTCAAGGATTGATTTTTTGAGGCCCCTTAACTTTTCGGTCTGTGATCGTAAATGACAGATGTTTCAGCGAAGCTGAAGTTTACACGCACAAGCTGAACGTTTGCAGATCTCCCGCGTCTCGGCCGATCTACAACGTGGCCCTTCATTAACCATATCGAATAGGGGAGTTTCACACACCGTTATCTGTCGACAACAACAACACATCATAGAGCTACCTCTACAGAGACCCACCTCCGCAGTAAGATATAGGGTCAATTGAAAGAAGATCATTCTCACAGCCACACGGTTCTGAGGCTTCCGAGACCCGCGCCAGAAAGCGAGCTCCTCGGCGCTTGTGATGGTCGCTGCGCTTGTTCAGGAGTGCTGGAAGTCAACTGTATGACTTGGGGGCGATGTAGATGTGTATTTTAAAGAAAACTTCCCGCTGCAAAATGAAGCCAAAACACTTCATCACATTATCTTCACATTATCTTCACATTATCAACAAGATGGCTTCGAAGACTCCAATCAGTTCCGACTACCCGTCCAACGACTTGCCCAACGCACCACCAGAGATTATTCTTATAAACATCATCTGGTTCCTTGTCTTCATCCTCGTTCTAGTCGAATTCCTCCGCAAAAAAATTTATGAGCCACGTATGAACGATGTCCAAAAGCCGAAGCAATCGGGAAATTAAGTCAATACCCCGAAAAAGCCGAGAAGCAGCAGGTTTGGAGGCCCTTGGAGCTCTGTGGTGTGTTCTTCCTCCATCTTCCGTATAGCACATTAGACTCTGTCAGTAGTCGTCGACGGTCGGTACTGATATTTCTTAGAAAGTTTGATTTAACCAGGATTGAGTCATTCGGGAGAATTTTGCCCTGGCCGTTAGACGCACGAGATATCCCACCCTATTCCGCCAATGCTTCCACACCATGGTTCCCCTTCCGCAGCCCTTTTACGATATTAAAGAGTTGAATGCATTTTCCAGCAAGGTAAGTCGACAGTCAAGCTGTGAAAGCACTCAAAACTGACTCCTTTCGTTGATGTGCTACAGAGGTTTACACTGCGCCAATGTCCACATCTCTCTAGAGAAACAGTTCCAAGGGCCTTTTATTTCTTCGAAAATAACCAAAATCAAATTAACACATTCTTCGAGATGGTCGTCAGCCGTTTGTTGCGTTATCAAACATGATCAGTCAAGATATGATTTCATTTGTAGAGTAATTTCCTTTGTAGAAAAGCATTTCATTTGTTCTGGTGACGGTCCCGTGTGCTATGTTTGATTCAACTAGCCCCTGTGATTGCCCCAAATATTTTCCTGCATCCCATATAAAAAACGTACCAGACATGTTTTCTTTCAGGAATTACAACAGAAGTCAAGCGGTTTGAACTGATTTACAGCTTAAGATGGAGCTGATTGAAGAGGTGTAGTAATGTATACTGTTCAAATGTGGTAATGCATCTGAAGATATTGTTGCTGTCGTAAGCTTTTCCGTTAAATCGATATTCTAGACGGGGAAATTCCCATTTGATACAAAACATCTTAACTGATGCCATCATTGATTGGAGTCTTTTAGTATAGTTACATGGATATTCATTTATTCTGAGAATAATGCAGGCTTCATGGATGTTCTGTAGCTTAGGAGTTGTAGGGGTGGTGTTAGGTCAGCCACAGTAAGCGCTACGGGACGGGAACTACGCGGATCTGGCAGGTGAGATAGGAGAACGTCAACAGAGCTCCACAACGGCTCCTGACTGGGCAATGACGTCTGGACAACATCTCTAGGATTCGAGAAGGATTCAAGCCTCAAGGATTTACATCTCGACCGGAGCCTTTTAAGCTCTGCCCCGCCTTGAGGTTAGATGGACGTCAGTCGAACCGCACTTCGGTATCCAAAATGCTTTCACTCACCCTGATAATTTTCAGCTTCACGCTCGCAAGAGCAATATCCATCTGGGACCCGACAGGCCCGTACCACGTCGGCTACACGCAACACATCTTCAACCACACGACCCCAAACGACCCCACCGCGCCAGGAACCTTCATGCTCCTCACCATCTACTACCCCACCCTCCAAACCCCCCACACCACCGTCCCCTACCTCGACGCCATCTCGGCCGGCATCTTCGAATCCACCATCGGCCTCACGCCCCACTCCCTCTCGCAACTAACAACGCGCCTCCAATTCCAAGCCCCGACCCTCCTCAACCACTCCCCCGCCTTCGCCAACGGCACCTCGCCCCACCCAACCCTCTTCTTCACCCCGGGCGCCGGCCTTCCCGCATCCGCCTACACCGCGTACCTCAGCGAGCTCGCGTCTCACGGCCACGCCGTCGTCGCCATCGACCACCCGGGTGAGGCGCCGTACCTGCCGCTGCCCTACAGCAACGGCGGTGGTGGTGTCTACGGCTACCCGGACTTCAGCGCGTACCCGCCGACGCCGGCCGAGGCGCAGGCCGTGTACGCGTTCCGCGTCGCCGACGTGCTGGCCGCGGCGAGCGAGCCGTTCTTTCCCAGCCTCGTGCGGCTGTACGGCGCGCCCTTCAACGTCACGCACTTCGGCGTGTTCGGGCACAGCGTCGGCGGTGCTGCGGCGGCGGGGGTGATGGCGACTGCGGAGAGTGACGTGTTTGGTGGGGTTGGCGGGGCGAATTTGGATGGCTCGTTTTTGCAGTTGCTCGATCCGGCGGGCGAGCAGGACGATCCGGGTATCGCGGCGCCGGATTTAGAAAGTGTGGGCCCGTTTTTAGAGGTCGGGAGCGAAGTGCATTTTGAGGGGAATGCGAGCTCGGATCCGACGTGGGCGCATTTTAACGGTGCGCAGACTGGGTGGGTGCGGGATGTGCAGGTGGATGGGACGAGGCATTTGGATTTCAGCGATATTCCGCTGTGGATCGATTTGCTGGACCAGAGGGGCGTGTTGAATCGCACGTGGGTGGGACCAATTGATGGAGTGAGGGTGACGACGCTGACGACTGCGCTGCTGAGGGAGCTTTTTGCGAGTGCAGAGGGAAAGGGATTAGGCGGAGTGGATTTTTGGGTGGAAGAGGCGCCGGAACTTCGTTTGTTGTTTGAGCATCTGTAAGTATGCGGACGGGCAAGAGGTTTCTCTGCATTTATATATGATAACAACGCTACCTGAAAATTTTAAGAAGTTTACTCTTACAGAACTTCCTCATCAGCAAAGTTCCCTGAATGGACAGCAGCGGCTGGCTGCAGCTGATAGAGCTAATAGGACTGAATCTAGGGTATACGGTTAATGGCAACTCCAGTTGCCGCTAGCGCTGGCGGTTCTGCATGAGCTGGAGAAGCTGGAGTCGAATCGAATTGCTGGAGCTGCTGGGTGCCCGTACTTGCAAATCACCCTTACTTCCAGCGTCCCCTGCGATTACCAGCAAAACCTTAATTTTCATGCGCGGGGAGATTTGCTAATGCTCTCCACAAACCTCAATTTAATAAAAAGAGAGTAGAAACTAAAGGGTTATAGAGGACCTAGAACGCCCCGTATAGAGACCGCCTTACGGAAACACAATCCAGGGCGGAGAGAACCAATTTAAACAAGAGGGATATTCCCTGTCTATCTCCCCCGCGTCTAGATCACTCCCATCTCCTTAGACGCTTATCTGAGCTTATCCATTGGTGGAGGAATCAATACCACTAGTGGTTGGCTGCTAGCGAGGGATGATGGTTGGGAAATGATAAGAAACGCGCTAAAGCCACGTGGATGTGAGAATAGAGTGACAGTGGGTCTACACGGCGGAGAATATTGGTCAGCAATGAGCATTCTGTCGATTACGAGAAACAATTTTTCGAATTCAATGGCAACTGTGTTGAAGCATCGACAAATATCAATCAAGCTATCAAAATTTTGTACCCAGTCCAACAACGCCTTCCCATGCCCCCCTTGCTCCGGAAGACAAATGCAATTTTCCCACGTGCAGAAGCACGGATCCGTTTAACAAACTCCTAATGATGCGAGCTCCTTGTTTCCGAACTAAAATTTCACTCTGAAATCCCATCCCACTGCCATCCCATATGCCGCGACAAAAAACGCAAAACCAGCTCCAAACACTGCCGCACAAAACACAATCAAACCAGGATAATTCGGCGCCGCACCTCCAGTCTCAAGAATCGCGCCGGCAAGGGGTATGCCAACGAGGGTGCCAAAGCTCACGATGAAATACGTCGTTCCATAGCGCTTCCCATAATCCTCCGTGCGGCAGATCTGCGCGACGCAGACAGGGGTGACGCCGACAATGCTGCCGGACGCGAAGCCGAAAGCCGCCGCGAAGGCTGTGAGCAACGCGGCGCTGCGTCCGGCGGCTAGCCACAGCAGCGTAATGACCGTGCACGCCGCGGCCGTGAGCAGCATGACGCGGAAGCGGCCCCACGCGTCGGCGAGCCAGCCTGAAAGTCCTCGGCCGACGATGGACGCGGCGTTGAGCGCGATGAGGAAGCCGTACGCGCGGTCGGCCGCGAAGCCCGCGTCCAGCGCGTACGACGTGACGTACGTGACGGGGATGAAGAGGGCGAGCTCGAGGAAGAAGATGGCGGCCGTCGTCGCCGCGTAGACCGGGTCGCGCACCAGCGCGAGGACGTCGATCGAGGCGCCGGACTTGGTGTTGAAGGGCAGCCGCGTGCGGATGGTGGCGACGGCCGTGGCGCAGAGCAGCGTGCACACGATGCCGATGACCTGGAGCGAGCGGTTGAAGCCGATCTTGCCTTCGAGTCGTAGGATAATAATTGGAAACAAGATTCCGCCGATTCCACCGGCCGTCAGGGCAAGGCTGGTGGCCAGGGCTCGGCGCTGCATGAACCAGTGTCCAATGCTGACGATGGCCGGTGTGAAGATGAGGCAACAGGATATTCCACCGAGGATGCCCCAGTCCAACATGTACTGCCAGTACTCTTTGGAAATGTAAGCTTCATTCTTTCAAGCTTGTTGTATCGGGGATGGACAAACCTTTACATATGCTGAACAGAAACACTGAAATGACTAGACCGACGCAGCCGGGTATCAACGTGTATTTCAGACCGTATGTATCAAACACAGGACCTAATGCGCGACGATTAGCAAGATCTGACGCTTGCGAGCGAAAAGCCATGCTTACCAATCTGGACGCTTCCGAAATAGACTAAGAAAGTGAAAGTGCTGAAGATCCAGCCAATCTCGGCGTACGAATGATTTGAGAGCTGATGAGACGACAGCCAAGCGTGGATGACACCCATAGAGTTGAGCATGCCAAATGCTGCAACCATGGCACACCAACTGCCAAACACGACGCTCCATGCGCGAAAGCCACCTTCAGGGAAGTCATCAGGTTCAGCGTGGAGCTGTTGCGTGACCACATGCTCGTCATGGTCGGGTATCTGGGCGGTGTTGAGCAGAGGCGTCGTCTCATCAGCCCACCGTGATGTCAAGGGGCTGTATCCACTGTCTTCACTGTCGCTCATGGTAGAGAGGTGGGTCTTTGTTCTCCAAAGGAAAAAAAAATAAAGACAAATTGACCAATCGAAATAAAACAGGTGTTTACCGTGCGCCAATTGTCGTACGTCGATGAATTGTACTTTGGACGATGCTTCTGCTTGGGGACCGGAAACGCGCTTTTATGGATGCATATGGTATTTTTCTTATCGCATTGAAATGCGGGTTCGGGTCGAGGGGATGAAGTGAACGGCAGTCGCGATGTGCCCAGGCTCTACCAGAAGCTTCGAGCTTGGGGGGACAGGGGTGGTCCCTGCGTCGATTATTCTAGCCGGAGCCTATCAACAGCCTCGGCCAGGACCATTCTGTGGAGACGACGTCCACCAACAAGAGGTATGAGCAACCTCAGGCGTTCAGAAGGGCTCGGATGCCAACCGCGTAAAATTCCCTTGAAGCACGGAACCGTTACGGGAGGCTTGACGGATGGCCAGGCGACGCGCCGGGATCCGCACGATAGCCGACATTCGACCCCACTGAAACTGACACTGACCCCGGTATGGGACCCGCAACTCTAACCCCGGCGTGTCGATCCCGACCGATATCAGCGCCTATCTTGCGAGCGCGCATAGCTGGTGAAGAACGCCTTTGCACTTCCGTAACCCCATGTCATTTAGGGGCAACCCGGTTGAGCAAGACATTGCCGAGCAACTGTATGCACTTGTTGATGTTGTCTCCGGGGTTCTGATGAAGCGCGGTGAGGACGGCGGACTCAACCATGGGCCATTCAGTCATCAGAATGTCGATCATCTTCGTCAACTGCACAGGGCCGAGGCCAGACTCGGGTTGAGGTTTGATTTCCTGGAAAGCAAGGGCTGGAACAGATCTCCGAGACGGGCGCAAGCGGTGATGGCGGCGGCGTGCTAATGGTCCGCTCTGGCTGCGGGAGCGGTGGAGATGAAGCCGCTCTTCGACGCGGTCGCAGCTGGCTTCCATATCGCTTTGAATTTCGCGGTGGGGCGTTCCATTCGCCCTGGGCGGCCTCTGTTGCCTCTGCGGTCTCTGCGCCTTCTGCTGCGCCTGGGCCTGATCGAGCATGATGTCCAACATGTCAAGGATGATAAAGAGTGGGCTGGTGGAAGGCGTGTCGGTGGTCTTGGGCCGCGAGTCGGGGTCTCGCAAGAAGTGAAGTCGGTGGTCCATGTCGGGGGACGGCGGGGGTGGAGATGGGCGGGAAAGGGATTGATCGAAGCCGCAGGCTACTGTTTCATCGCTCTCAACTGAAGCGGAGTCGGAATCGTCGAGATAGTCGCTTTCAAAGGCTTCCCACAGAGGTTCGGCAGACGTCTTATGTGGTGAATGAATCTCAGTGAGCAGGGCGTGGTAGGCTGTCGACAGGTCTGGGGTGATTTGCTCCATGATGAGATCTTATGAGAGGACAAGAAGGGAAACGCGTGGTAAGGCTGACAGGTGCACGAGGTGAGGCGGGGGGTCTTGACGTTTTTGTGGGAAGATCTGAGCATGCCAGGATCCGTGCCTCGGCGTGCGCACGGCGGGATTATATGGTGGCGCGGCGTGAATAGGCCGGATCGTGGACTAAAGGGGGCTCTTGCAGCTCTTCGGTCCAGTGGGTTTGCAGCATTTCGACGGTACGGCAGGCTTGTTCGAGACGCTCAGCGCAGGTAAAGTGGGTGAGACAAACCAGACGGAAAAGAGCGAGACGCAGCGGAAAGCTTCAGCAGCCCGAAATAGACAAACGAGATGGCGCGGAGAGTCCGTGAGTTGGTTGACGAGGCGCGGGTGGAGGCGCAGATCATCTCCGGATGAGCCGGGTAGGACGTCGGAGAGAATAGGAACTATGGGGCTTAAATTGCAGGGCGCATTATAGGCAAAGAAGTTGCAAAATGCGGCAAGCTCGTTGGCTCGCAATACGTGGATGCCCCCTGTGCCACGCTGCTGCGCCGTTGCAATGGCGCCAATAATAACGGCGACAAGGAAGCCGAGAACGCGGCCGCTGTCACCGTCATCCACAAGCCACGCGACGAGAGGAGCGATAGATCTAGCGTGCGCCACAGGGGGGATCACTACCGCTAGATAGTCCTACAACTGCACCGGCGAGGCTCAGGAGTCGCGATCGGCTGGCCAAGTGACGACGCTGTCTCTCCGCGCCAGGGTGTTGCGCAAGACATAATCAGGGTGAAACGCAGGGCGCGGTTGATGATAAACCGGTCCCAAAGTTCCCCAGACGCGTTTGTTGGTGTGACGGCGGGAATAACGGGAGAGGAAATGAGCCGCTGTGACACAGGTCTGGCGGTGATGCAATGCATCGCGGCTGAAGAATGGCGGCTGACTATTGGGCATCAGCGAATAGGTCTCAGCTGTGCATTGAGACGACGAGCAGCAAAGCCGGCTGCAGTTGGAGGTCGGCGTGTCGCGGGTGTCAGTGCGCTGCCAGCGACCGAATCCGTCGCAACCCCGCAGCAAGCAGTCGCATGTGCTGAACACAGCGAAAAGTCCAACCCCAGTCCGGCAGCAACAGCATTTACGCTTCAGTGGCGATGGAGTGTATCTCAAACAGCCGTCAGTTGGAATGTGGCGATAAGCAGAGTTATATACTGCCCGGGGCCGCGAGGCCGGTGTCGAAGAGATTCGCACAATCTGCAAAATGTGTCGGCCAGAACGCGCCAGCGCCCACCATCACCCTCCATGCCGTGCTACGGCGCAGGACGCGGCCATATCCGGAGAGCCTCAGCCCTCATCCAGTTTTCGATTACGCGTCGCGTCACCCACAGGACGGAAGCTGGGGCGTTTGGAGCAAGGTACGACGCTGTCCAGGGCAAACGCGTCGCCGGGTTGACGTCGGTCGCCGGCTTTGTGCACATGGAGAAAGAGATGGGCGACGGCGCAGAGACGGCGCGAGGGGCGAGCCGGCCGCAGGACGCAGGAGAGCAGGTGGAGAGGATGGTTGAGCGAGCATTGAGGGTGGAGGAGGAGACGTCGTGCCCGCAAGCGGAAGGCGAAGCGACTGCCCATCGCCAGCGCAACCACCATCGCCATCTCCTCCTTCAACCTCTCCCTCCCGCCGTCGCCAAGCCTCCGCGTCGCCTCTAGCATCTCGCCCAACCACGGCGCCTTCTGCTCGCAACGTCTCGCTGCTCGCAGTATCTGTTGTTGCAAACGGCTTCACCTCGCCGCCATGAACGCCTACAAGAAGCCCTGCCCGCCACGGCGAAGGGCCTTCTTTCTTCACCAACCCGTTCGTTTTGCAGCATTCGCTTGCCATGAAGTCCTGTGTGCCTGTCGCCACATCTCTTAATCTCCTCCTTACCCTAGCCGCCGCAAGGGCCCAGGGCGGTGCGCAGACCGATAATGTCACGCCTACAAGCATAGAACTCGTCGGAACACCCGACGACTCAAGCGCCACGCCCGGGAGTACAGACTTCGATTCCTCAGCATCCAGCTACAGCTGGTCCAGCAGTTCCGGTCTCCCGTCAAGCTACAGCTCATCCGTCATTCTCGATATTTCCAGCGACGTCTTGACTCCGTCTGGCTCGTACAGCTCCAACAACGTTCTGACCCCGTCTGGCTCGTACAGCTCCAACAACGTTCTGACTCCGTCCGGTTCATACAGCTCCAGCGCTGTCTTGACTCCATCCGACTCTTACAGCTCCAGCCCCGGCGTCCTGACTCCATCCGGCTCTTACAGCTCAAGCATTTTGACTCCACCCGGTTCTTACAGCTCCAGCGACATTGGCATTTCGACACCCGGCAGCAGCAACGATGTTTTGACGCCCCTCACTCCCAGCGATAGCGGCAGTATCTTGACGCCGTACAGCTCTCTCGTTCCCAGTGCAAATGGCAGTGCCAGTGATTTATCGCGTTCTGGAACTTTCGATGTTTTGACACCCTCTGGAAGCAACGGTGTTTTGACACCCTCTGGAAGCAACGGTGTTTTGACACCATCTGGAAGTAACGGTGTTCTGACGCCATCTGGAAGCAACGGTGTTTTAACACCATCTGGAAGCAACGGCGTTTTGACACCGACCGGCAGCGGCAGCATTTTGACGCCACCTGGAAGCAACGGCGTTTTGACCCCAACTGGAAGCAACGGTGTTTTGACCCCAACTGGCAGCGGTGGCGTTTTGACGCCCACTGGTTCTGCCAGCCCTGGCGGCAGCGCTACAAAAGAAGGTGCATTCATAACGACCCTTATCGCCATCGTGTCGACGGACATTACCATCACCAAGTGCGCAGTAGCTACAGCCACTGCCTGCCCGACCAAGCGCCGCACCACCTACATCACCATTACTACTTGGCTCTACACCACCGTCTGTCCTGTTTCCGACGTCCCCAGCATTCTCTCCTCCTTGAGGACGAGTCCGCCCCCGTACCCGGGCCCAACACCGACCGTGCCTGCTACATTACCAGACGAGAGCGAGATCGCTACACCCGGAACTCCCGGTCAGGCGCCCGTCATCACTCCTCCAGGAACTCCCGAGGAAGGGTCCCGCTTCAACACTCCGCCAGGAACTCCCGAGCAAGGATCCATTGCCACTCCAGGAACTCCCGAACAGGGATCCATTGTCATTCCCTCAGGAACTCCCGAGCAGGGATCCGTTATCAACATCCCTCCTTCCGGGTCCGCGTTTGTCGGTACTCCTGTGACATTCAACCCTCCTGGTCACCCGTACGATCCCGGTCGGATACTCTACACTCCTCAAGTGTCCGCCAGTGTCGGTTCTCCTCTGTTCAACGTCCCTCCTCTGTTCAACGTCCCTCCTTCTGTGTCCGCCTTTGTCGGTTCTCCACTGTTCAACTCCCCACCGGTCTTCGGCACTCCAGCACCCGCTCCCCCTGGTGTTATTGTCCCATGCGACGATGAAAGCGGCAACAACTGTGTCATAACTGCTCCTTCTAGACTGTCTATGACCATCACGGTCACATGCACCCAAATCAGCTGCGAGGACATTATTCCCGGTGCAACTCCTGAGAGCAACCCTCCCAGTGGTACTCCTCCAGCCGTATCCCCGCCTGTTATTGCCGGATGCTCTGGTGGAATTGGCAGATGTCTCTTAATAACTCCCCCTGGCCAAACTACGCCTGAAGTTGTCCCGTGCGACGAGCCAGACTGTAGTGATGTTAGTGGCAATCCTCGTCAGGGTGGTCCTTCTCAGGGTGGCGTTCCGGGTATCGTAGTCCCCTGCCCTGATGGAGACGGAATCTGTCGTCAATTCAACCCTGGACAATATCCTCCCGGTCAGTCTCCACCCGGTCAGTCTCCGCCAGGACAGTCTCCACCCATTTTTGTCCCATGCGGCAAACCTGACTGTAGTGATATCCCCTCTTTCTATCCACCGGGTGTTTTCACTCCTGGCGAGTATCATCCCGGTCAATATGACCCTGGCGAGTACCACCCTGGTGAATATCACCCTGGTGAGTATCAACCTGGCGAGTACCACCCTGGCGAATATCAGCCTGGCGAGTATCACCCTGGTGGTCCTTCTCAGCCCAGTATCCCGTCTGTTGTCATTCCTTGCCCTGATGGCAACGGCAGCTGTCGCCAATATAACATCCCTGGATCTCCTTCGCCCGTTCTCGTTCCATGCGGCAAATCCGACTGTCGGGACATTCCCTCCATCTACCCACCGGGTGGTTTCCCTCAGGGCGGCAAGCCCCCACAGGGTGGCTATCCTCCGGAAGGTGGCAATCCTCCGGAAGGTGGCAATCCTCCGGAAGGTGGTTATCCTCCGCACGGTGGTTATCCTCCGCAAGCTCCTGAGGGCGGTTTCCCGCCTGCCCACTGCCCTAGCGGAGACGGCATGTGTCGCCCGCTTATAATTCCTGGGTTGCCTGAACCTGTTTACATCCCATGCTACAAGCCCGACTGCAAGGACATTCCTGCTGTATATCCTCCCAGTGGCCCCTCTGGTGGTTTCCCGCCTGTCTTCTGCCCTAACGGGCACGACATGTGCCGCCCAATGATCCCTCCTGGAGGATCGACGCCTGTCTTCGTTCCATGCGGCAAGCCTGACTGCAGCGACATTCCTGCCGTATATCCTCCAAGTGGTCCTTCTGGCGGTTTCCCGCCCGTCTTCTGCCCCAACGGAATCGACATGTGCCGCCCAGTCACTCCTCCTGGAGGATCGTCGCCTGTTTTCATCCCATGCCACAAGCCCGACTGCAGCGACATCCCTGAAGTATATCCTCCGAGTGGTCCCTCTGGTGGTTATCCGCCCGTCTACTGCCCCAACGAAAACGACATGTGTCGCCCAATCACTCCTCCTGGAGGATCGATTCCTGTCTTCATTCCATGCGGCAAGCCTGAGTGCAGCGACGTTATTCCGGAGTTCCCCCCGACTCATCCCTCTGAGGGTGGTTCCCCGCCTGTGTATCCCCACGGTCCGTCACCTGTTCCATGCCCCTATGGAGAGGGCATGTGTCGCCCAATTACTCCTCCAGGCAAGCCGGTGCCTATTTACATCCCGTGCGGTAAACCCGAATGCGAGGAAATTCCCGTTCCTCCACATGGTGGCCCTCAGTTCAATCCTCCTCAGGGTGGTTATCCTCCCGTCGTCGCCCCGCCTGTTCCTTGCCCCAGTGGACCGGGCATGTGCCGTCCAATTACTCCTCCTGGACTACCTACGCCCGTTTATATCCCGTGCGACAGCCCCAAGTGCCACAATGTTCCCCAGTATCCCCAGGGTGGTCCTTCTAAGGGAGGCCCTCCTGGTAGTGTTCCCAGTCACAGCATGCCTGGCTATCCCGTCGGCGTTCCTGGCGTTCCTAGCGGCGCACCCGGCAAAGGCGCACCCACTTATCCCAATGTTCCTGAAGGTCACCCAGGTTATCCTGAAGGTCACCCGGGTTATCCTAATGTTCCTGAAGGTCACCCTGGTTATCCCAATGTTCCTGAAGGTCATCCTGGTTACCCCAGTATTCCTGAAGGTCACCCCAATGTTCCTGAAGGTCACCCTGGTTATCCCAATGCTCCTGAAGGTCACCCTGGTTATCCCAATGTCCCTGAAGGTCATCCTGGTTACCCCAGTATTCCTGAAGGCCAGCCAGGTCATCCTGAAGGTGCTCCTGGCGGTGTTCCTGGTGGACACCCAGGTTATCCCAGTGGTGGCCCAGGTGTCCCTGGTGGTCAACCCGGTCATCCCGAAGGCGCACCGAGCTATCCCGGTGGTCAACCTGGCATGCCAGGCGGCCATCCAGGTGGTGCTCCCGGTGGCGCTCCTGGTGAACACCCTGAACTTCCCAATGTCCCATGCAACGTTCCCGGCGGCTGTCCCCACGGCAGTTATCCTGAGGGCGGTGCACCTGGTGGTGCTCCCGGTGGTGGCTATCCTGGTGGCGCTCCTGGCGGTGCTCCAGGTGGTGGTCCAGGCGGCTATCCAAGTGGTGGTCCTGGTGGTGCGCCCGGCGGCGCTCCTGAGGGCGGCTATCCAGGTGGCGCGCCTGGTCATGAAGCTCCTGGTGGTGCTCCAGGCGGTTATCCAGGCGGTGCTCCTGAGGGCGGCGCTCCTGGTGGACAACCCATGCTTCCCAACATCCAACCCAACATCCAATGCAACGTTCCTGGAGGCTGTCCTAAAGGTGGCGCCCCTGAAGGTGGTGCCCCTGGCGGTGGACCTGGTGGTTACCCAAGCGGTGGTCCAGGTGGTGCACCTGGTGGTGCCCCAGGCGGTCATCCCAGCGGTGGTCCGGAAGGTTATCCCAGCGGTGGTCCAGGTGGCTATCCCAGCGGCGCTCCTGGCGCTTATCCTAGCGGTGCTCCTGGCGGTGCTCCGGGTCATGGCGCACCCGGTGGTGCACCTGGTGGTTATCCTAGCGGTGCTCCCGGTGAAGGCGCTCCTGGCGGCGGTTATCCAAGTGGTGCACCTGGTGGTGCTCCCGGCCAAGGTCCTCCAGGTGGCGCACCGGGTGGTTATCCTAGCGGTGGTCCTGGTGGTGCACCTGGTCAAGGCGCTCCCGGTGGCGCACCTGGTGGAGAATATCCCAAGCCAAACGTTCTCGGCGGAGGTGCTCCAGGCGCTGCCCCTAGTGGATATCCCATCAATGCTCCTGGTGGCGCTCCCGGCGAAGGAGCTCCAGGCGGTGCTCCCGGCAGTTACCCAAGCGGTGCTCCAGGTGGTGCTCCGAGTGAAGGAGCTCCAGGCGAAGGCGCTCCACCTAAGATTTCTCCAGCTCAACTCTACCCTGCTCCTGAAGGTGCTCCTGAAGGTGCCCCGGCTGAGGGTGCTCCTGAAGGTGCGCCCGCTGAAGGTGCTCCTGAAGGCGCTCCTGAAGGCGCTCCGACTTACGGCGCTCCTGCTCAGGGCGCTCCTGCTGAAGGTGCCATTCAGAGTGCGCCACCTAAGATTTCTCCAGCGGAACTTTACCCTGGCCAGGGTGCTCCGGCTCAAGGCGCTCCCGGTCAAGCTGCTCCCGGTCAAGGCGCTCCGGCTCAAGGCGCTCCTGCTGAAGGTGCTCCTGCTGAGATTTCTCCAGCTGAACTCTACCCTGCTCAGGGCGCTCCTCAAGGCGCTCCCGCTCAAGGTGCTCCTCAGGGCGTTCCAGCTCAAGGCGCCCCAGCTCAAGGTGCTCCTCAGGGCGTTCCAGCTCAAGGCGCCCCAGCTCAAGGTGCTCCTGCTGAAGGCGCTCCTGCTGAAGGCGCACCCGGCGAGGGTGTTCCTCTAGCTCCAGTTGCGCCAGCTAAACTTCTACCCGGCCAGACTGTCCCCAGCGGTGGACAAGAAGGTGCTCCAAGTGGTGGGCAGGAAGGTGCTCCAAGCGGTGGGCAGGAAGGTGCTCCCTCCGCTGGGCAGGCGGGTGCTCCAGGTGCAGGCTCTGCTCCGGCAGGTTATGCTCCTGGTTCTCCGGCAGGTTCTGCACCTGGTGGTCAAGGCGGCGCAGGCGGTGCTCCCGGAGGCTATGCTCCTGCTCCATCTGGATCGGGCAGCGGTGAAGGCTCTCCAAGCTCGACTCCCGAGTCGAATCTGTACCGTGGTGCTGCAGGCAAGGCCTCTGTTGGTGGAAGCTTCACTGCGCTCCTCGTGGCCTGGGCTTTCCTTCTTCTGATTTAAACCGTATGAGGCCATGCATCTAAATGCTGGCTCTCATGCGGCATTTCCTTGATGAGTCTGCGTGAATACACGCCTTAATATGGGTAAAAAAGCGGAGGAAATAATGTGTAAAGATCGATTAATGTAATGTAATGAAGGGACTTCAGATTTCATACTGTACCACGAAGCTGAATTCAATCTTGATTGACACCATCTCATCAGACTCAGTCCAGCCGCATCTTCACGTTCGGAGATGTAGGTATCATAATGACGAAGCTTGCTGACATTTTTTTTAGGGCAAAAATTAAAGAGCGAGGCGGACAGTTCTCAAAGCGCACACAGTGCCAGCGGTTTTCGGGAAGAGTAGAGGTTCGTATGACGAAGTCCAAGCGTGCATGGCGTCAGCCGCTGAAGACTATAGGTAGTGGATACGAAGCGCACCCCCTGCATACTTCACCGAGATAGTCCCATTCAACGCCAAGCCTCAAGTCGTCGACAGCGCACTCAAGTCCGACCTCGACCATGAAGCCAAGGAAAAAGGCACGGATGCTTGGCCAGCCAAGAGATTCGATTCCAATGGCGTTGTGGGACATTTGGCCGAGTGTGCGGTTGGGAGTCGGATTACCGAGATCTTAGTCCGCGCGTCGGAACGGATCTGGCCCGGTCAGGTGATTGGTCCGCTCTCACCATGTACGAGATGTCGGCGGTTGAATTAGTACCGAAGTTCAGCAGTAAAACGGGCTCTGTCACCGACTTCGGTATCTCGAGCGGACTTGCCGACTTCTGGAGACACAGAATAACCAAACAACATGGCTTTGCGGACACAGTTCTCGAGTGAGCTCTAGGCAAGCCTTTGTATGATCGCCCCCAACTAGTAGGCTCCTGACAGTAGATGATTCACGTTTCTAACCAACGCTATAGGTCTGACGTTCTTCGCTTAGGTACTGCGGGTAATGGCGTTGCTTATCTTCCTACCCCACAAAAATCACCACCACTCTTTAGTCTCATCACCTTCGGCCCCGGATCTCGCGCCGCTTCCGGCGCCACTCCCACCAAACCCCATCCCCGGGCGGACATCATCACGCCCGATAATGACGACGACCGGGCGCAACGGGCCCCCCGCCAAGAATCTGCCAGGCACGGAGCGGTAAACAAACGGCCACGGCCGAAGCACCACGACACATCCCACACGAATCGTAATTTGTTTTTGCGCTATATAAATTCTTTATAGCCCCCTCATCCAAGATGCATCCGTTGGTCACCGAGCTACTCTCCAGGCCGCGCGAGCTCCTGGTTCAATCCCTAGTCCCCTCCGGCGCGGAGCATTTCACCACCGTCACCATGCCCGGCCTCGTTCGGACCGCGCAGCACTACCTTGCCGCCTTCGCGGCTTTCTCGGCCGTCTCGTCGGCGGCGCCGGGCGTCACGCTGCCCGGCTACGGCAGCTTCGCGGGCACGACGGTCGGCCAGACGCTGACCAAGAAGCCGCTGCCGGCGACGGTCGATGCGTGGCTCGGCATCGACTACGCGTCGCAGCCCGTCGGCGAGGGCCGCTTCGCGCCTGTCGGCCCGCCGGCCGCGTTTGATGGGTGGAAGAATGCGTCGGCGTACGGGTACGTGTGCGTGCAGGATCCCGAGGAGATATCGTACGCGCAGGATGAGGCTTGCTTGAGCATGAACGTCTTCCGTACCCAGGGTGTCTCGTTTGATGAGAAGCTGCCGATTCTTATTTGGATCCATGGAGTGAGTCAAAATACGTCTGTGATTTTTTTTTTTTGGCATTGAAAACTGACCAGATTAGGGTGGTTTCGTTGCAGGCTCGGCCAGGAGCTTTGACGGTGCATCCTTCGTTGCCAATTCCGAGGCGCCGGTGATGGTAGTGACTTTCAACTACAGGGTAAGTAAGATATCTAACGCATCGAGTGGACATTGAGGGCTAACATTCTACAGGTCAACTCTTTGGGATTCCTCCCCTCGCCGCTCTTTGATCGCCTGGGTCTGCTGAACCTGGGCCTTCTCGACCAGCAACGTCTGTTCGAGTTCGTCCAGCAGTACATCTCGTACTTCGGCGGCGACGCCTCCAAGGTCACCATCGGCGGCCGCTCGGCGGGCGCTCACTCAGTCGGCATTCACCTCTTCCACAACTACAACAAGACCGAGGGCGCCTCGCCGTACTTCTCCCAAGCCATCCTGCAGTCCGGTAGCGTGACAGCACGCGCCTTCCCCAACGCCTCGTACCCGCTCTACCAAGCGCAGTTCGCATCGTACCTCGACCTCATCGGCTGCGGCAGCCTAGCCAACAGCACCGACGACGCCGCCGTCCTCGCCTGCCTGCGCGCCGCGCCCATCGCCGCCATCGAGGCGGCCAGCACGCTCCTCTTCAACAATTCCTCGTACGCCATCACCTGGCCCTTCCAGCCCACGCGCGGCGGGCCCCTCCTCGAGCAGGCGGGCTCGACGTCGGGCTACAACGGCCAGTTCTACCGCATCCCGACCATCACGACCAACGTGCGCGACGAGGCCAAGTACTACAGCCCGGGCGACCTCAACACCACGGCCGACTTCTCCGCCTTCTTCGCCAACCTCATCCCCGGTCTCACGCCCGCCGACCTCGCCGACCTGGACGCCCTGTATCCGGACCCCGCGGGCGACGCCAACGGCACCTTCAGCCCCTACGCAAACAGCCCCAACTCGACCCAGTACGACCGCGTCAGCGCCGCGCTGACCGACTACATGTACGCGTGCGCGGGCCAGGAGACGGCCGTGCGCATGTCCGACGTCAGCGATGTCCCCGTCTTCAAGCTCAACTGGGTCGTCAACAACACCTGGCCCGCGTGGAAGGGCATCCCGCACACCTCCGACACCAAGTACACGTGGGTCGAGCCCGCCGGCGTGCGCGAGACGGGCGGCGTCCAGTACCCCGACGTCGGAAAGCTGCTGCACTCGTACTTTGCCGACTTCGTCGCGCTCGGCGGCGACCCGAATGCCGGGAACAGGACCGGCCTGCCGTACTGGCCGAGGTATGTGGATGGCTGGGATGAGGGTAAGCCCGGGTTCCAGTTGAGGGTCGAGCCGTTTGGGCAGAGTAGGGTTGAGGGCGATGCGATTAGGCGGACGCAGTGTGAGTGGTGGAGGGATGAGGGGAGGTCGGTGAGGTTGGAGAAGTAGGGATTTGAGAGCGATTTTTGCACGTTTTTTTTTTTCAATTGTTTTGGGAGTAATGTATTGATGAAGCGAGGTCATGATTTGTTGATACGGACAGAATTACAGTGAGACAAATACAGAGCGTTACACTTGAAGAGAGGGATATGTCATGTCGTGAAAAAGAACAACCCAGGGGAATATTCGCAAAGCCGACCAAAGTCAAACGTAACGGAAGCAAACTATTCATATCATCAGTTATCCCCCACATACACGGCGCGCGTGGCGGGCCTCTTCAGACCAAGCTTCGTCCTCGAGACCCTGTCCATCTTGTCGTGCACGGTGGAGTCGAGCCGGAACACCGTCTCCCGGAAGCACGTCGCGGTGGTCCAGTCGTACGACACGCCCACGGCGCGCTGCATGCCGCCTTCGCTGCCGCACACCAGGATGCCGACCGGCGGCCGGTTAGCCTGGAACAGGATGACCTCCATGGTGCGGGTATCGATGAGGGTGAAGACCTGCAGGAACGAAAATAGTCAGCAAACACAGTACAGCATCAAAGGGCCTGCAGGCAACAAGAAACTTACCCGCTGCTCATTCGGACTCGCCGTCTTCGCCCTCTCCACAATCTCCGCGACCTTGGGGTCAGACGTCGGATCCACACCGATCCTTTCGCCATGCTCATTCCGCCGGTGGCGCGCCAGGGGGCTGCCGAAAGCGGACCACTCGAGGCGGCCGAGGCGGGCGCCCCAGATCTGCGACTCGATCGTCTCGACGTCCATGTAGCCCTCGAAGCCGAAGAACCACGGCTGCGAGTACCAGAACTTGCCCGAGTACAGCATGCGCAGCAGGTGGGGGCCGGCGGCGATGAAGGGGAAGGACAGCAGGAAGAGGACGATGCCCGCGCTGCGCGTGTAGGGCGAGATGAAGAGGGTGAAGGAAATGATGAGCAGGATGCCGGACGAGTGCAGGATGAGTTGCGCGAAGAGACGCTTCCAGGATGTGCGGCGCAGGTTTTTGACGGGCGCGAAGGATTTCCAGCGGATGGCGGCGCCGAGGGCGTTGTCGATGATGATGGCGTCGTCGTCGCAGATGCCTGGGTGGGGTTGTCAGTATAGGGGGTGGTTGTGCGAGGCTTGGGAAGTGATGATGAGAAGTAAGTACGTACCGGCAATTTGGATCTGCGGCTGGATGTCCCACAGGCTGGCATCCCACGCGTCGTCCATGCACGACCAGTGCTGGGCCGGCGTCTTGGGCAGCGTGCACACCAGGCGCTCCAGCAGCATGTTGCTGTCGTTGGCGAGGGACAGGCGCGCAAAGGCCTGGAAGGCCGAGTCGGTGTGGTCGACCTTGGGCCGCACGCGCAACAACCCCATCAGCGCGTACGAGTGGTCGCCGGGAAGATACTGGGTCGTGGCGCGGCTGTGCAGGCAGCGCAGCGCGATCGTGTCCAGCTCGAGGCGGCTCAGCGTCAGGTTGCCCTCGTAGTGATCGACCAGCTGCCGCGCCACCGCCGCGTCCGCCCACACGCGCTTCGCGAACTGGTTCTTCGGCACCGCCAGCGGGCTGTCCAGCTGGTCGCGGCGATACACCGTGACGGGCGCGCCCTTGGGGCTGAGGAGGACCTCGGGGAACGTCCAGAGGCGCGACCCCCATTGACGCAGCATGTCCCAGGTGTCCTTTTCGGAGAGGGACGACCCGTGCGAGGGCCCGACGGCGATGCAGAGGCCGGCGGAGCCGCGGATGACGTCGCTGATGCGGAAGACGTCGTCTTCCATCTCGCGCTCGTCGGGCATGCAGCTGCAGCCGACCCAGTACGCGGGGAGCCCGGCTGCGCGCGCGGCCGTCTCGGCGATGGCGTGGAGCGCTTGCATGTCCTCCTCGGAGCTGTGGCTGAACTGCTCGGCTGTGTAGGCGATGAAGAGGTAGCTGCCTACCCAACTGTTGTTGTTGCTGTCTTCGATCTTCTGGATGCTCACGCCGCTGTTGCCGTTCTTGTCAGACGGGTTTTGCAGCACGCAGAGATACCGCGGGCTGAGGAGCCTTTCCATGACGGGGTTGCTGCCCTCAGCAGGCGCGTCTGGGGTTCCGTAAGGCCTGGTCTTCATTAGCACGACAGACTGGACTGTGGACGCAATACATACAGCGCGCTGCTACTCGGATACTCGAGAACGTTACGAGCGACCTTCGCATAACCATGGTATCGGTAAGCGAAGACATCGTAGTTTCCGCCATTGCGCTCTTGGGCTCCGTCACCGTAGAAAACAATCTGAACTGTGAGCATGATATACATCAGAGGGGGTTGCGCATGTCATACCATGACCGTCAGAGCCAAGCAAGTTGGGATCCATTTAGCAACCAACCAACCCGTGCCGAACTCCCTGTACTCCCCCTTCTCGAAGTCGAAGTGGCTCGTGGGCCAGTTGGCCAGACGCAACATCTTGGTGCTTACGTTCCTGATGTAGGTGCGACGATAAGTCGAGTTGCCAGGGTTCTCGTAAATTTCATCGGTGCACTGGACCACCAGCTTTGCAATGTGTCCGTCGTAAGGGCTGATGTATCGATCATCCTCAGCCCCCTGCCAGACTCGCGTCATGCCGTCTCGGTGCCTGTAGCTGTATGCCTGGTCGTACTTCCATGCCGGCTCTTGGTAGAAGTGTGGCTCCTTCCACCGGAACCGTGACCGAGGGTTGAGCGCATTTATGAAACCTTTCGGCCGAGAAGTCTTGATGAAGATCAATCATATGCATAACAAAAGCGGAACCATGACTACGTACATGTAATTGAGAGGTTGTGACGACCACAGAAACCTCCGTGTCTGGATGTTTCTACACCATGTGTTACTTCCGAGGCCTCAACACCAGCTACACAGGAGCTTTACCAGCATATTCTCAGACTTCGGTTGCATGGGCGGCGACTGTCCCTGGGGGTAGTAGTTCTGCCGAGTGTTAGCGACACACGCAATCAACAAGTAATTGTGACACACCATCGAAGGCTGCTGTGGAGGTGGCGGCGGCAAAGGCTGATGCGGGGGTGGGGATGGGTATGCCTGCTGCCACGGGCTGCCAGGAACATAGCCTCCGCCATGGTGTGGTGCATGGTTCTTCAGAGAAACCGTGAGCTTCGCTCTCGGGAAGGAACTGGATAAAGCTTACCACGTTGGTTTGCACCATTGGCAGTCCCTGGTTGGGATTATATCCACCTCCGTGTCTATCGTGAGACTAAGAGCGGTTAGCGTTGTCTTGAAGAAGGACATCATATATCCTACCATATTGCTTGGTCGAAGTGTTTTCAGGATAGGTGGAGACAGTAAGTGGCCAACCGAGTAACAGAGGCGTAGAAGGGGGGATTTATATTTGCTTCATGTGCAGCCTCGGCATATCAATCAAGCGGTTGATCTTTGCCACTGTTAAAAGGACCTTCAACTTTGGGGGCGGAATCGATGGCAAGGCGTACTTGTCGCTGCCTGGAGCAAATCACCGTCGTTAGGGTGATGGCAGCTGAATGCAAAATTGGACGGAGGCCTCATTTGAGTTGGAGTGTCACGAGATTTATTGTCGTGGCTGCAGGAGGCGGAGTCCAGAGTCCCAAGCTTCCACACATCGCCATTGTCGGTCTGCGATAGTCGTGAGAGCAACCAATGACGCTACGGGTGCTGCATGAAGACACCGGAGATTTCCGCTGGATCGAGACGAGTGTATCAGTTTAAGTTCGGACTTGCTGCCAGGAGGGGCGGCAAGTACACGTGCGGGAGCTCGAAAAGGAATGGAGATCCAGCCATCACAGGAAACGGGGCAACTGAATCAATTCTCAGGCTACAGCCGGCCTTCAGGCTACAGCGAGTAAACTAGTGTGGATGCTATTTTTGACGCTTAATTCAAGCCGTGTAGCCAGTCCCTTGCATTCAGCTGCACGCACCATCCCCGTTGAGTGGTCGCGCTTCGCTTCCCCTCGTCCCCTGTCACTTCAGCTCAACGCCACAGCGGCTGCCCCGCTCCAGAATAGGCTTGGCAGAGGATTCCGTCGCACCAAAACCGATTTTTACAATGACTCGCTTTGCTTTTTCGGTGTAGAAACGGGAACGATACGCTTGGGCCAGACGAGACTGACGACCTACTTGTCGTCGGCCAACGCCCTTCTCGCAGCAGTGTCTGCACATCATGGCGAACCATCATATGCCCCTCGTACAGTGGACTTGGGGTGCTGGGGCAGGCAGTGCCACCAAATCCACGAGCACCGTGTCCGATTTTCTCCAGAAACCTGACGCATGGACTGACCGCTTTCGCATCTTGTTCGTGCATCGTGCAACTCCGACCTCGTGCTGAAGCTGACTCAAACAGATCAGTCCCACGAGATGCCGGAACTCCAGAAATACAGCCACTTATTGACTCTTATCTTGCACGCCTTCATGTGCCCGATGAATTTCTACTCGAAAGAAACCAGAGCGTCAATCACTCATTTGGTTCCTTTCCAGGCCCAGGTGATCAGAGGCACGGTAAGGGTCAGATTTAGATCTAAGAGAATGAAACTAATGCTTGTACAGCAACATGGATGAGGCTCGTGGCGAAGGGAATATCGGTAGAGCGAGACCCGAATACTGGGAGAGCCATCTCTATCGACACACCAGTTATCTCGACCAAGCAAAGACCGGATCAGGCCTGGTTCAACTTCGCATTTGTTCTGCTGGAAGATCACAGTGGGCCCAATAAGCAATCCACATTGCTTTGCTTCGATGCTCCTCATCAGCTACACAAGGAGTTCAACGACCTGGCCATCTCAGATGAGCAATTCGACGATTCCTACTTCGTCTTCAGCGTGATTTTGAAGGTCATTTGGAAAGTTATGGATGATGTTTCGTGGACATTGGCAGACGTGTTTCGCAACATCGAGAAGGTGAGCAGACTACCCTGGAGAAGATGATTCAGGCAAGCTGGCTGACTGGAGAAGAGCACTTTGGATAGAACAGCAAACGACAAGAGCGCAGGACAGTCTGTCAACTTCTCCGAGTTGCACAACATCTCCAAGCACCATATATACATGTCGGAGGCATTTGAAGCTGCACAGATTGTCGCGGGCGACCTCGTGCAAGCGTATCGCGGACGTTTTACCACAGGCCTACCACCGATTTCTCGAGAAACAGAGCAGAAGCTACTGCACAGTGCACGCTTATTCAAAGCATCACACTTGCGGCTTGCTAGTCTGGAGAAACGGATAGCCAACATTACTAGCTTGGTAAGTGTTCCCAGTGTTTAGATGATTTACAAACGTTGACCTTTCAATAGGCGTTCAACATCGTTACACAAGAGGACAGTCGCTCGATGCACACCATCGCTCTCATCACCTTGGTCTTCTTGCCGAGCACTCTCATTGCAACGGTATTCAGTAGCTCCTTCTTCGACTTTACCACGGCCGATGATGACAAAAGCACCGGCGTCCACCTCTCATCTCTCTTCTGGATATTCTGGGTCATATCGATTCCCGTCACCCTGGTCGTGGTGTCGTGCTGGTGGTGTTTCAAGTGGAATTCCAATAGGAGGAAGAAGAAGCGCGCTTCGGTGGCTTGAGTCATGCGACAGGTACAAGTGCGGCCTGAGATGGGGGCCAAATGCCCAATTTCGCAACCCGAACTTGTACCACAGGCGCCCCCGAGGCAGAAACGGAAGGATCGAACCATGTAATGTACATATCCTGCTTAAAATGACCTCTTGGCTAGTCGAAAAAGTCCCGCTGTGGCTCTTGTACCGGGTAGCTGATTGGGGCCACGGTCCCAGATAGGCGAGGAAGCCAAGCCGGCGGATACTCGATACGGTATCGTCGCGCAGCCCATCTTGCTCGAATTGGTTTGCCTCTCTTCGCTTGCGGCCTGGGCTTAATATTGGGAAAAGCATCGCAGAGGTGGCTCGTGGCTAGGCTGCATAGCGAATAGTCCAGGCGGGTATTTGCGCTGTAGTGGGAAAAGATGAGGCGTGATCAACGGGTCTGCGGAAGTACGGAAGGCATAACTGCCCGGTGAGCGAGGCTGAAACGGCGGAGGCTATGTCTGTACCGCCTTCTTCACAACAGGGCGCGGCCGTTGCCGCCAGTCCTGCACTTCCCTTGAACCCACTCCAGAATGTCTGCCTCGACTGAAGTGTATCGTGGCGTGTGGAAGGATCACGCCAACGGAGTGTGGACACTGACTCTGACAGAGCGCAGCGGAGGTATCCTTTCTGCAGCTCTGATCATATTCGCTGGCTTTGCATCAGTGCAAGCGTGGAACATTGTCAAGTTTGTGCTCCACCAAGCCTTGTCGTCTCAGAAGCCACAGGATGGATACCGCCACAACCTTCGGACAGTGCTGCGCAACAGCAACTCGCACACGCAAGCGTTCTGGCTCTTCCTTCGGCTGGCCTTCGGATGGCGAAAGAAGCTCGGATTGTCGTCGACCCTGGCTCGTGGCTCCATTGTCACCATATTATCGCTTTTATTCGTTGTCGCTTCGGCCGTGATCCGGCTGTACATCTCACTCATCTGGACGGCCAATGGCGACCAAGTGCTCATCAACAGCACCAGCTGTGGGGCAGTCTCGATTGACTCGGAAGATGTACAGTCTTTTGGTGTTTACTGGACGGACCGGATAGAAGCTGCAGCGACATACGTGCGGGAGTGCTACAACACGACAGATACAAGTCCATGTAGCAAATTACCGGTCAGTAGCCTTAACTGGACCTCGAGTGACGGAGAGTGCCCCTTTACCGATTCAGGCCTCTGTATCACGAACAACTCGGTGCCTCTGGTCATGGACACGGGCTACATCAACTCGAACTACGATCTGGGCATGAACGCAGAGGCAGAGGATGCCATCGACTACCGCAAAATCGTCACCTGCTCACCCATGCGCTCCAACCACGTCGACATCATCTACAGAAACCAGACGGACGAGAACATACTCATGTTCTACTACGGCAACGTGACAATGTTCAACTCCACCTCGACCTACAACTACTCAGGCAACTACCTACGCTACGTCAACGGCTACACCCTGAGCACGCTGGGTTACGACCCCTACAGCGTCGCCAACGTGTGGTTCCCCAACGCGTCCATCACCGACCGCGCCGACGCCGGCGCCTCCATCTTCTTCCTCGCCGCCAACTACATGCTCTACCTCAGCCCAGTCTCAGACCCCATGTTCAGCACCTACGCCGAAGAATGGACCGGGTCCGACAGCGAAATCCTCTCCACCGCCAACTACCCCTGGCTCACCGTCACCATGCTCGGCTGCATCGAACAGCACCAAATCTGCAAAGCCCCGACGTCCGACTCCTCCCGCTCCTGCGGGCCCCTCTCCTCCTCCCGCGGCCTCCCCTGGATCGCCATCGAGGGCCTCGGCCTCAGCGGCCGCCAAACGGCGACGGCAGCACGGCTGATGTCAGCAGCAGCAGTACAACAGCCGGACCTGGGCTTCGTCGCGCGCTGGATGCCGGGCGACCCGCTGCTGGCGTCGCGGACCGAGGTCGACGGCACGCAGTTCGCCGCGCTGCCCGTCGACCAGTGGCGGCGCGAGGTGTCGCGCTGGTTCGCCATGAGCCTCGCGCTGATGCAGGAGAGCGTCGTGCAGTACGTGACGGGGCCGTCGGACCCGGGCTTGCGGCGCTTCGTGCTCGACGTGAGCGAGGATCCCGACGCGCTGGCGGATTGCCGGCAGCAGCGCGTCAGGAGGGCCGGGTCCGGGTATACGAATTTTCATCTGGGCGCGGTGATTGTGGTGGTGGTGGTGGGGTGCGCGCTGTCGTTTGTGGGGTTGACGGTTGATACGATTGTTGGGTTTTTGGAGGCGCATTTTCACTTTTGGGAGTATGGGAGGTTGCAGTGGTTGTTGGATGGGACTTTCCAGCAGCAGAGGCTGGCGTATGAGGCTGCGGGCGTGGCGAACTGGCGTGATGCTGCGAGTTACGTGCCGGTGACGGATGAGAAGACTTTTCCACTGATTGATGGGCTGGAGCGGGATCATCCGCGTTTGCATCAGAAAAATGCCGACGAGGTGGACGCTCAAGAGGCTGGGGCTGATCTCAAGGCCGCAGGTTGAAGCTCTTCCATGAGCAATATTAAATCTAGTCCCAATATATCAACATGTACTATCACAAACACAGCGTATTCAGAGAGCTCCAAACGATACAGAAATTGTGAGAAAGAGGAAGCGAGCTTTCTTGGAGTCAATCATTGAAAGTCGGAGAAAAATGACCAGGTTTGAGTCACTGTGAGGAGGATCAGTTTCCGCAAGAAAGAGGACTCAGAATAGCGAGATGATCTACGAACGGCTATTGGTTACACAAAAGCTAACTAATATTTTGCTGAAATTGGCGACTTGCATACGCTGACTGCACGTGGTGTGGGGCTGAAACAGAGTGCAGCCACGTCTTTTACACGCCGCCCCCTATCTTCTAACTTCAGCTTTCATGCCATGGGTCTTTGCGAGGCATGTGTTCGTTGCACTCAGAATTTTCTGCGTTGGCTCATTCATGAAGCTAGCACGGGCTCGGAGTGGATTAGCGCAGGCCATCTCTCATTCCCCGAGATTCTTTCATCCGCACCCAGCTGCGATCTTTGCTATCTGCTAACAGAAAGTTGCATGCGGAGATTTCGAGCATACAGCGAAGAGTTGCTGAGCGAAGAAGTCCTTTTAGATTATGTAAAGGCACGAATGTCCGACGAGCCCCTTACCCTGGACCTTTCCAAATATTTCGAGACCAAACAGGTTGACCAATTGTGCATCTTGTCAAGCTCAGCGGGATTATGGTGGAACCTGGCAATTTGGGCAGAAGCTGGTAAGAGGCAATGGGTAAAAGGAAGGACATCATTAACAAAAAGTAGGATCATCATTGGACAGGAGAGGTCATATAAACTGCATTCCGCCAATCCGTCAAGATGACTCCCAAGAGAGTTACGATCAAATTCGGGAATGGTTCAGTAATTGTCGAGTAAACCACACAAGGTGCAAGACGGCTATTTCTAACCATCCAATTGACGAAGGCTTCATCCAGCTTCCTACTCGCGTCATCGATGTCAGCCCAAACCAAGATCCAAGCCACGTGCTCTTGATCAAATCTCAGGGCAAATATGGGCACTACGTTGCATTGAGTCACTGTTGGGGACCACCATCCAAAAAGCCGTTGCAAACAACCGAAAAGACCCTATCACAACACGAACGTGGAATTGAGCTCAAAAAACTACCAAAGACCTTTCGGGATGCCATTATGGTTACCCGCGAGATCGGCATCCGCTATCTCTGGATAGACTCTCTGTGCATTGTTCAACAAGACAAGACTGAGTGGAATCATGAAGTCCTTCGAATGGGAGAAATATTCGAAAGGGCCCAAGTAGTCATTGCAGCGACCACAGCTAGAGATTCGTCAGAAGGCTTGTTCATGTCGGGCCGTCACCCCACTGACCCGATTTTGAAAATACCCTACCGATCTGATGAAGATGATCGGGATGAAGAAATAATGGTGTCTTTCTCTGCCCCGGTTCCTCCATTGAAGGAAGATTGTCTGTGGAACAGAGGATGGACATTTCAAGAAAAGCATCTCGCACGTCGGATGCTGATCTTTGGCAACAGTGGTATTTTCTGGACATGCAAGAGTACTGGAAGAATACTTGGTGATCGTGGGCTCTCTTACAGAAAATGGAGCCCGCTTGGCAAACACTGGCTCGAAGATGTCGAAGGATATTGCTGGAAAGACTTGACGTACGAAAGTGATCGCCTGGTGGCGATTGAGGGTCTGGCTAGAGAGTTGAAGAAGACGCGCTCGGATACCTATGAGTTCGGAGTCTGGTCTAGTGAAGCTCACGAAACTCTTTCCTGGATTGTTGATCGACCGAGCAAGGGGCATCCATCTGGAAGCCGGGTCCCTGGGATCCCCAGTTGGTCCTGGGCTTCTGTAACCGGTTCCAAAACATTTCCTACAGATGCCTCGGGATTCTCTCACTTACCTCCAGCCATAGCAGAAGACCGCATCGCAAGACCTGGGGAAAAGAAGGTCATTACTTTCAACGGTGGCAATGTCCTCTCCGTCGCGAGCCACCTCAAGCCAGCTTCGTTGTCTCCGGGTTGTCGGTGTCTCAGCAATAACGAGTCGTTCCATGAACCGAGCGACAGTCACTACGAATCCGAGTGCAATCAGACTTCTTCACAACGCGATGACTTTTGGATTTTCAGCCCTCGGGAAACACAACCATTAAACATGAGAGATTCCAGTGCTAAGTCTATTGGGTGGGCGTATTTTGATGAGAAGAGCGTTGAGGATTTCCTTTGTCTTTTATTGTATGAGGTAGAAGGGAAAAAAAAGCTTCTGGGAGTACCTTCGTAAGCAAAAGGTTCGTTCTGGCGGGTCAGTATACTACATCGCACTACTCTTGGAGCAAGTACCAGAAACAAAATCATTCCGTCGAGTTGGGCTAGGATTGATTACGACCAGGAGCTGGTTCGATGATGAACTCTTGCTATCTATATCTATTGTGTAGACAGTCTTCGTTCTTATGCGCTATCCTTTTGCTAAAACCTATCCTGAGAGATTGGCTGGGCACGTTATACATGATCCTTTTTTCTCTTCTATCCTGCAGATATTGTGTTCACTTTCCATTTTCCGTGCAGCGCATTATGCGACCTGCTTGGTAATGATATTGTAGACTTGATACAGTTTCCCAGTCAGTGCCAACTCTGTTATTATGGTTCTTCCATTGATGCATGCTGGAATGTAAGCAGGTGTAGACGAGATCACTCGTTTGGCTCATTAACAATGCAGCCCGAAATGGTATTCAACCACACACACCGATATTTGATCATACAGAAGATGCCACAAGATGTCTGCGATTGAAGTGAGGTACTAAGATTACAAGTCGTCTCCATCATCTAATCGTGATCTTGATGTCTTATTCAATACATATACTCCCTCTTATTTGTCTTCTTCTACTGCTTGCGGTGCAGACCACCAGTGTCTCCGGTATCGTGAATCGCGTTGGGAACGGCACGCTCAACGCTCTCGGGGAGCTTCTCTTGAAGCTTCTGGGGGACAATCGAGGCAGCGCCACCACCCTTAGCGTGCGACTTGTTGGTGGACTGGCCCGGCTCAGGGCCGGTAGGGTGGATCTAATAACCAATTAGCATTCCATCCGGTGGATCGTCTAAGCTACCACTTACGGAATCTGGAAGGTTTTCCTCAAGACTTTGAGGGGCCTTCTCTTGTACCTTTCCAGGTACCTTAGAGGGCGCGGAAGCGTGCGAAACGCCTTGTCCATATTTGTTCTCGGCCATGGTGAGAGGTTGAGTGATTTGAGCTTGAGTGCAAAGAAAGGGAGCTTGAACTTGATGAATGCAAGACAGTTGGGTGGATGAAGAAGATTATCAGCTTGAATTGACGTTACTTATAAGGTCACTATAGGGTGGGTGACGTATCGAAGCAACAAAGACCTAAGGATTCGCGTGGCGGAAGTCGTGACGTAGCGTATGCTTCCCTTCCATCGTCAAAATGTACCAGCACCAAGACAGAACTCCGTGCTCACGTGTTGTAGTCTTTGTGTGCAGCGGTATTTTCTGACGCAATCCAATGGTTTTGGTGTTCCAGACTTCATAGATCGAGCTGCACAGCCCCAGCTGACGTTCTGGGCATCGCCGCCTGCCGGATGCGGCCGGCGCAACTATGCGGGGCCGTTTCCACTCGCTAGCCTCCCGTGCCTAATTTTGAAAATCCCACGCATCATCACCTGTTCCTATGGCGACGCGAGCTTATTGATTTTCGTCTTCCGTAAATTGACTCCCTGCAAGCTTCATCCTTTGTGCATTATGCTGCATCACGACTCTGATGGATGATGCAAGGACTTGGAAGCTCTATACTATAGTCAAGCATGCTCCAACCAGTCATATTTCTTACCACTCGTGAGAATTATCCTAATGAAATAAGAAAATGATCGTTGATCTTTTCAACATATTGTTCAATTTGGAGTCAAGATATAGGAAAACAGAAGTTGCGGCCATCTACTAATGTAGCTAGCCCAAGAAACCTGAATTTACAAACATTTGCATCAAATTTGTCAGGTACACTTGCCAATGACAAGCCTTACCGCTACCAGGGAACGTTTCAAACGGCATGCGATCACATACCGAAACGTCGGCCTCTGGGCCGAGTCACGCGCATTGGAAGAATCTCCAGCTACTGCTTCCGTCTGGGTTTATATGCAATTGACACTATCCAGAACCAGCAGTAGCAAAGTTGTTATTCAATGTCGGCGACTAAATTTTGTGGTAGTAAAGAGATTTAAAATGCTTGATTCTTAAACAACGCCAATGTTTGTGCCACTCTCATGCTAGAGTGCTTGTGTCAAAAATCCTCACCCGGATTGGACTACTTTCGTCCACTTTCTCATATGCGATTCGATGGTGGGAAGCCCATTTCTCTAGCTCAGAATTGGAAAGGCTTACCATTCCTTGATCCATGCGGACCCTCTGCAGCCCATCAACGCAATCCACAACAAGCCGCAGCGCATCCACCCGTCGGAACACGCGCGCGCTGTAAGTTTGATGCACGTAGACAGCCATTGTTGTAGTTATCGCTGCCGCTGCAAAGCAACTCAAGAGGCCGGTGGCCAAGATGGCTGGCACGTAAGTCATCCGGTAGTACTCCTTTGAAGCGGTGCTGCTGACGTTGTACCAATAGATCGGCTTATCGCGCGTTGCATTGGACGCAGCAACTTCGTATAGTATTCGTTGAGATTCGGCCGATGCGTAGAGATAGTTAAGAGCAAGTTTTGAGAAATCAGTGCCGTTGTCACACTGCATCGGGCAGTGAATCGAATTCACCCTACAATCCAGATGAGCGCATCCAGTGCGCCCCGCCGTGGTCGCGAGGGCGGGGCCGATTCCAGGAATTGCGGCTCCAGGAGAGCGGTAGTTAAGGTTTGTCTGCCACATGGCAAGGGAAGACGGCACTGTTACCGTCTCGGCAAGGAAACTCGATTCTGATAGTGTCCATCGTCGGCTGTCATCTCGCGTATAGTTGAGCCGTCCTTCTTGCCGGTTCAGCCAGCATCTTACACCCCAGTAGCTCATGATCGATTTTGTTGCCGAAAACCCACTGGATGTCATGTTCACTGCCACAGGCCTGATGATTCCGTAGGTCGACGAAATGAAGCCACCAGTGGAGTTGAAAGAGTCCAGGTAGCCTAGGTATACGTCTGTAGCGTTCGAAGAGAAAGCGGCAAACTGATATTGGTCATTGTATGCTCCTTGAATGTCTGCCGGGATACCTGGAACGTGAGCTTGGAGCAGCTGTCCATCGGCGGCCGTGGATTCGATCACTGAAGTGTACCCACCCGTGGGTCGAATACTGAATGTCTTCGGATCCGGGTGTTCGGGCACGCAGTTGACCGTGAGGCGAAAGCCAGGGACATCGAAGAGTTGAGTTATGCCTTGAGACAAATTACGCATGGAGCCTGTCGTCGAATTGACGCCTATGTAAGCGCCGTGGTCCAACTTGGAGGTGGCGTCTGAGAAACTGAGGCCGGTGAGGAGCCGGTAACCCGATTTGCAATTTCACTTCTTTGAGGGATGCTCAAATTGAATAGGTCACCGTCCAGACCGATTGTGTCCACTGTTCGAGGAGCCTGGGAGTCGATAGTACGGTCAGAAAGTGATCGAATCACGCTGCAATGCTCTACACCATCCATGAATGCTTCGTAAGCCACCACGTTGGACAGTGCCAATTTTGCGATGGCTGAAGCTAAAATGAGCATAGCAAAGAGCAGTAGTCTCCAGGTTTTTCCGCGCAGCAGTGCTGTGAAGTTCAAGAAATCGTAGCTTCCTCCGGTGGAAGTGCTGACCGCAATCAGGCTGGTTAGAGGAATCCCGGTACAGCCTCGTGAGTGATGCTCATTGACAGCAGAGACCCGTGCACTTCCAAACCACAAATAATTAAGAGCCGCCATCAAGCATGGTCCCACGACCGCGCTGCACACAACGTCCACAGCCTTGGCTTGGGACTGGCTCATTTGCCCACCAAGCCTTTCCGCAGAAAAGCTTCTGGATGAGATGCCTTTCTTATTAGCAATGTGAAGCCACGCAACCGCCGAAATGAGGGGCACAAGGGCCGACAACATAACAAAAGCCGTATGGTTCCTCCATACACTTTTCCAAGATGCTATCGACGTCTGTGAGTTGTTTCTGCCTCTCATCGCACGGACTTGGAAAGGAGCATTGGGGTCACATTGCAGTAGGCGTGCTGAAGAGTGGTGATGGTCTTCGCAGTAACATGCCGCCATGGCTGATATAACCAGTCAGTCTTTCATTATCAAACGAGTAGATGGTAAAAACACTTAGACCTTGAGAACACCTCTGAAAAGATATTGCGGAGCTCACGAATTTACCCAAGACACAATTTTGCGAGAAATGGAGGGGAATAGTCCTTTGGAGACAAATGCGCAAGAGCAGCTTTTATCCTTTGTCAGAGCTGAGCGCTGAATCATCGCCTCTCACACAATGAAATGACTCGAATAACCCTACACCATCCGGTAATCGGTGCAGAGGTATCTCAAAAAATTTACGGGGAATTTCTGAGCCTCTCAGGACCGTATGATACACCAAACCCACTGGACTAAGGCGCATCCGGCACAAAACACGGCTTGGATGCAAAAGTCCGCAGACAATCTCTCATGAACAAAGTATTACAAGACGTGTGCTGCATCTGGACGATCTCATGTTATTAATTTACTATTGACTACGTGTCACGCAAAGTTCACAGCTTATGCAAGACCTGCTGGATGCAAAAATAGCAAGGTGGCTATGCTATTCCGGCTGTCATACAGTATTTGGCTTCAAAGGTCTTGGTATCATCGGCCAGACCCAGTCTATAGAGCCACAAAACGCTAAGACTGGTTGGCTATATAGGTCTGGTACCCTACGTTTCCAGAGAACCGGAAAATGTTAGTGGCCCGCCTACACGGGAGCCGCTCTACGTAGTATACCTACTCTACCCGAACTCGACGAACTCATTCCAAAAATTTGGTTTCATTCTTACATAATCAAGGTCGCTATCTACAGGAGGCATGATTGCTGGATGCAAGCTACAGACTAGTGGGAATTTTACCTATCCGACGAGTTACGGAGTTCAGAACAGCCACGAAGCTGCGCTGCGGAGTTTATTCGCCCGCGTTTAGCCGCACCATCATCTAAGCTCAAAAGTACATTCCGGGTATTCTAGCCCTAATAGTTTTCCGTTGGAAGCAAGGGAGATTTAGTGCCCGCATCCAAATCAGTACCTTCGTAGTATTATTACATGAGGCATGCGAGACAATTCTCAATAAGCCGGCGTTCTATCACATCGCCAGGAATGTCAATACCGTCCAGGCCCCCCTTCCAACCTTTATGTTATTCGTCGCGCCGCAGATTGAAGTCAGAGAATCACTCCTCGTAGTCGTACCAACAGAGATCGAATAGAATAGGAACATCCACGAAGATCCAGTCCAAAGCGGCGACCACATCTTTGCCCCGCAGGGTGCCTTGCTCAATCCTCTTGACCAGGGGGGTGACAACTTGGTTCTCGATGTAGTCAGTGGCCCAGTCAGGATCCAGGTAGTCGAACTCTCCATCCGGATCCTGGAGTAGGAGCGACATGTATTCGCAGTGGTGCGCATATCCACACTGCTCTCCAGGGACGAGACTGACTTTGAAAGCGCAGCCTCTACCACAGGTCAACTTGAAACGCCGCAGGTGGCAGGCGTAAGGACCCAGGAGCTTGACCCAGGAACGGAAGGCTGCCAAGCCTTCGCGTGACTTTTCGACGCTCCAGGGAATCATCGGGAGATACTCCTGAAAGAACTCCTCTCGAATTTGCTTGTTGATTTGGCACATGGGGGGAAAGTGGAGGGGGACGCCGCAGAGTCGATTCGAAAGTCGCGGGTCGACACTTTTTCTGCGGAGCAGTCTGACTCTATTGCCGTAGTGCTTGTAGATCATGAAGCGAACCTCTATCGGAAGGGATAGAAAGCCCGTTCGGGCTGTGGAAGTAGTGCCTGCATGGCCTGGAGCAGTTAGTAAGTCAGAACTTCTTCTTTCAAACGGATTGTTTGGGTCAACAGAAACCGTGAACGTACCTGGGAACTGGCTGCCGCCTGCCAAGGATGGCGCTGTATGAGAAATACTCTGGTCGGGAGGCATAGCACAGAATGGTTGTGGAACAGTAAAGGATGGAATGGAGGATGGGGTTCTGTGCCCGTGTCCGGGTCGGGTTTGTAGCGGAGTTGGACATGGCAAGCGGAGATAGGGTAAATTATCTCTTGGAGCAGGCTGTGAATGAGAGCAGACTGTGAATGTCGCTGGCGAGGCATAACACCCTTGCACCCATTTCACTTCTCCGGGAGGACCATTTGGCCTGCGACGCTAAACCTATCTAAGACTGGGCGCGCAGTAGCAAAGCCTCATCACTCCTTTCCATCTTGCCATCCCACACTGACCCCCCAACATCGCAACCGCAAGTGAAGTGAAGATCGCAAGCGCTGCCGCCATGAAGATCTTGATCGCGATTCCTCTCACTGTTGCAGCCACGCTCTGGACTCTCTCCGCGGCGTATGTTGTTTACATCATCGTCGCTGTCATCAAAGCCTCCATCACTTCCAGGAAGAACGCCGCCATGTCCATCAACGGCTTGCGTCATCGGCACATCGTCTAAAGCGTACAACTAAAAGGCGCCCTCTACATCGTAAGTCTACAAGATCTCCGGAGCGAATACACCGCACCTTATCTTACACGCTGCGTAGACTCGAAAGGATGCCAGATTCCAAGTTCCCTGACAATTATGAATAAGAGGCACCAAACAGGCCGGCTGATGGCACATCCAGAATGCTTGATCATAGCTTATAGAGCTCGGTAGCTGCTCAATGAAACGAGTCAAAGTCAACCAATCTGCTCTTACGTGTGGATAAACAATGTCGGCATTGCCGAGTCCCTCTCATTGTTTTCACACAATAATGTCCAGCCCAGCTTTCCAGAAGTCTGGGTAATTGCGTTTGATGTCATATTTCCATGATTCCGATCCAAAGGCTTGGGTAACGTGACGTCTTCCAGAGAAAATAGCTGGATGGACAGCTCGAGTGATAGAAGGGTCACACTGGCAAATGTTTGAATGTTCTATACGGCCAGGGATACTACATTAATTTTCTCATGAGGGGGAGCTGAAGCTAATGTCCGGATGCATTTGTCTAATTTTTAAATCTACATTTGCGTCCGGACGTTAGCCTCAGCTACCCACGTTTGTAAGACATAAGGCGAGGTAGTCATGCTGGTCGGTTCTAAGAGAAATGAGAGAAATGGGAATTCATTCTTGATTGGTTGTTTAGATAGCATTAGAATGTATGTGGAGTCTAGACGCATGGGAGGTAAACTTTTGCGCGAGGTGAGAAATGATGCAATGCGCCGGACTTCACTTCGCGAATATACACGGCCAGTTAAGCCAAATTTCATGTGCGCCCGGCGTTTCCTCGGCGCTATTCTTTGCTTCCATATCTATGCAATATCTTGCGACTCCTTCCCTTTCTTTCCTCTTCACCTTCAGCGAACGCACAGCGACAGCAGCAACTGCAACCGCAACCGCAACACCAGCAGCAGAAGCAGCAAAAGCAGCAAAAGCAGAAGCAGCAGCAGCAGAAACAATGGCCGGCTTCGAGAACAACAAGCCCGCTGAGAAGAAGACGGCTCTCGTCCGCGGCGCGCGCGCCACGCGTGGCCTCGGCGAGCCGATCAACGCCGCCGCCGCCACCACCGCTCACGAGAGCGGTCGCGAGCAGACGACGCGTCCACCGCGTGCCGACCAGCGCGAGCGCGAGCGCGAGACCTTCCGCGTGCTAGAGGCTCCTTCCTCCCAGCGCGGCGCCAAGGTCGAGCGCGAGCGCAAGAAGGCGGCGGAGCAGGCGAAGAAGAAGGAGCGCGAGGAGGCCCTGACGCCGAGATCGCTGGTCATCCGCGCTGATAACAGCGGTGTTGGCCTGGGTGAGGCGGTGGTGGTGGCTCCTGCCGCCGCTGCCGCCGAACCTGCTCCAGCTCGACCACCGTGTTCCCACCTGGCCTACTCTCAGAGATGCGGGCCTGGCTGGGGACAACCATCCTGCTGCCGGAGACAGCGGCGCTCGTGAGAGCGTAGCTGTGACCTCTGGCACGCAACCATCCGCGTCTGTCCACTATGCGGCCCCCAATGGCAGCGTTTTGGACGATGCACAAGAACCGATTCCGGAATCATACTATGATCAACTTCCGCCCGGCTTCTCGGAAGAGCAGGCCGAGGCATTGTGGAGGAAGAAGGAACGCCCCTTCTGCCCGCACTGCCACCTGAGGCACCCTCCGCCGCACGATCCGGAATTGTTCGAAGTGAACAAGAAGCGGAGGAATGCGCGGAAGAAGGAGCGCAAGCGCGAAAAGAGGGCCGAGGAGCGCGAGCAGCAGCAGCAGCAGCAGCAGCAGCAACAGTTGCAGCAACAGCTGCCGCCTCCCCCTCCGCAGCGCGAGCTGCCTCCTCCGCCTCCTCCACCACCTCCGCCGCCGCCCTCGCTGCCGCCTCGCCAGAGCGCGGCGCCGCGGTCAAGAAGTAGACCTCGTTGCGGTAGGTGCGGTAACTGGCACATGGGTGCTTGCCGTGCTGTATTCTGCAGCAGTTGTGGCCAATACCACGAGCGTCAGGCAGATGGCCGTTGTCCGCAGCGCATCATTGACCACCAGAACGGGGCGCTGGCCGAATCTTTTTTAAATCAGCTGGCCACCAATCCCGGCTTTAGGGAGAACGTGCACGATCAGCTCACGCGTATTGAAAGAGAGCAGCGGTCCAGATCACGCTCGCCCAACCGGCACAACTCGCACTCCCGTCGCCGTAGGTCTCGCTCGCTGTATGGGCGCAGGTAGGCTGGCGATATATTCCGATTGGTAGCCCTCCACTGAAGTGGGGTTCGCACCTTTCGACTGATCAGATACTAGGAACGAGGTCACTGCAGTCATCTATGGAGATTGCACTTGTTAACATACACGCATAGGAGTCATCAACAACTCTCAGCGTACACTAACTGGCATGTAGCGTGCCAGTACTGTTATGAGGAACACTGAAACATAGAATAGAGGCGGCGTTGGGCCGGCAAGAGGAGGAACACCAGCGAATGGTCCGCACTTCTACGTAGTGCTGGTGATCAGTAGCCCTTCACCGTACTGGTGAGCGGTGAAGCTAAGACGGACCACTGTAGAATCTTGATGTTGTCATGGGTATGGTATGTGGTGCGAGACCAAGGAAGAAAAGAAGAAAAAGAAAAAAAATACAAGTGTGTACCCTCATCGCCAACTCATCATCTCAAGTTCTTTTTATAATCAGTTCATAGCAACACGTAGTAAATCACCCCCAAACCCAGAGCACCCTTCGCGACCCTCTTCAACTTCGCCACATCCACCCACCTCGCCGTCCCCTCCGCCGCCGAACAGATCCAGTCTGCCAGCTCCCACCGACTCACCTCTTCGTCCTCCCCATCATCCACCGGCACATAAAACTCCAAACTCTCATCGCACATCGGCTGCCCACACGCCTCATTCCCACACCGCGCCACCAGCCCCAGCATCTCCCCCACCCCCACCTTCCTCCTCCGCTGAAACGGCAAAAACTCCATCTCAAACCCCTCGTACGGCCGCCCATCATCCCCTCGGCCACCCCTCGCAACCATCCCCGCCGCCACCTCCTCCGACACCGTCGCCCCCGGCCCCAACACCATCATACACCCATCATCATCACCATCATCATGCCCCCTCGACGGCCTACTCCACGCCGTCCTCGCCGCCGCGTGCGCGAACCTTCTCGCGCGCGACACGAGCGTCGGGACGCCGCAGTGCATGCAGACGAAGCCCCACGCGTCGCGGCGCGCCGGATTCCATTCGATCAGGCAGGAAGGCGAGGTGTATGTGTGTGAGGAGGCGTCCCAGCGCGGGGCGGGGCGGGCGATGAGGCAGCGCGCGCAGGGGGGTTGGGCGCAGAGGGCGCAGCGGGCGGGGTGGAAGGGTGGTCCGGTGGTGGTGGTGTGCGCGGGGCGGGAGAGGTCGCGGGTGATGGCGTTGTGTTCGGTGTGGTGGCAGAGGCAGCAGCGCCAGTGGGCGATGGGTTGGGGGGTGGTGGTTGGCATTTGGATCTCTTTTGGGGGATTTCGGTTTCGTTTCTTGCTGGATTGGTGGTTGGATGGAGTCTAGTTGCTTTCGGTGTTGCTGGATGGTAAGTCAGATTGCTCGTTTTGATGCTATGGATAGAGCTTTGAGGTCAGTGGAGATGCAGAAATATGCTAATATGTACCGACCAGGTCCCGCCTGGGAACGAAGAGATAGAATGCAAAGGAAAGAGAAGTAACAGGCGAAATAGGCGCAAGTAATGCAGCATCGGCTGGAAAGCTCGTTTCTTTTTGTAAAGTGTCGGTGCCAAGAGACCGTCGAAGGAGAACAAAGGGCAAAAGCAAAAATAGGCGATGCACTGGTCATCAATGGGGGTTTCTTTGTACTGATCTATTAATGGGACCGTCTACTAACAGTGGCGCATTCTAATTCAAGCGAGCTGCGACGGTAAAGAAAAGAAAGAAGGAAAAGTGCCGACTCGGGGCGGGATATCGGTAAACGTAAAACATGAAAAACGGTGATGGTGAACAAAAGTCAGGCTCTCTAGTAAGTCTTCTTCTTTGTCCACTTCTCTCCCATGACGGTACCAACTCCCTGGTCCGCAAAGAAAGTCTTGCCCTTGAACATGTAACCGAGGTAGCTAGGCAGCCAGTAGTTGAAGAGGACACCGACCGACTTCTTCCTCCCGACAGGCACAATCATACTCTGGGCTGTCTGGCCGGTGTACGTAGGCTGTGCCTTGGACTTTCCGTTGGTCAGATCATACTCGATGACGGCGGTGAGCGGTGGGATGGAGAACTGAATGTCCATGATGCCACCCGAGGAATACGAGGCGATGTCGCCAACAGCGTAGACACGCGCGCCGGGGCCGGCAGCTGTGACTCTCTGTGTGTCGTCGACAGCGACGGCGCCGCGCTCATTCAACCACGAGTTGGGCAGGAAGTCGTTGTTAAACTTGGAGCCACGGGCGTCGATGAAGAGGTCTGCGGTGGTCTGAGAGCCGTCGCTGAGGTGCAGAGCCTCCTTTCCGTCTGGGCCGGTGCCACTGGAGACGATCTTGATGTTGTGGACGACGGTGACGCCCATGTCGTTCAGGTACTTCTCGGCCCGCTGGCCGACGTCGGACCGGACGCGGGAGAGGAGACCGGTCGAGCCCGAGTAGAGGAGGATGTCCTTCTTCTTCCCGTGGTCGAAGCCGAGTTCTCCGGCTGTCTCGACGCCGACGGCGCCACCGCCGGCAATGACGATCCTCTGGGCGGTCTTGAGCTTGTCTCGGAACTCGGCGAGGGCGGCCTGAGTTTCCTCTTTGGGCACAGCAGGGCTCCAAAGCGGAGACTTGGACGAGGCGCCGGTAGCGATGATCAAGGTATCGTAGTGGATCTTGGTGGAACCCTTCTCGGCCTTGACGTGCTCGATGGTGATCTCCCGGGTTTCTGGGCTGATGGCACGTGCGTAGGCCTGGACAAGCTCAAACTGCTTGTAGCCGGAGAAGCCCTTGCTGATAGGGACCATGATCTTATCGAACGGGATTAGATCCTCTCGTGAAGTCATCCGCGGAGAAGCGGGCTTGAAGTAGAAGTGATCAGAGGGGTTGACAAGGATGAGCTTGTAGTTGGACGAATCCGGGAGCTGGGGAATGACATGGCGGAGGAGGTTGTGGGAGATGCCAAGGCCTGCGAAGGAGCCGCCGAGGACGACGATGTTGTGCGTCGACATTTTTCTTTGTTGTTGTCTTTCAGTTATCCTGAGGGGAGATGTGCAGTGGTGGTGTTGACATTGTGAGGTAGCTCGCGGGTGTATTTGAAGGGTTGCATGATAGGCATTCTACACTGGCTGACGCAAGCAATGTGGAAGATTTCTCTGAAAGCACAGCAGGTAGAGTCAGTTGTGTGGTTGATTTGGCAGCAACTAAGGTATCTCGGCGATTTGACAAGGCCGTGCGCCACCAAAGCTCAGCCGGGGCGCCGAGACCAGGGCGAACTCGGGCCAACACGTGGTCCGCGATCGACGGGCGCTTATGGAGCAGCCGGTTCTTTGTCAGCCTCGGATCCCGCTACTTCCGGGCCGCCCCTCTTGAAGTCACTAAATTGAGGCACATCTGCAGACAGGGGATTACAAATAGGCAAGACTGTGGTATTCCTGCTAAAATATAGAAAGGAATGTTCCGTGCGCCTCGCTTGCAATTTCCAGTCTTCGTCGGGCGTTTTGGTGCCGACGGACCCGGCGTCTCCGAATAACTACTATAGCTCTCTCGCTCGGACTTAAACATGTTGCCTTCCTATACGTTTTCTGGGAAAAGACAAAACATCAAGGCAAATATCACATATCTGCATTTTCAGTCAATAACATATCCGACATCAGATTACAAAGAATACTTACAAGCCTATGCAGATCATGCCCTCCAGATAGTTCGATTTACCGTCCTGCAAGACCGAACCCGTCACCCATATCCCGATGCCGCATACCACAAGCCCAGGACCAACCAACTCCAAAGTAACCGGTTGTTTCATTGCCCATCCGAACAACACCATGGCGGGAAAGACGACGAGGTTCATGTGAATGACACTACTGGTAGCTACCAGCACAGCTTGGTCCATCTGATCTATATAAGCCGCCAATGTGATCGTGGTGTTCTCCGGGAAATTGATCAGGAAGGGTAAAATTATCACGGTGATTGTTGTCTTGGAAAGGAAAAATTCCTGAGCCAAGTCTTCGATGCCGTTCAGCAATGCGAGGCTGCTGTATATGGTGCCTATAAGGACGAGCGCTAAGGACCAAAGCGCAAACCGTTTTGGGAAACTCTCTATTGTAGTGCTTTGCTCTGAAATGCCTTGCTCCGAAATACTTTGCTCTGAAATGCTTTGCTCTGAAATGCTTGAAATGTTGTCGATGTATTCGGTGACGAAGTCGGTAACGAAAAAATCGGAGTGGGTCTTGACGCGGAAAACGATGTAAATAATGTACCACACGAGCATCACAATCGCTGATCCGTGAGTGAATACGAGCAGGTCCGCTTCCGACATTGACGAAGATTCCGCTCGAGCGATTTTGGCCAGCATTTTGCAGGCCACCATGGGAACAAAGCCGATCATCATGAGGGAAGTCAGTGTGGAGGCAACTGTTTCGTTGAAACTGCTCTCCCTGTGCCTAATCCCTCCAGCAAGAAATGCACCTCCAAGTCCCTGTCCAGAAGTGTAAGCATACGGATTCCTTTTCCAGAAGGATGTATAAATGAGCATACTAGAAAACTACGCGACATGATACTCCCAGCAATGACACTTTGCATGAACATAGGTTGTTCTCTCATAATGGCACATATACCGAGCTAACTCAAGTTAGTTGATTTGCATATCTTCCTGACAATAGAGTAATACTTACTATAAGCCACACGCAGTTCGCAAGAACACTCTCAATGAGGTATGACGCAGCTTTGTTGCAATTTGATGATAGCTCCTCCGCAAAAAATGCCATCAAGAATGCGAGTGGCGTCAACGAGAGCGTGTTGAGGGCAACGACCACCTGTGGTTTCCATCCCATAGCTTGGGCCGCGAGTCCGAATGGTAAGAAAAGAAGGAGCAGGTTGATGTAGCTGAGAGTAAGGGTAAAATAGAAGAACCGAGGTAAACGATCCACGCGTGAACGCACGTAGTGGACGGCTTTCGCAGGCCATCGCACCCACCATCGAGCGTCTTTATGTAAGGGTACAGCATTGGCCCATCCATCTGACCGTAGAAACCTCTGAGCCGAATCACCGCCAGTGGGGTCAGGATCCTCAAGATCCTCTGCAATCAAAACGGGGTCTGCAGACCATGTGTACTGGTTTTGTATCCTTGTTTTCTTTATGATATTGCCTCTTCTGTCATCTAAACCATTATTTCATGGAGAATCAGGCTGGGTTCCATAAGGCTGGAGAGATTGAGCACTCACTGATCGTCCTTGACATTCTGTCCTGCAGTTACCCAAAATTTCGTAAAAACCGAGGAATGCGCTGCGTTTGCGCACAGCCACAACGTGAATAAAATCTCGAGAAGTATATCTCCAAGAGCTTCGAAATGATTCTCGAGGAAGGTTACAACGAGGCTGTGGTAAGCGGGGCGATAATTTATAAGCAAAAGGCACGTGACTGGTATCACTACCATCAACAGCTATCAGGCTGGTTCCCAAAGATTTGTAATTTTTTCGTCATACCGTCTTGGAAGCCGGAAGTTTATAATGCCTAGCCATACGTAAAAAATCCCAGTCTCAAGCACATGTGATCCCCCGAGCCGCGATGCCTGTGGTAAGCGCACGTGTAGTTGAGGTTACATGGATTTGAATCCCTGCTTGCCCCTCATTGAACTTCCAGCCCGCTTTCTCAGCCTCACCGGGAAATTCTTTATTCTCTCTGCTTCGTGGGCTGGAGCCCAACAGTGCCATTATGGATCCCCTAACGGCTTTGGGCCTCGCGGCAAACATTGCCCAGTTCGTAGAGTATGGCATAAAACTCACATCCACGATATCAGAGCTCTACCACTCGCCGGACGGCACCACGAAAGAGAACACGAGCCTCGAAATCATCGTAGCCGATATGCAGAATTTAGCCGGCGCATTGGTTGATGAGAACTCTAAGGGCCAAGGACCGCTCACGATCCTGGCTGAGAACTGCTATAACATCTCGGTAGATCTTCAGAGGATATTTACGGATTTGAAAATCCCGCAAGACACCAATCACCCGAAGTGGCAGGCTTTCCGCCAAACGATCCGAGCTCAAGGAAAGGCAAACGAGATTGAGAAACTTTATCATAGACTTGAGAAAAATCGGAGCCAGTTGGCTACACATATGATATTTCTACTCAGGTGCAACTACCCCGTCTTGGTACCGCTGCAATCTATGCTAATAACAGACAGTGATAAACAATCCAAAGCACTCAGAACCCTCAACTCAGTGGCCAAGGATACTAGGGACCTCACAACAGCCCAGGATAACACAGCAAAAGGCCTGGAGTCGCTTAAGGTGGAAGTTCTCCAGCTTGCAAAGAACATCAGCAAAGAAAAGAGTCTCACCATACAGACTAAAGGTGAAGTCTTGAGCTTAAGGAACAAACTTTTGGACCTTCTGAATCAGAACGCCAGATCACAGAGGAAGAATCGAATCATGAGGAGCTTGGAATTCGAGCAAATGCGCTCAAGAAAGACACAAATAAAAGGATATTTCCCAAGGACATTTGATTGGGCCCACCATGACTCAGAAGAGGTTGACCAGAATGCCGACCGCATCAGAACTAACTTCCGGCACTGGCTGAGCTGCGAGGATGGAGTTTTCTGGGTTGCAGGGAAGGCTGGCTCCGGAAAATCGACATTCATGAAGTTTCTTGGAGAAGACGGGAAAGAGGAAACCGAAAAGGCTCTGCATGAATGGGGTGGTTCCACGCGAGTCGTCTCCGCTTATTATTTCTTCTGGGTCGGCGGGACAGAACTTCAAAGAAGTCGCGAAGGGATGCTTCGATCGCTGTTGTTCGACATACTTAAACAAGCGCCAGCTCTGATCCCCACTGCCTTCCCTTCTCTATGGGATGAGGACAACTTTGATGAACTCCTTTTTGGGGAGATGTTCGATGTTGATGAACTCTTGCAAGCGTTTAAGAGGCTTGCGGATCAGGAAACCGAAACGGTCAAGATTTGCCTTTTCGTGGATGGCTTGGACGAGTTTGATGCGAGTGATCCGTCTGTAAGACTTGAGAATCTTCTTGAGTTGATCGATGAGCTCAGTGCATCGCCCAGAATCAAGCTGTGCATCTCCAGCCGCACATGGAACGAATTCGAAGAGCATTTCAAACTCAGTCAATGGAAATTCTATCTTCACGACTTGACAAAAACGGACATCGAAAGACTCATCAATAAGAGAATGAGTGCGAACGCAAAATTCCAAGACTTACGGAGGAAGAATCCCGCAGGATGTGAGAGGCTGTTCTCAGAAATTGCGGAACGAGCCAAGGGGGTGATTCTTTGGGTTGTGCTCGTCATTGATCAACTCCTTTCTGAGGCTCGTATCAATGGCACGATGGACGATTTGTATGAAGAGTTGGTCCAATTTCCTCCAGAACTGAAGGATTACTTCAAGCTCATGTGGGGGAGAATCAAACACAAGAACAAAGCAGCGCGAGTACTGCGGGTCACATCTGAAGCCGTGGAGCCGCTGTCACTGCTGGCTTTGCATTTTCTTGAGCAAGGATGGCGTGACTCGGACTTTGTTGAAGACCCGGAATTCCCAACTATCACCGATTCGGAGCTGGAGGAGATTCATGGGCGGATGACGATACGGCTGGAGAAGTACGCGAAGGACCTTTTGCAGGTACAACCAGTTAACCCCGACGGCGACTCATTCCTCAAGCATAGAGTGGACTTCCTTCATCGCACCGTGGTAGACTTTCTCAGGTCTGAAGACATGGCCGAGGAAATCAAAGACCTGAGCATACAGGATGAGCCGACTTTCGAACCTGTTGTTGCACTCTGCAAAATCTCACTCGCTTTAGTAAAGTCGCTTCAGCTACCTCAGGGGCTCGGCCATGAATGCAACTCCAAAAGGTTGAACAGCTTCTTTGCTCTTGTCGACCAAGTGATGTTCTACGCTGGTGCGGCTGAGCAGCTCAGACCCCCGCAGCCACAGACAAACATCTTAGACGAGTTAGACCGCTTCAACATTGCGCAGACAAAGGACTTGAGCGTTCACTGGACGAACCGGCGGGAGTCAGCGAAAGGGCTGCTGCAAGAATATGGAGGCAATTCCTTCCTTGCCCTTGCCATCCAAATGAACCTTCGTCTTTATGTTGCAAGCAAGCTCGACAAGGACCCGAATCTTGTCAGTGTCAAGAAGAATCGACCATTGCTGGACTACGCTCTGCGTCCAAATATCATCACTCCGCTTTTAGGAAATCGCCTGCGACTTCTCGACAAGGATCAACCGATAGACACAAAAATGGTCTGGCTTCTCCTGAGTAAAGGTGGGGACCCTAATCAAGAGATCCACATCTATGACTACCAAACGCCATGGAGCTTGTTTCTCACAAAGTGCTACGAGAAGCACGCCGCGATCAAGAAACGAAAGCTTGAACGCAGTGCGTGGTGCCATGCACTTGCGCTGCTTATAGAGAATGGGGCAGATGTTGACCGGAAATGCATCACATATGTCGTTCAAAGCGAGGGGCAGAGGGCAAAGGAAACAAAGATGAGGGTCGATGAAGTGATTGTTCATGCATTCGCTGCTGATGAGGTTGCGAATTTGCAAAGCCTGGTCGATACGAAACGGAAGGAAAGGGAGACGGCAAAGCGACAGTGGTCGGTGTCTTGGGTAGTGGAAAGGCTTTTTGGCTGATAGTCTACTTTCATTTCGGGCTGTAATTTCAAGAATTTTGCGAAAGCTCTCCGAGGTACTGTAGCAACTTGCTCAGATGACCAGCTACAACTTGCTCCAACCCTCGGGCCGTGCGTGTCAATGTTTTTACGATTTTTCTAATTGGTGGAAGCTTAATATACTATAGGCAGAAGAGTTATATAAAATATATTTTGATTAAAGTTCTGTGGTGCTGTAAAAATTTAAATTTTGGTGGTGGGTTGAAATGGCCCCGGTGAGTGGTGGTTGGTAAGAATTGAGTTGGATTTGAGTTTGGCCCATAGTAAAGCATGACAAATGGCAGCAGGATAATGAGTACTGGGCGCGGAAAGTTTCGTGTAGACGACCGGTCTAGGAATGGGCTTCACGTGCCGGCGCGAACCGGCCATATGCGGGCGTCGTCCGGGCAGGGCCGCGCTTGATCGGTGAGTCGGCGGCGTGTCCTGCTGTTCCCGCTGTCGCAAACATCATGGCTCCAAACTTGTAACCAGTCCCAATAATCATGGATTCCATCTCGTCAGCTCCTTTTCCGCCCGACCTCAATCCGCGACCGAAGAAGAAGAGAAGACCGGCGCTCAGTTGTGTCACGTGCCGCGACCGGAAGCTAAAGTGCGACAAGGAGCGCCCACGTTGTGGCCGCTGTGTGCAGACCGGGCCGGACCAGCCGTGCATCTATCTTGAGAATCGCCCCCGAGCCTCATCGCAAGCGTACCAGCAGCACTTGGCCCAGGCAGAGCCACAGGCCTCTGTTTATAGCCATTCCGCTCCCGCTCGGCCTATTCGGCAATTCGACGAAGCTCCGCGATCCACCCGAAGCCCCCTCGACGCCACGCAGAATGCCACTCCCCACGCGGAGACTCCCCCAGATCTGGAGTCGCGCCTGGCCAGACTTGAGAAGATCCTCGTCCAGGCCGTGAGCCAGAGCAACTTCTCTGTGCCTGACGACGAGTCGGCCACTGCCTCTCCTGCTCAAGATGATACGCCACCCATGATCCCGCAGCTGCCGCCTGCCCTGCGTGCTGAGGACGACGCTCTAGTCTATCCTGGAAGCTATCGTGGCTATGGCCTGACTCACCCTGCCATGCTCGTGTGCAAGGTCCGTCCCCTGTGCTGCACCTCGTTGCCAAGACTGACCGTCGGTAGTTCACTGAGATGCCTGCTTTCATGGCACGCATCAAGTCGGACCACATTGAAAGGATTCCCAAGCTAAAGCAGCGCATTGAAGCTTGGCGAGCCTCCAACATGGACTCGCGTGATCTCTGGAATGACGCTTGTGGCTTCACTTCCGTCATTGCCAGCCTTCCTCCAAAAGAGACGCTGGACCACCTCGTTTTTGCCTACTTTGACTCGTTCGAGCTCGAGTATCCTATCCTGGACGAGAAAAGGTTCATCACCTCCTACGAGGCCGCTTGGGATGGCCCGCGTTTCTCGCCCACACCTCTTCTGCTCATGACTCTCCTTCTCATCATTGCCACAACTCTGAACATATACACGAGCCAGCTTGTAGAGCCGTCCCCCATCCTTGAGAATGCGAAGACTAGCATCCGACGCTATATTCACCTGAGCGAGCGCTGGCTGCTCTCGAGAGGAACTCAACTGCCTGATCTCGATTCCGTAAGGTTAGGCTGCCTGTTGGTTCTCGCCAAGAGGTACAACGGCTTCGCCCGAGATCAGATATGGACCACCGCCGGCACCCTGGTCAGGATCTCCATGCTGGCTGGCCTCCATGCTCAGGCGTGGCGCCCGGGACCCGACCAAGAGTCGTGCAGAAGCCTGTGGACTACTGTCCTCGAGTTGGATCTCCTGACTGCTGTCGATAGCGGAATGGTGCCCGCTATTCCTGTGTCCGAATATTCTCGCCTGGCAGATGCTACACGTCATCTATACGCACAGAACGGTGGCCATAGGTCCAGCGTACCCCGTTACTTGGAGATGGCGCGGTCACTTGGCCTGAGGGTCGAGATCTGTTGTATGCTCAACTCCAACGTCCCCGAGGCCACGGGACAAAGAACTGCCGACCAAGAAGGAAAATTGAAACAGCATATCATGGCAATCTCCGACTTCTCACAGAACCCTGTCGGCAGTCCAACATCTTCAGATCGACACGCCCATTGGATAGACATCTCCCGAGCGAAGCTGCGAAAGTATCTCCTCATGATCTACTTGCCATTCGCACTGCAGGGCCCGTTGCAACAACGATTCCCCCATTACAAAAAGGCATGCGCCGAAGTTGCAATAGATATATTGAGTGAACACCAGGGTCTGTTGGAGCAGGGCAATTTGTCTGTTTGCCTCAAAGTCGATGATGTCTTCCAAGCTGCGCTGGCTGTGTGCAATGAAATCTATCAGCCCATACAGCCAGGTAAACTTCTCTACTCCCCACTGCTACCGCCCCAATACTAACGCCAATAGGTATTCCCGGTTTGAGCCAGCTTACCGGCTACGTCGCCCTCATCAAACCTTTACTCAAGTCTTCACTTAAAGTTCTAACCCAAAGGCTATTGTACGTCGGCCAATGGCACGGTGAATATCTCCTACTTTGTTTGGCCATTGGTCTTGTCAAGTCCAAGACTTGGCCGCACAAGACTTCTGAATATATGAAAGAGGTCGTTAACCTCGTGGATGAGTCATGCACATTCATCACAACCCCCAAGACCCCCTCTGTAAATTCTCCAGCGCAAAGCCAGGTATGTTTCAGCCTTCTGCTAAATAATCAGAACGTTGTGTTAACCCAAGTAGACCCATGCAAGACGTTCGTCCATGGCTACGCCCGCCCACTCCACGCCACACGCGTACCATCCTGACACAACACAACTCGAAGCTACTTCCGACAAAGACTTATTCGTAAGCCTTTCCAGGCCCATGCCCCGCAATATTCACACTAATGACTGCCACAGACGGGTCTCGACACGGTTTCCGACAGCTTCCAAGACATCATCGAATTTCTTGGACTGGCAAACCCTCTGGATCCAATTGACGCTTACGCTAATGTCGGGTTGTACTAGTCCGAGCCCGAAGGCCGGCATCACGAACATAATTTTTGTTTTTCTATTCATTTAATGATCTAGAGTTGGGAAAGCGATTTTGGCCGGCAAATGTGTATCAGATTAGCAAAGCACTTGTTCATAGATGATGGAACTATCTTTCTTTACTCAGGTATGTATGATCATGTTGCTTGGCTTGTCATAGATGACTGGAAATGGAAAAATTATGATTGGCAATCAATGACGTCACAACTGCCGTTTGAGGTCGGACCCTTGTCCCTGACGACCTCCGAGCTCTTGCAGACTACAGGGTAAGCTCGTACAGCCTCCGTGGGACTGCTCTCCCCGCAGTATTCTCTTTGAGACGCTGTGGTGCTCGGCATATTCGGATAATTCGGACAAATTTCAGAATGCGAAGAGCCATGGCCTTCACTACTATTGGTCTACTTTGAAGGATCGATGCAATAATTTCCTAAAACGACATACACTCCCAAGAGTGCTCTGCCCGAGCTGCGCTGAATGACGCCCAATAGTTCTCGGGCGACGTGAGACATGCAGCGGTGCTCGGGGATTTTGGCCAAAGGTCCGGCTCCTCGTTGTAGGGAGTGTACCGACCACCGATACAAGAAACTGTATAAGAAGCTGGCTCTCGAAAGCTAAATGTGGCTTGGTCTAAGTGCAAACTTTTTTGTGCATACAGGTCACCATGGGCTTGCTTTCTGGTCTAAATTTTGCGGACTTTACAAAAGCCGCCTCTTTGCTTCTTCTCCTTCCGCTTGCGTACATTGCCGTAATCGGTATCTACAGGGTTTATGACTCTCTCTTTGGCCGACTGAGGAATGTTCCTGGCCCATGGTTGGCCAAATATACTGGGTTGTGGGAGCTCCAGGCTATCGCGCATGGTGATTTCGAGCAGAAGAACATCGCTCTTCATAAGCAGCATGGTATCCACTTTCACCCTTCACACCAAGTTCCTTTCTACTAACCTCTGTTATGTAGGCAAGGTTGTTCGCATCGGTCCGAACAAATACTCCATCGATGACCCTGACGCTGTTCGCCTTATCTATGGCCACGGCACGAAGTTCACCAAAACGGACTTCTACTACGCGTTCAGAGACCCGCATGTGTCAAACTTGTTTGCAGAGCTCGATGTCAAAGAGCACTCAACGCAGCGGCGTAGAATTGCGTCGCTGTATTCGATGACCACTCTTCTTTCGTATGAGAGCTTCATCGACAGCTGCACCACCGTCCTTATGGAGAAGTTCAACAAGTTTGCGAGAGAGCACCGCCCAGTTGAGATGGTCCAGTGGCTACAGTTTTATGCGTTCGACGTCATTGGCGCCATCACCGTAAGTAACATGTTTTCCTCGCCTGTTCCCCCTTTCTTTTTCGTGTACTATTCCATCATTCATCCGTCCCTGCGGCCTTCCAACACCTTAACGGCCAATATACCTAAAACAAAAAAGGAAATGACATCGCTAACATGCATATTCTTCTGCTCCGTTCTAGACCAGCAGCCCCTTCGGCCTGATGTCTGCCGAATCCGACCAAGCCTCCATCATCGCCGCCATCCACAAGACCCTCGTCTACGGCGGCCACGTCGGCGCCTTCGCCCCTGCCCTCCACCCCTACCTCGCGGGCTTCTCCAGCCTCATGGGCAAGCCTCCCCCCACCGAGCCCGTCCAAAACTACATCAAGCGGCAAATCGCCCTCCGCCGACAACAATTCGCATCCGGCGACACCAAGTTCACCGCCACGACCGACAGCGACGACTCTCCCGCCCCCGCCACCGACTTCCTCACCAAACTCCTCCGCCTCGAGTCCGCCGGCCCCAACACCCCCTTCGACACGCTCAACGCATCGGGCTCCAACATCGCCGCGGGCTCCGACACGACGGCCATCACGCTGTCGGCCGTCGTCTACTACCTGCTGCGCAACCCGCACGTCCTCCAAAAGCTGCGCGCCGAGCTCGAAGCTGCCGCCGCAGCCGGCGAGATATCCGACCCCATCACGTACGCGCAGGCCCAGCGCTGCGCGTACCTGCAGGCCGTGCTGAAGGAGTCGCTGCGCGCCCACCCGGCCGTGGCGCAGCCCATGATGCGCCGCGTGCCCGCCGGCCCTGGCATCGAGATCGTGCCTGGCACATGGCTGCCGGCGGGAACGGAGGTCGGCGTGAATCCGTGGGTGGCGCACCAGAATGAGGAGGTGTTTGGGGCGGATGCGGCTGCGTTTAGGCCCGAGAGATGGTTGGAGGCGGATGAGAAGGCGAAGGCGAGGATGGAGTCGTATTTCCTGGCGGTAAGTGGAATATTGTTACAGCCCCTGTTCTTGTTGCAGTTTATTCAGGACGACTGGGTCTGGTTTTTGGAATCTAAAGCTGACTTTTTTCTTAACAGTTCGGTCATGGCTCGAGGACTTGCATCGGCAAGCACATCAGTCTACTGGAGATCAGTAAGGTTATTCCGCAGTTGGTGAGGCACTTTGACTTTGAATTCGTGAACCCGGAGAAGGAATGGCACACGGAGACTGCATGGTTCTGCAAGCAGCAATACCAGTGTTATATCAAGCCGAGGGCTGCTTAGATTTCGATCCAGAGGCCGTTATTGCATTTTCGATAGTCATGATAGATCTCTTTAGTTTGGAGGGACGAGAGACCCAGACACCTACGGTGCCTGTCTCTGTCCGGATCTCAGGGGGAAATAGAGCGAAGCTAGTTGACAAATCAAGCTTTACACTGCTGCAGATGAATATTAAATTGAAATGGAGAAGGGCGATAACTACTTGAACCCTGGTCATAATAGACTATGTTAATAGAATAGCATGATATCTGGAGATATGCTTAGAACCTATTGATCAATTCATTAGTGAGAAAACACGATTCAAGCCATTTAGATTCAAACGTTAATTTTACATTCCATCCTTGGCTACCTACAGAACGCCATGCGTACCATGCCCACTATCTTGTGACGCCCAGTAAAGTACATGTAAGAACAGGAGTGAAGAGAGGAGAGATGTAAGATGGGCATCATATACAAAAAGTGGTGATTCGACGCTCCAGACGCAGGCAGTGAGCAGGCGAAGCGTGGCCAATCATGACGGCTGTAGAGCCACAACTCGTCACTGGGGTATTTTTCTTTTTTGTTGAGTAGTCAGGCGTTTACTCGATGATGCGAGTAACCAGGCCAGTGGCGACGGTGCGGCCACCCTCACGGACGTTGAAGCGCTGACCAGCCTCAAGCGGGGCGGGGTGGTGGATCTCGCAGACCATCTCGACGTTGTCGCCGGGCATGACCATCTTGTCCTGGTCTGCGGCATCCTCGGGCCAGGTGAGAGCAGCAGCCTCGTCTAGAATATAGTCAGCAACTAGAGTATGTCAATGATTCGGGTGTTCTCAGCTTACCAGCAGTGCGGATGAAGACCTGAGGGCGGTAGTTGTTGTGGAAACCAGTGTGACGGCCACCCTCCTCCTTGGTCAGGACGTACAGGGAGCACAGGAACTTCTTGTGCGCCTTCTGGGTACCAGGAGCGGCAATGACCATACCACGCTTGACATCCTCACGCTTGACACCACGGAGCAGAAGTCCAGAGTTGTCACCGGCGCGGGACTCGTCGCAGGACTTCTTGAAAGTCTCAATGTCGGTAACCTTGGTCTTGATGGGAGTGGCGTTCTTGCCAACAAGCTCAATTTCGGAATCCTTCTTCAGAATACCGCGCTCAACACGACCCGAGGCGACAGTACCACGACCGGCGATGGAGAAGACGTCCTCAACGGACATAAGGAAGGGCTTGTCCAGAGCACGCTCGGGGGTGGGGATCCAAGTGTCGACGGCCTCCAGCAGCTTATCAATGGCCTGGACACCAATCTCGGGCTGACGGTCCTCGAGGGCGCAGAGAGCGGAACCCATGATAATGGGAGTGTCATCACCCTCGAACTGGTAGGAGGTGAGCAGCTCACGCATCTCCATCTCGACGAGCTCCAACATCTCCTTGTCATCGACGGCATCGACCTTGTTGACGAAAACAACAATCTTCTGAACACCGACCTGGCGGGCAAGCAGCAAGTGCTCACGAGTCTGGGGCCTGTTGCACATCAGCTTCCGTGTCCTGCCGGCAATTGTGCGGCGCGGATACGCACATCTGACCGTCCGAAGCGGCGACAACGATAATAGCACCGTCCATGTTGGCAGCACCAGTAATCATGTTCTTGATGTAATCGGCGTGACCGGGGCAGTCGACGTGGGCATAGTGGCGGTTTTCGGTCTGGTACTCGATGTGGGCGGTGGAGATGGTAATACCACGCTTGCGCTCCTCGGGAGCCTTATCAATGGCACCGTACTCGAGGAAGTTGGCAAAGCCCTTCTCGGCCTGACGCTTGGTGATGGCAGCGGTCAAGGTAGTCTGCAGCCGTCAGCTATGTTGAGCCGATGGGGGCGCAATTGAAAGTTACCTTGCCGTGATCGACGTGACCAATAGTACCTGTTGTAAATAAGCATCCTGTGCTCAACGGCTTGGGACATTGGCAATACCGATGTTGACGTGCGGCTTGTTACGCTCGAAGGCGGCGGCATAGTTGCGCACATGGCCCATGTACTGCTGGGTGCCATTGAGGCCCAGAGTGTTGGTGAGCGGGTTGGCGCCAGAGCGCTGGCGCAGAGCAGCACGCGAGGTGCGCAGAAGAGCGCGGGAAATGGCAGACATGGCGTCAAGCGGCACTCAGGAACCCAAGAGAACAGCAATTGAGTGGAGAGCGGGCGATTGAGCGCGACTAGGGATGGCGGAGGAGATGGACGCTGCAGCTCTTCAGACGCGGCGGCGAACTGGAAGCTCGAACAATTTCTTAGCGCGTCGGATCGGCGCACGTGATGTTCGGAGGAGCTGCGGGCAGCTTCCGTGCGCCGGTTCTGCTTTCTTGCGCCGTGAATTCAAGCAACAGCAGCATCTCGACGCGCCTGCACCCGTCTTTGCGGAGCTCTTGACTGACGCTTCGCTCCCAATTGCCCTCTCTCTTCCCCTCGCTGCCTTCTCTTTGCCCGTCCACCGCCCCCGTGGGCGCGCCCTGCTCCGTCCGGTTACCCGAGGCTCGGCTTAGTCTGTCGTCACCTCCGCATCTGCATCCTACAAGTACCATAGTACACCCGCGTCCATGTTTCTTCGCACTTGTTCACGTCGCGTTGCCCAACCGTCGAGCTGGAGCTCGCGGCCGCTCTCGTCCTCCCTCGCCATGCCTCTGCGCGCCAAAATAATGCCTCCGACAAGGCAGGTTCGTGTAGTCCGCCGCTGTGCACCCCGCCCGCTACTAACGCGCACCTACAGATCTCCACTTCTATCCCCAGGCCTCTCGAGAACGATGATCCCGATGACGTCCTATTCGACAAAATCTATGGTGTGCGCACCATAGAGCTGAACCGGCCGAAGAAGCTCAACTCGCTCAACGGCTCCATGGCCCGGAAGATCATACCTAGACTACTCGAGTGGTCTCAGTCGCAGCTGGCCAACGTGATCATCATCAAGGGCAATGGCCGCGCTTTCTGTGCTGGTGGTGATGTTGCTGAGCTCGCAACGCAGAACAGGCAGGGCGAGAAAGGCCAGAAGCTGTCCAGCGACTACTTTGCCCTGGAATACAAGCTGGACCACCTCATCGCAACTTACTCCAAGCCGTATATTGCCTTTATGGACGGTATTACGATGGGCGGCGGTGTCGGTTTGAGCGTGCACGCTCCCTTCAGGATAGCCACCGAGAACACTGTCTTCGCCATGCCCGAAACCACCATCGGTTTCTTCCCTGATGTTGGCGCAAGCTTCTTCCTGCCCAAGATGGATGGCAAAATGGGCACTTACCTTGCCCTGACCAGTGAGCAACTTAAGGGCGCCGATGTCTTGTAAGGTCTCCTCTACTTACAGTCTCTTTTCCAACTAACCAGTCGGCAGCTACCACGGCATCGCAACCCACTACATCCACTCCTCTTCTCTTCCCGAGCTTGAGGCTCGCCTCGCTGAGCTGACGTTCAAGGACTATGTCCCGCTCCATGAACGTCTCGTGATCATCAACAACACCATCGAAGAATTCGTCACCGGCCTCCCCAGCCCCCGTCCCCAAATCTCGGGCCACCTGCGCGTAGCCGTCGACGAGTGCTTCAGCCAGCGGAACATTGGTGACATCATCGGCACCCTTACCACGCTCAAGGAGTCCAACAACGAACAGATCAAAACGTGGGCCACCAAGACCATTGACACGATGCAGCAGCGCTCACCCACTTCGGTGCTCGTGACCCTCGAACAGATGCGTGCAGGACCGACCTGGGGCATCACAGACACTTTCCGTCATGAGCACGCCATCGCTTCGCGCTTTATGGCTCACCCTGACTTTGTCGAGGGAGTCTTTGCCCGCCTAGTGCGTCGCCAGAAGGAGCGCCCCAACTGGACGCCTGCCACTTTCGAGGAAGTCACCCCGCAGGATGTCGAACGCTTCTTCGCAGCGCCGCCGACGCTCGAACTGCTGGACAGCAACCCCGCCTCCAACTACAGGGAGTACCCGCACAAGTGGCTGGGTCTGCCACGGGAAAGTTCCATTCTGCAGAAGGCGCAGCAGCTGCCTGATGACCGTGCTGTCGTGCAACACTTTGTGCGCGAGTATAACGGCAAGGCTGGTGTCAAGGAGAAGGTTGAGGAGGTCCTGGAGAGGAGCAAGATTTAAAAGGATTGCAATATCGATTGCCAACTTGTTCCTTCTAGCTGTCGCTCGGAGGAAGGAGATCTGAGCTATGTACTTTTATGTAGAGCTACGCCGCGCGAGTTACGGTGTGTACAGCGTTAGCTAGATAAGAAATCAAAGATAAAAATCTCAAAAATCGATGAGCAATACTCTGCATGCTTTGTTGTGTAACGCCTCCGCTATTAGCGCCGACTTTACGAAGGAGGTTATCTAGGAATACCCTGCAAAGAGACTATGTGGATGGGAGAGAAGAGGCTTGCGGTAGAAATATCTTGCGAATATCTACGAGCAATAGTAACAGGCAGACGTTTCAGTGAAAAAAAGCCAGGACATGCTTTCATTTCCAGATAAGTTCTCCTCGCTCAAGTAACAATGTTGACGGAAGGCAAAATCATGGTCAAAGACTGACACAGCAGGCGAAACATACATAGCTAATAGCTCGATAAAATAATACAATGTAGCCACCCAAAGGAGATATAATAATCTGAGACCGAACGTAATCCTTGTTATGCTGTTGCCGAGGTACCCAAGTCCCAATTGCCAAAGACATCAAATCGCCTGACCATACTATGAAGGGTCATGAAAAATCGATAGAGGAACAAAAAGGAATAGACGGCTGAGTGAGTGAACCAGATATTGCGATGCTGACAACGCTTTGATAATGCTGTTCCCCTGACCTTTGGTGAATGCCTTTTTTAGACCCCTTTTCTCCACGAGAGATGCAAATGTTCGCACGTTGCCATGCTACGGTCCTTCTTCCGTCCAAAGTTTGATCAGAAGAGCATGAGGGGTAACGACGACGAAAGGGAAAGGAAAACATTCCAACCATTCCTGCACACGTGGTGCAGATGAACCCACATTGGACACCGGGAATGAAAAGAAGTCAAAAACACGAAAAAAAGGAAAAGCCGAGACAAGACGGAACCGAAAGCAGTCAAACTCCCCGAAAAAGCACCTTACCTTCTACCCTCTCCATCCTACTGGGCCACATTCATTGCTTTGGGAAGCAAATGCATGTGCTAATGCCATAAAATCTCTCATTATACTTTCTCAGATTTCTCCGAAAGCTCCGAAACAGCAGCCGCCAGCGGTGGGGCAGACGCAAAGTTTGGATTCCACCCCTTGGGTCGTGGCGGTCTTTTCGATACATTCTTTGGCTCTGGTTGCTCAAGCGGCAACAGTGGCGGATGCAAAATTGCCGCAGGTGCAGCGACATCATTTCCGTCCGGCATGATCTCGGCCAGCTGATCAAAGAACAACATCGATGCTGGCGAGTTTGACAAACAGCGACCCGCGTCTAGACTTGCTGCGGCCTCGTCCTCGTCCGTCAGCGTAGTCAGCGCCGTCGCGACTGTAGCCGTGGATGGTGAGCTGGCACGGCCGGGGGAGGATAGGACAGAGCTCGCGAAGCCATCGTCGTTGCTGCCGCCATTCAGGTCATCGAGCCGGTCGTAATCGGATACGAAGACCGAGTTATTGGACAAGGCGGGTGAGTCGGCGGCGGCAACGGCGGTGGTTGCAAGGCCAAATATGAGACTGTCGAAATAGGCCGAATCGTTCTCTTCCTCTTTGCCCTCTTCCTTCTCCTCCTCTCTCTTGGATACTTCGGTTTCTTCTTGGTTCTCATGCGCTTGATGACGCTTGTCTTCCTCTTCGTTGCCCATTGATTCAGAATTAGACTGCCGCAAAGGAGACGGCGGCGACGGCGCGTAACAGTTGTACCTGAAATTCGGACTTTCTACAACACGTCTGGCAACCGCCGTCGCCACCGCCGCTGTTTCTGCCGTTGTTGCGCGAGGTATTTCACCACTAAATAGTCTGGCTGGCTCTTGCTGCTGCTGCTCCGAATGGGGTAGAGGAAAATCGACCGGTCTTGTACTGTTCACCGTTGCCAAGCTACCACGCAGCCGTGCTAACCTTGCCATCTCAATTCCCTTGCGCCGCAGTAGCATCTCGAGCTCTGCGGGAACTATATTCGGCGACTGGCCTGCCCGTAGCTCGATGCTTCGGAGAGTTGCGCGGTTCAGGACCGCGGCTTTCCGTAGCAGCGCCCGGCCCCATAGCGCCTTCTTTTGCTGCTTTGCCCACGCGGCGATACGCGAACGTCCGCGGTCGGCGATGTGCGTGGTCGGAACGGCAAAGGGTTGCGAGAGCCGCGATGTAATGAGCGTCAGGCGCAGCCGCCGCTTCTTGCGAATCGGACCCGCGCTTGCTGCATCATTGTTGGTGCGTTTGCGCTTCTTCTTGAGCCGGATGCCGGCGCCGTCATTTTCGTCGTTGAGACTCGTGGAGTAGGAGAGAGAAGTGCATGTGGGATCGTTGCGTATAGCGTGAGCGTGGCGTGAGAACGTCAGCGGAGCGGAAGGAACGGCGGCGTGAAAGGTGAACATGGATGGTGACGGTGCGGAAGTCGTATTAGAGTCGATACTGAGGGATGTGTGGTCGCTTGGGAGCGAAAAGTCCAAATTTAGGCCCATCGTTTGGGCCTGTATGTTGGTATGAGGAAGCGTGGGAAGAGCATGCCGTGTAGCGCGCACGCACTTAGGGAGAGAATTGAACGATGGTCGTTGCAGGACAGGGCGGTACGTGGCGTAGGGTATACTGTGGAAGAGAGTGCATGGTGGCGGAGAGAAAGCTGGCGCGCGAGAGTGAGATGAGAGCGGCTCATCAGTCAGGCGAGCAGCGGCGGATGGAGCAAGGGTTGGGCAAGTGATTTTCGGCCGGGGTGCAGGGTTGAGCTGCACCAGAATGCGGGGAAGACGAGCGACGAAGGGCTTAATTCGTCCAGTGTGCGTGGCACTCCCTTGCTCGACCAGTGGCACATTGCCGTGGGCCAGACGCTGGTGCTGCACAAAGCTTCCCGGCCCGCCCATACGGCTGCGAGGCCCCCAGCGGCATGTTCGTCCGGAGATAGCACCCGATTTGTGCGGTTATACCCAGCCAACGAGATCCGACGGCGTTGCTCTCCGGTCGCTGCATGAGCGGCTGCGCGCGGAATGAATGGCCTGTGTGCGCATCCTGAACAACGCGATTAATGCCACAGCTGTCAATTCGCTGTGCACGAGGCCTTTGTAGCATGCCACTACTTTCCTGCTCAGTGGCGTTGTGTCAGCCGTGGCCTCGAGGAACCATCTCCGCTGCAGCCCGGGGCTGAGATAAGCAAATCCTGTAGGACATGGGTACCGTAAAAATTCGCAGCCAGGGTCATATCGAGATAGGCAGACATGGAATAAGCTTGAGGTAATGCGAAAAGTAACGAAATGCGCTAGTATTGGCTGACAATATGTCCGAACAAGTCGAAATGTATGTTGGTGAATGGTTTGATGCTACCAGTCATGCCGCGACAGCAACAGCCTCAGAATGCGCATCTGCCTATGCCTTCAGGAAAGACCATGCAGTGCATGTCCAGACTCAGATAGGACAGGAAATAGGAGTTTGAATCGGTTTGAAATTTTTGAAATGTCGTTCCTGATCAGAGGTACTTACGTTGCGTGCGGGCCTGCCTCATCAGCACTGGTGAATACCTCGTCTCTATCACCAGTGAATGTTCTTTTGCTCCCTTCGCCTGAGCGCCATATTCTCTAACCGTGGCATGGTATTTACAGTCCGAAAAAGTATCGTGATATACACTTTAGAGCTCCTCGGTCTTGAGGAAGTAGCGGTTTTCGACCTTACGCATGAGCTTATTGGTCTGTTCCGCCAAGCTAAGAGTGAGGATCTATAACATTGTCAGCAAGATGTATATGAAGGGCTTGTTACAGTGGCAGGAAATGCATGGGTTGCGAAGATGCATGCAGGACCACGCGCAATCTTCTTGCGTATAAGGTTCCGAGCACATGCTCCACCTCCGCACAGTTGCTTGGGTAATGGGGGATGTACTCACAGTATGGGGCAATATTCTTGCCAAATGAGCGAAAAAGCCCTTGTAGACAGCCAAGAAGCCCTCGGTCTTGACTGTACGGAACAAACAATCGAATGCGCTGTTGTAGAGGTTGCCAGTCTGGTTGTACATGCGGCTCATGACCGTGTCGGGAGGATGCATGACGCAGCAGACGACGAATCCAGACGCGGTACTGCTAGCCAGATGCAGAGCTGGGCCTTCTTCCATACCCAGGTGCCTGACAAGCCGTCTCTTTGCGAAGAAGTATGTGGGGAGTTGGACTGAGCTTCCGAAACCGGTGCGGACCATAGCTGGCCCAACACCGCGGTAGAGGCCCTTCACGCCCTCGCCCTTGTAGATCTGTCTCATACCATCCCACGCATTCTTGTAGTGGTGCTGAGTGCCAACCGGAAGGAAAGGCGAGAAGGATTGTAGACGAGTCTTGACCAGGAAGAAAGGCGATCCAGCGGCAGCGCCCAAGATGCCGGAAGTAGCGCCGGAGAAGATATTAATGCCAAATGATTGGACATTTGCGTCATGGTAGAGGAGCTTGGTCAAGTTGCCGCGGATTGGCTCGTAGAAGCCGAGACGGCAACCATTGAGGGTCATTTGATAGATGTACTGTGCGTTGGCATGTTAGCTCTCGCAATGACGCTCTTCCGCTGCCGGCAACTCACGGCGCACGAGAGACCACGGAACAAGCCCTTGGGGCCCTCATTCTTCACGATAGTCGCGACACCATGCAAAACGCCGCGATACATCTTCGGGGCATCTTTCTTTGCCTGCAGTTCTCCCTGCAACTGTAACCTGAGCCGGGGGTCAGCTGCGGCTACTCCGGGAACGAGAAGGCTGGCCGGCGCACCGAATCTTTACGGTCTCAAAGCTGTGAGTGACGGTGACGGCGCCGCATGCGGCAATGCCGCCTGCTATAAACGAGCTGATAGACAGTCAGCGCCAAAGTTGTACTTGAGGGTGGGTGGCTCTTACCCCAAAGTGGTGGACATGGCTGGTCGCGCCCTGTGCTTTCGCTCTCTGCGCCGGAGAACCGGGTGAAGTTGGGATGGCGAACGTCAAGCTGCCCTCCGGCGAGAGTGCGCAGGCAATTGAGAAGTGTTTGAGGGGGGAGATTGATTGCTGAGGGCGGTGATGAGCTGCGTTGCTTACGTAGCACGAAATATTCGACGGCTGCTTGGTAGATGCCCTGCATGCCCCGGCATCGGAGCCCAGAGCTCGGCCAAATGATCGCCCCCGCGCGTCCGTGCGCCTTTGAATTGCTTCATCGCGCCGCGAGCTTCTCAAACACCGCGACAGCCCGCAGCCGACACGCCACCACACCACCAACACACCCTCGCGCCCGCTCCGAAAGCGGTGCAGCTTCCAGCAGCCTGTCGCGCAATGCGTTGAACGCCACCTCTGTCTCCACTACTCACTATGGCCGCCGGGGGCACACCGACAAACTCCGGAGCTCCGCAAACTCAAAAGGTCAGCGAAATTGTCGCAGGGTTCCGGCCGACTCGCTGCTTTCGCGCGGACAACAAAGAAACGTCGGTGACTTCACTTGACTTTGACGATTCTGGTGAGCTGGCTATCGTCGCCCGCGACGACGACACCCTTCAGATATACAACTGCAAGGAAGGCAAGCACGCAAAAGAGCTAAAAAGCCAAAAGTACGGCGTGCACCTCGCCCGCTTCACACACCACGCGCAAAGCATCATTTACGCCAGCACAAAAGTCGACGACGGCATCCGTTACCTCTCAACGCACGATAACTCGTACATTCGCTACTTCAAAGGGCACACGGATACAGTGACTTGCCTAGCACTGAACCCATCCAACGACACTTTCGTTTCCTGCTCGCAGGACAACACTGTACGGCTATGGGCCCTGAATTCTCCCAATAGCCAGGGCTTGCTCAAGCTGCACGGACCTTACCTTGCGGCCTATGATCCCTCTGCCAGCGTCATTGCCATCGCATCGCCCCCAACTCAGACAATCCTTTTGTATGACGTGCGCAATTTCGACAAGCCACCGTTTGCAACTTTCGACCTGCACGAGATGGAACAGCAGTACACGCCCGGATCTGTGGGACGCACTTGGGCGAAGCTGGAATTCTCAAACGATGGAAAGCACCTCGTGCTCGGCACTACTGGAGGTGGACACTTCGCGCTGGACGCTTTCGAGGGCAGCCTCAAACACTTCTGCCTGAGGGATACGGGCACTTCTGGGCGTCGCGCTGCGGGCGAATACGCTGCACCTGGAACAGTGGCAGGCCAAGGTGACACCTGCCTTTCCCCAGATGGCCAGTTCTTGATCGGTGGCTCGGGCGACGACGGTTTGCTTGTGTGGGACTTGCACTCGAAGCAGTCTGCTGACCGCATTCTCCGACCCATTACGGACCTTCCTGGACCTGGCAAAGCAGCTGTGGTGGGATACAACCAGCGCATGAACCTACTGTGTACTGCTGATAAGGACTTTATGATCTGGCTGCCAGATCCGGACGCGATGTGAAGCTAGCATTTAGCCACATGAGCAGACAGCGTTATCTCTTCACCATGGATTAGCATTTACGGTGTTTGCTTTATTGAGAGGGCGCAGAGGGAAAAGGATTATCAGGGAGAAAGTCAGTCGGAATTAGAGGCGCAATAATACCCGAAAATGTACCAATACGATTCTTCATAGTAGAGACGCAATTGAGGCGCAAGACTCGGTGGTGACGTGAGCGCTGGACTTCTGCCCGGACTGTGCAAAGACGTGGCCAGCAACGGCGGAGCACAAATACCAGACGCGCAGCGGAGCTTCCCCGAGCACACCGCGCACCCACGTCAACCCCACGATGGTCTCCCTTGCCCAACGATGAGCGCCTCACAACCCTACAAATCAGCCCAAGATGCGGCGGCACACCAGCAGCAGCGCTCCCTTACCTCGGGGCTACGCTACCCCTCCAACCGCAAGACCATCTACGACCGCAATCTGGGCCGCAGCAAGAATGCGGAGCTCAGCCGCGCCGCCTTCGCCTACCTCTTCGTCGAGATGATCACCTACGCCCAGAGGAAAGTCACCGGCGTCGCCGACCTAGAGAAGAGGTACGGCAGGCTCCGATTGCCCACACACCTTTCCCTCCACCACCAGCACTGAAAAAGGCTCATCTGTTTTCCGCAAAACGAACAGGCTCAACAGCCAGGGCTACCCGCTGGGCCTCAAGCTGCTCGACCTCCTCTCAGCGCGATCGCCGGTCGCGGGCGCGCTGACGGCGAACCCGAACCCGACGCGGCCGACGCGCGTGCTGGCGCTGCTGCAGTTCATCACGACGACGCTGTGGAAGCACCTGTTCAACCGGCCCGCCGACGCCCTCGAGCGCTCCGCCCAGGCCGCCACCGACTACATGATCACGGACAACGCCCCGCTCGTTGTCGAGTACGTCAGCACCCCGCGCGAGATGAGCTCGCTCAACGTCGCCGCCTTCGTCGCCGGCGTCGTCGAGGGCGTGTGCGATGGCGCCGGCTTCCCGACCAAGGGCGTCACGGCGCATTGGGTCGATGATGGTTCTGCGAGCAGCGGTGGTGCGGCGGCAGGTGGAGCGGAAGGCGAGGCGGGTGCGGGTAGGGAGATGTGGCCGAGCAAGACGATATTCTTGATCAAGTTTGACGAGAGGGTCATTGAGAGGGAGGAGATTTTGGAGCCGCCGAAATAATTGCTGGGGAGGGGACCTGGTGGGGTGGATTGAAGATGGACGGTAAAGTTGGGAAATCAGATACCCAGAAGAGCCAACGATACTTCTTTCTGGCATGGCGTGGGCGTTTTGTGTGTGAGACACAGGCGGCGTTTTTTTGGACCGTATATTACCGAACGAGTTGAAGATGGTTCGGTTTCTCTCCATTTGAATTAGAAGAAAATATACTGATAGCTTCACGCAGGTGTTTTCAGTGTGTGTAACAGGTATGATAGAGCCTGGTAAATATTATCCGCTACTTTGATTGCCCAGGTCTGGTTAGCTCTGGCATGATGTTGTGCATTGCAGCGGACTACTCTTCATCAGAGTTGCTCATGGATTTGTTTGATCAGAAGTCGAACAGGGCAGAAAATTTAGGACAAAATTCAAACTAAGCTTTCTGTAGTAATATCAAATGTTCTCGGGGTACAGCTATCTAGCTTACATTTAAATCAGATCGAGGTCTTGTAGCAGTATCGCATGGCTGTCCTTATCGATTTTTGGTAAGGGGAGTGACTGCGCGTCGGATAACCTGGTACGAGCCAATTACAGCAATTCCAAGGGAGGACAAATTGAACTGAAGGGCGCAAAAACTGACATGAAGGGCGTGTCGACTTGGGCCACTGAAAACCTCCGTCCTTCCTTTTCTAGACTACTCTTGCATGACTCATCGCCTCCCACCTATGAAAAAAGTACTTTTAAGCCTTCGAATGAGCTGTTCATTTGGATAAACCAATATCCTTTGCCAGTACTCAAGATCCAGCCAATGGCGTCATCTCCCTCCCAGACTACCTCCTCAACCCGAATTGAACTTTTTACTGCAGCAGACCTCTCGGCACGGCCTGCGTTCCTCCATATCCTCGTTGAATTAGTCAACCTTGCATTTTCTGGCAAGGATGGTTTTCCAGTGCCACGCTTCCTCTCCGATAACGAGCTCATAGAGAGCCTCGGCAAAGAGGGTCTCTGTGCCGTGATGTTCGACGGAGCAACGGATGAACCGATAGCAACGGCATCGACGAAGCTTTGGGGGACAAGTCTGGTAAGGCAGAATGAAATGATACTCAAGAACGCAATTGCTGCTCTGTTTTACAAAAATAATTCAGGCCGCTGATGAAGCAAAAATGCAGGCCCATACAGACTTCGAACTCTCAACCGTTGCCGCGGTACGCGGTCTGCGCGGTAAAGGCTTCGCGGATCAATGCGTCCGAGCGGTTGAGCTGGCGACGGCCACGAGAGAGGGAAGAGAAGCAACGAGCGAGAAGGAGCTTACGCTGTGGCTCAGGACCATTGAACACCATAACGGCGCGTATTGGACCAGGCGCGGCTTTAAGATTGTAGAATCTTGTGTTGGGCCCAAGGGAATGTGGGGCGCAGAGCGAGAGTTTGTGGTGTTGACTATGAAGCGGCCAATAGCCTCAGCGTAGACTGAGATCCACGAGGTTTGGTTAACGTCTGCAGGTGTTTGTCGAGATGCTTCACAGCCCTGAAGAGATACAAGAGAGAGAGTAAATGAACTAGATTGAATATGGAGAACCCGATATGAGGGCCATACTTAGGATCGCCTGGTGTTCCGGGATTTCTCACTTGCTCATCTGAGAGCGCAGCATCCCGAATCTTACTGTCCCATTTCCAGAATGGCTTCATCGTATCTCTTGGTTGGCCCTGAGGAATTCCAGTAGCAATGATTTCCAACCTATCTATAAGTGCTCGCTAATAACATGTACGTCCGATACTTTTTTGATACCTGGATCGTGGAAGGTAAACCCGTAACTCCTTGTCCCTTACTGCTTACAGCTTGCACAGAATCCCACTCGAAGTAAGAACTGAAAGGTGCGATTTGTTGATTTCATTGACAGACCGACATCTGAATACTTAATATTAGGAAAGACTTTCAGTGTTCGTGAAGGAGTTAGCACTTACCCTGCAAGCGCCATCGTAATCTTGAATTCATTCATCAAGATTTTGATGCCCAGCTCCACGCCTTCTTGGCCCTTGTACTGTTTGTAAGGTTAGTATCAAAACGAAATTTATGAAAGTAGTGAGAGTGTACTGACCGCTAGGCCCCACAATGCCATTCTTCCTACGAAGCAGTAGTCCGCACCGAGCGCCAGCGCCTTGAAGATGTCCGAACCCCTGCGGATGCCACCATCCACTGCGATCGGTATTTTGCCCTTCGCTGCGGGGGCACACTCCCGTAGTGCATCGAGCGTAGCAGGCACGCCGTCGAGTTGGCGTCCGCCATGGTTGGACACAACAACACCGTCGACGCCATGGCGGATAGCGAGTACGACATCATCGGCCGTGTTCACTGCCAACAAGTGTCAACTTAATTTCCGCAAGAAGGCTGGAATAGCTCCCCAACTCACCCCCCTTCAGCCAAATTTGCATCTTTGTGTGTTTTCTCAGCCACGGGATTGCTGTCTCCCACTCCAAGGTTGCATCTTTAATGCAAAGTCAGCCCAAATCTATGATGCATAATATTTTGGACCAGAGCTCTTTTCCCGTACCATAGTCATGTCTTCCACCAAGATCATCATTGCCTTTGGATAGAATATTTGGGTATGCCATGTCCTCCGGAAGCACGAACTTGTTCCTGAACTCGTTGAGGCGTAGACCGAGCACGGGGACATCTACGGAGAGGAATAGCGCCTTGTAACCCGCAGCTGTACAGTTCGGGGAGAATCAGCCACCAACGCCTTATTTCGCAGAGCATGAGGAGCGACAATGGAGCAGTCTTACCTTCTGCCCGCCTGAGGAGCTGCAACGTGATCTCCCTGTCCTTCAGAACGCACATCTGCATGACGTACGGGTTACCCGTGCCTTGCGCGGCGACATTTTCGAGGCTCTCAGTCGCGTACGATGACAGGCCCATGCAGATGCCGTTTTTTGCGGCGGCACGAGACGTTGCGAGCTCACCGTCCGGGTGTGCCAGCCGGTGCATGGCCGTCGGACTGAGGCCGAGCGGAAATGAAACCTGCATGTTGTTTTTGTTGTCAGTTCCGCGTATTCCGTACAGTCGATTTGCGGGGAAGACGCACTTTCGTCCCAAATATGTGTGTTGAAATGTCGACTGTGTCAACGTTTACGAGGATGCGTGGCCGGATCTTGTAGCGGTTGTAGGCTTCTTCGTTCTCGCGCAGGCTGGAGGATAACAGTCAACACAACACTACGGGGCAGTCCTCGCAATAGTCTACCTTATCATGTCCATTGCACCTTCATTGTAGTAATCTATCATTTGATTACTAGTGATTAGAAAATGTCTTTGATATTAAGAACACAGCCGTACCTCTGTACATCTTTGGCAGCTTACTGCTGCCAATCTCCTTGAGGTCACTAATAGTGAAGACATGAGGATCGAGTGTAAGGCCACGATTCGCCATATTGGTTCAAGAATATGGAATACTGCTATGAGCAGGGGAAAGAATTAAAACAAAAAAACCGAGTAGCCCGCTGCAGGTCCTCGAAGCCTGCCGTCATGATTATATCAACTCCCACTTTCGAGCGACATGCCCATAAGGCGCATCTACCAACATCGTAGGGCGTCGCTATGGCTTACCTAGCGCGATAGTGTTGATAGCGTTACCCCGGACTTCGCGGCTAGATGCGGCGCGTCGGCTCGGGGTTGCCTTCCCGTTCCTGCCTCTGCAAAGGTACCCGCCGAGGGTCGGGCCGTCCTCGATCATCATCAAATTATAGAGCTTTAGCTATCAGAACATCTTGGAAAAGGGTCTCTAGTAATATTTCCGCAATTTTGGATTACAAAACCCAAAGATTGTAACCGGGACGTTGAAGTGATGCCTATCAAAATTCCCAGCTTCAAGACGGTGAGCTCAGGTATCTGGTCGAACCCACTTTCTTATCAGCGCGCGTGTAGAGCATACAAAGCCCTAACATATGCGTGTGCACCTCAATCTTCCAATCAGTGGGGCTAAATATAATGAAGACCCAAAGGACTGGGTCATTACCGAATCTTTTACAGCTCACTCGTCACGCCGACCGGACCATTCCCCGCATTGCCGGTATGGACTCCCATTTCGAGACGTGAAGATGAATCCGGAACAACGCGGACGGCAACAACGCACTCTTTTCTCTCTTTACGTCCACATTGGAGCATGGGGCCCTTCGCCGAGCTGTTTGATTCCCACCGTAAGGAGATGCTCTTCGCGTATAGTGGAATCTGTTCCATCCATGGCGACAGTCTCACCCCACTGTCAGTCTATACTGGAGGCAAGCGGAATCAGCAGATAAACAGCACGTAGAAGCAGAATTTGAAATACGCACAAATAATACGATTTCCTGGGCTATTCTTGACGCCTTTGATCTCTATGTCTATGAGCATTCAAAGACGATCGTGCACACCCTGTTCTGAAAGCCCCCATTCGAATTACGCCATTTCCAACAACTCCCCACCATCTCTATCCTTCTGACCCGAAAAAAGAATCGCACCAACACACAAAAGCCCCTTCTCTACGGCAAAATCATGAAGCTCTTCTGCTGCAACACCCTCTCCGACCACGCCAACCCCCTCCCCCCCAACCTCCTCTCCGCCTGCCGCGCCGCCCACACATCCGCCGCCACATCCGCCGCGCGATCGAAACTCCTCAAGCCATACCTATCCGCACACCCGCGCATCCAAGCGACGATGTCGGCGAAGTCGGCGTGGTCGAGGGCCTCGGCGGCGGCGATGAAGCCCGGCCACAGCACGCTGGCCGACGCGACGCCCTGGGCGATCTTGCGGCCCTCGAGCGCGAGCAGGTGCGCCTTGACGGTCTTGACGTGGTGCTGTAGCGTGAAGCGGTTGATGTCGCGCACGTCGCGGTAGAAGAAGATGATGAGGGCGGCGTGGAAGGCTTGCGCGGCGTGGTCTTCTTCTTCGGTGGCGGCGGCGGCTTCGTTGGTGGTGGTGTTGTTGTTGCTGGTGTAGTTGGCGGGCGTTGGGGATGGGGATGATGAGGGGGATGATGATAGTGACGATGATGACGATGATGGCGAGGATGATGGGGATGACGAAGGAGTTGTTGCGGTCTCTTCAGGCAGCTGCTGCTCCTTCGTCCACCCGCACAGCAGATCCTCGACGACCTTGCAGCGCTTGCGGTAATCCTCGTCGAAGCCGGCCCAGGGGTGACCTCCGCGCGCGCGCACCTGGCGCATCTCGCAACACAGGTAGGTGATGTGCGAGCTGAGCACGACGAGGCTCTCGGGAATGCCGTAGGTGCGAGCGAATAGCGGGCGCAGCGCGGGGCCAGAGCGCTCGAAGAAGTCGTCCAGCTCACGGAAGTTGGCGGGCACGCCGTCCTCGACGCTCCCGCTGAACCACCGGTGCGCCGCTAGCGATGGGTATCGCGCCGAGCTGGGGTGCGCGTTGGGCGAGAGGTGGTTGTGGAAGAACTCGCTGTTGGCCGAGATGGGGTAGACGAAGGTGGCTTCCTCCATGATGCGCAGGTACAGGAACATGGCGTGCAGCATCTGCACTTTGCGCGAAGGGTGCTTTTTGGATATTCCACGCACGTGGATGAGGCGCTGGGCATCGAGGAGGTGTTTTCGTGCGTCGACGAGTTTACCGTTGGTAATCTTGTTCGTGTCAGCGTTGTTCAGCCAAATGGAGGAACTGATGACTTACACAGGCCGTTACCAAGGTGAGAAGTGCCATTAGAAGAACTTTGTACTTCGCCCGTTTAGGACCAACAACCTCATGGCGCAAGCTGAGCTGTATGTGGGCCATTGCCTTTGCTTGGTACGTTTCCGCAATCTTCCACCAATACCCGGCGCCAGCTTCAGCTCCCGATAGCCTGTCGAGGTGGAACGCGCTAATCACCATAAGTGAATAAAGCAATGACAAGCTTGCTGCGCTGGGATCAGCTCGCAGGGTGAGTTGGCCAACAGTCTTTAAAGCTTCCGGGAAATAGAGCGTCTGCCATGGAGATTTCCCGTTTGAGGTGGGAGAGGCGACCTTGACAAAATCGTTCATGAAATGAGAGAGTAAAAGATGCTCTTCTGGCGAAATTGGAGAGGCCGATCCTGTAGGGATTGCCAATGCTTGGGGAGATAATGGAGAAAATGCGAATTGCATAAAGTCTGTTCTGTCCTGAGCGCTTGGATAGTGTTGTAGTTGATCAAGAAATGCGTTTTGGTCCTCGGGTGGAAATAGAAACGAGATGGAAGTAAGATCGTCGTGCTGCAAGGCTGTGGTAGTATCAAATGCGGAAGCGTCGTGCTGATCAGGTGCCTTATTACTGCCTGATGAAGACGGCGGTGACGGCACGATTGATGACTCTTGAAGCAACTGCACTTCCGGGTCGACCTGAAACGGCTCTATGTCGGCGAGAGGGTCATCCATGAGGCTGGGAAGAGCCTCCTGCTGGGATTCATCGCGCCGAGTAACAGTGTCCAGCTGAAATACGGTGAAAGGCCCCTCGATTACCGTGTCCTCTCCGGCTATGGCCCGCTCTTCCATTTGGAGGACATTCGATCTGTAGTCAACATCGGCACTGGTAACAAGCTCTCTGCACATTGCTCTCCTCTCGGCATCTTTAGCGTTTGGTCAGCTCCACCTTGGGAAGGCAGAATAAGGTGGAGCGGGGAAGTGGCAAATTACCAGAGAACAGCAGTCTTCTGCATTGCCGTGTGTCCTCGGGTTCGCGTGGTGCCAACTCATCACCGAAGAAAGAACTGGCGAGACCGAGAGGTTGAGTCCATTGGATGAGCGATTCGTAGCCCTCACAGTCCAGGCTCAGTCGTTCGCAAACACGGCAGCGGGGTCGCTCTTGGTCACATTTTACGTGGCGACGGCGACAAGTTCGACAGCCTCCAAAGCTTCTTGTGCGTCGAGTTTGGCGGCTCGATTTCGACATTTCTGATGTTTTGGGAGAACGCGGTAGTTGGGGAGGGAACGAAGAGATAGACGATTCGGTCACTCGCTCGCGTCCCCGCCCTATTGATAAGACACGCCGAGGTCCCGCCGTGTGGGGAACTAGCTCCAAACGGCTAATCTGGTCAAAGTGTCACTCAATCGGGTTCCTTCCTTGTCATCGTCTCCACAGTATGCTTCGTATCAAGATTTCTTGGGTCAAGCCATGCTTTGAGATGACATGAAGTCCTACCAGTCCCACAGAGCTCATTCCACGTCCTCTGCAAACGGACACGCAAGCGCGCAAGAAATTCGTCTTTTTTTTACTCTCCATTTCCTCTTCCTGCAAAAGCCGTATCAAGAAGGGATATGATATAGGTTCACTGAATGTCTTTCACTTTGATAGAGAAATGGTCAACACTCAGATACGTCCATATTACTCATTCCTCTCCCTGGAACCGTTCGCTTCCCACACGAATACACTTCCATCAATCCCCGGAACATGACCAACTCACCAAATCCTAACCAGATATCGATCATCTAGCTTCCAAATGCCGGCTCCTGCGTCGCGCCATCCACCGGCTTGACATAGCTCAGCCTATCCTTGCAGTAGAACTCGACTCCGATCGCATGGTCCTTCGCGCCGCCGTCGAGGCCGCCGCTCTTGATGATGGTGACGTCGGGCATGATCTCGAGCTCGGCGTAGAGGCCGGAGCCGCAGTTGCCGCAGAAAAAGTGGCGGTTGATCTTGCCTGATGCGCCCTTGGCGTCGTAGGTGAAAGGGTGGCCCTTGGTGACCTTGAAGTTCCACCGGTTGACGATGACGTTGGAGGTGTAGGCGCCGCCGGTCTGATGTTTGGTTAGTGAGGAGGATTCAAGATGACAGTGAGTGCGTGAGGGATGAAAACGTGAGATTTCATATTGTATTGAGACCGGACAGTGAGGACACAAAGACATTTTGTATGATTTAGTGAAGGCGGAATCCGGAGCGAAAGAGTGAACGGATCAAAAGGACCAGAAGTGAAATGCATTGATGCGGGAGGTGGAGGAAAGTCTTGATTAACACCACACACGTGGTGAAAGTTTGTTTCATTCGACAATACATACCCACTTGTGGCAATCGACGCAATGGCACAGGGCGGTGGCATTGGGCTCGCCTATTGGAAAGGGTAATCAAGTTAGCTGAATTCTAAAGGAGAGAGCGATGGTAACGATTGGCAGAAAACATACCCTTGAACTCGTAGTTGATAGCGCCGCACATGCAGCTGCCCTTGGTCACGCTGCTGGCGCTGAAGTGGTTCTTGAGACTCTGCAGACGGTCCGCCATTTTGATTGGTCTAGGCACAGTACAAGCCGGTCGGTACTAGGACGTGAATGAGGGAACTTCACACCTTGATGGACGGGGCCTGCGGGGAGCGATATATATAAGAGCATGCCCAAGCCCCCCTCGATCCACACCGACCCGGCTCCTCTTCGTCTCCCGTCATCTACGCATCCATTGGCGCGATAGGCCAAGCGACAGACCACAATTTGACCGATCACTGGGATTCCTTCTCTCTTTGCTTCTGAGCTTCAGCCCCGCATGCTGGGGCGGCGGGACCAGTAACGTCAGCCATGCGGAGGCGACTAAACTGGTTCTGGTGCTGGCCCTGGTCTACCCCGCGGTGCTCGAACGCTTCCTTTTCTCCACAGAGGTCAAGGATGAGCTGTCTAATCCCCGTTTTCCGGTGCGGGGGTCCTCAAACCACGAATAACGGCTTCGAAGCATGTTGCGGAAGGACCGGTTGCGGAAAAGCGGATGTGCAGGACGCAGGAAAGAGCCGGGAAAGGACGGGAGAATTGACGATGTGTCTATTCGCTGATTTCCTCTACTCAAACTGCCCCTTCTCTTTTTTCTTGAAATGGTTGACATCGCTACAGATAGCAACAATATGCGCGCCGATTATCGGCCCACGCTTTGCTCGCCCAACGACGTCCGCAAAATCTACCCGCAATGCGCAAAAGAATCCACTTCGGAGCGACGACCCCGCACTCCAGGCCCCACCTATGTAACTGCCAATTCCCCTCCGAAATTCACTCAGTGATTCCGCACCCCTGCCTTTGCATCATCAAACCGACTCAGACCGTCCGTGGCGTCCGCCAGTAGCGTCCTGTGCAGCGGCTCGTCGCCAATCTCAGTCATTTTCTCGTCCAGCAGCCGAGTCATCCGTTTCACGACATCCTGGTACTGCGGGTCGCGGTAGACATTGAAAAGCTCCAGCGGGTCGCTCTCGCAGTCAAACAGCTCCCATTCCCTCTCCTGGCCGCCCGCGCCAGTGCCGGATAGCCCGAAGCCTTCGTTGTACCAGTAGATCAGCTTGTATCGCTGGTCGCGCACGCCGTAGTGCGCGTACGCGTCGTGGATGGGATCAGCGTGCATCCAGTACCTGTGGTACGCCACCTGCTGCCAATCCTCGGGCGTGCGACCCTGTAACAGAGGCCGGAAGGAGACGCCCTGCATGTATGTAGGGATGCGGATGCCAGCGAGGTCGAGCCAGGTGGCTGCGAAGTCGACGTTGCTGATGATGTCGTTGCAAACGCTTCCTGGCGCGATCTCGCGCGGGAAGCGCGCCAGGAAGGGCATCTGGAAGGACTCTTCGTACATGAAACGCTTGTCGAACCAGCCATGCTCACCCAGGAAGAAGCCTTGGTCCGAGGTGTAGATGACGAGCGTGTTCTCCTTGAGCTCTAGGTCGGCGTCGAGGAAGTCCAGAATTTCGCCAACGCTGTCGTCAATTGACTGGATGGTACGAAGATAGCGCTTCATATAGCGCTGAAACTTGAACTCGGCCAGTTCTGCTTTCGTCTTGAACGTATAGTTGGTACCAGTCTCCTTATCGATCAGACGCAGGCTTGTCACATCGTCTGGGTTGGGAATTTTGCGCTCCCAATAGCCCTTGAACAACGACGCTCCGACATCGAGCCCCCCATCCGGTTGGACCAGGCCCAAATCATTGTAAGTCAGGTCATCGGCAACGCGCATTTTGGCGACCTTGGCCGCCTTCGCACGGTTCTTGTAGTCGTCGGTAAAGGTGTCAGGGACCTTGATGTCCTCCTCATACCATGATTTGTACTTGGGGTGGCATTCCCAAGACCGATGTGGGGCCTTATGGTGGCACATGGCGAAGAAGGGACGGTCCTTGTCTCGCTTCTGGATCCAGTCGAGCGTCTTCTTCGTGATGATCTCGGTTGCGTAGCCGCGCTCTACTACGGACTCGCCCATATCAATCATGACTGGGTCGTGGTAGGCGCCCTGGCCGGGAAGAACGGTCCAGTAGTCAAAGCCGGTCGGTTCGTGCGGTGTGCCCTCTCCCAAATGCCACTTGCCAATCATGGCCGTCTGGTAGCCGCCAGCTCGCAACTGCTTTGCAACATTGGGCAGATACTTGTTGATCTTGCTGTCCAGTGTCATGACGCCGTTGACGTGGTTGTGAGTTCCCGTCAGAATGGTAGCGCGGCTGGGGGTACAAATCGAGTTTGTGACATAGCAATGGTTGAATTTGATGCCCTCGCTCGCCAGCCGATCCATGTTTGGTGTTTTGTTGATACCAGCGCCATAGCAACCAATTGCTTTGGCAGCATGGTCATCTGCCATGATGAAGATGATGTTTGGTTGTTTCGCAGCCATGGTGGGCAATTGAGACGTGGGGCGAAAGGTTCAAGGTACGAAGGAGGAGAGAAGCCGGAGAAGCTGCGATGAGGAAGACATTCGAGGCGGGCAGCCAAGACTTTATGGGCGATTCAATGGCCGGTGTAAAATTCGCTCTGGACAGTCGGGTGATGGGTATGTAGAGTGCCTGGGTGGGGTTGCAATTGCCGGTGTTGAGCCGCACTTCCCTGTCCAGGCAAGCGCCATCCTCTCAAACGCGGCCGCGTCTTTTCTCACGCGTCGTTGTTGCTCACTTTCCCTCCGCCTGCTGACGTGCTTTTCAAACGCCATCACGCAATATCGTTCACTTCCCATTCCAGTATCCACAAATTCTTTCATATCTGGCCAAGCGCCTCGACGCCTGAGGGCTCTGCACCAGCGTGAGCGAAAGATGGCCAATTTGTCTCTTCGCCTTACCCCTCATTATCGGCGCATCATGACCCTGGCTTCGGCTAATGCCCGCATCCACGAGTTGCTTCAACTACCAATGCCGAGGGTTTAATCCGAACGCTGTCAGCTGCACTATGATCACAAGTTTCAGGCCACCGGAAAAGACCACCTGTCCGTCCACTGGCCACTTTCCAGCACCTCTTGTGTCAGAGTCGATGTTTGCTCTCTAAGAATGCCTGCTGGTCCTCTCACCTTGGCAACCGATCTGTATCACAAGCCTAATCCCGCTCCAATTTTACTCCGTTCCGCAACACTCGCCATATCTCCGACAACAAATGCCCACGTCGGACTTAACAAAATCACAAACACCCGGGCTTCATTGGTACCATTCAAGCTGCAAACGTCTGCTATCAAGTCACTCTTTAGCCAGCGCTGAGTCTCCAATGGAATATCATCACTGGTAACCTTTGCATGCTTGATCGCCAGCCAGATCTTTCCATGGCCAGTCCATGGCAGGTAGTTTGCGGCTTTTGCTAACACCATGCACTAATGGACAGATCCACTACGCAGGTTACCTGTTACCTATGCCAAACTCTTGTTGCGTGATCTTGCATTCAGATCCATCGCTGATCTCGTTACGCTCCCAAACCCAGCCACTAATACTGTTATTTCACGCAAGTTGTACTATGAACATACACGACTGCTCTCATCTGCCACAGAATCAGGCTTCATAGTACATATACTCAAGGTAAGCAACCCCTACCTTAAGCACTGAATAATCTTGACTGACCCTGACTTAGACCCAAAATAAATAGGAAGAGATTCATTGCGTCAATGCGAACGAAAAGGAAAAAAGACAATTCCGAAGTTTTTGCTGTATTCGCTATGGCTTCACATTTGGAAATAAGCAAAACAACCAGCACTGACAGACGATTTGAAACTAGGCGACGATACAAAACGCGCGCAGTACCTGCCCAGTATCATTCAATCAGCGGACCTATGAACTAAAGCTCCCTCAAGCTTTGAATTAACCTTCTTCATTGTCACGTGTGAAGGAAGCCTATCTTCGCAGTACATCGACCCGGGCCTTTCCCACTACACGGCTTATCCTATTACGGTTGCTTTTTCTGAGGCTTATCGGGTCCACGAATCGGAGCGGCGACTGCTTGCCAAGCTATGCATCCCCTTCGAAGGACAACTGTCGGCTTACACTTCCGGCTACCCTCCCCCCGAAGTCCCCGAAGCCCCCGAGCGACTAGCTCTGCTAGATTGTTCTAGACGCGGGGAACTGAACAGCCGGTCCCCTACCGAGATCCACCTGAGCACGGACTTCAGCTGAGCTTTGTTGGGGGCCTTTATCTAGTCTTACTACTAACCCTTTTCCAACGTAGCTTACGTGGTTGAAAAGATGGCAGACCACCATCTTTCATTACCAGAATGAGGCTTTCATCTTCATGTCGTCCGCCTGCAGATCGAACAGGCTATGAACGGACCATGTGTTCGGGGCAGGCTGATCACAAGTTCTTACATACTCGTATCAACTTCAGTGTACGGAAACGATCAGGGCTTCATCATCGGTTTCACGCAGCCGGATTCTGCAATTGATCGGCGGGGGCATCCTTTTGAAGACGGCTAAGCTTTGGTAGGGAAACATCGATTGGTTCACCACCAACCAGTCTGTGCGCGCCATCACGGCACTTTTCGCCTCGTCTTTCAGCCTCCTTTTCCTCTATACCACGCCAAGAGCATGATTCGACTGTGCCCCGCCATCACCACTTTGATGACTCGTTCCTTCGGACTTCTGTCTATTTTGCCCCTAATGGAAAGCGTCGCATTGGAGGGCCGGCCAATAGCGGCACATTTGGTCCTCTTCCCCGACGATCTCCACATTTTTCGCCTCACCGCGCCGCAGGAAGCCCGGAGTTACGACCGTTGCATATATTTACGGGCTGCTCCAGACGCAACGGTGGCAGTGTTTAGTTCCCCAACACCATATCGATAAGCTGATCAACATTCGCGATGTTCGGACGCACGAACGATCCACTCATCATCGCACCGCTGGAGCAAGCCGGCCATCGAGGATACGCGAGGCCGATCCTCTGCTTTCCGCTCAACCCCAGCTACGACCAAGATGAGGTGGTGCGAGTTTTACGAGAGGGCTTGGAAGCGACCAAAGAGCAAGTTCCGTACCTCGCAGCAGAGGTAGTTCGAGTGGATGAGCCCGAGGCTAAGCAGAAAGGCTGCCTCACGCTAGAAGAGACGGACGATTTGGGCGAGCTACACGTGAAGAAATTGGACAAGAGCGAATTCCCCCTCAGCTACGACGAATTCCGCGCGAAGAACTTTCCGATCAACCTCCTAAAGCAGGACGTCGTCAGCCCGTTGCCCCTCTTCCCTAAGGAAGGCGACCGGGTCCCCGTCTTTGCGGCGCAAGCCAACTTCATCGAGGGCGGGCTGCTGCTAAGCATATGCAGCTACCACCTCGTTGCCGACGGCTTCTCAATAGCAAAGTACTTCCAGATCTGGGCGCAGAACTGCCGCAAGCTGCAGACGAGCACCAGCCGCGACTCCGTCTTCCTCTCGTCGTCAGCCTTCGACAGCGCGCCGCTGTTCTTCGGTCACCTGTCGGATCCGAATAAATGCGACATCAAGCACCACTCGGAGCTCGTCCTCAACGATACGTCGCTGCCGCAGAGTGTGCGCATCCCCTCGACACAGCGCAACTTCTGCGCACGCATCTGGCACTTCACCCCCGACGCGCTCTCACGACTGCGCGTCGACGCCAGCGTGCCGGGCCAGCCCAAGGTGAGCGCCGAAGAAGCGGTGGCGGCGCTGATATGGCGCTGCACCGTTGCGGCGCAGCTCTCCCCCGACGCCGTGGCCGCGTCCCCACAGCAAATCTCCCACGCTACCCTAGCCATCTCCAGCCGCATGCGCACCTTTCCCCCCTTGGCCCCCGACTACATGGGCTGCCCGCTCGTCTACGCATCAGCCGCGGCGCCCCTGGCCGACCTCGTGCACCGAAGCGAGTCGGACGAAGCGGCCGAGGCCGCGCTGCTGCAGACGCTCGCGCGCAAGGTCAAGAGCGAGATCGAAAGCGTGACGGCGCACCGCGTCGCGAACCTGGTCAACACGCTGCAGTCGGCCAGCGTGCCCGACTACGAGCGCCTGGCGCCCGTGTCGTGGTCCGGCCTAGGCCAAAACAGCCTCTTTATTTCGAAGTGGAACGAGATGCCCTTCTACGAGGCCGACTGGGGCGCCATGTTCAGCACCGCCGGCGGCGAAGTGAATGGCGAAGAAGGCGCTGCTGCTAGCGGTTACTGCGAGCGCATACGCACCGTTGCTGAGGGCATGCTGAATGGCGTGCAGATGATCTTGCCGACCGTGCCTAAGAAGAAGGGCGTTAACGGGAAGGATGGCCTCGAGGTTATGATGGGCATGGAGGCGGGCAAGCCGCTGGAGACGCTGGAAAATGATCCCGTGTGGTTGAAGTACGCTTTGCCGGCTTAGGGGTGACTCTAATAGGCCGCGTGAGATTGGGTCAAGCTTGGAGCCGTAATAAACAGCTTGGACTCTTGTTAAAAAAAACTGGAGTGGGTATAGAGAATTGAAAGCCGCTCACGATTTTAAGTGGTGCGCTTTCAGATGTTCGGTAGATATAACAAGGATATCCCTGTTAAAGGAATAGGATGGTTTACTTATTGTTCATGAGGAAAAGAGTACGCAAGTGATGAGACTGTTCAGGCGATTCTAATTTGCCTTTCCGTTGACGACAGCTGAAGCATGCTGGGTATACGACGTGATCGAACCCTTCATGCAGAGGTGAGGCATGCTGCCGCAAGTCGTGCCGCCGCTGCGGGATCAGCAACAGGCATTGTCTTTACAAGAGCCTCAAGGTAAGCTGTGCGCCACGACCTGGGCCTCGCTTGATACTAGCGCGTGGTTTCATGACAGCGTCGGACGAACATCATGAAGCTAGTTTCTGCGGGTGCGCGACCGAATAGTTGCTGGGACTGAATGAGAATTCTGACTCCATGGTGTCAAGGTTTACGTTGCCACCCGCAGGGGCATGACAGCGGCTAGCCAAAGGACTGGCCACAGGACTGGCCACATCAGCATGCACATCCTCCGCAAGAAGCCAAAGAAGGTCGAGTGGAATAGGAGGGAACGCTCGTTGTGTAAGACGATTCGCCCACGGGGCTGACCGGCCCTTGTTTAGCTTCAACTTAAACTGGGAAGCCCCTTACGCCTCAGCCGAAAGGCCCGCACCGTCTTTTTGTGGGGCTGAAGATGAAACGGGCCTGAAGTGTAGGCGTTACGTGGCACCAAATGCGGCTCGTATTTCTTCCAGTGTTATTCTAGACTTGGAAGTCCAACGCCACGTCTTTTTAATCATTCGGAACGGGGTTCAGTACTGAATTGCAGACTCTCGGCGAAAAGGCTCCGTCTCGGAAAACCAATCGGATTTTATACCTCATAATTAGTCAATAGAAGCGCGGTGGGAGCCGTGAACACCCGCGTATACGTGTTAAAGAGTTTTCCACGAATATATCAAACTTCGAAAGCCTCTACGAGTAGGATATCCACGGAACAGCACTGTGACTACCGCCGCCTTCAAGCCCCACCATCCCACTCAAGACCAAACAGCCGCACCGCACACACCACAGTTGATGCCTAACTGATGATGTCTGGCACCAATCATGCCATTGTATGACATGTCGCTTACCACGCCGGAACTATTGGTTTCCGCCCATGTCCAATCACTGGGCTCCGCAGCGGGCCGCTTGCGGATCCAGGAAACTAAAAAACCTTAAAAAACGCCGAGAACTTTATGCAAACTCACCAGCCACAGATAGTAGGTTGTAAGACTCCATATTCCAAATGAAGCCAGCTTCGAAGTGCAAGGAAACCATCTTGAGGATGACGCCGATGCAGGCTGAACGTCTCGCTAAAAGAGAGGCACGTTAGTTCTACTTCAATGTATGGAAAAGGATCAATTGGCTTACAAGTGAATCGCAAATTCGAGCATAGTAGAATACTATTGCATAATCGATCATAACCTTTCATTGCCGGGGAAACCCATTTGTGCCAGTAGGCAGTCTCGCACATGTATAAACTTCCTTGATGTGCACGGTGATAGCTAGCTTGTCAGGTATAGATTTCCCAGTGGTGATGGCACGCTAGTCTTCATGGTCTGGAGAAGGAGCATAGCCATTCTTAATAGTGATACTACTTATGTGACCTCGGCTGCAAGCCTTTTCCTACGATGTATCACGCCCAATTTGGCAAGACGCAACGAATCTACGAAGTCTTATACGCTTGCCATAGATTACGCCACTCTAAGCCACAACGGCATCGCATTTGCGGCCTTATCGGAAGTTAGTCGGCCTCTGGTCTGAGCCACTAAAGGGTTCGATTCACTGGTCTTCGCGTCGGCTTACCAAGGGATCCTGGTACTCAACGTTTATTTATGCCGATTTGAAAAGCATGCTCCCGAACCTAGACTTTTTCACTATCTTCAGAAAAGACTTTGATCCTGCTCCTCTCTTCCGTAAATCTCCTTTCCCCCGTAACATGTCCTACTTCCATTCGATATAAGCTGCCCATGGCCCTTAGTGGGGCCGCGATGATTGCTCTGGAATGGGGCATTTTTGTCCCGCTGGCGGTTATTTTTGTCACAATTCGCTATACCGTTCGCTATCTTTATCCGTCTAAGTTCGCGTCAATCGGCAATTGGTTGGTCGCTATCTCCTTCACTCTGTTTTTAGTGGTCCCAGCACTGGATACCGTAGGATGGCGAAATGGATTCTACAATGACAAGGAAGCACTGGAGACACCAATCAGTGGTGATACTACTGCATTTGGTATGGAAGTAAGTCAATTTCCTACTCGCAATGGTTCCCCCTTTTTTCCTTCCTCGTTTCTATCTTTTATGGAAAAAAAAAACAGCGCACTTGTTCCCGTTTTCCCTGTGCAAATTCAACAATTGGAGACGGAGACGCTGCCACCACTTCTCCATCGTTTCAACTGCACAAGACGCTTGAGCTTATCAATTTGCCTTTTGTTTCCCATCAGAGTCTTACTCTCTTTTCCGCAGGTCATATACTTCAACTGGCTCATCTTCTATTTCACTCTTTGGGTCACAAAAGGTGCAATATTATCCGTCTATCATCAAATCGTTCCCAAGGATTCTCGGGCCTACTGGATAACTTTGCATGGTCTTGGGCTTCTCATGGTCATCGCACTGGTCACGGCTTTACTTCTCAACCTCATCTGGTGTCGGCCAATCAAGCTCAACTGGAGCCTGGATGAAGAGGAGTTATGTTTTGCACCCTTTGATCTCACCATTGTCGTGAGCACTGGCTTAATGCAAGTTGCCGTCGATATAGCAAGTTAGTCACTTCTGCATTCCTCCCACTCCCACAAAAGTGATCCGTATGGGGCACTCATATGGTGATAGTAATTATCATGCCGTTTCCGCTGCTCATGGCCGTCAATGCTTCTGCCGCCGAGAAGACCAGCATAGCCGCCGTATTCGCCATGGGCATCCTCAGCGTCGTGGCAACGGTATCTCGTCTCGCCCTGCTCTTTGCGACGGAAAGCGTGGAGCTCTACACCTTGCTGGCTCGGACGGAATTGACAGTCGGCATCATCGTGGCCTGCAGTCCAGCTATCCGGGTCATCGCAACGCAGTCGTCGGGTGCTACAGACCATAGACTGTCGACCCCACTGCCAACACACGGTCCCTTCGCTTCAGGAGCCCTAGGTGGTGGTGTTGTAGAGCATGCACCGCTGCCTTTTCATAATTTCATCGTCTCTGACACAAGTGATTCGGGGATGGGTTACCATAGGGGCCGGACGCGATCCGAGAGAAGGACCACGATCTCCTCTGCATCAGGTGGATCATCCATCTGGATGTTTGTTTAAAATATTTTGGCTCCTCTACTGTTTTCTTTTTCTTTTCTACAGATTAATGACTGCATAATAATGTTTATCTCGGAGTTGGATGCCCGAGGCTGTATCTTAAACGGGGAACTGCCGAACTAGTCTGCAAGGTTGTGTACAACCACATGAGTTTTACTTTTTTTTCTCTTTAATTCCTCCAAATTACAACAAGAATCAATGACGTCTCACACAACACAGTAACACAATTAACATAATGTATACTCAGTATTTATATCTATTCTATTTAGAACCAGGCGACAAGGAAAGACAGCAATGAATGCACGTCGAAGAACCCATTCCAGCGCCTTTCCGCCACTTCTCTACTCTAATGTAAAATGCCAAACCTCGAGCCTCCCATTCTGCCAACTCGGAAGCCACCCCCGTCTCTTTCAAACATCCGTCCTCGGCGTCTTCGTCCCCTCCTTTTCCTCCCCACCACCAGCCTCGACCGTCGACGCCGTCGAAAACGGCCTGCTCTCCATCTCCACCTCGCTCATTTTCTTGCCTGCTCTTCCACCCTGCGCTCCATTCTGACCATCACCACCCACCAAGAACCACCCCGGATGCACCAGGTTAAACACCGCCACAGCGCACACCATCATCGCGCCATCCAGCACGACGAAGTACACCTCATGCGTGATGAGATAGCCATCCCACCCCTCCAACAGCTCAATCGTCCTGTAGATACTCCGCACGTAGATAAACGCAATCGACGCCGTCGTCGCCACGACCAGCACCTTCACCCTCGCACTCAACGGCGTCACTTCCCCACCCTTCTTAGTGGCCGTCACCGTCCTCTTCAAAAACACGGCAAACAGCGCGCAGAAGACGGTGATGGCGGCCATCTGAAACACGATGCCGGCGACCATGATGTTGGTTCCCGGGGCCGTGTCGCCGGCCGGCGTGTCCGAGGCGGCGACGGACGCCATGCCGCCGCCGACGGCCTGCAGGATGAGCGAGACGACGTCGGCCGTGCAGAAGGCGATGAGGTAGGTGCGTGGGGAAAGCGGCGAGGTCGAGGGGCCGGACAGCGTGATGAGGCGGCCGAGGATGACGTATAGGGCGGCGGTCCAGAAGGTTGGGGCTGTGGTTTGGTTGATGGTGGTTAGCGTTGAGACCCTGTTTTTTCTTTTCTCTCTCTATCTGTTTTGTTGTCGTTTGGGTTGGGTAGTGGGTGGGGACGATCAACGGTTGTGTGCGGAAGTGGTGGGGATGTTTGAGGAATGTAGGACAAGTAATGGTGTGTGTGGATGTGAGTTGGTTAGTGCTGGGATGTTGAGTTGGACGATGTGATAGCTTCGCTTTCACGTTTGAAAGCACGCTATTTGTAGCATATCCCATCTCAACAACCGTGTAGGGGGATCTGAGCATCTTACCGAGGATGAGTGTTGTAATTTGCATCAGGAAAGCGTTGGTGTTGTACGGGCAGTACGCCGACCACAATCGTCCCGCCCAACCGATGACCTCCGCTATCAAAGAAAAAAGCAGTCCCGTCAGCGTTGTGTAACCTCAGAGAGGGCAGGATCCTTTCTGAAAGACTTACTCAGGCCACCAATGGCAAACAAGATAGTCCACCACTGTCTGCTCCATATCGTTTGCCCCAGGTGCAACAGCGAGGAGACACCAAAGATGACAACAAAAGCGATGCCAGCCCCTTCGGATGGGACGTAGCCATACGAGGTCTCAACACCCGGTATGTATGCTGGGCAGCCTGTTCGCAACGAGACGTTGTCCATGGCTGTGAATGACGGGAGTGCCGGAAGATGCGGGATGTGAGAATAATAATGTATTGCTCCACAGAAGGAGGACTCGAGACAGTAATGTATGGAGAGAGACAAGATGCGGTCGGGACTCGCGGCCTCAAATGGGCTGGAAGGAGGCCATGGTCGTGATGTCTGAGCCCCACTGAGACCTTTACGGAATACGCCATGAACCACTCGTTCGCTCTTTGTTGCCTGAATCCATACCTCAAAGCGCGAGTGAGAGGCGCAGGCACGACGCGTCTTCAAGCCTTTCGGCCTGGATGTTCGCCCGACGATAGCAGCGAAACTCGCGAGGATTGCTGCATTGGGACAGCTCAGCGAGACGGCGGGCTCCAGTCGTGCCGACTGCAAAACGGCCTTGGCGGACTAGCGGTGGCTCGGAGCGCAGCATTTCGCACGCAGAGCGGGAAAAGGCTGAGGCTCGGGCTCGGGGCGGGTGGAGCGGGCCTTTCTGACGCACAGCGGACGCCTTGGCGCTATACCGCATACGGCAAAAACGTCGCGAGAGGTGGGCTTAGCCGCCCGCCTCCGAACAATTTGCGGCCCCAGCGCAGGGGCCCCCTCGAGTGTGTTGTCTGGAGATGGACAAGTCTTGCATTCGACGGGCAGTTATATGAGCCAACACCCCTCAGCCCTTTGAATCGCAGCTTGGGATCATCCCCGTCCACGCGGTCTGAAGGTCGGATTCGAAGGTAGCGGCGATGTCGAAGCCCTTGTTCTTGATGACGGAGAGAAAATCTAGCACCCGCTTCCGCTCTTCGGCCGCCTTCATCTCCAGCCCGACCAGGTGCGTGATGGGCATGTACATGACGGCCTCCAGCTCGACCCTGCTCAGCCGCCCTTCGGCGTAGTCCAGCGCTGCAATGGCTTGCTTGCGGATCATCTCGTCGTTCATGACCGGCAGCTCGCAATTGAGCGCCGACCATGCCGGGTGCAGGAACAATCGGGAGAGGCCTGTTAGTCCCCAGTGGTAGTAGGGGATGGTCGATAGCGTCCCGGCATCCAGATCTTGCGGATCTTGGTCGGCAAAGGACAGGATCGATGTGATGATCTCGCGCTGAAGCCGCGAAGCTTGGCAGATGATCTCGATGCCTACTGTTGCGTGCTGGGACGAAACGCAGTCGCTGCTCTGTGTTACGAGTTCTTCTGTCCCCGGCGTACTGGCGTCTTCGATGGACGGAAAGCCGTGCCTTTCAGCCTCGACAGCCCACGAGAGCGCCCTGAAGCTGTTAGCAATCTAGATCCGAGCCGAAAGGGCGATGCGTGTATACCTGAACTGGAGAATGGCCCACTTCTCCAGAATGTCAAGCAGCTCATCCCAGCGTCGCTCAGGAGACAGAGGGATGTCTTTGCCAAGCTCGACTTGCAGGGTGAAGACGGGCCGGTTCATGGGCAGCGCTATATCCTCGCACATTAAGATGGCGCCCAGAGCGTCGCTCATGCGCAGGAATCTGACCAGCGCTGATTCGAACTCGCCCTGCGCCTCGCGCGATCTGCCGTTCTGCCGGACGTACTCGCCAATCTCGCGGACTAGTGCACGCCATGTCTTACCTGTCTTGTCGGAAAGAAGCTTTGTTGTTATCAGTGATCTGACCCACGTGCTTGGGGGGCTGAGCAGTCACTAACCTCATTGAAGCCGGACAGAGAGGCACACAGCAGAACCGCGTTGAATTGAGTACTGCGCGTGCCTCTCATTTCCTCGCCGATGGTCGTCTTTAGGGCAGCCCACGCCTTGTGGATCTCACGTTTCTCGGCAGCGTTAAGGGCAAGCAAATTGGCGTTTCGGCTGGCGTACATGCCGCCGACGACCGAGACAGTCTTGCTGACAAGCTCGTTGCCTTGCGAGAGACCGCCGATGGAGTCGAAGGAGAAGACGGACATGATAGGTGAGGCAGACAGGCCAATTGCCTGGAAGAAGGCACTGGTGTAGCGCCATGAGTCCTGAACCAGGGCCTTCTGCACCTGGGCTTGCGGACGACGGGCGGGCTTCTTGCTCGCATACTCTATGATAGTGATGTCACTGGCGGATGGTGGTGGTGAGATGCAGTTGATCCCACGGGCGCTGCAGTATGAGCAGGGCCGGCGGCCGTCACACTGCGGCTGTCAACACACCGGCAGGGCTGCAGGAAACAGTGGGGGCGGACCTTGACATGATCTTTCTGGCAGCGCATACAGCGGTGCCCTGAACGGCGTCGATCGCGGGCGCCGCACGGCATGGCGGCGACTATAGGAGGGCAGGATGTAGGTTGGATAAGCGAGGGGCGGAGGTGGGCAGTGGGTGCATGCAACGGGTAAAGACGCCGCGAGCGGGGATGTTTAAAGCGGGCAGCATGGAATGTGTTATACGGCGTTTTGCGACCTTAGGGGCTTAACCTTATGCTCGGCCTGACTCGGGTGCGGGCTGTGCGCGCTCGTCCCGACTGCAACGGCCCGTGGCGTCACCGCGCGGAGATATATGTGCGAATTGCTGCAGCCTAGCGGCGGCTTTGGATGGCGCTGATGGAAGGCGGGAGACGATGAGGGAGAAGAGAGGGGCGCGTGGCCGAAGCCAATCCCAGAAGGACCAAGCGAACTACGTAAGCAGACGGTCTCCTTGCTCCCCGCACTCCGCAATCACACGCCCATTTCCAACGCCTAGCATCGGCCCTGCGTACATATCTGTATCCCGAACTTTGTCCACTGCCGGTGCGCCTGTTTCTCAGTTCACAGGTATTTTTCCGTTCTCGCGTCTCGTTCAGCCATAGGTATTCTTCCATTCTCACGTCTCGTGCGACCTCGGTTGTCTCGGCAGAACAAAGTTGTTTATTTGGCTCCTGGCGTTGTTGGCTGGCCACTTATTCCCCGTAGCATCAGAGAATCAGCCCACAATACGTCAGCAGAAACCACTCGTATAAGTTCGTTCAGTCTAATCGTCCAAGGCTTGGAAGCTCTCAGCAATGAAGTGGGCCAAGAAGGCCAATGCGGACACATTGAGCATGCAAAAATAGGAGACGGAACAAAATACGTTCTAGAACGAGTAAAAATACCTAGCATATGTTAGTTTTTCAAAGCCAACTCGTATAACGCCACGCGTCCATCGAGCAACTTTATGGTAGAGCGTTGAGAGCGTTCTGGACTAAGCCTGGCCGATGAGATATTTCCAAAAATTCTTTTCATTGACAGCCTCATAAACTATTGTACCTGAATTGAACCAATAAGTCTGATGGATATCTGATCCGATCTTTCCGTTCTTTTCTTATTCTTTTCTTCTCAAAAGATGTAGAAGTGAGAGTTCCAGAGCAAAGACCCAGAATGTAGAAAGGAAAAAAAAAAAGTAGAAATCGCAATCAAAGGACCAGCCCACCCCCCAGGACCAAAACAGATTCGTAATCGTGACAATCACACCACATTACCTCTTTAGTAGGGCCACCTCCAGGTCCTCAGGTCCTCGGGATCCACGCCCTCGTGGAAGGCGTAGTTCCTAGCGCCGATCTGCCTGTTCAGCAACAGCTCACGAGCAGCCGAGCCCCGGTTACCGAGCTGAGGCATGCGGTCGATGGCGTCGATGGCGAGGCTGAAGCGGTCGGTGCCGTTGCGGATGGCCAGCTCGAGCGGCGTGTCGATGTTGCCCTTCTCGCGGTAGCCGACGACGCGCAGGTTGTGCTGGCCCTTACGCTTGTACGTCAGGCGGTGGATCAGCCACGGGTAGCTGTGGAAGTTGAAGATGACGGGCTTGTCTTCGGTGAAGATGGCCTTGAACTCGGCGTCGGTGCAGCCGTGCGGGTGCTCCGCCGCCGGGATCAGCTTGAACAGGTCCACCACGTTGACGAACCGGATCTTGATGCCCGGCAGGTGCTCGCGCAGGAGTGCCGTTGCCGCGAGAGACTCGTGCGTGGGCACATCACCGCAGGAAGCCATGACAACGTCGGGCTCTTCGCCAGCGTCTGAGAGAGTTTGTTAGCGTACTTCAAGTTACAGGTTGACAGATCTCCACTTACCAGTCGAGGCCCACTCCCAGATACCGAGACCCTTCGTGCAGTGAGCGATGGCAGCGTCCATGTCCAGGTACTGGAGGTGGTTCTGCTTGTCGGCAACAATGACGTTGACGTAGTTGGATGACCGGAGACAGTGGTCTCCCACACTCAGCAGACAGTTGGCATCCGGGGGCAAGTAGATTCTCACGACCTCGGGGCTCTTGTTTGCCACGACATCGAGGAATCCAGGATCCTGGTGAGTGAAGCCGTTGTGATCTTGACGCCACACAGTAGCAGTCAAGAGAATGTTGAGCGAGGCAATCTTCTGACGCCACTCAACTTCACTAGCCTTCTCGATCCACTTGCAGTGCTGGTTGACCATCGAGTCGATGATGTGGATGAACGGCTCGTAACTGTTGATCAAGCCGTGACGGCCGGACAGAATGTAGCCTTCCAGCCAGCCCTCAACCGTATGCTCACTGAGCATCTCCATGACTCTGCCATTGAAGACCAGGTTTCCGCCATCGGCATCCTCGTCAAAGTAATCGCCAAGCCAGACCTTCTTTCCGGCATCGTAAATGGCGTCCAGCTTGTTGGATTGTGTCTCATCGGGACCGAAGACCCTGAAGCGATCCATGTTGTTCCGCACAATCTCACGCAGGAAAGTGCCGAAACGGCTCATGGAGCCATCCTCGGATACACCAGCCTTGAGGACATCGAACTTGAAGGTGCGGAAATCGGGGACCTTCAGCTTGTGCTTCAGAAGCCCACCATTGGCGACGGGGTTGGCACACATGCGCCTGTGACCTTCTGGAGCAAGCTCTCTGAGCTCCTCGATCAGTTTGCCCTCTTTGTCGAAAAGCTTGTCGGGCTTGTAGCTACGCAACCACTCCTCGAGCTTGGCGAGGCTCTCTGGCTTGGAGTGAACGTCGGTGATGGGGACCTGGTGAGAACGCCAGAAGCCCTCAAGGAAGTGATCACCAAGCTTGCGCGGGCCAGTCCAGCCCTTGGGAGTGCGCAGAACGATCATGGGCCAGCGAGGACGGAAAGGCGCGTTGTTGTCACGTGCTTGCTTCTGGTATCCGCGGATCTTGAGAACGCACTCTTCAAGAGTGCCAGCCATGGCTTGGTGCATGGATTCCAAATCACTTCCCTCGACGAAGTACGGCTCCCAGCCATAACCTCGGAAGAGGTTCTCGAGCTCATCGTGGCTGATACGGGCGAGCACGGTGGGATTGTTGATCTTGTAGCCATTTAGGTGCAAGACGGGAAGAACAGCGCCGTCGGTGATGGGGTTGAGGAACTTGGTGCTGTGCCAGCTGGTTGCGAGAGGGCCGGTTTCAGCCTCGCCATCGCCGACCATGGTTAGTGCAATGAGGTCGGGATGGTCAAAGACGGCGCCGAAAGCGTGAGAGATGGCATAACCGAGCTCTCCGCCCTCGTGAATGCTACCGGGAGTCTCGGGAGTAGCATGGCTGCCAATGCCGCCAGGGAAAGAGAACTGCTTGAAGAAGCGGCGCATTCCCTCGACATCCTCGGTGACATCGGGGTACGTCTCGGTGTAGGTGCCCTCCAAGTAGGCGTTGGAGAGCACGGCCGGGGCACCATGGCCGGGGCCGGAGATGAAGATGCTGTCCAAATCATACTTCTTGATCAAACGGTTGAAATGAAGGTATGTGAAGCTCTGGCCAGCGTCAGAACCCCAATGGCCCAACAGACGTGCCTAAGCGAGGGTCACATGTCAGCATGACGAGTCAAGATGGGTGGGGTTGATGTACCTTGATGTGCGACAGCTTCAATGGCTCTCGTAGAAGCGGGTTCTCCTTCAGATAGATCATTCCCAGGCAGAGGTACATGGAGGCCTTGAAATAGTCGTCATATTTGCGGACTTCCTCATCCGAGAGCGGCTTCTCGTTGACCGTCGACCTGGCGACGCCAAAGGGAGAAAGGCTCGCCGAGACGGTGCCGTTGGGAGCCATGGTGGTTGTGTCAATTGAAGAGGTAGGAGGTGGTGAGGAGGGGCAATGTCATCGCCGTCGTCCTTTTAAACCAGAGCCGCTGTGATAATGATGGCATAGCGCTGATGCGGCAAGCAGGAAAGGGAACCCTTGCCTCCTCACCCCATCGTCCCACTGTGCCCACGGGGAGCCCGCACTGGGGTTGACGCAGCACATCAGACCACCTACCCGGATCGAGTCGCGGCACAGAGCCAAGCGGTAGGCGAGGCCACGGCGCTGGCCGGCTCAGGATTGCACCTGGGTCGAAAGTGCGTACGGATTGGCGAGCACAACTGAGGCATGAACGTCAATCAGCGGAGAGAGCAACGCTGGTCGGCTAGTGTCCCAGCTCACAGTTCGCTGCACGGCTCGCTGCACTCGACCTCCCCGCGCCTGCCGAGCAGGGTCCCGGCGTCGATCAGTGATGGCCAGGGCCCGGCCGGCCTTTCGTCAGTGGAGCCTTGCGGCGAAGCCTGGGGGCAACACGAGCCCTATCGGCCGATCTAACCGCTGTCCGACCTTCCGTGATGCCCGTTGTCCAGCTCGGAGCCTGCCAGCCCGCGCGCCTTTTCCGCCAGCAGTGTACAGATCGGCAAGGATACGATGCGACTGGCCGTTGTCGTGGAGCCCGAGTCAGACAGGAATCCTATCGCTTCCGAGCGCAGCGGAGCCGTTGTCCCTTCCGCAATTCCTCGCGAGCGGCTACTGCAAGTTGATCCAAGAATGTGTACGTTTCCAGGCATCTTCCGCGTCTCAGAAAGGTGGTGCAACCGAGGCATTACGTGGAAGCGCGTCGGGCGTACGGCACTTGGCTCAGCCACGGGGGAGAGCTCTCATGATGGGTTCGCTGGACGCTGTCGAAAAGCCTGGATGAACTTGTGACGGTAGCCGGTGATCGTCGGGTGATGCTCCGGAGGCTTACTTTCCAGCTACGCTGCTCTCGGCCCGGAGCGGCATAAGCAAGAGCTTGGCTGAACCACTTCGTCCTTTTCCATGATATTGAACACCATATGGCGTGTAAGTCGGCCGATTCCGCCTCGTCTCTTCTCTCGCGCGCGTGAATGTCTGCGCATCTGCTGGCCTGCTGTTTCATCAATCAGTGCAACTGCTTCGTCACTGCCTTGGTTCTTTGCATTCGCCCTTCTCAGATTCAAGAGCTCACCTATGTCAGCCAAAACCCTACCCTGCTGCGCCGTAAAAGAGGCTGAATCCGCGTTGAGGACGTTCGCCGTCAATTCGACACCTCTCCTTAGGCTAATGGTCACCAGAAGGACCTCCAATGCTTTGGAGGCACGTCCGTAAGTCGCAAACTTGTCTTTGGGATGCTCATTTGGAAGTCGAGTGGAAGACATGAAGTTGAGAAAAGCACGATGCACGACTCCGCTTTGTCGACTGACCCCTGACCGTCTGCATGGTTCGCGTCCGTTTGGCTGGATTCCCACCCTCCACAATTCGTGGTAGGTGCGTCAGGGTCGCCATTGTTGGGTCGCTTTAGCGCGAGCACTTTCATCTGGAGATCATGAGACTCGTGCATAAAACCTCGGGAAATCCCTGCGGGGAATCACTGTGGAGAGGAATTGAAACTTCTCGTTGTATCGTAACGCCGGTTGCTACCGGTCTTCTAGATTACTAGACGGTATTGCAGCAATGCAGGGGAAAGATTGCCCAATTGTGACAGACAAGGCCCCAGCATACATCTACCATTTACTGAACGGGGTATAACACTTCCTTTTGTAATCATAGCTTCTTGCGGGCATGACGGTACGCAACTGCGGTCGTACGAGCAGTCTGAAAGCGGAGTCTTCGACGCTTACTTCTCCCCCGCCTTTACGAAACCACTTCTTTCCCAATGAAACAGCCGGAACGCCATGTATATGCATAGAGGCAAGGCCCAGAACGCCACGGCCGCAGCGCCGGGTGACGCCAGATGAGGAGGCGGTCCTGCCCGCTTCCTTCACTCCGCCACGTCGAGATCGTCATCTGCGGCTTCCCCGCTGGCTTGGTTTTGGGGCACCGAGCCGAAGGCATTCGTAGGCTTCCGGCCGACAGCCGCGATTGTCTCGGCATTGATGCTAGCCAGGCTTTCAGACCCCTTCGGCGCCGATTCCATCTTCACATCGTCTTCCCCATCGTCCTGCAGAGCGGCAAAGGCGTTTGTGGCCTTGGCATCACCGTTCAGGGCCTCCCAGTCCTTTCTCCTCTCTTGGACCCTCCGGCCCCTTCTCTTACTCTCCTCGACCTTCTTTTCGTGCTTGTCGAAATTGGCGTCGGCCTTCTCCATGGCTCGCTCTTGGCGCACGCGCTGCTGGTGGGTCAGGCGCTTCTGTTTCTGCTTCTTCGAGATGCCGGCATCCTGAGCGGCGAGGACCGAGGCGCCAATCTTGGGCTTCGATTTGGGGAGCGACGAAGCGTCTGTGAGGGTCTGGAGCGACTTGTCGACGGGCTCCTCCGCGCGGCGAGCAGCGCGCGAGTGCAGTGACGGCTCTGCGCAAAGTCAGCAGGGGTAATGGGGCATGTGGAGAGCTGCAGAATACATACGTCTCGTCTTAGTCTTTGCCATGTTCGCAGTGCAGTTGGCAGTGTCTGGGCTGGGCTTCGAACTTTTTTGGTGGAGCGCGATCGCCAGCTGGTGGCAGCAGGCGCCACCCGCGGCCGTTGTTCCGCATCGTCCGTGCGCGCGCGTGTGCAATCTCCAGATGCCGCCCTTCATCTCGCAACTACTTCTCCATCCTGGCACAAACACCACGCCTCCCGCATAGCTCGCGCGCTCACTCCCTCCGCCGCCTGCTCCAGCCTGCTCGATGCGGCACCCGCGGGAGCGTCCGCCCAGTGTTGTCCGCCACGCCCACCGTCTCCGCCCTAGCTGATCCGATAACCAACGGCCTGCTCGCCATTCGCTTTCAACCATGAGCAACCTCCGCCCCCCTCCCCAGCAAGACCCCAATGACGACTTCGCCGTGTGGCACGACGACTCCTACCAGGATCCTCGCACCACGCCCGCGTCGATTCTCGTGCTTGTCGTGCTCGCTTTCATCGCCCTGCACCGCGTCCTGGGCCATTACGACATCCCCCTCCGCGCCATCCCCGAGCTAGTCTGGAACTGCTTCGTCTACGCCATGCCCGCATCCCTCGTCTTCGCCATGGGCAAACCCTCGCTCGACCTCACCGCCGACCCTGCCAGCACCTCCCCAGAGGACAAGGAGAGGAAGAATGCAAATCTCTTTGCCGCCAAGAACGAAGTGCTGCGACGCACCTTCGGCTTGGATGGCAACGGTTTGCTGAGAGCCATTTCAGGTGATCGCACCTTGCGCGTTGCTGGAGCACTGGCTGGCGGCATGAGGGATGCCGCGCCGGCTGGCCTGGGCAACTGGGATAACTCGTGCTATCAGAACAGCGTCATCCAAGGCCTCGCCTCCTTGCCCAGCCTCGGTGGTTTCCTGACTCAAGCCCTCGACATGTTCCACGACCTCACCGCCGATTCTACAAACAGTGCTCTTCTCGACACCGTTCTAAAGCTCAATAACCCCGACAACCATGGCCGTCACCTTTGGACTCCTGCGAAACTGAAGAGTATGAGCAGTTGGCAACAGCAGGATGCACAAGAGTACTTTTCGAAAGTCTTGGATGAGATCGACAAGGAAATTTTGAAGGCCGTGAAGCAACACCGAAAGACCGCCGGTCTTGAGGAAGTTCCTTCTGCTGAAGAGGAGCGCAAGGCCGAGCCGACAAAATACCCGGAGTCACTACGGAACCCTCTTGAAGGTCTTCTGGCCCAGAGAGTTGGTTGTATGAATTGCGGATTCACTGAGGGTCTCTCCATGATCCCTTTCAACTGCCTCACTGTTCCTTTACAGACTTCTTGGGGTTACGGCTGCGACATTCGCGACTGCTTGAACGAGTACACGAAATTGGAACCCATCGAAGGCGTCGAGTGTGCAAAATGCACCCTCCTGAAAGCGCAGGACTCGCTAGAGCGAGTTCTTCAGGACCGAGACGAGGCGGAGCCGAGTGACGCTACCCAGGCCATGGCTGCACGACTGAAGATTATCCAGGAAACTCTGGATGATGACGAACTCGCGGACAGTACTATCATCAAGAAATGCTCTATCCCTCGCAAGAACTGGGTGTCCAGTACAAAGTCCAGGCAAGCTGTTATCGGCCGTCCTCCGAAGTCGCTTGTGATTCACGTAAACAGGAGCGTGTTCGACGAGCTCACTGGTGCTCAGAGGAAGAACTACGCCAATGTGTCGTTCCCGGAGCACTTGGACCTTGGCCCTTGGTCTCTTGGCTCGTCCAAGTACGATAGCAAGGACTTCGCAGTTGCCCCTGAATTTTGGTCTACGAACCCAGCGGAATCGATGATCAGCCCGCAGAAGACTCTCGGAATTCAAGCTCTGCCCTACGAGCTGCGTGCTGTTGTTACCCATTACGGAAGGCACGAGAACGGTCATTACATTTGCTATCGGAAGCATCCTTTTACTGCTCACAAGGCCGAAGGTGAAAATGCGGAGGATGTGGAAGGCGAGGAAGCTAAGGAGGATCCGGAAGTCTGGTGGAGGCTCAGCGATGAGGATGTTTCCAGGGTGTCAAAAGACGATGTCCTGGGTCAAGGCGGCGTTTTCATGCTGTTTTATGAGGCCAAGGAACTTCCACCTCCGCCTAGTCCCATTCCGAGCCCACTGATGAGACGTAGCTCTACTGCAACGATTCGTGCGACGGCTCAGACGCAGACGACTGTAGAGACTTATGAACCTGTTCAGGAGCAAGAGGATGAGGGGTCCGTTGAGGAAATGGAACTTGAAGACGAGAGATCGGCCCCTAGAGAGTTCTTCCCAATGAGCGATATCCGGGAAGATGAGGATGCGGTACCACCCCGGACTTCATACCACCGCCCCACTGAATCCATGGAAACAACACCGCCAAAGTCGGACAGCGAGAGCGACTACGAACCAATTTCCCCTATGTCCTACAACTCAGAGCTCGAAGACACCGTTGTACTCCCGCACAAGAAGCACAACCGAGACCGGAATTCTACAATCTCTAATGCTTCGTCGGCAAGCTTCAACTATCCGCCGACGCCTCTTTCTCCTCTTTCCCTCTCGCCTACAGCGTCTGAGTACCCCACTCCTTTCGCTGAGCAACGTCCTACCTTCCCCAATCCTATCTTCACCCGCCAAGACATGGATAGCGAATCTGAGTGGCAACCCCTCGCCTCCCCCGCACTTTTCTCTCCCCATAGCCTTGCGACGCCGACTTCTCAAAGTCCGAACCTCGATCCCATTACACGCGCTGCGATCGAAGCTTCAGTCCAAGAGGAGGAGCATGAGCCGCGCTGGACGACGAGCCGTAGCGACTACGCTCCTTCGACCGTTGGTGGCACGGATAGCGAGTACGCACCCAGCGCCGGCGGCTATCCTAGTGACGTAGAGGGTTCGACATACGGCTCGGAGGCTGGTGACGGTCCTCTCAGCGAGAAGGAACCGTCAGTGTCGGGATCACCCGTGCGAACGAAAAAGGAAGCCCACCCTCATCGTCAGAGCTTGACCATGAGAACAGCACAAGCTCAGAAAGGAGAGGGTGAGAGTGATGAGACAGCAGGTCTGGAACAAAGCAAGCAGGGCCTAAGGATGGTGGCTGCTTCATGATTTCGATTCTCCCTTTTCTCTCAGCGACTGCGAGCATCAACTTATCTCTTTTGTCGACATTCTAAGAAGAATCTTTTCATTTCATTTTTTTTTGCGAATGCGCAGCAGCATTCTTTCAGATTGGCACCGAAAGGAAAAACTATACTAGCATCACCAGGTACATTGGGCAGGGGAGCATAGCGTCGGCGTTTGAGTTGGATTTTTCACTTGTATTCCCACTGGGCTCTTGAGAGCTTCTGATGGCGCTTCTGTTGCAAACAGCTGTATTCCCTCCCTTTTCAGCGATTTCTTTATGCCACTTCTCACTCTCTTGCAATTGCAACTTCAACTTTCTTCTTCATATTGTGCATAATATCTGGCTGCTCATACAGCCGCAGCCGGCAGTGCGTTAGATGACAGAACTGATAGTCAATTTCCCTCTTTGTTCACAACTTATTAAAAGCTCATCTGCTTCAATAGCAATCTCGTCACTCTCTCCCTTATGTTGCCGCCGCACTCCTCATCCCTGGCATATTAGTTCCGCAAGCGGCCAAGAAACATAATAGCGCCGTTCGTGCCGCACAGATGCTTCTTGCAAGCCTCCCCCGCTTTTTTCCCTCATTGGAGAGGCAAGAGGCCTGGGGAGATTTGCATCTTCTCCCGCACGATCCTAGCCGTGGTCGAAGCGTAATGAGGGGCACGTCGATCGAGCCTTCCTGCCTTACAGGGCAGACCCTGATGGCCGGATCCTTGGCGCACAAGGGAAAGTACTAGGCCATATTTGTCATGAGATGAGTACGGTTAGGCTGTTTCCGATCTACACTGAATCTGGGGATAGTCCAGTCATGCTGTTGAGGGGTAGAGTTCTGTTCATGCGTAGGAAAGTTCAGAAAGAGCAGCCAGGCAGTAAAGAACAGGAATACAGCGACGGAAACCCTAGACGGACAGGGGTATTGAAGGATGCCACATTAACAACACAATGGACGGGCTTCGTTTTCAAACACGGTTAACGATGGATGAGAGTCAAGAGTTTTACACTTGAAGTGATAGCTCCATTGTCGTACCTAACTACGCCATGAAACCGAAATTTTCACACCTACAGTTTCTTTTGGTCGATTGCTGCTATTTACCCTTCCCCAGTTCTTTTTTCAGGTCGCCCTTATCTCCATTTTGTTGGACATGAAAACACTCCTTTTCCCCATTTTTTTTTTGTACGTTTACCCTTTTGTACTTTTACCCCAAATCAACACCATGCACTCCAGCCCGCGTACAATACGGCCAAGTTCCGCTCATCCGTCGCCTGCTGAATCAACTCCGCCACGGCCGCAGCGCTGCTCAATGCCTTGCTCAACTTCCTCTCCACGACGCTCAGCGCGCGGCCAGCTTCACCCTGCACCTCCTCATCCTCCTTCTTCTTCGTCGGAATTTCCAACAAGAACCTCTGTTCATCCGCACCCCCCGCACCGCTCGGATCGTCCGAAGCGGCAGCACCGCCGCCGCCGTTGTTCTCAGTCTTGCCCTCAGCCTCCTTCTGCGCCTCTTCCTGCATCTTCTTAGCCTTGAGCGGGGAGACGCTCCACGAGTAGAGCGGATCGTAGCGCAGGACGTTGAGGATGGTCATGATGGAGTCGCGCTCGTCGCGCAGCGTGTCGAGGGTGAACTCGCAGCAGCGGCGGAAGACGCCCTCGATGCCCGGGTAGCCCATGGCGTCGACGAGGTCGCGCGTGAGGCGGAAGGGCACGACCTCTGGCACGGGCAGCACGCGGCCGGCCTCGAAGGCGACGCCGAGGTCGATGTGGACGGCCTCGCCCGACTGCTGGTCCAGCAGGATGTTGTGGCAGTGGCGGTCGCCCAGCCCCAGCACGTGGCCCAGGATGCTGATTGCCGCCGTGCTGCGCGTGTACGCCAGCCGCTTCTCGAACCAGTCGTCCGGGTCCTCGAAGCGCTCCAGGAAGAAGTAGCGCAGCACCGGGTTGAAGTTGCGGCACACCTCCTTGTACACCTTCAGCCGCTCCTCATGCGAGTGCGCGGAGATGTTGGCGATCTTGGTGCGGCACTGGCTCTGGCTCCAGTCTTTTGGATAGTAGGTTTGGTGCGCGCTGTCGAGGTAGTTCATGAGCGGCATTGTGTTCTGGACAAACTCGATCACACCGGACCGGTGGGTGAGCGGCACGACCTTGTAAGTCCTGATGTTGAGGTTTCGCAAGCGAGTCGCCATGTGGTTTCGCAAGAGCTGGCTGACGTGCTCGAAGACCTGCTCCATGATTGCGTCTTGTCTCAGGTCATCGTTGCCAGATTTGTACTGTAAAGCTCGTTAGTGTAATTCCCCTGGCGGATTTATTTAGTACTTACCAGCTGCTTGTACGGTTGGCCGTTGTCGGCGATTGCTGTGACAACCTTTGGCTGGCTGAGTCCATTGGCAATTCCCATTGTAGATTTGAACCTATGGATCTTTGGAACGTCTCGGTAATTTGCGCTGCTCTGTACAGTGATATGCATGGTGATTGGTGGGACTTTGAGACCCGGGATCGCAGTGACAAGCTTTTTGGAGATGGGATATCTTTGCAGTTCGTAGTCCCTTCCCATCTTGAACATGGTGGTGTCGACAAACATTGCCAAGTCGTTATAGATAGTGTTTGATTTGCTGATACGCTCCCACATCTCGTGACTGGCTTTGTCGTTCTTCAGCTGCCTGCCGATATTCTTCGTAGCCGCGTAACGGGACTTGACGGTCTCGTCTTTCATATTTCTCTCACTGTAGGAGCCAGCGTAGATATGGTTCATGCCATGGTATGGATGGTCCTTGCAAATCCTGAAAACCAACGAGGACAGGATATTCTGGAAATCTGTACTTTGGTCCAGGAGGCGAGATGAAAGTTGGTTCATGAGGACAACGAACTTGCTGCTCGGAACAGGCTGAATGTACTTGGACACAGCGTTGTTGGCTAGTGGAAGGTGCGAGTACTCAAGCCAGAGAGAAAACATCCGGAAGACGTCATTATCGTAGTCGTTGCAGGCCTGCAATGTCAGTAGATAGTTCTCCAGACTCTGCCGGAGGAATGCAACCCGGCTGTCTCCCAATTTTTGGGCTTCCTGCATGTCCATGGTGAACCACTTCCGCGCTCTCCTCGCTTGCTGTCTGTAATAATCTCTTGCACTCTTGGACTTCTGTGTACTCGCCATTCTATCATACTCTAAAGCATCAGCTTCTTTTCTCTCGGCCAATAGCCTCATCCGGTTTTGGTCTTCGAGCAGTTCCGGACTTTGAAGTTGCTGGTCGCAGAAGCTCGCAAACGCGTGATAAGCCTGGCCAGCGATTTGACCCGTGGTGTTGTTCCTGAGCTCCCGGATAGCTGGCTCCATGTACTGCTTCATGACTTCTTCGGGCTTCTTAAGACGAGCCTCCGCAGTGTATTGGCCCTGAATACGTCAGCTTATTGTGATTTGTGAGTCAGTGGTCTTCGTTTACGTACCAACTTTGTCAGCAATATGGTTCGGGCAACGGTTGGATCTTTCTTGTTCTTGGTCTGCTCCTCCAATTGTTGTAACATCCTGATAGATGTGTTCTTCTCACCCTGGTCCCAAAGAACCCTAGCAACTTGGTACTTGGCACCATTGCCAATTTCGTATCCGACCTCGCGACAGTTCGGAACAATGTCTGCAAGATAAGTGGCACTTGCAAGAAGCTCTTGCAGAGCGCCATGCTTTCGGTAGACCTCTGAGCCGTTGATCAACGCATCCGCTTCACGTTCGCGGAGTTGCCTTGGCCCTGTATTTATGATCCCTTGCAAGCTCGGAGACTTGCTCAGCATACTCCAAAGCGTTTCACGTGCAGAGAGAATCGGCCGGATATCATCCATGCTTCTAAAAGTTAGTAAAGGGATAGTCCAAACAGCCAATGGGGAACACTCAAACTTACCGCGCTTCTTTCATCCAACCCGTACGCTCCTTGATCGTCCGCCAGGTTTCTTTCAGCTCTTCGGAATCTTTAGCGGTCATGATTTCATCGATTTCGTTGAGCACAGCAAACGAGCGGAGGGAAGATTGCAGTGTTCTGGTGGAGGCGTTCGGTTCAATGCAAGCTTCAATTGTCTCCAAGAAACTCTGGTCCAAGTTCTTGCGCACGGAAGCCAAGTCTGTAGACATGCTCATACCCTGGAACACCTTGTAGACCGCCGCTGCGTCGCATTTCTGAGAGGAAGGTGCCTTAATGTCCCATTGCTCTAGCTTCTGAGCAACTTCAAGCGTATGTTTAAGGTTGTCTCCATTATTGCGAAGATCCTCGTTTGACGAAATGGCGTGAGTCAAACTATTGAGATTCAGCATTGTGAGGTCTCTGACGACGCTGGTTGAGTCAGATGGGGAAACTGTCTTATTACGGCGCATCTCGCTGTCCATCTTTGCACCGTGGAAAAGAAGCCCCTTGAATCCATCAGACTCGTAGTCAAGACGGTTTAAGACCGACGTCAGGCTCGGTTCTTGTTCCGCTCCATAGTAGGAGTCCGGCTCATCAAGGTTTGTATAAATTGACAGCTGAAGATCCAGAGGAATCGATTGGTGTTGCGGGACGGTAGAGGAACGTCGTGACGCTTTGGCTGGTTGCGACGCATGAGTTTCTGCAAGTAGAAGAGCTGCTCGGTACATGCCGCATCTGGCGGCTGCCCCAGATGCGCTGAGATAGTCGATGTCCAACCAGCGCACGCGGTCCGAAATGTTCTTCTCGCTTGGAATCTGCTGTGTCCGGAGGTACAAGACTGAGCGGAGCAGAACTTTCAGGTAAGGCGCATCTTCATCCTTCTCTTGCTCAAACCACCTTCGGTAAGCTTCCGATATGGTATCCTTGATCGTCTCACCACTGCTGGCATCTCGCTCCAGTGCCAGGTGAAGGATGTAAGGGAAAAGTTCTTCGCTTAGAGACGGGATCTCCGAAAGACACTTTGGCAAGGCACAAACGACTCTATCATGGGGAGTAGATTTTGCCAGAGAGATGCACAGGTCGGAGATCCAATTGGATATCTTCTTGTGGCTTTGAGGGAACGCGGTCGCCTCGACACTTTGGCTGAAAGTTGGCTGAAGGAGGGGTATCCTAAAGGCATCATTCATTGTCAATCCCGCCACAAGAGCAGGAGGAAGCACCTGTTTGATCTCCTCAGCCTGTTCGACATACGCAGGCTTCTTGTTGTCGTTTTCAGATAGAATCTCTCTTAGAGTTCGCTCGGCAAGGCCTGCTTTGCGCGGATTGTCACCTTGCAAAAGCGCTGCAAGGTTTTCAACAATAAGCATGCGTGAGGTTCTGGATTTCCGACCTCGTAAGTTTGCCCCGTTTTTCTCGCGAATCGTCTTACGCAGACTTTCCTGAACCACTCCAGTGGCGCTGTAGCTTCTTCCAAGAACTCGTGCTGCCCACAAGAGATACTGCTTGCTGTTGTTCGATCTTTGGCTCGACTTCCAAACCTGCGTGGCAAATCGAGCAGCTTGGTCAATGTCTCCAAGAAAATCTTCCCGGAAGGACGTCGGGAGTTGAAACTCGCGGCAGAGCAAGCTGTAAGCCAAGTCCTGTGAAGGACCGTTCAGCAACCTCTTTTCACTTGATTCGTCTTCCAGCAAGGACTTAAGCAGCTTGCTCTCTGGGGTGTTCTTCGTCGCATTACCCATCGTGCGGATGTCCCTCGCAGCATGGATCATGGACCGGAAAAGCTCCAAAGACGCTTTGGTGCTTCTGCTTGTTGTTGATTGTAGAAGTTCTTGCACGTAGGATTCGAGGTAGTCGCAAAACCATTTGTCGAAGTCTTGTGCTTTCTGCACAGTCGCAAGATGCTGGCTCTCCTGCGTGGTGCTGTCTTGGGAAGAAGAGAAAACCATCCGAAGGGAAATTAGAATGGATATCGAGTTACCGGCCACGAACGAAAGTTGATCCATAAGATGGTGTTTTCCGTGTTGGAGCAAATAGCGCACGATCCCGAGCGTGTCTTCTGCACACTGAGCATCCGTCAGGAATGGCCTGAGTGAGCCCAGCGTCATCTGGAGAGGGTAGGTCTCAAACGAAATTGGGCCAGCAAGGGCCACAAGAAACCGGATCTTCCTAATCATAGAACAAGCATGAAGAGAGCCGAGTGCTGGGTGTATCTTATCGAGAAGATAGCGCATGACATACACAAAACAATCGGGAGTCCAAAAGCTTGCGTGGTCGTACCCAGTACGGCGGCATAGGCGCTTGATTTCATCGAAGATATGCTTGGCTTGGAAAAGTGGCTGTTGATCGCCGGGTAATGAGATGCTGGAAGAGCTGATACTTCGCATCTCATTCGTGGCATCTTCTACCCTTTGGAATTCGGGATATTTGTGAATCGACTTCCCAATCAAATCTACGTCTTCCATGGTCGAAATGAGCACGGCTAAGACGCAGGGAAATTGCTGCTTCACGAGATTTCTGTAGGTATCGTCGCCCAAAACCACTCGGAGTGCTTTTTCGTTGCTCTGCGTAGCATTCTCGCGTTGAGATCCGCGAGCGCGACATTGATCCCAAGCAATCGCATAGCCGGCGGCCTTGGAGAAACTCCGCTCGGCTAGTTCTTTTTGAGAAATCTTGAGAGCCTCTAGGACAACCGGCACCTCCTCTTCATTGTTACGCATGGCCAGCTGGCCGTACACCTCGACTTGCGAATCCTCCAAGAGGGAGGCTAAGCTCTCATAGCCGAAAATGGAGTATGGAATATCCTCGAGCCTTTGCGTGTTCTCTTGATTGTTGCCCATCCACGTGTATAGCACCTGAGGCGCAAAAAGCTCGAAGACGGATTTTGGACTCTCAAGATTCAACGAGTCCGAAATCATCTGGATGCAACGGGCAGCATGACTGACCGATTCTTTCACAAGACCAGCAGCCTCGAATATGTGGTAGACGCTTCGTCGTAACAACGTGTGCCAGGCTGCCCCCAGGCGGCCGAATGCCAGAAGCCGCAACGCCATTCCTTCTAAACTCTCGTTTTTGGGAAGGCTTTCGTAAACGTCCTCGAATATTGCGTCGTGTTTGCCCAAGACGAAATATTCGAATATTTCTGGCAGGAAATTGATGATATGGAACTTGACGGGTATGCTCGCATTTTGAAGCATTGAAAACAAGCTGGTTCGCACTGACGGCAGGCTCAGGCTCTGGGCATAGTCCGGTTGGACCTGTAAGAGCTTTTGGAAAAGGTCTGCCACCTTGATTTGCACCGCAGGCGATACACTTCCCGCCTTCAGCGCCTTCTTGGTAAACCACTCGTATACATCAGCTCCAAGGCCGTATGCCTTTGACTCGTGATCTGTCCAAGCCATCACAGTGCCTCTCATTAGTTCCACGCAGAACCCAATGGCAACTTCGCAGCGTTCATATTCATAGAGGTCTAAGAACTCGTCGGCCGCGACTTGCAGAAGTGCCTCGCCATCCTCGGCAGTCAGCAGTAACTGAGAAGCCAGGATATCCGAGATCAATTGTTTGCACATCATGCGCTCGCTTGCAGGTAAAGCGACTATGTGGCGTTGGAAGGCTCTAGGAATCCGAGAATTTGATGATTCATGATCCAGTAAATCATCTTCATCCTCAATTGCAGAGGCAAGCAGGAACAAAGTAGCCGATATTGTGGTACGTGTAGCGTTGACACCCAGAGTTGCAAGAAGTTCGTCTCTTGGAAGATCTGGTATCTCTCCGTTCGAGATGCGGTTGCTGGTTTGTGAGTCGAATTCATCAAGTTCCATTAATTCAATGGAGTCCTTCGGCTTTTGGCGGTCCACAAGAGCCCTCGACAAGGATATTATGAAAGGGTTGATGCCGAGATTATCGAAAAGGTCGGATCCAAGAGAAGTAAGCGAAGCAACCATCGGTAAACTCGGAGCGACTGCCTCTATCACAGCATCTAGGTGCACAGGATCGCAGTCGTGGCGCGATACGAAACTCGCCAAATCTTTGATCAGAGACTTTGTACTTCTCTCGAGCTCTTTTCTTCGTTCCGAAGGAATTCCGTTGATGCTTGTTGTCAACTGACAGCATATCACACAAAGAACAGAGATAGTGCGGATCATTTCGGTATTGAAGCTTTGCGAGCGTTCACCTACCGTATCTCTGAATTGCTTTGATGTTTGTTCCATCTCCGAGATGCAGCAGTCCAGGACGAGATCATCAACTGGCACGGATCGGTTTTGGTGGACATTGGAAATGGATCCAGAAATCACACGAGGGCGAGTGACAAATTCTCCCTCATGGCAAGATAGAAGAAGGTAATCTGTTAGCCGATGGTGACGGTTGGCTCGAATGAAGGCCAATGAGAGAGGTCCAAGGCTACAAAATGGCCTCCCTTCATGTGGTGGAGGAGGTCGATCAGTGCCCATGAAAAGCACACGGACGATATCCCAAGCATCATATTGGTGGGACCTTTGAGTTAGGTGAGATCTGTCATGAAAATTGCCTGGACCTTTGATTAGAGAGATTATGCTGAGCGATGACAAGCCATGTTTGCCACACTCACTTGGTGTCCATTTCGAGAATAGCCAGCGGAGCATGCGTTCAGCAGTGATACGGGAGCTGTGAGGACTCCCGGAACTTTTGACATCGAACATAGTCAACCACAGGGAGCAGCTGCTTTCTGATAAAACAGCAGGACCCCGGAGCTCAACGGAGCCGACCATAGCCTCTATTGTCTCAGTAACGATACTTAAGTCAACAAGACCAAGGCGGAGAGTAATATCCATGGCATGAGCTGCTGTCCTACATGTAGAGGCAGTGGCAACGTTGCGAGAGCACAACTGCCAGACGGTCGACCACAGCTCTCTGAGCTCCGGGGAAGATGACGCAACTTGGACTGCACAGCTGTAGCGTGAAAAAGTCATCAGCTAAACTTGCCTAAGGTTCAGGAACACTCATACCTAGCAGTTCCAAGCATCGCCCAGTTCAATGTGACAGGATTGCCATCGGAGAGTCTGGATGTTAATCTCTCCAGGACCAGGCGAATATCTTCCGTTGTCAAACGGACTTGCTGTACTATGAAAGTGATGATTTGAAGAGCAAAAAGCTTTTCCGAAGACTGTGGGCTTGATAGCTGGCGGAGGTAGTCCTGTAGATAGTCTGATGTGCGCCGCTTTTTGCTGGGCGTCTCTTGCACTCCTCGACGGTCTGCCTGGGATCGAGTCGATTGAAGAGCATTGACCAAGTCAGTGACGAAGAAGAGAACAGCCCAACTGTATTCAGACCGAGGGTTTCCTGGCTTTAGTCGGAACACTGGCAGGTTGAAAGGCGATTCGTCGTAGGGATACTCGCTTGCACAGCGTAGTCGAATATCCTCGAGCTGCAGCTGCTCGCGCTCCGTGCGCTTGACATACTCAGCATGCATTGCCTCAATAAGGTTTTCCAAGTCGATTCGGAGATCCGCGGTGTCAATCTGTGGCTCTCTCAGCATGTGGTGAATATGTGCCCTGCACAGTATCAGAGTATTAAACATCTCATCTTTCAGAGAAGTCAGCTTTGAAGACCAGTGACGCGTTATGATTGGTATCAAGCCGCGAATTGCGTGCTGAGTAGAAGTTATTGAGCCAAGACAAGTTCTGGATAGTACAGCATTGATGGCAGCAAAGGCATCAACCTGAGACATGGTAAAGCTTCGAAATGAGCTTATCCATTCCGTGAATGTAGGAATGACAGCCAAGGCAGCGGCCGGCATGGGAGCATTGGTTGCCGTGACAAGGCATCTAATGCAGACTAGGAGATCGTCTACTGCGGCGTGCGAGCTGGAGGCATTGCGCTGGCTAGAGGCTCCCTCACGCCTTGCAGGAGCCTCGCCGGAGGGGTCCGGGGTCATTGCGGGGGTGGCATAGCGTTTTGTGGCCCCTGGAGGCTGTGTTTCAGGAGCAAGGGCAGTGAAGGCTTCGAGGCAGAATTTCATAGTGGCGCTCGATTCCTTGACGGGCAAGTGCTCAACGTGGGGTGGATGCTGCAGGACCAGGCGCAAACACTTGATGTAGCCGGGAACGAGAGGGTCAATGTAGCCACTACCGGATGGATCTGGAAGCGCCTGCAGAATGTGGTCGACGAGTGCTCTCATAGTCTTGTAGCGGATGGTAAGCAGGCCGAGCTCGACGGTGTGACGCATACATTCAGCACAAGACATCATTATGCGCTGGGCCTTGGGCCTTTTGCCTGAGCCAGTTTTTGAAGGCTTGGCATGCAGCCATAGAGACCGCTGGTCGAGGTTCTCTTGGGCAAAACGTGTGAGGATATCGTGGTAGTCCTTGTCGGTTAGACCAGGCTTGGTGACTCTCTTCGTTAGTTCAAATTTGGCCTCGTCTTCGCGCTTCTGGCAGTCACCAATATTGGCAGCGGTGGGGAGCCTTTCTTTTCAACAAGTCAGCAAGGTGCCAAAGACCATCTGTACTACAGCATCTTACTAATGGCTGCACGCACGTCGTGCAGGTGGTGGTTGTCGTCGGGGTCGGCCATGGTGGATGACGTGCAGCGCCGCTATCACGACGAGCGGAGGGCCGAGATTTGCAAAGGTGCATTTGCAGCGCATCAATGTGCGTTCAATGGCCCAAAGCAGTGCTCGTCATGTGGGGCGGCGGTGGAGGGTTCAGAGGTGACGGAGGTGCGGCGGCGGCGGCGAGCGGACAAGCTCCAGATGGTCCGAGCGCGTCGGCCTGGCGCGCGTTTTGTCGAGCTGCTGTTGCTCCAGCCTGCCCGTCACCACCAAAACACGCCGTCTGCTGCACCCGCCGCCGCCGCCTTCCCGCCGCGCTCTGCGATGCCGCGCAGCTAGTCACCATGGCCGACACCGACAGCCTCGAGGCCCTGCAGGGCCTGCACCGTGACTTGCTGGCCCTCTCCGAGGCGCGTCTACCGAACATCGGGCGCCTGGAGGTCGAGCTGTTCGCGCGCGTCGACGAGTTCAAGAAGCTCCTGGACAAGCCCCGCAAGAATGATAAGAGTCGCGAGGCGCTCAAGAGTGGTACGACGCCTGTCCGCCTGCCATTGACCCGTGCTAACCCTTCCAGACACGCTTGAGATCGACGACGAGAAGTACCAGGTAAACGATGAGTTTAAACAGGACGTCGTTCGCGCCGCCGACTTCATGGACCTCGACGAGATCGAAGCCGCCAAGCTGTGCCTCGCCGCCCAGGATGACGCTGTCGAGCTCGACCGTTCGCTCTACGCCGCTGCCATCATCCGCTTCCACAAGCGCCGACAGTTCCTTCTCGAATCCCTGCGCCTCGTGCTGAAGCAGTCCCACGATCCCGAGGGAAACGAAGAGCTTGCTACCTTCTTTGGCGAGTACGTGCGTAGGGTCTTGGACATCAACGAGCAGATGCGTCTGGAGAATGGCCATGCCTACTGGCAGAAGTGCCTGGCAAGCATGGGTGACATTGAGCGGTGGCTGCAGGGATTGGCCGATCTGATGCTTGCTGGCAACATGGTTGGCAAGCCCGCTGAAGAGATGGAAATGATTGAGTTCCAACGCTCCAGCTTGACGCGCCAGCACGAGTCCTTGGCCGCCATCTGCACCCACCTGATCAAGGCTGGCTACACCAGCATTGATAACTTCCGCGTCCTCGTAGGGACTCTCAAGACCCTGAACAAGCACGACCTCGTCCTCGTCCATTATATTCCCATCATCACCTCGTCGATCAACCAGCTCGTGTCTTCGGAAGGTTCTTCGTCCCTGGAAGATGCGCGCGCTCTCCACAAGGTTGTCGTTGCTGGCGATGGTTGGAAGCTTCGCAACTTCCACGCCGCCATCATCGTGTGGTGGCTTGTTGAGTACAGCGGCAGATACGTCGACCCCGCTCCTCTGAACGGAGTTGATCTTGATGCCGAAGCCGAAGAGCGATCACAGTTGTTCCTGGACTCATTGAAAGACGGCGCCTTCCACTTCATGCTCTCCGTCAGCCAAGATGTCAGACCAAACAGATGGTACGACCCAGCAAAGGCGCGGTTATTGTCCTTCGTTCTCCAGGATGCACCTTCGTTGCCAGCCGACTCGATACCCATCTCGGATTTCTTTCAAGCCGTCTTCACGGAGCAAATGCAGCTCTTTGTCGACTCTTTCATCACCAACATGCCCGACACGCTGCGGAAGCTCAAAGTGGAGGAGGACGACAAGCGTCGAATGATTCATTCGCGATTCCACCCTGGACCCGTTGAGCAGGAGCTACACCTCGAGCGGTTCTTCCTTGTTATTTCGTATGCCTTCGCTGAAAGCCCTGATGCCGCCCAGAGCTTTTGGTCCGACACCGACGGCAATCTCTATGGTTTCTTGCAATGGGCAGCAAAGCGGCAAACCACGCCACGCGCCGCTGCGTTCTGTGAGATGCTAAAGTCTTTAACAGAGGGTGAGGATTGCGCCGCCGCTGCACACAGGTTTTTACAGGAAGAAGGCGCAGTAGCTTCCGGCAAGCTTCGCCGAACCACTTCTCTGAGCTACCAGCATATCCTGAGCGAGTTGCAATTTTACGCAACAAGCATCAAGGAAAAACCAACCCCTTCTCCTGCGATGCGTTACCAACGATCTGCTCAAGATTCCGATGACTATCTTGTTGAGCCCGAGACTGGCTTGATGCTCGAATGCCATTTGAGACTACTTACTCATTTGTGCAGGGAAAGCTCCGAGGCACGCAGCTGGATCTTGACCAATCCCAATTTCCCTGTTGTTGAGATGCTTCTTCAGCTTGCAACTATTCCCATGGAGAGCCGGCTGAGAGCAAATGTCTTCAGCGTGCTTAGCTCCCTACTCGTCGCAAAAACTGTTCCGGTCGGAGACAGCATATGGACCCAACTGGATTCTTGGATAACTCACAATGCTGTACCGCTTGCCATAACTTCGCGGACTACAGGTTCCGTTAGTGCAGAGAAGATTCTCTTTGACACAGTCGCAACAGACTACGACGAAGCAACGGCCTTCATGAGTCTTTTGACGGCTTTGGTCGCGCCTTACGCTGATGATACCGGACTACACGACACTCTTCCGTTCCCTGAGACGCTAGGCTCCAGCTACCGTATGCCAGGGATTGACAAGTACGTCGATTTCGCGCTCGAGCGTGTCTTCGGCCAGCTGTGTAAAAAGATTGAGGAGCCACTGCAGTTGCGCGTCCTGCGCTGGCACTGTCTTAACTTCATCTCAGTCTGCTTATCCACATTCAACGAAGATCTAGTCGTCTTCGCTAACTCATCAAACCTGCCCGTGGAAACTGCAATGCACTCCTCCTCATTACTTGCCTACGTGCAGCTCCACCCGTTCGCTCGCGTCATGGAGTGGCTCTTCAACGACAACGTAATTTCTTCTCTTTTCGCCGCTGCCCATCAAGATGTTGCAGAGGTCAACGACTCCACACCCGATTCCCCCCTGCTTCTCTCTTTAGTGAAGAGCATTGAGGTATTGGACTTGGTCATGAGACTCCAAAATACGTACCTTGACATTGAAAGGGGCGGGATTCGATCGCAGAGTGCCACACAGAAGAGAAGGGTTGCGAACACGGCCCTCGCCTCTTTCGAGGATGCGATTCTCAACAACCTCTATGTTGTCGTCGACCTCGGACTGTACTGCGGCACTGGACAGCAGGACTTGACTCTTTGCTCCATACATCTGCTGGAAAAGCTCACTTCGTCACGCAAGCTTGTCGTGTCACCTATGGCAGGCTTCGGACAGCGGTCTGATCGGAGTAAAGTGATTGGTATCATGGAAAAAGAAAACGACTCGGAGCGGATTGCCAAGGCTTTAACAGCGGAGATGGAGCTTGATCAAAGAGAATTCGAGCAAGGCCCAGAAGCGCCGGGCTACCTCATCAAAATGGGCATCCTAGACTTCCTAAACAGCTGTCTCGAGGCCATCCCCAACCGCCCTACAGTCGCACACCTCTTGCTTGGCTTCAGCTGCGGGGTGAGCACATTGGATATCCCGGATGATGGCTTGTTCGCTGCTGGTCATTCGCTGTTCCACTCTGTCTTACGTCTCGCGATCGAATACCCAGAGATGATCAGCGAGTCTTTTGCTCCATGGTCCAGCGGGATCAAGCAAAAGTGCATCAACATCCTGATGAAACTATGGAGGTCGCCTCTGTCATCGGCATTTGTCATGGCTGAGCTGCGAGCAAGCGACTACTTCCAGAGCCAGATGCTGCGACAGCATCTTGTAGATAACAACACATTGTTCTCTGGCAGAAACATTACTGATCCCGACTTCATCTTCCATCCCTCTGCTGTTGCGTTGGAAAAATTCCTCCAGCAGAGGACAGCCTTTTTCGAGTACACCGCCAGAGAACTTCGCCTGATCGGGGGCTTGCCAACACTCCGAGCACGGATGCAAACGGCTTTACTCGGTGTGACCGTCCTTCCCGATAGCGAACAGATAGCCAACCCAAGCGTCTTTGATTTGTTCGATTTCATGGAGCTTGAGGTTGTGGGCGATTACGAGCTTCCTGAGCTACCGTTGCTGGGCACCATGGACTTCGACATATGCTTATCACAGGACTCCTCTACCGGTCGGAAATACGACATCCGGCATGTCGAGGAGTTGATTACCATCAGGTCGAATGAGCTGCGCAAAGCCGGTAGGATTCTTTCGCCTGTTGAGGAGCAGCAGATGCAAGCCGATGGTCAACTCGTTTTAGGCTATCTCGTCGGCGTCAACCAACGGAAGGATATCGCACGCGCTCGGGGAGAAGTCCTCAAGGCCTGGACTCAACTTATGATGGTCCTTTTGGAGAAGGGCGAATTCGATGAAAGCACGAAGACTTCGTTCATTCTTCAGGCTCTTCAAGTGATCCTACCAAAGCTCGAGAAGGCTTATACTGAAGACGTCAGCACTGCAATTGATCTTGCCGACCTCGCGCGCAGGCTTTTGGCAAATGTTAACTTCAAGTCCAAGTCGATTGAAGAGAAGGGAAGAACAAGCGATCTTGCCAAAGACAGATTGTTGCAGCTCTTCCGGGTGGCTCTCAGCGGAATATTCTGCTTAGTGTCTAATGCAGAGCTACGCGAGATCTGCTACCAGATCTGCTACCGCTACCTCCGTGGGACGGCCAACAATGCAGGTAAACCTGCAAACGCCGGTGGCTTTGGCCGCTCTTTCAGCGGAACCCTTAACGCATCAGCTCTGGTCAAGAGCTCACCGCCACCATCGACCCTCAACTCTCAGGCCATGCGCACTGTCAAGTCGGCAGGAAGTAAAATGGTTGATGTAGTCTGCGACGACTCGTATGCAGGCCAAGGGACTTGCAGAATTTCTGCTCTCCTCTTCCTGGATGCTCTTGTGGCGCTCAGTGCTCGCGAGGATGAAAGATATATCATCGACTCGCTAGTACGGCTCAACTTCATTGACGTGCTCGTAGACAGTATCAAGCTTATTCCGACGGAGCTCCGGACCACCAGCGCAGCCGGTAGAACATTCCGATCCCATCTTATTTTATGTCATCCTCGCTAACAATATTCAGACGTACCTCTCCTACTTTCATTCATTGACGCCTACCTAGCCCTCCTCCTCCGCATCTCCCAGACTAAATCCGGCGCCGCTCAAGTCCTGAACGCCGGTCTTTTCTCCTCGATCCGCGAATCACAAATCTTCTCAACAGACCCAGATTTCGGCTTTGGTACGAGAACACCAACCTTGGCAACAATTCCCCTACACCAACAACAACAAAGCCGCCTTGCCAAAAAGAGCAACAGCAGCAGCAACACGCCCCTACCATGGGAAACACCATCATCGTCGTCAAAAGAGAAGAAAAACACGGCTAACACACCGGACCTGCGTCCCGCGAGCAACACAGAAATCGACAACCCGCACGCCCTCCGCAAGTTCTTCGACCTGATGCTCAGCGTGCTGCGCGTCGTCAACTCGGTCGTGGTGGTGCGCGGCCCGCAGAACGAGCAGTGCCGCCAGCAGGCGCGTGACTTCATCGCCGACAACCGCATGAGCGTCGTCGCCGTCTTCAAGCGCGCCGCCAGGAAGGGTGGGCCCGGCGAGCAGGCGACCGGCGCCGAGCTGGAGGAGTTGGTGGATAACTTGTGTCTGTTGATGACGGCGACGGATTTCTTGGAGGTGAGTTTGTTGCTGCTGCGCTGATTTTTTTTATCTCTTTCTTCTTGGAAAAAAAAAACGGGCGCGCTAATTGGAACGTGTCGTTTTTTGCAGTGGGAGGAGAAGGAGTCGCAGAGGCCAGGGATGCTGGCGTCGTTCTCGTAAAGTGACGGTGGAGGAATTTTTGGAGAAGTGGTCACTTGGTGTGATGATGGTGGTGATTTACGGTAAGGATTGCATACCGCGGCTTCAGTAGAGAGAGGAGTGTAAAAAGGAAAACGATTTTTTGACATGATACGCCGCGGATAATTGGAGATCAGGCGGGATGTTTTTGCAATGACAAGTCACGGAAAGTTCCAGCAATGGGGGTTCAGATCGAATCGAATGACGTGAGAGATATCAGGATCTATATTATTCTTTTCGTCTTGATCTCGTTAAATCGCACTATGCAGCAACGGCAACGGCGGGCTGTTCCTCCGGTTGTTCTATCTCCTCCTGCTGCTCCTCAGCCTTCTTCCTCTCCTCCCTCACCGTCCCGTCCTCATTCAGGCCCAGCTTGGCCAGGTCGGCGGCCAGCGGGTCCGACTCGACGGTGGCCTCGGTGGGGCCCTCGTAGCCGTCGGGCGGCAGGGCCCAGGGCGGCAGGTCCGTCTCGTAGCTCCAGCGGCCCTCCTCGCAGGCGTAGCGGCGGGCGTGGAGGTAGATGCCGAGCTCGTGCTCGCCGGGGTCGCTGTAGAGCGGGGTGCTGCAGACGTCGCAGACTTTGCCGGAGAGCTTCTCGGCCTTGCGCTTGTTGTAGTCGTCGACCATCTCGTCGTGGTAGGCGACGGCCTCGGCGACCTCGTCCTTGCCCATCTTGCCGAGGCGCGTCATGATGTCGTCGTCGTCGTCGGAGCGGTCGTCGTCGCGGGCCAGCGAGGGCCCGAAGACGCGCTGGTTGGCGTAGATGGGGTCGTTGGAGATAGGGTGGCCCAGGAACTGCAGGTGCACGCGGATCTGGTGCGTGCGGCCCGTCAGCGGCATGCAGCGCACGATGCTGTACCCGCGCAGCGACTTCCACGGCTTGCCCTCCTTCTCGGCCTGCCGGCGCTGCGCGTCCTCCCGCTCCCGCTGGGCGGCTGACTTGTTCGCGTCCTCGCGCGGCGGGTAGTAGGCCAGGCGGCGGAAGACGGTGCGGGCCTCCTTGCCGTTGGCGCGCACGCGGTTGAGGCCCAGCTTGGGCGAGATCTGCAGGATGGGCTTCTCGCAGACGATCTCGCCCTCGGGGAACTCGCCAACGACGCGGGCGACGTACTCCTTCTTGACGGTGCGGGCCTTGATCTGCACGCTCAGCTCGTCAGCGGCGCGGCGGTTCTTGCCGATGAACATGACGCCGCTGGTCAGGCGGTCGAGGCGGTTGCAGGGGCTGGGGTTGAACGAGTAGCCGCGCTGGGCGCGCAGGATCTCGACGACGCTGTTGTAGTTGTAGCGGCCGGCCGGGTGGACGGGCACGCCGGCCGGCTTGTTGATGACGATGATGTCGTCGTCCTCGTGCACCACGCCGATGGGCACCGCCGTGACGGGCGGCTCGTGCCGGTGCATCGTGTGCGAGATGACGTCGCCGTTCTTGACGATGTGGTGGATCGACGAGGCCCGCTTGCCGTTCACCACGATGGCGCCGTTTTCGATGCCTTCTTTCTAGGAGGAAAAACGCCGCCGTTAGCTGAGCAGTTCTCGAGCATAGTTTCTCCGTCTTTTCCTCTCTGTCTCCCTTTTCCTGCCGTAAACAAGATGTATTCCCCATGCTCTTGACCAAACAGCTCCAGGAACTCTTTCTCCCAGGGAGGTATTACGCACATAATATTCAACTGGCCGGTCCCTGAACTCGCTGGAAAATATATCCAGAAGCTCGCGGCCGCGCCATCGCTCCTTGCAGTAGGTGTTATAAGTATAGTGGTAGGGCTGGACGCGGCGCAGGCCGTTCTCGAGGTAGTAGGGTCGCGGCCACATGTCTCCGACGGGCGTCACCACGACGGGCGGCGGCTCCTCAAACTCCTCAGGCTTCGTGTTGTGCTCATCCTCGCGCAGGAACGAGTTCCTGGGCTCCGCCGGTGTCAGCGCCATGGCCTTTGGTCCTGCGATGCGCCCGCGCCGGATGAGGTATTCGAGGACGCGGGGTGAGGGCGCCAGGGTTGGCGATGTGCGCGGGGAGCGGAGGGAATGGAGGGAGAGGGTATCGTGGAGAAGGCGTGGTTGATTCGGTAGCTAACGCGACATGCTGGGGGACTTTTTTGGGTGGTCATCATGCAATGAAAATCTTATCTTATCGCTAAAGACCCTGGTCAGTTGAGCTGAACCTCGGCCGCTTTCCGCTGCCCGCCTTCTAGGCTTCGCAGCCGGCCATCGCCATGTAGACTACTTGTCGCGCGAGGTGCTTGCGCACCCTCAACCACCATCAGAGTTTGATTATTTTCTTGTACCTGCCTTGGTACAAGCCAATCACCATCATGGCACAAGCAGAACTCAAGGCGCGTCGCCGCAGCGACTACAAGTTCCACCTTGAGTACCGGACGCGATGGTAGAGCCTCCCGTATATCTAACTCTCGCGTCTTAATCGCTCTAACGATTCGTCCAGGAGTGACAACGACATGTACGACCACATGAACAACAGCGTCTACTACTTCCTCTTCGACTCGGTCGTCAATACCTACCTCATCCAGCACTGCGCGCTACATCCGCCCACCTCGTCCCAGATCGGCCTCGTGGTCCACTCGCATTGCGATTACTTCGCGCCTTTGGGCTTCCCTGCCGTTGCCGACTTGGCGTTGAGGGTGAATAAGCTAGGGAAGAGCTCCGTGACATACGAAATTGGCGTGTTCGAGAGAGGTATCGAAGAAGTTAGGGCTGTCGGCGAGTTCGTGCACGTGTTTGTGGATAGAGATACGCGAAAACCAGGAACGAATGGTATGAGTGAAAATCTGAGACAAGGTTTGGAGAAGATCATCGCCGAGATGAGGCATAAGTCCAGATTGTAGACTTTCGATTGAACCACCCACATAAGCATGTGCTTTTGGGGAACAACTGTATGTACATACAAACGAGAAAATACATGACAACATCCCAATGCGCCACAAAGCGTGCTAACAATATCCTAGATATCCGAGACCCAATCTTTCAAATCATGCGTCATTATAAAGATAATTTAAAACAGCATCCTCCAAACAGACGCGGCTTACCACTTGCCGCTTCCGTGGCCATTGTTGTTGTTGTGGCTCGTTTTCCACTTGTCTTCGGCCTTGTGCCCAACGAAGGCACCAAGAAGGCCACCAATGATAGGGTGGTCTCCGAACTTCTTGCCGCCAAATGCACCAGCGGCACCACCGGCCAGAGCTCCCATCATACCACGATCACCCTCGGCGGCATGTGCGGGGTCGGATGCACCGTATTGGTTGTAGTTAGGGGCATTGGGATCCGAGGGGTAAGGGTTCTGGTTATAAGCGCCCTGTTGGGGAAACTGCTGGGAGGGACCTTGCTGCTCATAGCTGCGGTTCGGGTCTTGGTAACCACTAAAAACACGGTTAGAATAATGCCAATGGCACAGTTTACTTGCGATTGAACATACCCAGGTTGGCCGTATTGAGGCTGGCCGTACTGCGCAGGAGGCTGCTGTCCGTTCTGGAAGCCACCGTGCGACGGAGGACCGTACGAGCCGTAGGCTTGTTGTTGGTTCTGCTGCCAGGACTGCTGCTGCTGGTTGTCGTAGCCAGGCTGACCGTACGATTGCTGCGGCGGATAGCCACCCTGCTGAGGGTAGGGGCTGTTCTGCTGAGGATAGCCCTGAGGCGGCGCTCCGTATCCGCCAGGAGCGCCGTACTGGTTGGGGTATTGGTTGTAGGGATCAGACATATCGAGAGTTTAACGAATCTGAATAGTGTACAGAGAGACTATCTTTGATGGGACGGAAAGTCGAATAGAGAGAAAGTTTGAAGTGAGGGTCAAATGAGGAGAAATCAGATGTTAGATATACAAGTCGGTTCCTGTACGTACTTACCCCGCCACTCTAGTACGTGCGGCCGCTTACGACGGATGCCAGCGCCTTCGGGCTCTCGGACGGACGCGGCTGAGCATTGCTGATGACTGCAGCTCAGCCCCCAAAAACGCCAAATGACCTTGCCTAACGAGGCGCTCCCCTTTGTAATCAAATCATGCAAGGCTGTGACATGCGCGTGTCACAGCGCAAACCCCTCTTCGCGGACTGAATGCTCCCAGCGGAAAGCGCAAGCGCTCGGAATGTTTGCGTCGAGGCGAAGCCTGCATTCGCATTTCGCTCGGATCGGACGGCAACAGGTCGGTCAGCTCAGTGCAGCAGAGTGCCCAGCCGGCTTCTCGGTGGCGCTGCACGCCCATAACCCTACCAGCAAGGCGCAGCACCGCCCGTCAGCCATCATGTCCACCTGGCCTTCAACCTTGTGCCCTGCGAGACCGTTGGGAGGATTTGAAATCCGATCATGTGAGACTTCGGTGAAGACATTGCCACCGCAGACGCAGCAACGACTCCGCCTCGTTGATCCCATATCCATCCCGGCATCCGCTAAACTACAGTGATTTCTCGCACCCTCTTTCCCACAAGCTCTTTCATAGTGCTACGCATAAATCCATCGAGGAAGGTTTCTCCTATTAACTTCTATGAGCCAGCCGGCCACGACTTATTGCGAAGGATCAGTGGCACCACCCCAGACCCCGACCGAGAACATCTAGACTTGGCCGCCTTTTTTTGTTGATTCAGGGCCCAGACCAACAAACCCACGAGCGGTCCTGTAAAGCCTTCTCGATTCCGCGGTGCAGCCTAGAATTTTGGCGAACGGCGTGCTTTGTCCGCTGAATTCTTTCTGGAAGTCGCTCCATTCCTCTTGGTTGTCTTTGCGCCCTGGCATGTTGTCGAAGATCTCGGCCGAATACTCCGCCTCTTTCTCAGCCACAGCACTCGGTAACAAAAGGGAACCTTCATCGCACATCAGTTCGTCCAAGTAGGCGGTAATTTTTCAGATACTTCGACCGAGCCTCTTCGTCGTTCCCGCTGAGATACAGCCCGGCTACCGAACTAATTCTAGCCCAGTCTTGGAATTGCGAGGATGCGCTAGGGAGTGTTGGGTAATCGTTATCCACTTCGAGGACTAGGATTCTCTAAAGCGCTTCCTGGCGTGTCTGACCCGTGGAACCAAACGTCTTCTTCATGCCCCGACAAAGCTTGAATAAACCTGAATCGCGATACTCCGTCATGATAACTTTGAGGGGTTCCTATATCGCGACTACGGAATCAAAACGAGCACCTTGGAGGAGAAGATACGGTCATTCGATCCAGTACGAAAGTCGCCCTGTCTATTCCACGTGAGAGCATCGAACAGTGGTTTCCCGTCACGGCTAATCCACCCTATCGAAAGTGGACAAGACCCGTGAACGCTTGAATCAGGGACCCCAGGATGGAAGATTATTGAGTGAGCCAACATGGACAGCATTATTAACAGAAATGGGAATCTCTGGAGGAAGACACCAGCCACTCGGCTATAGATGACTTCGGGTGTTTCCGACGAGCAAGGGATAATCAGCCTCTCGATACCCAGCGGTATTAACCTCCCAGCCATGCCAAGGATGGAATAGATGGAATCTCGAAGATTCGAGGCACGCTGCGTCCGTACTTTGTCAACAGCCCAAATGAGGAATACGTACCAATCCGCAATCTTGGGGCCTGAGCCGCCACAGAAGACGGCATTCAGCGGCGAGCGCTACGGCATTTCGACGCCGCGGTTGTCGATCAGCCAGTCCAGCGCGGGGATAAAGCGCTTGTGCAGCCACTCGAACTCGTGCAGGTCGTCTGACTCGGCCATGAGCCAGATGACGACGCAAAATAGCAGAGGCGAGGGTGTCGTTGAGTCCGCTCCTGGAGTTCGAGCAAGAGGATGCTACGGCTACCAGGGAGATAATTGTAGCCGTGTTTAGCGCAGACAACCGGCCCACGACTTTTGCTCATACTAACAGTCTACCACACTTTAGCTTCATGCCTATTTTCACTCGACCAAAATCACTAACCACCTTACTATGGAGAGCAGACCGGCTGCACATGAAGGAAACAAATTATTGATTGACAGGCTTAAAGCGGACCTAAGAAAGCTCTATGTTCGGAAAATAGGATATTTGAGAGAACAGAGATCTAAAATTGCGGTAAGAAAAGGAAATGGAACGGAAGAGACGTTGACGGGATGCAGCTAGTCGATGGGATTAGCTTTCTTTACCTTTGAGTTATCCGCCCCCTACGCCGCACGCCAAGGCCCAGCTTTTACCTTAAATGGCTACTATGTACTGCTGCGCCGTACTCCCATCCCGTCGGTTAGACAATGGTTGGATCGACACGCGTGGCGACTCGCTCGACATGATTGGCGACATCACTGAAGAAAGCAGTCTGCCTATCGAGCCGCTGGCGCGATAAAGATAAAATCTTTGGGTATCAGTTGAAGCCTGCGTGAATCAACACTCGGCTATTTTGAAGGCTGCTGCCTCTTTCAAAAGTGGAGCCACACCTGAGTCGCGTATCTCTGCGGCGTGGATGAAGCTGCCGCGGATAGCGCGATTACAACTTTATTCAACAGAAATTTTCTTATGGTGCTGTACCAGCAAGAAACCAAAAGAACAAATTTTTAAAGAAGAGAACACAATAGAAAAGAAAAGTGCTTACAATGGGGCCAAAAGTTGTCGAAGGTGACATGAATAGTTTGAACGAGTTTTGGCTCTCTTGTATTTGTCAACCAATTTTGGCCCTGATATTTTATACGGCCAACCTAGGGTGAGAACGAATGCACAGAAATGGCAGGAGTTAGGCAAGTCATTATACGTATGTACAATTCATTATTTATATCCCATTACACATTTCTCATCTACATAAAAAAAAATCTAATCACTAATTACCGTCCTACACTACTCTTACCAAAGCGCATTCCAGGCTCTGAGGAACGGGTTCCTCGCCTTCGGCTCCGGCGGGGCCTCCTCCCACACCTTGCACTCCTCATCAACCTCAGCCTTCCCACTGTGGATGTCAGCCTCGGCGGGCTTGACGAACTTGGTCCTCTTCAGGATCTTCCAGATGGCAAAGGCGACAGCGGCGAAAGCAACGCCGAAGTAGCTCGTAATAAAGCCCTGAACGGAGAAAGGGGCGAAGACGTCGAAGCCGACGAAAACCAGAATGGTCAAGCCAGAAGCGATAGCGATGTAGGCGCCGTAGGGCATGAAGGGGGCCTTCCAGGGCAGCGAGTCGCGCGAGATGCCCTGGGCCTTGAGGGCGCGGTTCCAGCCGACCCAGGTGACGACCATGCTGGTGTAGGCGATGTCGAAGGAGCAGATGGTCAGGTCGATGAACCAGCCGAAGACCTCGGTGGCTGATGATGATGCGACCATGAAGGTGATGCAGCCGATGACGCCGACGATGCTGACGCAGTAGATGGGGATGCCCGACTTGGTGCACTTGAGGAGGAAGCGCGGCGCCTGTCCGTCCAGTGCGAGCGAGTAGAGCGTGCGCGATGCCGAGTACATGTAGGCGTTACCGCAGGACCAGCCGGAGAGCATGATCAGGAAGTTGATGAGGTCGGGGAGGCCGGAGACTGAGTTGGCGAGTAGGTTAGCTGAGATGTTCTCTGGCATCTTCAGAAAAGGGGGGAAACTCACTGCCAAGGTTCTGGATGCCGATGACCCAAGGCGAGGCGGCAGCACCAGCTTCGCCGCTGTCAATGGCGCCGATGAGGCGGGAGTCGCGGCTCGAGCAGATGATGCCAACGCAGAGGGCGCCGAGGACGTAGAAGACGAAGACGCGCAGGAAAATGTTGCGGGCAACACGCGGGATGTTCTTGCGCGGGTTCTCGATCTCACCAGCTGCCATGGCCACCAGATCGGGACCGCCGAGGGAGAAGGCGGCATACAGCACGCAGCTCCACCATCCAAGGAAGCGTCCAGTCGAACCGTCGGTGTAGTACTCGTGCATGGCGTTGCCGCCCGTCCAGTGGCGGAAGCCGTAGGCGTCGTGCTTGGGGTTGCCGCCGACCATGGTGATGAAAGTCAGGAGAATGAGGCCGAGGATGAGCAGGATCTTGGTGCAGGAGAAGAAGAATTCACTTTCTCCGTACCATCTAAGGGAGTTTGTGATTAGCCCCAGATCATTTGAGACCAATTTTGTAGACTTACTTCACTGCAAAAACGTTCAGACCGTAGCAAACCACCAGCGCCATGGCAATCCAAATAGCAGGGTTTACATCACTCCAATACTGCATGACCGTGGCCACAGCACTCAGCTCTGCGCAAAACAACATGCTCGCAGCATAGAAGTATGTCCAGCCAAGCATGAATCCGAAAGCGGGGTCGACAAAGCGGGTCGCGAACTCGTAGATACTTCCTCGAATGGGCAGGTATGCCGACATCTCGGCAACGCAGAGGTAGCAGGGGAATACGAAGACGATCGGGTAGATGATGAAGGCGAGGAGAACCGAGAGGGGACCGGCGGTGCGCAGGTGCGAGCCGATGGCGACGAAGAGACCAGTGCCCACGGCTCCTCCGATCGAGATGAGTTGGACATGGCGTCCGCTGAGACCGCGTTTGGTGGTGCCGTATTTCTCCTCGATGCCAGCGTGGTGCGTTGAGATGGGGAACGTCTCGCCCTTCTGCGACTCGGCTGGCGAGGAGGACGCCTCGACGACGATGTCTTCCGGATCGGGTTTGCCCATGGTGGCGAGTGGAGGGTCGACTTCGGCTGGGCTGGCACTGGCCTGGGACTGCGATGTCCTCGATGGTTGTAGCGAAGTCGAAACAATTCAACCCGAGGCAAGGAGCCTTCTGCTGTTGGTCTGAAGTGGGGTGATACAATAGATACCAAAGGCCGCCAGGAAGGACGGGGACGCTGAAGATTTATCTACGTCCATGGTAGCGAGGTGCAGATATCTACGCCAGCTTCATGCATCGGCGACTATCCTAAAAGCGCCAGAAAGCCTGTGCGGCGGTGGCGGCGGAGATTGCCCTGGAGTAGGTCCTGCGATAAGTACAAGGAAGCAATGGGGCGAAGAACGAGGCCTGTGCGAGTCCGGGGAGGACAGTGCGGGGCGTACGTAGACATGCCGATAAGATACGGCTCCGCTGCGATACAGCCGGGCGACCTACTACCGCTGCAGGTAGCCGCTGTCGATCTGCGCTGATGACGCCCGAGACCCTCGCCGAGCGTTATCGCTGTCCGCCAGGGCTTGGCAGGCGTCTGCCAAGAGCGCCGCCGGTGAATAAGGCGGCGGACAAATGCTTTATCGTGGCTGATAGAACAGTACTGCCGTGTTCTTATTACGGAGACTAGCCCATTGGCGGCGTGGGCACCAGTCTTCAGCCCGGCAATTTCCAAAGCCTCGGTCGTGTATCAGGCGAGGGGGCGTCGCAAGTCTCAGCTCTCGATGATTTCTTCGAAATTTAGCACGAAATAGTATTTGGTGTAGGATCTAAGGCTGATAAAGGGGAATCCGCTCACCCGATACTGCCAAGCGAGCGGAAGCTTCGCCGAAATGCTTGCCTGGGAACTTACGCCGCGGAACCATTCTGGCCACTGCCGTTTGCTCCCTCGAACGTGCCATAGCCGCCAGCTTTCTTCGCCTCTCCGTCAGCAACTCCCCGAGGCTCTCTGGTCATGCAATAGAGCATGATAGCATCTCCGTCGTCGTCGCATTCCATCTCCTTCTTCAGCTCGAACCCAAACTTCTCGTAGATCGGCACGTTCGGATCCTTTCGAGAGCTTTCCAAGTATGCCGGAATGCCCTGCTCATCTGCCATCTGCAGCACCTCCTCCATCAACGCCCTGCCGATACCCTTGCCTTGGTACTCCGGAAGGATAGTTACGATGTTGCAGAAGTAGTAACCCTTCTCGTGGGTCCAAAGACGCGCCTGTGCCTTGGCCTGTGCATCTTTCCAGATCCAATAACGGTGCACTCGGAGGCCACCGCGACCAAAGCGCAGGTTCATCAGGCCCTGTTGGAACCAGAGCATCCAGTTGCTGTACCAAAGGGACCAGGAATCCGGTTGATCAGGCGGAGTCGGAGGGAGCCACATGGCCGTACCAAGAACCTTATCAGGCTCCGAGGAGCTTGGGTCTTTGGCGACGTAAAAGAGTCCATGCTTGATACCCCAGTAACAGCGAAGGGTAAGAGACTGGTGGTTTCGGGCGGAATTGTACTGATCATATCTTGTCAGCTGCATTTTTTCATGGGCCGGGGAGCACCACTTTATCGCTACCCTCCGCTCAGATATGTACCAGTCTGGACCCGAGCCCGAGACCAGGAAAAAATCCTTGAGGTCCAGGACGATGCAAAGAGAAAGAACGAAGAAGAACAAGGGGAAAATTCGGGTGCAGCGCAGAAGAACCGAAGAGGGCAAATAAGGACTATTCATACCTGGGACTTGTCAAACACCCAGTTCGAGTAAGGATCGTCCGCAAACGCCTGCTGAATGGTAATGATAGCACCGTCGATATCGGCGGGCGTCATGCGAGTAACTTTGATCGCCATCTTTTCTTTTTTCTCTTTGAATCCTTTGATACTTTGCTGATACTCTGTCGAACTAGCCGGGATCCTCTTGTCTCGTAAATATTTCGTCACCAAAGTTCCCTGAGCTTGCCATCCAAGAACAAGGCGGAGAAAACCTCAGGGTGGTTTGTTGTATCGCTTGATATAGCAAGAGGTCGTGTCTCTTGCGGTTTGGTATGAGGAATGTGTGCAGAGAGCTTCGGTAGACTCCGAACAGATGCCCTTATCGTCGGCGAATGACGCGTGTGTACGACCAAGAGATTCAGCTGATTGAACCCGTCTGTCCCAATCGTCGGGTCAGGATGGCGCAATGGGAGAAGTAGTCGTCAAAGATGCAAGAATTGACAGAGGAAAAGGAAGAGAAAGGCGTAGACGAGCATCCAATGGAGATTTTGTAGCCTGCGTCCCTTGCACGCCGCTACTCCGCTTATCCTTGCGAAAGTGGGGCAAGCGTGAATCTGTCCAAAGTACCCGCCAGCCTAACCGTATGCGGAAAGTCGACGCGGAACACTGTGGGACACGGCGGAGTGCGCGGCTTCCAGCCTCCACAGATGAGTGCGAGATTGCATGTCTTGTGTGGAATGTGAGCGTATATAGAATAAATCGGGTTCTTTATATACTTTCACGTAAGCTCTTTGGTGCTGCGCTATCAACCACATATAGCCACGACCGCATTCATGTCCGCCGAGTACGGTTGAGATAAGAATGTCGGCGAATTTCTATGACTTAATTCTAGACGCTCTCTTTTCTATACTAGTCAGTCATCAGTACCCCAGAGTTTCGGCGAGCTTGATAAAGAGCTGCAGCATTACACATCTTCTATCAAATTACCTAGCGGATATTCTTTAAGAAATTCATGTTGAGCTACATGAGTAGACAAAATGTCACCGTTTAGTAGATCTTCGGTATGCAAAATATTCCGTATTAATCTTGGATTCTTCTCTCATTTACCCAAAGTGTCATTGTTGATGATTAAATTCTCAATTCTCCCCTACACCAGAAAAACCCTATCACCACAATGTCACCCGCCAACCTTTCCAGAACGTAGACAGTCTTGATCCCGGTTTCGAAAAAGCCGCCAAGGCCCATCCACCGCCAGCGCGCCGTATAGCACGGCATTATCTGCCACACGAGACCTCCTTCCCAAAGAAGAAGTACCTTGCTGAGAGAGGGGAAGGCCAGACCACCGCTGCTTACGATCCCGAATCACTGACGTAGCATCGACTGCGCCACACGACACATTTATGACCAGCATTCGCCCGCTAGGCCGCAAGTTTCGTTTCACCAAGGCCTACATCCCCCTCTCAGCATTCCCATAGCGCCAGGAAAGCCAAGTTCGTGCCGCCCCTCCCGTTTCATGATCCTACCGGAAGAGAAGCAATCCGGATCGGTTGAGCGCATAATGCCAGAATAAGAAAGGAGGAATTCAAATCGAGAAAAGTAAAACGACGATTGACTCGGGTATCTGATATGGTTGATCTTCATTGCCATTTCTTTCTTCCCCCAGACGTGGACAGCTCGCTATACACAATAGGTATCAAGTTGGTATCAATAAAAAGAAAGCAAAGACCAACACGCGTGTACATGCATCCACGATTTCCCTTTTCGCCAACCAGCAGCTCAATACGGTGGGACACGTGGAAAAAGAAGCCCCGCATGAGTCCGGGAGGGAACTTTCTCGCTCCAATCCCCGACGTGAGCACCGTGTACGCCTCTTCCCGTCATGCCAAAATCCGACCGACCGACCGACCCCCAAATCTTACCTAAAGGAGTGTACTTTTAGACCCAACATATGGACAGCCGTGATATTAAGAGGCGCATGCATGGCAGATTTGCCGTTCCAGCCAGTGGAGCATCCCAGCAAACGCCAAAGAAATGCGACTCAGATTAACATCTCATCTTGGACTCACATGTAGTGATTGACGACATTCCGCACCCTGTTTTTTATGGCCGTGTGAAAGGCCGTAAATATTACTTGGATTTTTTTTTCTGGGTTAAAGTGCAGAGGGGATCATATGCGCGTCCAATACCTCGCTCGGCACCAAGCTTCCTCTCGGAATCTTGACCTCAGTGCCGGGATGCTGGCGGAAGACGGTTTGATCGCTGTACGACGTGTTCTGGCGCTGGTGGTACGCCGCTCCCCCCGGCTTGTACTGGCTGGGCACCGCGGGGACGGTAGGAACGCTGGAAGCGGGGATTTCTGGCTGCCAGCCAGGCTGTCCTTCGTCGACCTGGCCTAGGCCGCCGTTGGTGCTAGTGCTCTGGCGGTACGACCAGTGCGGCTGTTCGCGCAGCTGCGTCGACGGGATGCGGCCCGTCTGGTTGCCGACCCACGAGTCAACAGTGCGGAATCGCGCCACACTGCTCCTCTCCGTTGGCGCTATACTGGAGCGTCCGACCGAGTGTGGCGTTGTGGGCTCGATGGGGGTCGGTGGGGCTTGAGACGACTGCGTCCAGCTGAAGCGACTTTCGTAGCTAGGTTCCTTCTTCGCGGTAAAGCGCCGGCTTGTCGTGAAATTCTGGTATGTCGGCCCAGGGGCCTCGGGCGAGACGATGTCATCACGCTCTGCGCTATAGCGGCTTTGTCCTTGACTGCTCTTGTACGACTCGGATCTCTGAATGGGCAACGATGGTGGTGGTGAGCCATCATAATTGCTTCTCGACAAGAACGATGGCTGCTGGGATTGCAGGGGCAGCAAGGTTGGTGAACTTGAACCACTAGAACGAGCGTTGGACGGAGCTCTCGAAAGATTTCGCGGTGGTGTGGTGTCGTCCAGGAAAGTGCGAGTGGACGCCTGAGGTGTGCTCGGACGAAGACCAAAAGAGCCGCTAGTTGAATTCAAGTTAGCCTCATGACCGGGTTGAAACGACGGGCATCAAAACACATCTTGAATCCACGACGAAGCTGCCTTGACTTACCCGAAAAAATCACGCTGACCGCTATCAGGTCGGTAAGAGACCTGAGGCGGTTGCGGAAGAGGCATGCTCTCCTTATCCTCCGACATGTAGGCCGGCATGCGGTGGACAGCAGGCTTCGCAATGTCATAGGTACGGTCCGGCCGACCGCGAGAGCGCCGCGACATCTGTACCAGATCGCGGAACGTGAGTCCCTTCTTACGCATCGTGTACACGCCCCAGATTATCAACACAATGAGCAAAGTCGCACCTGATTGGGATTAGATGATGGGATTTGATATGGGCAGGGAATCACGCACCAATGGAGCCAGCAGCGATCAGAGTGTGCTCAGTCGTCTGTGAGATGCCCGAGGAGGGCGGCTTTGGAGGGGGAGGACCGCCCATTACCCAAACTTCTCCAGATTGCTCGGCACCATTCGGCGCAGATAGTGAAGGCGCGGCAGTATCCGAGGATAGCTGGGCCGCGGCAGTGCCAGAAGCACCGGTCGGCCGCGGGCCCCTGGTCAAGGCGGGTCCGGTAGGGTCTTCGTCCGGCTCGTCGCTATCACTGTCGTCCTCCTCTCTGTTGGTGGGATTGAAAGTCGAAGTGGGAGCGGCGAGAACGCTAGTTGACCAGGTCGACGAGAGTCCGGCAGGTGCTGGTTGCGATAGAGCACTGGTTGTGGGGGCGGCGGTAGTTGGCGAGGGCACGGGAGAGGTCTCGGGGGACGATGCTCCTGACGAACTGGCCGAGCTTTCGTCGCCTTCGGCTTCGTCGTCCGATGAGGAATCTTCCCCCTCCAATTCCGCGTCTTCGTCATCGCTGAGAGGCTCCGGCGCCTGTGCCGGGTTTTCCTGCTGGGGCCCCCGCTGCGCAATTGCTTGCAATTTGGTGGCGAGGGCCTCGCGCAGCTCCAGTGGCGGAACACGGTAACCGTATTGCGATCTGCGGATCGGCCCGGTGCGCCGTGGGCGTGAGGAGGACATTGTGGTCGAGATGTTGGCTTTGGATGTGGTGAAGTTGCTGGCCACGCTCGTTGCTACCGCGTATCTGGGCTTTCCAATACCATGCCTCTGGGGAAGAAGACGCGCTAAAGACGGACGGACGCCGGAGCTTTGCAGCAGCGGCGCAGAGGAAAAACTAGGAATATGAGATTAAAGAAAGCGCAGACCGGCTGCTCTACGGCGGAGAAAGAACGAAGACGGGCGAAAGAAAGTAAGTAATGAGAGAAGTCGAACGTAGAGGCTCGGCGCGAGAGCGTCAGCGGGCGCGAACAGGTAGCCAGGTTGGTGGGCGGGTAGAGAATAAGAGGAGCCGCACGGGACGCTGGCTGGCGACGAGAGGCGTTTGGGCCCCTTCGGCCCCGGGGTGGATGCTATTACTATGCGCAACATCACGGCGATCCGAGGCGATGCGATGCCCTTGCCCAGACTGGTGGTGTCGCGGACCTCTCCTGGGCGGAGCAAGAGATGTTTCAGATGCAGTCTCAGGAGCCAGGGCCAGCCAAAGACCGAGCGCGTAGCGGGCACTGCCGAGATGAGTCTCGTATGGCCGAGGGCCTGGCTGAGAGTGGAAAGCGCCGAGCACGTGAGTGGGCGTGGTGATGGCTGTGGTGGAGAGCGGCTGTGGTGGTGGTGAAATGGTCGCTGGGCGGCCCTGCACCTCTCAGGCCCGCACTCCAGTCTTTCCCTTTTCAACCGGAACTGTCCTGCTTCTCTCGCCTCCACACCTCGTTTCACGGCGCCTCGCAGACCGTCGCTGCTCGGCTATCGTGAGTTCTGCTAGGCGCCTTCCTGCATTTTTCAGTCTGTTTGTCTCACGTAGACAGATGGAAGAGGCTAATCTTTTGGCGTTGAGGGCGGCACGAATCAGAGAACAAAGTTTGAGTTAGCGAACCCCAGAGGCCGGCAAGCGAGACGCTTGGCTTTCTTCACCTTGCTCGCTGTCACGTTCTGGTCAATAGTTGATGAAAGCCGTGATTTCGGACGAACCTCCTGCCTTAATGTCCGGCATATAGGCTGGTCTGGGTGGATCTGTTTATGCTTGTTTGCAAATGACTATGTGTGAGTGAACGCACTGCCAAGTCGTCGACTTTGATTGCGAGCGCACCTTCTTAACCCCGCACGTGTAACTCCCTAGTCACGTCTCCCCCTCTTTCTTGCTCAGGAAGCAGACAGTCCAATATCGAAGTATCCGACCGTTGCGCGCACATTTGCGCAGCCGCTGGACGAGGAGCGAGATTGGAGGAGATGGCTGTGCACGCGAATTTTGGAGAGGGCCGGAACAGCTCCTTTCATTCCAGACCCGGCCGTAGTTCCACCGCCCGCCATGAGATGCCTGTCCACTAATCACACCACTACAAAATCCCACCGGTAGCCCTCCATTTGCCGGCTATTTTGCTCTTTGGTCAACTTTTCGGGCGCCATGCATATTCACAACGCAGCGTCCTGCTGACAAAAAAAACTGCCGGACGATATAATCCACCACACCCTGACGCGGACCGGCTTCTGGATTGCGTTAGGCACCCGATAACCTTCACTGGCCAGGTCCGAATTTAGAAACCAATGAGTCGCACCGCTCGCTGACCGTCGATCTCACATCCATCAGCCCTACGCTAGTCCCCAGAACAGTTCCGACAGCCCCCAGCCTCGCCTTCGCCTTGCGCGCTCCTCTCCTCCTTTTCCCAGAGAACCCGCGCCGTACCGCGCGCGCTCGCAGACACAGCTTCACTCATTCGCCGTTGTCTTACCAATTCCTTGCGCCAACATCGCGCGTTCCGTCAGCAGTTTGTCTTTCCATTACGTTCGTTCTCGCAAACCGCGCTGCAACCCCGCATTGAAGGAGACATTGCGGCGCAGCGGGTGTGGATTAGGTAGCATGGCAGAGCTGAGAAAAACGAACACGGAGTCAAGCTATATATCTCACCATCGCGCGAATTGCTCGTAACCGTGTCATCCACTCTTCTCCTACCGCGACACACTCGGACGAAAGAGAATAAGGGGAAAGAAGACGGAAGAGCACCCAACATTCCTTACCTGTTCACTTTTTTTTTTTAACTCTCCCCCAAAAACACCAACATCATGGCCACCGGCAAACCTCCAGTCGAGTTTCTCATTACCGGCGCCACGGGCGGTCTCGGCACGGCGATCCTGTCGACGCTGCTCAAAAACGGCGTGCCGACGTCCGCCATCGCCGTCGGCTCCACTCGCGAACACCTGGGATCAACGTACGAGTCGCGCGGCCTGCAGTTCCGACACACCAACTTCGAGAGCATCACGTCGCTGATGCGCGCCTTCCAGGGCGTCAAGAAGCTCTTTTTCGTCTCGACCAACACCTTCGACAACGAGAAGCGCAAACAGCAGCACCACAATGTCGTCACCGCCGCCGAGCAGGCCGGCGTGGGGCGCGTTTACTACTCCAGTCTTGGCATTGGTGGCGTCGACGGCCAACCGTGGGACGTCGAATTGATGGTGGCGCATCTCGAGACGGAGAAGATGCTGCGCCAGTCGCAGCTCGTGTGGACCATCGTGCGTGAAGGCGTGTATGCGGACGCGTTTCCCGTGTTTTTGAATTGGTACCCCAAGGATCCGCAGCAGGTGCTGTACCTGCCGTGCGACGGCGAGGTGGCGTTTGCGCTGCGCGAAGAGCTGGGCGAGGCGACGGCGAAATTGATGATGGTAGATGGATTTGAAAGGCAGAACGTACGTGATCTCATATCTGCTCCTCTTTTACGGGGGTATTTGACTTGCCAATCCGCTGATCACTAACGGCCCTGCAGGTTCTTCTCACCGGCCCGCGCGCCATCAAGCTATCAACCCTAGCGAGCGTGATCAACCAGGCCTCCAGCCGCGCGGTGCGCATCGAGTACGTCTCGGACGAGGAATACGTCAAGCGCAGTGCGAACAGGGACATCGGTGGCAAAGGCGAGGCATTTTTCCGCAATTGGGTGTCGTTGCTGCACAGCTTCGAGACGGGCAAGGCCGCTACCGTGTCCCCGCTGATGGGCCAACTGTTGGGTCGCCCGCCAAGGGACGGCGAGCAGGCGGTGCGGCTGTTGCTACAGCGCGAAAGAGACTATACCTGGCATCAGAATTATGCCAAGAAGGGCGAGAAGGGAGCTGCCAAAGGGTCCATAACCGAGTTTATGAAGATGGGATGTTGTTTCGTTTGAGGTCTGAAGAGGGAACGAGGAGGATGACGTCGTATACCTAGGGATGCGCTGAGACGGCCATCTTTTGGATTGGAGGATTAGCGTGTTTTGGGATTTTGATCTACAGTTCATCAAGCGGGAACAGGCGATAGGCAGGAGGGCGTACAAGCTACTAATGAAATGATTCCCCCAGTGTCTCATGAAAGAAGATCGGAATGGAGCATGAAAACCTGCAAACAAGCATTCGGATTCTTGGATCATATGTCTTGGTCCTCTCTTGGCACCAAGTCCTCGGCGTCTCTGTCCGAGACTCAGCCGGTTATGGCTCCGGCGGCAACCAAGTACGGTACCTCGCACCTCGCATTTAGCAAAACGAAAACGAAAAATCCGCTCACATAATTCGTGAAGTACCTTCCGATGTGCTAGCACCCGTCACGTGTTACCCCTCCATCCCCACTTGGCCGTGCGCCTCCACGCCTTGGACCTTCCTGCCCACCGCGGGAAATACCTTCCCACGGTTCACCCGGGATCCAAACGGCGATTGGCGCCAGTTTGGGACACCGCTCGCCATCGGCTTTTGACTTCCAAAGGCAATCACAAATGGGCTACTCTCGTGATTTGTTCATCAGCGGCGCACGCTCTTGCGAAGTGGAGATTTGGTTGGTAATAGGTCATCAGCTCATCAAGTCGGAAGTAGACATCATGGATACCAAGAAAAAAATATTTAGAAGACAAAAGGGAGTGATTCCCGTCGTGAAGTGTTCTCATCATCCGCCTCGTCCTTTCTCCAATTACCCAGACCCAACCCCGCTCCAAGAGCTGATACCATACGTCTTTCTCCTCCCTCACGCAAAGCAACAACCATGGCGAGCAAGACCTTCAACTTCGGCATCATCGGCTACGGCCTGTCGGCCAAGATCTTCCACATCCCGCACCTGACGTCGATCCCGTCGTTCAAGCTGTACGGCATCGTGCAGCGGACGCCCAAGCCCGGCGACGACTGCGGCGCGGACCACCCGACGGCCAAGTCGTGGCGCAGCGCCGACGAGCTGTTCGCCGACGCGGCCGTCGACGTCGTCGTCGTGACCACGCCGCCGGACTCGCACTTCGCCCTGACCAAGCGCGCGCTCGAGACCGGCAAGCATGTCGTCGTCGAGAAGCCGTTCGTGCCGACCCATGCCGAGGCCGCGGAGCTGGTGGCGCTGGCCCGCGAGAAGGGGCGCCAGATCGCCGTGTATCAGAGTGCGTAGCAAGATAACCTTTTTCCTTGTTGCTCTCGATATTCTGAGACGCTTTCCGTCCCTGTTTACCCCCTCTTCCACCAATCATGTGCACATTAAGGCCGAATAAGTCCTCCCCTTTCACATTGTTGCGCCCAATCACCATTCTTAGCGCCGTCACCTCAGTCAATGCATTCAAGACGCCTCCTGCGCCACACCCCGCGAAGATCATGTTGCAGGACTGCACACCTTACCTGCCTCATCCGCGCCAAGATCATCCGGCACGCCTAAGACTCCAGACACATCAAGGCCCCAAGACCACCTCTGTCTTAGAAAGCAGAAGAAAAGGCTTGAGTCACTGGGCGTTTCGCGTGCTGTTTTGTCTTGGCGGGGATCTCAGGCGGCCGGTAGATCACTACCTTTCTCCGTGGAAGAGTCCTTGCAATGCACACTACGCATCTCGGGGGGGTTGGGCAAAAGGAACGGCAGTTGGGCGAGAATGCGCAGGATGCACTCCGTCACAACCGCACTGTCTCACTCCCAAACGCACAACAATGAGCACTCTTATTCCATGGCGAGCCGCTTGCTGACTTGAAGCTTTTTCTCGCGTATCCAGACAGGCGATGGGACGCCGACTTCGTGACGCTGCGCCAGCTGCTTGCCGATGGCACGCTGGGCCGCATCGTCGACTTCAACACGCACTTCGACCGCTACTCGCCCACGCTGCGCGCCGGCTGGAAGGCTGAGACGCGCCCGGGCAACGGCGCCATCTACGACCTCGGCACGCATCTGCTCGACCAGGTCGTCACGCTCTTCGGCCTACCCGCGCGCATCACCGCCTTCCTCGGCAACACGCGCGGCGATGCGCCCCTCAGCGCCGGTCACGCCGAGCCGGGCGACTCGTTCACCGTGCACCTTCACTATGCAAACGGCATGCTCGCCACGGCGCGCGCGGCGGTGCTGAGCGTCGAGGAAGAGCAGCTGCGCTACTGGGTCCGCGGCGACAAGGGCAGCTTCAAGAAGTTCCACCTGGATGTGCAGGAGGATCAGTTGTTGGCTGGTCTTCGGCCTGGCCAGGAGGGTTACGGTGTTGACCCGGAGAGTCACCATGGTACTGTGACACTGATCAAGGACGGCAAGCCGGTGCGCCAGACGCATGCCACCCTGCCGCCCAAGACCTATGTCGAGTACTACCGCATCTTGGAGAAGGCATACAATGGCGAAGATGAGGTGCCGGTCAAGGCAGAGGAGGCAGCGGCAGTCATTCGGTTGGTCGAACTGGCGAAGGAGAGCTCCAAGCTGGGGAAGACTCTTGACGTCTAAATCCTGTTGTTTATTCGCAGTCAAGTCTGGTATTCTTCAAATCTATACCTGTTTTCCAATGTCAACATCCGGGCTCGACCATCTGTAATGCGCACGACTCATTCCAAGCCCGGCGTTGTCAGCAATGTTGAATTCGCCTAGCACATATGCTTTAACTGTTGTGTATTCCCTTCCCTTCCTTATTCCTCAGTGAAAGTCTTATATTCCTCGGCGCTCATCAAGCCCTCGGTGGGGTCGGCGCCTTCAGCCAGTTCCAGCTTTGCGATCCAACCGTCGCCCTCGGGGCTCTTGTTGATGGTGGCCGGCTTTGCCTCCAGGTCCTTGTTGACTTCGATAACCTTACCCGGCAGCGGGGTCAGGATGTCGGAGGCGCTCTTGACCGATTCGACGGCGCCAATGGCATCGTGGCCGCTAAATTCGGTGTCGGGGACGGGCAGCTCGACGAAGACGACATCGCCCAGCGCGTTGGCGGCGTAGTTGGAGATTCCCAGGGTGACTGTTTATCAAAAGCAAAGGTTATTATGTATTGCGCAAAGATAATAATCACGCCGAACCGGCGAGTCATTCGGTCGGAGGGAATGGCGAGAGCTCATCGGCGGGGTGGAATTTGGATGCAGCGAAGGCAGAACAGAGGGAGCAACGCACAAGTCTTGCCGTCGGCGGCCAGCTCAATCCACTCGTGGTCCTGGGTGTACTTCTTCTCCCAAACTGCAGGCGTCGAGCGTGCGTGGTTAGCGGCCAGCATCGGCGGGCGAGGGGCACTCGGGCGGACTCACTGGCAGCCGATGCGGAGAACTGCCTGAAGCTCTGCTTGCTCCAAGCTGGTGCTGCGCTCCGGCAAGCGAAAGGGCGCGGTGCGCGGGCAGCGGAGGTCAATTGGCGGGCAGCGCGAGCGATTGAGGACCGGGCAGCCATTTTTTCTGTGGTGTGAGGCGGAGGATTTCGGTGGTTGTGATAAGAGTAGCGCTCGGCGAGAGAGCTTCGATGACGAGAATAGATGGCTCGTGCATGCGGCGCGCCGCCGGAATCATGAGCGGCGAGTGGAGAAACGAATGACCGGTCGGTGGCCGGCGCTCGCGACTTTCTTAGAGACTGACGGATGTGCAGACGCGTGCTAAGCCGCTCACCCCCGCCGCCATCATGCTGTACGAATTAATAGGAATTGTACGCCCGCTGCTCTGTCCCTCCGCAGAAGCGCGATTGCTGACCCAATGCGCAGGTCCGACCGGGCAAGATCCACGAAGTCAAAGAGTATGCTGCCGCCTCCGCATAACCTGCTTCCTCATCCCACCAAATACGACTTCTCTCTCCCATTCGCGCATACTGTTTGCTGATTCCGGCCCCTCTGCGGTATCTATAGAATCGCCAAGACTGCCGGCAGCATCGTCCTCAACAGCGGCGGCGTTGTGCGCGGTGTCACCAACTGGGGCGTCTTCCAGCTGCCCAAGCCATTCCGCAAGCACCAGGTTACCCACTATGCTGGACACCACTTCATCATACGCTTCGATGCCTCGCCTCGCGCCCAGCACGCCCTGCGCCGTACCATGGGTCTCGACCCCCGCCTGATCCGCCACTCGGTTGTCAAGCTTGGCAGCAAGCTCGAGGACATCGTCGACGTGCCTGGCGTCGCCCCCTGGGGCTCTGGTGATGCTGCTTATTCCTCCAAGGTCAAGGTTTCCGAGCCTGACGCCGCCCCGGTCACCAAGTGGAATGATATGGCGGAAGTGGGAGCGGAGCAAAAGAACAAGGAGAGTATGAACCATGTGTTTGATTTGATAGACAAAAATCGTACCAAATATTAGGGCATGGAGCGGGCAGAACCTATGACGAAGGGGCAATCGAGTTAGCGACAGTTGGTCATGTTGTACAAATACCGATGGGATATGCATGGCCGAAATGGCTTGAGGCGTTTTAGGATAAAGGGCATGGGCGAGATGTCTTGAAAGCAATCAGGCGGGTTGCAAACAAAAAGATTCATGAACTATGTAAATCACTACATCTCCGAAGCATGTGTGTGCCTCCGAGTCTGTCACTGACAGTCGTTGGGGGAACTCCAGGTCTAGTTCGTTCTGTATCTTCAAGCAGCAATAGTGGCTAAGACGATCTAGGACTGCAGGGTTACTGGGACTCCCCCTTGCTCTCCACTCCTCAGCATGGCCTCCAACTAGAATCGAACCGTCAGCCGATCTACTCGAGTTTCGGTCTGTCAAGATCAAAGTGATGAGCAGGGAACATACGATCTCCAAATCCTTCAGTGCCTGTTCCGGCGCCTGTCTCTCGTCGAACCCGCCCTTCTCCAACTTTTCACCCCATGCCGCAACCTCCGGGCCCACTCCGAAGGTCGATTCAGGGAATTCCTTGCGCTCTTCTCCGTCAACGCCCGCGCGCTGGACGGTGACAAAGGCCGGCGACATCGGCGCCGAGCCGAAGCCAGTGGTCACGGTGCCGCGCTCGCAGACGACGCGGTACTCGTGGCCGCCGACAGGCGCAGCGAAGCTCGTGGAGAAGGTGCCCGAGGCGCCGTTGCTGAGCCGCCAGACGGCGTCGACGGTGTCGACGGGCGGCAGGTACGGTATGTGCTGCGCCGTCAGAGCCGAGACGGACGTCGCGTCGCCGGCCGAGGAGACCAGCATGCGGACGGCGGCGATGAAGTGGACGCCGCCGTCGAGCAGGAAGCCGCCTTGGTGGGTGGGGTTCTTGCGCCAGGACGTCGCTGTTTGAATCGGGCCATCGTCAGCTCCTCTTTACTTCTTCCTTCCCTCATACATTTGCCCTTCTTATGGAGCGGGGAGCTTACCGTGATATTTGCTTCCTTCCTTCACGAGAATGTGCATCCTCTGGCTGAACGCTACCACCTTTCCAAGCTCTTTCACCTTCTCCGCGCCGTACTGGTAGGACTCGAAGAAACGGAAGTTCTCTGCCACGCCCCACGTGACTTTGCTCTTGTCAATGTTCTTGTTGTACCATTCGAGCAGTTCACGGGCCTCGGCAACATCCTTCGCGATAGGCTTTTCCGACAGGACATGCTTGCCAGCACTCAGAGCGGCTTTGATGTAAGCCGGCTGGGCTGGAATTGGGAGCCTTGGGTATTCCCCATTAGTGGATGATTCCCGTTGGTTTCGGATTATAAGTTCCGGTCTACATACGCAATGATCACGCCCTTGATGTCCGGTCGCGCGAGCAGGTCAGAGTAACCCTTACCTTCGCCGGCATCCTCGCTATAGAGATCGACGTTGGGGGCTTCAGATGCGAGTGCTTCTGCCGATTTGAGAGAGCGGGAGAACAGCGCCTTCAGCGTCAAGGAGGGCGCTGCTTGGACAGCAGGCTAGAAATTTGGGTGAGCTTGTAAAGCTGAAAGGTGGGTTGCACCAGCGTACCATATGCTTCTCGCGGACGAAAATGCCTGTCGATGATGTCAGAGTATATTCAAGATGTTTGAGGAAGCACTTACCGCTACCAATAATAGCTACTCCGACAGACATTTTGAATCACGGCTTTGAACTTGGATACGACCAAGAGAAGAAGAGATCCAAAAAGTTGCTGGTCTGGTATGGATGATAGAGGGGCTTTATGCTGTGATGGACATGCGGGGCACGCTAGCGATTGGTAGTCATGGCTGGTAGAGACCCACAACCCACCTTGGCATGGCGGCAACAACAACATCTCGGTGTTGTTCTTCCGGTTAAAATCGTGAGTGAGGAGCTCAGACGACCACCTGCGTCATCCTGCATTTTATCCCTTAGCGAATCCTCAATTGAACGTATTGCAGAACTGTCGCACTTACTTCACGTGTCCACTTCATTACACCAATTTCCTGTTAGTCGCAACGCTTGGACCTTCCTACACTGCTCCCAATTTACGTATCGAAAAAAAGGATCAAAATTTTGGTGACTATGCTGGGCGGCGGTACAAGGTCTGTCATGGTGCTTTACGTTTTTTTTTATTTATATTTTTTGCGCACTCGTAATTAAGTTAAACCGTGTTTTAAAGGAATAGTCCTCACAGGTTTACTAAAGACCTCTTAATCCTTTTGAAGATGTGCATAAAACAGAAGTGATTTATAACTTCACGCAACAATACGTGAATATATAGTTTAATATTAGTGCGATAGTAATAACTGTAGCTAAGATAAAGTCAACTGGGCATTGGTCGGTGATGGAGGAAGATAGAAGAATATATACATAGCAGTACGTTTGAGTTTAAGCATAGAAAATCAAATAATCTACAATAGTTTCCAGCTGCAGGTCCGGAAGTAAAGACGAATTAAACTCTGCCAATATGCATACCATCAGATGACTTGGACGGACATTTCAGCTGCCTAGGCTCTAATTCTTAGAAATATTTTTATTGAAACTTGCATCTATACAGATATCTATCTTAATTCCCTGCTACAAAGGTCGTATCTTTTGTAGAGTAAGAGGACTTAAACTTCCTGCAAGTCACCATGACTGCTAATGGCGAAGGTATTCTCACCATTGACTAGATAGCAACCCATCAAGTCAAATAGCACGGATGCGGTATTCGTAACAAACACAAGGCAAGTCTCTTTGAATGCAAATTGGAGTAGAAATATTATAGTTTCGTAGCTATCTACGTTGCTCGTCTACGTCCCGTGTGAACACGGATGTGTATGCGTGTCATAACATAAAACATTACGCCTAAGCACCGAACTCTCGGCCCAGAAAAGTATTAACGTGAACAGTAAACATTACGCTTTTTACGCGCTAATCGCCTGGGGGTTCCAGAAGACGTTCTTGGGGTCGACTTCCTTCTTGATACCGACCAGCTTCTGGGCCAAGCTGTCACCGTAGTACAGCTTGTGAGCCTCTTCGGCGCTCAGGCTAGGGTCGACGTAGTTCAGGTAGGCACCAAACTCAGCGTTGGGCATCTTGTCGGTCATGGCGTCGTTCAGGCCCTGCAGCCACTGGTGGCTGGCATCGCCGGGCAGGGTCTCGTCGGCACCGGTGAAGATGTAGTGCTGGGCAACCCACAGGCTGCTGCGGTCGCTGTAGGCGGCGAAGTTGACATCCTTCTCGTTGACGGCAGAGCCGGGACCACCGTACAGGTTGACGATCGAGTACCAAGAGGCGGGCGCAGAGGGACCCTGCTGGATCATGTACGAGAAGTAGGAGTTCAGGGCGTCGGCAGTCAGGGGAGTGCTCTCAGGCACGGTGACGGACTTGGCGAAGAAGTTGTCGTGCGAGTCGTAGCCGGTCTTGGGCGTCGAGAGCGAGGACGCGCCGCCGAGCTTGATGAGGAGGTCGATCCAGCCGAGGGACTCGACGGTCGAGGTCGTGGGCGTGGGCAGGCCGCGGAGAAGCTCAGGCGCGACCTTGGCCTTGAAGTCGTCGAGAGAGCCGAAGTAGGAACCCGAGAGCGAGAAGCCGTAGCCGTCCATGTACATGCCCATGCCGCCAACCTTGGCGTCAATGACGGAGGAGTTCTGCGAGACATCCTGGATGTGCTGGAAGTAGCCGGCCGTCTTGCTGGCATCAGAGAACATGCCCGGCAGGCTGTACGCGAAGTAGACGACGCTGGAGGGAGCCTCGTGCGTCTGCAGGTAGAAAGAAGTAATGATACCGAAGGAGTCGGCAGCACCACGAAGAGCCTGGAGGGTGTATCAGTATGGGTGAAAGAGAGATACTTGAGGGAAGACACTTACGTAGTAAACATCGGCGTACTCGGTCTCAGTTGCGTGAACAGCGGTACCGTTGGCGAGGACAACGTCAAGGCCAACGATCTGGTCCATGGCAAGACCCCAGGTGCGCGAAGCGTAACCATAGCCACCGTGAGTGAAGTGACCACCGATACCAACGCCAGGGCAGGTTCCGTGAGAGAGAGCACGCTTGCCCTTGTCGTAGATGGTCTGCGCCAAGTTGCCCAACCTCAAGCCACCACCGACCTTGGCAATACCCTGGTCGTCAAGAGTGACATCCTGGAACTCCTGGAGGTTGATGATCATGCTGCCATCCTTACCGCCAGAGCTGAAAGAGGCGTAAGAGTGACCGCCTCCCTTGGCCTGAACCTTGATGTCATTCTGGGAGGCGCAGGTGACGGCATCGGAAATGTGCTGGACAGTGGTGGGGATGACAATGACAGCCGGGGTGTAAGGCAGGTGGAGGTTGTAGGGCTTAGCGAGCGAGGAGAAGTCGGCATCAGACGTCAGTTTGATGGGCACGTCCTTCTCGCCCAAGCAGTCGGTCAAGCCCGAAGAGGCGCCACTAGTGGGCGTGGAGGTGGGCTTCGAGCTGGAAGTGGCAGGGGGCTTCGATGTCGTAGTAGCACCGCAGGTACCGGCGCTAGACTGGCAGCCCGTGCCACAGTATGTGGACTCGCTACCACACCAGCCGTATTGCGAGCAACACGAGCCGTATGTCGAGCCAGCACATGTGTAACCAGTAGTGCCGCCGCAAGAGCCGTCGGGAGAGGGAGTGAGGCCGCGAGCGACGTTCAGAGCAGGTGCCGGAGCTGCCAGGGAGCTGCCGGCAAGGACGCCGACGGTAAACAACGACTTGATCATCGTTTGGGTTCGATACAAACGATGGACTGGGAAGGAACCCGAGGGTTTGAATTAAAATAAATGGGACAAGCCGCTGATTAGGTGAGAATTGCTTCGAGAAAGACTGGGCAGTGAGCGAGAAAGCAAGATACTTAAGGATAAGCCGGAGGATGCAGCATAGTTACATCAACGCATAGCTTCAGGCGCTACTGGCGTAGATCTGCCCGCTCGAGCCGCAGGGCTGTTAGAGTGAATACGATGGCTCGGGCCCACATTAGGGCGGGGAAAGCGCATGGCGAGTAGCTTCCCGAGGGGCGCCGAATCAATTGGCGAAGGATTTCAGGATGACACGAGTTGCCACGGCCAGTGGGAGAAAAAGCATCTTGTTAGCGCTGGCACGGTGGCTGATCTGGACGGAGGCTGGAGACGGGAAGCGACGACGGCCCAGAGAGGGAGCGGAGATGACTAGGCTTGGAAGGGACAGGAAGAGGCGCCGCCAGCCGGGGGCGGCGCTGTCAGTGCTGGCATATTCTCGGGAGGAGCTGGTCATCCAGGGACGACACTGGGCCGGTACCCAAAAATAGACGCCAAGAAAGAACGTCTGCCTCCGCGATCCGCCTTTGCTCCACAGTCGCATTCGTGGCTGCTGGCAAGAGCGTGGCAGGCTCCGTCCGACTGTAACGTTGTTGCGCTTTGTTCTGGTCAAGAGGGCTGAGCTGCTCAACGACGTCGGTGGACGGGCGCACTGTTACGGCAGCAATTCCGGACATAGGGATTTTTTGTGGAGATCTCGGTTTCTCGATCCATGCGCAGATCAAAACGCCTCGGTGCAGATCGCCTAGTGGTGCTGGTGACCAGCAAAAGGGGAAATCCACGATGTCTGTCGCCGACACATGACCGTAGTGAAAGGAGGTGTTGGCCTTATGAGCCTCTCTGCGACTTGTGCGGAAGCGGACGGGCCATGGGTGCCAGAGCTTGATAGCCTTGGCGCGGTCAGCCTTGTCAGAAGGCCGTTGAGAAAGCAAGTAGTTCCGAAGAAGCCGCAGTCCAGGCCATATTGACCGTCGGTGAAAGGAGAACCGTCTCCTCGTCGAGAGAGAAACAGGACTGCCGCGCTGGAACCGGCACTCATCTCCACTTTTCTGCTGACGGGCTGACATCCTTCACATGCACTGCCGCCCAGAAGCAGGGTACGGGGGTGATACAATTTCCGTTGTTCCAGTCGCAGCCATTTTCATTGGCTCGACGCCGGAGTGGCTGGCAAATGGCAGAGTGACAGAAATAAGTATCCTCACAACGTCTTCTTTCGCTCGCTTAAGCTGGAACAAGCAGGACTCACCCAACCTTCATCTATAAGGACTCCGCTAGCCATCGACCAGCCGCTGGCTGGACGCTGCCAGCCGTCTGAAAATTCTATAGGCCAAGTTCCGAACGCCAGCTGACATGCAATTCCCGTCTCCGCTTACTCAACGCCAAACTCGCTCGCTATGCCGCCAAACACTCCAAATAGCACTCCCACTCAAAAAGCCACTTTATGTAACGCTCGTGCATCACCCGCATGCAAACGCAGCCGTTGGCGTCCTCAGTCCCGATCCCTCTCGTGACATCGGCTGAGAAATGGCCGTCTTGTCCGGGCCAGTGATTGTCTGGCCCTTCTGCACTGCAAATTGGGACGACCGCTTGTGTGCTGGGTCCTGGATCTGGAGATCATGCATGTTAGATTAGGCTCCAGGAACACGCGAAGCTGCAGGGTGATATATCGAAGGCTGCTTACGTAGTATTCATCCATAATCGGGTGGATCATGACCGTCTGCTTGTGGATAGTGACGGTCGAATTGGTGGGCACCGTGACCCAATTGTCGCGCTCAAACGTCAACGGTTCGCTCGCAACGAGGACGATGTCGGCGCCCTTGTCCTTCCGCTCCATCTTGTAGTCCTTTTTGTCGGCGTCGATGTTGCTGTTCTTTTGCTCTTTCCAGCTCGTGCCAGACGAGAAAAAGAGACTGGCCGCTTCGTCGGTCTTACTGCTGACATAGCGCGTGCACACGACGCTATTACCATCAGTGACCGCAAAGTTGAGCAGACTCCGCTTGTCCTCCTCCTTCACATCTACGGGAACCTCCTTCATGAGCGCGTTGATCCTCTCAATCGTCTTCAGCATAGCCTTCCTCAACACCGTGTGTCCGAAGCCATTCTCTCCAACCTCCGCATCTGGCGAGTGTCCCATGCGGTCCATGCAGTCCAAGAAGAGCGCGAAGCACCATTCGCTATCAGTCGAACCCTGCACGAAGTTGAACCACTGGTCGCCCAGCGACGAAGCCAGCCTCCTCTTGACATGCTTCCAAGCGCCCACGCCACCATTGTGCATCCACATCAAGCTCTTGTACCGGAAGGGGTGGCAGTTGCTGTCCGACAGGTTGCCCTCGGTGGTGGCGCGCACATGGGCGAAGATCAGGTTCGAGGTGGTCTTGGAAGCGAGGCGCTCGAGGTTGATACAGTTCCAGGCGGGAATCGTTGAGGTGAAGATGCAGGGCTCAGGGCCGAGGTCGGGAGAGGTGTAGTAGCCAACGCCGAAGCCGTCGCCATTGTGCGGCCGGCGCGTATCCTGGAGAGAGCTATGTGAGTCGGCGCGCAATTGCGGTAACAGAATTGCGGCGGGGCGGTACCAAACGGAGGCGCGAGTCGTAGGATTGGGTAAGAATGGAATGGGTGGGATCGAGAATCAGCTTCGACAGCAGGATCTCGTCCTTGCCCTTGTAGACCTGTATGCGTGTGAGCAGATGCCACTCTCGGCGATAAGCTGTAGGTACTGACAAGGAACCGGCACATTGTGAACTGCACAGATGGCGCACAGCAGGCAGACGACGAGGGTCAGTTAGGGGTGGCGGAGAGAATCGGACAGCTTGCACGGGCGGAGAACAAGGACACAGGTGCGTGGCACAAAAAGTATGTAGTATTCAGGAGGATGCGGTATGACTGGCCGTTCCGAATTGCCTCGCGCGATGACGCGATTGGCAGCTTGCTTGCCTGATCAGGCACCAAAAAAAAGCGGACAAAAGGATTATCGCAGGCTTGCCTGGGCAGGCGCGTGAGACCAACTGCCCCCAGGCTGTGTCTACTCGGGACACGTTCTGCAGAGGAGCGCGGTGTTGTAATGCGCTGGGGTTCGCGGCTAAAGAGGTGCACGTGGAGGGCAAGGGCTCTACGTCAACTCTCTAATCCTCGCTCTCCGCCGCAGGAGACACCGATCCCCGATCACGCCGCTACTCACCACCAACACCACGTGCCTAGCAGCCCGCCACCATATGCGCAACTGGCGGCTGCGCTGACATCGCGAAGCAAGAATGAGCGGGAGGCTCCTCTCCGCGCGTCTGGCTCCCGTCGCCCGCCGCGCCGCCTCGGCTTCCGCCTACGCGGCCCCGCGGAGGTTTACCCATTACCTGAGCTCCAACGCCGGCGGTCTCCTCCGCTCGCAGTCCGGTCTACGCTCGACGCGACTTCGAACATGGCCCCCCGGTGCCTACGCTCTCCATAATGTCCCCGCCGTCCGCTCCATCTCCTTTATCCGCATCCTGCCCCGCCTGTTCCAGAAATTCGCTACTCTGGGCGCTGTGGGAGGAGCTACCATTGTTGGAGGACTGGTATACTTGCAGAATCAAGCTCAGAGTACGTGTACTTGAATATGGATTCAAATTGTCGCCTGGCTGATGCATTTGGATAGAGGGTGCCGACTACGCCATTGACCTGCTCTCACGCGGCCGGGACTTTGCAAATAATACCGCCGGTGGAATTTTCAACAGCGCCTCGGATGTAATCGACCAAACTCGGCGAGGTTGGGAGAAGACCAAGCAGGAAATCGAAGTTCCAGAATGGTTGCGGAGCATACTAGCAGGCGAGGGCGAGGAGGGTCAACAAAACTCATCGGGCCCCGGAGGTGACCCCCAAAAGAGCGGCGCTGGTGCTGCGGCTGCTGGAGCAGCGACTGGGGCTGCCTTTGGCTATGGCCAAGACAGCAGTGATGATGACCGCTCGGATGAGAGGATTGCTCGAGATGAGCAGATGATGATGCTTACGAAGAAGATGATTGAGATTAGAGGGCTTCTGCAGACTGTCGGGCAGTCGGATTCTTTGACTCTGCCCTCGATCGTGGTTATTGGGTCACAGTCTTCCGGAAAGAGCTCGGTGTTGGAGGCCATCGTCGGCCACGAATTCCTGCCTAAGGGCTCGAATATGGTCACCAGAAGACCTATCGAGTTGACGCTTGTCAACACCCCTGAGGCGCATGCAGAGTACGGTGAATTTCCCGCACTTGGCCTTGGAAAGGTCACGGATTTCTCGCAGATCCAGAAGACTTTAACCGACTTGAACCTGGCGGTTCCGTCCGAGCAGTGTGTCAGCGATGACCCCATTCAGCTTCGCATCTACTCTCCGAATGTTCCGGACTTGTCACTCATTGACCTTCCTGGATACATCCAGGTCACTGGACGCGATCAGCCCCCGGAGCTGAAGGAGAAGATTGCTGAGCTGTGCGAGAAATACATTGCGCCGCCCAACATCATCCTGGCTATCTCTGCCGCTGATGTCGACCTGGCCAATTCAACCGCTCTGCGCGCTTCTCGTAAAGTCGATCCGAGAGGCGAGCGGACCATTGGTGTCATTACCAAGATGGATTTGGTTGAGCCTGGACGTGGGCTAGACCTGCTCACAGACAGGAAGTACGCGCTGCGTCTCGGGTATGTGGGCGTCGTCTGCCGCGTGCCCCAAACTACCGGGAGTCTCTTCGCCCGTGGGAGTGGCAACATCCAGCAGGCCGTTGCCCGCAATGAGAAAGCGTTCTTTGGCTCCCATCCCGAGGAATTCGGACCACAGGCGCACGTCGACGTGGGCACCAACAATCTCCGCAAGAAACTCATGTACGTTTTGGAGAACACTATGGCGGCAAGCTTGAAAACCACCAGCGAGGCCATCCAGCGTGAGCTCGCTGAAGCTACGTACGAGTTCAAGGTTCAATATAACGACAGGCCTCTGAGCGCGGAGTCATACCTCGCGGAGAGCCTGGACACTTTCAAGCATTCGTTCAAGGGCTTCACAGACCATTTTGGCCGTCCCGAGGTGCGCGAAATGGTCAAGAACGAGCTTGACCAGCAGGTCCTGACCCTCATGGCTCACAAATACTGGAATAAGCCATTCGATGACCTGAACCCTCCTCTCCCTGAGGCAGACTCTCTGCATGATCTTCCTAAGGCCGACCCTGAGAACCCTCTTTGGCATCTCAAGCTCGACACTGCCAGTTCGTCCTTGACTAAGCTCGGAATTGGTCGTCTGGCAACCACGGTTGTTGCTACTGCCCTCCAGGCTCACATTGATCGTCTCATTGCGAACTCCACCTTCGCAGCACATCCCTTTGCTCGCCGGGCTATCACCGAAGCTTCGACGTCAATCTTGAGGGAGCTTTCCTACGACATCAGTGACGAGCTTGAGATTTGCATCAAGCCTTACAAGTACCGCATTGAGCTCGAGGATCATGAATGGGCAAAGGGCAGAGAGAACATTGGGAACGTGTTGAAGGAGGAGCTCAGGATGTGTGAGAATGCTGTGAAGCATGTTGAGAACGAAGTCGGTGGTAGGAAGAAGCTCAGAGACGTTATGGGTTTTATCGACCGAGTACGCAGCGGACAGGTCGTCATCGAGGGTGATGGCATCGGTGGCGCTGGGGGGTTCAGCGCGGCCTTGCTTGAGAAAGGTATAGTATTTTGCTCCATGTCCCATGATCCAGACTGATACCTGTTAGGCCGGCAAGCAGTGTTTTTGCGCGACCGCGCAGATATAATCAAGATGCGCATCATGGCTGTCAAGTCAAAGCAGTGCGCAAACAAGAAAAACAAGTACTACTGTCCCGAGGTCTTCCTCGACGCAGTAGCGGACAAGCTCACGACAACCGCGGATCTTTTCCTGGACGCGGAGCTACTGTCGAAATTCTACTATCTCGTATGTTTAAAGATCTCCGGACCTTTACCACAAGTTTGATATCTAACTCGAGGCAGTTCCCGCGCGAATTGGACGCCCGTCTTGGACGCAACCTCACGCAGGCCGAGGTAGAACGGTTCGCACGCGAGGACCCAAAGATCCGGCGGCACCTGGACGTGGTACGCAGGAAGGAGCTGCTGGAGCACGTTCTCAAGGAGATGGACTCCCTGCGGCAGCTGGAGGCGCGCGAGAAACGATTTAGCGGGCGATCCGGACAGAAGGAAAGCAAGGGCCGCGGGTGGAGCTTGTTCTAGATACGAATAGACGGACGTTGGGAATGGGCAGCTGGTTGGCGTTAAATTGTTCTGTTGCAAAGATACCAAAACTGGCGGGGCTATACTGTACGAGTCGTTTCTTAACCCCTCTCAGCAGCGCTAGACAAGAGAATCGAACCGGTCTAAGCATGCCGGCGTATGGCTGCCCGGGATCCGAATTGCAGTGATGAGACGCTTAACTGCGCCGTTAACTCCGGACGACGGGCGGATGAAATAAGATGCGTCACTGCGCGCGCTATCGACAGCTCCATGATGCACCCGCCCGCCCTCTAACCCTATCAGCGCCACCGCCGAAGAGCTGCGCCCTCTCCGTGGACTCCCCGACGAGCTCAATCGATGCAGCACTCGCAGAATCACCGGGCCGCCAGAGAGGACGACAAGACCGACGGTCACCGCAAGCGCAAGCTCCACTCCCGCCCGAGCAGCAATCCAGCCGACCTCCAGCGGCCCGGCCACGACGACAGCGGCAGCGCCAGCCCCACCGCCAAGCAGCAGACGACCATCTCCGAGCTGTTCCAGCAGAAGCCGGCGTCGGCGAGAGCAGCCAACCTGCCGCCGTCCAAGGGCAATAAGCGCATCAAGCCCAATCCCGCCGCCGGCTCCGACGCTTCGTCGCCACCCCGCTCCATCGATTCGCCGCGCTCGACGACGTCAGCGTCGCAGCTGACGGCCGCGCACCTGCCGGCCGAGAAGATGTACAGCTTCCCGAGCAAGAAGCAGAACGGCGGCACCGGCGGAAACAATGTCATCGACCTGACGGGCAAGACGCCCAGCCCGTCGCCGTCGCCCGCCCGCAACAACGGGCCCATCGCGTCGTCGGCGCGCAACGCGTCGGCGCACCGCCCCAACTTCAACCCCAACACCGGCGCCAAGCAGCTCGTCGTCAAGAACCTGCGCAAGACGCCGCGCACCGACCCCAAGGAATACTTCAACCAGGTGTGGGGCTGGCTGGACGAGGCGCTGGCCAAGATCTTCGCTGGCGGCGAGATCGACTTCTCGCTCGAGACGCTGTATCGTGGGGTGGAGAATGTCTGCAGGCAGGGTCATGCAGCAGAGCTGGCGGCGAGGCTGCAGAAGCGCAGCGAGCTCTATGTGGACACGGGCTTGAAGAAGGGGCTGTTGGAGCAGGCCGAGAAGCCGAATGTGGACCTCTTGAGGGCGGTGCTGGGCGCGTGGCGGACGTGGACCGCGAATCAGGTGAGTGATTTTTCTTCAATTGGATCTGCTAGAAGGCTGTGTCGCTCGCCGATGCTGATGTCAGAGGGGGGGATTCACAGAAACCGATTCGTTGGATTTTCTGCTATCTCGATCGCTCGTTCCTGCTACAGCAAGGCAGGACGCTGCAGGATCAAGCGTTCACCCTTTTCCGCACAATTGTCTGCGAGGATGCGACATTGAAGCCGAAGCTCGTGGCAGGAGCTTGCGATCTAGTGCAGGCCGACAGAAACGGTGAGGAACTGGACAAGGAGACTTTCCGGGATGCCATTGCTATGTGCCATGACCTTACGATCTACACGAGTTTCTTCGAGCCGAAACTGCTGGAGCTGTCGCAGCAGTTTGTTGCGGACTGGGCCGAACAGGCAAGTCAGGACAAGGGTCTTGCGGACTACGTACAGAGCGCCGTGCAGCTCATGGAGAAGGAGATGGAGCGTTGTGAGCACTTCAACTTGGACTCAACAACACGGCGCGATCTTCTTGCCCTGCTGGAAGACCACCTCGTACATCGTCAGGAAGCCAGGTTGACCAACCAAGATGAAGTTGCGGACCTTCTGGATGAGAACAGTGTCAGCGATCTCGAGCAGCTGTACAAGCTTCTTGAGCGGAGGCGCCTTGGTGCTAAGCTTCGGCCAGCATTTGAGAAGTGGATCGATCTCACTGGTACCGCGATCGTGTTTGACGATAAAGAGCAGGAAAATATGGTCGTGAAGCTTCTTACCTTGAAGAAACAGCTGGATACCATCTGGAGAGTATCGTTCCATCGCAACTCTGATCTCGGCCACGGTCTGCGTGAAGCATTTGAGGCCTTCATCAACAAATCTAAGAAGACAACCGCAACGTGGAACACGGACAACTCCAAGCCTGGTGAGATGATTGCAAAGTACGTCGACATGCTTCTTCGTGGTGGCGCGAAGGCTATCCCGGCACAGCTGTCTTCGGTGAAGGCTGAAGCAGAGCGTGACGAGAACGAAGATGCTACGTTCGACGAGGATACGGAGATCAACAATCAGCTAGACCAGGTTTTGGACTTGTTCCGTTTCGTACACGGTAAGGCGGTGTTCGAAGCGTTTTACAAGAAGGATTTAGCCCGTCGTCTACTTATGGGCCGTAGTGCGAGTGCAGATGCTGAACGTAGCATGCTGGCAAGGCTCAAGACTGAATGTGGTGCAGGTTTCACACAAAATCTTGAGCAGATGTTCAAAGATATCGAACTCTCACGTGAGGAGATGGCAAGCTACAAGTCTTTGCTTGAGGAGCGCGGAGACAAAGCTCCAGTTGACCTATCCGTCAGCATTCTGTCCGCGTCCGCCTGGCCGACTTACCCCGACATTCCTGTCATCATCCCGCCTGAAATTCAGCAGAGCCTTGACAAGTTCACAACGCATTATAAGAGCAAGCACAGTGGACGCAAGCTTGACTGGAAGCACGCTCTCGCGCACTGCCAGATCAAAGCCAGCTTCCCGAAGGGCAACAAGGAGCTTGTGGTCTCATCCTTCCAGGCCATCGTGCTCGTCCTTTTCAACACCGTCAAGACGGGCGAGCACCTCAGTTACGAATTCCTCAAGACCGAAACGGGTCTGCCGGAGCCGGAGCTCAAGCGCACACTTCAATCGCTCGCATGCGCGAAGCTGCGCCCGCTCACCAAACATCCGAAGGGCCGCGACATCAACTCGACGGACACGTTTACGTATAACGCGGCGTTCCACCACGAAAAGTACCGGTTGAAGGTCAACCAGGTGCAGCTGAAGGAGACGAAAGAGGAGAACAAGGAGACGCACGAGCGGGTGGCGGCAGACCGCAACTTCGAGACTCAGGCGGCCATTGTGCGCATCATGAAGAGCAGGAAGCGGATTGGTCACGCGGAGCTCGTGGCGGAGGTGATCAACGCGACGAAGAAGAGGGGCGTGTTGAGTGTGCAGGATATCAAGAAGAATATCGACAGGTACGTGGATATTTTGCAGATTCGAAAGGGAAGACCAGTTTGAATTCGCTAACTGATTTTAGGTTGGTCGATAAGGATTACATGGAGCGCGAGGAGAACAATGAGTACAGCTACATTGCGTAAACGGGACAGAGGGAGGTATGATCAGCGGGGATGATCCAGGGTAACGGTCGCGTAGTGGATGTCTCGTAGCTTTCTTTCCCGGCCATACACGTAGATGAATGCCGTGGGTTTTACCTCAAAAGAGGCATCGTAGCATCTAGCATTTCGGGCTTTTGTTCATTTTTGGAGCCTCTGAATGGTGGGAACTGATGGATTGGGCTGGGACAAGCTGGGGCGTCTCATTTACAATACATTAGAATGGCGTAAGATAGGGCCTCTATGGATGGAGTGCGGTATGGTTTGAAATCAAAATAAATTCATTCGTTTTTATGATTCAAGATGGAGGCATACGATCAAAAGTGGAGATGAGGGGGCATTGGTTTTCCTACCGAAGGAATTTAATGAAGACGCGTAAGGTTTAAACACAACCGGGACCCAGTAGTTTTGAAAATTTTCTGATTGATTGTGAAAGTATTGATATCTCATGCTATAGCTTATGTTGGTAGATTTAAATATTTAATTCTTCTGTATGCTCTTGAATGAAGCGCGCTCGGAAAGAAAATCTAAATAATTTATTCTCATTCAGATGTTGGTGTTTGAAGTGGAACAATAATACATCTCTTAATTTAGAGAGAAGATGATCAAATTCAATCATCACAACCTTTTCTTTTCATTTCGACATATTAAAGTCCAAATAATCCTTTTGCTTCTCGTTTTTGTTTTCTTCTTCTCACATGACCATGGAAGGAATACGTAGCCGTGGTAAGGGTCCGAGCACTAAGAGTTCTGACTGGAGTAGAAACTTATCGCAGAAAATACATCTTGACGGCTTGCTCATAATTTGCAAACGTGTCCTATTGGGAAAGATAAAGCATACATATTACCGACCCAGCAAGGTGAACTCTGTTCATTCTATCCCTCCCACTCCACAAGTCATCAACATCAACAATGTCCGAACCGCACAATAACAACTCTGACGAGGTCATCATCGAGCCCTCCAACGCCTCTCAGCACACGCACACCATCATCTTCCTCCACGGTCGCGACAGCCTCGTCGCCGACTTCCAATCCGAGCTCTTCGAAAGCCAGGCCTCGGACGGCCGCCACCTACAGGACCTCCTCCCGGGCTTCAAATGGGTCTTCCCGGCCGCCGGCTTGCGGCCCGCGGCGCGCTTCGGCTGCTGCGAAATGTCGCAGTGGTTCGACATCTGGTCCGTCGAGGAGCCGGAGCAGCGCGAGGAGATGCAGAGGGCCGGCCTGGAGGAGAGCGTCGAGAAGGTGCTGCGGCTGCTGGAGCGCGAGGCGCGGCTCGTGCCGTACGAGAAGATCGTCTTGGCTGGCATCAGTCAGGGCTGCGCGACGGCGGTGCAGGCGCTGTTGCGGGGTGGACGCAGGTGCGGCGCGTTCGTCGGGTTTTGCGGGTGGTTCCCGTTGAGGGCGGAGACGCTGGCAGGTGCGAGGGGTGGGGTGGAAGGGGAGGGGGAGGGGAGAGCAAGGGGGATGGGTGCGGCGGTAGAGACGCCGGTGCTACTGGAGCATTGTACAAAGGATGATGTGGTGCCGGTGCGAAATGGGGAGGTGATGCGGGATACTCTGATGGAGCTGGGCATGAATGTTGAGTGGCACGCGTATGAGGGGTATGCCTATGAGGAAGAGGGCCATTGGGTGAAAGAGCCGCAAGGGATTGATGATCTCGTTGCTTTTCTGAAAAGGGTATGCTGAGATACCGTTACGACAATCGTCTGCGAAGTGCGAAGAAGTCGTGACGGAACAAGGCGAAGACATCAATATACCACTCGTTAATTTTGACGGCTGAAAAAAAAGTTGTCTTGGATGAACAAGGATGGTGACTATGTTAAACAACAGTGAGCTTTTTCCACTTCATTTTTCTGCATGGTGGAGCGAGCTCAGGATAGTCGATCAAACAATTCAAACTTTGTTTGAAATTGCTATTTGGCACGAAAATTTGGAGAGTAACTCTAAGCTTGTCATGTCACTTACCCGGAACCGATCAGTGTGCGATGTCTGAGTCTGCCAGACACGTGTTCGAACGCTGGAAAACGGGAACGCGTATCTAGCTGCTTGTATGACAAGAAGAACAAGAACAAGGCGCAGTCCAGTGGCGATACGAATGTAATACGAGCGGGCGAGACGTTTCTTCTTCGGGGGCGGTGTTGCCACAGCGCAGCCGCAAAGCTGACACGCCACTAAGCCGGATTGCCAGGTCCACGTAATTTGTACGCAGACTGTCCAATGTTCCAGTTATTTCCATGGGATACTTCCGATCGCTGCTTGTGTAGCAGAGGCCCACCCGTACTTCGAACCCCCCTGCTCCAAAAAAAAAAAAGGTCGCAGGTCATTATCCGAACCTCTGCTCGAGTGGAACAGAGCATCACAGCACTTGATTCTCCGGGAGGGTACTTCAAGGTACAGCATCCTGCTGGACAACAGTTTGAATGGCGCAAAGTAAATGCCTCAAAATGGGCTTGAAATTATAGGATGAGGTGGGTTCGCTTAAGGTGACGGGAGAGCAGGAAATGCGCATTGCGATCTACTCCGCATCCATCCGAACATCGATTCGAAACGAGACACCTTCTAGACTCTAGCGTGCGTTACTCTTTCGCCATCATTTACCAAATGAGAACATGCACAATTTGGTCCTCGTTGATACATTCCAAGGGTGGTCGCATAGATAAGTGGGTCCAAATAGGCTATTGTGCAACGGCGATCAGGGCAAGTGAGACAGCTGCCACGCCCATCCAATCGAGCACCTGGTCGACTTGTCTGTTGGGCCGACTCAAGAGATACGGCGGTGAGAAGATAAGAGATGTGTTCATATTACTCGATATCATCTCACCAATTAGAAACATTTGGTTTTGGAGTTGAAAGTTGTGGTACCTCCGGTTGTGCGCATAGACATGGAAGCCATGCATTCAGCTCCTGTATTAGTACCTGAGATGCAGGGATTTTGGGCCAGACGCTGCGGGAATGCCGAGCACGTGTAGCTTCCACAGGCTTTTTCTCTTTTCGTTGAAACAGCAGCCGATCGGGCCAGCATCTTATCTTGTACGGCGTACAGAGCCATGCACCGCATTAGTGTTTCTGCGCGGAGATAGTCGGAAGCGATGAGTTCAGTCGGTTGATGACGGATGAGGGCTTTCCAACAGATCCAGTGGGGTTTGCTCGATCTATCGCCACCACATCATGGCGTCTGCCGTGATGCGTCCATCCACAGCGTCGCATGCAGCAGAACCGTGACGACATTGAAAATTGCATCGACAGAGTAACAGAGCGCATGACTAGCTTGATGCACGTAGTGGTGCTCTTGGAAGAGAGTACCGAGTGTGGCGGAATGTTCAGGGTAGCAGTAACAGGGATTGAGATTATTGAGGACTCAGAGCAGCAACAAAGGCGCGCCGTTGATGTGTAGCACGCGACGAGCCGCGGGCGATTTGATATGCCAGCCTAATGCGGCTTAGCGCCGTCGCCAAAGGTGCGCTCGCTCGTCGGACGTCGGCGAAACCAGTTCCGTCGGCCGGCGCCCACATCAATTTCACAACTCCATACTTTTCGCCGGGACATCGACGACGACGTACTAACCCTCTCGACAACCCCAGCAGACAAAGTGCGTACACCATGCCCGCTGCATCCCCTGATAGACCCGGCCCAGACTGACACTTGCGCGCAGATGGTGGCCGCTAAGAAGCACGTCCCGATCGTCAAGAAGCGTACGTCGATACCTGTCGCCCAGCACCCGCACACGCATACCACCGTCGAGCGCTCTGCCGTCGCCCCGTTTCCCGCACTCCCCGCCCGCAAAATGCTCGCTGTCTGAGAGTTGGACAATTGCTGATTGAGTTGGGGGAATGCAGGCACTGCGCGCTTCAACCGCCACCAGAGCGACCGCTTCAAGTGCGTCGACCCCAGCTGGAGGAAGCCCAAGGGTATCGACAATGCCGTGAGGAGGCGGTTCAAGGGCCAGGCCCCCATGCCCAAGGTACGCTCACACCACCGCCTCGAATTGGAACGGAATTGGACCACCAACCGGACGAGGACGAGATGAGAAATGGAAGCTTGGTGGAGGACGGAAAACGAACAGCAACGCTGACGCGATGCTTGCGCAATAGATCGGCTACGGCTCCAACAAGAAGACCCGCCACATGACTCCCTCCGGCCACAAGGCTTTCCTCGTCAACAACACCCGTGACGTTGACATCCTCCTCATGCACAACCGCACCTACGCTGCCGAGTACGTTTACTCCCATCCCGGACGGGCCGAATTCGCAGGAGCAGGGTCGGCTAACGCGCTTGCAGGATCGCCCACGCCGTGTCGGCACGCAAGAGGGTCGAGATCATCAACAGGGCCAAGCAGCTGGGTGTCAAGGTCACCAACGCTAAGGCCAGGGTTACCACGGAGGCGTAAAGGGTTTCATTCTAGCGGGGCGGCGCGGATATCATCAGGTCTGGGTGTCGTCAGCTTGCGTAGACAGCCAAGCTTTGTGTATGCACACCTAACGACAAAAAATGAGCATCAGTTTCATCGGCTGGCATTCTCCCCCATTTTGGTCACGTTGTACGCAGAAGCGCACGCGCCAGAGGGATTGGCGGCGGGGCGGCGGGGAGTTCATTGCGGATCGGATAGCAGAATTGCTGCATTGGACGGAATGATATCGGCCTTTTGTCCCAAGATCAGCAGCCGTTGTGGGCACGCGGATTCAGCCTGTTTTGATGCGCTGGTCGCGCGATACGTCACAAATGCAAGCACGCGTCGGGCGGCCCAGGCGAAAATAATGTTAAGCATTGCGATTGCGCTATCCCACGCGAGGCTGGGGAGTCATGGCCGGGGAGCAGGCATGTGAAGCGGTTATTCTTGGCTCTGCACGCTGGCGGCGCTCCCGCGGACGCCCGACCTGCAGCTGCGGCCTTGTCCCCAGCCCACAACACCTCCCGCTGCCCTCGACCAACCCGCCACACCGCCCGCGTCATGGCTGCTGATGCGAGGCGGCGCTGAAAAGGAGGTGTGCAACGGTGGCCTCTGCTGCATCTGTGCCTCATCGCGCGTCTCTCGGCGATGCTGGGGGCACGCAGCCCCGGCTGCCCGAGTGATTGGACGGTGCGCAAGTGCGATAGCATGTGTGCGGCGCCGTACCAGTTCGCGATGCAATGCATCTGGCGCAGGGTTGCCGTGTCTCTGACGCTGGCTCCAGGTCCTGGGCGTTCTCTGCTGACCTCACGGAGCAGGTAAGGTCGCAGCGAGCCCGGTCTCGTGAAAAAAAGACCCTGGTTTTACACGGCTCGCCGAAAATTTAAATAATCGTAAGCTTTAGTCAAAACAGCAAGCCACCACAGAGCAGCAGCCAACATCCGCGAAACACCTATTTAACTTCCAGCCAGCCCTGCTCATATATTCCTACCCAAGACTTGTGCCCAGCCCGCCCCGGTGCCTCCTATCCTAGGGCCATAGCTCCACCGCCTAGCCGGCCTTACATATCGTACCCGCTCAGCCGCCCTGTCTCCGTCCGCACCTTTCCAGCTCACACCACAAAAATTCACAGCACCTGTGGGTGCCTGTCCCTCGGCTGCCATGGCCCCCAACCTGCTTGTTGCCACCCAGACGCTCTTCACTCCCCACAAATGGTTCTCCCGCAAATCGTCCGAAAAGTCGGTCCGCCGCAGCGAGCACTGGGCTGACCCGTTGCCCGGTACTTACGAGTACATCCCTGGCCGCGGATGGTACCTCACGAGACCCGACGCCACCGACGGCGGTCCTGGAGAACGCCTGGAAAAGCCGCGCCTCGTCAAGTACAGTCGCGTACTCCGCCGGTACCTGTTTGAAAATGAGTACCAGCGCCGCAAGCTCTCGGGCGAAATTACCGACTCGCACGGCAAGGTCCGCGAGGTCGGCTTTTTTCAACTGGACGACGGTATCGCCTGGGTCAACTGCTGGAACCACAAGGGCGAATTCATCCCCGGTCCCTATGAGCGCTGGGTCATCGACGAGCGCAATGAGAAGTTCCGCAAGATGCTGAAAGGCGACGATCCCGAGTGGCGCAAGAAGAACCACGCCAGCCGCAGGATGAACGCTCGCAGAAGAGAGTCAGCAGAGAGCGACGAGGACGACAAGAACCGTGTTTACCAGATCCCCTCCGTCGGCCACTCTCGCCCAGCCTCGACCATCGACATGTTCCTCAACTCGCCACCAGTCTCGCGCCCGCCTTCGCCGAGGAGCGTAGTGCCGCGCTCCGAGGGCGCCACCAGGGTCAACTCTGGCGCAAACAGCTGCGCAAACAGCATCAAGCTCGCAACTCGTCCCAGCAACCTCCGCGAGAACAGCAGCAGCAGCGAGTCCGAGACGCCCGTCAGCGTCGACTCTTCCTCCACGGCCGTCTCCAACAACGATGGCGCATATTCCGTCGCTCATCATCATCAAAGCATCGCCGCCGCCGTTTCGTCGCGGCTAGAAGAGCAGAAGCTCGCGCAGCAGACTGTGCACTAACAACGGCTTTGGCGACACGAGGCGTCCGAAATGAAACAAAACCACGCCACGGCCCAAATGTTGTTGCTCGGCGCCGTTGTGCTTTTAGCGTCTCGTGTTGGAATCCTTCTGGAAAACGTGCGGAGTTGAAACGGCGCTACCGCTGCCGTTACTGCTCCGCAAACATGGCAGCTGGGCTGCTCATCATCTTTCTCTTTCGCAACAACGCACCCCTTTTTCAAGGATGCCGGTGCCTGCCAGGTTTGCTCGTTCGCGGGGTTTGCTCCGTGAAACGCCGACGGGACGCTAAGGCGTTGCGTGTGGTCCAGCTGATCTGGGGAATTGCAGGCGGGGGTGGCGTTTCGAGGTATCATAATCCTTCTTCCTTTTCTTTTCGGGCTGGCCTTCTGCTCTTCTATCCTACGAGACCACGTTAGATCGTTAGACACGTTTGTACGGAGGTACTTTGTTTGCCTTCTTTCTCTTTTCCTTTACCTTGGGGGGTTTTATTCTTTCCGCGATGACGAGCGTTTGAGCGTGGTGTGTTGGTAAAACATTTATTGTAAGGTGTCTGGGTGTAGGAACTAAAAGGGTGAGTGGCGTTGGGCGGAGAATGCCGCGGTTTATTCTTTCTCTGTATGAAATTGGTCTTCTTCTCTTAGGCCTTTCGAGATATACTTTGCCTCACGGCTGGGTAATAAAATTTGACAGCTTTCCGATCATCTTGGGTGCTCGACGACGTGTGCTGTTGGTGTTGTGCTTGGCATCGGCGCTGGTCGCGTTGCTTGCTTTAGCTTGGCTTCCGCATTTAGCGCGACGGCTATATGTGACACACGTGGGCGATGCTCTAGTGGATGAAGCTGCATATGTAAAAATTGACTACTGATTGGTGGTAAATCAACGATAATGCACAACCAACTGACGGCTTTGTCTAGATGAGCAAGAAAAGTACAACTTCTCCGTATTCCCTTTTTTTTTTCAAGCCAACAAATTTTGTGCATACATTTCGCGGCAGCCCATCTTGGCGAAAAAAGAGATGCAAAAAGCTTGGCAGACCTGCTGGAAGAAAAACGAAGGACACGTGCAAATTGTCGTAGCTCCCCCGTGGGGCTTTGCAGCGTTTTCAAGCGAGACAAGGCACTGGGATTTTGCGCAAGAACCGGGGCAAGCCTTTTTTTTCCTGGGGATCTATGCGTTTAAATACAACGTGATGTGCTGGCAAAATTGGCGCGCCGGACTCACCGGTCAGGAAAATTCGACGCTTCAGGAGAAAATCTCCGGGGGCACTTGATGGTTGGGCAGCGAGGTGCTTGTAGAGACGGTTGGGCGGTGTCGGAGGTCTGGATCTATGGTCTATGGTCTGTTCGGCGCCGCATAGATAACATGAGAACAATTAGAGCTACAACGCATTGCATAAATTGTGTATGATCTGAGCAGGCCCTTTGCCGGCCCGAGAATTGATCTGAGCCTAACTCCTGCTATGCGTCAGATCCAGGCGCGAGGAAATGGTAAAACCATTTATCCCACGAGCTGCGCACTCAATAGTATCTGCAGAACAGAAGACAGAATCACACAAATCAGAGTTGACAAGCTTAGACGTAGGACTAAGGCGATTTCATTAGGTCGTTTACTGCTTTCGCTGCAAACTTCTTCCTCTGTTCTTCCGGCATACCAGCAGCCAGGTCTATAAACGCGATCAATCAGCTCGAGCCCCTTTCCAGCAGACGAGGACAAAAACTCACCTCTGATACCACTCAACTTGCTCATCATCCGCTCCAGCTCATCCACCTGCGCCGCCTGATCCTCCCCATCGCCACCATTCAACTCCGTCTTCAGTCCCATGAGCTCCATCCCCATCTCGGCCTCCTCGGCTGCGAACGTCTTGCTCCAATCCTCATCCCCGCTATCCTCACCGTCCAGATCCTCAAGATCGCTCAACGCGGCCTCACCCTCCCACTCATTTGCTTCCAGCGCCTCCTTTACCCGCGCCATGCCCTGCATCTCGCCAAACTCATTCCTCCCCTTCGCCTCCGCATCCACATACTCAAACCCCTTCTCCCTCGCCGCATCATCCCACTCCTCGAACCCCCAGCCACCAGCAGCCGCAGCCCTCTCCTCCACAACAGCCTCGCTCGTCCCCACCAACCCTGCCGTCCTACCCCTGACCCCGACAGCCAAGCACACGCCGTCCCAGCCCAGCCCAGCGCCCTTCTCGACGACCTTCTGCACGGCGTCCATGGTCGCCAGCACGCGCTCTCTCTCTGCCTTGGCGGCCTCGCCGTCGCCCCTGTCCGGCTTGGGGAAGACGTAGACCCATGCGCCGACGGCGGCTACGACCTCGCGTGCCTCGGGCTGGCAGAAGTCGGCGCGCCACGAGTCGAGGTGCGCGATCTCGTCGATCCAGATGGGGATGGTGGCCGTGTAGTAGGGCGTCGTCAGCGTCCAGGCGTGGGTCAGGCCGGCGATGCTGGTGCCGCCGCCGGTGCTGTCATTGCTACTGTCGTCTTTCTTGTTGTTGCTGTCGGCCGTGTCGTCGTCGTTGTCGGCGGGTGCGGTAGGACGAGGCGGGGGAGGGGCGGTGGTGGTGAGGTCTGGTGCCCGGTTGTTAGCAAGAGTGGCAAGACTTCGGTGGGATTGGGGAGACTGGGGAATGCGAAGTTGGGAGGAGAGGCGCGGTTGGGGATTGATTGCAAAAAGAAGGGGTAGACCAGTTGCTGAGGCTGGTGTGCTTTTAGTATATGTACCTGTGAGGAATTCCAGAACGCCCGAGTCCGGAGCGCCGACGACGAGCATGCGCCGCGGGTTGGAGATATCCATGGGCTTGGGGACATCCATGATGGTAGAATTGTTCTTGTGAAGGTGTTGGGTGTTCACATCTTGGAATGTGCGGAGGTAATGCGGGAGGGGCGGGCGACGCGGGAGCTCCGCGTCGGAGCGCGCAAGAGGGCCGGCTTCTTAGTCGTGGCCGGTGGGACGTCACTCAGCCCCGCGACTTAGCAGTGGATAATTTTGACTTCTACAAATTAGGGCAACATTCGTTCTGATGGCGTGATGACGCGGACAAGCAGATAGAACAGCAAGAAGCGCTGGAAAACAATCACGACATTGGCAAAGCAAAAAGTAAAAGGCCCGTTGGAAATCTTTCAATTGTTTGATTCAGCCCGTTCGGCTCCTTGCTCATTTAGAGCACTCATGTGACTTCAACTGCCCTTAAAAAGTTCCTGAACGCCTTTGCTGACATGCATTGGGAATCATTTTTCTAGAAAACCTTTCCCACCCATAACCTCAGTGTCCAGTCCAGTCAGGCCGAGAGCAATGATGTCCGTAATCTGGTCCCACTGGAGTTGATCGGTCGTGTGAAAAGTGGTGTCTCGTCCGTCCGTGTATTTACGCTGGGTTGTTTATCGAGACGTTCAGCGACCGCCGCGAGCACCGCGGGCCCTGTTGACGGTAGCCCTGCCACGGGCAAGACCGACACCGCGACCACGGGTTCCACGAGAACGGAACATCGGGGCGTTTCTAAAGAACGGAGCGTTCCTGCTGTCATTATCCTTCCTCTTGATAATGGGGGAAGGGAGTTGTCCACATACCGGAGCATGTCGGGGACGATGAAGTAGCGAACGTGCGAGCCGCGGATGTAGACCTGGTCGAGGTGGGAGACACGGCCGTCACGAGCGGTGACCGTGATGTCCTTCAGCTGAACGTTCATGTTGTCCTCAGCTAGGAGGTCGCGGGGCGTTAGCGAACTTGTTGCAAGAAGATCTAAGCTTGGAAACAAATGCAGCACATACCTTCAAGTAGCTTGCCGCGGTAGACCTGGCCAGTGGTGAGCTCGAGAGTGACAACGTGGCCCTAATTCGAAGATCTGATCAGCGGTCGGCCTTGCGAAGAGCAGCTTCTGTGAGCATGCGCGCGACAAATAGTCGTTGCGGCGGGCGCGTACCGTGGCCTCGTTGAGAAGCTTGATGGGGATTCCGATGGTGCTCGTCATGATGACTGCTTGTAGTGACGCGACGGCGATTGAGAGGTTTACGGGTCGTGAGCAGACGTGCGTGGAGCGGTGGGTGAGGTTGTCGGGTGTCGCGCAGCTGGTGGTGATGGCGGCGCTGCAAGCTCGATGGAAGGCTACCAAGCCCGGCTTTTCTCCGGCCCGCTTTTGCGCTGATCGCGGCCGCTCCGGCGCCTGCGAAACATCGACTCCTACCAACACGTCGACATCCCCACCGCCTGTGCGCGGATTGGCCCAATGAATCTCTCGGGGACCCTCAATGTCTTCAAGCTCCTGAGAGACCCTGCTCTCTGTCTCCCGCACCATACCGTATCCACTTTCAGCCAATTGCCCGTTCCACTGTCCCGGGGCCTTACCCGACCAGATGGGAAGGCCGTCGACATCAGGGCTGTAGTCCTGGACAAGGACAACTGTTTTGCCGTTCCCCACGCAAATGAGGTCCATCCTGAGTACAAAGTAATATACCCGCATCGCTTCTGAACTGAAACCCGACGTTTGCAGCAATTTATTCCCCTTGTGTTTGTTTTTCCAGAGAGTTTCGGGCGTCAAGTCTGATTTCCATAGTACTATCTTTGTAGATTCGCTTGCACCTTTTCCCCTTACCGATTTTCTGTCCTTCATGGTTATTGAGGACTGTGCTAATATCTCTTTCCAAACACAGGCAAAGTTCCAAGAACTCCGCGAGGCATATCCGGGCCCGAAGCTGTTGATCGTCTCCAACACTGCTGGAACAGGATCTGATCCAGCTTTTGCTCAGGCCGAACTTTTGGAGCGCAACACTGGCATCAGGGTTCTCCATCACAATACGAAGGTCAGTACTTTCACTACTTCTGCGTTAACCTGTGGATCTGACCTAGTCTCTTCTCTTCCAGAAACCTGGATGCCGCTCTGAAGTTTTCGAGTACTTTCGCAATATCCCGGAGGCCGGCGTGACGTCGCCATCGCAAATTGCTATTGTCGGCGATCGCCTCTTTACTGACGTGATGATGGCGAATCTGATGGGTGCACATGGCTTCTGGGTCAAAGACGGAACCATCGGCCCGCATAGCTTCGTAAGTCTTTGGTCGGTATTTGGGGACTATGCTAACATGGGACATGTGTAGTTTGCGAGGGCAGAGCACCGACTGGCTGCCTTTCTTCTGCGAAAAGGATATGCGGCCCCGGATCCGCGGAGTAGCTTTGAGTGAGCCAAAACACGAGTTAGATTTTTTCGGGCGACCTGGCTTCGCGTCTTCTATTAGTGTTGCCATAGCTTCAAGGTAACTGTAATATAATTCACTAAATAGAACAGGTGACATTTCAACCTCCTCTAGCTGTGAATAGTGATTGTGTTGGTGGTCTGCATAAGTGATAATTATAGCGATCTTTTGTGGACGTCGTGATTTGTGGCAACGATATGCACCTACATTGCTGAATTATATCTGTTTAACGAAATCTTGCAATTTTGCCTACTGCGAATTTGCACAGGAGTGCTGGCTAGTTGATGTCATCCCTAACTAACTTCATCATAGTTTGTAAGTATTCTTCAACACGTCAACTCTGAGACAGAAATCATCACGAGCGGTGAAGTAGACCTATCAACCACGAGGAACAAAGCGAACGATATCCTATTTATTCTAGTCGAAGCGCAGCACTCGCATAGACAAAGACAACAATGGCTGAGCGCGGCGATGGCATTTATTTTCAAGACTCCTCTCTTTGTCCCAAACACAGCACGGTTTAAGAGGTGTCTCTGTTGATGTTCTCAGATTTCCAGCTTTATGAATAGAGGACAGCACTGCTACTAGAACACCAGACCAACCATGCCCGCGCCGCCACCAAACAATAAGCCAACGACAACCCTCTACCGCAGCACTCCACCCGCAACCCACCGCCTTTCCCTCATCAAACTCCTCTCCACCATCCCGACGATCCTCACTCTCATCTTCCTCGCCTCCCTCCGCCACCGCCTGCGCCAGTCCCTCTTCTACACCTCCATCTGGTACACCCACAGCCACCTGCCCTCCTTCCTCCTCGACATCTTCATCTGGGCGCCGCTTTTCTACGCCGTCGCCATCTTGCAGCTTTCCGTCTTCTTCCTGATCTCGGCCACATGGCGGTCGCCGGAGGAGGAAAGGTGGTTTCAACTCCTTCAGACGGAGAGGCAGCGCAGGGACGAGGATGAGCGGGCGCAGAGGGGCAGGAAGGAGAGGAGGCAGGCCTTGTTGGCGGGAGGGGGTGGTGGGTGGGGGGCCAGGGCGGAGATGCAGCCGCTCCGGGTGCGGTGGGGGAAAGATGTGAAGGAAGAGACGAAAGTAGCGTGGTGGGAGCAGAACATTATTGCCCCAAGGAAGGAGGCGGAGGAGGGAATAAGGCTTGAGAGAGCTGGGTTGGGGGAAGCGGTGAGGTGCTTTACGTGAATTCGTGGAAACGGGTGTACTGGCTTGGACAGATTAGGGAAAGGAAAAGAAAGAAAAAATGATCTATTAAGAAGATATTGGAAATCGTGCCATCTTCTAAGCTGAACATGGAAAAGAAATGCTGGAGTCTACGTAAAGTGGTCGTCTACCGGTTCTTCTCTTTCTACATCTCTAAGCCTTTCCCTAAAAGCACCTTACCGACTTCGACTACGATGTCGTCCTTGCCGCACAACTCCATCTTCGCCAGGACTGTTCCCTTCGCATCCATGGCTTTGCAGACGTCCACGACTTCGCCCTCCATATCTGCACAGTATACCAGGAGCCCCAGACTCGTCAACAACGCCAGGACCGCCTCCTTGTTCTCCTGCTCTGCTGCGACCGCCTCGAGCAGCGCAGCCACGATCTCAACTTGCTCACTTTCATCCAAGACGTCACGCTCAGCCTCGATACGCATGCGGTGGTTGGCGGCGGCGATGTTGAAGGCCAGGCTGGCCGCCGCGATGCGCACATTTCCGTGCTTATCATCGAGGAGGCTGGCGCTGAGGAGGTGGGTGAGGAGAGCGGAGAAGGATTCATGGGCGAGCAGGTGTGTGCGCACCAGCGATGTCGAGAAGAGGTTGCAAGCGAGCTGGAGGGTGACGAGGCGCAGGTTGTACGGGCACTCCTGGAGATTGTTGACGTGCGAAATCAATGCAGCGAGCGTGGCGGCGTCGTCTTCCTCCGCGAAGAATCCGGATACACGTGGATCTGTGAGCGTCAAGCGGAAGAGGTCGTACGCCGCGAAGAGGTTGTCGGGAGAGATCTTGGAGATCGCGTCGCGGAGGAAGCTAGCGAAGTCAGGGAGGGAAGGCAGGGGCGCTTCGCGCGAGCCAGAATCCCGACGGGTGGTGATGAATGCAGCTACCATGGCAATGATAGGATGCCTGCCATGCTCGCCCATCTTCGGGATCAACTTCTCCAGCGGCGGAATCTTTTCGTACGTCACCGGATGAAGACTTGCACCGAGGAGCTTGGGAAGGTCGAGGCGGGTGTGAGGGTGGCCCATACTGGCCTGTTGAACCAGGAGTCGGACATTGCCGCGAAGCTGCGGCTCGTTGGCGCCGGACCACTGATCATCCTTCATCCCTTTAAGGAAGGTGATGAAGGTGGGTGTGGCCCGCACACTGTACTTTGCCGCTACATCGTATGCCTGGTTGATGTCCACCTTGATGAAAACGCCCTTCGACCCTGCTTCCTCTGCAAGCTCATCAAAAACCGGGTACATGATCTTACAGGGAGCGCAAGTCGAAGAGGTGAAGAAGATGACAGCACTGGAATCTTTGGCGCTCGTAAGTAGCCTGTCGACTTCTTGTAGACTCGTCACGCTATGGACTTTCCCGCTTGTCGAAGATCCATTTGTAGTGCCGTTAGTGCCATTAGTGACGCCATTGGCGCTGCCGTTGGCGACTGCTCCGGGTGCTCCATTAGGCACGTTCTGTGGCGGGACTGGAGCTTGGGTCACGGATCTCATGGCTGCGTCGATCTGTGGTCTTAGCATCTGCCCGAAAGGTGTGTTCAAGACCTGCTGCGGTAGGGACGTGATATGATCCGGGATCCCCTTTCCCACGAGGAACATGGCGAAGTCATTTGAGCTAATAATATGTGAGTATGCAGCGTGGTTAGGTATTGCGAGGGGAGACGCCTACAAGTTGTTGCAGTTGTGCGCAAACAGGTCGTAGGCCTCAGGCGTGTAGACTTGCTTCAGAGACTCGAGGTATTCCAGGATCACATCCATGGGGAGGCTCGTGCTGCCCAGCTTGATGACCTCTTCAGGCGCCCCATGGTGGGTTGTACCGGGGTAGCACGACTGAACACCTAGATGCAGCGTCAGAAGCCGATGGCAACAGCAGTTGCAGGAAATGGCGGTCGTACCTGCGCCGTAAAAATACTCAATACCACCGACGACGATGGACGTGTGGTAGACGGCGTCGATCTGGATGCCGAGGAATTGGCGAGAGAGCTGCGGACAGGCGTTAGCGAATCGGCGAAGTTGCGCAGCGTCGCGGTTGAGCGCAGTACCTGTCTGGCTAGACCCTAAACAGCGTGGTCAGTGGAGTTCGCAGGCAGATCGCGGCCAAAGAAGCGGGACTTACCTTGGAGAGGTCGTACACGTAGAGCTGGACTTCCATTATTCTGGCGCGCGAGGGAGCGAGCGAAGGTGATGGTTCAGGGAGCGGCGGCGTGGGACGTCATAGTTATGGCGCACTCGCGGACCTCAGCGTAGGCGGCGAAGTGTTGCGTCGCCTGCCAGAAGCTTCCACTCGCGGGTAGGGCGATCCGCCGCCATCAAGCTTATCGCCAGATCATCTGGGGCTCTGCGGCAGGCTTACCGGTGCGCCAGACTCGTCAGGCGGCGCGTGGCTGGCCTGGTGGCGTCGCTGCTGAATTTAGGGGCTGACGCGGAGCATTCCTGCCTTCAGGCTGTGCCTCTCCCGCTCTTCCTCTAGGTATCTTGGCTGCCGTCCTGCCCGCCCCCCCTTTCGTCTGTTTTCATCTTATCGCCGACTGGGCGTCCTACGCTTTGATTGTTCCCACCGTTCCGCGACTGTGCGGACTCACGATCGCTACCGTCTTCGGCTTACGGCGCGCCACCGCCTGGTCAGAGCATTTCATGTCCAGTAGCGTCGACGTCCACCGGCGTCCTGACATCTGGTCTTATTTCTCATTCAGCAGCGCGCCCAGGCGACGCACCTCGCTCTCCTTGCCTCTCAAGAGCAACAGCACCTTCGATCCCTTCGAGAAGGCCGATCGCCACTCCACCCGCCCCTCGAGGTCCTCCACCGCAGCATCCTCCTTCATGAACGAATACAAGGTCGGCGGCGGCAGCGGTAGCAGCACAATGAACCAGGGCCAGCGGACCCGGTACCTAAAGGCCGGCGGCATCATTGCCTTCATCCTCATCATCTTTTTCTACTTGGCCCCTGGCCACAGCCAGACTGCCGGCGGTACGTCATCCCCAAAAAATTCCCATTCGCAATGCGCTCTCGCTCACGTCCATCTAGCACCCGCCGCAGGCCCGGGCAAGTTCCCCGGCGGCGATGTCGCTTCCGATCCCTCTGTCGCGACCGAGAGGTGCACTCGCTCTTACTCCGCCGACAAGCCTCTCGTCCAGTATGCCCTCATGATCGACGCTGGCAGCACTGGCTCGCGCATCCACGTCTACCGTTTCAACAACTGCGGTCCTACGCCTGAACTCGAGCACGAAGAATTCAAGATGACTCCGAAGAAGGAGGGCGGCTCTGGTCTGAGCTCTTACAAGGCCGACGCCGAGGGCGCCGCCCAAAGCCTGGATATCTTGATGGATGTTGCCGTAGCGAACGTCCCCGAGAAGTTGCAGGGCTGCACTCCGGTCGCTGTCAAGGCTACTGCCGGTCTTCGCAAGCTCGGCCCCGAGTTGAGCGAGAAGATCCTTCTTGCTGTGCGTGAAAGGCTCGAAACCAAGTATCCCTTCCCCGTCGTCGCAGCCGACAAGGGCGGCGTCGAAGTCATGGAGGGCACCGACGAGGGTGTCTACGCCTGGATCACCACCAACTACCTGCTCGGCAAGATCGGCGGCCCCGACAAGACTCCCACTGCTGCCGTCTTCGATCTCGGTGGCGGCTCTACTCAGATTGTCTTCGAGCCCACTTTCCCTGATGCTAAGGACGGTGGTATGCCCGAGAAGCTTGCAGACGGCGACCACAAGTACGAACTTAGCTTCGGAGGCCGGAACTTCACCTTGTACCAGCACTCCTACCTGGGCTATGGACTCATGGCCGCACGCGAGAACATTCACAGGGTCGTTTTTGACGCGGCATACGAGGAGGCAAAGAAGGCTGGCACTACTGAGACCTTCATCAAGAAGCCCATCATGAACCCTTGCCTCATCCCTAGTACTTCCCGAAAGGTCGAGGTTCCGCTGGAGGACAGCCACCCGCTCGGTAAGAGTGTTACCGTCGAAATGAAAGGTCCTTCCGAGGGAGCTCCTGCTCAGTGCCGTGCGATCGCCGAGAAGACCCTTAAGAAGGATAACGAATGCAAGCTCGCACCCTGCGCTTTCAACGGCGTTCACCAGCCCTCGCTTGAGAAGACTTTCGCTCGCGAGGACATCTACCTCTTCTCCTACTTTTACGACCGCACCAGCCCGCTTGGTCTTCCTTCCAGCTTCACGATCAACGAGCTTAAGGAGCTTGTGAACCGTGTCTGCCACGGTCCCGACCACTGGGACGTTTTCCAGAGCATCGAGGGTGCTATGGATGAGCTGAATGACCGCCCGGAAACTTGCTTGGACCTGAACTTCCAGTTGGCTCTCCTCCACAGCGGTTACGAGATGCCCATTGACAGGGAGGTCAAGATCGCGAAGAAGATCAAGGGCAACGAGCTTGGATGGTGCCTTGGTGCTAGGTAAGCTACTTCCCCGATTTTTAATTTTTACGGACAGCGATGCTAACGGCTTTATCAGTCTGCCTCTCCTTAGCCAGGAATCTGGTTGGCAATGTAAGATTAGGGAGGTTACGAACTAAGTGTAGCTCCCAAAGAAAGTTGGGCGAAGCGTCCTTTGGCATTATGAGGCGTTATGGATATGAATTGATCTTGGGCTGGCGGCTGAAGGCAAGGTATACGTGGATATCCCTACCTGGATCTATGGGACGGTATCGGGATGTATACATAATGTGGCAACTGTTTGATGAAGCGGCGTTGACGTCGCGAAGATGGTAACGTTGAAAAGATGTGTTAGAAAAAGAACTATGCAATCGCATTCGGCCATGGACCACTTGGTTCTCAACGTGAACATCTCATATGCTTAAATATTTGAATTATCGACTAGTCAAATGCAGTATTGTATGTACAAAGTATGTCTCCTCTTCGCTGCCCCCCATCCGACTGATTAATGCAGCCGACCGGATTTTAGGGCGCGAAAAGGAACTCTCGCCACCGTAGCAACGAGAGGCCTTTTCGATCTTGCTTCTCTGTCCACACTCGCTCATCCTGGTTCATTGGCGATGGCGGGCTCTAGCATAATTAGAAGCGGTTTGTAACGATGGTTCCGTCCCTCCTCTTGTCAAGACTCGAAAATGTCTTCGTTCCTCTCCGTTGTCTGGTGGCCCCAGGTAACCGCTCGCATATGATTACGTCTCTGGCCTAGCAAATTAAGAGTACATCATCTTGTACTCTGAACGTTGAAGGTCAGAAAGCAATTGCGGTTCATGGATGTGTTGTTGTGAAGGAGAGGAAATGGAGTTCTGAAGTGTGCGAGAAAATCTCGGTCAAGGGCTTCTGCACGCTATAGCGTTTCAGGATAAGCGTGCTTCTGTCACGTCGATCCCTGCCGCGTCGCCCGTGCGTGCGCGCGTCGCACCTCTTATCGTCATCCATTCATTGTTGGTTTGTTCGACGTCCCCGCCGTCGTTGTTGTCGCCGTCGAAACAGTCGGCCGGCCTTTTCCAAAGAGCCGCGGCCTCTCCCACTCACGCCGGCCTCCCCTCAGCCTGGCGCTTCTTACAATCGATTCGCCTTGTTTTCATTACACCGGCGCTGGCGACGACTGTATCGGAATCAACAGCACAAGAAGACTACTATTCAATCCGCTTCATCCCTCCCATCCACAAAAGCACTCCTCACAATGGTATGTACATCTTGTTCAAACCTCACACCCAACCTTACCCTTTCTCTGACCAAACATAGCCCCCCAAAAAGCGCGCCGCGCCCGGCAAACAACCCCAACCGCCCGCCGCCCCCGCACCCCGCCGCTCGAAGCTCGCGAAAGAGAACGACATCACCGCGGCGCAAGAAGCCGCCATCCGCGACGCCTTCAGCATCTTCGCGCGCTCGCACGACGCCTACCCGGACACAAGAGTCATCCGCGCAGCCGACGCGCGCCGCGTGATGATCGCGCTGGGGTTCGAGCTGGGCAAGCAGGACGTCAAGGACATGCTCGAGGTGCTGGATCCGGAGAGCGAGGGGTTCGTCGCGTGGGAACACTTCGTGGGGTACGCGGCTGTGTGGTACCATGCGCTGGGGAATGACGATGAGAGAGCGGCTGAGGAGGGGGCTGGCAGTAGGGAAGAGATTGAGAAGGCGTTCAGGCTGTTCACGGGGGGTGCGATGAGGCCAATTCGCTTGGCGGATCTGAAGAGAGTGGCGAGAGAGTTGAGGGAGGATGTGGACGAGGATGTGCTCTGGGATATGGTGGTGGAGGCGAACGGGGAGAGAAAATCGAAGGAGGGTGTTGGTAAGGGGGTGGATATGGAGGATTTTGAGCAGGTGATGAGAAGGGCGGGAGTTTTTGGGTGAGATGGTGGTGGTGCACTGCTGTGTTCCCGTTCGTGCACATATTCTCTTCATTACGGCAGTCTTGGCGTTCAATATTCCTGGAGTTCTAGCGTTTTGCGAGGAAGCGACGGCGTTGGTTGGAATCTGTTTGAACACTTTGTTTTGACTTACTTAGGGTCGTGGAGAGCTGAAGCTATCGTCCGGATGAGAATGCGGAATTAAAAATTCTACACACACCTCCGGACGATAGCTTCTACGTACGGCGCTTCACACAATTTGCACATATGACCAAAGGTGGGGCCAATTGGCGCTCCTGAGACGAGGACGGCGCTTCGGAGTGAATATATTATTCTACAAGTTCGAAACCTGAGTGAACAACGGACCGAAATATTGGGTGCTCTCAGGGTGCGTGCTGGTATAGCGCTGCGCAGTTCTACTGTGGGCTTTCTGCTGATCGGATGTGACGGTCGTTGACAGCGCAAGACTAAGCTTCTCGCAGTGCTTCAAGTTCGAAAAGCCGCCATCGCATGTACCTTAAATATACTAAGTGCAGATTCCCCTCTAACAAAATCCATAAGTGGTCGGATCGATCGGTACATAAAAGTGCTGCGGAGGTCACTTATGGTCACCAGGCATTGCCTAATTGGGACACTTCCTAATTGGTCACTGGGCAGAAGGTTTTCAAGCGATGACCCCCCTAGTTGAAAAGACTAGGGGGACGTCAGGTCGCCTCGGCCAATATCGCCTCCGGGTCCTTATGAGAACCGGAAGCTATTGACGAGGCTTGACCGAAACGGCGTAGATAAGCTTTCCTTTTTGCCTTTTCTTACCCCGTGTCTCTCTCACGCTTTTTTTTTTTTTTTTAAACGAAGGAGCAAAGTGTCCAAGGCAGAACAGGGTCATCAACCTTGTAAGGCACGTATAGTTCACAAGTTTGGATATGCATGATGGAAGGTTCTATTACACCGGTCTAAATGCTTTGGGGTGAGAGTCCGCAATTTCCTTCATCCATACTCTCGTTGCGAAGATCGATTATCCTCGCCAATGCTAGATTTCTTCCTGCACAAATTGTGACTGCAGCATTTGCTAGTCCATTATCCAGTGAACCTGCCTGCCAACCAATAAAACAGAAAATTGAAGATGCAATCCTTGGGCTCAAGTTGAGAGGAGAGCGAAATGACATGAAACCCCATTTGTAATGCAATATGCCAGCCTCTTGCCATAGACTTCATGTCCATGGGCTCGTCGAAACAAATTCGTGTTCCGCTTTTCTTCCCTCCATCGTAATTCTCACTCCTTCTGCTCGGCATTGGGGAAACGGAAGCCGGCGTGCTCGGAGTGGCGCTTGTAGTAGTACTGGTTCTCGCGGATCTGGAGGTCGGGGGAGATGCCACCAAGGACGACGTCGCGGAGGCGGTCAATTCCCTCTTGGTTGCCGGCGTCACGGTTCCAGATGGAAATGAGGTGGGAGTTGAAGCGGACGCTGTAGCTGATGCCGCAGATGTCGTCAATGAAGGCGTTGCGCTTGGCGCTGTTGTCGACGGCGCTCTGCAGCTCGCCGCCCACGGCCATCATGGACACTTCCTTCCAGAACTGCGGCGCCTTCTCCTTGGGCACGCGGAAGGTCCAGGCGCCGCCCTTCAAGTTGCGCGGGTCCTCCCAGACCGGCTTGACGCCCAGGTGGAACAGGTGTACCGAATCGCGCAGGCGCAGCGTCGACAGCTCGAAGTGGTTCATCGTCTCCCAGAACTGGCGCAGGTCGCGAATCACGTGCAGCTTGACCAGGCGCGATTCGTATTCGTTGGATTCGTTGACCTTGTCGGTGGGTGAGTCGGGGTCGGAGCCGTTCTGCTGCTGGAGCTTCTGCTCCTCCTCCTGGGCCCAGGCCGGCTTCGACTCGCGGCCCTGGCGGTCGTGCCAGAACTCCCAAGAGTGCTCGAGCGGCGGCGGGCGCAGCTTCTGGAGCAGCGCTTCCTTCATGGCCTTACCGCGGGCGGGAGAAGCGGTCGCGGAGGCATCACCTTCACCCTGAACGGGCAGGCCGTTGGTGGCGAGGCCGGGGACAGTCGGGCGGGCGCTCATGGTTTCGGATTCGGGTTCGGTGTGAGCGGCGATGGTCACGGCAGGCTGAGTAGCGATACTCTTGAGGGGCTCGTCGAATTCAGCTAGAAGCTCGGCCTTGAAAGCGGCGAAAGCGTGGACGAGAGATTGCAGATGGTCGAACTGCTTGGGGTCCTCGAGGGTGCTGGGAGGATGGGCGCGCAGGTCGCTGAGGTCGTGGATGTCGTGGATGATCTCAATGCAGCGAGCCCCGGGAATGCGAGAGTAGACTGGCAAGGCCGGCTTGTCAGCGCTGGAAACGGCGGTAGAGGCCATCATGATTCTCGTGTAGAAGCGGTTTGAGAAGGAGAGCTTGGAAGAGAAGATGGGGGCGGAGGAAGGAATGAGGAGGAAGCTGAACGGTGGAGGGCATTTTGAAGACGAGAAAATGTGAATAGTGACCAGTGTGGGCGAGCAGCTATTGTTCTGATACTATTGTATGGTAGAGGGTGGCTGGGGGCAGCGAGGTGAAGCAGAGCAAGAAGGTGAAGTGAGGTGAGGCGGCAAAATGCAATAATAGGCCGAAGACATTGAGAACAAGAACCAGACAGGCGGGAACACATTGTAGACTGTCATTAGAGTAGTTGCGATGTAGCTCACCTTCAGCTGCAAGAAGTTACCGTCGGTACACCTCAGGGGTTTGGAGGCGAGCGGAGAGCGGCGGCAGGGTCGGAGACGGCGGGGTATATATTCAGCAAGCACAAGCAGCAAAGCAAAAGCGGGGCGAGGAAGGCCACCGAGGACAAAGAGACAGGCAGTAGCTTTGTCCTGGAGAATGGAAGTGAGAGTGTGATGCTTGGCTGCTGCTGGAGTCCGGGGTGTCAGGCCTTAGAGGGCTGGGCCGCAGCGTGCTACTTACGCGCCGGCGCTAAATGGGCCTGTCAGGGTCGACGATCGAGCCGTTCATGTTTGAGCAGCGCCTTCTTTCTGACACGACAACCGTGTTTCAGACACTGGAATCACCCGCGAATCCTGCAGCCCGCACAGCCCACCCAGCTCGCGCACAATGACAGCATCGGCATTCGTCAGACACCTGCGATAGGCCGGTCGAGAAGAAAGTCGGATGATATCCAGCCAACATGCCAGCGTGGACGCAGCCCAAGCATCCTTTCTGTGGCTTGCCCCTCGGCGGGGTGATTGGCCCTGCCGCCGAGCTTCCGTCTGCCAGGGTCCCACCCGCCGCTTGCTGACCGCCCTGGCAGAATCGCTCCACCCCGGTCGAAAATGTTCGCGGCCGCCAGCCAAACTCCGAAGATTCCCAAAACACTTCCACAACATCGATACCATGACCGGCACGCAACAGCTTCCCGGCGGCGATGCCGCGCCCCAACCCACTACAACTCTTCCTCGCCGAAGCCGCAGATCGAGCCCGTCGCTGCCGAACGGCGAGGGCGCCGCCGTCAAGCCTGCCGCTGCAACAACCGCGACTGCGCAGGAGGACCAGACTATGGATGAGGCAAGCGATGCCGAATCGAGCGTTGTCAGCACCTCCTCTGAGGAGCCTAGCTCTGAGTCCGACGAAGATTCAGAAGACGACGAGGAAGATACACCCATGGATACGGACGAGATCACCTCGTTGCCTTTGCCGCCCGACGCTGAAACCCGGCGCAAGATCTACCAGCGCCAGGCTCCCCCGGCCTCATCGCTGAGTGAGCGCCTGAAGGCCTTCCTCCCGCAACTGGCTGCTGCAAATGTCGAACTTGAGAAGGATCGCGCCGCGGGAAAGCTGGCCCAGATGTCCCTGGAGAATGTTGGTGAAGACGATGAGCACTACATCGAAATGAACCTAGGCCTCGGCGTGCTGAAGGAGAAGGACCCGAACAAGATGGACAGCGACAGTGAGAGAGAGGAAGATTCCGACGACGAAATGGATACTGGTGCAGACGACCAGAAGACCCGCGAGGAGAACATTCTCGGCAAGCTCATGGGGAAGAAGAAAACCAAGGCTGGGCCTGGTATACAGGAAGTGCCAGACCAGTGAAATGCTGCGCGACTCTTCGCACTTGACGACACAACAGTCTGGACCGCCCAATGCAACTGCAACAGCCACGATACCCTCGGTAATTCAGCACTGCAGCTGATACCCAATTGTCTGGTATTTAAAACTTGTCTTTGAAAGCTATTCTCATTATCTACATTGACGAGTCGCTACTTTAAGCAGGGGGAATGTCATCACACCAGCTCCGGCGTAAATTTCAAGGTACGAATAATCATCGAAGGACCTCGAGAGGCAAATATACACAACTTGAGGGAGGAGGTGTAGATTTTCAATGCGATGGAATAACATGACGCGTTAAAATCATAAGTCAATGTTCCCAGCCAAGGAATTTCAGAATTTACTGCCATTTCATTCGAATGCCATGTAAATGCTCTATCTTCTGCTAACTTTCCACGGGAATAGCACCAAATGAAGATGCCGTGATTCCACAAATCTTCGCTCTACTCCACTTTCGAACAGAACAACCTAAATCCCTGAATTTCTCTGGGACTTGCCATCTCGACACATCCTAGACCTTTCTCATGGTGCACTGCAGATTTTCAATCAACGGTTTGCGAGCACGGTCGATAGTCTTGATTTGAGAATAACAAATGGTGGATGACTGCCCAGATCCGTCCCGGTCATGGAGGTCTATCTAGCCGGACTTGGACCACGGCTGCTTGAAAACCACCTTCTCCACAAAGGCTTCGTGTTTGCGGCAATGATACAGCCCGGGTTAGCACTGATAAGCATGCTTCCTTACCATGGTCGACCGCGGGTACTAATGACTTTTGTTTTCGTAACATTCATGGCTCCACACGAGCTGTGCTCATTCAAATAGACCATAATCACTCGTTGCAGCATCAAACCCTCATTCACAGCAATGATTTCCTTGCAGTTCAAGTATTCCGCGTTCTACGCTCTCATTTTTGCCGTTTTCACGGCCTCCGTATTTGCAACTCCTGCTTCCCCTGCTCCTCAGAAGAATGGTTATGTGTCGTTTGATGGATTCACTAAGGTCACCAACAAGGACTCTCTCGCCTGGTATAGAAGGCCTTCCCTGGGTATCGCCAAGGCCGTCGTTGAAAATCAACCCGGCTACGAGTGCTTCCATGGGGCCAACTATCCAGGCGTCAATGACTGGGAGTCCTTCGGAACGCTCTGGAACATCAACTTACCCGCTCTCCGCCTTCACAACTCCCCCGCCGACAACCAAATCCTGCGCAGTAAAATTCTCAGTATCGCCACTGAGACGAAGACGGATGCGCGAATCATCCTTGCTATTATCATGCAAGAGGTTAGCTTCCGTTTCACACCTACCATTATTCCTTCTCTTTTCCAATGTAACCAGAACCGGGACTTTCCAGTAACGCAAAGAATGCTGACACACACCAAAAATAGTCTAGCGGCCAGCTCGACGTTCACTGCACGGGCGAGAACAAGCACAACTGCGGCATCATGCAAGCGGCGCCGGGATCCGTCTCCTTCGACCCGGATAAGCCGGCGAAGAGCATAGACACGATGCTTCGGAACGGCGTGTTGGGCACGCCCGGGTCGTGGCCAAACGGCGGGCCCGGCTACGCGTGGTTCCTCAACGGGGCCAACGGCGAGGCTTGGGCCAACATGGGCGGCGGCGGGTACCCGTTCCGCGCGATGCGCGCGTATAATACCGGCAAGGTGCCCAACCAGAAAAACTACGATGCGACTAATGGTTCTGGGACGGTGAGCTATGTGAACGATGTTGCAAATAGACTGCGTGGATGGAATGGAAACGGGAGAGGGTGCGGTTACTGAGGTTGTTCTTGTGGCTGGACTGTTTCTGGTTGCAGAGAAGGTATGTGGCGGGGGAAGAATGTGTGACTGGAGATATCGAGTACCGTTGGATGCTTCGACTGGTCTGAAGCAGAGTGCGTACGAGATCGCACTTTTTTTTTTTTGTTGATTTTCGTTTTGGATGCATTGGGTAGGTAGCGTACCGTCAGTTTAAGGTATTGACTATGCAAGTTTCGATTTGACTCCACATTCCTACTACAAGTCTGCGGGCTTTTGGAATTCTAGGCAAAGGCCATGAGCTTAATGGAGATTACACTTCGTGATGTTGTGGAGTATGCCGTTAGCAATCCCCTTTAAAGCTAGTCTACATCGCCGCTTTCAACCATGATAATCCATTTTGATTGGATTGGGCATTTTGTACGAATGCACATTTTGCTGAAAGAACTCCATCAAAATATATAAATAGTATTAGCGAAGGATGACAGGCAAGATCCTACTCATATATGAAGTGGGCCTCGGCCCCCGGAATCAGATCCGGCATGAGGCGCGTTGCTACGGAAGCATGTTGTAACATTTCTCCGCTCACCGCTAAGTGGAACACAGTCATTCGACAACAGTTGTAAAAGTAGTCTCAACTTTCAGCTCCTCGGACTCAATGTCTCGCGACGGAGTTGCACCGACGCTATTTGCTGACTATGATGCAATGGGTAAAACCCTGGTCTGTTCCTTGCACACGACGTCGTTTACGAGCTGATTTGCATGATCTCCTTTATTTTGGGGTCGCCATGCAAGATCCGTCGTTTACTCGCCTCGTATTCGAATGGTATATAGACTTCGGCTATTCCAGCTTCGTTAAATCTAACAATCAACTTTTCTTTGGAATTGATCTTCGCGATGCAGCTCACCAGCCTTCTTACCGTTCTCAGTGCAGGAGCAGCTCTTGCGGCCCCTGCCGCTCATGCCGGATTCGGCCGTCGGGCCGTCAACATTAGCCAGCCGTTCGAGGTCGATCGCCTGTACATGTCCATGGACAGCGTGTGGGATACTTCGTCCGGCGTCGACGTCAAGTTCACCGCCACGGATGCCAACACTGGTGTTACCACCGTCTGCAACACCGCCAACGTCCTTGCCAATACCGTCTACGCCTGCGAGAGGGACCAGACCACGTGGGTCTTCAATACCGATTTTTCGAAGCTCAGTGTCGAGTGGTATTGGCCGCCGGGGTGAGTTGAGGTGGTGTGGAATTTGTGCGACGCCCAGTGCTAACGTTTTACGGTCAGAGAGATCAGCGACAATGGCCTCGGAGGCAACTACCGCGCCAATGGATCTGCGACCGTCAATTGGAACTGCGCGAGCTCTGGCAGCCATGGGCAACAATGCTTTGCAACCAAGTTCAATGTTCCAATCCAGACCATTGAGGCTTGGGCGTGAAGCAGCACTACGCGCAAGCAAAAGTATTTTGACTACGCACCAATCAATATTTCTTGAGCAATTTTTGTCTTTAATGCTCTTGCATTCATCATGAATTTATTCTTGTTGAGTTTTGCTATCCTTATGCATGAAGAGGAATATCTCTACAATTCACAGTCAATCCACTAATTTTTTTTGTCTTTCTTTCCTTTCTTCGCAGTTATTTTTTATTTTACCTTCGCTCTTACAGTTTCCCCGGAAAGCTGCACGTACACGGAAACTATCAATGCCCACATTGAAAGACCACGCGTAGGACTGGCTGTTCAGCAAGGGATTCTTCGACTTCATCCAGACGTATGACTGCTTCGGCTCTATACATAGGCTACGGGTTGTGCAAAAGTACACACCAGCCTTGCCAAGCCAATGAATGAACCTTTTCTGCATGCTGATAGAACAACAGTCAACTGAAGCCCGGCAGATGGATTGGGCTCATCCGCCAACTCTACCACAAATAAGAAGATGACACATTTACAGAAGACGCCGCTGACATGAAATGTGCATGTCAACCATGATGATGGGTCAGGGCTTTGACACACCGCTGTACATGCCTCTGATGCGCACGGATGGTGGCTTCGTGGACGTGTAGCAACAGATGATCAAAATACCAACTTCCGAGTGGTCGAAGAACTCACGCCTGAGGAAATTGGTGCGGTGGCGCAGGTCAACGTCGTGGAGGGAGCGAAAGGTTTCGTGTTGAGAGGGCTTACACAGAAGCTGAACAAGACGCGCAAGGAGATGGAGTCAAGACTATGACACGAGTTCACATCGAACAAAGTCCATGCAAACAGTCGATCGTTGTAAGTTTACGTCTCTATTCGTGTATTGGTCGACGGCGATGCTACATTGACTTTCCAACGTCGGGAAATACATGGGGACGCCTGAAATCGCCGTCGAAGCCTGATTTCTGGTCAATCAAACTCGGTACACGAAATCGCGGTTGTGTACAAGCATTGGTAACGGGCTTCCTGTCTGTCACCCTACTCACTGTTCATGCATTTTGCAACTGTACCCATGTCTTCAAACTCAATTCACGTCTCAAGCCTTCAACTTCGGCATTGGGACCATGCACTTTGCATTGTTCATCACCACATTCCAAGTACGTAAGAAAATTAGCATCCCTGATTAGTATAATTCACATCTGGAGGGCAATATGTGTCCGAAACTCTGTTCAACCCCGCAATTGCAGATAAGACAAGCGGAGAATCAAGCCAAATTCAATCGTAGAGATCGCTGAGTCCACACTGACCACGACATTTACACGCACACTGAAACAGCCACACTGATTGGCTGAAAATTTGCTGCAGATTCGGCGGGGTCTCTCCGTATGACATTTGTGGTGTTCCAAGCACTTGCCCCGAAAACTTAAAAGTGAAGAGGACGGTGACATGAAGATATGAGCATGAATATGGAGCTTTCACCGCAGAAGAAGAAATATGGTGGGGCAGTAACGCGGGGAGCTCACATGAAGCTATGCCTAAAGTGGTTAAGGCAGCGTTGGGAGTTTCTCCAGATAATGGGTGCGTTGTGGTGACCCGACAGCTGAGTGGCTGAAAATATGCAAGGAGTGATTCATAGAATGTATTGACGTCTTGGAGACGTGTGGGGTAACGTAAATGGGAAGCCGGAGCCGATTTATTCCTAAGATGGAACCTTCTCTTCGTTAACCGGAACCCGATTTTCCATTGGTCTGATTGGAGGTTGTGCGGTTCTGGTCTCATGTAAGCTTGAGCCTCCCATGTATGATGGTCGTCTTACTTCCTTCTCCCTGGAACATAACAGAGGATTCCATGGCGCTTCTTGCCGATCTTCTTTGAGCCATCTCTGTATGTTGGGAGGTGAATGCGATTGCTGGCTTCGAGATTCTGACGAAGCGGACTATGAAGAGGATCAGCAAGTGTGTCTATATTCCCCGGTTGAGCCTTACATTGTTGTTGGAGGAGCCTTGCCTGATTCCGTTCATATTATTTGATTCCATTAACTTTCACCTGCAAAAGTATTCATGAAGTGTTTTGAACAGCGGAGCACAAGGTGAGTTGGACCACTTCGAATATTTGGTGAAAATGAAGTTTCCCGGAGGATAGCCATTACTTATCAATTTTCGATGGCCAGATTCAAGGCTCCCAGCCGCCGTACCGGATCATGATTGCATTCGGACTTCGTCAGATGGGTGGAACCTCATATACAATGCAAGGAGCAGGCTTGGAGCAAAATCACCCTAAATGAAGCCAGACCAAGGGCTTCATACAGGTGATGGTGTGGTGTGGCTGCTTTTACGCCCGCTCCTTCCTCCGTAGGGCTATTTTGGTGAACCGCAGAGCCTCCTGAACTTGAGGCTGTGTGTCAGATGAGCATGTTATCTGGATGCTGCTTGGCCCTTATCTCGATTCGTACGATCTTGGCTCGGTGCCACGCAGGCCGCTTGTGCAGCAGAAAGGCCTGCCGGTAATTCTCCTGGCTAATGTATTGGTTGCTCAATGGCGCCATGCCTCTCCATGCTGCAGCAAATGTCGTACATGGCCCCATTGGACCGATTGCGCTGCCTACCTCTGCACGGGACGGACTAATGGCCACAACATATATGTATGCAAGCAATACCAAGGTCGGATTGAGCAAGCTGGACCCTCGACAGGCTTTCCCGAGCCTTTCGCTTGTCAGACCGTGTCAGCCACGCAGCTCCTTTGGGCCGGCGGCAGTTGTAAATGATCATGCTGGTAACTGACTGCCATGGATCTCCCGGATTTCTCAGATTCCAGTCATGGGATGCTCACTTCGTCGCACGGTAGTCGAGTAACGGAGTCTCCGACAGGCTCCCACGTGCCAATTGCCTCTCACATCATCTTTTCTTCTCGCTGCAACGCCGGGGATGCCTAAAATCCGTTTATGGGACCGTGCAGATGTCGGAAATGCAACAAACCGGCCACTCCGCATGCTACAGATGTTCGGAAAGCCCGATGCACGCCCAGACCTCCCCCGCATTGAATGTCAATGACGTAAACAGCTACAACGAAGTGAAGATACGTGTTCACCCTGGCATATCGAGTCACATGTCCTGTATGCAGGTGTGATCACTTCTCAGGTCTGCTGAACGTTTGCATCGTATATATGTGAATAGTGCATTGGATCAATGATACGTACATGGCAGAGCAACCTGCTCATTTACCCGGACTATTACGCTAACAAATCTCATACCCAACACTGGTCCATCTTTCTAAACTCTTAGTTGAAAGTGGTAATTAGTTTTTCTCAAACTGTAGAGTAAGTTCGCTAGGAGTGTGCGTACATAGAAAGTCGTTCTATGTCGTAATGGGCCTTGTCGGCGGCGTGAACCCAAAAAGTATTCTGGCGCTGAAAGTTTTTAGGCAAAGCACGTAGGGTCTCAGCGGCTTCGTATGAAGTTACAAAAAGCTCAACTAACTCCATATTATTGATCCCCGCGTCCAATGACTTATCTGATAGTGGTTGAAGTCCTGCGGGGGATGGTTGAATGCCTTGCGGTCTCTATTATTGCTTATTATCTTATGATTGGCAATGAACTCTTTAGAGCGGGACCGAAGTTTTATTGTTCTATTGCAGCATTGTCAGACGTTGATGTAGTCAAGGGGAACTATTGCCGAGATCTTCGAGATGTCGTTAAGTTTACAGAGTAGTCTGTAGTCGAGCCAAATGCTGAGGCAACGATTAGGATTTGCATGATGTAAAGCGAGATGATGTCAATCCATAGAGCTAACGAGTAGTGGGAAAGTCCATACTTTCAATTACAGCATCTTTACGACGTATCCTGACATACATCTACTTAGACAAAATGACAGAAACCTGTAGAACGTTTACAGTTTAAAAGATTATTTACTTTGAATTTACACCGTTCTGCATGCGACGTCTCCGCATTCTTTGGCAGATAAACTTTAGAGTTGTACCGGATGAGGTTAGTATACCAGGAAGGCGGTTGTGATAGATCCCGAACAGGAATGGTCAGATAGCCTAATGATATACTAAGAATCCTCCCGCTGATAGAGCTTTAAGACAGTTTCTAAGAGGCGACGGCTATGACAGAATGGCCTTAGGAGCAGTTGCCGAAGCCCATTATGCACAAAAATCTTGATAAGGGACGAGGAATCATTTACCAGTATCGCTAGACATGGACTGGAAGCGGCAAACCGCTTCTGCAGTGAAGTAAATACTTTAATGCGAAGCATTGATGCCACGAGTACAGGAGGATACCGTGGCTACTAAGGCTGGCGTAAACAATAACAGGCTCTTGGCACGGAGATAGGGTTTCACAATATCTATCAATGCTAACCTTCGGCTGCAACACCCCACGGTACACATAAGGATTGATCGGATATTGACTATTATTGATGGACAGAGCGCTTGGTGAATGTGGGCCCTCCATGCTGAAAGACCGTTGTTTAAATAAGAGACAAAGCTAACGATAATCCATATGGTACAGGAAGTGGGGTCGGGATTCGTCATACGATAATCCGGATAGAGTATGAAGGATTCGTTTCCACTTGGGGCCTGAATATATCGACTTAATCCCTGATCCCTGTAGTGCATGTACTTCGTGTTCCTTTCACATCCTTCAGCCCCTGCCGCGATCTGCAACCAAAGCTCTATCTTCACTCTCTTCTGAAGCTGCATGCATCATTCACTGACCATGAAATCCATTCGATTCATGTTAAGTCAAGCTGAGAATCTAATGAAAGCCGTGAAAATTGATGATTATGCAGTTTCTGGATGTAAAGCATGGACTGATCACACTGAAGCTCGCCTGATCTCTCTACGGTAAGCACACTAGTACTTTCTGACTATAAAACTTTCTTTTTCTGTTGATGCAAAACTTACGTCATGCTAGTTGAATAATTTAGAAGCGGCTTTGGGTATAGACCTGCAACCAAGTCTCTTAACCCGCAAAAGAACCTCACTGCAAGATCCCCATTTTCCGAGCATTCTGCCTGATGAACTCCTTAATCTCCTCCTCGCTCATAGCCTTCAGACCCAGCCGCTCGTTCCATGCCATGTGCCTAGTGTCACCTTCATGGCCCTTTCCGTACATTATCTGGAAATAGTACAAAAGCATGACTGACATGTCTCCCTGGCTCCGCTTCTCATCGGCCATCCGGCACAGCTGTTCCGTGTCAAGATCCTCGATCCTGCCATCCTCGACGGTGCCAAAGTCAATTCCCGTGACCTCGGCAGTCAACTTCGTCAGATAACGCTCCGACACGGCAGCAGAGTAGATGTAGACGGGCTTGTTGGCGCTGTCCTGGAAGTGCTCGGGCTTCAGCACTCTGGCGACGGCAGTGCCGATGTCGGCCAGGCGCGAAGCGCCGACGTAATGGGCGCCGCCGTTGTGGAAGGTGGCCTTGCGCTCGGCGAGGTTGGGCCCCAGCATGCCGAAGGGGAAGACTAGGTCGAGGAAGGGCCCGCTGTTGACGGACGTCCAGGTCGTGGCGGCGGCTGCAGTGCTCGGGATCACAGACGTGATGTAGTCGCGGATGGCCACCTTGGCCTGCACGTTGGGCAGCTTGCGCGAGAGCGGGTTCTCGAGGTTGGTGCTGTACTCGGACGGCACGATGCGCTTGACGCCGGCGGCGATTGCAGCGTCGACTACGGCCTTGTTGTCTTCGACGTTGAGGGGGTCACCGATGGCGCTGTGAGAGGTCAATTAGCGGCCGTAGGTGCGTGGGTAGCTCAGTGAATCTTACTTCACGACAGCGTCCTGGCCCTTGAAGGCAGAGGTGAGTTCATCTTTGCTGCTGGTGTCGATTTTGAGGCTCCCATCGGCCTCCGGTGGCGCACTGCTCTTGGAGCCGTTGCGCTGCACGGCTGTGACCGTAAAACCTTCACTTTTAAGAGCTTTGAGGATGTGGGAGCCAAGTTTGCCGGTGGCCTGCCTGTTCGTCAGCACTCGAATAACTGTTGAGAGAATTTTATATTGCTCGGGTACCTACTCCAAGGAGAGCAACTTTCTGTACAGGAAGAGACATGCCGAGATTTAAACAGTGATATCTGACTAGAAAGAAGGACGCAGGGAGGTGGTTTAGATGATGAGATCATTGAAGTGATTGTATTCTTCAATATATATGTGCATTGTCTGGCACTTGGCATGCAAGAAGAGCCGCATCCTGTTGCTCCACTCCCTGATGTCCAAGCCCGGATGCAGACTAAAGCCGCTTCCGTTGCCGATGCCTTCCAGCTCAGCTGTTCCAGATCGTCGATTTCGGTGACCGAAGAAATGGTGGTGACATTTTGCATGTCGCCGGCCAATCAGATCACTTCATTGATTGTGAGCTGTTCTAAACGCCGAAAGTACCGCCACTTTAGTTAAGCGTCGGCATCGCGCCTCGTAAGCACCGAAATGCCGAACTTAGTCAACCCCCCCATTCGCTCTTTTTTGACCCCGGCTACACTAGATGGTCGAAAAGGGGTCCATTTGCAAAATAAGTTGGCCAATCAGAGCAAAAATTCAGATCATTGATGTACATATGAATGAATTAGAACACATTATGACCCTACACGCTACGGCTATGCTTTCGAGCCCGAGATCCGGCTAGGACCATCACTGATCGGAACTGTGGAAGATCTTACGTGTAAATTGCGCTCAACCGTACGGCCGTTCTGCCGTTTAGCAAAAATGACCTCTCTTCGATAGAACACCATCAATAAGTGGCATGTCTAATTGTGCTTGACTGCGGCCGATTACATCGAGTATATTAAGATGAACAATGACTGACTTTTAAAAAATATGTTTCATGAATTGGTATCAGTTGTTCTCTTGATTCACTTCCAGACGGTTGGTCTAAGCTCTTAATCATTACCGGTTGCAAAGCCTTACGCAAGCGCGACGCCAACAGATTTCGCCAATATATCGCAGTTGATGCTGCCATCAATCAAGGACCATTGGAGAGTGTATTTCAACGCTTTGTATTCATAACTGTTTCTTGTCGAAGCAACGAATGTTTAGGCTACACGATTCAAGGCGAGCGCAAGAGCGTCTACATCCTTCACTTCAAGGTCCGCGTTTCGCTCTAGGCGAACGCGGCCTTGTTCTTCTCCAGAAACTCCCTGAACGTAGTGGGCTTCAAGCCAACCTCAGCCAGCAGGTCCAAGCTGGGCTTCAAATCCTTTCCAGCATAGTATCCGGGCTCTCCAATGAACAGATGGTTCTCGAGCAACTCCTGAGCAATGGCTTCGGGGATGGGAAGGAAGCTCTTGTAGGTCTGCGGGTCAACCTGGACGTACTGCGTCTTCTGACCAGTGACGTCCTCAAACTCGTTGAGTATACGCGTAGGCGTGTAGTAGTCGGCGGCAGCGAGGACCTGAGCGCCCAGGAGCTTGGAGCGCTGCTTGATGGATGCGACAACGTACTTGCCTGCAAGCGGAAAATCATCAGTTCTGTCTTCTCATTCGCATTGCGACAGTAACTCACCCATATCCTCGCTGATATCGATCAGCGGGAAGCGCGCGTCCTCGCCAACGGGATAGGCAAGCGTGTACACGCCCTCCTCGTTCTTCCTGATCATGCCCATGGCCGTGTAGTTGCCCATGAAGTAGCCAGGCAGGACGAAAGTGGCGGGCACGCCGATGGCGCGGATGTACTCCTCGACCTCGGCCTTGTGGTCGAAGTGAGGAATGTGCTTGAGGCGGCCGCCCGTCTCCTTGGTCGCGTGTAGCAACGACGAGAAGATTAGGTGCTGGACGCCGGCATCCTTACACGCATCGGCGACATTCTTGCCGTCGATGAGTTCAGCGTCAGGAGACGCCCTGGCGCCCCAGGCGGGGGTGGTGACGAGGAAGACGGTGTGCGAGCCTTTGACGGCTGCGTTGAGGGAGGCAGGATCCTCCATGCTCGCCTGACAACATGCTGCTGGTTAGATGGGTCCAGCGCTGATCGGACAGCGGTGTGGACTTACCGAGACCATCTCGACACCCTTAGCCTGCAGGGCCTGGGCAGCGGGCTTGGACGCATCGCGGGTGATGCCTCGGAGCTTGAACTCCTTTGAGAGGGTGGGGTCGGCGAGGATGGCTTGAATGACGGAGCCACCCTGGTTGCCAGTGGCGCCAAAGACAGTGATGAGATTAGACATTTCGGAGGAGGTGAGTGCGGCTTGTTGTGTAGATGTAAAGATAAGTGTTGATTGAGTGGGTGTTTGTTGTTGGGGAGGTGTCCCTCTCTGAGCTTCATTATTTTATATGCATTCTTTCGAGCCTAGTCGTAACCCAATGGCCGCCTAGAGTAACCCTCGGCCTTAGAAAGTAGCCAATAGGTTAGCTTAACTAAGCTCGCGCTTTCGGCCTTTCACTGCGTGGTCTGTTCTCATGAATGTTGTGGCTCGGATAGAAACCCGAGCCCTCGTATCGAGGTTGGCCACCATGAAGCACTCGCACGCACATGCTAAAAATGCTATCAAGCGAAACTATTGTACTTGGCTTTCTGGATCTTAGTACGGAACTATCTGAGGATCGCCAACAACGCGTGGCACGCCTCGAAAAAAAAAATGAAACAAGTGTACAGCGCCTCGGCAGTACCTGGAGGCAAACTGCATGTTCGTTCTTTCCGTGAATGGATCACTTTACAAGCTGGAGCAATCGTGAAGACATTGGGTCCCATAGAAGATGTTGCGATGCATTTGAGCGCAACTACACACTAACTCAACGTATGATTGCGCCCGCGTGTCAGCCGTTGGGCCCTTGGCACCACTATCACCGAGCATCTTCATCTCCGAGGTCTGGGCGTTCCATGCCCGAGTACAGGATAAAGAAGTTTCTCGTAGAATATAGTGGCAATTCTCTGCCTTTAGAGCTTGGCATAAGATGATGAGGTGGTGTCGTGGACTTGCTCGCGCTAAGTGAGCCCGAGAGCCGCATGCTGACAAACGGCCGCTTTACACGCCGACAACACCTCTACTCCGTGCGAAAGATATTGTCGGAGGTCGAATCAGTCGGACATGGAGATAACCGCTTAGCAAGCTAGGTGTATATGCTAGAAAATCTGAAGTTGGCTGCACCTTGATTAAATACCAGCATGCAGACTCCTTGCAAAGTCCATAGCCTGAGCAACCACCACACTTACATAAAGTGTCGCACTTAGCCATACATTGGCCCTTCATCCACACAGCTTTTATCACCTCAATTTCTTTGCCAAACGAACGTACCGGTACTCTCATCTTGAAAGCCCACCCTCCAAGCGCGACTGCTGCATTGCTACTCCTCCTTCACCGCAACCGCGACCGCGTCCCACACCAGCCATCACCACCAACCAACCCACCCACAATGTCCCGCGCCCTCATAATCACCGGCGCGACCGGCAAACAAGGCAGCTCCGTCATCGACGCCATCCTGACCCGCAACCGCCTCCCTCACACGACCATCCTCGCCCTCACCCGCGACGCCCGCTCGCCGTCCGCCCAGCGCCTCGCCGCCAAATCCCCCACCATCAAGCTCCTCGAAGGCGACCTCAACGACGTGCCCGGGCTCTTCGCCAGCGCCGCGCGTCTAGCGGGCGCCAGCACGCCGCTCTGGGGCGTGTACAGCGTGCAGGTGTCGATGGGCAAGGGGGTGACGCTGGAAGGCGAGGTGCGGCAGGGCAAAGGGATGGTCGATGAGGCGCTCAGGGCCGGAGTGTCGCACTTCGTCTACAGCAGCGTCGAGCGCGGCGGCGACGAGCGCAGCTGGGATAATCCGACCGACGTCCCGCACTTCCGCACCAAGTGGGAGATCGAGCGCTACCTGCGCGACCAGGCCGCTGCGAAGGGAGACAAGATGGGATGGACGGTGCTGCGGCCCTCCATCTTCATGGATAACTTGGAGCCTGGGTTCCCTGGCAAGCTGTTCATGACGTCGTTGAGGGATACCATGGGCGACAAGCCGCTGCAGTGGGTTGCCACCAAGGATATTGGCGTCTTTGGCGCTATGGCGTTCGAGGAGCCGGAGAAGTGGAACCATAGGGCTGTGGGGCTGGCGGGTGATATGGTGGACTTTGATCAGCTGGATACGATTTTTACACGGGTGACGGGCAAGCCGGTTGGCACGACATTTGGACTTCTGGGAAAGGCACTGAAGCATGGAGTCAAGGAAGTGGGCACTATGCTGGACTTCTTCAAGAACGAGGGCTACAAGGCGGATATTCAGGAACTGAGGAAGGAATACCCTGGCATGATGGATCTGGAGACTTGGTTGAAGACACAGAGCAAGTTTGTGAAGAAGAACTAGTAGGGATTGGGTTTTCATGAAGATGTCATTTGTCGTTAGGTTTCCTGCGTTAGATAGATATCCTGCAATTAATTCGTCATGTTTAGCCTAGAAAATATTCATTTTGCTTGCTTACTCCTGAAGCATGATCGAAAATTGTAAAACATGCATTCGGGAGCTCCCATGGGGCGCTTCTCTTGGTATAATTTTGACATGTCATGCGGACAGAACAGCGGACCAGTCTTGTTTCTTCATCCAGTCCTCCAGAGATGTCATAGGGTATTCCACACCGAGCTTGCGAGATGTGAATAAGTGGAGTGTTCTCAGGGTAATAAAGGAACCGTACCTTTCTTATGTCCTCCGCCTTCAGCAGACTCTCATCCCCACCATCGTAACCCGGCTCTGAAGAGTAGAGAAACATATCGCCAACTTCCCTTCCAAACTCCTTGTCGGGTGATTCATCAATCATTTGCTGGAGCGTAACTTGTTGATACCGGGCTGGCTTCCCAGTGACTTCACTCCACAATCGCATGTACTCACTCCAGCTACACGTGGTGCCTTCCGCCATGTAGCTCTTGCCGGGCGGCAGCTTCGACACTGCGTAGACGAATGCTCCCATGTCTGCGTTCACATCCAACTGCGGCACAGGCTTATCCGGGGCCGTCGGGAACCTCATCTCAAACGCCCCATCAGCTGCCTACATCACCACGAAGCGTCAGCAATGCCATTCCTCCCAGCCAATCCCACACCCAAAGCCAGCACTCTTACCTTCGCAAAATACGCCTGTGGCACGAGCTTATAGCTCGACATAAAAAACCCCGTCTGCACACAACTCATCTTCCTTGCCAACTCGGGCCACCGCTCCCGCACATACCCCGGAAACACCCTCGCCTTCGCATCGAAATGATACAACTCCCTCAGCTTCCCCCCGCTGCACCTCTCCGCATAGCTCAACGTGCTCACAACAAACCCATTCTCATCCAGCGTCGCCACCGCCGCCGCGGCCACCGCATCCGCCACGCGCCGCCCCTGCCGCTCCTCGACGCGGCCCGCGTACTCGCGGCACGAGATGCCCAGCTCCGCAGCTTTCGCGCGGCAGTCCGGCCGGAAGAACGGCTCCCAGTAGTCGGTGACGCTGAAGACGAGGTTGGCGCCGGCGAGCGCGGTTGTTAGTGCTGATGGATCGGAGTCGTCGTCCAGGTCTGCGCGGACGAGCTCGACGCCCTGCGCGGCGAGGGCGACGGCGCGCGGGGAGGACGGGTTGCGGGTTATGCCGCGGATGCGGTAGGTGGGGTCCTTCAGGAAGCGTACGGCGACGCTGCCGCCTTGGTTGCCTGTTATGCCGATGATGACGAGGAGTTTGGTCATGTTTGCGCGTTGTTTCTTGTTTGGATCCAATTCCGGATATTTGGGCGGAGGAGAGGGAGGAGGAGGAGCACAGTGATGGAGGGGCAGGTGGTGCGACATGGTGGGGTTGCTGATTCTCGTGTTCCTGCGGCGGCCGAGATGCCAAAAAAGGAAGGCGGGGCCGTAGGTGCATCGAATAGTATCATGGAGGGATTGAAATATAAATGCGGAGTTTGGAAAGGAATTTCATGTTAGCAAATCAAATAAGATCGAACAATAGCTTATCGTGAACCTGTGTATCTATAATGAGCAACAATGTTCTCCGCGTTCCTCAACCTTGAAGCTTTACTACATTTCATTCTCTAAAGAAAGTTGTGGATTACAAGATGCTTCGTGGATAGGAGAGATTGCGGGAGTACAGGAATACTTCTTGCCCGGCATTGAGACAAATATTCGTTGGGTGATGGTGATGTGGACGTTGTGCGGCTGGCCGATGCTCGAATGCTGAACGGGTGCTGTATTGAACTACCCGGAAGGAAGCGCTAAATACACCCCTGGTTGATCGTGCCTGCCAACAACGTGACTGCGGTAATGAGAGCAAAGCTACTGCATTGCTTCCGGTTCTGAATCAGCTGAAGAAGCACTTCACCAATTGCCCAATATTCTTTCTTCTAGTGTTTTCAGAGCAAACATTGGTTCACATGGATTGACTCTCAAAAGTTTGCATCAGGCCCCGCGACTATAAGTAGACAGTGGACATCTACACAAGAGCCACCGGCAACCTCATCTCGCTATTTCTTCCTTCCAACTCATTCACAAAAGATGGCAGGCCCACCACCAAAGCAAGCCGACCACCTCGTCACCATTCCATGCTATCATGGTGAATTTGAAGCTCTCGTCCATTGGTACAACCCCGCTCGCCCCCGCTTGATGAGCGAAATCCACTACGACGCACCACGCCAAATCTCACAAATCAAGTACGTCGACCAAAAGCCATACCACCACTCGCGGCCCCGCTGGAAGCACGACGAAGAAAGCATCGTCATCACCATCATCGGCGCCGCCAACCACGTACGCGACGAGCAAGAAAAAACAACCGACAAAGCCGGCTACGGCATTTTCTTCGGGCCCGGCTCGCGGCACAACCTCAAGACCTTCTTGCCCACGTACATGGAGCAGACCAAGCGGCGCGCCGAGATCCAGGCCGCCAAGCACGCCCTCGAGCTGGCCGAGAAGCTGGTCGAAACCACGACGGATCCGGAGCTCAGGGAGATCATCATATTGACCGAGTCGAGACCGCTGCTGTCCGACATCGTCGAGGACGTCTTTGCGTGGACGGCGGATATTAACAGCCGGAATCCGGACTTCGATTTCAAAGGGGTCCGCTACATTACTGAGATCCTGGACCTGCTAGTGACGCTGAAGGACATTGAGCGTCCAGGGAACATTGCCGTAAGGTTTTGGGATAAGGAGGATCAACTCAGATATGAGGCGTACGATCTTGCGAATGAGCTCTGGGACCGACCTGGAGAGAGTGGTGATGGAGGTGAAGAAAGTGGAAGTGAAAAAGGTAGTGGCGACAAAGGTGGTGGTGAAGAATGTGGTAGTGAAGAACTTGGTGGAGAAGAACGTGGTAGTGAAGAATTTGGTGCAGAAGAAGGCGATGGTGAAAAGCATAGTGGTGGTGAAGAGAGCGATGACGGGAAGAGTAGTGGTGAAAGGCTTAGTGGTGAAAAGGGTGGTAGTGAAAGGTTTGGTTGTGAAAGTATTGGTGAAAGAAAGGGCGGATAGAGTTCAAAGCATGCTAGATAGTAGAAATTGAAACGTCTGCATACAGGCGCAAACGACGATGTGTGCTACGAACTCATTTCCTACTCCCTCCTGAACAACCCATCTGGCGCCGTCCCATCAGTCCCGCCATTCTTTCTCTCCTCAGCCAGTCTCCTGAACCCCTCAGCAAACTTCTCATTTCCATCCGGCTCGTACCTCTCCATCACGCTATCCCACGTCGACTGCATGAACGCGCGAGCGCGAGGAAACATATCCTTCTCATACCTCTCCGCCGCCTTGTCTACCCCGTCTACTGCCTCACCACCAACCGCCTTCCCAATCTCTCTCGCCAACAGCAACGCATCATGCAACGCCTGATTGACGCCCTCACCCGCAAACGGCGTCATGAGGTGCGCCGCATCACCAATAGCCGTAAAGCCCTTCCGATGCAGCCACCTCGTACCCACATGCACCATATACAGCTTCCGCGGGATGACCGGCTCACCAGCCGCCTCAACAACCTGCCCAAACTCAGGCGCCCAATCCTTAAACTCCTCTCGCAGACAGCGCTTGACTTGCTCCAAGTCCGCGTGGTCCGCGACGCCGTTCCGCTCGTGCCAGTCGGCGTGCTTGCGCAGGAAGGCGTAGATCTGCACGCTGCGGTCCGACTGGCGCTGCATCACCAAACACCGCTCATCGGCGCGGCCGAAGGCGAAGTGGGATCCGTCGCCCGCCAGCCGCGACACGGCCGGGTGCGCCGTGTCGACGTCGTTCGCCAGCCACAGCTCGTAGCCCGTCACACCAGAGTAAAAGGGCGGGACGGTGGTGAGGAGGGAGCGGATCTTGGACCACGCGCCGTCGGCCCCGACGACGAGGTCGAAGCCGCGCTCGATGGTGCTTGTGCTAGTGCTGCTGTTGTCTTCGGTGGTGGTGGTGGTGACATCGAAATGAAGGGTGCCGTCCAGCTCTGCCCGCGACAACTTATGCCCCCAGCGCACGGTGCCGGGTTCGAGTGATTCGAGCAGCATGCGGCGCAGGTGCGGGCGGTCGATTTCCGGGCGCCCGAGGTCCTCGCTCGCGCCCATGTCGACGTAACGTCGGCCCGTGTCATCACTGATGATGTACGCCTGACCATCGTAGCGAGCGAAGCGCTGAAACTCGTCCCAGAGGCCAGCTTCACGTAAGGCGGCCTGGCCCGAGTTCTCATGAAGGTCAAGACTTCCGCCGGCCGTGGCGCGGTGGGCGGGTGAAGTATCTTTCTCGAAGATGGAGCAGGTGATAGAATGTAGCTGAAGAAGGCGGCCAAGGCAGAGACCGGCAGGGCCAGCCCCGATGATGGCGATGCGAGGGGTGGAAGAGGACATGGTAGTAACGTTGAATAGGTGGATATGTATGGATGATCCAGACAAAGTCCAAGTGAGTGGGATGAACAACGGTTGCTTGGTTCGTCCTGAAAAGACTTGCTGCAGGATTTATATAACATCGCATCGCCCTAGGTTTCACCCTTTGAACAGCTAGTGTCCGTGCCGAAGGTCGGTCAACTCCAGGCTGCAGCTATAGGGGTGTTGATCAAAGCATATTGATCGAGGAAATCAGCATCTGAGGTAAGCTAACAGTTGTTGAGGATCATGGTTGGCTTGTGGATTAAGACCTGCGTTTAGTGCGTTCGGCGATCAACATCGAGTGAAACCCCGAGCTTCGGCGTCGGCCTCGGAAAACCATGTACACTCATTCTTGGACTGGCCAGTAGATTGATTCGGGGAACAATGTGTTGGACAGTGGCATCACGTTCGAGAGTTCCCAATCGAATGGAAAATTCCCCTGAATATGCGTTAGTGCGCTGTTCCCACGGAATGTTCTGGCCGCTTACTATATCGAACCCCAAGTCCCCCAGCTCGCTCGTGTGTGTACTTGGCGTGTCGTTCGAGAAGTCTGATTTCCACGTTGCAGCTTGAGCAAGGATTTCCGAGCAGTCCTGAAGTAGTTCCTCCACACGCGATATCAACACGTTCTCATCAGGCTTCTTCCCATTGACATCCTCAAGTTGAACAATAGCGGCGGCGAGGAAGACATAGGCTTTGAAGTTACTCTGCCCTTTGCGCAGCCTTTCGCGCAATACCGTGGAATAAAGGCGGATGGCCGCGAGCTGCTCCCTGCGCGCGGTCAAACTTGATTCGGTGACAAGGGATGAGAAATTGGACGAGTCGTCTTGCTGCCACATGAGCTCCAGGACAACAAAGCCGGCGGATTGAAGAAAGGTCGTGTGCAGCATCCCATTTCCGAGAGCCACGAGCTTTTTGTAGAGGGTGGATCCAGGATCGGGATGGTTGATATTAAGGATGAGCAGACAAGCGTCCAAACACATCTTGCGGGAGAAGTAGTATGAGGGAGAAGCCTTGGCTTTTGCGGCGAAAGCTTGGTGCAATGCAATCAGGAAGCGGTAGGTCAAGAACTCGACCATTTTACATTGGAAGAGCTCGCGCTCTGAAGAAGGGTTGAAAGACGCGAGGCGGGTGCGAATGTGCTTGGTAAGCTGGGCGTTGAGGTCAAGAGCTGTGGAGTACGACAGGTCGGAGCGGAAATGGTTCAGAAACTTCGCAATCTGCAAGCGCACTGGCAGGCTCTCTGCAAGAATGTTCTGGGCAGAGATTGGGGTTTCTGCGGATTGGATGTGGTCGCGAGAATGCATGTCGAATCCGTACGTGTCTGATGGGGGCTTGCAGTCAAAGTCGTCGATGGAGAATAGGGGCGGCTGGCCGGCATCGATGCTTGCCTGAACGAGCAGCTCTGTCGTGGTTGCCCACACCCTTCTCCGCACCTCGGCCTCAACAGGAGACGAGATCTGGAGGTGAACAGGGTCGCGGTTTAGTCCGATCTGCATGGCTGTGCGAAGAAGAGAACCGGCCGATACCCAAACAAAGTCGCCACCAACAGCATGCGTCTGGCGCGCAAGCATGAGCAGACAGTGGATCTGAACGCCAACAAGGGTGATGCGTCTATTTTTGGCGAAAGGAGAGGAAGCCCAAGTATGTGCTGCGATGACCCATTGCATCGAGGCACAATACCAGGTTCCATCGTCGTCGTTGAAGCAAGTGCCAAGCGCAAGTACGAGCAAGAGTTTGACGACAGAAGTGTCAGATGCCGACTCGGGCGACGACCAATACTGCTCGTACTCCTGCCTGAACGAGGGAACGTGGTGGATGCGGTAGACGGTCTCGAAGGTTTCGAGATATTGCTGCATCAGCTGATCGGCAACTGGGCGCGGAGGCATCTTGTCGCGCAAGTCGGAGACGGTAGGTTCAGCAGAGGCAGGGTGTCTCTTGGCCTTACGAGCGTGCTGCTTGCACTCGAGTAGAAGAGCCTTGATCTGAGGATGGCGAGCTGGGTCCAGCTCATCAAACCGAAGCATTTTCGGGAGCTGAAGCTGTCAGAGGATGCTTCTCAAAGCTGGCTGAGTCCACTCACATTCTCGAGCGTGTTTGTCCAGTGAGAAGCACCAAACAGCTTGCCCTTGTCACGGGTGGCCTTTGTGGGCAAATTCGACTGTTCGTTCGGCTGCGAGGTGGGAAGGAGCTCAGCAGGAGCCGCTTTCACCGAAGCCGATTCTGCAGGAGCCTGCTGGGTTGCCTGAGTCGCGAGGCCATCTGCGGACAGCGGAGTTGGCAGGCGATCCGAGCTCGCTCTGGGGACGGGCGTGGCGCCATCTGGCACGTATGTGCAAGTGCGTGCCCTCTTGCCGCGGATGCACTTGTTGCACGGAGTGTTGCGGTCACACTTGATCTTGCGCGCGCGACAAGCTTCGCAAGCGAGGGCCGGTCTCCGCCGCCGCGTCGGCCCTGGGCGCTCCTTTGCCGGCGGACCTTCCTTGTCCATCGTGTTCTTGGTTTTTGGGTGACGGTGAGCTGAGCTTCCAGCTGAAAGTTGGTGGGTGGGGAAGAAGACCGATCTGCTCACCCCCGAGCCCGCTATCTCCGGAAGGATCCGCTATTTTGGCTCCTCTAGCCGCCCTTTCTCCGATTCTTGCGCGACTGGTCCACCTCGCTACCTTTATTACACTTTGCACTACCGTGGATTTACTACCACACCGACCCATATTTGCCTCGAAACCCCCATTTATTTTTAATGTCATGGGTAGTTGAGGATATCATCCGGACGGGAATGTATAATCATCAATTCTACATTTACATCCGGATGATAGCTTCGATCACCCATAAGCGTTATTTTTTTTTTTTTGAGCTTCGGGCAGAGCATGGAATTTTGGAAGCTGTGTGGCTTTTGGGACGGTGGTAGGCTGAGGGTCCTTTCTCGCAAAGATTGGGAAAAGGGACTTGGTGGTATGTAGCTTCCCGCACAGCATCAGGAAAGAACACCAGTTCTTGACCCAACACTTTCTTCCACTTTCAACTCTTCGCCGCCGACACTTCACATACTGGCATCCAGCAGTATGGCAACAAGCGGCGTCAGACAACCTGTGATCCGCATCTTCAACCCCGAAGACGACCCGTCTACAGCAGGAATCGAGCATTCTGACCTCATTGCATACGACTTGGCACATGAGATTCACCACCTGCGGAGCCGCCTGCGGCCTATCTGGGACCATGACACCGTGGTAGTCAGCATCAAGGGCATACGCCATTCAACAATAAGCCAAAGACCCGGAGGCGCATATGGCATCTACGTCGGACCCAAGTCTTGTTACAACGCAAATGGAGGACTCCCCCATATGACTCCGCACATCGAGCGTCGATATGAGATGGAAGCTCTTTCCAGGGCCTTGGAAGTCCTCAGAAACATCGTCATCAACAACCCCGACATCTTACGCATCTTCGTCATTACCGACTCTGACTTCCTTTCCTCCGCTTTGTCCGAGATTCACGAGGTACTCATGAACGCCGGCTTTCCCCAATCCGGAAATCGAATCCCCGACTTTGAGAGGGTTAAGCAGCTACATGAGCATCTTTGTGAGTTCGAAGCTACCGGTCGTACGATACAGTTCTGGAACGCTCCCTCTCTGACTCGCAAGGCGTACGAGTTGGCCATGGTTACTTAATTCTATTGTACATACACTGAGTTCTGCTTGATTCACTCTGTAGTGAATATCATGACTCACTCATACCATGGGGAACTGAAGCTATCATCCGGATGAAAGTGGGATTAAAACTTCTACATGAACGTCCGGACGATAGCTTCAACTACCCACTGCAACAGAAATCAATTTATCTTTTGTACCTTCATACATTCGTTATGAAAACCACCAGTATGGCGCAATATGCTGCGCTTGCCGCAAACAATTCGTGTCTTTTTGCCTTGGTCAACAAAGACATTGCAGCGGCAAAGAGTAGCGTGAAGATCATCATTACCCCTATTGCCGCAAAGATATCCTTGGTGTCTCTGAAGCTCGCCAACCGATACATGGCAAACACAGGAATTATCAGGAGAACGAAAATGACAACGGTGATGATTAGGCTGACAAAAGCCTCGATCCGTCCAGGGGAGAGGAAGTGAACCTTTGTCCTCCCGGAGTCGGTTCTGCGGCGAAGGTCATCATCGCAAAATATGTTCTAATCAGTTATTAACCGAGTGCTTATGCGAGTCCTGTGGGTGGACAAACCTTTATTTTGGGGAAAATCTTCGACAGCTTAAAGACAGTGTTTTCGACGAAGCCGTCGAATCCCGCCCACTCCCGTCCGGCTTTCAGGCTGATGAGATCCTCACGATGCTTGATGTACTCTTCATCATCCTCAACGAGTGGCCCAAACCTGTAGTGAAAATTTCGGACGCTGTAGTAATCTCTGTCAGAAGGCCGTTGGAAACTAGCCAACTTTTTCGCTTTGATCAAGAGTTCATCTGCATGGTCAGCATGTAATTGTCAGGTTGCGTTCAATCCTCCATACCATATTCAAGTACCAGCCCTCGCAGCTCTTCAAAAATCTTCTGTCGCGTCCGCTCGCTCGCTGCTGCTCTTTTGTGGCCATCCATGTCCTCTTCAACCCAGCATAGCCTCCTTTCTGTGTCAGGGTCGACTGCTTCGGACTTGTCTAGCTCATCCAACTCTTTCTCCAGATATGCAATTTTTGCCTGCAGATCCATGATGAGGCGTGCGTGCACCCAACTGAAACCTCGATACAGCATGAAGCTTTGTTCACATTTCAAAGTGGCGAGATGGGGGTAGCCAGGCTGTGAACCTTCAACTAGACAATTCCTCAGTATGTTCACTCTGCTCCATTCCCATGAGTTGTTCCTTACGCGATCTGACCTCTGTTTCGGTGATTTCATCTGGCAGCTTCTCGGATTTGAAGAGACCCAGCAGGCGCTGAGACAGGGTTTCTGTAACACATCAACATCGCTGCCAACTCCTAAGTCTTCCTCTAAACGGACCTCTTGCATCGTCCGTCCGGCTTTCAGCCTGCTCCACCGTTTCGCTGTACTCGGGCGGAGGCGACTGTGCATCGTTGAGGGTTGCAGAATCTTGCGAAGTGCACGTATTGGGGAAGCTTGGAGTTCTTTCTTGGACAGACATTTCTATTTGGGCAGCCATGGTTGCCGGAAAGTCGAGTACATGAATTGACTGAGCTGAGAAGTGGCATTGTTGCTTTATCTACGACCAAAGTGGCTACTGCAAGCCGTGCGGGGCTCACGATGCGGTGACCTGCACGGCTGACGCCGTGCATGCTCACCTAACCTTTCTAACCTCTTTTTGAGGGATCCAGGCTCCACCTTTGAACAAGTTGCCCTTCGAGTCCTTTAGCTGATACTCCCAGCTTCTACCAGCCTGCCTCGCCTGATGAACCACCAGGACGCCTGGCTTCACAACGCCGTTCTTCTCGATGGGAATGGACACCTGGTCGAATGCTCTGAAATTTGGCTTCAGCTGAATTGAATTAGCATCTGTACTAGAATTGCCTAGGGCTTTCTCACCGCCACTGGCGGTCCCTTTTCCACCAAGGCTCTGTCCTGTGGAATCTCCTCCACATCCTCAGTTGTGTTGTGCGTGTGCTTGTCTTGTTCCTGCGACCGTATGAGACGTATGTCTTGGAAAAGTATACACAAGGGGATCATACGACGTCCGACATGATTGAAGGTATTCGCTACTATCTGCGCCGAGTGAAATATCGGCCCAGAGAAACTCTATTTATCTTCAGCCTTGCCTTGAGCAACCATGAAGGCAGAGGGCGCCATCTTCAGGCAGCATGTCAGCGCGGCCTGCGAGCCCGTTCTGACCCCCAACCTAATTATGCCTGAAGCAAGGACATACAAGGCTAACTGCGGTGTTCGCATGTGAAAAGGGAAGCCCTGGCGGAGGCGGAGCCGCGCCACTACCTGAACTTTCACACACCATCATGCTATCACTAAGCAAAGACTGAGGCTCTGCTGCTGATCGGCCCCCGCACGATGCAATATATTAATCAAATATGAGGCACAGCAAGAATGCCGCTGGGGGCGCAATGAACAAGCTAAACTAGATGAGGAAGGTCAGACCATCAGGCTGAACCATCCGCGGATTATGGCGGGATGGCATGCTTCTTCCTATGGCTGCATCTGGCCCCATCTTCAGTGTATGCAGCTATCCCAATCTGTCGATGGCCGCGTTATCATACGCCTCTAATCATCCACAATTCACAACCGGCTTCATCGGCGAATCAAAACATACGAAGCCCGGAGTCTACGCCACACAAGGCTGAAGGACGCAGTGTTCCAAACTGTCCATCCATCACGCGAAGCCCGCTCTTCGACGCAGCTTGGCGGAGGCTGCTTACTACCGCCCCCACCCCCCACAACACGGTATTTCCGGAGCTGGAAAGCGCACCGCCCCTTCGTAGAGTGATCCGCCCCTTGTCATGGTGTGTAGCACGAGGGAAGATTGAGCCAACTCCACGGCTGTAAAAAGGGCCCTAATGCAGGCGTTCCCACTCTCGACGTGTTCGCGCTCCCTTAGTCGTTCACTCCACATATCATTGCATCAAATCAAATCATGGCGCCCGGTCCCAGGAACACAGGATTCGAATTCTCGGAATCACCGTTGACAAGTCCCACAGAGCCGCAGAGCGCTGTTCAGATTGACGATAAGGGAGACAAGGCTGAGGATGAAGCAGCTTCGCATCGCTCGCAGATGCAAAGGTGGTGGGATAAATCCATCTCAAAGAACCTTAGCGTTCACAACGGATACAAGCAGACTTTCGTTTTGTTCATCAAGTGGAATGACGAAATTGACCAGCTGAAGGTCGGCAAGGAGGTAAGACACATCGGTTACAGCCAGCTGCAGCCCAACACACTCTAACAATTTCTCAAGGTTTCGGAGCTTCGCGATGTTTTTGAGAAGAGATTCCACTTCACCACCAAAACCGTTGAGCTTGGGTTGAATAAAGCAACGACTAAACTGGAGCATGCCATTTTGGGTATGCTCATGAAGTATGACGACCCACAAAACCTGTTGATTATATATTACGCTGGTCATGGGTTCTACCACAAAGATAAGAAGAAACTTCAGCTTGCAGGGTGAGTACAGGTTTATCACATCTTCACGTACCTTTGCTAAGCAGACGCGCCAGGACCACAGACGATTCAATCCGAGGGGTCCCTCTCCCGGAAGTCTTCTGGCAAGATGCAGAGAAGCATCTTACCAAGAGCAACTGCAGCAGCGACGTCCTATCCATCATGGACTGCTGTTTTGCCAGCGACATCAATCGCAGCTATGGTGAAAATAGCCGCGTGTGCGAGCTGCTTGCCGCAAGCCACATCGGTCGGACCACGGAACAGCCCGGCGATAATTCATTTACCAGAGCCTTGATCGACTCTCTCAACTATCTTCTCACAAACGATAGCGGGGACGGAGCATTCGATACCCACCAGCTGCATCAAGAGATCAACAGGCGGCGCACGGACAACCCATCGGGCTTATGGAGGCGCCTGCCCGGTAACAGCAGGCACATACTCATCAGCCCGCAGAGACTCGGGCCTCTGGGGATGGATCAAGGCACGAAGCCGTCTGAGCACCAGGAGCAGCCGAAAGGGCTGCTTTCGCTACAGTTCGTGCTCGGGGTGAACGAGTTGAACGAGAACACAATCGAGGAGCTCACCCGCCACCTGCCCAACTGCTTCAACAGCTGCAGGGCTCCGGTACGGAACATCAAATGGCTCGGTTTTAGCGGGAAGACTCGGCGCACGAAGTCGCTTGACTCGTTTGCCAGCATTGTGCGCGAACTGATAAAAACCAACAAGCAAAAGCGACAGCAGGAGCAGCTGCAGGTGGTGGACCAGGACGAAGCTTATCAGTCTTCAGACGTGATGAAGCGGAAAGCTGATGAAGTGGAGCTTCTGGGCTCTGAGATACCCAAGAGGCTACGGAGAAATGATTCTGAGAGCCACTCTTCCGTGGAATAGTCTTACCTGTTGACCTCCCTGTTTTTGAAAGAGCGAGTGTACTAGCTGGATTGCTTTAATTTCTTGGATACTCCGCGTAGAGGCTTTACTGTACCATATCTTCCACTCATTTTTCAACATCAGGTTATTGATGGAAATCTCAGTAATGTTGCATAATACGCCTTGCTCAACAATAGTGACAACATTTCATGCTCTCAATTCGGGTTATACGGCAGTGTTATCTACATAGTGTAATCTATTAAATAACCGTGATTACGCTAGCATCTCTCATGACCTCACATCTCCGTTTCCCATGCTAAACCTGCAAGCTTGAGAAAGATTAAAACGGCCCTCTGCCGCATGACAAGCACAACGACTTGCCCTTCAGCACTCCACCGCACGTCAAGGACCCACGAGCCGTTTCAGCAATCCAACCAAAGGCCTCGCCACCCTCACCGGCAACAAAAGTTCCGGATCCGTTCCCACTCTCGACTGGGGATAGAACCACGTCGGCGACGACCAAGCCAAAAAGGCCACGACCCAGGCATACCCCAGCACGCGCCTGACCCAAGCGCTCCTAAACCCCTTCCTGCCCACCAACGCCGCCTGCGCCGCATCTTCGATCATGATTCCCAGCGCCTGCAGCGGGAAGAACACCAAGCCGCCCGCCTCTTCGCTCGGCACGCCCATGCCCAGAACGCAGACGTGGTGGATGATGCCGGAGATCAAAAAGACCGTGAAGATGCGCGTGTACCGTGACAGGAGAGTGCCGCGTGGGATGCGCAGGATCCGGTCTGAAATGAAATTGGCATGGCTGGTGAGGCCGCGGCGGAGGCACTGGTGCCAGACGTTGCCCCAACAGTTGCGGATGGTGTACGCGTCACAGATGGAGCCAAAGAGCGGTGGACGGTCCTGCGGCGAGCTGAGTCCGATGCCGACGAGGACGATGGCGATGGTGTTGGAAACGACGAGGAGGAGAACAAAACCGCTGAGCCAGTAGTAAAGAGTTCCGGTGACGCGGAAGATGATGTCGGCTTTTGATAGGGCATTGAGGTGAAGCAGGCTTTGCTTCTGAGCTGTGATCATGAATGCAGGTGCCGCAGGGCTCGAAATCAGGGCATCCAGGGTGAGGTAGGCGAGGAAGGTAGTGATTAACCTATCCCGGAGGAATCGAGCTCGGGTCAAGGATGTCGGGGCCCGGATGTTCTTAACCTGAAACATGGTTCCGATGCGACGTTGATTCATGAGAAGTACAATCGCCCGGTAGGCTTTATTGGCAATGCTGCTCCCGAGAATGCTTTTTGAATCCAGGCGCGTGATGAAGATGATGTCTGAGGCGCTCATGAGCTGGACGGGCAGAGAAGCAGCAACAAATCCCCTCCAGTGGGGGTTGCTGCACCATTGGAAGAAAGTTGCCTGGATAACGTATGTCAAGAGGAACAAGGAAACCACCCCGGTGAGGCGGATAACGGTAGCATTACCTGGCACAAGCAAGACTAAGGCTGCGTAGAGTGCCAGAAATGCGAGCTCCGTCGTTCCGAATGCCAATGCGCCATTGGCATGGGAAATTGAATCCAGGGACATGTCGAAGATCGAGTGGGTTGACTGTTGAAGTTTGCTTCGGCCGTTGATCGGACTGATATCAGTTCACTGGCGATCGCACGGAGCTGCGCTAGCCGAAGTATCCTGTTTCTCTGGTGATCGCCCGGGTTAGCGGCTCGTGCGGGAAGTAGCTCCGGGGCAGACAACGTGGCTCGGCAGGATTGCAGAAGAGTGGAAGAGGCCATCGTGAATGACGACAGTCGAGGTTTATAGTAGCCGCTGCTGTGGGCCATCAGGCGCGAAACAGGGTTCGGGAGTGGCACAGTAGTTCTTTCCAACGGCGGCACAACGGTCACTAGGTCGTCAATTGGGCACGTGCTTCCGATCAATCGGGTAGTCACCTCTGCGGTGTTTCAAACATGATTCCATATAGAGTAAAGCACCCCGTATACGCCGTAAACGGCCCCCAAATCAACCGTGGCACAGCAAAATCATCGCTTAGATTCCGCCGCTTTTCGGAGTCACCCGAAAACTGCAATTGACCAGGACTTCTTGAGCACCCCCCAAGTGTACAGAGAAAAGGAGGCGATAATGTGGACAAAAGCTGATAGAAACGCGATTCCAGAGCAATTCCACTAGCAGAGCCCCGCACACAGCTAAGCAGATCTGGAAAAAGGATTGCGGCACGGCTCGCGCATGTGGTGGGCTCGCCGAGGAATCTGACTCGATCATATCGTCATGGGTTCAGGAGATAAAATCCACAAGGAGAAACTTCCAGTCATGTCCTCTGCCCAACGGTAATTCACGAATCGTCCTCGTCAAGCCAGCCAGAGTAATGGCCATTTCTTCCACCATGAAACAATTGCTCGTAGAGTACGGGTTGCTCTACGGTAAGTAAAAGAGATCGACAGCCGAACTCCGAGAAATTCAACGGCGGCACCAAACCCTTTCGAGATGGCGCAAAAACTCACAGTCAACTAGACAGTTCTGAGAGTCGTATGTGCATTTTTCTAATTCATAAAAACAATCATAACGTTGGAAGTGCCACCATGCCTCTAAAACTTATGCAACCGTTTTGAAAAAATGAAGGTCCCGAGCCGGTGCGCCAAAATGAAGGTATCAAGCCTCAAACCCACAAGATAAACAAGAACTAAAATCATGAGTAACACTTACACCGATCCCTCGGCATCCTTATCCGCCTTATCCAGCTTCGACCTCAACTTCGCAGAACCACCCGCACTCCTCTTCCTCGTCGTCGTCGATGTCAGCTGCGCGGTGCCTTTCCGATCCGAAACGACCTTGATTGAGCCAGGCTGCTTCGTGCTGCGAGCGCCGAAGCTCCACTTGCCGCCTCCTTGGTAGACGCCGGTGATGCCGCTGTTCGCGAAGCCAGTACCAGCAGCAGTGCCGAACTGGAGGGTGAACTTGGGACCGGCGGGGGTGGTGGTTTGGTCCCAGAGGACGTTGGTGTGGGCGACGACGTTGATGGTGCCGCCCTGCTGCGTCGTCCACGTGTATGTGTCGATGACGACCGTGTCGGCCAGGGTGGCGTCGGTCGTGATGGTAGCGTTTGCGCTGGCGCTGAGCGCACTGGTGCCGCTGCCCGTCGAGATGGTGCACTTGAAGACGCGCTTGACCTGCGGCGTGGCCGTCGCCTGCGCGGGCGCGGTGAAGCTCAGCGAGGCGGCCGTGACCTGCGACGGGGCGAGCGACACGCTGGGGCCGTCCACTTGGGTCCAGCTGTAGGTCAGGATGGACGGGTTGTTGCCCGAGTCGTCCTTGGCGGCCAGCGTGACGAGCGCGCCGGGGATGGTGGTGGCCGGAGTGCCGACATTGACCTTGGGCGTCACGGCGGAAGCTGCAGCCGCTGATGTGGGCTTGGGTGCGGCGCAGGCGGCGACGCTGGGGGCGGAAGCACCGGGCCAGGGGCTAAGCTGGCCGAACTTGAAGTCGTCCTGGAAGATGCCGTTGGCCAGGTTGTTGAAGACATTGAAGTTGAGCGCCGGAGGTTTGATTCCAGGGACGGTAGGCTCGGGAAAGATCCACTCCGTCACCGGTTGCACATACTGTCCGGCAAGGATGCCGTTGGTCGTGTTCTTGATGCCCCCTGCCGTGATGATGCGGTACTCCCTGGTGTACTTGGTGGCGACGGTCGAATCCGCACGCCAGGTGAACTTGTTACGGACATCACCGGCCTTCAGGCTAGCGCTGCCGACAAGCCGGTTGGTTTCTTCACCAGTGCAGGGGTCAACGTCGATGGCGTTAATAGTCACCGCTGCAACCGCGTTGTTGGAGTCGGAAGTGTACCCGATAAACCTCGTGTCACCGAATTCGTTGTTTGCCGCAACACCCGTGGTTGGGTCGACTACACCAATGATTGCATCCTCCATGCGGATGTAGACCGGCTGGCCCTTGCTGCCATCCGTGGTGATCTGAACGTTGGACGCAACGATGGCATAGGCGTAGACAATGCCACCGACAGTAATTCCAGACCATTCCACGTAGTCGCCTGGGATGAAGGGTGCCATGACCAGAGGGTCGATAGCAGCACTGCAAACTGTCAGCCTTTTGATTCCACCCAACCAGACGCCGACTTACAAAGTAGATGCACCGGGGTTGGTAGAGCCAGGCCGGTTGGTGAGCGGGCACAGAGGGTCCGTCTGGGACCTAGGAATGCACATAGGGAAGCCGGAGAAAGCAGTGATGCTGGGGTTCTCATCATCAGCCGTAAAGGCAGGGTTGTCCGGGTATCCGTTCGAGTAGACTCCGTTGGGGTCGTTGAGAACAACAGTGGGTCCGCCCACGACCTTGAAAGAATTGCTGCCAATATTGACCTTTTCAATGACGCCGGTGCCTGCGTTCAGCAGAGTCTGTGAAATTTGAATTTGGCCTGCAATCGCAACGCCGTTCACAACGTTGCCGGTGACCGAGACCTCGTAGCCATTCAGCTTGTCATCGGTGGCAACATCCTTCCAAGGGATCCATGCAGCAGGGAACTGCACGATCATATTCTTGGGGACCGTAACAGCATATCCGTTGACGCTGATAGAACCACCAGAATTTGTGTCTGTTCCACTAACCGAAGCTCTGATAATGGGTCAGTATGGGATTGCCATGATACGGGATAGGAACGTACGCATCCATAAGACCATCCAGTGCAAAAGATTCAACCGCAGCATAGACCATGGAGGCCCACGAGAGAGAAGCGAGAGACGCGGCAAGAAAACGCATGGTGAAGGACTTAATCGTCTCAAATCAAGAAAAGAAAGTGGTGGTGAGGCTTGTTGAATCAGGTTATTTCGAGCTTTCATGCTGGATGCTTTATACATCTGCACACCGGCAGAGAAGCCGCGGCCATTTTTCTCGTGGACGGTACTGCGGGAATCCAGATGGGCTCGAGACGCCACGTCAATGCCTGGTACGCATAAGCCGGATGTATGCAACTTCGGGAGCGGGCACTAGCCTACCGGCAAATTCCACGCCTTGGACCTGCAAATATTAGCTTGAAAAGGTAAACGCGCCACCTTACCATACCCAGAAGTAGTATAGTACACCCTTCACGTGAATTCAAGTAGCCATCGCGCTGTCCGTGGAGAGGAGTATGATGCAGGCCAAGATGCAAATATCGCGGGCCCAAAGGGTTTGGACAAAGGGTTGATTCTATGAATGGGATCAAGGGCGCTGTCAGGCCATCCATCAAAAATAGAATCGTATTGGCTTTGCTTGCTCGCGGATCAGCTTGCAAATGTCAGGTCACTTTGTCAACTTTTCTCCGCACGAATGGCGCCGGCATCCTTGGGCGAGAAAACGCCATGGCAACAGGCATCTACACTCGTGGCGGGCTATAATCAGGTTAGAGCTGACGGTGAGAGACTTCAGCCTGCAGCCACAGTGGCTGGACCATAGGAAGAGCCAAGGTGCAAAAGCGAGGCCGTTGTTAGCGGGTTACGACATGGACCCTGTTCCTGAGAGATTCAGCACGGGGAGATCCGAGTGTCCTTCCGCGATTCCAGCCAAGTCGACGACCCGAGAGGGAATGTGGCGCTGGGTAGCTTAGCGAGCTAAGCTCACTAAACACTCATAGAAGGCGGAAACCTTAATCTTTGGTAGGCCAACGTAGCCGTCACAGAAAGAAGGCGCCACCTCGTGGTTGGTTCATCAACGACACCGTTGGCATTACCTGGACTTCGGGATGCTAGAACCAGGCACCTGTTGCCGATGTCGACACTGATCCAGAGAGGGCCGTCTTCTAGAGCGCCTGGTAGTTCAGGAACCCGTGCCATGGCTAGCGTACCTGGGTATTCTCCGAGATCTGGATCTACGTCCAAGCTCATCCAAGGGAAGCGCGATTTGCGGGAAGTGGGTCTGATGACAGCTGGTCAAGAACTGCGGGGACTCCGCGCTTTGCCAAGGAGCAGCGGGCGAGGGGAATACGGGGTGGAAAGAAGGTTGGTGAGCCGGGGCGGTCTGGATCCTCCAGTGGGAGAGGCTTGGCAGAGGGCGGCACATCTCGTGCCTTGTGCGGCTGAAGCTCAGCCCAGGTTTCCAATACAGCCGCAAGCCATGCGACAAATCTGGGGCGCTAGCTCAGAATGGCGCTGGAGCTGACCTGTCAGCGCTGTCGGAATCGCGCCTCGTCTTCGACCACGTGCGGGGCCCTGCCACCTGTGCGACAACGCGGCATTGCTGCGGCATCCAGAAATAGAGCGGTGAAGTAGGCTTGCATGGTCAGACGCTTGGATGGCTGGTATCGATGCTTGATGAGAAAGAGTAATAGAGTTTGTGTTGTCCAGCTGTGCGGGGTCGTCGGTCTTGGCTGCAAAACTACCCGGCGAACGCGCCCTACGAGGTTAGCCAAACACTTCAACACTATCCACGCTCCCGTCTTGCATCTTCGCCAGAAGGGCCATGCATGAAGATCTATCAATAGTCCGCACCACATGGGCGACTTCCAGTCATTCCCGCCGCTTCCAGTTTGGAATTAGCAGCCTCTCCCCACACTCACTTCGGCCATTCTAGCCCTCCGTTAATGGAATTGAAAGCTGTTAAAACAATTTTAGCCGAGATAGCACTCGACTTGCTACCTTCATAAAACTCAAGGGCCTACATCCCAACAAGTGCTCAGTCTGGAACAATAGACAGTGTTATGATCCAATCCACAACGTGGAACAGTCGGAAGATTAATCAATGCGTTTATTTCGTATACTCATTAATGATTGAAAACTAAGAAATGCTCAAAAGACAAAGACGTGCAACAACCAAGTATGGAAGTATGCATATTTTCACTACTAGTCGGGAGGAGAGAAAAGGTAAAGCAATAAAGAAAGGGTATTACCAGAGAAGCCGCTGCCGCACCCCAAGGCCAGAAACCAGTAAAATCCTCCACATTAAGGTTTCGGCTTAAAATTGCATATTGCGCGCTCGATTTTGGTATCACTGAATAGCTGCTGAACAGTGACAAAGAAATTAAGGCAAGGAACGTAACCGCCTGGGGTATCATCCATCTAGGATGTCATTACACGCTGCCCTGGATAACAGGGTTGGCAGAGCCAAGAGTGGTGTGCTGGCCGTTAATGCCCGTCCTCAAACCATCAGCACCCTCGGTGGTACCGTTGAAGGCTTGGTTAACCTCCTTCTGGAAGTGCTGGGTCTGGAAGTTGGGGTTACCGTTGGCATAACCGGCATTGTCAACGGTGGTGCGGTGGGGCTTGCGAGTGACAGCAGAGATCTTGGGAAGGTTCGAGGTTTCCTTGGCCGAGCCGATCGAGAAGACAGGGCTCTCCCACTTGTCACCCTGCTTGGCAAGGTCCTTGAATTCGGTGGCCTTGGAGCTGATGCCGCCGGTGAGGGTGATGTCCTTGAAGATGCTGTCGTGCTGGGTAACAGCAACATTGACCTTCTTGTCGGCAACAGCTTCCTTGGCCTTCTCCTTCTTCTGGTTCATCTCCATGAGCTTCTTCTGCGTAGCAGCCGCGTAGCGCTGGTAGAGGTTCTGGGCGTTCTCCGGATCAGGATTCTTCTTCAGCTCGGCCTTGGCCCTTTCGGCCTCCTCGTGAATATCGTAGAGTAAGGCGTCAGCCTTGATGAAGCTATCCTTGATCTGCTTCTCCAGAACCTTCTGGAGAACAGGGCGGATGACCTTGATGAGGAGAGGCTTGACAAGGCCGAACAGCAGCTTGTGGTTGGACTTCTTAAGCTTGATGCTGAAGTTCTTTACATCAACATCAACCTTCGAGACCTTGAAGAAGTGCTGGCCGTCAGCCTTGTCAGCTGTCTCGGCAGAAATCTTGAAGCTCAGACCCTCGCCGCCCAGGAAGATATCAGCAACACCCTTGTCCTTGAGCGAGGGGAAGCCCTTCTTCCTGTTGACGTAGTAACTGACATCGCGGAGGTCCATCTGGACGCCGGACACCGAGATCATCACCTTGTTCTTGTTCTTGTTGGTGATCTTCTTGCGGCCCCAGCGCCAGTGGTTGTCGCTGGCGAACTCGAGGACGTTGGGAGCCAAGTTGTCTCCCTCGATGACAAGGTTCTCGACAATGGCATCCATCTCCGGATCAGTGTACTCGATGCGAGGAATAGGGACGTACCGCACATTCTCGAAGAATGCCGGGACGATGACCTCGGAGAGATCCTTGAGGAGGTGGGGCTTGAAAGAAGCCGCGCCGGTCTCGTCCTGGCCAAGGTCCAAGAAGAGCTTGTTCAACGCATTGCCGAAGGCCTTGTTTTGAGGATCGGCGTCGAACTGCTGGCCAATGAACTTGAACTCGTCGATGATGCGGTCAGTGTGAGTCCTGTAGCGCTCGCGAAGGAGGAAGCGGCCTTGGTCATAAAGACGGTTCCACTCCTCGTTGGCAACCGGCTGCATAATGAAGCCCTGCTCCTTAAGGCACCTGCGGATGTACGTGTCCAAGTTCTTGAACCAGTTCTTCAGATCAGGGTCACGATCAGCATCCTTGTAGATCTGGTTGATCGAGTCGAAGAGGTCATCCAGGGAAGTGCTGTTGGCGAAGCGCTCAAGGAGGGTCTTAAAATTTGTCAGCGCGGCTTCGACATGTTGGTTCTTAAGCAGTCCTATGTACGCACCTTGAGGTCAGTCTCGGCTCCTTGCAAAGCGTCATCTTTGTGGGCACCTTTCACGGCCCCAGAACCTTGACCAGCGAGGTTCCTAGAGTGGCCGGTGTATTCCTCCGCCAAACGAAGAAGGGTTTCAATGGCACGCATGTCTAGATCATATTAGCTAAATGTGGTGATGGGAGAACTGAATTATACACTCACAATCTTGGTGGCCCTGGACCTCAACAACCATCTTCTTGAGGCGCCAGATGGTCTGCTCACGACGCTCCTTGGGCATCTTCTCCCGGAGGTAGTTCTGGGTGCGCTCGCGGTACTGGCGGGCCTGATCCTGCTTCTCCTCGGGGATGTTCTCATCGAGCCTCTGCTTCGCGTCAACAAGTCCAGCGTTGGCACCAGCCTCGGCACCCTCGGCCTGAGCAACCTGAGCACTGTTGTCGAGGGTCTTCTGGGCCTGCTTCTTGCCGAAAAGCTTGTTCTTGTTGTACTTCTCTTGGTACTCGGCCTTCATACCCTTGAAGTCGGGCGTCTCATGCCAAGTGTTGTCGGCAGCAGGGTCATCCAGCTGTGCGAGCTGCTCCTCAGTGGGGTTCACCCTGTTCGCGGTCTTCGTTGCGGCATCGCCAACCATATCCCTAAGAATGATTTGGGCATCCTTGACTGGAAAAGACGTCAGTGACTGGGGTTTGATCACGGCATTGGTCACTCACGCAGCTTCCTAAACTGGCCGTTGGAGATGATGAGGGTTCCAAGAGTCCTCAGGCCTTCGAGGGCCTCGTTGCCGTGCTGCCTCGCGGTGTCCTTGTCGATGGGAGCGTTGGGGGCCTTCGCATCACCACCGTGGATCTGCTGAGTCTGCCAGATAAAGTCCTGGAGCAGGTTGCCGTCGTTCTTGGTAAGGACAAGGAGCTTGGCGGCTTCAATAACATCTCTCAGGTCACCGACGAGCTTCTGGCCATCGGCAGACAGCTTCTTAGAGGGCGAGGCGAGCGGCTTTGATGCCAGTGCGCTGTTGAGCGCAACATCGATCTGCTTGTTCTGTGGAGAGGGTCAGAAAGGCCAGGAATGCGGCATTGGCGCAACCAGGAAAACATACGGATGGGACCTTGCCGTTGGTGAAGGCTGGAGCGCGTGTTAGCAGGGTAGCTAAAAATAGAGTGAGGCGTGCGCGGAGGAAAACTGACCAGAGTAGATGCCGTACAGCTGCAGCTTGTTATTGACATCCCTCTCCTTGACCTGCGTGTCGGTAGGGCGGTTGACTGCCTTGGACGCCATGGTGTATTATTCAATCGTAGCGATGGGCGTGGAGAATCGTGACGGGCGGGCAATGGGTATCTCAGGTGGGGGTATCTTAAAATGCAAAGGAAACTGATGGTATGGCGAGAGAGAAGAGCAAGAACTGGGCGGGTGAAGGGGTATTAATTTGCAAGCTCCCCGTCCTGTGCGACCTGCATTGATGTGGCTGACCCGCGACGTCATAGGTTCGCAATTTCCCAGCGACGCAGGCCTGCCCTGGTGCGATCGCACCCCTTCCCTCGTCCAGGCAAAGGCTGGCGTGAGCCTATAGCCGAAACAGCTGGTGCTGCCGCTTTCGGGCGGCGGCCAGCCCTCGATCTTTCCGTATCAAAGAGCAGTGCACGCTGTCTACCACGCCGATCAGCAGCACGCTTTCCCCAGACAGGCCCCGCTCCTCGCTAACGTCATGGCTACGCTCCACTATCAGCAGCTTCTCACGGGTCCCCGCCTGCGCTGTCAACCGCTGCTGCTGTCGAGGCTGCCATATCCGCGCATGCAGCCGCGCCTTGCTCTGGCCTGTCCCGCCGCCAGCGGAATCCCGCAGTTTCTCACCGTAGAACACTACTGCTCGTCGCGGTGAGGCACATTGGAGATGCACACGACTCGCACAGGCCCCGGCGGCGATCTCGCGCGCACCCTTGTCCAGCTGTGCCGTCTGCCGTCGAATTGGACGCGCTAGTCGTTGACCGGGGACCGTCCGTGCTGCTGCCGCCATCCAAGATTCTCCCCAGGATGACGCCAACAATGCTCTGGACAAGCAACCCAAACAAGTCGTACGCGTGTTCCTCCGGCATTCGGCATCTGCCAGTCGGCTTGGCAGCACGAGTGCGCACGAGCTGAAGCAAATATTCATCTGCGCGTCCAGAGAAGGCAGATTGTAATAGACGCGACGAGCACCGCAGGATAGTCAGGGGCCACTCTGTACTGCGCCACGGTTCCAGTTCTAGTTCCAGTTCCAGGCCCGCGTTGACATCGCGACGGTGGCTGGCGCACGTGTGGCCGCGCGTGTCATACCAGCCTCATGCCTGCAGACCCGCAAAACAAAGCTCACCACCTCCGCTCGGGCGACGGTACGAATATCATGAAACGCCAAGTCCCGAACCGTGGACGACTCGGTCAGAGGACCCTGAATTATTTACTGACAAAGCGCCCGCCCAACTTCATGCCATGCGCTTCTGCGACGTTTTGTTGGTGGCACCGATTTCAAGGCTACGTCGCAATCTTGACGCCACATGTTTTTGCCTGTGAATTCTATCATTACCCCTGCCCAACGGTCAGTCTAGACGTGGCCCACGAGGCCCCTCGTGGATTGCGACATGTAATAGATACCCGACCACGTGCTGAGGAGAAATAGCTGATGTGCATCTGTTTGTAGATTAGCAGCATGCAGGTCAACATCATACCTGGATCTGCATCGTCGAGGAAAGAGCCGCTCCACCAGTAGTATGACGAGGCAATGATGTCTGTGGTAGCTCCTAGGATGAACATGATCGCGAACTTCCAATCTTATCTATCAATTCTAACGTGATATTTCAACTCTCAATCATCTTCTGCACGAAATTTGTACACGAAAATCCAAAGCTCCCTACCAAGTGCCTTGCATTCCTCAGCATGGGGGTTTCCATCTACCTGCTACCCTGCTACAACAGATCTACATCTACGAAAAATAGTCGATTCGCTCTCATCACCACGATCGTCCCAATTACCCAGAGCTTCAGCTGTCCAAGGTTCATTAGTGGACCCACAGCCATGGAATTTCAAGTAGATCCACCGATCTTGCCAATCGGCATTGCGATCATCCACGCCCCTAAGCCACGCCGTCTGCCGACTGTCATCTAGAACGGAGAGCACGGTCCGGCCGCAAAGTCGACGGCGCCACAGGCTTGCTACTTATGGCTATGTCTACGATCCACCTACGTCACCAGCCTACACCTCTTCGAACCATCCTTATCGACCATATCTTTTTTCGCGCCCTCTATGGAGATAGCACGTTAGAACTCTTGCTAGGCTCCAAAGACCATGACGTTATGAATGTTGAGCTTTCGAACGCTTTGTAGGCGATCGCTCTACATACACTAAGGTTTACCCTGAATCTGCCATTACGCAGTAAAACTTTTGTTCTATTCTTCATCTCAGCCAAATCTCAACAAAATCCCCCATTATTCTTTCTGAAGTTGAGCTTCACCTACGGCAAGGCAACCGTCAACCGAACCCCTTTTCTCAACAGAAAACCTAGGCCACGGGTCAATGGACTTAACATTCATACAATCCAGTGCTTCCAATTTGAGGTTATGCAGCCATCCAGATTTTCAGTCTACGCTTCTTTCGCTCTTGCACCAAGCCCAGAAAGAATGACGAGAAGCTACATACATGCATTTAACAACAATCCCGGCAGAATATCTGGATCTAACCACGAAAACGCCTAATTGCCCTGAATCTCATTCCTGAACCCCTGTGTCGCATCGTACATACCCATTAATGACCCAGCCCCATCACGTCCCTCAAACACCACAACTATCAACAAAGAAGAAAAGCTGGCCTCAACCCTGCTTGCTTTTTACACCCTTTGAACTTTTTTTATCCCACAGCTGTCACTACTGCCCATCTATACCGCCGACCAACCACTCACGACCACCTCGTCGTCGCGCACGCCACCGCATCAAACCCAATCGTCCACCTCACACTCCCCATAACCACGACCAACAGCGCCAACCCTACCGCAACACTCGTCAAACCGTAAAAATACGCATTCCTCAGCCTACCGAGGCTCGTCAACTCCGCGATCCACGTCGACACCGTCGTCAAGCAGCCGCAGAAGCCGTCCATGACACCCTCCAGCACCTGGCACCCGAGCCTGCCGCCGCCCACCATGCTCGCGGCGCGGCTGCTGTAATTGTCCAGCGGCACGTGCTGCAGGTCGAACGCCATGCCCAGGACAGCCGTGCCGAAGATGTTGACGGCGAAAGTGCCGAGCGGGAAGGACGGGATGAGGCCGTTGAGCTTGATGCTGGCGTAGAAGCGCAGCAGGCAGCCCAGCGGCGCGAAGACGCACGCGAACAGCGCCTGGCCGCGCCACGTTTCGTCGTCCCAGCTGGACGAAGACGATGAAGCCTGTGGGCCGCCCGGGCGGTCGGGCGGCCAGATGGTCATGAAGATGGCTCCGAGCCAGGCGAGCCAGGCGATGGCGACGACGGCGCGGTCGAGGAAGCGGCGGGTGAAGCGGAAGGGCAGGGTCGGCGTGACCGGCTCCAGGGCGAGGGCCAAGTGTGCGCCGAAGGTGTAGGCGGAGAGGCAGAGGCCGACAGTGGTGGCAATTACGGCAATAATGGCCATGAAGCTGTAGCCGCCATTGCGTGATACAGTCGTGCCGTGGCCGGGACGCGTGGCTCCAGAAGGGTAAGGGTGGTTGAATGGCGCCGGGAGATCGTTTGAAAGTGCGAGGAAAACGTCACGAATGAACGAGGAGAAGGAGGTAAAAGAGCCACAGAAGCCTGTCGCAAGGCCGATGTACAGCGGGATAGTTTTCTTCACTCTCCCGTGCGCAAACTTCGCTTCGCTCAACAGCTTCGCCATCTCTTCATCGCCTCCACGAGACTTGGTAGCGGGGAAGAAGGCGGGGGTTCCCCATTCTTCGCGGAACAGGTTACGGTCCTCAGCAAGGAAACCCATGATCAGCGTGCCACCAACGTTAGCCCAAAGCTCACTGAAGATGACCGGGGCTCCAGGATAAAAAGTAAGCCACTGGACACCAAGACGAGCGAGAGTTCCTAGGATGGCGAAGAAAATGAGATACGAGATCGTATACAGCTGCGTCGCAAACCTTGACGCGCGCCTTGGCGGTTGTACCGCAGTTGATGTCGTAGTTGGTCTAGGATTCTTTCCAGTTGAGCTTGATCCGTAGGAACCCGTATGGCTCTCTTTTCTACGTCGACTCGCTCTACTGGATCGCGATTTCGGTGTTCTATCTCGACTGCGAGGTACGACTGGAGGTAAAGCGCTCAGCTCGGACAGATCCTGTTCGTTTTCGAAGGCGTCGTCTCCATTGTTGCGTGCGCTACTGGGTTGTCCGAATTGTTCTTCCAGAGATGCAGATTGCCATATTCTCCGCTGCCTGCCTCCACTAACCACTGGAGATGGCGCGGCTGCATCATTCAGATTGTCGTATTCAGCGGGCAGCGCGTACTCGTCTACGTAAGAACGTTTGGGTGTTTTCGGAGGCTTCTCTGGCGTCGTCTGGTGAGACTGACGTGAATTCTTACTGCGAGGAGATTTGTCGCCGATATTGCTGCGATGTCTGCTCTGCTTGCTGTGTTCGCTGATCTGGGTGACATCGCTAGTGCCTCGATAGTGTTTGCTCCGCTGAGTCGTGTCGCTCGCGTCGCGGCGGTGCTTCATGCGACGTGTGTCAGCATCGGAACCAGCGTCGCGGCGTGCAGCGGCTGCCTGCAGCGGCGTCACGGTCAAGCTGCTGTGAGCCGTACCAACCACCCCAGCGTCAGCAGCCGACACGTTACGGTCCCGATTGTCGGTTCCCAAGGGCGAATTGGGGCGCGACTGCGAATGCGACGAGCGCAACGATGCGCGCTGCTCGTCAAAATAGCTGCTCCTTCTCCTGTGCGGACCGCGCGCGATGGCAGCCGCGCTCGACTCTTCCATGTAGATGGAAATCTTATCAGGTTTGTGGTGGGCTCGCAAACTATGGCGCGCGCAGAGTGGAGCCAAGCTTCGGTCGTGCGGGCGCGGGTGCGGGCGCGAGCGTTTGGATCAGCGCTTCGCCGGCTGTCAAGGGCAATTCCCCGGGTTGCTAGTCAAGAAGGGTCCCAAAGCTGTCAGAGGCAAGTCGGCGCGGGGTGGAGAAGACGACTCAATGGCCAGCCATTCGAATGAAGGCGCCGCTGCAGCTGCTGCACTGGCTGGGACGCCTGGATGTCGGGTCAAGCAGCGCGAGCGGCTGGCGAGAACGGCGCGTGCGCATTCTCCACCGCCTAAGTGCCGCCTGCGATCTTCACCGGGATGCGGCCGCCGGCGCTCTAATCCCCAGTGAGCAAGCTGTGCCCCTCCACAACTGGCCGTCGGCGACCGCGCTGCTCGGCGGGCGGCACCGCTATCTACACAATCCAAGCGCTCCTCTTGATAGAACTACTCAATAAATAGCCACCGCTTTCCTCCCGCGCTTTGTCCCTGCCCGTCGTGCCTACCGTCCCCCTCGTCCACAGCTCTACACCCACCGCCATGACTTCATTACCGTCCAACGTCCACGTCTCCACACACCCGTGTGTCCAGGCTAAGCTCTCGCAGCTGCGCTCCGCCAGCGCCAGCCCGCGCGAAGTCAAGGCGCTTATCCATGAGATCTCGACAATAGTCGGCGTCGAGGCGCTCGCAACCGGCTTGACTACCACTTCCGCAGGAACCGTAAGCTCCTCTTCCTCCTTCCCCTTTGAGCAGTAAAGCAACCAGCTCTCTGCAAACCTCTAGCTGCGGCAAGGACTGCCCCCCCTGACGCCCTACGACTATCTCTTACCAAGACATGAAAGTCGCTGACAAGCACTCGTCTTCCCCTCATTCCAGGACCAGAACCCGCTCGGATACAGCTTCCCTGTCTCGACCATCGCGCCCTCGCGCATCTCCCTCGTGCCCATCCTCCGCTCGGGACTGGGCATGACCGACGCCCTGCTCTCCGTCCTGCCCACGCCCACGCCCGTCCACCACCTGGGTCTGTACCGCGAGAAGACGACGTTGCAGCCGGTCGAGTACTACAACAACCTGCCCTATCACAAGCCCACCGCCTCCAACCCCTCCGCCTCGGCCGGCCCGTCCGACCTCGCCATCATCGTCGACCCCGTCATCGCCACCGGCGCCACCGCCTGCGCCGCCATCGACACCCTCAGGGACTGGGGTGTCAAGAAGGTCATCGTCTGCGCCGTTATTGCTAGCGAAGACGGCTTGCGCAAGGCCGCCGAGATGTGGCCCGAGGGTGTCGAGGTCTTCGTCGGTGGTTGCGATAAGGAGACGGATGATAAGGGCATGATTAAGCCTGGTTTGGGCGACGTCGGTGATAGACTGTTCTTGACCATCGGCAAATAAATGAATATGGCTGGGTTGCAAAAGCTTTGGGCAGTTAGAGTGTGTTAGATATCCGTTACTGGGAGTCCGGTTCAATAATGAGATTTGGATAAACTACAGAAATGCCGAAGTAGCCGTGATCAACTGCTAACAATCAATCCGCCTGCTCAGTACTTCAAATCCCATTCCCGCACTTTGAGAGTATCACTATAGCTCCACGAGCGTGGCTCCCATAGTGTCTAATTTTGTGGTTTGTCGCCGTTATACCTTGTAATTTGAGCACCCACGAATGACCCACTCCTCCCTATTCAGAATAAGGGTCAAGATACAAGCTCCAAACTGTAGATAGAGCCTTGTAATATTGGTGCCTTGAGCAAGACAGAAGCCGTGAATCATGTCGTCAGTTACTCGACCGTTGTGAACGCCTCCAATGCAATGGGTATCGCAGACGGCTCCAAGTAGACCCCAGCTCTCTAAACCGACCATCTTGAGATCAACCCGCAGACCTTAGAAATTCTGGTCCAGCACGAAGTTCGGCCTCGGGTGTTTCCACATGTCAAACGGCACACCATCACCGCCAGGCATCGGCTGGCCGTTGGACAATTGCAGCCTGGGGAAACGATCGCGTGCCCACTTATACCATCTTCCTTCCTCCACCGCTGCGCCATGGTTCCATGGCTCGTTGAACGTGGACGGATCGGGGCGGAGAGACTTGAGTAGGTTAGTGAGGTTTTTAAGGGCGCGCAGCGCCCACCTCAGCGTGTTGCAGATAATCCGACTGACCTGGTGGACTGTCTTTTCCTCCAAGATGCAAGATTCCTCCAACTTCTTCGACAGGTCGTCGTTCACAAGTACTAGGGCTCCGCTGTGCCTAAACGCAACTCCCCAGTTAGCGTCCTTTCACATGTGGATATGTTAGCATACCATCCAGCCGCGGCAACGCTGAGAGCATAGTGAGTTCCAAGTCCGTCTTCATCTGCAGCTGCAATTGTGGGCTCCTTGTCCCAGTCAGAGCCCTGCTGTTCGATCCATTCGCTGACCTCTCCAAGAGCAGTCGTATCGCGCAGTGTCATCCTCATCCGGTCCTGAGCCTCCGCTGGATCCACTCCACCAGACGACAAGAACCTAACCCATTGACGGTTGACGTCGTTGAACCAGATCTTACGGCCAGTAGTGTAACCATGCTGAGTTAAGGTTCTGCCGTCGTTGCTCTGCACAAGGCCTCTCAGCCGACTCTCTGCTTCGCCATAGCCACCGAGTCCAAGTGCTCCGCAACCTCTGGGCTCCGTCCCGTATGAAGTGATGGTGCCGTTAGAGTGGAGTGCATGATAGTGCCAGTCTCCAAACGCAATCGAGATCACACCGGAGTTCTGAAGAGCCGGGATTCTTTTGAGGGTGGTCGCATCAGCCACCTCGTTGGATCCACGAAGGTCCCAACAGGCTTCCAGGTAGTCTTGTGAGCCGGTGATAACTTCGCCATCATTCGGGAATGCAGCAAAGGACCTGAATGATCCTTGGATGTCAAGCTTGTTGTCGCGATTTTGGACAGTGGCCTGGTTAGCCCGTAGAGCTTCAAGTTCAACAACGTCATCGACGTGACCGACGATTTCTCCATTCTCCCAGGTCAATTTTGCGGCGAAGAACTTGCCCAGGTCGGTGACAAAGAGAATGAAATGCTCAAGGACGACATAATTGATAACTTCGCCGATAGTGCGCCCAAGCTCACGCGCAGCGTCATCTGGATCCCGAGCGCTTCTAGCCGGTCGGACATAGCTCGTCTTGGGTATAGTGACCGTATTCTGGATGAGTAGAGTATCCTTGCCGATCTCTGTACCGTAGTGCTTGCGGTTCGCAGGAGCCCAGGCCACGATTCCTGTACCGTTAATATAAGCAGAGCTTACACTCCATCCGGCGACAACCTTGCGCACAGAGCCGCTCCTTAGCGAGATGGACTGATCACGATGATGGTGAGATGTTTCTCCATGAACCGGAGCCTTCTCTGAGATGTCACGTTCAGCAAACGCAATGTTCCAGGCAGGCTCGTTTATCGAATGCCATGACCAGATTTTACCGCTGTCTGAGAGGCCGAGAATATGGGACCTGCCGGAGGAGAATTGCTTGATAGCTGTCGACGGATCATAGCGATCAACCGGACGCGCAAAGCCCGCCGGGTAGTGCAGTGCCGAGAGAACATGTGCTTGGGTCGTGTGGAAGGTAAGACCATCGAGGGTGCCGACCGAATAGAGGACTCCCTTCGAGGTAAGGAGAGTCGTTGACCAGCCACCACATTGGAGGTCAGCAATGACACCAAGGCCCTTCGAATTGAACATTTCGTGAGGGTACGGGCGCTCATGGATCTGTCTGGCAGCCTGGGGACGGCCACGGCGAAGGATAGGACCCCTGCCCCTCAGCAGGCCGTGACGAGGTGGGGGAGGCGAGTTGTCATTCGGATCCTCTTGGCCCAAGGCACCACGTGAGTTCTCACCCCAGGTGTAGACGCGGGTGTTGTGCAGAAGATTCCTGTACAACTTCTGCCAGTGCGCGCCGTCGGCGACTTTGACTGGCCGTTCAGCAATTCGGAAGGTCGACTGGGTTGTGGTCCTCCAGTAAGTTGCGTCCTGGCGGAATGATGGGTCGTAGAAGGCCTTGCAAGTGCGGCACAGTGCCATGAAGCTCGCGGCGTCAAGACGCGGTATGATGCAGTTCGTCATGACATCGAGGGGCAGCTCCGCAAGCGAAGCCGGGCGGGCGGTGTCGGATGCCATGGCGGCGGTGTCGCAGAGGTGGATGCCGTGAGCGGACCTCCAGCAGACGGGGTAGCAGATGTTGTTGGAAGATCTACGTTCTGCGTTTTGAGCTGGAGTGTGTTTACTTTAAAAAGGATGATCTGCTTACTACGTGGCTGCCTAGTTGGGCAGGCGCGACCGGTGACGTACTAGTAAACACGTGACGATTGAAGATCAACCGACCTACATCTGGGCAGATAGGGCTTCGCAAAATAGATACGATGAAATTGCGGGGTCTTCTGGATGTTTATTATTGAGGCTTTCATAATTCCATGCACTTATGGTAAAAAAAAAAACACCCCTCCTGTTGAATTGCAAGCACCCTGGTTCTCTACTGCTCTGCTCAGCTTCTGTAGGAGAAACGAATTGACCAAGGCTGATATGGAATTCATGATATAACAAAATCTGTCAAGCACATATCATGAGACGAGGAAATCTCAGAGTGTGGAAGCTCTCCTGATCAGGTCCAGTTGAGGTTCAACTGTATCAATGACCTGTTGCTTCCAATCGATCCAGACCATGCCCAACACCTGTTCGGCCTTCTTGACATCGATGTTCCTTTTGCCCGGCGAAGGAGCATTCCCCCACTGCTCGTTAGGGTATCTCTGCTTGACGAATTGCAGAACTTCGTTCCAGTCCGGAAATCCAGGCTCCGCCGAGAGAATGAATTTCTGATAGCCGGTAATGCTCGGATTAAGGGCTTTGACGTGGGCCTGCGCAACATCGGTAACATGGATATGATTGAGCATTGGAATAAGCTGGTTCGGGCTCTTCAGCGAGCCCCATAACATTGCCCGTGATCCAGTCATCTCTTCAGGAGAGGTCTGCAAGAGGTGGCGCCCGAAGATAAAGGTCGGATGCAGGCTGACGATGTCGTAGTGCGGCTTCTGCTGAGCAAAGAATTCCCTGGCTGCCTTGGCGGCCAGGAGCTTCGATGCGTGATAGGCGGGAAAACTAGCCTTGAAGTCAAGGTCTGGGGAAACGTCCAAGTCATACTTGTGATCCTCTGTGATTATTGTCTCAGCCGGCGCCAGCATTTTGGGATCAAATTACACTGACCAGTGATAGCTTCCTCAGGCACTGGCCAGTCGGAAAACGGCATCAAATCGGCAATGGACCCTGTGATGACAACCTTTTTGATGCTGTCGACTTTCTTGGCCGCTTGCAGGATAGTAAGTGTACCGTTCACGGCAGGATCAATGTGATCCTTCTTCCAATCGGTGCTCTGTAGCAAATGAGTATTCTTCTCACTTCGATTGATCGGTGAGACTCACCGGGGGGGCAAGAGGAGAGGCTACGTGGAAGACGTATGCGACCCCGTCGAGAAGATCATCATAGGCACCCGACTTGGTAATATCCGGAACAACGACAAATTCCACCTTGGGACCAAACTCAGGACCGAAGTATGACTCCAGTTGTTTGACTTGCGATTCCCTGCGGACACTGCCGCGGACGCGGTAACCAGCTTTCAGAGCCTCGAGCACGACATTGGTTCCAAGGAACCCGGCAGCACCAGTGATCTATAATGCGCATTTCAATCAGCTCTGTCGATGAAGGGAAATAACGTGAGAATTGACTTACGAAAACAAGCTCTCCAGACATCTTTGCACAGTCAATTTGAAGTTGTTGACAATGAATAGATGCTGCCATCCATCCGTCCTCTTATAGTCTCGTGTCCGCTGCCGTTTACTCATCTCCAATACCTTGCAGCCACCTCTTCACAGTCACATCAAGGCTCTCTCATCGCGCAATACCGCCAAGCATGTTCCGTAGATCAGTAATCCCATCGCCTTAGACCGAAAAGGTTCGCCAAGTGTGTGAGGCCGACGCGCGAGTCTTGATATATAATCCAGCCGAACGGCGGTTCGCTTGTGGACCGACTTCTTTCCCGAGGTATCTATTTTCTGATTACATTCCCAAGGTGCAAGAGGCCTGGAGCGCTTGTCTAGAGGGGCGATTCAACTGCCCGTCCTTTCTTGCAATACACAGTACTTTGGGAATTGGCCTCGTAACCGAGTCATACACTAGAAGAGGAAATCTAAAGTCAATGGTCGAGCAAATCGACTCCGAGCTCAAGATAGAAACACCTGCAGACTAGTGCGGTTAGGCTGAGAACTAGGCAGATGCGCGATTTATGTCAGCCTTAATATTAGTTTCATTTCCGTCGGAACTGCGTAGTCTCCCAGCGTGTAGAGATAGGATAGGTAGGCAGAAGCCCCGCAAGTTGCGCACTTGGGAAACTGCTCGTGTGGGGTTACCCGAAAGTAGCAGCGTGCAGATAGATAGGGCAACATTCCAACGATAGAGGCGACGTCAGTGGTGAGATGGGAGGGGCCAGTAGTGACAGGAGCCGGGGCCCCGATCCGCCGTCTGGGGTTCGCCCGCCTCATGTACCGAGACGCGCAAGGGACGGGCGACTCGTCAAGGCTCAATAGTGAGCCGCTTTGCGCGCCAACGCGACGCTCCGGACTCGTCGTTTTGCGATAGCGCGGTTGGCGGGAGCTGCTGCATTGTGATGGCACATGCGCGCAAGATGCAGACTGGGGTTGTCCGGCACATCTACACTCACGTCGATCAAAGGGTGCGCTGGCAGCGCAGCGATAGGTGGCCAAGCGGTGTGACAGTCCCTGGCTCTGCGACAAAGTTGGTGGAAAATGCTTGGCTCAAAGCTTGCGTCTTCGAGGCCTGAGGATGTGCAGAACCGGCCCTTGCGTCAGCTGGCGCCTCTGGATGCGCCTCGCGCTCCAAGTAGCTGAGGAAACGGCGGATGGTGGCGGGGGAAGCGACTCGGGCTGCTGCAGCAGGTCCCGACGGCGCTAGGTTCGCTGCGATGATGAGACGAGCCCCCCTCAGGCGCCCCCGGTAAACGCCGGGGCAGAGGCGATCTCGTGTGGGCCTGGAGCGCCGCCCGCCTTCTCCTCAGCCAGCGCTCCGCCCAAGAGCCCAAGCATTCTCCAAGCACTCCGATCTTGCAACCACCCCATCGCCCTGCATCACCGAGGAATGACGACTGCGCCCACCACCACCCTCTACACCACCGCTGGCTGTCGGTCATGCCGCGTTGCGCTCTAGGAGACGGTTCCGGTCCACTACGACGATGCCGTTTCGCGAGGACTTCGCGAGCGCCGGTCGGCGCTCGTCGGTCGACGCAGACCCTGCTGTCAGTCCTCCCCACGGCGCGCGCTGCCTGCTGTCGCATTGCTAACTGCGAGCCAGTCATGCACTCCCTTCGCGCTGCCATCCGACGGCGTGATTATCCTCGGCCCCTCGTCCACCATCACGCTTACTGCCGACGCCCTGTTTACTCCCGCCTGCACCGCCGTCCCGACCACCTCGCGCGATGCCACGGACGTGATCGATATGCAGGACCCCTTCTACGCGTCCGTCGCCCCTCAAGTCTATGCGACCGGCGCTGCCACTGTTATCGCCTGGATGCTCGTCATCATGTTACTCATCACGCCCCGTACTTTCTTCGTCGGAGGGTCCGGAGGACGATCCGGGCTCATGGGAAGGCGTGGAATGATCAGCGGAGCCGGTGGAGGCGCATCTATCATTGGTGTCGGATCGCGGCCCTGGCTTCAGAAGGTTGCAGCATTGACGGTTGCCATCTCCATGACCATTGCCACGGCCGACACCTTTCGCATTGCGGAGCAACAATACCACGACGGCTACATGGACGCCACCGCGATCCGCCAAGAGGTCGTCGGGGGCCTGGAGATCAAGATATCGCGCCTAATATCCGACATATTCCTGCTGCTCGCCCAGGTCCAAACATTGATACGCCTGTTCCCTCGGCACAAGGAGAAAGTCATTATCAAATGGGTTGGCTTCGCCTTAATCATCCTGGATATGACTTTCAGCTCCATAAATAATTTCATGGGACACGATATCGGCCGTCCGCGACAGTTCAAAGATGCCATCCCCGCCCTCAGTTACCTCTTCGAACTGGCGTTGAGCATGCTGTACGCTGCCTGGGTGCTCTACTACGCATTGACGAAACGACGATACGCCTTTTATCACTGGATGATGTACAACATTACTTTAGTTGCGCTTCTTTCTATTGTTGCTATTCTCACGCCTGTCGTGTTCTTCGCGACAGATATTTCGGACTACAGTGTTGCGGGTTGGGGGGACTATTTCCGGTGGGTTGGCGCGGCCGCGGCCAGCGTTATTGTGTGGGAATGGGTCGAGCGTATTGAAGCGCTAGAAAGAGAAGATAAGAAGGACGGAATTTTGGGAAGAGAGATTTTTGACGGTGATGAGATGCTGGACATCACACCCTCAGAAGAGATCAATTGGCCCGGCATAAGGCGCGACGGCAGCAACAAGGACGACCGGGGACCTGGAGGTGGAGCATTTTCCTCAGCACGTGGCTTCGGCTATACTGCCATCTCCCAGCGCAACAGCCGAGTGAGACAGTCTCAGTTCGAAGATCAGAACTACATTCCACTGGGCCGGGTGCATTCCCACCCGCTCGGAACGGAAGGAGGAACGACGCCCGAGGCAGCCCGCTTGACACCTGGAGGCGGTCCAAGAGCCCCGCCTCCTATAGCAACACCGATTAGCAGGACAGACACAACCAGTGCAGACAGCACTGTGTATGCTGTTCGCTACCACACAGCAACTGACAACACGCCGTCAGTGTTAAGACAACAATCAACAGGTGGCGAGCACATTCGGTTTGATCTAGGCAACATGCACCGCCGAGACACAGCGACAACTTTGGATTCTCAACCAATGGCGAAGGTTGTCGACCTAGAGGAGCAAGCACCGCCTCAACACACGGTTACCATGTTCGGGCGATTTAGCCCTCTATGGCACCACCTCAATCCTTTCAGAAGGCGACGGACGACACCTCCACCGCAACTTCTAAGCGCAAGAGTAATCGAGCCGCGTGACAAAGAGGAGGTCCCGTACACTCCTCCGTCACCAACAACACAGTCTTCAAACAAACACGGTCTCTGGGACATGAGAGGGAGAATTGGTTCCCTTTTCGCAGGGCAAAGCGAGAAGGTGTCGGAAACTGGAGATCGCGCGTCGAAGGATACAGATCTTCCCGTCACAGTCATCCCAGCACAGCCGCGCGGTGGCCGCACGTGGTCCCCAGATGCTCTGAAAGCGCTGTCGGAAGCATCAGAGAATAATCGGACTCAACCAAATGAATCAGGTGGTAATGAACGTGGAGGACAGGAGTATGGAAGTGGTGGGTTTTCGACGAACACAAGCACGCCCCGACAAGCAACAAATACACCTCGCGGAATCGTCACGACAACTCCAACACCTCATCCTCAAGTACAGGTGCACGATTACGCAGCACACGGCAGTGCATCGGGACCGGTCAGCCCTATTTCGCCGGCCAGTTTCGGTGGGCCGCTCCCCACGCCTGGGCACGGTAATTCGCCAGGCTCTTCACGGTAAAGGGTAGAAAAGGCGTTCAAACGGCGAGACGTGTTGATCTTGCCGAAAGGTTTTGGATTTATTAAAGGAGTTGGAGGATACAGTCATTGCATGGTTTGGGCGGCAAAAGCACATGTTTGCAAGCATGGGGCAGGGCGCATTTTCGAGTGATTCGGATTGGAGATAATGATACCCAGGGTATTTCGGGAGCTGGAGTGGAGGCATCGTGCGGCTGCAGGGGCCGGTTTCTGGCCATTCACCTACATAGCTTTGGCCACTCTATAGCATTGTATCTATTTGAACGAGTAACAGATTCAAGAAGCGCAATTCTGGAACGTCAGGACCGTGTCACTGCTGATCTGTCGCGGAAAGGCGGGAAACTAGTCAAGATTGGCTTGTGCCAACGCAACCCGGGAGACACCGAAAACAGGCCCGAGCTTCCCAGAGTGGGCGGTGGGCGCTGATTGCGTAGTAGTAGGGCAAGGCGCCGGTCGAGCTGCGCCATATCATACAGCAGTGGCACGCCCACACCTCGACCGCAGCCCGAGCGCCCATCTCGTTTCGAGCCCGAGTCCTGCGAGGCATGCGCCATCGTTTCTAGGGACTCTCCCATCTCGCGCCGCCGCAGCTCGATTCTTCCCTTGTTTCCTCTGCACGAGACGCAGACCGCCATGTCATTGTTTGGCACGTCACCGGACGACTTGCCGCAAGCAAAACAGTCGGCGCTCTTCGACGACGAGCCGGGCTCCGGCAACAAGAACGCGTCCAGCCTGTTCGGCGACGACTTTGATGGCTCCGACTCGCCGTGGGCCTCAGCGCCCAAGAAGGCCGCTCGCGCCAACGTCGTCAAGACCCTGCTGCCCGCCGCCGAGGTGCCCGAAAGCTACATTGACACCTACGACGCCCTGCTCGCCGAGGGCGACCGCTTCGGCGGCGGCGTCAACCTGAGCGGCGTCAGGAAGCTGCTGGGCGAGAGCAACCTGGGGCCGGATGTGCAGACCAAGATCCTGGACATTGTCATCCCGAACGGTCAAGAGCCAGAGAGCGGCATCGGCCGTGGTGAGTTCAATGTGCTCCTTGCGCTGGTAGGGCTGGCGCAGGAGGGCGAGGACATTACCCTTGACGGCGTCGACGAGCGCAGAAATAGTAGGTGTCCCTGGCACGCGAGGTAACCCTTCGCCACCGCTGGCTGCGCTGCTCACACAACAACAGATCTCCCAGAGCCATCGCTCGGAATCTCGAAAACGGCGAAAAACCACGAACCCAAGGAGGAGCCCGAGCCCGTCTCCGAAGCGACGCCCAGCCCGCCTAAAACGGTCCAGCCTGTAACGCCGAAGACCCAGTCTACACCGACCATGCGCAAAGCGTCTTTTGGGCTGGATGCCGACCCGTGGAACAGCCCGGAGGCGCATAAAGGCCACAACCATGCTGCCGTGGAGGATTCTCCTCAGGCGAACGGGCATCGAGAGTCTGCGTCGTTCTACTCGAACGGCAACGGCTTCCCTAGGACGACGAGCAGCTTTACGACCACGGCGGAGCAGTCGCAGAACACCAGTAATGGCAGCACTCTCGGCAAGAACCAGTCGTCTGGTGGAGACAGTGCTGGCTGGGGAAGCTTTGGGGATGCTGCAGGCAACGGCTTCTCCAATTCTGGGCTCTCCAACGCTGGGCTCGGCGCAGGATTCGGCGCGCCTCCGGGAGAAGGAGATAATAACGACCCTACCGGCCTGGGAAGATCCCTCGGTGGAGGATTGGCGGCCAACAACGGAGCTGAGGAGATCATCACGGTCACGGCCATCGCCGAGAAGGAGGGCATCTTCCTCTTCCAGCACCGCAACTACCAGGTTTGCAGCGTGCGCAAGAACAGCAAGGTTGTAAGGAGATACAGCGATTTCGTTTGGTTGTTGGATTGTTTGCACAAGAGATACCCGTTTAGACAACTTCCTTTACTTCCACCCAAGAGGGTAGCCAGTAAGTAAGCCTGTACGTGTCCGACAAGTCTGTCTGCTAACGCTGCCAGTCAATGGCAATTACCTCGCAGCCGATGCCTCATTCATTGAGAAGAGGAGGAGGGGTCTTGCTAGATTCGCTAATGCGCTGGTTCGCCATCCTGTTCTCAACCAGGAGCAGCTTGTTGTCATGTTCCTGACCGTCCCAACGGTAGAAGTCTGACCCATGATTATTGAGGATGTTTGCATTTACTAACGCCGTGCAGGAACTTGCGGTATGGAGAAAGCAGGCTACGATATCGGTACAGGAGGAGTTCGTCGGCCGAACGCTGCCGCCAGGACTCGAGGACTCACTTCCGCCCACCCTCCAGGATATGTTCGACACCGTACGTGCCGGCGTGCGGCGTTCTGCGGAAATGTACATCAACCTTTGCCAGCTGATGGAGCGCCTCTGCAAGCGCAATGAAGGCATGGCGGCTGACTACATGCGCTTCGGGCTTGCGCTCCAGTCTTTGACTGAGGCCTCGAAGGACACTTATTCTGTGGATGCCAACGACGTGCCACTGCTCAACGAGGGGCTCAACTCTACCGCCAAACACCTCCAATCGTCGCAGAGCTTGCTAGAAGACGAAGCCAGAGCTTGGGACGAAGGAGTGCTGGAGGACCTGAAGAGGCAAAGAGACTGCCTCGTCAGTATGCGCGACTTGTTCGACCGCAGAGATCGGCTTGATCGTGACAACATCCCGCAGCTTGAGCGGAGGATTAAAAATAATGAGAACAAGCTGCAGGGCATCAGCGACAGGCCGGAGCATCTTGTCAAGCCTGGCGAGAAGGAGAAGGTCGAGGAGGCTATTGTGAGGGTGAGTACTAGTTTAAGTCTTTTGCCAGGAACCGAAACTGACACAAGGCCCTGCAGGATAAGCAATCTATCGTCAACCAGCACGCCCGCAGCGTGTTCATCAAGGAGTGTATCCGTGATGAGATCATGTACTTCCAGCAGTCGATGTATCACGTCAGCAAACTGCACCAAGATTGGAGCCAGGAACGCGTAAAATACGCTGAGCTGCAGGCTGACAATTGGAGAGCGTTGAGTGAGGAGGTCGATGGAATGCCCCTGGGCGACTAAGCCGAACGACCAGTCATTTTCCATGAATCAGTTTTCTTTCACCTCACGGCAAGCAGTGACAAAAGGAGGACAGATGAGGTCACATATACACACGTTTGGAGCGGCAATGTACAAGTCTAGGTTGTCTTTCATTTTGGGCGTGGAACGGTTTGCGCTTTCCATATTGATACCACTGGGGCAAGAGGGGCTCTTTGGCCGATGGCCCTGGAGGAAACTGCGTGTTGTCCAGTCGTTTTTCTTTCCTCATGTACAGCTAGTCGTCATCCGTTGCATCTGGCTCATCAATCATCGAATTCACGTTTTATTCATCCACCCCGAGATCCATAGCCTATTCGGAGGCATATTTTGTGATCAACCAACATGGACACTGCATTTCCTATCAGAAGAACCCCCCAGTCATTCAAGGTCGACAGGGGCTCGAATCGCTTGCGGAAATCTAAACGTATGTCGCAAGCCGCATCTCCATCCAAGCCCTGGAGTTACAATGGAGTCCTGCGGATGGCGACAATCTTGAGGGTCAAGCAACAACACTGACAGCCGTATGCAGCGCCAAAACCGAATTCAAACTCGCTCGAAGAAGCGCACCACCAGCGAGACCGTGTATCTCAAATAGCCTCGCTCCTCGCAAGATGCCACTGCGACGTGCTTCTGCTTGACAACGGCCATCGTCGAGGAACGCTGTCCATTGCACAACAGGCCAGAATCCAAATGTGTGTGGAACATCTTGACAGACTGATGCAGGAGAAGATGGAGGAATGGAGGCAGGTCAAGAGGAGCCAAGTTAAGCTTTGGATGCTGATCAACACTATCGGCATGAGTAACTGCGTGCCGGAAGTCAAGCAATGGGCACCAATCGTGCGAGACTTTAAGATGGGCGATGATATGCTCGAGTTGGTGCAGAAGCCACTTCACAGGAAAAACTTCGAATTGGAGCGGAAGATTGCGAACCAGCGACTGCCGCCCTCCTCTACATGGATCATTCTCGAGGCCGTCTACAATTGGATGGTGGTAAATGATACTCGGTGTGGATTGTATCTCGATCCGCCGACGATTGGGACGGTACTTAAATGGACTTTGGAGCACGGAGACCAGCAGGTTGGCAAATTTTTCAACAGACTCCTGTGTTGCGAGGGTAGCATGTGAGTTTGGCCATGTTTCTTTCCTTCTTGCCTGAGGATCGGAGGGTATGCTGGGTCTGGCCCGGTTATCGGCCTTATCGCGCTTTGCTCGACTGGGATGGCTCGGGCAGGCAGGCTGCGTCACCGCGGGCGGTCGAGGGGCTATCCCAAACCACTCGGTCATTTTGCACCCCGCTGTCTCCTCCACCCTGACCCTCCACCCCGCTGCATTCCCTCCCGCCGTCGCTCACACTGTCCGTCGCCATCATGCCTCCCGCTTACACGACAGCGCAAAAGTCCGCCATCCAACAGGTCGTGAACTTCACCAGCTGCGATCGCACCACTGCCGCAAGGGTAAGCCGTCACTCGTTGCACACTCATGCGCAGCCAGTGCTGACATGAGCGCAAGATCCTCAGGAACCACAACTGGAACGCAGAGCAAGCCATCAACGGGTACGTTCCAACCCGCGTCCTTGCGTCTACCCATCGCCCCAACTAGCCTTTGTCAGCTTGGTCACCGGGGGAGTGAACGGCTCGCGGTCCCGACAGAAAAAAAAAGACGGCTTGAGACGGCAGAGCTGGGTAGTTTGATAGCATACAATGGCAGTCACCAGCTGGTGTCGTTGTGTGTTGTTTACCTCTTCGCCGCCCAAGCGCGTGATTCTAGGCAGTCATGAACCTCCAGAGCGCTCCTACCACGCGTGGACACGCAAAAGCAAGGCCGCGCCACCACGCGTCTTCCCTGCACCCTTTTCTTGTCCTCCCCGACACTTTCAAATCTATCTTCAGAACATCACTCCCCGACTCCCCTCACCACCCCACAATGACGCTGCGCAAGACAGGCCGCAAGGCTGACCACGATGTCTCGACACGCCCTGCTAAGAAACAACGCAACAGGTATTTTAACAATGGCGGCGGCTCAGGCGGCGCAAAGGCGTACGAGGCGAACCTCAACCAGATCTTCGACAAGTATGTCGACAACCCGCAGGACAAGGACACGATTGCCATCGCGGGCACCATGCAGTACCTCCAAGAAATCGACGTTCCACTCGATGACATCACCTCGCTCGCCATCCTCGAGCTTGTTCAGGCGCCTACTATGGGCGAAATTACGCGCAAGGGCTTCGTCGACGGATGGGCAGCCAGGCAGTGAGTAACTCTCATGACAGCGCAGAGTTATTCCCGTGACTGAAGCTAACTTGGGAAACCTTGACAGAGCGGACTCAATCGACAAGCAGAAGGCCGCCGTCTCCCAACTCCGCAGCGCACTGTCAAGCCCCTCCTCTCGCAACATCCTGAAGCGCGTCTACAAGCACACTTTTGTTATTGCCAGACCTCCCGGCCAAAAGGCGATCCCTCTCGAACAGGCCATCGAATACTGGAAGTTGCTGTACTCGCCCACGGGCCTCAACTGGAGCTCAGAGGCGACGCCGTGGCTCGACTGGTGGCTCGAGTTCCTGGAGAGCAAGTGGAAGCGGACGGTCAACAAGGACATGTGGGACCAGCTGTTCAACTTTGCAGAGAAGAGCCTCGAGGACGAGACGCTGTCGTTCTGGAGCGAAGACGGCGCATGGCCTGGCGTCATTGATGAGTTCGTCGACTGGGCCCGCACGGAAAAAGGCAGGGGAGCAAAGCAGGAGGATGACGAGGAGATGGAGGAGTAAGGTAACAAAAGCGCAGAATACAGTGGGGAACAGCTTATGCTTTTCTAATGGGTTCATGGCATTTTACCGCAGAAACCATGCTGCGGTTCGACGGGGAGGCGATGAAGTTGCTAATACCCTCATACTCATACTGCGAGCGCATTATTTATTTCAGCGGGTGGAGTTCTGTTGAGCCAGTGATTTTCCACTGGCAGATTGGTACAGGGTGCTGATCTTTTTTTCTTTTTTACACCCGAGAGCCAAAAGAATCAGGACATTGCTCAGGTTACTTTTGCGTGCATAGTCTAGACGTAGACTTTGCTGAAAGTCTTCAAGCACCCATGTAGGTAGGTAGGTAGGTAGGAGGATACGCCGCTTAAATCCGCGGTACATACGCACGGCCTAAACGAATAGACGAAAGGAGAGTATTTACTGTGTGATGTCATTCTTTATCGCGCAAGTGCTGTTGATCGTTCAAGCCTCAAAGTCGTGGATACATCACGCGGCATTGCACGGACTTCTCGCCGGGCGGGTGGGCAGTTCGCAGCTCCACATGTTTGATTCAGCGAAGCGTGATAACCGCCACCATGTACCGCCCCATGAATCACCCTGAGCCTGGAGTTTGTGACGCACTTTAGAAGGCACTCTCTCCTGCCAATATTCTTTGCATGACAACGAGGCGGAGGGTGGCTGTGAGGCTGCACGCCAGTCAGACGGGACGGCGCAAGCACCCTTGCCGCCGGCTCGGCAAAAAAAGCCCTGAAACGACGCCTCTACCGGGCCTTGTTTCGCAACGCCGAACCCCAGCCAAGCGTCGCAAATACACCCCACGCCAGCAGATGATTGACAACAACCCAGCGCCACCGTACGCTTAACGCACGCCATGCTGTTGACCGCCAACCCCCTCGCAATCCTCCTGTTTTTAGCTGTCTAACCCCTGCTCCTCGTGATCTTGCCGACTCTTCTTTTGCTCTTTCCCGCCGGGACCACTCGTTCCCTCTCGCTATCTATCTAGACGTCTGTCCCAGCGTGACCTTCTCTATTGCTCGCCCCACTAGGGACTCCACCCAGCTGATTCTATTTCTCTCTTTGCCGTCCCAGTCCTAGCCTCTCCTGACGGCCCCGGCCGCGATTGACTTGGTCCATGTCTCACAAGCAAGCAAGCAGCTACAACACCTTCAATCAGACCCCGCAGAGGCCGCAGAGGCCGGACTTCAGCCTGCTCCAGCCGTCAGCCAACAAGAGGACCGACATGGTGCGGCACCACCGACGCACGGCATCGATGCACCCGAGCTTCAATGTGACGCGCACGAAGCCGCGCCGTTGGCCGCTGGTGCTGCGCTTCATCAAGGGCGCCATCCACGGGGCCATCTTCGTGCCCGTGTTCTTGCACGCTGCCTTCACCGCGCTGATTGTCTATCTCGACAGCACCGTGGGCGAGTTCGGCCTGCCGTCGTCCATCATCCCGTCGCTGTCAATCGTCGTGGGTCTGATGCTCGTCTTCCGCAACGGCACGTCGTACGACCGCTTCTGGACCGGCCGCCAACTGCTCAACGAATGCTGCACCGCCGTGCGCAACCTGACGCGCTCCTTCCTGGTCAACAGCAGCCGCATCTCCCTCGACGGCTCCGCCTCGGGCGACCTGTTCGTCGCCGGGGAGTCGACGCCGCGGGAACGCGCCGACACGGAGCGCGCCATCCGCGTCCTGCTGGCCACCCTGCACGCCATCAAGCACAACCTACGCGGCGAGTACGCCCTCTCAGGCGCGAGCCCGGCGTCGTCGTCGCACCCGGAGCTCGCCGCGCTGCTGCCGCCCGACACGTACGCGCACGAGGACCGCGGCCTGGGCTTGCCGCTGCAGCTGCTCGTGCAGGTCGAAGCGTACATCCGGCGCGGCGTCGCCCGCGGCTGGTTCCACGGCCCGCAGGCGTCGCAGCTGTCGGTCCAGGTCAACTCGCTGACGTCGGCGTACGGCCGCATGGAGGCCATCCGCACCACGCCCATCCCCGTCGCCCACCTCATCCACATGAAGCAGGTGCTCGCCCTGTACGGCTGCGTGCTGCCCTTCAGCCTTGTCGACGAGTTCGGCTGGTGGAGCATCCTGATCGTCGCCATGATCACCTTCACCCTGTACGGCATCGACGGCATCGGCGAGCAGCTCGAGGACCCCTTCGGCTACGACAAGAACGATATCAACATGGATGGCATCGTCGAGGACGCTAACGTCGAGTGCCTGGTCTTGCTGGATGAGTGGAAGAGGGACCAGGGAGGCATGTTCCAGTAGCCAAAGGCAGTCTGGCAAAAGAGAAATCAACTAACGGAAAAGATGAGTTGTATTTTGGAATTGAGTGGTAGATGGCATGCTCGAAGCATAGCTTGGGGTCGAAGCAGGAGCAGATGCTTAGAGATTTTGCTTTTTTTATGGCGTTGTAGAGGCGGCGTTATCTGGGTTCTGTTATTGTATTTCCCTCTTGACACTTGATGGGCTGTTGAGCACCTTCATGTCCGATATGAATAGACGAGTTTTACGTTACCCAAAACATCATGTTAGGAACAATCAAAAAAAGACAGCATGATGAAGAAGACTGAAGATCCTGTGTTGTGAATACTAGCTGTAACGCTTTCGTGGTCAACCACCCGGCAACTCTTCATTGGATACTTTGCACAAGTGGTGGATTTCTACGTCTGATTACAAACGGGCGTTCTTCACATGAATGGCATGTTTAGGGCCAGATCCAGCGTGGGAGCTGTGGTGCTCACAGGATGAGGAATGAATGATATAGAAACATTATTGGTATACAGCTTTACAGCTAGCCCTATCTCATCACTCATCTAATTCAAACTCCTTCTGCACGATCTTCTTCTTCTTGTTCTTCGCCTCCTCCTCAACTCTTAGGCGATGCCACTCCGGAACAAACGCCTTAATGCCTACGTCCTTTTCGCCACCCTCGCCCTCCACTGTCCACTTCAGCCCAAACTTCATCCCGGGCTGATACCCCCCGCTCGCGGGCCCCATGCCCTCCGCTGCGACCTTGACATCCGTCATCATCTCCAGCCGGCACAGCGCCAACCCCACATTCCCCACACCTGCCAGCCACTTCCCAGCACTTCTTCCATCCTTCCTCCTCCTTGCGGGAGGGGCGGCAGCCTGTCCCACCTCCGCATCCTGTTGCTGCGCACCATCGGCGATCTTCTTCACATCCGCCACGCCCTCCGGCACGTCTTCCGCCTTGACGATACCCTCGCCTTCCACAAACTCCAAGCTCTCCGGCTCTTCGCTACGGAGATCGTATAGCCGGACAGGCAGGATGCGCTTACGCACGACGCCGGTGTGCTTGGTGCGGATGGTGAGCTCCTGGCCGACATAGCAGCCCTTGCGGAAGTCGACGCCGTGCATGAGGTCGATATTGCTCTCGAGCGGCAGCGCCTCCTCTGGCCGGATCTCCAGCGGGCCCTCGGCCAGGCCGTGCAGGTACCGGCGCACCTGGTAGTCCCTCGGCGTCGCGCGCTCCAACGACGCGAAAAGCGGCGCCAGCGGTTCCTCGCCGCTGCTGCCAGAGACCAGCAGCCTGTGCCCGCCGAAGCCGGGCACGCGCGTGTCGGGCATGTACACCACCTTGCCGTTATCATCAGCGCTCAACGAATCGATCGTTGACGCAGTCCAAGCCCCCCAAACACCCCATTCCCCTTCGTCCACGACGCGCAGCTTAATCTTGCTCCGCAACTTGTGCCTCTTTAGCACCCGGTGCAGGCTGTCCACGCACCCCCCGTCCACCTCGATGAAGCATGCCCAATCGCCTTCTCCCGCTGCTGCTGCCGCTGCCGCCGCCCCGCCAGCAGCGACGGCCGCAAGCGGCGTCGGGTATACGAACGCATCGTACAGCACCCGGCCCTGCGCGTTGAGGAACGCCGTGTACCAGCCCGTTTCCTGCTCCGGCCGCACATTGTTGGTCGTCAACCCTTGCAAGAACTTTGGCGCGTCCGGGCCCGACAGCGCGAGGAGGCGGCGGTGCGGTAGAGGTGTTATGCCGCCGTTGCTGCTGCTGCTGTGCGCTGCGGATGAACGGAAAGCGCTCGTTGTGGTGAAATTGCGGATGGATCGGCGGGTCGAGCGAGCGGAGGAGGATAGCGATGGTCGAGGGAGAGTAGCAGTGGCGGTGCCATTGTTGTGGGCGGCGGCGGCGGCGCGGCGGAGGTGGAGGCAGCGGGTGCAGACGAATGGAGTTTTGGTATTGACCAGGGCAGACGCCGCGCTTCTGCCAGCGCCCGGGCGGGAGAGCATTGCGCTAGTTACTCTGGGGCTGGCCAAATTGGATTGATGCTAAGATGTGTTGTGGGTGGGAGAGGATGAGTGTTGGAGAAGCTCTGGAGCTCGAAGAAACTTCGTCATAGAGGGCTTCGGCTTTGATATCGGGAAATGCCGATTTGCTGACAATTCCACAACACCCCAGCCGAGCTGGATGCCTAACTGGACGATCACTTGCACTCTGGAGCTTACGACCTTTAGCGGCAGGATGATTCTGGGCTTTGCCTTTTACATACGTGCTATCGCTATACAGTCATGCCGATTTCCGTAAGTTTATTCCATCGTTATCCATTTTGCTATCCGGCCGTTCCGTCATGCAATGCCATTTATTTTCCCGCATCCTTGACAACACCATTCAGATATCCCAGCAGGAAGCTCTTGTCCACCGGCGTAGTGGGCTGTCCGCTGACACTACCCCTAGCGCTCCTAGATCCAAGACCATCTCCAGGAACCGACGCGATGCTGCTGATGCGAGACCTGTCGCCACTACCGTTCGACCCATGCTGCTTCTCGGGCAGCGGGCTCACGGGGCTCATGATGCCAGATGTGAAAGCCTTGGGGCTGTGCGTCTGCGGCTTGTTAAACAGCGAAAGCAATGCAGATTTCTGATCCGAAGATGCACTCTCCCTGCGATCGAACGAGTGAAGTCTCGAAGAGGTTGGCGACATAGCATTCTGAGGACGACGGAGTATCTGAGGCGTAAAATGAGGAGCGAACGGCTTGGGAGCCTCCAAAACATTCCTTGGTGAATTGGTGTCCCTACGCTGAACTGGAACTGACGGCGTATGCTTTGGGCTGGGGGTTACAGAAGCTTCCGGACGCGGGCGCGACAGTATAGAGAACTGCGGGGTTGCTTGGCGCTCAGGCCTAGATGCTGGCCTTCCCTGAGCCCTCGGTGAGGCACGTCCGTTCGGCTGCGAGACCTTAGTGTGCTTGCGCAGTTGGTCGAAGTCCGGGGCATTGAAAGGACCAGATACAGTAGCTGACGTCTCTCCGGCCTTGTTGTGATTCGTCATGCCGACAGGGTGTGCAGGAGACTCGCTAGGTTGCGCAAGCTTCTGGCGGTCAATGCTCGGGCTCTGCGCTGAGAGTTCGGCTGGTTCAGGAACCAGACTCTGCGCAGGCATCTCTTGCGGAGGTGAGACAGGACCGGAAACTGAGGGCTTTCGGAAAAGGCCTAGCAAGGTATCCGCTTGTGCGCTCCTTGGCTTGTTGGCAAATGCAACCGGAGGAGGCTGGCCATCTATGTAGTTGCTGTCCGGTGCCATCTCGTTAGGCCTGCCCTGAGACAGCTCTGGGATAACTGCAGAAGACTGTTGGTGGTGAGGACGATTGGAGTTGTAAATCTCCGAAGCCGCGGTGAACGGCTTGAGAGCTGGCTGCGGAGACGGCTGCTGAGCCGCGGGTTGTTCGCCCTTGAACGCATTGAGAAGGCTGAGGGTGTGTGCATTGAGCTTGGGCGCAGGGAGCTTCGATGGCGGCGGAATTGCCGGGGCCACTGGAGCTGAAGTCGGTGTGCCATGGGCAAACGGGTCGCCTGTCCTTTGGTACGGCCTTGGCGGAGCGCCAGGTTGTGGCTGAAATCCCTGCTGGGGGAAATCTTGCTGAGGGTACGACGGAGGCTGCGGGTGCCAAGTAGCAACATTCTGCTGAAGAGGTGGCCTCATGTTCGGGACTGGAGGCGGAGGCATATTCATCGCACCGCCGAAGTAACCGTTACCTGGCTGCGGCATGGCCATATGTGGATGGGGTGCTTGATGAGCCGGTGAGTACGGAAAGTGAGGCGGCGGAGCCATATTGGAGAACTGGGGTGGTGCACGAGGTGGTGGGTGATGAGGAGCCTCCGGCTGGCTCGGGTTGGAACTGATCTGCTCATAAGGCGTTATGGGAATGCTGGACGAATCCGGCATGGGTATCGGCTGCGCCTGTCCGCCTTGAAGAAGTGCCAGGAGAGGGTTGGGCGAAGCCGAAGCAGGCGGCGGAGGAGGCATTCCTCCTTGGCCGCTGATACTCAGCAAGCGCTTCAAGGCAGAAGCAGGATCTGGCGCGGGCTCCGGTGCGGTTGTAACTTCAGGCAAGTTCGTCGTGTCCGGTTCAACTTTGGACTGGCGCAATCCTGCAATCAAGGACTCTAGATGGGTGTCTGGAGACACGCGGTGCTGAGCTATGCCCTCAACGGCCGACTCATCAGCAGCGGTTTCCTCTCCAGCGGTCAATGCACCAGCGGCTTGTGCAGCTTGGCTACGACGAGCAAGTTTGTTCTGCTGTTTGATCCAATTCTTCAAGGGGCCGAGGAAAGGAGCCACCATGTAGAACATGTTCTCCTTGTACAAGTTTTCCCCAGCTACGTGTCCTTGGTTTTGCTTCTTCTTCAAGGTCGGCAACTCGGAGATCTTGTACCATGAAATTTTCTGCTAATATTAGAATCATTTGACATTCGTGAGTCCGGGTAGCAGTGAGGACTTACACTGATCTCTTTACGGGTCCGTGGTTCGAAATAGGTATCCATGGGGACGCCGCGGAATACGTACAACCGCATATGCTGCTCTCGCATTGAAACCTCGATGTACTTCATCTGAGAGGCATCCTTGATCAGACCAGCCTCCTTCGCGTCGAATCCCGTTTCCTCGTAGACCTCTCGCACAGCGCAGTCAAGGTCATCTTCATCTTTGTTTATTTTGCCTCTTGGAAAGCTCCACCTCGCCCCCTTCTTCCATCCTTTGACAAGAACCACATGATCCATGGCATCGTTGAGCAGGATCGCGCCACGGACCGGGACGCGGGTCTTGTAGGCCAGGAACTCAGAGTAGGCAGCGGAATAGTAGGTTTCGGCATACTCGGAGAAGAGTGGGCAATGCTGGAAGATCAAAAGGCAGAATTGCTTCAGGCTCATGGACGGGAGCGAAGGGTCGAGAGGACGGATGAAGTCCTCATAGAACCAATGGGCCTCCTCTACCTGGAAGCATATCCGCTCTACGGATTCGAGTTCTTCCTTGGGGAGGTTAATAATGAATCGCACGCATAGGTCATCGAGCCCTAGGTCACGCAGCGATCAGCCGTAAAAGCCCACAAGTTTGAGGCGCGGGCGGTGCGCATTACAATCAACTAGCTGCATCTTTGTTTCTGCCATCCTGACCAGTGTCACTGGGCATATCCGCACGGCGGGTGGAACAGGGTAGCGGGACCGGGGCGCGTCTGCGCGGGAGCTGCGGGGAGCGCAGCAGGTTCGGGATGCAAGCGACGGTAGCCGTGTCTCGGACCGGAGCGAGCGAAAGTGTTGAGGATCGGGGCAGTACAGCCACGGGCCTGGGCGGGGTCGCCGGTGATGTTGGGCGGCGGTGATGTGTGGGTGGTGTGGCAGCTCAAGGCGCCGGGCGAGTAGCCGCGACGCTTAACGAGCTGCGTGTCCGCGTGCACACGCCACAGCGCGGCGGTCTTGGCAGTGGCGCTGCACCGCCACTTTTTCTGCGGCGATCATGGCGAATTAAGGTTGAGAAGCTTTGGGCGTGACAGGAGAGGCCGGGGGAGCTTGGACGGCCGAGAACGTCATCTGCCGACATCCTGCTTTGTGTCTTGCATGCTACTTAACAAACTCTTCTCTCACTCCTTTCGCCGTCGCAAAGCTCACCGGTCTCTTTGTCGGTTGCCATTGTCCTCCTCGCCCAGCTCGCCCCACGCGCGCGTCTCCGCTGTTACACGCCGACCGATTATTTTCGGATCAGCGCCTTCTGAGACGGCGTTTCAGGCCACAGCAAACCACAACCAACCATCGCGCCAGGGCCTCTGTCTGACGTAGCAAGCCGCCCATCACCGCACACCTGCACGCCGCCATAAAAGCGCTCACTGCGACCGCTTTCCCAGGCCTCTCCTCTCGACACTCGCCAACTCAACTCCCCTTTTTTCTCATTTGCGTATCCTAATTTTATCTCGCCAAGCCAATACTGCACCATGGCGGCCGTCGTCGGAAAATACGCGGCGAAGAAGATGCTGGGCAAGCAGATGGACAAGTATCGCGACAAGGATGTTGTTCCCTATGTAAGTTGCCCTGCCGTTCTACTCGCATCGTCTTTGCAAAGCAATTGCAAAATAAAAATCGCCGGGCGCGTTCATTTGGGGAGTTTATGCCTTTTCAGCCAAGACTCTGTGGCTGGAAAGATGCCCACTGCTCAAAATTATTGCCCATGGCCGCACTACCAGAATAGAAGCGACAAAAATAAATTGATCTGAGGCTAATATTGTTTTTGCAGGACCCTTACTACGAAATGGTCCCAAAGGACCCTCGCAAGCCCAACGGCAAGATGAAGAAGGTCAAGAAGCAAATTCCGGACTACATCCCCGAGCATGACGCCATCGTGCTCGCAAAAGCCCGTCAGCGCGCCTACTGGCTCGATTGCGCACTTTTCAGTCTTTTTGGCCAGCGCTTCGGCTGGGGCAGCGTCATCGGCCTCGTCCCTGCGTAAGTAATTTCGCTGTCATCGGCACTCAGACCACACAGCTAACAGTTTCTGCAGAGCTGGCGACGCTGCTGACAGTGCTCTCGCATTGATGCTGTACTGGCGCATGACGCGCGTCGAGTGCAAGCTCGGCTTCGGCACCCACCTGCACATGCTCATCAACATCGCTTTCGATTTCCTGATCGGATTCATCCCCCTTCTGGGCGACCTGATGGACGCCATGTACAAGGCGAACTCGAAGAACGTGCGCTTGCTCGAGCAACGCCTCGACGAGATCTACAAGCCCAAGGAGTCCTCCAAGAAGCGCAACCGCCGCAGCATGCTCGACGCCTACACTCCCGCCGGCACCGTGCTCGAGGAGTTCAGTGACAACGAAAACGACCACGTTCTCGCCCGCCTCGCTCAGTACGATGAGGATGGCCGTCCCATCAATGGCGACGGCGTGCACGAACGCTACGAGCCCAGGCGCCCTGAGCATGCCCGCCACAGCCACGAGAAGAGGGGTGGCTACGCCCCAGACAGGCACCCGAGCCACAACAAGCCCAGCCGTGGCTGGTTCGGCGGCAGCCGCCGCGAGCCTGAGCATGACCTCGAGAGAGGCGAAAAGAGGGAATACCGTCGGGATGACAGGCGCGACCGCCGCTAATAGATTCCCCGTCTGATGTGTCTCTCAGCGTTGGCTGAAATTGTGTGATGACTGTATACCCCTTTTGTAATCCTAAGTGCACGAAGACTGGCGGGCCGGAATGAGTGTTTTCTCCTCTGTTATCCCTTAGACTGTTGAGCAAGCGGCTCCGGTGGATTTTTGGACCTTTCACACTCTTTGGCGTTATAGATGATACCACCCTAAAAATTTTAATCACATTGAAAAATCAACAGCAGACTCGACATACACATCATCCAGTGATTATCTGAGATGGATGTTTTGGGGCCAATTATACTTAGATTAGGTGAGGTACTGGAGTAAAGTGAATACAAACCAGCAGGAAAAACAATGGAGATATGAAGTGAGAAAAGGCAAAAAGGAAAGCTTATACGCCGTGTCGGTCAAGCCTCGTCAATAGCTTCCGGTTCTCATAAGGACCCGGAGGCGATATTGGCCGAGGCGACCTGGCGTCCACCTAGTCTTTTCAACTAGGGGGGTCATCGCTTGAAAACCTTCTGCCCAGTGACCAATTAGGAAGTGTCCCAATTAGGCAATGCCTGGTGACCATAAGTGACCTCCGCAGCACTTTTATGTACCGATCGATCCGACCACTTATGGATTTTGTTAGAGGGAAATCTGCACTTAGTATATTTAAGGTACATGCGATGGCGGCTTTTCGAACTTGAAGCACTACGAGAAGCTTACCTTTTCATAGAGCGCCACGAGCGCCAATAAGCCCAGCTTGAAAGTGCAATTCGAATGCGCAGGCAGCCTTCGTCTTAAATATCAAACTCCTCTTGAACTTCGTTGATTCTCACGCCCTGGACTCAGCGATGATGCTCATCAAACCTTGGCCAATGCCGCGTATTTCGTTGTAGGCAATGCATGCACTTATAGCTTTGAAACGAACCGTCGTATATTCATTTGCGCATTTAGGTCCAGACATATGCGTCAACTCTAGTCTGGCACCAGATGCGCACCCAAAACTCGAGTACCCATTTAATCGTCCAACCCCGCTCATTTGCCACATTTCCAGCCAATGGCCGCTCAGATACACCCCAAAAGAAGAAAAAAAAAATACATGGTAGAAAAGACGTCCCGCATACGTGACATCACCACCCTACATGCGGCACCCACCGCACACCCGCCACATCCTCATATATCCCCTCCGACGGCGCTCTCAAACTCGCAAACACCTCAATCAGAACAAACACCTTCGCAACCACGTACAGCGCGCCCAAAACTCCACCGGCCGCGTAAACAGCCCTCTTCTTCCACGGCACACCGCCTGCTCCCATCCACCGACCCCATGCACCTCCACACGTCACGAGAGCAACAGCAACTCCGATGACGACGAGCCCCGCCACCCTCCACAGCAACCTCTCGACGTCCGTCGGGAAGAAGCCAGCAGAAGACGCGCACGACACGCCCATCACCACGGCGCCCAGCAGCGCCGCAGCCACAGCAGCCGGCGCAACAACAGCGAAAACAGCGCGCCGAGCATAGCCAGGGTCGTCGGTAGCAGTAGCGACAACAGCAGAGACGTCTCCCCCCTTCCCCATCAGCGCGTCCCACGCCTCGACCCTCCACTCGCTCCGGCCGCGGGCGACGACGCGGGGCTCGACGAAGCGCAGGCTGGGCGGCGGGGGGCTCTGGCCGACGGGGCTGCCGATGACGAGGGCGCGGTGGCGGCGGCGCAGGTGCTCGAGGGCGCGGCAGGCGCGGACGTGCAGCTCGGCGACTTTGGCGTGGCCGTCCTCGGTGAGCTGCCACGATGAGTCGCGCTTCGACTTGTGCGAGAGGGTGCGCGGCGAGAAGGAGGCGTTGGAGAGCGCCTCGGTCGCCTCGGTGATGTCGATCGGGTAAACGAGCCGGTTCTTGTCCTGGTTGAGCGTGTGCGAGATGTGCGGGTCGATGGCGAAGAGGGCGGCGAGGTCGGTCAGGCGCTCGTGGTCGCAGAGGAGCGGGGTGCTGCTGGCTGCGTTCCAGGGCTTGCGGGCCCAGGTGGTGGCGATGGCGAGGGTGCAGAGGAGATGGGTGATGGTGGTGATTTCGAGGAGAGTGACGGGAAGCTGGTGGGAGAGACGAGCAAAAAATTGAGCCATAAACCAAAGACATTGAATGCCGACAAGGAAGATGGCAATGATGTCGCGTTTGCTTTTGTCTGTGTGGGTGGAGGGACGAGTGGGGGGAAGAAGGCCGGCGCGGGCGAGATCGAGTATACCGGCGGGGGTAAAGGTAAGGGTATCGGTCGTCCAGAAGGTTGACGAGTCAACAGTGAAAACGCCGGAGGCCGCCAGGAAGGCGTCATTGAGAGTCCAGGGGGAGAAGATAGTTTTGTTAATCGTTGATTCGGACCCCCGGCTTGAGGTTCGGGAGTGGGTGGAATCAGATGAGACCATGGTCTCAGAGCGGCTATCCGAATGGGAATAGATGCTTGGGGAGGGATGGCTGGGATTGGGCTGTTGAAACGCATTGAAAGACCGTAGAGATGCTACAGAGAGCTTAGAAGCGTTAAGGACTGGTGCTGAGAGCCGTCTAGGCAAATTGGAGGGCTTCCAAGTGGACATTCGCTAGAGAACGCGTCAGTCTTGACCATTTCTTCGGTGAACCCAACTTACCTTGTCCTGGAGATGCTCCTCATAGGAACGTACGGCTGTGTCAATGTCTTCGGCGTCATACGCTCGCTGGCCCAGCTCATTGATCTCCTCTCGAAGCTTTCGTGCAGCGCATCTTTGTGACCAGACAGAGATAAGAACGATCTCTGGTGCAGCCATGACAGCTACAATCCATAGCAGGCGCTCGAAGAGAAGCTTGACCTGGGACCTCCCAGGGTTGAAGTTGGGATGCCATGCGATCCAGGCGGACAGAAATGAAGTTGCCAGACAGCCGAGGATCAGGCCGTACGTCCCGCGTACGTTTGGAGATGATACCCACGCTGAGTCGACGGTAGAGTCAACGGTGTCCGACTGCTGCTTCACGACAATGACGGGCAAAGCATGGCTTTGCCGAAGAAGGAGATACGTTACAAGGAGAGTAGACATTAGAGGCAAAGAAAGGAACGACAATTAACATGCGCAGCATGCACCCTGCTCCTGCAGTGCAGAAGCAGCCAGGTCTGAGCTTTAAGTTCGAGCAGCCACGCAACCGCCGGTTCTCCTTGAGATTCTGAAACGGTTGCTCGAGCTGAACTAACGAAGATGCAAGCGTAACGCTGTGCCATTGGTGGCTCCCGTTGCCAAGTGATCTGCGAGGCGTGAGGGCGCTTGCAATCGAAGACCCGATCGTATGGGTCAAGCAGGAACGGGATGACCATTTTAAGAGAACTGTTCCTGAAGCGGTTGGAATTTGCAAACATAGATTCCCTAAAGGAGCAATAGGGGCCGTTAAGCGCCGTGGTTGTGAAGGAGGCTCCACCTGCATGTGGGCATGTTTAAGCGCCGGGCTCGCCAATGCCGCGCAGACGCTGGCGCGTCGCCTGAATCGCCAGCAACCGTGCCGCATTCGGTTAACACCAGAACGAGTTTCTCAAGTGCCATCGGTACAAGAGTCTGTGCATTGTAACCGCCAGCTGGCTGTGCCTCAAGGAAACAAGCTTGCCGACTGCGGCGCTGCTCTTGTGCAGCCGTAACAGAGACGCCCTCCCTCTGGCAGCATGGATGCGGCGTCTTGTTGGTCACCGCCCCAACCGTGAATGCCAAACCGTGCTCCGGCTACCGGCATGTTGCATAACTGGCATCTGTCATCCTCTGTTGTGGCGGGCTCGAGCTTGCTTGATGTGCGAACGACATTCGCCACAATACTAGGATAGTCCTGTTCCACAGATTCGAAATACTGCTTCATTAGGTCATCGATTGTGTTGTTCTTCGCGCTGGCTGAGACCTGGGTTGGTTTCTCCGCGTGGATCAAATCTGTCAACGGTGGAGCAGTAACCTTCGCGTGAGCTACCAATTCCTTCTTAAGCAGATCGCGGAGCGGATAGTTGAAGGTGATGCCGAAGGGCGACATGCCGTCCGATACCTGCCAGGGCAATGAGAAGCCACGTCCTTTGGCGGTCTCGGCCAGTGTCTTCTCCGCAATCTTCGTGGTACTGTCACCCCACACGATGCCCTTACAACCATGGTTCTGCGCAAACTTTACAATGGCCCTGACTTTGAGCCTGGTAATGACGTCCGACCGTGAGGTTGCAGAGGGCAGAGAAAGAACTAGACGCTCCAGTCTCTCTTGCGGCGTTCCAGCCTCGCCTGCCGTCTCTGCAGACGCCACTTCAGGGATTTCCTGCAGGACTTCCTTGGCGTCGCTGCTCTCGAAGATGTCGGCGAGCGCGACACTACTGTACTCATAGCCAGGAAATGCTTCCTTTAGCTTATCCAGCATACCTGCTTCGGGAACGTCCTTCTCCACGGCGGCCGTGTCTACGAACAAGATGTGCAATGCGTATCCAGTGCGACCACTCTTGGCCGTTTGCCTCTTCAAGTGTTCGTCTAGAAGGTACAGCAGCGTAACGGAGGATACTCCAAAAGAGACGGGGAGGAGCAGCTTTCGCTCTTCGTTGGCAGAGCGGTTCTTGACGTAATAGGCATAGGATTCCATGCGCTTAATGGCCTTAGTATTTACGTACTTCATGAAGCAATCCCTAGCAAAGAGTAAGCCAGGCAATCTGCGTCTGCGTCAGAGCTGCGTACCTGCAAAGAGGCTCGCTGCGCACGATGATTGACGCCTCAGAAATGCGACATCTTTGGCACGGACGGCCGGCGGCCGATGGGTCGCTATCGACGTGCTTGCCGGGCATAGTGGGGCACAGTAGAGAGGAGGCGCGGATGACGAGTTGGTGGAGAAATAAATAATTCGGAGCAGCGGCTAAGTTTCCAAGGGACGGAGCTTGGCGGCCCGGGGGATGTGCGGCGTCGCAACGGGACAGCTTGCGCGCACCTCCAGCGCATGCTTACGCGGATAGCTGCCTCAGAGCAACCACATTCCAACACCGCCACCCTTTCGAGCTGCGCCCATCGCGGCATGTGAACTGTGGCCGCGCCACTCCTCCGACCCAGCTCCTGCGAACCCGCTCGCCTCCGGCCGCGCTCCCATCGACTCCCGCCTGTTGATCGGCTTCAGCCCGGTCTCCCGCAACCATGAAATGGGCGCTCGCCTTCGGGCTGCTGTTGTCAGCGCTACTTGCCAACGCCATCGAAATCCAGCTTGTATGATGTGGCCTGGATCCTTGTTCGCGAGCCTTGCTGACTTGGACAGGACGAGACGGACGAGAACCGCCAGCAATGTTCGGGCATGTATAGCAAGAAGTCGTGGGGCGGTAGCGTCGACCCTTTCATCCTCGTGAAGTTCCTCAAGGATGACATCGCCGTCGAGAAGGGGGAGGACCCCATCGTTAGCCTCCTGATCTTCGAATGGCAGGACAAGGACTTGCTAGGCAAGCCTTCGGATGCGGACTACATGGACGTGAGTTGCGCCGCCATCAGGTGAGAGACCGGGGAGCTGATCCAATGCCAGAGGAAATACATCTGCGACGATGATGCCGTAGCACAGCATTACTGCAACGCTACTCACCTCGGCCAGTTCATCATTGCCGACGACGCCGAGAAGACCTCGCAGCGCGTCATTCGCACCGAGGCCATCCACATCGCGCAAAAGAACCGCCTGGCCGTGAACTACCCCATTCAAAAGACCGGATACTACTGCGTCGAGACGTTCGCCCAGGAAGGCCAGGAATACAGGGCCATTGCCGAGTTTAGGAATGCATACGGCGAGCTTCCGGCCGCCCAGATTGCGAAGTTGCCTTTCTACGGAGGCATGGCTATTGTCTACGCCGTCATTGGCGTCTTCTGGGGATTCCTCTACTTCCAGCACCGCTCAGACATCCTGGCCGTCCAAAACTACATCACCGCCATCATCGTGTTCCTCGTCGTGGAAATGCTTATGACCTGGGGATTCTACGACTACCAGAACCGCCATGGCAACAACGTTGGAAACAAGGTCTTCATGATCATTGTATCCATCCTCAATGCAGGCCGAAACTCATTTTCCTTCTTTCTGCTCCTCATTGTTTGCATGGGTTACGGTGTGGTCAAGCACACGCTCGGCAAGACCATGATCTGGGTCCGCTGGCTTGCTGTAGCCCACTTCGTCTTTGGTGTCATCTATGCCATTGCTTCGTTGACGATCCGTCCTGATGACGCTGGTCCGCTGGTCCTCCTGGTTATTCTGCCTCTCTCTGCAACTCTCACGGCCTTCTATATTTGGACGCTTAACTCGTTGAACTTCACGATGAAGGATCTCGTCGACCGCAAGCAGCGCGTCAAGTTCCTCATGTACAAGAGACTCTGGTGGTGCATTCTTGGCAGCATCCTTGTCATCTTCGGATTCTTTTTCTTCAACTCGTTTGCCTTCGCTGGCGCCGGCGATCCGGACTTTGCTCCTACTCACTGGCAGACCCGTTGGTTCGTGTTGGACGGTTGGCTCAACTTGGTCTACCTCGCGGATGTGTGCTTTGTTGCCTACCTCTGGAGACCGACGGCGAACAACCGCCGCTTCGCCATGAGTGACGAGGTAAGTTTTCACCTATTGAGCCGCGAACGAAGAGCCACCGATAATAACATGCATACAGATCGCACAAGACGACGAAGGTTTCGAGATTGCCTCCATTCGCGATTCTCTAGACGACGAAGAACGTGGACTGAACGATCCGCCTGCTTATGACCCTGCTCCCACCCGCAGCACTCCCTCTGGTCCGGATCGTACCGAGTCTCCTCTTCCGGCGCCTAAACCCCAGAGACCATCGAACCTTACAAGGGAAAGCCTTGATGGTGACACGATCTTTGCGGTAGGTGACGACGACAAGTGGAGCGACGATGAGATGGATTCGCAGGACGGTGGGAGGGCTGATGGAAAGAATGAGGAAAGGCAGAGGTTGACAGGGTGAGAGGAAATGATGACTTTTACTTGAATGGTGAAAGTCGGAGAGGCTGTTTATCCTTGCCTGTATTTTATCTTTTTCTCGATGCTTTTCCAGATTAACAACTGTCTTAGCATTGCATGGCGTTCCACATTTGTATTGGATTAACAGTTTTCAATTTACGAATGAGATTGCGTGAAGCTTCGACTAAGTCCCTTGCATGAATGTGCGAAATCACATGTCACGCAGAATTAATTAAAATGATCCTAGGTCATCTTCAATTGTCTGAGCAGATCGGTCATGGCAATCTTTCACAGACAGCGCAGGGCAAGTGAGACGCTCATAAGCTGTGTCTAAGGCTGTGAGGCCTGGGGTAGCAGTCGGCCTCTTCAGTGTTCGACAGCTGGCTTTAGCAGGCCGTACTCAAGAATCCATGAAATCTTCGTCCTGGGCCTACTTTTGCCTTGTCCTCTCGGAGCAGTCACGACAAGGGAAAAGCCCGTCGACTAATAAACCACCATACCATGACTTAAACAGATTCGTGGTTAATGGCTGCCTGGAATGAACTTAACCAGACTTTACTACAAGGTATGTGAGCTTTGTGCTAATGTCCCTTTCGTCCACCACCATAGCTGATGGCTTCATGGATGTCTACGTAGAGATCTGACTAATGTAGCTTAAAAATAACGAAAAGGGTGTCTGGTGCCATCAACAACTGCATGGATCTGCTACCTTAAGGCAAACTTTCAGACAGGATACTGGTGGATTAAATAAAGAAACTCTTCAGTAAAGCTAGTTTTCGGAAGCCTACTATGCGGCCCCGCAGCAGCGCACTGCCTTGTGGTAGAATTTTCACCTGCCTGAAACCAAACTCCACTTCTGCGCAACCTGCTTGCACCCGCGAGACAATGTTCATGGCTGAGCTAAGTGTACCTCATGGTGATGGATTTTTAGATCATGTCTTAAGGTAACGCAAAGCATCAGTCAGCTGTGCATCCACTGACTCTCTGTTACCATCGAGCCAGCCTCAGCCTCGCGACTTCTTGGAACGACTCCCAAATGCGAGCAGCCAGGCAGTCACGCGAAAGGGAGGTTATGCCTTGGTATGTCGGCGCCTCGAAGGCGGCCGAATGCGCCTTGCATGTCAGCCAATTGGCAAATCTCAAAGAATCTTACTGCCTGTGACTGTGGCACAATATCGGGCCCGATTTACTTTTCAAACTCTAGATCTCGCGATGATCGGAGGCTGTTGAATGCCAGCGAAGCGATGCCGGTGCCGTGATGGTCCCGCGACTGACAGCCGAAAGTTAATTGCAGCACACAAACCAGTGCAACTCCGTGACAGAAGAAGCACACACATCTCTCGCCGTCTTTTCCCGCTCTTCTCCGAGCCCGTATGTGGCAAGTCCCGCCTCCGCTGCTCTCGCCACAACGCAAACCAACCGCCGGTACCAAACGCTTGGTTTCAGCCCCCTCGAACCACCAAACCCACGCTCGAGAACGTGAAAAAGGCGCGCGCGACCCCAAGCCACCATTCCCCACCCACACAGCGCCTCAAAGGGAGCCGCGCACCACATGGGCAGAGAGCCCGCGCCGGTGGCGCCCAGAATCCTGCGGCTGTGCGGCCTCTTGTTGCTCTGCTGTTTCCCCAAGGAGTAAGGGAGGAGCGAAAAGGCGAAGCGACGCCCGCCTGCCTTGCTGCCTGGCGTCGGTGACCGGGGAGGTCCAGGCTGCGGGTCCGGTGAGTCTGATTTTTTTTTTTTATCTCTCAGCCGATAGGCGTTGGGATGGTGTGGGGACTCTCGGCTGTCGAGCGGCTGAGCTGATGGAGGGGGGACGTGGGGAGAGAGAGAGGCTGAGAGAAAGCCTCAGCTGGCGAACTGGTGGGCTGGCTGGGCTGCCCCATTCCAAATTGCCACCTGCCGCGCGTCGTTTTGTGGTGCTGAAGATGTGTTGTCAAGACTCAAGATGCAAAAAAAAACTTCCAGACTCTCGCATCAGTGCCGTATGTGGACGGGATGGCTGGACGCTTGTAGGCATTGTGCTGTTTAGAGAGTCAGTAGCGGCCCGTATTCGCCCCCACTGATCGCCTGCCCAGCCCGGGCCGGCCCCTCTGACACAACCCCCCCTTGTCCTGCTCAAAAAAAACGGTGTTGTTGTCGGTTGTGCCGTCCGTGCTCTGCGCAGCAGTGCATGAAACAACAACAGGTGTTGACGTCAAGATCGTCATCCGTATCGCTGTGAATATCCGGGGTTCGCAAAGCTGACAGGCATTGACTCTGACCAGATCTCACTAAGAAAATAAGCCTCTCCAAGAGTGGTCATCCCATAGCATAAAATGCTACCACGAAACCAACGGCCGTAAGGCTGGAATCAGAGAGCTGAATCTCACCGCAAAAAAAAAAGATAAACCATCTTCCAGCCATGCTACCCATGACGTGTGGTTCCCAGAAGATGGGCGACTGGGGGATCCTGAAAGGGCAAGTGGAGGATCGCAGCATACGCGTCGGCGGGTCCCGTGGCCCATGTCTATACGAGAGGCGCGGGCGCGAGTATTTTGTCTCACAACAACTATGATAGAGAGCGGTGGAGAAGAAGGCAACTGCTGACACGAAGGGAAACATGCTCTCTATTTTTGCAATGATCGGAACCAAAGAAACAGCGGGCGGTTGCCCGGCGGCGGTGCAACCGAACAACTATATTGCGGCGTAGCAAATCGAGCCAAAAAAAATAAAATAAAAAATAGACGCAGCTGCTGCAACACGATGCACATGCGCCCGAGTAATGCGGGGGCGGCTGCAGCTGCAACGAGAACCACTTGCCTCGGCACGCCTTGCCGCAGGGCGTCTGCTTGGGATCGCAAGTCGAGACGCGACGACATCCAGAGGGTTCCCGTCACTAATTGCCGCGCTACGCCTGTAATAATCTGATGCAGTTTCACTATAACCCGCCATCTACCAGTGACGTGCCAGATTAAGGTGCGAGACATATAGCAGAGTGAACAAGGTGCGTGATTGGATAGATGCATGAATCATATTCGTAGGGGGTATAACAATACTGGCTATACAAGAATTGAAAGTAGAGCCAAGTACATCCTAGACTGAAACAACAATCCTCCTTCTCTTCAGAAAGCCGCGCCCGACCGGCGGCATTTCCGGAACTAAACTGGAATTTGCTTTTTTGGCTGGCTGAGAGCCCAAGCCACACCCGTAGCCCAAATGCAAAATGGAACAACGTCGACTGTCTTTCTCTTCGGTTCGCTGATGTACCAGCGGCACGGAATCGTTGGGTTCAGAATAAAGAGGAGAAAAAATGGCGCCACCCGGCGCCGATGCACCAATCGCGCCCCCAACCCAACCTGGACCGCGAGTTTTCCCGCAGGATGCCGCTCCTATGCTCCGTCCCCTGCAAATGCATGTATGATGGCAAGCGACGACTTCTCTTCCCCTCTGCCCGACCTCTTGCTTGAAACAATGAAACGCCGTTGTGGCAGTTGAAAGGGTATATGGTTACAGGAAGAGGAAAAAAAGGAAGATGCTTTTCAGATTAAATGAAACAACGGAAAGTGCCCCAAGCGGCAACATCGAGATCGAGCGTGTGAGTAGCGCACATGCGCGCTCTCAGAGCCCACGGCGGTCCAGGCGGCCCGAGGCCCGGGTAAAAGGCCTGGACGCTTCCATGTGCCGCGCGCACGATGGGGCTCAGCTTGCGGCATAAGCTGGAGCGGGCTCGATTCGAGGGTTTTGAGCGAAATAGATTGGCCGCCAGTCGGATGTAATCAGCGCTGGCTTGCCGAAACGTGCCAAGAGCAAACCGGCTCTCCGTTAACCGCAATTGGTCCACCCCCTCAGTACTCCTCGTGCTTCTCGTCCAGCTGGTTGTCGGGGACGTCCTGGTAACGCTGGAGTCCTTGTTGGGCCTGGTGCTTCTCGTCCAGGTCGGCGTGGAAGGAATCGATGCGCTTCTCCTGTGTGCGGGTGACCCAGGCCCGCGGCTCCTTCCTGGTGTACTTGCAGAACTCGGGGTTTTCGCGCATCTCGCGGGCACGGCTCTCCATCCACCCGCTCAGCCCGTCCTCGACGAACCAGGACGGGATGCCGCGCCGTTGCAACTCCTCCTCGTCGCCCAGCCAGTCGAAGCTCCGGCGCAGGCGCTCGTGGATGTAGCGGGTCTGAATGGTCACGGTGTAGGTCCAATCCTTGGTGCACCACGGCACGCCGTTGGCGTCGGTGTCGTGCAGCATCTCCACCAGGTCGGCCTCGGCCTCCAGATAGTCCCGGATCGAGATGTCCAGGCCGCGGTAGAAGACTTCGGGCGCCCAGTTGGCCGTCTCCTCGTCCAGCGCATCGAACCACTCCTCGTCGGCCTTGGGCAGGCCACCGCGCGGTAGGTCCAAGCGCGAATCCTTCATGCCAATCTGTGCGGCGAGCCACAGGTCCTTGTCGAAGCGCTCATCGTTCTCAGCTGGCACCTCGGAGAGCGAGGTCGACAAGCTCGAGTATGATACCACAGACTCAGCGGTGGATCTGCGCCTAGTAGAGAACAAGCTCAGGCGCTGGAGGAGAGTGTCAGCGGCGGAGGGTTCATGATGACGGTGAGATTGTGTACCTTGGATAGTCTTCTTCCGAGAGCAGCCATTGTGTGTGATTCTGGATGTCCTCCTCTTGGGTGGTTGATAGTTGGTGTTGGCAGGCTTGGGAGCAGCGAAGAGTTTGTTATGTAGTGCGAGGTGAGGCCAGGAATGCGGTGTCACGGTGATGAGACGCCAAGAATCCGAGGAAGCAAGGGCGGCTGGTTTTATATGAACCTGGGTACTGGTACAAGCGCCGGAAGCGGAGAGTTGCCACTGTGGCTGAGGTCGTGTTGGTCGGACCCCGAGTAGCTGCCGATAAGTAGCCTGGTGTTGGTACGGAGTGCGGGAGGCAGATACGGCGGTGAAGGGCCCACTCTGGTCGGCGGGAGGAGGAGGATATGTATTTTCCTGTCAGGCGTCTCGACCCCTGCAGCTGACCGCATGAGTTGCGGCAGCGGCGATGGCGCAGTGAGGGGCCGAGCATCAAGCCACACAGGGATCGGACGCTTAAATCCAAGGCATACGTAAAGAAAACGGGCCATTTGGGCGGCGGCAGCGCTGACGGGGTTTGACTGAGGGAGATCTTAGCTACGCCAGGCCGCGTGGCCAGGCCTGGGGAAATTTGGCATCGACGCTAGTCCCCGCCCTCGGCTCCGCGCCAGGTCCTGCAGTAGAGGGAAGGGCCGCCTGCGGGGATGCCTTGCCGGCCTGTCCTCAACCACCGCCGCGACGCCTGCACACGTCCCAAACCCGCTGTGGAGGATCCGTCAGATGACCGCAATTAATGACGACCAACCTCGATGTTTTCGCGTCCCTGCCCCTGGCCGCCTGCCTGCCTTGCTTGTTGCCTCCCATCGCATCCTCCAGGCTGCATTGGGCTCCGCCCGCCACCTCGTCCATGTGGTTGCCAGCTGACGTGCAGAACCCGAGCCGCATTCCTGCAGCCAATGCCACTATACACGGCGCCCGCCTGAATTCCAACCACTCGCCGCCGCGCGTGCCACCCCTTTCGGCATTCCCGTCCATTGGATTCCTGCGGCGCGTCTGCTAGCTGAAAGCAGGCCGTGGGCAAAGTATTGGAAAAAAGCCAGAGCAAAGGGGAACTACGCAACCACCCGGTTTCCCGCTGCTCGACCGAGGCACTGTCGTCCTGCAGATCAGAGCGCCGAGGGTCCGAGATCGAAGGGTGGACTCTTCGTCAGCTCCCCCTTGTCATCTGATGATGGCGTTTGCCATATGCGCGAATTTCGTGGTGGTTGGCAAAAGGGTAATGGAGCAGCAGCGGCCACCACCGCCGGCGCTGCATCTCCGAGATCGACTTCATAACCGTCAGGGTCTTCCTCGCCAGAGCAGGCCGATCATTAGCCTCCGAAGCGGCGGTTCCTGGATGAGCGCTTCTCCGCGTCCTTTCGGCTGCCGATCACTCGCGCCGCCGGTCTGAAGGTAATTGCGAACGGCCTTGTCCCGTTGCACCGCCGCTGGTGGCGGAGAGGAGTAGCCATGGTTAGCATCAAACCTAGCAACAAGAACTAGAGGGGTCTCTGTAAATTGCTTGTGGCTCACTATCCAAGCTCTGTAGATCATAGGCGCTCGTGCGCAATATAACCCCTCGACTGCCCGCTTGCCGCGGGATTGAAGGGGGCTTCATCATGTCTCCTTTGCGCTTGGATCGAGCTTCATCGAGATTTGAAATCAGGAGACGACGTTCCCCCCACAAACCTGTGCGTTAGGATGGACGTGAGGGATTGCACTGTGAAGGATGCAGTCATTTGCGCGAAATGTCTGCGAACACCTGCTTGAAACTTACCCCGCAGTCTATCGCAATTTCCCAAGATACCTGATATGGCTAGACGGAACGCCACGTGATGAATTCTGGAAAGCGTCTAGTGCTTGATTAGATAGTCCTGAAGATTGTCTTCCAGCGTGCCGCACTGTCGTCGCCTGGAGTTTTGCGTGTAAGCCACCTGTAGGTGAATGGGACGAATCAACATCGTAGAACTGAGAAAAGTGCCACGACCGGAACTTCTCATGACAATTCAGTTACACTGAAGAGGTGGAACCAGTAGTGGCACGCGATGGCGAAAGTCTCCGGAAGGAGCGAGGTAGGAAGCACTGCGGGTGGGAGCAACGAAAATGCGAGGCATGGCTGAGGTTATAACTTGACTGATAGGTAACCTATCTTAGCTCTACTGTGTAGTACAAGTGATCCGCCGCCGTCCTCTGATTTTCCGGTCAATGCTATCAGACGCCAATCGGTATCATACCGTGGTGTTCAATATTGAGCCAATAGATAAGCTGCGATAAGACTATTAGGTGGCATGGGAGGACGACAGGGGGGGAGACGGCTTTGCTCTGATCCTGTCGCAACTCTCAGCACCACCAAGGTTAGCAGGACACAGGTATCCGCACGGTTGTACGGAGTAGACGACCGAAGTGAACAAGTTGAACGGTATATTCTAATGCGCACTCTTAAGGTGACGTAGTAAAAGCACGCATGCATGCCAAAGTAGAAATACTTAGCGACAAGAGGCGGTCTCCATACGTAACCTCAACTCGATAGATTTACGTAGTACGCGTTTTTCCTCAATGACGCCATGCCCAAACCGAAAGAACAAGAGAGGATGGAGGAGTGTAGCTCCGGTGTTCTCACCGTCGGTCATAGCTGACTACTATGAACATCACATTGGTATGCCTAACGTCAAACTGGAATGACGTGTCGCCGGCTGTGACGTCGTTTTATCGAACGTTCCTCGGGGAATTCCAGGTGGACTGGCTCAAAACCCTGTCGCCCCATCCCCCACTCGGCAAGCCTGTAGTGGCGATTATCGTGCAGATCGGACGGATGGAGTTTCCCCCTGTCTTGACTCAGCGGAGACATTTCCGAAGCGGTCTGCAAGCGGTGTGCTTCAAATCCACTCGTTTACTCATCCAACAGAAGATCCAAGCAAATTTTCAGACAAGTATGACGCTGTCGTACGCGTCGTGATGCAAATGATACCCGGAAAGTACGTCTCGCATTATCATCAGCCTATCTCGAGGCAACATCTTTTAGGCGATGCTTCGGCCAAAAACTGCTTAACCATGTGCACACCTCAATCCACTGATCATCAGTGTCCTACCTGCACAGAAATATCAGCAGCGTGCAGATCTCGTACACATGTATCACAGCAGGTGAAATGGGAATGTTTCTCGCTCGTCCCTGAGATGTGGAGGCCAGCTCCAACGATCTCGGTGAGTCATTCCCGGTGGGCGAAGAGGCCGTTACATCGGATCACATCCGAAGGCGCCAAGTGGGCCGCATTGCCGTTCTGCCGGCGACGTTGGTCACCTTGAGGGATGGTCTGGGTGTGACCAGGAGCTTTGATCCTGGTGGTCGTAGACCTGGCTGCATGAGCAACGATACTGATCGTCAAGACTCGCAGCACATTTGCGTATACCTGATGAAGCCCTTATGACGGAAGCTCCACCGGCAGTTGGTTAGAGAAAGAGGTCCAGGTAGAGTCGAGGATACGCCTTGGGCGATGTCCTTGGCCAAGTCATCGGCGGACTGAGCCGATAGTCTTTGAGGCGTTTTCCCAACAGGGTGGTGTCAAGGTGCGAGGAGACCACGGACCCGCTCGATACGTTGCACTGCGGTTTCTAGCCGCTCGAGCCGCCTCCTCTTGTCTTTGTCTCGCTTTTCTAGCATCTCGACCCGCTCTTCGAGCTTGGCACGAGCCTTACGCTCTTCCGCAACCATTTCGTTGGCTTGTTGGAACAGCGTAACGCTGAGCTCCTCGATCTCGCTGCTCATGGCTGACACCTTTCCCTCAGCCTCCTGACGCAGACTCCTTTCTTTATCAAGAGCGTTGCGGAGCTCTGCTTCTTGTGAAGGGACGCCAGGGAGCGGCGGGACGGTCCCAGCGGGAGGGATTCCGGCAGCGATGGAAGAGGATGACTTGCGGCGGCCCAGGAGGGAGGTAATGCGGGAGGAACGGGCTGCGGAACCAGCTGGGTTGGCTGTGTGCGGCCTATTGCCGTCTCCGGAGGGGGTCGCGGGCGAGGAGTTGAGAACGCTAGAGGCCTCGGCGGCCTTCACCTGTAGGGCTCTCAGATGGCGCAGTTCATCTTCGTAGTCTGCCAACTTGTCGACTGCAAGGATGTGAGATGCGAGCTAAAGGCGAGCTGGAGCCGATGAGCGGCAGGGGCTTACCGGCTGTCGAGGCCTTCTCCGTCAACATGCGCACCTGGTTCTCCAGCTCCACTATCCGCCTCTGGGCCGCATTTTCCGAGGATTCCGATAGGCTAGGCACATTCGTGCCGCAGGCGGGACAGGAGGACGCCGTGGTCGAGAGATGATGGGGCGACGCGTAGAGGCCAGGGGCAGCGGTTGCGATGAGTGTGGTGGTGGTCGACATGGGCGCAGACGCGATGGACGGATCGACGGTGCCTCACTTCCCCGCGACGCTGGGGAGGGGCGATCCGGACGCGGCGTGGTGTGGTTTCTAGGAAGGTGGACGACGAGTCGGTGTCTGCCGGAGTTCAGGGTTCATGGGCCTGGGTGGCCTGAGCGTGAAGCCGGAAGCGAGGCTATGTTGCCCAAAACGGACAAAGAGAATCTTAGCCGAGCGGGGGCAACGGGACAGCTCCGAGTGCCCCGCACAAAAGTGTTGTGGTCTAAAGAACTAGCCGCCGTGACGACCACGGGAGCTAATTTCTCGAGAGGATGAAGAGGGCCAGTCGGAATGCCGCATGAGCGTGGGCCGAGCTTGGTTGCCACGAAAACCAGACCGGAGCGCACATCCCTCGCTGGGGTCTTGCAACGTCAAAGACGGAGCGCAGGGCTATGACGATTGGGTTGAGCGATCACCCTTCCTTTGCTGACCTCCGCTCTCGCCTACAGCTGGCTGTGTGCATTAGCTCTTGTGGGCCGCTTTCATGATCTACGCCCGCCTATGTACAGCTGCGTACCTCATCAGATGCTGGCTGCGGTTGCTGTGCTTCGAGAGCATCCGAAGATAAACCAACACTGTACAACGTGGCGATACAGCCACATATGGTCCGAGCTGCCTCGAGCGACAAGCATCTTCATTATTCACGGAGTTGATTGAGTCACAATCTGCAGGACGGCCCCCTTGCCGTGGCGGGTGCGTGGCTGGCGGGTCAACGGCCAGAGGTACGCACCACGGAACGTGACAGTTTAAGCATGAGCTAAAGCATGTCGCTGACCTGCGGGTGAGTCTGCCGGGCAAATCACCATCGCCCGGGTACCATTGTGGTTAATAATCATTTGCCTGCGGGACTGGCTTCAGAAAGCGGAAACGCAGTTTCGCCACCGATGGAAGACATGATTGCCTGTGGGTGGCTGCATGCAGAAATCACAAAGGCACTGGACGGCCATGCATTATGTATGCAACAAACAAAGCTGGACTCTGTGCGGTATGCTCCGAGAAGGTGCAGTTAATGTGGCTCAGCCTTTGCCTTGTGGGACATTGAGCTTTCCTTCGCAAAACCAGCCCACTCTACCCGGGGACCGCGGGGTAGATCAGCGGTTTGCGAAAGGCGATGGTTGCTGCAATGTGCTGATCAGGCCAACGACTCGTCAGCGGCGCGATCGTACGGCAACCCTCTCCCATTTGCGCCTGAAACACGTAAGGCGTTCTGGAAACTTGCATGCGAGCGAATGAAACCGCCATGGTGCGGCGCCTGGACGGGGGGAGTTAGCTGCTGGACCGCTTGCAATGGACAGATTGAGGCCTCCGGGGTCCGTGGCCAATGGCATGGCAAAGTGAAGGCTGAGAGGGCCGCGGAGAAGGGCTGGGCTCAGGCCACCCAGGGCTGCTCCAGGTACGGCCGGCCGGCGAGAGCAGAGGCTTCGGTTTGTCGACGACGGATCTGGACAGGATCAGCCTGCACTGCCTTGGCTGATGCAAGGCGATGCAGCTTGACGCTAAGCGGCAGCGGTATGCACAGCTGTGGGCGGCAGACAGGTTTCGCGGCGGCCAGAAGGGGCGTGCCATCGAGCTCTGCGCGCTGTTCGCTCGGGCTCATCGGGAGTAATTTGGCGTCGGTATCGTCGGGCGCTCGATCAGAAGTTCGCAGGGCGATCGGGAATGCTGAAGGCGCGGTGGCGCGCTACCGCCGGCCTAGCGGCCGCATCCTGGTCGCCGCTGCCAAACTCGCATCCGGTTTTCATGGGGAATTTCAATTCCCATCCGGTTTCCATCCATCAACTCTTCCACCAGGTTGCTGTTTGTCGGAAAGGCCTCCGACTACCACAAACGCTGTTCGACGCAATCGCCATCCGTTACCTTCGTTCCAGTTCGCGCAAACCACCTGAGCCGCGCACCTGGCTCTCCCGCCGAGCCAGCACTAAGCCCTTCTCCCGCCAGCTAGGTCGTGTTCCCCGCCCGCGCCACAACCGCCCTTCCTTACGCTCGCCCTCTCCTCGCCACCTCTTGCTTGCCTGCCTATCCGCCAGCCGTCGTCTTTGCGCAAACCCAGCCGCTGTCGCACTCTGACGTGCTGCCTCACCTTGAGAATCCGGGCCACGAGTAAGTCGCATGCCATCCTCCACATTTCACACATCACGATCGCCAGGACCCCGCCAGCAGCTGCGCCACCCCTGGAGCTGTTACGTTGACACGCTTGCCGCCAGATCCTACCTTGAAGCGCCGAGCAACGCCCGTCGCCATCATCGCCCCTGCTGCTTGCACAATAGCCGCTGAACACTCCCCGGCTCCAGTTAGCAAAAAGACCCGGGATTCCGCTGTCGCGCGTCCTGTGTTCCGAGGTCGTCTTCCAGCCTCTCTTGAGTGCATTCCAACGCCAACGTCCCAACACTGTTGTAGCGACAACGACAGCACCAAGCGAAGCGACTGGCCCGAACCGTGCTATCGCAATCTTAACTCGTGCACCCCTCAAGGCAAACAAGAAAGTGGGCTCTGCGAAACCCACCAGTTATTGCAAGCTCCCAAAAACTCGCAGCATCGGCAGAATGGCCGACAGCAAGTACGATTTCGAGACCCGGCCTCCGCATGGCCGTGTGGACAGCCTTGGAAGCTTCCCCGCTTTGTCGTTTCCTTCGATCAACGGCGGTGGCCAAGAGTCCGCCAACAACATGAAGTTCTCCTTCTCTCCTCAGCAGGATTCGATGGATTTCGACCCTGCCAGTCCTGCCTCGTTCAGTCAAAGCTTAGAGCAGACCACGGTCCATCCTGGAGTCCTGTCAGGAGACAATGTTTCTCTTCTCGATGGAAACAACCAAATTCCGGGCGATTTCTTCAATCCGCAGGCGTTGTTTACCTCGCTTCCGAACACACGTAGCCATCATGGGCAGATCACGCCGCCTGACGATCTCTCCCCCAAGTCGACCGAATCAAAACCGCCCATGAACTCAATCGAAGACCGGGAGATCCAAGTGAAGGTAGAGGACTCCGTTGAGGTAGCCGCAGCCGGTACCAAGCGCAAGCGATCGTCCAAAGCCAGTGCCGGTAATCCAACCAAGAAGCGGGGAAGAAAGTCCGTGACGACGGTCGACGACGAGAATCTGGATCCGGAGGAGAAGGCCAAGCGTGACCAGTTCTTGGAGAGGAACCGTGTAGCTGCACACAAATGCCGCCAGAAGAAGAAGGAGTGGATGGTCTCGCTCGACAATGATTGCAGAGATCTCTCGGCGAAGAACAAGTACCTGGCCGCAGAAGTGGACATGCTGCAGAAAACACTGTACGAGCTGAAGAACTTGATCTTCCAGCACGCAGATTGCGGTTACCAACCGATCAATGAGTTTATCGGCAACGAGGCCGAGAGAGTCCGCGTTCGCGCTCAAGCTGCAGACCCCGCTGTGGCTATGCAAGAGCATTACCAACAATCGATACCGTACCCCCATCCAGGCGCCAGTCTTTCTGGACAGGGGCCTAGCATGTTCCCAAGCCGAGGATCAGTCGATTTCGAAAGGTCGGCAAGGCGGGCCAGCACGGAAGTGAGCGACCTGGGAAGCTTCCGGTCGAGGTCGACGCCGTCAGACGGAGTCCTGAACGAGGCATGGGCGGACATGCTCCAACAGCCGTAACTTTGTGTTGCGCGCATCTTTCCTTAGCACAAGGTTGACGCAGGAAACGGTGGTCATATTGTCTTGTGCTGCAACTTGCCGGGTTTTCTTTTTGTTATGTTACGACATGCCGATTGATGACGGGAGGTCATTGTGTCGCCCTAGGATGGAGTTAGTGGAGTACAAATACTGGCAGCACCAGGTATGGCATGAGCCAAAGCATTATTGGCTGGATGGTAAACGGAGTACTGGAAACATTCAGCGTCGAACTTCGCTATGCGTTCGGCGAGGTAGCAATTCGTAAGCGGCGTGGTCAGGCTTCTTGTATTTTAGTTGAAACGCCACGGCGTGCGTCACAATGATAATATGCAAATAACGCACACATGATTGAGCGCGATGGTCGAGGTTCCAAGCTGCGTTCCCAGCGGCGGAGACGGACAGTGCCCCGCGGGCTGATGGGACGGCGGTGTTCTTATGGCGGCGGAACAGGTCGCGGCGCCGACGAAGACAAGCATCTTCGCAACGACGACGTCAGAGGTCCAGGGGTTGGGTCGGCTGGTGCTGTCATGCATGCGCGCGCGACGTCAGATCGACATCTTTTTCCTCCGCTTTTGGGGCTGCTTGGCTGCTGATCTGAGCATTACCGTCTCAAAGCTTTGACCCGACGCTGCAATTGGCCTTTTTGTCGACGATCGGCATGCGCTGGCGCTGACCTGTTTACAAGCCCAAGAGGAACAAGACATCAGCAACCGCATTTTCTCATTGTCGTGAAGTTAAAAGTGCTCCCAACGACAGCAAGTGCACCGGAGTAGTGCAGGCTAGAGCGGGAACGGCGTTAGATCTGCTCGCCCCTTGGTGAATGGAGACGAAAGAAATTCGGAGACGATCGAAGCGAGAGCAATATGCAAAGAGGAGACGAGAAATAAAATCGAAGAGTCGAAATCCACTGGGAAGACGCAGGAGGAATAAGAGGATCGTGAACGTACGGCGGTTGTGTTGTTGATGGAAACCAGCTTCTCTTCCCTCGCTTATGCACGCGGGCGGGTTGCGGCTGCTCCCGTTGAGGGAAGGAAGCGGACTCTGCTAGCCCGAATCCTGTCCATCACAATGACGAGTGCGGCGGCAAGGCATGCACATCGTCATGTTGATAGAATTTTGTCTTTGCTCGATCACGCTAGAAGCTGCTGCATGACGTATTTCCGTCCCAACTGCTGCTGTCGTCGTGCCTGCTGCTGCGACCTCTGTTCTTGGGTATGAGGGGGAAAAAGGGCGGGAGCATGATATCCACGGGCGGTGGTGGTAAGAGACGAGGATAGCTGCTTATTCCTTGACGAACAGACGAAAGGATAGCATTCTCGCGTGTCAGTTTCATGCTTGGGCAGGCTTTACATGTCAAAAGTACCGGTACGCATTTTGAAGGAGGAGGGGACCCAAATGCATCGCCAGCGAATGTGGTGGGGCAATTGGGGCTCTATATACTCGCCCTACGTGCGCGGGCCTCTGGCCACGCGACAAGGCACAAAAAAAGCTTGGATGCTACCCTTCACGACTCGTGGGTGCGCGGTCAACGCGGCTACAGAGCTTTGCCCTGTATAAACAGGTGAGCCGTTCCTTACGCCTTAAACCAATAAATGGCCTGATGTCCGCTCCACACGAGTCATACAGATTGGCGATTGCGATCAATTCTCAGATCCATACCCAACCCACCCTTGCAATTCCCGCCCTACGGAGCCTCTCCCTCCCGGAAACCACTTCCGTGTTTTGAATTAGCGGCAGGGGTAAGGGTTCCCAGCTGCTGACTGCATCATCTGTTGCACAAGCGATTTGTTTTTGTTTCCCCCACAGGGTACCGGCTTGGCACCTGCAACGACAATGGTCCCCTTCGTCATCATCAATCCAAAGTCTACCCGCATGTACAAACCGAAAGTCAAGATTGCAGATAAAGTGCATGGAGCCAGTAACTTCACAGTAAGACGATGGGCTTGGCAAATAGCCGATGGCAGCAGTCGACGGTGTGCGTAGTATTATGCTGCCGACGGGGAGGAGAATTTGTTTCTATCACAGAGCGCTGACGATCTGTGGGAGGATGGGGCTTCGGAAGTATCTCCTAGCGTTGATGAAGCGCGCATGACACCCGTTCTTGGGGGCCAACGCTAACCTGCACTGCCTAAGCTTGATCTTATTGAACGTAAGCCCAAAGACTTCAGCCTTACAGTTATTAAAAACGGCTCGACTCGAATGCATATTCAATGCGAGATGTCAACCCAGGAGCAGGTATTGCCTTCAATCATTGATAAGTAGGCAGTTTGGCTTTCAAAGGAGAAGTCATTCTGATCAAGTAATCGCGCGCGAGAAAAAAAGTGGGAACCACAAGTTGACCACACGAAAACGACCTTCCATCAGACCGAACACGAAAAAGACTCGAAGATTACTGCCTACAGCAAGCGATGGTGCATCATACGTCTCGAATGTGCCAATTGCATAGCGAATGAGAAGTCGGATAACAACCAGTCATCAAGTTTTCTCAAACCAAGCATCTGGGATAGAACAAGGCTTACAGCAGATCCTTACTCCTCTTCGACTGGCTTCTCCAGCAGCCAAGACAATAATCGTTCCTAGTATATAGCCGAAGGATCCATTACGCGAATGCTTCTCCCGGCTTCAGGCCTCCTTCCTCCACACCGAGCCCAATCTTGCCAATCACCTTGGCTTCCGCCAGCAGCTCATGGCCTTTGCGCACGCCCTCTGCAGTCAGCGGCAGCCGCTGCGTGAGGTGAGTCTTCACCACGCCCGCATCGATCAGCTCCCGCAGTTTCTCCAGGATCTGTCCGTGGCTGTTCAGTTCAACGCCGTACCACGGCTTCGTGCCCAGCAGCACCCACGAAAACGTCAGGCTTTTGGCCATCCACTCCGTCTCGTACATAGGCAGCTCCTTGGTCTGCACGATGCTGCTGACCTTGCCGAAGGGCGCGCAGATAGCAGCCGCGGGGCCAAGGTACTGCTCTGTGCGGTGTGTGATGAAGATGTACTTGATCGGGACGGGCAGGTTGAGCGCGGCGATCTGAGAGGGTAGGTCGTCGTGGTGGTTGACCGTGTGCGTAGCGCCCATCGAGAGGCTAAAGCGACGCGTCTCGTCGCGGGAGGTAGTCGTCACAACGACCGGCAGGCGGAGGACGTGACGTGCGATCTGGGAGGCCACCGAGCCAACGCCTGCGAAACGAGATCAATTTCGTCAGCACTCTTCGTCCATCTTGCGCATTGCTAACGGTCCGGAGTTGCCCCTCTCCCGTCCAGACCGGGAGCAGTGTTCAACTAATCAAGTGAAGAAATGCCGAACAGAATCAAGAAGACCAGCTCACCTCCGGCACCATTCACAATCAACACGCCCGCCCTCTCCGCCTCCTTAATCTCCATCCGCTCCACCAACGCCTCCCACGCCGTGATCCACGTCAACGGCAGCGCCGCAGCCTCGACCCAATCCAGCGCTTCCGGCATCCTCGCCACGCTGCGCGCATCCACGAGCTGCAGCTCTGCGTCCGCGCCCTGCCGGCTCGGCGCCCCGCTGTAGTAGACGCGGTCGCCCGCCTTCCATCCGGCCTCTGCTGCGGATGGCCCAACCGCTTCGACCTCGCCCGCGCCGTCGTAGCCCAGCACTTGCGGCAGCGCCGGCGCCCGCGAGAAGTAGGCCACCGCGTCGCCCGGCACCTGGTAGTCGTCGTATGTGCCTGCGCGGATCTTGGTGTCGACCGGGTTGACGGACGTCGCGCGCACGCGGACGAGTAGGCCGTGAGAGGTTGGTGGGGAGGGGGCGGGGAGGGTGATGGGTTGGATTACGGAGGGGCCGCCGCGAGCGGTTGCGGCGATGGCGCGCATGGTGGTGGTGGAGGGCATTGTGGGGTGGTGTGCTGGTGGGGTTGTTATGTGTGGAATTGGATGGTGAGAAGAGAAGGCGATGAAGTGATTGTGATTCACCGATTCAGCTAAAGATGCTGCCATATTTATATAACTGGAATCCCAGGTTTTGTTATGGTCTTCTGTAGGCGGCTTTCCATCACGTCAGGATGAAGGGAGAGCTGCCCCTCGGTCGGTATCCCGGAAGTTGAGGAGTGAGGTAAGGATATGCAGGATGTTTGTAATAGAATATGCGACCTGAACATGCTGTATAAGCCTTTGCTAGTAATCATAAGTAGAGACTAGTAATCATGGGCTGTCTCTCTTAGTACGCAGTAAACGGAAAAAAGCTTGTGACTTTCAGTGAGTGAATTACGGCAGTCATGTTGGCTCTATTCAGCCAATTAGCACAAATCATTGGGCTAATGAGCGTTATGAATCATTTTAGAAATCTTCTATTGATGATCAAGCGCGATGAAAGCGCGATTTCTGGCAAGACCTACGTGTTTGTGTGGCCACACTCGAATCTGGGTTGAGAGCAACACCATGACGTCACTGCCATGATGACTATTTGGGAACCAAAGTCCGGACATATCTCGGGAAGAATACGCAGACACTGAGTCGTTCGTATGAACACAAGCTTTCGTGGAGGCGGCTCGGTCCGGGGTTGCGCGTTGCGTTAGATAATTTTTTAAAGTGCTGTCGGACGTCGCCGACGGACCCTCCACAGGTTCTTGTGCGGAGGGGAGGAGGCTCGTGCGTGATACGGAAGACTTCACACCCACGCACATTTTCGCAGGGCAACACGGCCAATTGAGATATGTGAATGTGAGTGTGATGAATGATGCAGCTGATCTTCATCGGGCATATACTGTTATGCATATCGTGCAGCGGTGCTTGAAGATCCGCTCCGTGGGCGCATCCATGTCGCTTCGTGTTCTACTAATCCTAGACGAGCATCGTGAGAGGTGGAAATAAATTGAAACCGTTGTTTCTTGGGTAGGATTGCAGAGTGTAGTCTTTTGTTTTTTCATTCGCCCGGCAACATGGAACAGAAGTTCGGGATCAGCTGAGATTCCTTCTACTGTGCCGCATGCAGAAATCACGGTATGAAGCATTTGAATCACACCGTCATACGTTCAAAGTGCGGGAATCAGTGCATGTTGCATGTTCCGGTGTAAAATAAATCGCGAGGAAGAGAAAGAATATGGTAGCCTATGAAATAATAGAGGGCTGATGAGCAGGTATGCAAGCCATCTTGAGCTGCAGTGTGGTAGTGGGTCTGGAATACCCTGACCCATGGCAGGAAGGGATCTAGACACATGCAGGAGCAGCGGTATCGGCGGACATGTGCTAGCTTTTGCAGCCACTCAGCACAGCATCAAAAGTCATCGAAATTACGGAAATTTTGAAAATTTCGAACGAGTAGCAGGATACGCCTGATTCTCATTGCAAATATCTTCTAGAAGACCGTATCTAGACTCTTCAGATTTTCCAGGTGCGCAGGCACCTGCAAGGACTGGCGGAGGAGTTTCTGCCTCAGGCACTGATCGGCCTGACTCGCTGACGTCGATCCGGAGAAGATTGCGGCGGGAGATTTTGAGCTGCTCGGCGCGACCCCACCAACCACTTTTTCCCTTTTACTAGTCACGCTGCCACGAAAAGAACTTTGCGCCCTCCCCTCTCTTGCATTGTGTCCCAATTCCCTCTTTCACCCCTTGTGCATTGCAGGAGAGCCTTCACAATGACTGAGTACAGCGTGAGTCTTCTGCCGCAACCTGCGTACGCTCTTTCCGGCCTGAGTCACTAACTGAGGCCGCCTTGTAGATTTACCAAACCCCGTAAGCAGCTCCCAGCCGCCGATTCCGTACGCAGTACTGATCGTAATGCTTCCGCAGGCTCAACTCGCGGTATGCGAGTATGTTTCCCTCCGCACAACCCCAACGTCCGCTCGCCGTGTCATGGTACTGACAACGACCCTCGATAAGGCGAGCCCATGAAGCAGCTCTTCTCGCCCCGCACCCGTTTCACAACCTGGCGCAAGCTCTGGCTCTCTCTCGCTGAGGCCGAGAAGGAGCTTGGCCTGGACATCTCCGACCAGGCCATCGAGCAGATGCGCGCGAACCTGGTCATCAAGGACGAGGAGTTCCCTACTGCTGCCGAGGAGGAGAAGCGCCGTAGGCACGATGTCATGGCCCACGTCCACACTTTCGGCCTCGTTGCTCCCGCAGCTGCCGGCATTATCCACTGGTACGGTTACAATTCAAACATCAGGGCGGTGCGGGTTCTACAAAATAGCAGCATTCGTGAGCGAGAGCTCGAAACGTGCGAAAGAGCTTTGGCGTAGCCTTGTCGCAGTTGACTTGGCCATCGAGTCATCATGGACTGCTGAACCCCACCGCTGGCCTGCCAAAGCATTATACTTATCACCTGCTTTATAGGGGTGCTACCTCCTGCTACGTCACCGACAACGCCGACCTCATCCTCTACCGCGACGCCCTGGACATGCTTTGCAACAAGATCTGCGGTGCGATCCACAAGCTGAGCGTGTTTGCCCAGCAGCACGCTGCTCTGCCCTGCCTGGCCTACACTCACCTCCAACCTGTAAGCATGGCCCCGAGCTGTAATTACTCTAGTGCTCACGCGGTGATTCCAGGCACAATTGACCACGGTTGGCAAGCGCGCATGTCTTTGGATTCAGGATCTTCTGATGGACCTGAAGAACCTCGAGAGGGCTCGTGATGACATGAGGTTCCGTGGTGTCAAGGGAACTACCGGCACCCAGGCCTCCTTCCTCCAGATCTTCAACGGCAACCACGAGAAGGTCGAGAGGCTCGATGAGCTCGTCACTCAGAAGAGCGGCTTCCGTGATGCCTTTATCATTACTTCTCAGACCTACTCCCGCAAGGTTGATGCTGACATTGTCAACGTTCTTGGTTCCTTTGGTGCCACCTGCGAGAGAATAGGTGGTGACATCCGCCACCTTGCTTCCTTCAAGGAGCTCGAGGAGCCTTTCGAGAAGGACCAGATTGGCTCGTCGGCCATGGCCTACAAGCGCAACCCCATGCGCTCTGAGCGCATGTGCAGTCTGGGTCGCCACCTCCAGTCCCTGCCGCAGAACGCCCTTCACACCTACTCTGCGCAGTGGTTCGAGCGTACGCTCGACGACAGCGCCAACCGCCGCATCACGCTCCCCGAGGCGTTCCTGACGGCTGATGCGTGCACCCTCCTCCTGGATAACATCTTCTCCGGCATGGTCGTCTACCCCAACGTCATCAACAGCCGTGTCATGCAGGAGCTTCCCTTCATGGCCACCGAGAACCTGATCATGGCCATGGTTGCCAAGGGCTACAGCAGGCAAGACGCACACGAGGAGATCCGTGTGCTCAGCCACCAGGCCAGCCAGGTCGTCAAGGGCGAGGGTGGCCAGAACGACCTCATTGAGCGTGTCAAGCAGACGCCCTTCTTCGAGCCGGTAAGTAGACCACTTGCAGCTGTAAGTAAATCCTGCTGACACTCGTTAGATCCTTAACGAGATTGACACCCTTCTCGACCCCAAGACTTTCATTGGCAGGGCACCGGAGCAGGTCGCCAAGTTCACCGGTAAGTTGGAGTACATTGTGTATTTCAATGGCGTCCGTTACTAACATGTGATCAACTGTAGGCGCTGGCGGAGAGGTCGTTCGTGCGCTGTCCAAGTACGAGGGCAAGGTCCAGATCGCCGAGGTCGCTGATCTTCACGTTTAGAGGATTTAAAAGTAAATACATGGATGTAGAAAAATTTCATAATGTTCTGGGATTCGGGACCCGCCGCAATTGCCTTTTGCAGTGAGCTGCGCCGCATGATTCACGGTGTGGGGAGATCCTCGAATGCGTTGCTGGAAGATCGGCCGGAAAGCGTCCGGTGCGCTGAAGCCGTAGAGCGCACCGGCAGAGACATGCTGCTGGGCATATAACATGTCATTGGTGCCCACATGGCGTAGCTAGAGCTGCAGTCGTCTTACAAACCTTGGGACCGAAGCTGCGTCAGCGATTCATTGCTGCTGATTAGTGTATTATCAACCGAGTCAGGTTTACGTCATCCAAGGGACGGCGCGCTTCTTCACTTGACTCCGGCTTCCCTCCAGACTAAAGTAATAGATGGAGATTGTGCAGAAATCGCGGCACAAGTTCGAAGTATCGTTTACGCCTGAACGTCGTCGCTCGCCCTCTGCAGCCAACATGGAGCATTCACACGCGGCCAATCGCCCTGACGAGGTAGCTTTCCCGCATGCCACCCCCGCCTTCCCCCTCGCCCACTACCGCGCCCTGTCCGCCGCCGCCTTTCGCAAATAGCTGACATTCCCGTGCCAAAAAGTTTCGCGATCGCCGTCTCAGCGAAGCAGAGGCCCAGAATACCTTCGAGGTGAGCTACTCGCGTCCCCATCTCGCATCCCCGCCATCTTTTTCGGTCCCGCTCTCCGCGCTCTCATGCAGCTTTGGGCGCTATTCTTGCTCCAGCCTGGGAGTGAGACACTTCTTCCCTTGTCTGCTTTCCCTCAACCGGGAATACCACGCTTTCACTCAACACTTTGACTTACTCGTGCGCATTGCTCCTTCTTCCGCGTCTAGGTAGTCTTCGACAATGAAGCCGTGCACCGCCGCAAGTCTTCACTCGCCCCGGGCACGGGCACCGGGCCCCAGCGGCCCAGGCACATGCGCAAGCCGACCAACTGCTTCGTCCACTCCCTCTTCGAGCCGCACCGCGACGCCACCGCGCTCCAGGCGACGCACTCGCCGCCGCCGGACTCCGACTACGCCATCGCCGCGACGCCGTCGTACGAGGGGCTGAAGTCGGACAGAGTGACGGACAAGAACCCGGACGCGGGGCTGTACCATAATGGAGACGACGTCATCCAGGAAGAGAAGGGAACGGGCGCGGGCGCGGTGGCCGTGACGGGCGTCGAGCCCGCGGTGCAGAGCAGGCTGTTGACCAAGAAGCAGATCTCGGATATGGCGTTCGGGATCAGGGAGCTGGCCAAGAAGCTGGCGCACATCCGCATCAAGATGAATGTGCGGAACGTGTTTATTCTGGCCAAGGCGCACGACGAGACGCTGATTGGGAAGACGAGGGAGGTGGCAGAGTGGCTGCTGCAGCAGGATGTGAATTACAGGATGTGAGTTTGTCTTGCGAGTGGGTTGTGAACTAGATGCGGGGGCTATGGCGTTGCTGACTGTGCTTGGGGCTGCAGATATGTGGAGAATACGCTGCAGGAGAACAAGATCTTTGATTACAAGGGCTTGGTGGAGGACAACGAGAGCTACAAGCATCGCCTGAGGTTTTGGACGGTCGAGCTCTGCCAGCAGAGGCCCCAGACGTGGGATATCGTTCTCGCTGTGAGCTCCCACCTTATCCGGGCCCTGGTGGCCTTGCTAATCGAAACCTGTGGTAGCTCGGCGGAGATGGCACGGTTCTGTACGCCAGTTGGCTATTCCAGCATGTCGTACCGCCTGTCCTAGCTTTCTCGTTAGGCTCTCTCGGGTTCTTGACTAAGTTTGATTACGGGTCCTTCCCGCAGGTTCTTACCAAGGCGTTTAACGAAGGTATCACCGTCAGCTTACGGCTTCGATTCGAGGCTACTGTCATGCGCTCCCAGAAGCGAGAGAAGTGCGGCGGCACTGCACCACGGGATCTGGTGGAAGAGCTGATTGGCGAGGAGAGCGAAGATTGCCATACGCACTTCCCTGATGGGACGTACAACATCCTGAATGAAGTCGTGCTCGACCGGGGCCCGAATCCGAGTACGTTAAGATACGCACGATAACCCCCAGCCCCTCGAGATGAAGACGTTCCTGTCCGCTAACACATTGAGCAACCTCCCAACAGCAATGTCCTCGATAGAAATCTTCGGCGACGACGAGCACTACACCAGCGTGCAGGCAGATGGCATCTGCATCGCGACGCCGACGGGCAGCACGGCGTACAACCTGGCGGCGGGTGGCTCGCTGTGCCACCCGGACAACCCGGTCATCCTGCTCACGGCCATCTGCGCGCACACGCTGTCGTTCCGCCCCATCGTGCTGCCCGACACCATCGTGCTGCGCGCGGGCGTGCCGTACGACGCGCGCACCAGCTCGTGGGCCAGCTTCGACGGCCGCGAGCGCGTCGAACTCAAGCCTGGCGACTACGTGACTGTCAGCGCCAGCAGGTTCCCCTTCCCGAGCGTGCTGCCGGTCGAGAGGAGGGGCAAGGATTGGATCGACAGCATCTCGCGGACGCTGAATTGGAACTCGAGGCAAAGGCAGAAGGCTTTTAAGGAGTGGGAGAAGGAGGAGAAATAGGTGGAGGTTGTGGGTGGAGAGGTGCGATGGAGTGTGATGGTTCGCGTGGTGTTTTGGATAGAGCGGAATTTGGGTGGATACTTGGGCTGTTGACTTGATGTTCGGTTTCGAAACGGATGAGAAAGTAAGCCAAAACCTTGCACGAATCAGATCCCACGTTCAAGTTGGGTTGTTCCATGTGGCCTCTTGCATTACTGAGGAGAGTCGAGATGAATAGCCTTTCGTCTGTGTCGTCTTTCTCACCCCAGCGAGTGGGGCCACCTTGGACGTCTTACAATACTGATATCGCGCCACCAGTGGAATACGAGTAAGTGCGAGGATACCGTTTGTTGTCTGTAGCTACCGTCAAAACAGACAGACCCCTTCATTCAGCATCCGTCATACCAGAACAAAGTCCTGAAAACAAACCAGTATAAATTGGACCGAATTTGGTTCGGAACTCAAAGACTGTGTGTCTTGCGGGGTAATGCAGGAGAAAAGAAATTGTTGAGGCTGATTTATTAGGCATGTGTAACAGATTGATCCCAGGCTTTAAGCAGTAAGGGGCGAAAGGCATCAGGAAGGCTACAGTCGACATACGCTACCGGCGTGGTGGCACCATACGGCCACATGCACCATTATATCGGATGGACACCTTTTGTATGAATGGTATGGTTCATTGCTGCATTCAAAGCCGGAAATATTTACATTTGCAACGATCATTAAAAGTTATCGATATAGGAAATCCCCTGCTGTCCTCTTTACTACAACGTCGGACACGCACCGGTCGACAGTTGACCGGTCTTGTGAAGCTTCGAAACGACGGTCCCATCCTTGGTAGGCAGTTCGATATCGAACGTCGTGCTCATCCCCGCCGGCTCGAGCTGCATCTCGGCCGTGTAAAACACATAGCCACCCCTGCTGACCGTCTTCTCCATCGGCACCGCCTCGACCTCCAACCGCGGCAGCACGACGCCCTGCTGGATCTTCCGCGCCAGCTTCACGACCGGCTTGCTACCAGCCTCGTCCAGGTCCTGCCGCACCGCGGCGCGCACCGTCGCCGTCGCGTTGTGGCCGTCACTGACCCCGCTGCTGTCGAGACACGACTGCGACGCCGCGAAGAGCAGAGCGTCGCTAACGGGGTAGCCGCCGGTGCCGGCGTTGTCGTACGTCTCGTCGGCCGCACCCGTGTTGGTCAGCTCAATGTCGAAGGCCTTGACGCCTGCGGCTGCGTCTAGTTCTGTTGCGAACTCGTACCAGGCGAACGCCTCGCCGAAGAAGCCCTGCGAGGTGCCGCGCGCGCGGAGCGCCGGCGCGACGGTCCGCTTATCACCGTTGCGGGTGAGCACGTTCAGGGCGACGCAGATGTCGTCCGCGGTGGCGGCGTTGCGGTTCGTGATGCGGAGGCGGATGCGGCCTTCGAACGCCAGGGTGTTGGTGTTCGTGTCTGCGAGCTCGAACCGCTCGATGTACGGCTTGACGTCGACCAGCTCGATGGGGTCGCTGAGGGTGACAGCGGCGGGCACGGCGTCGATCATGCGGCCGAGGATGTCGGCGCAGGTGGCGGAGAAGGTCGTGGGGTCGCGCAGCGCCGTCATGGTCACATTGCCGTCGGCGCCGAAGACGCGTTTGTCCGAGTTGGTCGTGTCGTTGTGGCCGAAGACGAGCGGGTTGGCGCCGTTGCCGTCGAGGTACTCGTCGACGACGGCCGTGTCGAAGCGGTCGCCGGTGCGGTCGAACTTGGGCACGTTGGTGTCGGACACCTCGCCGCCCGTGATGCTCGGGAAGTCGACGCTGTGCACGCCGCCCAGCGTGTGCCCGCAGGCCACCATGGCGATCATGTCGCTCGTGCTGAAGCCGGCGCGCGCGAAGGCGGACGTCATGCTGTCCAGCGTGTCGTGGGGTCTGGGGACCCCGGAGGGACCGGCCGCGGTGGCGTCGATGCGTCCCGTTCGCAGAGGGACCCGGGGCCCGCCGCAGGATGCGATTGAGGAGACGAAGGCGAGCGCTATCATGTCGGCCGCGCTCGCGTGGGGGTTGACGAAGTCGGCCATTGAGGTGAAGGTGTTGTTGAAGGATGGCCTTTTGTCTTTGGTGGCTTCGTAGATGATGGATGCGTCAAGACCACCCGTCCCGGCCGATTTGTCGTGCGTGATGGCGTCGCGAAATGCCGTTCGCACCCATTCCGCAGCCGTCTGCTGCCCAGGAGTGTTGGAGCCGAAGCCGCAAGGGGTGACCGCTGGAGAGAGCAATGAGAGTCAGCTATACTTCTGCAATTCTGGTTGGATGTATGTACGGACTGTCAGTGAAGCCGAAGTTGATATAGCCTGATTGGATGGCCAGCAAGTCTTCTATGAAATCATTCTGTGCTGGCCAGACGTATTTGGCGGAGACCGCGGGAGCTGCTGAGGCAGCAAGTACTGCAAGTTGGACCGCCCTCATGCTCAGTGAAGAAGAAATCGACGTAAGGTGTCTCCTTAAAGATAGAAAAGGGTGGGAATGAAGAAACAGCTTCGTGATGTTGATAGATAAATGCGAGCAGGTTGCCTCCTTATTAATGCCTGGGCTCTGTATGGCTCCATAGGCCTTTAAGGTCGTGCTGTCCCCGACGGTCATTTCATCTAACTTCTAGAAGAGGTTTAACGAAGTAGCAAATGATCTTAAAATAATTTCAAACATCAGTGCTTTGCTTTTTACTGCTACGCTTATTTACCGGATATCTCGGCTTGTTCCACCATCAAAGCGTCGTCCAGTCATGTTACTTTACGGCACGTGCGCAACCAACTGGTGTATATATCCAGGTTGTTTCAGCTGGATTCTGCTCTTCAGCAGTGTAGAATTCAATCTCTTTGCACTGTTCAACAAATAAATTCAAATGCGAGATTAAGGTGTGGGTGTAACTACGAGGTGAACTAAGCATATCTGGGGTTACCTTCGCCCCGTAAGATACTATCAACCCACATGCTGAGAATGATGGAATAACGGACGGTCTGTATGTGCCTAGGCTTCTGAGCCAGGAAGGTTAGGTCTGCTGATGCTCCAAGAATGTTTTGGGGTCGAGGGGTGGCAGCGTGGCTGAACGTCTAAGGACATAGTCGTAGACAGCTGTCTCATGCAGGGCATAAGAAGTTTTCCCATCATGGCATGCAGTCCACGCCAGATCGCTAGAATCCATGATCACCGTCCACTCAGTGCCTTCCTCAAGCATGGAGAAGTGCACAACTTCCAACCGCAGATGCGTTGCAAGACCCTTAAAGACGTCTTCCCAGCACCCCCCATTTGGCTTCAATCTGCAATCTGCCAGCACGAGATGCCGCAACGTGGGCTCTTGCGCCTTCAGCATCTCCAACAAGCTTTGCACAGGGGCAACAAAACCAACCAGCTCAAGACGCCTCAGCTTCGGCCAGCAACCAGGCGCCTGTGCGACCTTATCGAAGACACGTCGCGCAATCCAGTCGTTCAACCGGCATCTGTAAACCTCTTCAGCAAACACCAGCCTCAGCCGCTCCAACCTGCCGCAACGCAGCAGGAACCGGCAGGCGCCCTTTGCAACCACCGCCGCCTCCCGAAGCGACCGCACGTTCATCTCCAGCTCCCTTAATTCCGAGAAAGCGCGTCCGATCGTCTTTAGCTCCTTGCCAAAATGCTCCTTTTGCTTCGCTGCCTCCTCATCCTCCGGGCCGCCCATCCACCTGGTCCACGTGTGCGGGTACCCGTGGGAGGGGTCTTCGTGACCTAATAGATACATCTGCTCGCGCACGCGTCCCCAGTCCCACAGGCAGGCGAAGTTTGTCTTGGACCAGAAGCCGATGTTGCGAACGTCGATGCGGAGGTGCTGGATAGGTACGGTAATGGAGTCGCCAGCAGAGGTGGAGGAGGCGGCGGCGGCGCGCAGGCCAAGTGCACGCAGTGTGAGCGATAAATGCAAAGCTTCTAGGTTATCTTCCGTTTCGGCTATGGTGGGTCTACCACTTCTCCATACTTGTCCCACGCCTTCTTCGCTTCTGCGTTGGTACGCACCACCCTCAATGAGAATCTTGTAGGAGAAACGCTGGCCCTGCCAGGTAGTACGCCAGCCATTGGCGGCGGTGAAAAGCGGCTCGTGCAGGAATGTGCGCAGCCGGGGAAGCCGGGCGATAGCATCGTCGAAGCGGTCGAGTCGATCCTGCGTCATCCCATCATCAGAGCGGCGGGCGTGTGGGTGCACGCGAGGACGGGTGGCCGGATTGTCGGGGTCGCGGAAGCGGATGCAGTTTGTCAACTCCCTGGTGGCGTCGTGCATTCCCTCCATAGCCAGCTCGTATGACGTCCAGCGGTCCTTTATCTCATCCTCGCCAGGGTGACTGCCCCAGTCGTCCTCGACGTCGGAGGCGATGCTGGATCTGTCATCATCGCTAGGTGGCCTTTCATCAATTGCATAACGGAGGGCGTCGCGCCAGATTTCGAATTCGACAGCAGTATTATCATGAGAAAGAAGTCGACGAAAAACAGCTGGCCGGTTAAGTATGTTTACTTCGTCCCTTTTCAGTACCAAAGTGCGGACATGGTGCCGTAGTTTGTCGTGCGCAGCCACGGCAAGGAGGTTGTTTACACCGTCTCCATGCAGATTGAAGTGGATAGTCTCGAAAAGGAACGGTTCGGCCACCCTACTAAGCCTTTTGCACACAAGCCGCAATCGCTTGATGTTTTTGCGACCAAGATTCTGTATCACGGCTTCCAGGAGTTCTGAAGGAAGGGTCAGGAGCGATGGCATTTTATCAGTGAATGGCGATGTTTGGAAGAATGCGTGTGAGAAAAGCGAGTGGTAAACGTTGCTGAACGAGGCGGGTTATATATCCACCGCGACTATTTTTAGCCGTGTGACCATATGCGGGTCAATTGCGGACAGTGCACCGGGGTAGGAGCCAGTAGGATTGTAACACTTCCTTCAATACAAAAAGCGTATTGTAATCCACGCAACTTGTCGCGAATTAGTTTCAGACTATATTCTTGTCTGTCTTAACAGCAGCGGCAATGTAAGATAGCTACTAGAGCCCAGAAACCAAATGATTATCCAGTATAAGTCTCTCCTCAAGAGATGTAATCGTGCACAGCCCCAAAGAGTTAATGATGAGTTTAGAAGGAGAGTATGAACAATGGCAAGGCCTCAGGCCTAACTTCATTTTCTCAGAAAAATAGCATGTGTGGGTAGAAATCATCTCGCATTATATCGTTTATTACTACAGATACCCATCTCACATTGCACCGTTCCGATTACCAAAAGAAGATGCCGAGCATCCAACAAACCATCGCTCCAGCTCCAACCTGGAGACTGCTTCCCTTGACAGCGCCGGCACCACCGGTACTCGAAGCGGCCGCCTCGCCCGTCCTACTAGCAGACAAGGACACACTCGTGATCCCATCTCCCGAGCTGGATGCCTTGGCACTAGTACTCCTCGTCGCACTCGCGCTCGTCTTCCCGCTGCTACTCCCCGTGGTAGCTCCCGCCGAGAAGGCTACCGTGCTCGATCCGAACACCACATCTCCGTCTCCATCCACACTCACCGCCTGTCCACCCGGCAGCGTCGCAACCTGCCCCTCGGTCAGGCTCGTCCCGCCCACGAAAACGGTGCCATCCGCGCTCGTCGCCGTGAACGTCTGTCCTCCCGCCGTAACCGTCGCAACCGAGTCGTCGTCTCCCGTAGCAGCAGCAGCAGCACCTCCAACCTCAACAGTCGAACTCCCACCCACAACCACGCCATCCCCTCCAGGCGCCAAGCTGACCACCTCTCCATCCGCCAGCGTCGCAACCGGACTACCAGCGCTCAGCGTCTGCGAACCAACCACGACGACGCCATCCGCCACGCTCGACGCCGTCACCGTCTGCCCGTCGCCTACAGTGAACACCGCCACCCCATCGTCCCCCTCATTCCCAGAAGAGCCACCGGTAGCGGTCGGCAGCGCGACAGTGCTACCACCCACCACGACCACCGCCGGGCCGCCTGTCGTCTCTCCACTGCCGACGGAAACCGGCGTCCCTGCAATCGTCACCACCTCGCCCGGCCGGACCGTCACGCCGCCCACGACCACGGCACCCGGATCACCCGACGCGAACGACGCCGTCGCGCCGCCGACGGTGAAGAGCGGAGCAGTAGCAGCCGCAGCCGCAGCCGCGGCCGTCTGTTGTCCCTGATTCTGGCCCTGGCCCGGATCACCACCACCGAGCGAAATCGTCGACGACCCGCCCGCAACCACAAATCCAGACCCGACCGACACGGGCGTGCCGTCGCCCAGCACCGTCGTCGCGCCGGGCGCGAGGGTCACGCTGCCGCCGTTGCTGCCACCACCACCACTACCATCAGCGGAGGTGTTGATGATGACGACGCCACCGCCGCCGTTGTTGTTGTTCGATCCGCCGTTGTTCGATCCTGCAGTGTTGCTGCCAGGGTCGCCGACGACGACGACGCCGCCGATGGTCGCAGAGGAAGCTGGGCCGGAATCGTTCGGGTCCGCTGAGTTGGGCTGGCTGCCGCTGCCGCTGCCGCTACCGCTGCCGTCGACGCCTGCGGCGGTCGTGCCTGCAGGCGGGGAAGCCGGGTCGGTTTGTTGGCCTCCGCCGGTGCCGGCTGTGGCTTGGGAGGCGATGGCGCTGATGATGCCGCCGAGGCCTGGGTCGCCGTTGTTGTTGTCGTTGTTGTTGTCATTATTATTATCGTTGTTGTTATTGTTGTTGTTATTGTCGTTATTGTTGTCGTTGCTCGGGGCTGATGCTTGTCCACCTCCAGTGGCCTGGGAGACGATGGCGCTGATGACACCACCGAGGCCAGGGTCGTTGGTGGTAGCAGGCGGGTTGTTGTTGGTCTGAACCGGATCACCTCCGCTACCGGTCTCCTGCGGCGGAGAACCACCGCTCTGGCCGCCGTTGTTGGTCGTGGGATCCGGATTGCTACCACCCGTGTTGGTCGGATCGGGCGAGTCGGGCGACGACGCCGGGACGGCAGGCGGCTTTGTGGTGGCCGGGCCGTTGTTCGCGGCAGACGTCGTCGGCACGAGGGCCATGGCGGGCGTCAGGGCGATGGGCGGGTCCCAGGTCCCCGCGAGGTCGAGCAGACAGGTGCTCCAGGCCGGGTCGAGCGAGCGCAGCTGGGGCGGCAGCAGCAGCGTGGGGCGGTAGGCCGACTGGTAGATGATGGGGCACAGGCCGTCCTTGCCGGCCCACTGCTCGCCGTTGACGAAGTTGGGCCACTGCAGCGACGCGTAGTCCTTGTCGTAGTACTCGCACGCGTTGCCCGCCTCCATGGCCTGGTACCACGGCGCCGACGCCACCGTCGCCATGTCGTCGAAGTTGAACGGGTACCCGCCGTCGACGAAGTAGTAGTGGTAGCCCCGGTACGAGTACAGGTCTTGCGAGTTGATGGTGAGCATCACGTTCGAGTAGGCCTTGCCGACCTTCGAGTTGCATCCCGTCGACGCCGCAGAGACGACCGGGAAGGAGAGGTATGCGTTGCCCTCGAAGAAGGTGTACTCGCCCGATGTCGTATAGGGGCCTGTTCAGCTCGTTAGCCTTAAAACATTACCACGATCTAATGGGGTCACAGTGTCGTGCATACCTGCTGTAGCCGTTGGATGAGAAGTGTTCGTTCCGTACGCACAGTTCGCCGCATCGTACGGATTCGCAGACGTGAACGGCGCGGTCGTCGGGCCAAAGGGACAGATGGTCTTGTTGGCGCCAGTCGCGCACATGTCGATCGTCGTGTTCTTCTTGTGAGGGAAGTAGATGAGCTCGACCTCGGGCGCGGAAATCCTGCACGCGCCGCATTTCCCCCATTCTGGCTTGTCATCGCACCCGTCAATCCATCCTGGATAGGGCATCGAGTAGTTGCTCGCCGCGTCGTTGGCATCGTAGTCTCGCCACAGCGCCTCGCAGTCGGCTGCCGTGACATTGCACACGGGCGGCTTGACGTCGATCGTAAGTGTGGACGTGTAAACGGTGGACAACGACTCAGACGTCCAGGTAGCTACCGGCATGGGATCTCCCACCATGTAGGTGACTTCTCCGTAGCCATACGTGTTGCAAGCCGACGTTCGGGTCGACACCGTGTAGTTTGTTAACGTCACAGTCGACGTTTCGATGAAGCTGTAGTCGCTGTAGTATGGACTGGCATACGTAATCCACGATTCGTGTTCCAACAAACAGGCAGTGGCGTAGGATGCTCCTGAGCCAAGGTTAGAGTTCCAAGACTTCGCAAAGCATATCTAGTTTAACTGTACGTACCCGACCCACTGCTTGGCAAAGTTCCAAACGTCCCATTTGTGACATTTCCATTCATGGACGAATTTCCGTTCAAAGTAGGGAACGGTGTGGTGCTCGACAAGACACTAGAACTCGCTGCAGGAGTACCAGTCCGAGAAGCAGCAGACGTCGTGTCGTTTTGAGCTGTCACGGATGCGAAAGACGAACTGGCCGAAGAGTCTGAGGAGCTCGTGGCTCCAAGCCCGTTCATAATCAAGCTTCCGAGTCCATCGCTTTGGGTTGTGGTGCTGTTCAGCAGCGCGCTAGAACGACCCGAGGATGTGTCTCTGCGGTAATGGCGTTCTGGAATACGACATCAGTACCTTCCTCAAGGATCGACCTGCGCAAGCGAAACGCGGGGGTAACTTACCAAAGCTTGCGTCTGCTGTTGTTGCGAGCTGCAGAGCAACCACCAGGGCAGAAACGACCGGCAGTACCCCCGGCATTTCCAACTGAACAACGCTTCCTCAAGACACTGTGAAAGAATGACAGCAGGAGTTCAGGCAGCAGAAGGGGGAAAGGCTTGTTGTATGAAAACAAGCCGCTGACAGGAGAGAAAGCCAAGGTCTCGAACGGCACACTCGAGTCACTTCATGGGGGCCAAAAGGCAAAAAAGCGCCGTGGTACCTGGCAAAAAAGCACACCGCTGGGCACGATTTCCATCGCTATTGGGGGGCCTGGCTGCTGAGTGGCCTGTCCTAAGAATTTCTTCCAATCACCGACTGAAGCTGCTGTGACGGCTTCCCTGTACGCGCGATCCTTCAGCCTCGCTTTCGGTCAAGTGCCGTCCAGCTGTTCCGCTCCACGGTAGCTCACTGTGTAATTTAATTGGCGCACGTTGCGGACGCCACCCACCATCCTAGTATAAGAAATATGCAACCTGATCGCACGTGCCGCTCGTCCTTGCTTCACAGTTTGCTGCTTTTTGATGTCCAACTGCAGCCGCATCTGACAGCCGCCCGGATTGGTGAACAGCCACGTTACACCCGTCCCTGTGGTCTCAGAATCATTTCCCGATAGTGAATCCAGGCACGGAATAGAGTGTAAGCACTAAGCTGGCATAATGGGTAAGGTGCCTTCGGGACATTCTTCTTTTGCTGGACTCGACGACGATCAGTATTGAGACCTCGGGATCTCCGTCAAAGCAACCGAACCCTGTGACCCCAACAATTGGGAGATTGCCGAGTGTGCGAGATTACGTCATGGGGTTAGCGCGACGATTTCGCCTGTGGAAACTGGGCGGAGAGTTCAAGGCGGACTGTTGAAGATAGAGGGTCAGAGACCACTTGCTATTTTGAAATACAGCCATCACTGTCAACCTGTCAAATTCAGACTCCGATCCGGGGAGCACGGGACACTGTCGTTCAAGCGCGGCGTTTAGTTCACTCCGGATGACGATTTAGTATTTTTGCTTCCAGCGCGCGCCATCATCCGCGCCACGCGCCAGAACGATGAACTAACCCGCCATTTGTATGAACGGTGTTCACCCCTTTCTCCGATCTTAAGCCCATTCGCCGTCTCCGAAAGCGAGGGACAGAGACAAACGAACGAACCGTTGTCAGACGAACAAAGGGGTATCTTTTTTTGCATCTTCGAAGAAAGTAAATCCCGCAAAGGAAGTTTGCAACAAGAGGCTCTAACCCAGCTCTTATGCTACCAGCAGTACGTTGTTGTCGTTTGTCTTCCTCCTCTGCAACGCCCACCGTTGACCCATGTCCCATCATAAACGATTACTCCCGCCATAATCCCCGCCGATTCTCCACCTGACATCGTCGTGAAGAATTTAGAGGTTGGAGGGGTAGAGCATGACGCGGACGCTGGCGCCGAAGGACTTGGGGGGCAGGTTGGACCTGAACTGCGCGCGGACGGCACCGGAGTTGCCTGTGATTCCCATCTCAGTCAGCACATTGCTTTCCCAACCGCAACCATTGCTCCAAACATCCATCTCCAATGCCCATATTTCCTCCTCGAATCCTTCGAATGCCGCGGGTTCAGGGAAAGTGCGTACCGTGCGGGCGGGTGACGGTGCCCCAGATGGCCCTGATCTTAGAGCCACGGATGTCCTTGTTGGAGCGGTAGACGAAGGCGACCTTCTTGCCACAGTAGAAGCTAGAAAAAAAAAACACCGTCTCAGCAAATTTGTCCTCCTAGAATCATTCCTCACAACCGGTTCTATTCGCTCGGCGCGGGTGGGTGAGGGTATCGACGTACTTGGCCTCCTCGGTGGTCTGGACGCCCTCCAGCTTGAGGATGCTGGTGTTGGGGTTGGTGTTGCGCTTGCCACGGACGTAGCTCACATGCTTGCCCCTGTGGCCGGGTCGTCAGTAACTCGATTTCGTGGGGTGGTGGTCTCGGCCTTCGCGTACTTGACGTAGACTGCAGTTCGACAAAGTCAGCGAGGGCGCGCCGGCGCAGCAGGACGGCAATACTCACGCCTGGAGGGTTGCGAGGAAGACATCTTGAACGGAGTCGCTGCTGGTATTTGCGTCGCGGGTACAGGTCGTGATATGCGCGGTCGGCTCGCCCGTCCAGAGTATAGGCCGATTGTGTGGTGTCGCTTAAGCGCGAGGGTCATCGTTTTTCCGGCTCCTGCGTGGTTCCCCGATCGGGCGATCGCCGCTGGGTCCCGAGCTCACCCCGGATAGAACTCACACTCCGTCCCAATGTTGTAAAGAATTGATTTCTATATTACACGAAAGCCTCCTCTTAGCTCCGAAGTAAGTTGGAGAGCTGGTCCCTTAACGCCATGCCGGTGTTCTAGAAATTTACATCATACATGACGAGCAACCCGCTTAAGCTGCTTTGACCATTTTTACACCTTACCTCCTGCCCAGCTTCCACCTCCCAATCCTCTCCTGGATTTCGTTCCACTCGAAACTCTTCTTCTGAGATGGCGCTTCTCCGTCATAGAGACCCTCCTGCAGCACCACAGTGGGGGCGCCGCTGCCACTGCCGGGGTTCTTAACCATGCCACCAAACACCTCCCCAGCTACCCGACGCAGATCCTGGATCGTGACCTTCTCGATCTTCTCGCACATCTCCATGACACCGACCTTGCGGCCGTGCACCTGCACCTGCCTGCCCAGATCCTCCAGCTCTACCATGCGGCTCTCCAAGTTCATGAGCAGCGACGAGCGAAGCTGGTTCTTGGCGCGCTGGACCTCGCCCGGCTTGAGAGCGTGGAAACCTGTAGGCGCCGAGAGGGAAGCGAGTTCGCGGCACATAACCTCAAGCATGTTGCCGATGCTTCGGGGTTCGCAGGAGGCGCTGATGCCAAAGAGTCCGGAGTCCGTGTAAGAGTGGTTGAATGCCGTGCACGACTCAACCCAACCATACTGGTTCAGCACGTTGGTATAGAGGCGGGAATACATGCCTTTTCCAGGGCCACCGGCGGAAAAAGAGCCACCGCCACCCAGAAGAGTCTGCAGAGTTGCCAGCGCGTAGATGTCGTCGGAGCCGATGCCGGGGGTCTCGAAGGCAAGGTTGATGTGCGAGAGGCGCGGCAGCGCCGGGTTGGGGGGTGGCGGCATGTGAGGTAGTGAGAGGAAGCCGCCCGTGTAATGAGAAGGGCGGGTAAGCTCGGGCTCAGGGAAAGCGAGGGTGGAGTCGGCGTGCTGTGCGGAGTGCTGGGCCGAAGTGGAGAGGTTCTTGAAGAAAGGAATCTTCCCAAACAGCTTGGACGAATCTTGCGAGTTCGTGGCACCATATGCAACATTCGACGGCGTAGAGGTGGCCGCTGATTGGCCCTCTGTGGCAGCGTCGGTGTTGAGCGTTGCATGGCCGCCAACTTGAGAGAGCAACGGCTCCTTGCTCATATCGCCAAAGTACTGCTCAGAGAGCTTGACCGCTTCCTCGTGGTTGACACCAGCGAATGCAACGACCATCCTTTCCGGTCGGAAAAAGGCCCTGCGGTATGCCTCCACCACGTTCCTGTCGATCTCATTTAGTCTCTCCTCGGGGCAAAGCAGCGGGTTGCCCAGTGTGTTGTCCTTGTAGGCCGCCATGTGCACCAGCTCCGGAAGGATAAGCTCCGGTTTGCTCCAGATCTCGCTAATCTCATATGCCGCCGTATCCAGTTGCTGGTCAACCTCCTCTTGCGTGATCAACGGGTCGCGGATGGTCTCAGCAAGCAGGCCAACACAGTCTTCAACTCTGCTGTTGAAAGTAGCCGACTGATACATCAAGCTTTCCCGGCTCGAAGCACACTGAATGTTACCGCCAAGCGATTCCAACATCTCCAGCATTTGATCGGATGTCCTCTTTGTGGTAGACTTGAAAGCTAGCCGATCGATGATGTGCGACACGCCGCGGAGTTCGGGAGTTTCGTAGCGGGAGCCGGCATCGACGTAGACGCCAATTCCAGAGAAATGGCCGGGGAGGGCCTCGGTGGCGACGCGGATGCCATTAGGGAGAGTGGTGATCTGGTCTAGCTCGACAGGGTCCTGCAAATGTCAGTACGTCAAACTTCTAGACGTAGCCTGAGCTCATACCTTCTCTTCTGCCCGGACACTGGCGAACCGCCTGACCGGAAGATGCGCCCGCGGCGCCGCGCGCTGTAGTGCTTGCGATGCTAGCCTTGATCTTGTTCGCAACATGGCGGGAAAGTGTGGATGGTGGAGGTGGATGCAAGCGCGAGCCTGGCGATGGCGATCGGATGGATTTCTTGACGCTCGTCCCGCGGTCTCGGCAATGACGTTAGTCAGCTACCGTTCAGCCCTACCTATGCAATGGAAACGTCCGGTCTTTAGGGTCCATCAATTCATTCTGGGTAATTTTGACTTCTCATTCGGAGAGAAAAATGCGCTAAAGAAGGGAGGCGCGTCTGCAATGCCCTGTATTTCTTCAGCCTCGTCCATACTCATCCAGTTTCACGAGGAACAACTCTGCATGAAGATGTGAACAGGCCGTTCAATCGGCTCATTGTTTATTATTCCTAACCCTAGCAACGACCGCGTGTATACTACTTTTGGCATGTGCAGCTATGCAACTCGCTCTACGAGAACTCAATTGCCCAATGCTCTGAGCGGGTCGTGATGACGGTCAGGACGCCCGGGGTTATTACAAGCCCCCGTATGCGAATGGAAATGAAACTTAGGAAAAGGAAATATAGGATAACCAGAAAGTCCAAAATGCAAACCTTTGCGTATCATGCTGCCACCCGTGATATCAACAACAAAAAAACGCCTCGCTCGCCTTCCCCGCCACAACGATCCAGGTATCAATGAAAAATAATGCAAAGAAATTACGCCGCATCAGGCGATGGACTGTTGCTGACCCTATTTTCAACGCTATCAGTCAGACCATCTTCAGAAGTACCCCGACGGTCTCTGCCGCCAGCACCATCCAAAACGAAAGGGCCGGCGTTGTTCCGCGGGGTCATGGGACATTCTGGGCCGGGGACAGGCGGAGTAGGGCTTAATGCGTACTGATTAGACGGAGCTGGTGCAGCCAGATGTGCGCTCTCTCCAAAAGGTGTTGAGGCCGACGATCCACTAGACCCAGTCACCGTTATGGGAACAGGCTCAACATTGGCTGATGGAGACGTAACTGACTCCGCCAGAGAATCATCGTCAGGAGGTGTATGAAGACCCGTGTCAGATGATTGCTCCTGGTCTGAAGGCGGGCCGATATCCGCAGTAAGAGAGACGCCGGCCATGCCGGCAGCCAGATCCTCCTCTTCAATCCTTGCGTCGCCTATTGAGGCTGCAAGTGCCTCACTGCCGCTGGTCAATCCGCTTTGAATTGAGGCAGTGGCACGTGGCGTACTGGTGCCATCAGTTTCGGTTTCCGCATTCCTTGGGGTGCCGTTGAGGATCGGGTTCGAGGCAGTTGCGAGCTTCTCTTCGAATTTTTCTTCGAGCACCTCATCTAAATCGTCATCCCAGTCTTCGGGTTCGCTGACGTCCGCTTCCAGATCGTTTACCATACGGCAGTTCGGGCACATGAACTGCGGATAGGTCGGGCCGTTGATGATTCTCGCAATGCATTTATAATGCCAGACATGAGAGCAAGGCGCAACGAAGAGGGCCTGGCAGGGACGAATTGACATCAGGCAAATGCTGCAGTCAGTGGAGTGAAGACTGGAAGAGTCCGAGTCTTTGGACTTGGCGCCTTGGGCGAGGTCACGCAAGCGCTTGTGCGTGGATTTGCTGTTGCTGTTAGGCAGATCCAAGCACGGGGCTCGACTTTTCAATGGACTTACTTGAAGTTGTTCAGCGCCTTCTGCCAGTTGCGATTGCACTCAATGCGAATCTTAACACAACGGAAAATCATCTCTTCGCCACCTCTAAAATCAATTCCAAGCTGGACAACATCACCGTCCCCAACCTTGTAGGGTTTGCTCTCCACACCAGGCTGAGACAGCCTGATGTGGTTGAGGAAGGTTCCGGAGCTTGACTTGACATCCTTAATCCACCATTGGCCGTCCTTGCACCAGAATTCGCAGTGCCTGCGGGACACTACTTTTGACTTGAACCCAACAGGAGCGGACGACGGAAGATTGGGAGGGAGGTCGTTCGGGATGTTATCCTTTTCAGAGTAGCGGCCAACACGTATGACGCAATCCTCGCTTGGCAGCGTCCTTGAAATGGGCGGGAATTGCAAACTTGGGCGCGAGGCTCTGGGGTCTTCATGCGGAATAAAACGTATAGATGGTAGTTGCTTATGGGGTGTGGACGCTTCGGTCACCGCATCGGAGCCATGGTGGGAGACGCCCAAGGAGGGAGCGGCTGATTCAGCGCGAGTGCGAGTCATTGATGCGGGCCGTGGCGATGTAGCGGAGGTGGTGGAAGGTTCTGCAGAGGATGCGACACGGGACAGGCCACTTCGACCCACGACGGTGGGTACCCAGCCGCTTGTGGCACCAGGAGTGTCGGCGGCGGCGTTGACGGGGGCGTGGCGGGAGTGTGAGGGCAGGTCGGCGCTCGGGGTAGTGTCGGTGCTGGAGGAGGAGAGCGAAGTGTTCGCGCTCGGGGTCGATCGCGTGCGGACGAGCGAAGGGCGTCGAATGTGGCCGCTGCTTCCCGCGGAAGATCGATCGCTCGAGGAGTGGAGGTGGGTGTAGCTGCGCAGATAGCTGAGCCCACGGAGTCTGCCCGTGCGGGTCGGAGAAGTGGGCGAGGCGGGCGAGGTGGTGGTCGAGAGCGTCGGGGCGGAGGGAGCGGGAGTTGTGAACATGGTCTGGCGCGCAGAGCCGACTGTTGTCGAGCACTCGGGGGTGAAGATGAGGTGCGAGGCTTCGCAGACCTCAAATCTCTCAGCGTCGGCGGCGGAGACGTCGAGACGAGAGCGGAGCGGGCGTGCCAGGATGAGGTGAATGCGCGAGCAGGGATGCCGCTAGGATCACTGCCCCGGGAACCAGCGCGTCAGCAGGCTGGCAACCGGCGAGGCCTGACAACGCAGTCGGGCGCAGATGCGACGATGGGCTCAGCGGCGACCAGAGGTGAGCGAGGCGCAGAACTCCCCGGTTTGGGTGCTTGCCGCTGGAGGAATGCGGGCCAGACGCACCCGGTCGTCTGGGTTGAAGCCGAACGCCGGCCGCGGCCAAGCCGTCGGTCGCTTCTTGCTGCGGCGCCCAATTACACCAAAAATATTTCCATCCACGCCAGCGTCTTCGCTGCGGCCGTATAAAGGGGCTTCCCGCGCTCAGACGCCGTGCAGAGCCGCACGCCTGAAAGCACGGAGGAGAATAGCGGATCGCATATTGGTCACGTGACCTCCGGCCGGGCCTCCCTAGGCGCCGCCATGAACGCCTGGGGAGACGAGCGGAGAACTTAACGCCAACGCCCCCAAACTGCCGTTGCACGCTGGTGATGTCACCGCCACCTCCGCCACTCCATGGACGCTGCCGAGCGCGTCGTTGAGAAGGTGCACACTCTGAGCGACCTCGAGCTCGCCGCGCTGCTGTGCCTGGCCTCTGAGCAGCACGCCATCATCGAAGCTGACGCTTCCCAACTCGATGCCTTGATCCAGGAGCTTCAGCTGGTAAGCTTCCCCCTCAGAGCCTGTGCGGCCCCGCCACTGACGCCGAGACAGATTGCCGGCAGCGTCTTTGGTCTCTCCAGCACTGTCCTGGAGTGCTCCGAGAAGACGACGCTTGACGCATTCGGCAATGGCCTGCTTGTAGAAGACGAAGACGTATCATACTTCTCTTCGCCCCCAAGCATCTCCCGCGAGACGGTACGCCACAATTAACTCCTGACGTTGGCCTTTCCCGCCTTAGTGTGCCAACTCTGATAAAATTAGGACACCTTCTCCACCTTCCGTCCGCCCCATCGCCGGAGCCCCAAGTCCCCACTCGAGCCCAATCGGAAGATTGCAAACGTAGTTATCGCAAGGAACCTTAACCTTTCTCCGCGCCAGGTGCAGACCCAAGCTCTGGAGGTACGCTTTCAAAAATAACATTAAGCATGCTGTGAGTAAGCTGACGTGACTCGGCAGCTGATCCGCGGGAAGCGCATCTTCACCCGTACCGCAGTGCATCCTACACCAAAGCGATTTCTGTTCATCGCTCTTCTAGCGTCTGATCCTGACATAAGTCTAACGCCTCACCTTGTGAGAACTGACGTTGTCTTATCTTCATCTTCTAGAGTGCGTGCTGACTTGTTGACCAGAATAATCAGTTCTTCATCTCTCATTTCCACCAAGATGAAGATGGTTTGCCCAACCTGCAGGAGTACCGAGACCTGGACGAAGATCAAATTTCGTTATCCTCTGTCGTGCGGCCGTCGTCGATGATACTCGGGTCCCCGAAAGCAATAGCGAAGTCACCTCTCTTTTCCCACGATGTAGGCTCCCCGGTCCCACTTTTTCGTTTTCGTTTCCGGCCAGGCAACACTAACAATACGGTCACCTGAAGGATCTCGAATACATTACGAAGCTCGTGGGCGAAGTCCGCCTTAGCTCCGAAGTGTTCGCTTACATGCACAATGTGATTGCGTTCCTGCGTCTGCACCGGGCAGTCAGCGGAGGTATATCAGCACTGGCGACGCGGCACTTTGAATTGTTGGTGCGGTAAGTTCCAGCGGCGCCTGCCCGAGGTGGTCACGAGCTGATACAAGGCAGTGCTCTTGCGCCGCTGCACGGGCTGGATTATGTGCCACCATCTCTCGTTGCCCTTGCAGCGCGAAAGATCTACCCACACCGTATTCTATTGACGGCACCCGAAAACGACCGTAGCATGCAGTGGGGCAGCTCGTTGGAGGCCGTGAGAGAGGTGTTGGACGGCGTGACCGTCGACGATGTGATCGAGGAAGTGCTCCAACAGGTCGAAGTACCATTGTAGTGGGACCTGAGACAAGAACACTGAGACAAGAGCTTGGGGAGATAATGAGGCCAACCACCCCAACAAATACGGTCGGTTGTCAGCAGCGTCCATCATGAGTCGCAATATCAAATACTTATCAGCTGATCGGCGGCGCCCGCCATCCCAGGGTCTCGGCCCTAGCTGCATTCCCACATGCCGTTCGACTGCCGCGAAAAGAGGTTATTTGTGAATTTCTTTCGGTCGCTTTACCGTTTGTGGAAAATTGTGATCATGCACGCGGTGCGTGGTTCAGCTGGACTCACTCGTGACCATTCCCGGAAGGGCATAGATACACATTCCCCGGAGTGGCTGAGGTACCTAGGACCCTTCGCGACCTGGGCTTCCCGTTAGAAAAAACCCAACGCAGTGTCACCGGGAGCGCCACAGGATGCGACGTCACAAGAAGAGGGCTGAAGAGGTCGGCTAAATACGATCGCGCGTGGTGTCCATACCGACAATTTCAGGGCGAACGGTGCTCGTGGATCGGATCGGCTCGTGGTCTCCGGAAGCCTCTCCCTGCGTCATCCACCAACGGTAAGCTCACTACGCTGCCCGGGTTCGCAACACTTGGCACATAGACCCTGAGATGAATCGATGATGGAAATTTTCCGACAGCTGTTCGGGGGTGCGTCATTGCCGACTTTTGCCCTTCCATCTCGCTTGCCGGTGCTAGATCGCCGTCGCGCGCGTGGCATCCCTGATATTTTCCGTGCACAACTCACGCATCGCACCAGCTCGGCGCAATACGACCTGCTCTCGACGAAGCATATCTTTCGCCGCTCCCAATCACAGAGTGAGGCTGGCCTGGTGGCAGGGGGTGTGCTGCAAGGCCTCATCATAGCGGCCAACCAGTCGACGCTAGCGCCCGCACGCGACGGTTGATCTTTGAATCCAGACTCTGCCACTCCGCCGTCAGTCTTCACACCTCCGAGAAGGCGAAGTAGTTACGGGCAGAGCGTGGGTCACGCGGTGGGCGCTGCGAAGATGCAGGAAAAAGCAAGAAGAGCAAAGAGCGGTGGAGCTTGATGCGAGGCTCCCGGGGCGGGCCGTTTGTCTGATCGCATTCCTAGGGCCAGAGTGCTCTGGCCACGGACCGGCATGCCACGATACGTGACGTCAAGCCATAGTTCCCGGCGCGCGCGCTCGCGCCAGAAGGGAACAGCGAAACGGCAACATTCCAGAGCGCGGCTAGAAAACGTGTCGGGTGAGCCGATGAGCGTTGGATGGGCATCGATCTTCCGTGAATCGCGTCAATCCGAGCAATGGCCGTGGTGCGGCCTGACGGGCAGCGCGTGCGTGGATAAGCGAGAACTTTTTTTTTCTCTGGTGTTGAGCGGTCGCGTTTAGGGCTCGCGATGGTTGCGGTCTGCAGGGCGGCAGTGTAGAGGCTCAGAGGGCTGAAGAGGGCTTGTCGCTAGGCAGGTGCGGCTCTGCGGCGGCTGAAACGGAAGGCAAGCGGGCGCAGTCGCAGGCAGCTGGACGGAAGAGCGGGGGCAGCGTAGTTGTTGCGAGCCAGGGCATGCGGCCAGAACGAGCGAGGGCATCGTGTGGTTGGCGGGGCGACTTTGCCGGGCGCTGCCAGCGCAGTCCGCGATGGCGCAGAACCGGGCATGCCGCGCCCAACGTCATTCGCCGGTCACTGATCGCTGCGCCTGCTCTGATCAGTCGCTCAGCCGTTGCTGCCCGCCGCGCGATTGGGCGCGTCGGTGGAGCCGCTGGAGCAACCCCAGGCCGGCGCTAGGGCTCCGTTCCAGGCACCTGGCTGACCTGCATGTCACACTGACTCTCTCCCAGCCAACCCTTAATTCTCGAGCACCGCCAACCCTATTTACATGCGCACAACCGCCTGGACTTGAGTCGTCCCAACGCACTTCACTGCTCACCACCAACCACCACAGTCGCCATGGAGGCCCTACTATCCGTTTCCTTCGACAACATCACCTCCAAGGACAGCTCCAAGGTCCGCAAGGGTCTGCGCCAGATCGAGGGCCTGCTGGCACAAATATGCCTGAGCCAGAGGACCGACCCCGCCGCCGCCGCCAAACACAAGCGCAATGGCTCGAGAGGACCGTCTGAACCCAAGCAACTCAGCGCGCTGCACGGCGATCCCGCTTTCAGAGAGTTCTTCCGCCTGCAAGAAGGGTTCGAGTGGAATGGTGAGTCTCGCCTGTTCCCGCCACCGGGTGACCAGTCGCTAACACCTCCGCAGTCGCATCACGGCTCATCGCATGTCTCGAGAGATTAATGGGTATGGGCGCAAGTAAGTCTACACCCGCTACACCCTGCGCGCATCGTCGTTCTAACAAACGTCACCAGGTGGTCAAAGCGACATTCTCATCCTGTCCGTGCTCGACCTGCTGCAAGGCGCTCTCCTCCTGCACCCTCCTTCGCGCGCATTGTTCGGCCGCGAAATCTACATGAACGTAAGTCTTGCACTCATCATTCTATCGAACCGCGTCTCTAACAGCTCTGCAGCTCCTCCTCGACCTCCTCGACTGTGGTGAATGCCCTTCTATCCAGTCGCGGTCTCTCCTCGTGCTCGTCACCGCACTTCTGGATACTCCATCCAACACGCGGACGTTCGAGTCTATCGACGGTCTCCTTACCGTGACCTCCCTCTTCAAGTCGCGCAGCACCGGAAAGGCCGTCAAGATGCAACTGATGGAGCTGTTCTACTTCTACCTCATGCACGAGACTGCTCCGGCCAGCCCCAAAGTCGGCGTCCAACGCAGCTCAAGCAACGAGCGCAAGCGCGACCGCAGGTTGAGCGATCCCATCCAAGAGACGAGATCGGTCGCGGAGAAGCAGGCGCTTCTCGGCCGATACATCAGCAACGTGGACGATCTCGTGCAGGACCTTCGAGACTGCGCCCCTTTCAGCGCAGGCATCAGCGTTGCTGCTTAATCGGCTCCTCTTACCCGGGTCCTCCCATCCGGGCCCACACACTTACTTCTTCTGAACTCCCACGCGGACACCGTTTATTTGCTTTGTTTTTGATTGTCTTTTATTGCTATTTGATATCTCAGCGAGCGTGGCGTTTGGGATACAAGCACGTTGGGCGTGCACCTGGGACAGGCGTTATTTGTGGGATTACGGCGCATCATTAGCCTCGACTTAATAGTGTCGAGCACTTTGGTTTATTTGTGATACCGGCCTCCGAAAGGATTTATATTCATTGTTTTTCGGTTTGTTACAGAGCGCAGAAGCCTTTTCGAGGCATATTAGTGTGTAAGAATGGTAACTCCTAAACACCTCGACATGGCTTCAACAGAGATGATTGTGAATACTGCTTCTGCCTAGAATAACCGGAAGGGGACTTGTTTCAAGTCGAGTCGAGCAAGCTCTTGTCCCGCCTACTTCAAACAGCCGGGGACATGTTGCTGGGAACATGAAACCAACATGCTCCCGCTGCTTTGTAACAGTTAATGTCTGACCACGGCCATAATGGGTATGCGCTTTGGAATTCACATGCTCGCACTAAGGAGAGAGATGGCACTGTAGTTCTCGCGCAAGTCCGTAAGGCTAGTGTTCAGCTCTCCCCGCGTGTTCTCTCCAACCTGTGGTTGCCTAGATCCCGTCTCAGCCGCGCCAGAGTCAAGGATGTCATCTTTCTTCTCGGTCCGATCGGAAGGAGTCAAGTGATGGGATAGGTCACATTGGGGATGACGAGTCGACCAACTTCAACGGGTCCAATACACGAAGAAGCAAAAATACACCAGCCTCAAGGGCGTCTCGCCGGCGAGTCCGCAAGCGATTTGTCATTATAATGCACTGCCACTTCGAGGCGTATGACTGGGTTGGTGAACCCGAGTACAGGACCGGGTCATACGGACCGGATCGGAGCACTACGGTTCGGATCCTTCCGTCCGCTTGGTGCACGTCCGATTTTCCTTTTTCCTCAGTGCCTCCAACCCGCCCCCAAAAATGGTGTTGCTTCGGTTTGGAGCGAGAGGCGCGTCAATTGGCTGGATTGGCGCCCAAGTCAGGCTCTGGGCCAAAATAATTATTTCTATTTTCTTGTCCATCGGGCTCGCCGCATGATACTGTTTCGGTTTGTTCTCCCGTTCGCTTCCCAACCAACCCTTGCAGAAAAGGGAAAAGGGAGTCGGCACCGCCGTAGGTAGCGCGCATGCAAAGCGCCAGGGCGGATTCTCGCCCCCCCGGGGCAGCTCTTCTGCAAGGCGCCCGACCCTTACCTTTTGCCTTATTACCCCTGCCTTACCGGTCAGGCGCCAGCAGTACAATCGCGCTCGCTAAAACCCGCAGTGCGGTGCTTCGCTGCTACTCGCCCAGCCACATCTACAAACGCACCATACATACTTCGGTAGCGCGGGCGGCGGCGGGAAGTACCTTGCATGCCGAGTGCAGCATAAGCGTTTCACGTAAACGAAGATGCTCGAACCTGCCACAAGTCAGGCGCTTCCCGCGTTGCCGAATACGGGCATGAGATTAGTCAGTGGGCCGGCACGGGACTAGATAGTGTATTGAAATGATGACGAAGGGATATAATCGCGCGAGGGTTGGGCAAGTGTTGCGCTCTTAACTCGGGTTGCGCCGCCCATATCGCCCTTACCACGCAGGGCAGTTGGCGCGAGCGTCCCCGTTCGCTTGCTACGCCCTCAGCCAGCGCGACGTCAGGAACCGGTCCGATTGTCCATGCAGATCTCCAAAGAATGGTGTATGAGGGCGCGGCGTCCAGCCCACACGAGGCGCTCGCCCGTCTCTCCAGTGTCCTTTCAGCATCAAGCGAGGCTGCGGGACTAAGCAAGTCCATGAGTCGCGCGGATCGCGAAGGGGACGATGGATGGGGCGGGCGGCGGCGGTGATTCACAGGGTACACAGCAGTTGAAAAAAAGTGGGCGCATAACACAGCGGCAGCGCGCACTGGCCGTCGAACCCGGTGGTCCGGACTCTGGGAGCGCAAAAGCGCGCGTCTCCCCGGGTGGAGTGGAGTGGGAGGGGTAAGAGGGAGGCCCGACGATAGAGAGTGCGCGCCCGCCGCCTTTGGTGATGCGAGGCCCCCACATGGCTTGCCGGTGGGGCGCTTGTCCACCCACGTTGAGCTGAAGCGCCAGCTGGGACGGAAGAAGGGGTCCATTTCGTTGCCCGCCGCGGATGATTCGGACGGTCCAGGCCCTGCGGTTCCTTTTTTGTTGCGTCGGAGGCGCGCGACGATGAGGTAGGAGGTTGTGCAGACGACGCGATGCAAAACAGGTTTTGTTTACTAACACTTGGACCGTTTGTGCCACGCTTCCCCACATCAGGCCGAGATGTGCAAAACCGGGAGATCATTGAGACGGCTTATGTCGTCACCTATAGGGAAGTCGTATGGTGTTTTTAGCAACTTGCGGTTAGCCCTATGACGTATCCGGCGAGCTTGGCCATCGCGATGTTGCACAACAACGCTGACGCGTCGCATCCGTCCTGCCGAGCCCAGATCCGCTGCCCGTGTCCGGCATGCCGAAGCCCGTCGGCGATCCTCACGCTGCGATCTGGAGATACACCAGATACCTGATCGACCTCATCCGGTCCACCCGTGAAACAGTTCTGATCGCCCTTTAATATTGAATTGATATCAATATTCAATGCATTGATGAAGCCGACGAGAATAGAACGAACGCGTCGGCAGTCACGCCTCACTTCCCGTATTCGTCACCACGTGAGCGAACGGCTATCGCCATAATTAGCCACACCCCACGGCTCCAGACTCGCAACGTCGTCGGCACATTCGGAACTTCCTTGTTTATGCCTGCCAAAGCACAAAGGGCTCGTGCTTAACCTTAAAACATGGGACCCTTTCCCAACGCGGATGACACCTTCCCCAACCCCCAACTAATAAGTTGCCACCCCGCCCTTCTACTTGTCGACGTCAGAGATCTTGAACCCTCCGGGCACCAAGCGCTGAAACACACCATCTGGATCGTACTTCGATGAGGCTGCACGCATCTTGGCCACGTTGTCTGGACCGTAGCTGTTGAGCACGTCCTGCGTCTGCCATGCGTAGTTCAGGTACAACCAGTCGTCCGCCTTACCCACGCTGCGCGAATGCGCAATGACGTCATCGATCAATTGCTTGTTGGCATTGATGAACGTCTCGTCGTTCTCCGCCTCGTCCCATTGCACCAGGGTCAACATGACTGCACAAGGCAGCAGCTTAGGCATCAGTACAAGTCTTTTCGAGAGAGCCCAACGGTTATCTCTGATTGGAAAGGGGAAAGACTCACGGACGAGATTTGATGACGCACGTTCCAGCCCAAGGATGTTACCGCCCTTCTCGACCGAATGCTGAGCGAAGATTTTGGGGATTGGGTGGTACTGGTTCCCGAAGGTCCATGTGCCGGATGTGCCATTGAGCTTCTCGGCAGTGCCTCTGTAGAGCTCGACGACTTTGCTGAGGACTTCCTCGTCATTTTGGAATGTGCAAGTCATCATCAATTGACTAAAAGTGAAGTCAGCACAGCCAAATTACTACAAGGTTCAAGGAGGCAGATATGCGCCTTGTCTGCAATGTTGAAAAATGATTGGTGATTGGGACTGTGTTGGGGTGTGAGTTGTCATGAAAGAGACTCACCGCCATCCGGTTTCAAGTGGTACCTCAGCTACGAGATCAGACATGTTGGTGATACGAGAAGTGTCAAAAATCTTCCCGGGAATTGCATTGAATTCGTCGTAAGCCGGCGGTTGCACCACGGGCTCAGTGTAGACATGGGAGTTAAAGATTCCTATGTCTCCGGTTTCTTCGGAGTTGAACGAGACAAACATGATGGTAGACGCATTGGGGTCTTTCTCAACATTGTCGGTGAAGTGAGTGAAGGCCTTCACGTGCTGTGGCATGGTACTGCTGGGGTATTGGAGAAGGCCGCCCCACAAGAGACCATTGTTGTCGAAGGTTTCCATGTCTATCCTCGTCACGATGCCGAAGTTGTTGCCACCGCCCTTTAAAACCTGAAAGAGATCTGAGTTCTCCTGGCTGTTTGCATTGACAATATCTCCGTTGGCGAGGACGACCTGTGCCGAGGAATCAGTCTAGCCGCTTGTCTTATTTTTTTAAGAGCAAAAAAAGGACAAAGGGCGGGATTGGTGGCATGTGCGTACCTCGAAATTGGCGACGCTGTCACATACGAACCCCTTCCGAGCGTTGAAGAAAGAGACACCGCCTCCAGTGACGAGCCCACCAACACCCGGTACATTGCATCGACCTCCAGGCGAAGACACATTCAGCGCGTCAAGGGTCGCATACACTGACTCCCACCTGGCGCCCGGTAAAATTGCCGCGGTGGAGTTCTCTGCGTGGTATGTGGTCGAATTCATGTAGCTCAAATCAATAGTAACGCCATCATCGATGTTTGCAGCTCCAGCCCAGGTCATATGGCCGCCGCTGCGCACGGCGAACCGGCATTCATGGTCCTCTTTGCTTGCAGTGACGAGAGTTGCAACAATTTTCGAGACCTCTTCAGTGTTGAGCGGCTGAACCAGGCACCATGGGGTCAGATGCTCCAGGCTGGACCAGTACGAATCAATGCTTGCTTGATACGCCTCTTCACCGGAATATTCGACCCTGGAACCGAATCCGGCTGCTTCGAGTGCACCGCACTTTTGCCTGCTTCAGCTCAAATTTGACGTTGACATTGGAGTTGTTTCAAACATACGCAATATGTGGAAGCGGGGTATGTAGACGAGCCGTTGGGGGCCGTGTATGTTCGGTCCGGGATAAAATGCTGGCCGGCGCGAACACAGAGTGTTTCGGCCAAGAAGACAAAAAGCGTCAACGTCACTTGCATTTTTTCAATCAACCTGGGCATTGAAAATTGCAGCTGTGCTGACCAGCAAACGGAAATCGAGTCAATATAGATTCCGAACGATTACAAGAAGGATCAGACAGTAAAGTGGGTCGGAGATGCGGAGGATTCGCGCTAGGTAACTTCCCCAGTTTTCGTTGTACGACGATAAGCTGCAGGACTCCGCCACCTTGGCGCATATGTGGAAAGGTTTCGATTTATCATTATATATTGAGACTTATAGCTGCTGATTCCGTGAAAGACACTTGGAATTTTGCATATTTCGTCATTGTAGTGAAATGAGAACAGTAGAAGTCGAAATGGGTGGGATATTGTCACGGTTACTCTCCATTCAAAGAGGCAAAACGGAGGCTGACATGAGGCTCACCGGGAATCCTCCGTCGAGCCCTATTATATTTACCGAGCTGGAGCGACTTATCGGTACTTGTAAATACGCGTACAAAAATTCCAGGACCCGGAAGCTTGGCAGAGAGAACAAGCGGACCAACCAATTGCAGTCCTCACAAAAAGTTTCTTACAATCCTTGCTTTTCCCGTTTTCCCCGCACCACTTTCCGCTTCTGACACTCAAATTGAGGGAGTGGATAATCCTGACAGAGCCAATCCTGTCAGCGTAGTGCTGCCTCTTCCGGGAAAAAGACCGGCCAAGTGTTTTCAAGTGATCATTCCTCCCAATGTCAAATCACTAACAAATTTCAATAGAGTGAGAGGTGTAACTCAGCCCAAGTTGGCCCTCAATCTCGGGGAATCATTATGTGCGGATGATCATACTTTAAACTCCACATGCTTTTGACATATCATGTTCATTGCCGGATGTATTTGCCGTGTTTTATGCTTTTTCTCAACACCAAGGATTGCAGAGGGGTGCTGCAGCCGATGGCTAGCGCGAAGAATAGCAGGGCTCTAGAACATCACGTAAATATGCGCCGACTCTACCTTAGAAAAATAAACATATGTGGGTAATTGAAGCTATCGTCCGGACGTGTATGTAGAATTTTAAACGTTCGGACGATAGCTTCAACTACCCATGATATGAGTAAAAAAACAAATCCACGCTAGCCATCGGCTGCGAGAGGGGACTGTATGTATTGTTTTATCTCACCACAATAACGTCACTCGTTCATAATCCTTTGTGGCATCATTTCAAGCAATTGGTGTATTTAAACAGGTAGTTTTACTGCTGTGTCATGAGAATCAGCAGTGTTCAATTCAATTCACTTGCACTGTTCTTAACAGCTTTAATTACCATACAATTAGCGACGAGCAACCTCGAAAGTTAAACGCCTGCCTTCCGTATTCATAGTATGTAAAATTACAAAGATATACAAATAAACGTAGATGCAAAGTAACGCTCCAATCTAACGAGAGTTAAAAAGTGGACGAGCCGTGCAACAGAAGGAGATAGACAACAGTAGCAATGAAAAAAATACGACACACTCCTCTCTTTCGGAACCCCCACAACCAAACCCAACTCCAATTCTCACAGCGCACACACCACCACTCCTAATCAAACCCCACTATCAATCTGATCCACCACATTCCGCGACGTCCACGCATCCCACCCCCGACACACCCGCTGCATCTCGGCCTCGCCCGCCGCGCCGACGGCCGCGCCTATCTCGGGCTGGCGCTCGACCAGGCTCGCGAACATGCCGGCGGACAGGTGCCACGCGATGTGGCAGTGCAGCGGCCACACGCCCGGGTTGTCCAGCGCGTACTGGATGACCAAGTGCCCGTGCGGCGGCAGCTGGTAGACGTCGCGGCGCGCCGGGTTGGAGGGCCGCACGATGGTGTGGCCGTCCCACGGACCGGTACCGGTGGACAGGATCTGCGCGTTGTGGCCGTGGAGATGCATGGGCTGGAGGAGGTGGTGTTAGTATGGGTGTATACGACGGGTGTTTGTGGGTTTGTGGGGGGATGGCTTACGTGGGATATGGTCGAGTTGTTGTGCATGATGACGCGCACCGCCGTACCGTTGTTGCCGGCGTCGTAGACGTTCCAGTCCGGCTCGAGATTCTGCGGCGTCGCGCGGTTCTCAGCGGCGAGCTCGAGGACGGGCTGGTTGTAGTCGCCGTGGAAGCCGATGTCGTTGACCGTCCACACGGGGTGGCCGGTGCTGTTGACCAGGAAGCTGTACTCGAAGTTGAGTGTGGTGGAAGGGTTGGGGTCTGCAGGGATGGGGTAGGCGGGGACTGTCTGCTCTATGGGGTCGTTCGAGCAGGTCGAGTTTTCGGCCAGTGATGGGGGGCTTGTGCTGTTGGGCTTGCTGTCGGTGTTTGCGTCGTCGTAGTAGATGGCGGCGAGGGCCGTGGGTTGGTTCGACCAGTTGCAAGCCTCGGATTGGGCTATGCTGCTGCGCATCCAGTAGGCGCCGTTTATGTCGCCGTTTGCGGTGACGAGGATATCAGCTCTTTGAGCGGCCTATGAAAAATATTGGTAAATGAAGAATGGTGGTGCAGGCGGCTTGAGACATACCGCGAGGGTTACCACGTTGGTCTGGTAAGGTTCAATGGCTACGAAGTCATTGGCGATGACGGTCATCTCATGGTCATCGATGCTGAAGTGTTGGACAGATGCAGATCCGCTGTTGATGAGCCGCAGACGGTGCGTTTTTCCTTTAGTGAATTTGAACTTGGAGAGGCCAGCATTTGAAACGCAAGTGGTGTTATCAGTGACCAAAGTGCAATCGTAGTCCATCTTGCCGTTGATCATGTTGTTATCTGCAAGTGGGTGCCAACGACTGGGGTCCGTGCCGACGACTGTGGAGGCGTTAATTTACAGAAATCCTGGATATGGAATATGCAGACTTACCGCCTTCAATGAGTGTCAAGTAGTCCTCGTGATACCATTCACTCAACATAACAGGCCCGAGGTCGATGTCGTAGTCGGCCGAGCTTGGGCCGTAGACAACGATGGGACCGACGAGACCACCTGCCGACTGACCAGAATAGTGGGAATGATACCATCCTGTCCCGTAAACGTCGGCTCTGAATTTATAGGTGAAGGTGTCGTTGGGTGCGATCGGACAGCTTGATACAGATGGAGTACCATCCATATGAGGAGTGCCATTCTGCCTGATGCCGTGCATGTGGACTTGCGTGCCTTCTTCAGGACCACTGATCCTGTTGTGTACAGTGACTAAAAATTGTTAGCAGTTGCCTGGATCAATTGCGCCTATGCAAAACTAGCCTTCGATCATGTCCCCCCAATTGGCTTCAATAAGTGGCCCGGGATATTGCCCATTCACGAGTAGGACATCCTTCTTGTAGCCGTCTGGTTGCAAAGGGTGACGCTCAATCGTCCAGTCATACCTGACCGTCACTCCGGTATCTGGAGCTCTAAAAGTCATATAAGCTGGCGCGTCCTTCATTCCAGAAATGTAACGGTGCTTACTCTGTATACGGGTTTGCATTTGTAGTCGTCATGCCATCCCACGGGGGTCCGCAGCCCTGTTAGATCGTGTAAGCACTCGTGTGATGACATTCCCGGAAGGCCTTACTCTATCCAAGAACTTTGGAAGCTTTGGAGCTTCAAGTGTACCATACTTTGACAAGCTACTCGAATTAGTCAAATGCCCACAAAGACCGGGCTCAATGGCACTCACCCATTGGTTTCCTCCTGACACAACGCAGCAGCGAAAGCAACCACGCCAGTCAAGATCTTTTCAACGATCGAGGACATTCTGAAATTGACGAAGGAAATCCAAGCGAGGGTAAGTCTCTAAGGACAAAAGAAATCAACGGTGCAAAGTTGGGTGAACGAAGATGAGGTACACCGAGAAGTGACGGAAGAAGGTTATATATACTGGATTCCAGGCATCCGTGTTGGCTCCTCAAAGATGCCAATTCCCGAAAATAAGCATCATCCGTGGGTTGGGGTGGCTTATACGGTGTACTGCAGGCCGTGGTGGCTCATTCGCCCCCGAGTTCTTGGCTCGGTATCGGATCATAAGGAAGGCTCGGATGTTGGACCAGAGCCTTGCCCTATGTATCCTGATAAGATAGTCAATCCTGCCGTGATCGCCAGCAGGAAAGATCAATATTTACTCAACAGGGGGCTGATGTTGCTTAAAGGAGTGTAGATTAGCAAAAAAGGAAATGGTTAACCAGTGATAAAACGGACGCTAAACTGTTTTGTGATGGTATTTTTCGGGTATGTTTGGATGGTCCGCGCAGCCACAATCCGGAATGTGGCCAAATATGGGCCGTTCTGGGGCCGGTTTGATATTCCCGCAGTTGTGAGGAGGCTTTGATTGTGCGGCATTTGTGCTGAATGCAAACGCTAGAATATATTCTGGCTGTGCTGGCTGACTGCATGTATATGGCGGCTGTGATTCTTAGCGTTGTGTAACAACAACTTCCACATAGCTCCTGAATCTGGTACCGCTGCATGTTAGTCATTATCTTGGCTCCTGTAAATCTACCCCGCAGTTGACTCAAACGTTTGAAATAGGCTTTTCAGAGTTACCTGGATGCCTTGAGAGTGAAAGTATCTAGGCAAAGTATGCTGTACGCTGTGCATATCCAAAAATCAGGAAGTAAATGAGGAGATTGCGGAACTGGCAGTATGTATGATGCTATAATTATCTCTCGAGTGCAAGGCCTGGCCAGCCTGGTTGACATAATGAATGAATTTAGCTGGTCTTGTTTTAGAGGGTGACACTATGAGCGGTAGGGCTGACGGCGGATCGTTGGTTTCGTGCGACACCAAAATGTGGCGTATGTCGGCTGTGAAACGTACATACAAGTTCCGGCTTCAGCGAACGCGTCATTGATACGCGTCGACAATAATTCATAAGCATGTGAGGTCATGATGCGGGATAAAGCTAAGAATACGCTCTGAGGGGAATAAGCATACAAGCCTTCCACACCCGAGGAAGCCGTCGCACCCGAGAGGCGCTATACTCGAGGAAGAAAGTCCGAAAAATTGTCTTGCTGCAAGTGGTCCAATATACTTTTCTGACGAACACGATGAGGATGATAAAGGGGTCGAAGACCCTACTCTACCACACAAGATGTTCCTCCAGCACCTATTGCTCAGTAGCTTTCAAGATTTCGAGAAGACTTGTTGGTAGGGGGTCTGAGGACTAAAGCTCAGTCTACAGTTTCTAAAAGTCGGATCTGGATTGGGCGCATGAGGATATGGTTAAGGGGAAATTCGTTCGCCTCGTTTGAAAAGTATAGCCATTCATTGACTTGCACTTAGGGAGCCTTGGTTGAATGACAAAACCGAAAACAAGAGGCGATAATCCACGAACCAGAATTTCCGTAGGGGCGAACACAGCACCAAAGCAATTGCAATAATTAATGGTCAGCTTGACTGAGGTATTTTCTGCTGCATGGCTCCGAAACTCTTCGGCCGAAGTCGACGCGTTAGTACTTAGTCTTCTTCCCGCTTGTCCGGAGGATGAAGTCGTTGCCGGAAGCGGGAAGCAAGACTCCGAATAGCCTGGAGAAAGGGTGTCCCCCCCCACGGGGTCAAATGCTTGTTTGCTACCCTTGGATTGCATATTTCGCCAAATGGGTGCTAGGGCAATATAGGGGTTATGCGGGGCAGGAAGAGTTGACCAGGGGAGCTCGGTGGATCGCGCATTTGTCGCTCGAGACCAGCCCGAGCGCCGGGTGGCCCACTGACAGGGCATGGCAAAATAGTGGCACAACATAACACTCAATAGATTCCAAAAGCGTCGCGTCCACCGGTCCGAGGACTCCACCCACCGGACCGAACCGGCCGTGGCCAGGCATGGTCACCAGATATAGTAAGGCGAATCTGCAGGTACTATGTGCGTTGCGTCTCCGCCAAGACTGCAAGTGCCGGGCAAGGGATGGAACAGGACAATTTACGTGTAGATCTTCGGCTGCTCTCCACGTTGCTTCCACCTGACGGGGGTGTAGTGTTTCAAAAGGCCTCCAATCGGTGCGATTGACCCTGGACTCTTGTGTAACTGTTTTTGCATGTGGCAGGTCGCTAAGGTCGAAATCTTCCGTTCAATTTCAGACCATGTGTTTACTCGTCTTGGCGTGGAGATGGACGCGTACGTCTACTGAGCGGTCGTCTTTTGCCAGCGCGGGTCTGATGAGCCTCCACAAATATTAAAATAACAGCGTCCCACTTGCATTATTTTCTTGAATCAGTGTCGTCGTTTGTTTACACTGTTCACAATGTTGGCGGGCCTGTCGGTTGGTCTTCTCGTTTCCCTTTGCAGCCAGAGCGCCCTGGCTGCATTTGGTGTCACAGACAATGGCGACAGCTACACCATCGATGCAGGATCGGCAAACCCCCTGATATTTACGGTTGACAGTTCCAGCTGCGACATCACGTCAATTTTATATCGCAGCCAGGAGTACCAGTATTCAGCCACAGGCTCTCACATCGGATCCGGTCTCGGCTCGGCAGATGTCAGTGTGGAGACTCTTGACGGTAACCAGCTCACTTCATCTTTACTTCATTCTCGCTAAATATAAAGCAGATGTGATCAAGGTTACGTGCACCACGGACACGCTCATTCACTACTATGTAGCCAAGTCAGGGGACAGCGTCATCTACATGGCGACATACACGAGCGCCGAGCCATCAATCGGAGAGCTGCGCTACATCGCGCGGCTTGATTCGTCGGTGCTGCCGTCGGAGTACCCCTTTGGCGATGTTTCGACGACGGCGGGCAGCTCCGAGACGGTCGAAGGGTCGGATGTGTTTGTGGTCGACGGCGAGACGCGCAGCAAGTTCTACTCGAGCGAGCGCTTCATCGACGACGACGTCCACTGCGTGTACGGCGACGACGTGCACGCGTGCATGCTGATGCCGCAGTACGAGACGTCGTCGGGCGGGCCCTTCTTCCGCGACATCAACACCAACAACGGCGGCGACATGACGGCGCTCTACTGGTACATGAACAGCGGCCACGTGCAGACCGAGTCGTACCGCATGGGGCTGCACGGGCCGTACGCCATGTACTGGTCGCGGTCGGGCATCCCGACGCTCGCCAACGTCGACTTCTCGTTCATGGCGGACCTGGACCTCGAGGGCTACGTGGGCGAGAGCGGGCGCGGCACGGTGACGGGCACGGCGTCGGGCGTCGACGGCAGCGCGCACCAGATCGTGCTGCACTGGTACAACGACGACGCCCAGTACTGGACCTACGCTTCCTCCTCGGGCGCCTTCACCTCGCCCGCCATGAAGCCCGGCACCTACACCATGGTCCTGTACCAGACGGAGCTCAAGGTGGCCGAGGCGAGCGTCACCGTCACGGCCGGGTCCAGCGCCAGCGCAAACATCGCCAGCGAGTGGGACGCCCACGATGACAGCACCCTCTTCCAGATCGGCACGTGGGACGGCAAGCCCGACGGCTTTCTCAACGCCGCGAACCAGCTGCGCATGCACCCCAGCGACTCGCGCATGAGCGACTGGGGCCCCGTCACCTACACCGTCGGCTCGTCCAGCGACAGCAGCGTGCCCATGGCCCTGTTCAAGGGCGTCAACGACCCGCTGACCATCACCCTCGCCCTCGACGATGCCGACACCAGCGGCGAGGCCACCCTCCGCGTCGGCACCACCCTGTCCTTCGCCGGTGGCCGGCCCTCGATCACTGTGAACGACCACTCCGACTCCGCCGCCGCCCCGACCAAGATCGACTCTCGCGGCGTCACTCGCGGTGCGTACCGTGGCTACGGCGAGATCTACGACTTCACCATCCCCGATGGCACGCTGTCCACCAGCAACACTATCACCATCTCTGTCATTTCAGGAAGCAGTGGTGATGGCTATCTGACGCCCAACTACGTGAGTCATCATCGTTCTTTAGAAGTATTGGAATTGAGATACTAATATCTGAATAGATCCTTGACAGCATCCACCTCTTTAAGAATTGATTGCTGGTATGGATGTCGTTGATTTGAACGCGTGAGAATACGACACAGGTTGGGGCCGCAGAGTGTACATTCGTTCGCTTGTAGCATGCAAACCACAGTAGTTTTCAGCAAATGCAGGGAAATGCTGTGTGAATCACAACTCGTGCGCCAAATGGGCTTTCTAAAGAAAAGAAGTTAAAGCGTCCATCCAGCAAACAGAATGGCCGGGAGAGAAAAAGAATGAACGACTCGACAAAATGGCAAAACTGAACCCCGCTACATGCGGGTTAAGCTCAGAAAGACTCCTTG